TTGGTGCTTAATGGACTTATCATCTGTGGAGAATGGGATCAATAGACTTCATTATCGATGGAGAATAGCCACGGCCTGATTCTGTGATCTGTAGCCTCCAGAATCGAAAGAAAAAGGCATTTCGGATAAATCGCCCAAAATCTGTGATGGTACCCTTTGTATTATGCCCAAAATTGACCGAGAATTAATCCGCCCAAATCAGTGCTTAATGGACTAAACCATCTTTGGAGAATAGCGTCAGGCCGAATCCGTGATCTGTAGCCTTCAATATCCAAAGGAAATGGCCTTTCGTCGCCCAAAAAATTACAAAAATGCCATCCGAAAATAAATTGGGCCAAATCGGTGCTTAATGGACTTATCATCCGTGGAGAATAGGTTCAATAGACTTCATTATCGGTGGAGAATAGCTTTTGCCTGATTCCGTGATCTGTAGACTCCAGAATCGAAAGTAAATGGCAATTCGGATAAATCGCCCGAAATCTGTGATGGTACCCCTTTGCAATCTGCCAAAAATTGACCCGGAATAGATCCACCCAAATTGGTGCTTAATGGACTCAATCTTCGTTGGAGAATAGCCTCAGGCCGAATCTGTGATCTGTAGCCTTCAATATCCAAAGAAAATGGCCTTTCATCGCCTAAAAAATTACGAAAATGCCATCCGAAAATAAATTGGCCCTAATCGGTGCTCAATGGACTTATCATCCGAGGACAATAGGATCAATAGACTTCATTATCGCTGGAGAATAGCCTCGGCCCGATTCCGTGATCTGTAGCCTCCAGAATCGAAAGAAAATGGCATTCCAGATAAATTGCCTGAAATCTGTAATGGTACCCCTTTGGAATCTGCTAAAAATTGACCTGGAATAAATCTGCCCAAATTAATGCTTAATGGACTCAATCATCGTTCGAAAATAGCCTCAGGCCGAATCTGTGATCTGTAGCCTTCAATATCCAAAGAAAATGGCATTTCGTAGCACTAAAAATTACGAAAATGCCATCCGAAAATAAATTGGGTCAAATCGGTGATTAATGGACTTATCATCCGTGGAGAATAGGATCAATAGACTTCATTATCGGTGGAGAATAGCCTCGGCCTGATTCCTTGATCTATAGCCTGCAGAATCGAAAGAAAATGACATTTCGGATAAATCTCCCGAAATCTGTGATGGTACCCCTTTGGAATCTGCCAAAAATTGACTCGGAATAAATCCGCCCAAATTGGTGCTTAATGGACTCAATCATCGTTGGAGAATAGCCTCAGGCCGAATCTGTGATCTGTAGCCTTCAATATCCAAAGAAAATGGCCTTTCGTCGCACAAAAAAATATGAAAATGCCATCCGAAATTAAATCGGCCCAAATCGGTGCTTAATGGACTTATCATCCGTGGAGAATAGGATCAATAGACTTCTTTATCGGTGGAGAATAGCCTCGGCTTAATTCCGTTATATGTAGCCTCCAGAATCGAAAGAAAATAGCATTTCGGAAAAATCGCCTGAAATCTGTGATGGTATCCCTTTGGAATCTGCCAAAAATTGACCCGGAATAAATCCGCCCAAATCGGTGCTTAATGGACTCAATCATCGTTGGAGAATAGCATCAAGCCGAATCCGTGATCTGTAGCCTTTAATTTCCAAAGAAAATGACCTTTCGTCGCCCAAAAAAATACGAAAATATCATCCGAAAATAAATTGGATCAAATCGGTGATTAATGGACTTATCATCCGTGGAGAATAGGATCAATAGACTTCATTATCGATGGAGAATAGCCTCGGCCTGATTCCGTAATCTGTAGCCTGCAGAATCGAAAGAAAATGACATTTCGGATAAATCTCCCGAAATCTGTGATGGTACCCCTTTGGAATCTGCCAAAAATTGACCCGGAATAAATCCGCCCAAATCGGTGGTTAATGGACTCAATCATCGTTGGAGAATAGCCTCAGGCTGAATCCGTGATCTGTAGTCTTCAATATCCAAAGAAAATTGTCTTTCATCGGCCAAAAAATTACGAAAATGTCATCCGAAAATAAATTGGTCCTAATCGGTGCCTAATGGACTTATCATCCAGGACAATAGGATCAATAGACTTCATTATCGCTGGAGAATAGCTTCGGCCCGATTCCGTGATATGTAGCCTCCAAAATCGAAAGAAAATGGCATTTTGGATAAATTGCCTGAAATCTGTAATGGTACCGCTTTGGAATTTGCTAAAAATTGACCCGGAATAAATCTGCCCAAATTGATGATTAATGGACTCGTTCGAAAATAGGCTCAGGCCGAATCTGTGATCTGTAGCCTTCAATATCCAAAGAAAATGGCATTTCGTCGCAATACAAATTACGAAAATGTCATCCGAAAATAAATTGGGTCAAATCGGTGATTAATGGACTTATCATCCGTGGAGAATAGGATCAATAGACTTCATTATCGGTGGAGAATAGCCTCGGTCTGATTCCTTGATCTGTAGCCTGCAGAATCGAAAGAAAATGATATTTCAGATAAATCGCCTGAAATCTGTGATGGTACCCCTTTGGAATCTGCCAAAAATTGACCCGGAATAAATCCGCCCAAATTGGTGCTTAATGGACTCAATCATCATTGGAGAATAGCCTCAGGCCGAATTCGTGATCTGCAATCTTCAATATCCAAAGAAAATGGCCCTTCATCGCGCAAAAAATTACGAAAATGCCATCCAAAAATAAATTGGTCCTAATCGGTGCTTAATGGACTTATCTTCTGAGGACAATAGGATCAATAGACTTCATTATCATTGGAGGATGGGATTCCGAAGATTCGAACATTTTAATTAGGCCCTATTGGCCAATATTAGATGGAGAATCCTGAATGAACCTCAGTCTCTCCTGGTCCAGGTTACAAAGAAAAGTAATTCCCTTCGGGATCCTTCCTCAATGCTACAACCTCGCATTCTCCCTACTGATTAAGGAAGCTCTGATTGAGAAGAATGTTCAAGTACTACCTATATGCCCAGTTTGCTGGGAAAATTTGGAGACAATGAAACATCTTTTTCTGGAATGTTTTAGTCGCGAGAGCAATTTGGGATCATTATGGCTTAGAGAATCTTGACCACGGTCTTCCTCGACAAACTTTTCCTTTGTTCCTAAAGAATTGTTAACCCTCCTTCGTCAACCTCAGTGAAAAAGTAAAATTATTTTAGCATTTCCAACAACCAAACTTTCATTTTAACATATAAAGTTTGAGCGTCGCATCAATCCTCTGCAGGGAAAGACAAGGAGAAAATATATAACATAACACCCGCGTGATCGGCATTTTCCGAGTTGTTGAGAGAGCGGTTGCTGTTACTTGTTTTTCATTAGCTATCAATTAGTGAGTGCTGTGGGGCCCAGTGTAGTGAGTGCTGTCGGGCAACAACGACAACAACAACAACATCCTTTTTGTTTGGTTGGAGTGTTAATGGACATTGGATACACACTAATCCATTTTTAGTACCAGGAGATGGTCTAAAACGACACCCATAATTAAGGTAATTGCAGCGAATAATTAAGTACCACGTGACATATATGCACATGGCCAGACTCGGTAATGGGATCCACAGGCATATGTTAATTATATACACATACAAAAAACATGGGGTTTCAGTACGTGAATTATCGCCTCTATATAAAATACCTACACATATATCAGTATAGTTCACCCACACCCACATCATCATTTCCAAAGTAACGCCGGAACTCATGTCGTCGTCGGTCGCCTTTGCGAGTCAGCTTCCGATCAGAGCTGAAGGAGGAACAGCGCCGGCGTTTGGGTCTGCTGCTAACTATCATCCCACTTTGTGGGCTGATGATTTCCTCGCCCTCAAGGTTCGTGTATGATCGTGAGACCTAGCTATTTCCATTGCCAATAACAGTTATACGTCGCTTTAATCGTTGTTATATTCCTTTTAAACGGATACCTAATGTTTGTTAGCATAATAAATCATATCAATATCAGAGTCTTATGTAATCGAGAGGTTGGTGATCCCATTTTTAGACTGTGTAAATTTTAAACTTACGTAAGTTATTTGAGTTTGAGTTTGAGGGAGGTGTTAGTAGGTAATATAAAATCTATTATTAGATCCCTCTAAACAATTTAATTTATCGATATCAACGGATTATGAAGTTGTTAATTTGTTAATAAAGTAAGTAAAACACATCACACACGAGAGTTTGTTAGTAGGCAATTAAAATCAGCAAACATGAGGTACTTGATTCAAGTATTATGTATTGTGTACAAATACTTTTTTTTTTTTTTTTTTGTGTCCTGATCCAGAGCCAAGATCGGTCCAAGATCCACACTAATGGAAGCTGGCTCTGCCACGAAAACATGTGCAGTTTTCCCCCTTCCATCTTATCTCTTACGTAAAAATTTAAAAATTTAATTTTATCAAAATATAAAAAAGTTTAGATACTCTACTATAATTTATCTCTGATCTCAATCTATAAATCTCAAAAACCAATTAATTTTTGAATTAAAATGATTTGAGTAATTGAATTTTCCGATTTATGAATTTGATTGGATTCTTGAATTGGATTGAGCGGTAAAAATAATTAATGAACAAGTAAAACAAGTAGTAATGAAAGAAAAGACAAGACAAGGTGGCTAATTTGACAGCTGCATGTACTTTTGTTGCTTGGCCGTTATTCTTGATACATATAGTTTTATATTGGATCAATTTGGTACATGAAATCTGATTTCTAATCGTTCTTAGAAGTTAATATATATACTTTGCTTGCTAGTTGTCCAAATTAGAATTGGTTGACGATTGCAATGACTAGCAAGATTCAATCTCGCAATCGTGCCTTGTCATACTCAATACACTTTGAATATTTTATCTATGTGTATGCCAAAAACACTAATACCTTTTTGTATGATTATGAAAAAGAAATAGTACGTAACACCGTTGAATTTGATCCAATTCGATTTGTATAACGTATATATTAACGCTTCTTCCAGTTGGAGGATGCCGATTCATCGACAATCAAACTTGAACATGAAGAGTTGAAAAAAGCAGTAAGAAAGATGTTGAATACTACATCAACAATGGATCATAAACTTCGATTAATCGACGCTGTCCAGCGATTAGGCCTGAGTTATCACTTCGAGAGTGAGATTGAAGCCGAGTTATCGAACATGACGATCTCGTCTCCCGTTCCCGACCCCATCGCTAATGATCTCAGCTCAGCTGCGCTCTGGTTCCGTCTCCTCAGACAACAAGGCTTCTATGTCTCCACAGGTCGACATCGGTGGTTCCAAATTCGTATGTCGAAAACAAACCCTACTTGTACATAACTAACTGATGACGGTGTGAATTGTGGCAGATATTTTGGAGAATTTCAAGGACGGCAACGGGAACTTCGAGACATCGTTGGTCTCCGACGTGCCAGCAATGCTGAGCTTGTACGAATCGTCGTTTCTGGCCGTACCGGGAGAAGATGTCTTGGATCAAGCAAGGGCCTTCACTACCCAAAACCTAATCGGCTCGTCGGCATCGTCGGCGGCGACGGAGATTGTAAGCTTTGCCCTAAACAGGCCCATCCGAAAGCGCCTGCCGAGGCTAGAGGCGAGGCGTTTCATCGACACCTACCAGGGTAACGATTCGCTACTGAGGCTTGCGCAGCTGGACTTCAATATCATCCAGCAGCAGCATCAGGAAGAGCTGCGTGGGATCCAGGAGTAAGTCCACAGAAGAAGAAAGAAAAAAATCAGTTGATTTCAATATCTCAAGTTATTGGAAGATATTCCAAAAATGGATAGCTGAGATTTGAGAATCAAATTATGTTATTTGGATAAGGTGGTGGGGGAGTTTGGACGTGCCGACCAACTTCTGGTATGCGCGAGACAGAATTGTGGAGTGCTACTTTTGGATCATGGGAGTGTATTTCGAGCCCAAGTACTGCGTAGCCAGGAGACTGCTCACCAAGTTCATAGCCATCATGTCTCTGACGGACGATACTTACGATAACTACGCTACGGCCGAACAGCTAGAGGTTCTCACACAGGCCATTGAGAGGTAATATATGGTCTCAAGCAATGCAGTTAAAAGTGAGATTTTACGTTTTGATCAACTTGTAATTAATTGGTTGGTTGCAGTTGGGACAACAATCTCATAAGTGGACTTCCAGGGCCCATGAAGATGCTTTACGGCTTATATGTGTACATTTTCGACGAATTTGAACAGGCGGTCTCAGGAGAAGGAAGGTCTTTCGGTGTACGTTACGCGAAGAGAGAAGTAGGTTTATATCATATATACACATATATGCCTGATTAGCGTTTGGCCATGCATGCACGTAAAATAATAGTACGTACCGGCTAGCTACCTAACTAACTAACTAACTAACTAACGGTATTTTCATGATCACTCGATCGCCAGCTAGACAGAGCGCTCAAGGCGTTCTTAATGGAAGCTAAGTGGAGGGATGCAAACTACTTCCCGACGCTAGAAGAGTACATGCAAGTTTCGCTCGTCACCACCGCCTATCCCTTGCTCGTAACCGTTTCGTTCCTCGGCATGGCCGGCTCCGACGCCGCCGCGGAGGAGGACTTTCAGTGGATCGCCGGGGAACCTCAAATGCTCGTCGCCTCCTCAACCGTCTGCAGGCTGATGGATGACATCGTCTCCAGCAAGGTTGGTGCATGGTTTCGACTAATTATTGTTTGTGCATTATTATATATCAATTGTTTTGCAGGTGACATAGCATGCAAACTAAAGGAAGTGAATGTTTTGCTATATGTATTGCAGTTGGAGCAAGAGAGGAAGCACATCCCGTCGGCCGTGGAATGTTACATGGAGAAACACAAGGTGGCGGAGGAGGTGGTGGTGGAGCTGTTCAGGGAGCGGGTTGACAATGCGTGGAAGGACATAAACAAGGAGTTCTTAAGGCCGACGGCGGTGGCTAGGCCGCTGCTGGATCGGGTTCTGAATTTGACGAGGGCAATTGATGAGATCTATAAGGACGCTGACACCTACACCGACTCGTATTTGCTCAAGGACCACGTCGTCTCCACTCTCAAGGAACCTGTCTTCATTGCTATCTGAGGAGCATGCATGTACTAAATTTGTGTGTTTGTTCTAGCATATATCATGATTGTGTTTCTTTACAAGAATATTTCATAATGATGATGATGATGATTCGGACATTGATTATGATGTTGATGGTTCCTGACATTGAGGGTGTACTCGACAATGATGATTATGATGACATTGACGAAGATGATCCCAACAACGAGAAATATAGACGTTGTTGAGGTGAAGAAATGAAGCAAAAGGAAGAAACGATCATCGCAACTAACCGTTTAGTATCATTTTGTTGCTGTTGTGGTTGCAGTGGTGTTGTGTAAACAGATGTGCAACCACAACAGGAAAAAAACAGAAAACACAAACCTGTTTAGTTGATAAATCTGAAAAATCATGAAAGCTGACAACAAGAAACAAAAACGCGTTTAGTTACTACTATAAGAACTAAAAACCAGAAAAAGAGATATGCGGCTGCGGCAGGCGGAGACAAGGCGGCACGGGCTGCAGCGGGCGGAGGCGAGGCAGCGCGGGCTGAGGCGAGGCGGCGTGGGCTGCGGCGGCCGGAGGCGGAGCGGCGCTGGGCGGAGGCAGAGGGGTCGCGCCGCGCAGAGGCTGGGAGAAGAAGATGGGTGTCGGCTGTGTTCTGTCGAGAAGAAGAAGATGATGAAAAAGGGGAAGTAGGGTTGGGGGGGGGGGGCTGTGTTAAAAAAAAAAAAATTTGCTTCTGTGGGGATTCGAAAACTGGTATGTTTTAATGAAATCAAGCGCCCAACCAGTAGGAATCCCGTGTGCAGCATGTTTAAGAATCAGATCCAAAGCTATAAATTGTTGTTTCTCATATTTGGGCCTTGTTGTGCAACTGTGATTCACAACAAAAAATAAAAACCCAACTAAACACATTTTTTTTCTTGGTTTTCCAAATTTCTTAAAACACAACAGGAAACAAAAACAAGCAACAATACTAAACGGGCCATAAGATTTTCGTTTCTTAATTATCGCAAATAACTGAGGCGAATAGGGACCGATGAATCTTTGTGAGCATGGTATTTTTCACACTTTTTACCGTATTTGGGTGGTTTCAACTTTCAATTCCTTGGTTGGCAAGTTTCAGATTCAGGGGAAGAAGGTGCATAACGACTGCAATCTCTGAATCCAATCTGTTTTCCAGTTGCTTAGACTACAGTTCTGATACAAGATTACTGACGATTTAACTCAGACGGTGATCAAAACCAAAATGTGTAAAGAGTAGAATATGAGCATAAGAGCTTCGAACAGCATCAACCTAGTTCTGATACAGGATTAGAACTGAAGCAGGTAGGGTTGTCTCAATTCATCCTATTATCCATCCCGGTATAAGATGAAGCTCTACATCCGCTTAACTAGTTCTAAAACTCCAGCCCCCATCCCCTGTGGCAAAAACGGAATGCTAAATACCTTAAATGGGATCTGGCTCCAGCTTCCGCTGAATTGCTGCAGCAGCCTGTACGAGAACATGTGATGACGATATGCTTTAGCGTTTGATCAGCATGATAGGGCAACTGGAGGAACACCGAATTTTGCCGAAAATGAATGTTTTTGTGGGCTCACCTCGTTGTTGCCAATCTTGTACAGATATGCCATCTCTTCCCGGAGCAGTGCTTGCTCTTTCATTGCTTGTGCCTGCCCACCAATGATTTTGGATCAAAGATCAAAATAAATCTTAATTGGTACACAGAAATGACACGGTTTTTGGGATGTTAAGAGAATCAAAATCAAGAATTTGATAATGAAAGGCTGCTAACCATTCCGCTTTGCATGGATCGCTTTAATGCTTCCACCTCTTTCTCCTTCTGTTTTTCTCGCTCGCGCATCTGCTCTTGCCTGATACAAAATATGCACCCAAAATGTAGAAAGAAATTAAGAGAGAAATAGAGCAGAAAAAGGAAGGGGCAGTGTTTCCTGACGGGGCATAGACACAGGACAGTTGTTGGACAGAACGCAGTCACCATACTTTATCAGTTCAAACCGACTCATCTATCAAGCATGTCGGAGCATGCAGAAAGATTGAAATAATTGAACTCTGAATACATTTGCAGCTACAGAACATCATTATTCTAAATTTATAATTAAACATGTGGCTCGCAAAAATAGATACATGATGGGGTGCAACGGAAACTTTTGTACTTCCCAGCATCAATGCCAGCAAAAGAAGGCATAGTAGTTCAGAACTAACCAGTTAGGTAACGAAACCATCTGCTAAACCAAACCAATTATGCAATTGCAAGTAGTAGATAATTCATACCGTTTTAGTTCTTCATCATTGAATATGGTACGTTCAGTTTCCTGGACCTTTTTACCACTCTTCAATTCCTTCAACATTTGACGCTTGTAATAGGCATCGAGATTATAATACCTACGAATCAGAACATTTATCACTATGGTATGGCAGGATCAATTATGGATTTCAATCTATTTGTGCATAATTTGTACTGCTATGTGCAGTAAGCCAACAAATATGCATGAACAATTTCCAGACAAGATGGAGAACTGTGAAAACATTGAACTGTTCTCCGTCTTTTGGCTAAGATCAAGTGAAAACCTTGAACTGAAAGTAAATTCCTTCCATTTGCAGGGAGTTACAGATATTAAGCAAAAGAAATAGTTGTGTCTTGTCCAAATGTGCACTGGCCATTTGAAGAAAAAACAAAGTGTATCCCACAGGCATGCTATCAATTTGATGGACTCAGGAGTCAAATTCACATGTAGCAGAGAGGAATCAGAGTGCCATGAACACAAAGAGTTGCAAGGTAATAAGGTTATGCACCAAGAAACTTGATGATGCACTCCAAAGAGTTAACTACTTGTTGCTGTAAATGGATAAAATAAGCAAGCATTAATCATGGTAAGAGTCTTACTTCTTGGAAGGAAAGGTAGCAGTATTATGGTCCTCCATAAATCTGCAAACATGTTTTGTCATATATCAGCTGGTTTGATGATAAATGAACCGAAAGCTGTCCGATGCATATTTGCTCTTTAGGAAATACTAATCCAATAAACACCCTCTGTGATCTTACTGCTTGAACATCTGCTTTTCTTCCCAGTTCGGCAGAGTTTCAAGGTTCACCTACAAGAACCGTAGACGAAAAGGTAAACCACATTATCCAATTAATATTTATCATAGTCATTGGATCATTATAACGTGAATGCTACTTTCAGATTGAATTTCCGATCAGCTCGTGAATATACCAACCATCAAGCCAAACCTAACTAACATCTACCACTCATCCTTGATACATATAAACTCAAGCACAAATATCAACTATCCTTATTGAAGAAAGTTCCAACAGAAACAAATAGATGGAAAGGTACCAGAAACTGACTAATCATGACTAGTGCATCAAAAACGAGATTCTAGTCTCTAAACCAACATGAAACATTGATAATTGATAATTGCAGAGCCTATCATACTGTAGGTACCATGTAGATCAAGTGTCAAAAAACAACATTTCTTTCTCCTCCAACTATGAGATGAGAAAAGGAGATAAAGCTATAGCCCATAAGCCAAAGATGGAAAGCTAAAAATGTGCAATACATACCTGCTTCACTTCAGATAACCAAGCACTGAATTCAGGACGTTTGTTCCTGCAAATTGGAGATTGGATTAGTAAGTACAACAGTGAAGATAAAACCTGCAATTCGATATGTCAGCATAGCAACAATTCATAGCTAAAATAACAAGGTAGCACCACCACGAGTCCATGGAAACAAATGGTAAGGCACAATCAGCAAGACTGTGGAAGATCTAATCAAGTTTTCCAATCAGCAAGTACTTAAAATTAGCCACAAACCCTAATGAAACCACTCCAATCCACCCAAAAAAAAATATCAGCAACCAAACAGAAACAAGAAAAATTCCAAAGTTCGAAATCATGGAACAGGAACAAAGAGCTGGAAATTTGGAAGAGAGGGTAAACCCAATGAGTTACCACATATCGGTTTCTCTGATGATCCCATACTTCCCCCACAAATCAGTAACAGCACCTCTCTTCCCAATCTCTGATTTCTCCTTCTTCCTCTCTTTCTTCCGCTTCTCCTTCTCTTTCCTTTTCTTCTTCTCTTTCTCCTTCCTTCTCCGCTTCCTTTCCTTCTCTTCTTCCCTCTCCTTCCTCTTCCTCTTCTCCCTCCGCTTCCTCCTCTTCCTTTCCTCCTCGCTTTCACTCGCTTCCGTGCCCGACTCGGATGACTCGGACTCTTCGCTATCGGAATACTCCGAATCCGAATCGTCGCTGCGTGGCTTTCGCGACTCTCGCTTCCGCTTGTGTTTCCGGCTGCGCTTCCGGTCCTCCTCTCCGGAATCCGAATCAGAAGAGTCCTCTGCTAACCTTTTCCTTCTGTGTTTGCCATCGCTCTTCCGGTCACCGGCATCCGGAGAATCTGCGTCGTCATTTCCCCGAGCTCTGCTTCTGGATTTACGGTCTTCTTCCAGCTCGTCTCTCTCGGAGACAGAACCGTCCCGGTGTCGGCCCATTTCCGCTGCACTCCGGCCAGCAGTGAAGAGATTTACGCTTTGCAGGGAAGGGACCTAAGTCTTCGCTGCTGGATTGGCATTTGAATGAAATACCCAATGGGCTGTTGGCAAAAAGCCCACCCATCAATGATACAGCCCAGCTTCCCTACGATTGGCCCGTCGTCAATTGCAGAAATGGCCATTTGGAGTCATTAACAAATTGGTCACTGAAGTTAAAATTTTAACAAACTAATCAGTTGTGCTTTCTTTAACATATATTTCTGGTAATTTCATTAGTATCCGTCTATGTTTTTCATCCACATTAGCTACATAATCATGTCGTTTCATCCAATTTAATATAATATAAGATGTCAAGTATCTTCTAACCGATCGTAACCAAAGTCCAAACCTAGAAAGAACCACATGAACAGTAGAAAGCAGTGGCGGAGTCAGTGCATACTAAGGTGGGTCCCGGGACCCACCTTGGTTCGGGAGAAAATATGTACGCTTAAATAATAAGGATTAAAAATCGTACCAAAAGTTATATCGGACAAGTCAATGGTATGATATTCTATGTTGAAAACGTGGTTTAATCGTGGTTCAATCATTTCAGGTTTATTCATTATATATCGTCAAAACTTTCTTTTGTCTCGCTAGATTCTTTTTATCCTAATAATAAATTCTTTTTTTTTTTTACGAAACGATCACTTGCATTAACAAGAAAACCAAGTTACATATGACCTAGCTCCAAGCGGAGCCAAGCATGAAAATCAAACACCTTACAACCCGTAGGAAACAAAGACAGGGCTTTCTGAGCCACCAGATGGGCTACCCAATTGTTCTCCCTACCCACAAACATGATCCGGAACCCTGGCACAGCCGATAGGAGATGACGAATTTCCTCAAATAGGGCCCCCCCAGAAGCATCAGCAATACCCCCAGCGTTGACCTTATCAATAACCCCTTTCGCATCTCCCTCCAGCAGGACCGTCTCCAATCCCCAGCGTCGGCACCACCTGATGGCATCCCGAAGCGTAGATAGCTCCGCCAACATTGGACTCTGGAGACCGCTATATGTCACCCCCCGCACTGCCAACACCATACGTGCCGCATCCCGCAGAACCATTCCACCAGCTGCATGGGACCCCGCACTGACTGCACCATCAAAGGAACAGATAACACCGAACGAAGCCCTCTGGCCCGCCGGTACACCCACATTCTGCGCCAGAACCTGTGAGGCACCACCCCTTCCATCTCCTTTCGGAACCTGTAACCACTCATTCACCTGAAAAAGGAACTCCTCAACTAGATTATTATATTTATACTTTGACGTGAATATAGGCTAGCTATTGTCTAAAACTATATAGAATTAGGAGTTATTTTTCGAATCATGGTAGTTGAAAGAAGTAACTTATTGTTGTTGCTAACTAAGGCTCCACTGCAAGTATTGAAATGACATTTTCAATGAGCTACGTGAAAACACTCTTTGGTATCTAATGAGTGACAAAATCATGAATTATTATTTTATTAGGTATATTTACATCCATATCATATGAATACAAGTTCGTCCATATACGAACACACATTATGTGGCATTGCAATGACTCAAAATTTTCTTGCAATATAAAAAAAAATTCGGACCCACCTTACATAAAATCCTGGCTACGCCACTGGTAGAAAGTTTATAGAAATCTTATTACAACAAAGGGGACTATTACAAGACACTCTCCACTCTTTTTCTCTGTAAGACTCCCTTCCAAAACTTACAAAATGAACACAAAAAGAAGGTGGATTAATATAGAGTCGGTAGCTCTAGTACGGTTTGTCGACTCATTAAGACCGGTATCTTTGATACTGTTTTCTAGCTCATAACACAATACACTCATATTATTTATATTGGGTAAATGACACATTTGGTCACTGAGATTACTAAATCGTGTCATATTTGGTCACTAGAAAAATTTAATATCAATTTTGGTCACTCGAATTACTGACAAAGGTCACATTTGGTCACTCTTCTGTAGCCTCTGTCCAACTCCGGTCACTCGAATTATTGAAAAATGTCACATTTAGTCACTCGGATTACTGAAACATGTCACATTTAGTCACTCTCCCAAAAGTTTCCGTCCAACTACATTAATGGAGTTGGACGGAAACTGACGGGAGAGTGACTAAATTTGACCAGTTTGGGTAATTCGAGTGATCAAAATTGATATTAATTTTTTCTAGTGACTATACATGACACAATTTAGTAATCTCAGTGACCAAATGTGTCATTTACCCTATTTATATTTCATTTGAACAAAGACGTATAACTTTAATAAGTGGTAGGTATTACTCTTGAGGCTGAATTTCATCTGATGTCATTCATTAGTGTCTACCCTCTTTTTCCACACACTCTTTAGCGTTTTCTCTCACTCTTCTCCATTCAACCACCCTTACCTCAAATCCTCAATGAATAAAGGATCTTGAATTAAAAATTGCTACTTGCTAAGTGATTTTGATAGAAGTGAAAGAATCGGAAGCAACAAGGGGAAAAAAGGAAGATAGAATATTTCATAACGAGAATCTTCACTTATTTATACATCTTGTCATTTGTTCCCCTTCTATTCAAGTCGCGCCATCATACAAAACTGGAATCAAATTCAAACGAGGAGCAGTTTCCCTTCTGCGTGACGTTCTAAGACTTTCAGTCAAATCAATACCTTTTTGTTTCATTTCGAATGGAAGTTCCCATTGGAAGTGATAGAGCAAATTCGCTATAGCCAGTTTAACCATCGTCATTCCAAATAAAGTTCCAGGACATATCCTTCTTCCGGCACCAAATGGAATGAACTGGAAATAGTTCCCACTATAGTCAGTTGAGCAGTCCAAGAATCTTTCGGGGTAGAATTTCTCCTGCTTGACCCAATAACGGGGATCCCGATTGATCGCCCAGGCCTTTACAATGACTCTGGTGTTGATTGCGACATCATACCCATTGAGTTCCACCTTCTCTCCATTTTCTCTAGGAACAAGTAAAGGAAGAGGAGGATGTAACCTCAGAACTTCATAAATAACCATGTCTGTGTATGTCAGCTGGTGAAGGCTTGCTTCGTCTACATTTTTTCCGAGTGAGATCCACAGGCTCCCCTGCAGCTGCAGAACGAGTGAGAGAGGCCACGAGATTGGAGACCTCATCTTCCCTGATGTGGCGGAAAGATTGAACTCGTGTGGCGCTGAAGAGCTCCAGTGTGCAGAGCTTGCGCATCTGCCTCCAGTGATCTCCATAGGGCGCGAAAGCTATGTCCTTGCCACCATAGAAGATTATATCAGGGGCCAGGAAATTAGGCCTCGAAGCGAAAGCTATGTCGTGGGTCTTCATCACCAGTTTGGCGGCTTCAGGAGTTGAGATTACGATGTAATTGAGCTCCCCAAGCTGAAGCTGCATCACATCGGGACCATATTTGGCGGCCAGATCCCTGAGTCGCCGGTGAGGTTGGTCGCCGATCATCTGGTGGATGTTTCCTATGATGGGAAGCTTCCATGGGCCCGGCGGCAGGTTTGAAGCGGCGGTTTTGGACCTCTGCTTTCGGATGATCGATAAGGTGACTACGAGGATGGTTGCAAGTGTGAAGAGGCAGGGGATTTTGCATGCTCCGAAGGAGGAAGAGCAAGAGATCATCTTTTGGCGGAGATACTCCATGGTAATGATGAAAATGCTCTGTTTCTCCCCTGCTCTAACACACATCGCTTGGTTTACTTATATTATGAAAGTACTCTGTTTAGTGTTTTCCCCCTACTCTGTTTTTCCCTATGCATTTACACTACTGTACCCATGTGACTTGATGTGGTTCAATTGGATAAATGGCCACCTTACTCTTGCCTTTCTTACTCGAAATGGTTACTGTCGAGTCGGGTTTTGTTAAATTTGAACTCGACTTGTTTTTTAACGAGTCAAGTTGGATAAAGTTTTGCCTAAGTTTGAGCTTGACTCGTTACAAAATAAGTCGAACTCGAACTTTGCTCATTAAGAAGCCCATGAGCTTTACTCGAGATTGACTTATCAATAAGCTCATGAGATTAGCTCATTTATAAGTCTATATGGATGAACATTTGAATTAAGCTCTAAATAAGTAAACAAGGCTTGGCTGAGTGGTACTTCAACTAGTATTGAACTTGGAGGTCCTAATCCCAAGTTTCGAATCCCTTATTTTTTATGTCATATATGATACATGTGATTAATCGGGAGAAAAGAATAATACTTAATTTTCATCACTAATTGATCTCTGGTTTATATACTATATTGGTGTAATATAATTCAACTCATATTTTTAATCAATTAATATAATGTTATTTATTAATAATTAGTAATCAGGCATTCTATAATAGATAATTTCTCATTCAAATTATAAATGTGACATATTTGGTCACGTACTAAAAAATCTTAAACTATTATATATTATGATATGTATAATCTAACAAACATATAAATTATTAAGAAACAAAATTTTATTAAACAAAGAAGTTAATGTCTATCTTAATTCATAAAGTACGCACAATTTACATTTTCAAAAAATTTATTATGCTGAATATCGGAACTATGGTCTCAAACAATTCGAATTATTGATACCAGTTGGTTAATGACGTGTATGACGGATCCGAAAACACCCACCCTCACTACTATGCATATTATTATAAGCTCTACCCTCGCTTGGATTAGTTATATTAATATTAAGCAGATTGCCAAACGATTTTGTTTATTACTTAATTGTTCTTCGTTGATTGCCATTATTTGATGTGATCCATATCGTCATCCTTCATTTAGTTTTTAGTCCAACTAAAAACAAATCAGTCCTCCAGATTAATATAAAACTGTTAGCTGAGAATTGAGATGAGGGTTGATGTGCACATCCTAACCTTACTATGTTGGGTAATCTGGCAGGCTAATGTGCATAATTTGAGTGAAAAATGAATTTGGATAGTGATTGATTGTGCCAGAAACCATGTTAAAATGCAGAAACCTGCCCTGTTCTTGAGTGTGCAGTTTGCCAGAGGATTGCAGGCACTGGCTGCATAGTCAATATATCATATCTTAAGGAATGAATCAGCACCTTAGTTGACGATAGTAAATCCTGTCAGGGCTACCACATCATTCAAATCACTGCTTTACTGAGCTAAGGATTTCACCAGTCGCCTCATCTCCATCAATTCCATCAGCCTTCATCCCCTCTAGAATCCACCCCACTTCTTTCCCATTCCTCACATAAACATGGAGCAGTGTGTTATAAAACTCCCTGTCCTTCGGAACCTTGGTCTGCAACACGCTTCCCACAAACGATTCCACTTCTTCCGCGCCTATATTCTCGCCAGCCCACCTCAACATCCTCGACATCAGTACAGGTTTCGGTCTCCACCAAATGTTATTCGTTCGAATAGCTAGAGCTTCTCTCATGGCCTCAAAACCTTTCTCCATGTTGCCTTCCTTCTCCACATACCCAGCAGCAATGATGGCCCAACTGTTGGGGATTGCAGCCTTACCCCGACCTATCCTGTCCCTCAGCAACAGCTCAGCCTTCTCGACCAACCCCTTCTGGCAACATCCGATCAAGAGTGCATTCGGCACCCGAGCATCATAGAATTCACAAGCCGAATCCCATTCCTCCAGCAAAATTTCAGCTTCTTCAAGCTCCCCTAATTTAACCAAAGAGCCCATCATGTTCAAGTAGTCCCTATTATGCCGTTTGCTGAACTTGGCTTTAGCAACGCCCCACAGCCTCAACACCTCATCCTTGTTCCCTAGATTGGCATGGTGCGAAATCAAATGGTTGAACCCATCTGCATTCTTCATCACTCGCTCTTCACATTTCCTCAAGCACTCGAGCGATGCCTCTCGTAAACCGGCTTTTATGTAGATACCAGCCACAGTTGAATAGGTCAGCCAGTCAATTGAAATAAGAGGCTGCTGTTGTTCCTCCTCCATCTCTTGCAACATCTGTTGGACCTTATCAAGCTGAGACATTGCAGCATAAGCAGTCATGCAAATTCGGTAACTTACACAGTCGGGGGAGATTCCCTTATCCTTCATCTCGGATAGTAAACCGCTGACCTTCTCCGGAAGGCCAGTTTTCAGGTAGAGGGTCATGATTTCATTGTAGTTAAGCGTCGAATTATCAAAACCCAGTTCCTGCATCTTGTCCCAAAGAGAGAGGGACTTTGTGACCTGGACTTGTCTAATGTAACAGTTTAGAAGAGCTCCATACATTTTCTGGGTTTTTTCAGTCTCGTCCAAGCTTGTGAAGTAACCCTCTGCAAATTCAAGTCCCCTAACCTTACCAATGAGGTCCAACTGAACCGCATGATCAGACTGCGACAATGGGGCAACCCCTCTTCCTACCATCCACTCCAACACCTTCAAAATTTGCAGAAACATGAACAAAAACAATCAACAGACACTCTCGGAATGAAGGGAAAAAATTGAAGCTTTTTGGCAGCCACCATTCAACATCCCCAACTTCTGACCTAAAAAACAAAAACTAATTAACTGGGATAGTGTGAATGAATGAATGAACCAGTCCACTAACCTCAAGGGCCTGGCCGTGTCGTCTCCAGGAACGGAGCTTCCTGGCGATTCTCTGAAGCTCGGAATCTCTGAATTTCCTGCCTTCTTCGACCCATTGATCAAGAACCGGAGCTAAACTGGTTTCTGGGTCTCCGATTGGGCTGATTCTCGTGAAAAGATCGCTGCTTGCTGCTCTCGCCGCTCCGGCGGAGTACTTCCTCTTCGAAACGGGATTCGCAGCGAGGGTCTGGATTGCGTTGAGAATCGTCTTGAAGAAATGCGTTGGTGCCGCCATGCTGATATATTGAAGCGGCTAGATGTTTTGGGAATCTGGGATCCTGAGGAAGGAGATATGGGGCGAAAGGGTTTAGCAAGGGTTTTGGCGGACAAACGGCGAGACTCGCCACTTGCAAATCAATGCTACCGTACGGTTTTAGTTTATCTTATTCAATTAGTTTCAATTAATTGTTCAATTACCTAATGAATTGATGGTGGCTACTTCGGTGCACTCACTTTTTTGGGTGCATTCAGTGCACCCACCTCTAAAAGTGGTCATAATACATCAAATTTTGAAATTTAATGGGTAGCATTAGTCTCATATGATGATATAACACAGAATCACAACTAATCAACTCATTACCCTAACCTATTAACATTCAATTTTGAATCTAAACCCAAAATCCCAAATTGTAAACCCTAACCCTAACCCTAAATTCCTAAACCCCGAATCATTCAAATTAAAGTGAATCTTGAATGATTTTTGTACAAATTCATGTGGTTCTTGTTCATCATACTACAAGGGATGATTGACATCGTTTTCACATGAATCGCCTGCTCAGAATGACGAGTATGAGGCGGGTGCATTGAATGCACCCAAAAAAGTGGGTGCACCGAAGACATAACCATGAATTGATATATTCGTGTAACTTTATGTGAAATAACACACTTAATTCGAACAATAAAATATTTATCCAACTTTACATTGATACAATTACCGTAATTTGCAATCGATTTCTGAAATGAAATAATTTCGCATCAATTTCATAAACTACAATCTAAATCAGTAACAACAAGGCTGCTTGCCTGTGTATTGTAATTTGTAAATCGCTATACATCTCTGGCATGTCTGTAACTCTTGACTATACCTTTTGTCTAGTGTATCTAAACTCTAACAATCCTGCAATCAATCATTTGCCGAAATGTGCCTACTCATCCTTCATGTGCATCTATCAAACTCAGAAACCAAACAGAAAAGAGAACCAAGCAAAACCAAAGTTGTAAAACCCGAACTACGAGCACCAAGAGGCATCTTTCTGCAGCAACTCGGAACAGGGCAATGGAAACACGTCCTGAGCAAAGCCAGAGACAAATTCACAATGCCACGAACCAGCAGATGACGATGACTGCTTCAGCCCTAGCAAGGTGACATTCCTAAGGCATATCTCAGAAAACGGAGCGTTTTCGATGCCCAGCAACTGTGGGGCTTTGGTGGAATTCAGACTGACCACGTCGATGATTCTGACTCCCTTGACGATTGGAATTGCAGTCCGGTCCCATCCTTCATCAGGATGGTCGTTTGATCCCTTGCTGAACTTTATCGGTACCTTCACCCTCTCCATGATCACGTTTCTTATGGTTATATTGGTGATGTAGCCTCCCCTGCCAACGTCTGTTTTCATCCTCACGCCCGCTGCCGAGTTCCAGATATGCAAGTCCTCGATCGTGACGTTGGAAATGCCCCCGGACATTTCGCTCCCTATTCCGATGCCCGAGCAAGTGGGAGTTGTGCCGGAGACTCTTCTTACTATAATGTTGGAGCTCGGGCGGGCCATCTTGATACCATATTGGTCCCACCCGCTCTTCACTGCAACGAGATCATCCCCACTCTCGATGTAGCAATCCTCGATGCAGACATTCGTGCTGGAGTCTTCAAAAGGAAAAATCAAAGGCCAAAGCATTTTGATCAATTTTAAGTTTTGTTAATCTTTTGGCTTTAAAATGAAAAACCAAAGGTTACTGAATTTCAATAACAAAAGAAGTGTCATTACCTGCATCTATTCCGTCAGTATTTGGAGCATTAAGTGGTGCCAAGATTGTCATGTTTCTGATCACAACATTACTAAACCAGATATAGGGCTAGTATCAGTAATCAACTTCAAAGTTCAAATTACTAATAAAACTTGTATGGTGAAAGAGCTGTAGTAACCAACTGATAATACGAAGATTTATCAATTATATAGAACAAGTAGAACATACATAGAAGATAAAAGGATGGGGTGGAAAACACACCTGCAGTAAATTGGATGTACAGTCCAAAATGGAGAGTTGCGGAAGGTGAGGTTGGAAATGAGAATGTTGCGCGAGTTCATTAGTTCCACAAGGTGTCCCCTCGTGTGCTCCAGCGTTCTGTTCCACCATAAGTCCCACCACATCTTCCCCTGGCCATCAACTGTTCCATTTTCCCCTGAAGCAGATAACACATATTGTTTACTCAATACTGAATGAAGAAGAATGAATAATCCATTCCTCCCCCAACCCCATTTGTCTTCTGTGCCAGAAATATGTATTTTGAATTTGATTTCGTGACTCAAATCCACAATAACATTCCCGGTTATATCTTGGCAATGTACAGCAGTTTAGTTCACGCAGCACTAAAGGACATCAAATTACCCGCTTAGAATTTATCGCATTCAGAAGTTATCAGATACCGTGGTGGATATATCACATACATATGATAGACAAGTTCTGCAGACCACACACTGTTTAATACAGAGATAACAAAGTGCAGTCTTAGGACCTAATTTGGTACAGAAGTCATAGACCTCTTATATAGTGTTGAAATATTTTCAGAAAATTAAACAGAGGAGATTAGCCGAATCTCACTACAAGATAGAATAGACAGTTTCATAGACAAAATGTCATATGCCCTTCAATCCGATGGCGACTAGAACAGAAAATAAGCAAATAATCTAATAAGGGAACTTCGTCAAGTACCTGTAATAACGACATCAGAGAGACCATCTCCATGAATAAGGCTAATATGTCTCCCTCCCAATCTCTCTCTCCCTCTTCCATAAGAAGGCAATGGCTCTATGATAGGCCATTCCTTAGGGTCCTGAAATACACGCAACAAATGTCAAACGGCTACTGCTATAAAAAAATAAACATTCTGCTACCAGTCCCAAGCTTTGGGTACAAGTCATCTCATTTTTGCAGATTCTTTGGGTACAAGTCATCTCATTTTTGCAGATTCTTTGGGACAAAGTTCTTCAAAACTGATTTGCAAAGCAAGAAAGAAAGGCAATCCAATCGTTGGCATTGACCACCACACCACTGAAGCTACAGACGAAAACCTCAACACAACAAACACCCTTTTGCCACGTCTAGAGCACTAAACTGCAGAGCCATGTGAACAGAGTTATTCTACAGTAGTAGCCTCCATAGCCGGCTCGTGAATCTGGTCGTGTTGACAAAACCCCCACTTCCAAACCTCACATGGCCTTTAGTCTATCACGAGCCGCATTAGTAGGAAGGAACCATCCGCCACAAGCTCGAATCTTCGTCTCCCAGCCAGAGCTTTCCATTCGGTGGCCAACAAAAAGCTCCCAAACTCCACTCCCCTTTTTGTAATCATTCATAATCTAATCGCTCTGCTTTTCCCCGAGAAGGAAAAGGAAGAAACGTACAACACTTTGATCCATAAGAGCCCAAGATCTTACCGGAAAGAAGTTTTTATAATAAAAGGACAATAGAAGACAAAAAGCTGACCGTCCAAATTCGGTAGCATACAAACCCAAAAATATAAACAAAGAGAAAAAGGAATTGGGGTTTACCTGAGAACCCAGAATCACAGCGCCTTGTTCAAGAAACAATGTGAAATTGCTGGTCAGATTGAAGCTGCCGGTGAGCCACTTCCCTTCAGGCACATTCAGCTGCGATCCGCCGTCGTACTCAAACTGCTTCATGTGCCGAACAGCTTTCCGAAACACTTCCGTATTGGACGTTTCCCCATCGCCGACCCCGCCGAAATCCGTAATCGACATCACCGTCTTCCTCGCCGTGATTCTCCCGTAGAACCCAGAACAGCTTCCGGCGTCCGGCGGGAAATCCGATTCGAAGGATTCCCGGGCCCGGTCCGCCCAAATCGGGTAGACGGTTCTCGTCGTGATTTGGAAGCAGAGAAGCGCAGCCAGGGCGGCGGTCAAAACGAGGGCCGGCGACCGCGAAGACAGCCTCATCGCCCTCACCGCCGATACGCCGATCCCCTGCTGCTTCTCCTCATCCATCGTTCTTCCAGAATTTGAAAATCATGCATGTGAGAGCCCAAACGCCGCCGCGGAAAAATTGAATGAATTGAAAGGGGCGCGCCGCGTGGGCGGAGAAACAAGAAGAATCACGTGAGACGGGCTTTTTTGTTGGGATTGGAGCTGGGGGAATTTAAGGTTTGATGAATTAGATACGACGCGAGCTGTACGCGGTGGTTAGACGCAGCGGCACGGCGGAGATGGCGGCGGTGGTGGAAGTGGGGAAGGAGGAGAAGAGAGAAGGAAGGAAGAGGGGAAACGCCATTTGTGCCGTGCTCGACGGCCTGAGGCACCTGGCATGAATAAGACGCGCGTGTTCATGTGGGTCCCGTTTTGGTTCGAAACTTCGAGGATTTAGAATTTCGATTCTTTGAAAATGGGGAAAGCCGAATATCGAAAAAATATAAGTTATATGGACCTCCAATACAGGCCCAGAGCTGCAAGGAAACAACGGGCCAGGGCCCTAGAGGCAACAGTTTCTCTTTCTCTTTGTCCCATCTAAAAGAAGCCCATCATCAAGTAATCCAAAGTTAATAAGGATAAAGTTGAAATTTCGAACGAAAGAAAATGATATTATTGTTCGACATGCACCCTCATTTGAGTCTATGTAACGAGAAAGGAAGTGGTTAAAAGAACGGCACCAATCCAAATGCTAAAAAAGATGAACAACTCATGGAACCTTCCGTTGTTTAGTTTGAAGCAATTGGTTTGTATTACTCGCTTTCGACTTGGCCAATTGGCTTTGATCTCCTTTGCTTCCCATCTTAAGCATGATTGCTATGTTATTGCTAAACGAACTTTGCATTGGAGTATCAACTGACCAATTGGCTTTGATCTCCTTTGCTTCCCATCTTAAGCATGATTGCTAGGTTACTGCTAAATGATCTTTGCATTGGAGTATCAATCATCAATCAGTATTCCCATCCTCGCCTAAATCACTCGACTATCTCCATCCATGTCAGTAACACCAACACCTGAAATGTGGAATCCTTTGGTCACTAATCAATCTCTGAATCATCTCCTGTCGAGCCAGCATTCGAACCGAAAGATCCAGTGGCATTTGCATGATCTTATAATGCACTTGCCATTGTATTATTGGCAACTAAGGGCATCACTCTCTACTTGCACTGCTTGGATCCTCTCCCAGGATCAAGAAGAGCCTGTGAAAGGATGTTGGTTCTCCAGGAAGAGAGGGTCTTTTGGCTGTGCGTAGAGGCAATTAGGCGCCAAGATATTGCTGGGAGAGGAGAGGCCAAACCCTACAATCTTAAGGATCAAGAAAGGGATATAACACCACTACTCTTACCCAATAGACTATGCTAGTAGGAAACTGACCTAACCAACCAACAAGATATTATATAACATGAGCAATGGAGAAGCTTCATTCACATTCATAACACTCAACAACAATCTACAGAAGAACAGAGTGTGATTCTAGTAGGTAATAACAGTAATGGTGGGAAGTCAACATATTATCTAATAAGGGCAACAGGCTCATACAGAGAGGCATGCTATACAAGGGCAAGCAAGGACCTTTATTGCAGGCTGATTCATAAACACGTTCTTGTAAACTTATACCCACAAAATAGCTAACTACTAGTAGCAGATTTACTGTCATTTTCACTCCCCAACACTTACCGAGGAACCTCTCTTTTACAAGAACTTCTCTATGGAGCTGGTCAGGGTGGACTTGGGAACAGCCCCAATCACAGCATCTTTCTTATCCCCGTCCTTGAAGATCATCACGGTCGGGATGCTCCGGATTCCGTACTGCGTCGCGACCGACGGGCTCTCGTCGGTGTTGAGCTTGTAGCATTTCAGCTTCCCTGCGTACTGCTTGGCCAGTTCGTCGATGACCGGGTGGATCATTCGGCACGGGCCGCACCATGGCGCCCAGAATTCCACCAGGACCGGGGTTTCCGATTCGAGGACCACAGACTGCCAGTCGCCGTCTGTAACCGCCGGAACTGCACCCGAATTCGCAAACCCTAATTAGATCAATATAATCGAGGCAACGAGCGAGAGAGAGAGAAAGAAATAAAATTGAAATTTGGAATCGGGAACTGGCAGACCTTCGGTGGCGGTGTCCTGCTGGGCCTCGCAGACGATGGAGGAGCGACGAAGAGGGACAGGGGTGAGGGATCGGAAGGAACGAGTCGGCGAGGCGAGCTTGAGACCTCTGGCGGCAGGGAGAGGGAGGGATCGGGGGCACGGAGATAGAAAGGAAGAAGCCGCGGCGGGTTGGAGGCAGGAGGAGGAGTGTCTGGGGCGAGGGACGACGACGGATTCAAGAACGGCGGCGGCCATGGGGAGAAATCTCCGGACGGGAGGAAGCGGGGAAATGTGGGTGAAGAACTGGAAGATGATCCGGTGGATGGGAAAATGGGAGTTGGATAGCGAGTGGCGAGTGGGCCGGGCAAAGGAAATAACGAAAACTACTACTATTTGTTTGTCGTTTCGTTTGCTCTTTCTCTTCTTTCCTCCGCGTTTTTGGTGTTGCTTTCTCCCGTTTTGTCGATAGGACATCCTAATCAAAATCCGACGGTAGCTGACATCAAACCAACAATTTGGGCCGCGGTTTTGGACTTATGGGCTTGGTTTGGGATAGTTGTCAACGGGCTTGGAAATTATGTAACTATGGACCACAGGAGTACGACTAGTCTTGTTTTTTTTTTTAGAGTTATTATTGCTGTTTTCATTGACTTATGAATATCATAATTATGTGGAAAAAAATATATAATTTTTTTTCTTCCAGATCCAAGAAAATATTTTGTAAAAAGAATGAGGAAGGCATGTGAAATGTTTTCTCTCCATTCATTCTCTGAAATAAAGAAATATTGTTTGAAAATCAGAATTGCAAGGCCGGGACCGGGACGGGGAAGGAAGAGAAAGAGGAGACAGGAGAGGGGGAGGTTTTGATGAGGGTTGCATCTTGAATTTCTTAAAATTTGATCGATTGACATTAGCAGCCTCCCCAGAAGCTGTCATCAGTCAGTCGATCTCGCGTACAGGAAGAATCTCCTCACTTCTCCCACTTCCCTCGCCGCCCGGCAAATTGTTGCATTACCTTGTCGATGCAAGAAATGGGTCCTCGACATTTTGCTCTGCCGTGAAGGTTTTCAAGGCATTCATCATTCGGGAGAGGAGGAATTGTTGATGGGTCGCCGTCGAAATGAGGTAGCGGAGAGGTGTTCAATCAAGACCATGAACTGTTCAGGCGGGCCGGCACCGGCAAGGGTCAAGAAGTCGACGTATGAGACTATACATGAAGTTGCCATCTATATTCACAGATTTCACAATCTCGACCTATTTAGACAAGGGTAACTTGATGTTTTTTTTTTCTGGTTTTCATTTTCTTTCTCTTTTGGCCATATTTATGTAGTTTATGTGTGTTGATGGTTTGCCACTGATAAGCTTTGCAGATGGTATCAAATTAGGATATCCATGACCCCGGATGGAAATGGGTGCACTTTGCTTACAACTCCTTCTCGAGTGATCCAATATGAAGGTGTCTTACTGTTACATGTGTATTTCAAATTGTTTGTGTTCCACTCAAATTCGTGTTCTCCCTAGCTTACATCTTAATGTACTAGACAGCTTTCTATCAATTGAAACAAGTTCATTTGTTGTTTTTATCTGTAGCAGCTGAAAATGGTAGCAGATCTGCATATGGAGTGTGGCAGATTGATGACACGGAGAACAGCTTCGCAACACAGCCTTTTTGTATCAAATATGCGAGACAAGATGTATATTTATCTATCATGGTCTCCTTCATTCTATCCCTCAGTTCGTTTGAGGTATTGCCTTTCATCCTTGAAGCTCTTTCAGAAATGACAAGTCAAATCAAAAGAGAAGGTTAGGCAGGGCAAGAGAGAAAACTTGATGAAAGATAAATTAGTTAAAAGTGCAGCTAGTATTAAACCTGTGTTGTTTTAGTAATTCATTTGACAGGTTGAAAATGTAGAGTCATGGACTGTAATAGTATAAATATCTTTTGAACTAGAAAAATGAAGATCTTGGTGTTCGAACTTAATCTGGGTCTATATTATTGACATTATATAGCACCATTGTTTTTCTAGGCTCCTCCTTCATCTGGTGTGATTCTGAGGTTTGAGCTTTTGTCTACCTTCGATGCAGAGAATGGGTTAGTTTCATGATACTAATCCTTCTGCACTTCTAGTTTTCATTTTTATATATAAAATTAAGCATTCGTAGTGATTACTTGTGTTATATATGTTGTCTTTCGTACTTGATATAATGCTCTTTTTGCAGGTCTTCTCTGCAATTTCCAACGGACCTTGATCCAGTTGCAGTTCATGAATTTCGAATTCCTTCAAAAGCTCTGTTAGGATTGCATACTTATTGCCCTGTACAGTTTGATTCCTTTTATCCTGTTCTCGTCGATACTAGCATACATATTACCATGTTGGAAGCTTCATCTAAACGTTCATCCAAGGTAACTTCCAAGTTCAATGCCTTTAGTTTCACAAAATGAGGAAATACTTTACTGCAAATGATCGTTTCCCTTCAGACGTGCTGTAATTGATGATATCATTTTATTTAAATGCATTGTGTTCCATTAGATTCTAGAAAATATCTTCCTTATAGTTTTTTTTTTTTTTTGTCAATTAGATTCTAGAAAGATGTTATTCATATTGTCCATTTTGATTTTGAGAACCCTTTTGAAATGTTAAACTTATATCATCTATCCATTCTAACAACTCTTATTTGCCTACCAGGCACTAGATCTAGTGATCTCCGAGGGTCACAAGCATGCCATGCTCATTAAAGCATTAATGGTTACGCGTGATATACTTCTCGGAGATCTTCGGAAAATCAGCAAAGAAATTGATCAAGCACTTGACTTGACTGAGTTTTTTCCTGATCTAGATGACAAACAACTGTCCTCCCTCGTGCAATTTAATCCAGTCCATGGCAACAAGGTTTCTCAGGTCTTGCCCGAACCAGAAGATACTTTTGAGGTACTCCTTCACCTGTTACTTCTTATAAATATATGTCATTGAGATTATTGTAGTCAAGATTTAGTTGAGTTTTCCTATGCATTTTAATAAGATGGTATTCTGGCACGTTCATTTATGTTTTGTTCTTTATTTGAGAGTGATTGCTGTTTTTTTCGTTTAGGTTGATCTATCAAGTTCCTTGCAATTACTGAGAGACCAAATTTTTTTTCTATGGAATACATTCTTTGCATTTCACAGGTATGGTTAGTGTTGAATTACTTTATCCAGCTATTTCTACGTTATGCAATGGTTATTGACATTAGGAATCTCAAGAGGTTGGCCTAGTGGTATATGAAGATAATAACATCCACCACACTTAGGTTTAAAACTTAGGACCAACAGTCACCATTATATAAAAGAACAGGTTATTGACATTTGGACAGTCCGGCATAATGTTTTCCTTTTATGTTCTTTCTCATTTAACATGTGTAGTTTAGCATCTTAAACTTTAGGGATCATTCCTTCTTTTGTTATGTTGCAGGGCTAATGGGAAAAAAATACTAGATTCTCTTCATCATACTTGGGGTGATAATAGAAGAGCTGAATGGTCAATATGGATAGTATACTCAAAAGTAGACAGGTCGTTTGCTAATGGCCTCCTTGAAAAGGCTTCTTCAACTCTAAGGAAGTTCCTAAATGATGTAATTATAGTTTAATCCGCATTTATTGCATGAAATTTACATTTCTTACTAACATATGCATCTTCCAAGCATTTCGTTCTTACATTTAAAATTTCTTTCATGCACTACACAGCCTGTGCGGACTTCAAGTGCACGGGCTGGCCTTCACCGTCAAAGCATTGCACAAATGAAGGTTTGAAATGATATATATTTGGACAATAGACTATTTCATCATGGTTGACATTGTCATATTTATAGTTGGAACTAACCGCTACCATTTTCTTGTAGATAAACAACCGATCACTCCAAGATATGCATATATACAGAGACCCATCACACATTCCTATTATCACGATAGACCATTTTGTGAATTCCCCTTCACATAAAACTGGAGGACATTCATATTTGAAGAATAAACCAAACACATCAACGCAAATGGATAGTTCATCTACCGAACCTTCAAAAATTTTGAAGGTGGTTGTGTTTGTGCACGGGTTTCAGGTATGCCCCTTTGTTCCCTGGTTGCAAATGGAACAAAACATGTTTCGTATTTCTTCATTTTATTCACATCGAAATGAATCTTCTTCTGAAGTATCACGCAATACTCCTTTTTTGTGTATAGTATTTCACTGGTTTCAGGATTAGGAAACCTGAACTAACTGCATATACTCGGATTATATAGGGACAAAGCCTAGATTTGAGACTTGTTCGCAATCAATGGCTTTTGATAGATCCCAAAGTGGAGGTTCTTATGTCAGAGGCAAACGAAGATAAAACAGAAGGGGACTTTAGGGATATGGGTTTAAGGTTAGCTGAGGAAGTAACATCTTTCATGGAAAAGAAAATCGAGAGATCCTCAAGGAGTGGGAATGTAACAGAAGTAAAGCTTAGTTTTGTTGGGCATTCCATGGGAAATATCATCATAAGAGCAGCATTATCAGGTACCTTTATGTGATTAGTTTCTTCAATTCTCTCTTTACTTGTCTTGAAATAGCGTTAGAATTCTTACTGGGTCTATTCTTTTGGTAGAGAGCATTATGGAGCCGTATTTGAGATACTTGCACACATACCTTTCTGTATCTGGTCCACACTTGGGGTACATGTACAGTTCGAACATGCTATTCAACTCTGGTCTCTGGTTCTTGAAAAAGTTTAAGGGCACTCAGTGCATTCGCCAGCTTACCTTCTCAGATGATCCGAATCTTAGGAAGACTTTCTTATACAAACTTTCTAAGGTACGAAACTAGCAGTACTCTCTGTTTCCTGCAAAGCTCTTGATCAGCAAGACCATGACATGATAAAGAGTTACGCTATTGTTACATATTTGCAGCACAAGACCCTTGAGAACTTCAAGAACGTGATCCTCGTTTCCTCGCCACAGGACGGTTACATACCATACCACTCGGCCAGAATCGAGGCATGCCCAGCTGCACTTTTAGACTACTCGAAGAAGGGCAGAGTCTTCTGGGAAATGCTCAACCATTGCTTGTGCCAGCTACAAGCTCCTTGTTCTTCTAATCAACGAATCTTCATGCGCTGCGATGTCAACTTCTACATCCCATCCTCCAACAGAAACAACTTCAACTCCATCATCGGGCGAACTGCTCACGTGGAGTTCCTGGAATCGGACAACTTTGCCATGTTGGTTATGGGGTCTTTCCCTGAACTGTTCGTCTAGTAGATTGCAGGGTTCCAACTGCCATAGGGATAGAACAATAGAGCATACTGGAGACAACAGAAGTTTATCGCCCGATGAACAAGGAAAAGAAACAAGGTTATGAGCAACGTGACGAGTGTGTAAAGCGAAAGAATCCCATTCTAATGGATCCCATTTCTTTCTTTCATTATCTATTTATCTTGGCTTTGTTGGAGCTTAATGTATATATGTATGCAAGTGATGCATTGTTATTGCTATTTCTATCTTTACTACTTGAGGGAATGGGAGGATTTCCATTTCAGGGGAATCAGATTTTGTGTTCAAATTGTAAAATCGTACTGGCGGTCCGACGGATAAAATCTTTTATTGGATGCTAAATTAGTAGTTGAATCATGATCTATTAGTTGAAGAATTGAGTTTGTGGGTTAACTCTAAAGCCAACCCTGCCCTTCTACCACTCACTTAACGCAACCCGAAGTAATGTGTGAGTGGATTAGTAATGTGTGAGTGGATTAGATTTCACCATTATACCAACTCGTTCAGTTTAATTCCACAAGTCACTCAAGTAGGGGTAGTCATGGGTAGGGTCGGGTGCGGGTTTACCCTATACCAACTCCTAACCCGTCGGGTAGAGCCTACTAAAATACCCTATCAAATAACCACCGGGTATGAAAATGATATAACCATAGCCTACCCACCGGGTAACCACGGGTATTCGGGAAGCTGCTTGACGGCAACTGCGGGTCGCGAACGAGGGGAACAGGGGAGAGCAGGTCGTGCGTGGAGATGCTAGCTGGAACCGGGGGAGATCCTGGCGAGTGGCGAGTCGCGCGCGACCGAGAGGGAAGAAGGGGAACGGGGCGCGAAAGAGGGGGAAGCAGGGGAGAGGCGGTCGGCGGCGTTGGGACTGGCGGCCGGCGGGGCTCCTCACAAACGGCGCACGAACGAAGGGAAGCAGGGGGAGGCAGTCGGAGCCTGGAGTGCGGATGTTGGCTACTGGCGGGCGGCGGCTATATTAGGGATTCAGGGGAACGACGCGCGAATGAGAGGGAAGCAGATTAGGGATTGAGATTTTAGGGTTAATAGTTGGGGAAACGGGAGAAAGTTGTTGGGCCTAGTATTGGCATACGTGGGCTTGAGACCCATGGTTACAAAAGCCCACAAAGGCAAGCCAAGATAAGGTCAGGCTAACCATGCCCGCCAGGGAGACCGCCCGACATTTACGACAGGCATACGTTAGGAAACCGCCCGACAGAAGGGCTGAAGCCCTGCTGTCAGAAGGAGCCAGACATTCGTACTGACACAACATTTAATGAAGTCAGAGGCGTCCAAGACCGCCCGACACAGCATTAAATGCCCTGATTTCAAGACTGGACTAGTATAAATAGCCCCAATGGGGCAGCATTTATGGTAACTCCGATCAACCCAATTCTCTCTCTATATACATTTCTCACTACTTTCTCTCTCTAACTTAAGTTTCGGAGGAGGTCCCAGGCAACCCCTGAGGACCTTTCGTGCAGATCTCGAAGACCGCCTCCCACCTGTCAAGCCGCCAGAGGTCATCGGAGTCTCACGCAACCGCCTGGGACATTCCAGGCATAAACAAAAGTGAAGACGATTGTCTTCTGGGTAGTGGGTGTTGGGTTGCTTGGTAGGGTTAGGGATAGGGAAATTGACCCTTTGATTAGCGGGTATTATCGATTACCATACCCGAACCTACCCTTTATTTTGAAATCAGGTATTACCCGTACCTGCCCCTTAACCCGTCAAAGCGGATAATTAGCCACGTTGACCGGTTACGATTGGGTAGGGTAACCATGATTACGGGTTGGATTGACATCCCTACACCCAAGCCACCCATTGCCCACCCTAATTTGTATTGGATTCCGGGTGAGAGTTCGGCTATTAGGTTTTGGCCCGTTTGGGTACCCAGACGAGGTTGAACCACATTGCAGCGACGTCGTTTTTTTATTGAGTGTTATTTAAGTGTTTATTCTTGGGCTTTTTAACAGTCGTCCGTCCAGCAAAAGAATTTTTAAAGACTCCCACAGTGTCGTACTCGACGGACCAAAGCTGCACGAAGATTTTCACGCAGGAAGCGAAGCTTCAGCCGGAGAACGCAGCCATGGATTTCACTCCTCTCAGCAACGCCATTGCCGCCAAATCGTTCGAAAAGGTTGCTGATATCTGCGATGAACTCATGCTCAGGGTAAACCTTTCGTCATCTTCTACTCTAATCCTTAGCTCTTAAATTGATTGTTTCTCGCCAAATCCCTAAGTCTGTCCTTCTCGTTTGGTATTTTCTGTGCCTGGTCTCGATCAACAGGCTGCAGCTGAGGGGGTTCCCTTTCAAGACGAGTGGCCCTACGCGGTTCATCTTCTAGGTCATATTTACGTTAATGATGTGTAAGAATCCCTTCGCCTTCGCTGTTTTTACTTCCTAGACAGATTTTGTGACGGAGGGTTGATGCCAGAAACCCTTGTTTTTGTCCCTTTGATGTTATCCTCACCTTGGAATTGTGCGAGATGCATTGGTATTTACTAGGTTCGTATTGGGTTTTGCAGTAACAGTGCTCGTTTTCTGTGGAAATCAATCCCTCCGAAGATCAAGGAGGGCCAGCAAGAAGTTGTTGCTGCTTGGAACATTGGTCAGAAATTGTGGACGCGTGATTATTCTGGTGTGCACGAGGCTGTTCGTGGTTTTGATTGGGGCGAACAGACTCGCCCTCTCGTTGCTGCATTTGCAGGTAGACATCATTGTCCATTCGATCGCATTTTAGTTCATTTTAGATTTCCTTTTCCTTGTTATAAACTTTCATGGTCTCCTGTCTGCATGACCTTTCCTTCCCCCCTGTTAAAACGGGGTACAGGCCTGACCATCTGACTAGTATAGAGACATGGATACATAAATCCTGGAGAACATCTAGAATGCTCTCAGCACTGAGCCATTTCTTGTTTTTGTTGTATGTCCCTTTTCTGTTCCTTTATGAAATCAAACTAATTTGATCACAAGTATAGAGACATTGTTACCCTGTTCCAGCGTTTTGTCGCTGTGCCTTTCGAAATTGTATGAAGAAAGTGCATAAACATTTGGAATTTGAGTTCTTGATCGGGGGGATGCATGTTGATGCTTATGATTACCAAAATCGTCCTGTTTTCCTCCTTTTTAATGCTGTATGCTAATGCTGGTATTTACTATCATTGGCAGAGGTCTATAGCAAAAGGATGTTTCAGTTGCTGTTGTCTGCGTATTCAACTATAAGCATCCAAGACACGGCTCTCTTTTTGGGGATGAATGAGGATGATGCTACTAAGTGTAAGATCCTTATCTGAATCTTATTCAGGCTTACTTATCGAACTTGATTCTTCTTAAAAGTCGCTTTCCAAGAATTGGTATCATCCCTCAAGAAAACATTGATATTTGACCTGCTAGTATTAAGCTTTTAGCTATATGTATGGGAAATCCATTATGTTATGTGAAAAGTTCACAATTGTTATCAATTAACATCTGTTGTATTCCTATATCTTTTGGATTCCATTAAGTGCCTAATGATACCAGGATGCAGTGATAAGTTCTAGGATTAGGCATAGTAAAAAATTTCTGGATAAAATCAAGGAGTATGATATAGGAAACTTCAGACATCACGAAAGAATATTGGCCTGTGATGGTTCCGGCATCACTCAGTTCTGTAGTACATATTGTGCAAGCCATTGTTACTCCTGTGTTAGGTTTTGGTACCACTCTGCTCTCTCTATGCGTAGCTTCTGCAGTCCGATATTGTTCTTAGAGGGCCAAAGTTCTGCAACAATCGGTTTACATTTTTCTGGTTTGTAACCAATGAATGAACATTTTGTTGGCAATTTCCAGATGTGGTGGGCCAAGGGTGGATTCTTGATTCTGCCTCTCAGATGCTAACCGTGAAGAAGCAGGCTGTTGTCGTGGAGCAGAAACTGGACTCAGGCAAGCTGCAGCGCTTGACAGAATATGTGTTCTACCTGGAGCACTGAAGTGACGTTCAGATAACCCGTGAAATCTGTCTTTCGAGCAGCTGAGCGAGATGAGTACATACAATCGAATTCCATCGGGAACTAGGATGTGCAGCATAGAGAATTTTGTCAAAATTTGTGGCTACGTATGTGATTCTGAATGGATTTGATGTTTTTCGCCGAACATTCAGAAACCAGTTACATTTGATCATCCAAAGTTATCATCAAATCAGCTGGGTTGTACTTTGCACGTCTTTGCTTGCTTATGAACTTCCCATATCCATGGACGTTGCGACCTTAACTGGATTCCCAGTATTAATTATGTCGCAATATGACTATTTTGAATCGAAGGGCAATCCGCCTAAGAGCTTAGCGCTCATTGGAGCTGGGCTTTACTGTTGAGTGTTGAAAATCTACACCACGTTAATAAGGAAGTTGCAAAATAATTAGTGGTTGGCGGGAACAGTTTCCACCCTAATTGATTGCCCTAATTCGCTAATTCCCAAACCTCAACGGGAGAGAAATTACGGGACTGGAAAGCGAACCCAATGGAAGTTCGGGTACAAAAATGTAAGTTTCCTCCTTTCCTATAAGAAAATGTTCTGCAAAACCCGCCCTGAACCCAAAGCAAACCGAAACCCAATTCCGCCGGCGACATAACTGAGAGCAGAGGCGGACCTAAGAAGGGGCAGGGTGTGTCGTCCGACACACCCTCGCTCGAGAATTTTACGAAGGACTTACATATTTTTGGTACAAATTTTTTTAGTTCGGGATAGCCGACACACCTTCAATAATTATAGCCGACACACCTTCATTATACTCGAAGAAATTAATATCCAAATGAATCAATCTTAATCATAATCCTTTTTAATTTTGTTTAAAATAACTCCTAAAGCATAATCCTATCCTTCATATAAAAAAAACACTCTCAACCCATACAATATAGTGTTGGTGTTGACCTTACCTGTGGCAACTGCAAGCTGCGAAAGAGCATTTTCAGCTATGAAGATAATCAAGAACGATCTTCGAAATCGGTTGAGTGACCAATTTATGAATGATTGTTTAGTTGTGTATATTGAAAAAGATTTGCTTTGCAGCATAAGTGATGAATGTATTTTAGAGACATTTCAGCAGATGAAAAGTCGTCGCGGTTCGTTGTAAACATGACATTGTGAACTTTATGAATGAATTTCTTTTAATTTTTACTTAATTTTTAATTTAATTTAATTTAATTATTATTGTATTTTATCGGCGACACACCTCTCCGACAATCCTGGGTCCGCCACTGACTGAGAGAGACACTCGAACTGAATATAACAATCCCCGTTCCCGGCCGCCGTTCCTTCTCTCTTCCCTGTTTTCATCTGAGCAAAGCAAGGGAAGGCGCGCGGAATGGCGGTTGCGGACAAAGAGAAGCTTCAGGAGGAAGTCTCCTTCAACCGCTTCTGTAAAATCGTCCTCGGTTGGGACCATTATCGCCTTCTCTCCGGCGCCGAGGTACCTCCGCTCTTGTCGTCTCCCTCCTGCAATGCCCTTGCAGTTACTATCGTTGTTTTTTTTTTTTTTTTTTGGTCAACGTCAATCTTCCTGTTTTGCTTACTCAACAGAAGAAAAAGAAAGACAATGGAAAGAACGACGCGGCCGGTTTGAAAAAAGTGAAGAATTCCTACAAAGACGTTGATGATTACCTTTCCACCTTCGAGCCGCTCTTGTTCGAGGAAGTCAAAGCCAATATTACTCAGAATAAAGATGACGAAGAAGGTTACTTACTTATTATTCTGCTCAAGCTTGTAATCTTACTTGAGCTCCGTGTAGCTATCTGTAATCACTTGAGAGTTTGACTTGCTTTTGTGTTTTTGGGGTACATTGTAGTGACGGATTGGGAGATGAGGCTGGTGACGGAGTGTAATGAAGTGGAAGGGTTTTTCCAGGTAGCAGTTACTCATGGGGATAAAGAGGAAAACAGGATCTCCCAAAATGATCTGCTGCTTCTTTCCAAAGAGAAGGTAATGATACTCCATGGTGAAATTTGCTCTGAACATATATGCTTTTGATGAAGTTGCTCTAGCTTGACACCAGGCCACTACAGCTCTTTTATGCTTTGTCCTTCTTTGCTTCCTCTCTGGCGTTTGTGTTGTGTTCTTTTCTGTGAGCTTCAATTTTAGTCTGTTCTTTTGTATTCTATTAGCGTTGATTATTGTGAATGCAATGACTTAGGCGACTATTGAGCAAATGGTGTGAGAAGAATGTGGTTCATGAGATGGGTTATCTACGTGAAGGATATGTCTAACTTGTTGTACTAATTCTGCTATCCTGAACTTGGTTTTCTATCTACTGGATCTTCCTTGATTTATAGTATCGACTGGGGTTTTCTTTGTATATTTCAGACCAAAGCAACAGCATATGCTTATGCTCTGGTGGAACATACCCATCATACTGGTCTTAGGCTTAGAATGTGTTTGGCTGGAGAAATCAAGAGCACGCATTTAGATGTTGTTGAATCCCAGCAGAGGCTGTTAAACATGCAGGCTCTTATAACTGCTCCTGTAAACCCAGAAGAGAAGTCCTTGTGGAGCTTAAAGGTAACTAACTACCTTTTCCAACTCTTAACATGTGATCTTTGCCTTTTATTACTCACTTCAACTGCGAAACTGGACCATCTAGTTTTGTTTCACTGTTCATGGCAGAATGAATATGGTTTTCTGTAAAACTCTGGCTTGTAGCACTCCTGGTTTTGGTGATGTTATTTTTGAAGCGTAGGTCTTGGTCTTCTTAGATGTATGTGTGCTGAAAGAAAAGTGCTTAACCTTCTCATTATTCAAAATTGTGCCATCAAAGGATGAAAATGAATTGTATTTAGCATCTGTTCTTCTTGGGACACTGTTCTAAAGAGGAGTTAAGGTTATACTCTTAACACAGATAAACCTAGGCAAGTTAAAGAACCTTGTGTAAACCCTTGGTCGTTTATGTTCTGGGCAAGAGTGGACCTGTTTGGGTTTTCAGATATATGGTAACGAGCAAGCACACTTGCCATGTCTTGAGAAGTAGTGTGCATGCTTGAGTAGTGCTCTGTCAATACTTCACTTTCGTTACATATATAGATATAGTATCAAGGGAATAATTCTTCTTTGCATTCCACTTGATTGTGGCCCACCTCATAGTATGCAAGTTCTGTTTGCAGATATGCAGTTTGTCAACCATTTCACGTGAATATATAGCTTTGCGGTCAATTGGATCTCTTCCTTTCAAAGATTTAATCATAAAAGCCACAGACAGAACTGGTTCAGAAGACCAGTCGTGGAAAGTTTCTGAAGCTCTTCGTGGACATTTTGAAGAAACTCTTAACACGTCGCAGATAGAAGCTGTAAATGTGAGTTTTTACTTACAAAAACCTAATAGATGCACTTAAATTACAACTTAGTATCTAATAGGGCTTCCCAAGGTAGCAGTGCTAATTTATACAGTTTGTTATTTGCAGGCTGGTCTATCACGTAAACCGTTTGTGTTGATACAGGTACATAATCTGTTTCTCTTTTCTCTTTATTTGGATCCTGTAGTATCTTTTCTTTTTCCATGTCATAATCTTGTTTTGTTGAAGCAATAGTGGAAAATGTGGAGATGAAGTATTTCCAGGTCTAAGTTCTTTAATAAAATAATAGAGACATGTAACAAGGTCACTTTTTCTTTTTTACAGTTTCTGTTAAGGCATGCAAACAATAGAGATGCTGCTGCTTAATGATGAGAACACACTTTTTGAAACTATTGGGGCCATAAGAAATCGGGCTTTGTGTGTGCTAATAGAATCAAGACTTGTAATCTGTAGGGGCCTCCAGGAACTGGAAAAACACAGACTATTCTTGCACTTCTTAGTGCTATTCTTCATGCCACTCCAGCTCGAGTGCACACCAAGTGAGAAACATTATGCCCTTGTTTATATTTTATGATCGTGCTATCCTTTCCTCTTCCCATGTGGCATGCCATCTGATGGATGTGTTTATCTTTACATATATGAGGTCGATTTTTATGTCTCTTCTCTGCTATTGAACAGGGCCGGGTCAGTTAAAACTAAAAGTGGACCACAACTTTCAATTCAAGACAAGTATGTACTAGTTGTCTCCCTTTTCCTTAATGATTGTGCAGATTGAGTATACTACTACGGTTTGCGCATAATTGCACATGTTCATGCCCTTAGGGTGTCGCTGGTGCTTCTGATATTAGTAGAAGCAGTCACTCAATCCATTTGTATTTCTGAGATGGGGAAGAAGTGTCATGTCTATACCAGTTAGTGTTTAGAGTTCTTTCAGTAACGTACCTGGTGACTGACTGGACCCTAATTACTTAGCTCTAGTTTGTACTGTTGCTCTTACAAATCCACAAGTATGTAACTTAAACAATACACTTGCATCTCTTTAAGAGAATATTAACTTACAGGATACATTCTTCGGTCTGAGAGACTATTTAACTAGAGATTCAAAGGTTCACGTGTTTCTCAGCAAATATTCACAAATCACATCTAGTGCTTTCATGATTTACTGGTCCAATGAAAACCAGAGCCTTCCTTTCGATGAATGGTTGAATGCATTTAATTGTTGCAGGTACACAAATTGGGCACGAGCATCTCCATGGTTGGCTGGTGTCAATCCTAGAGATGCCATTATGCCTAAAGGCGGTGATGATGGCTTCTTTCCTACCACAGGAAGTGAGCTGGTACGATTCATTTTCCCTTTGTTATGTAATCGGATTGAGTAGTTTCTTATAAGTTCTGAACTCCTGCAGAAACCAGAAATAATTGCATCGAGCCGCAGGTATCGGCTACGAGTACTTGTATGCGCCCCTTCAAATTCTGCCCTTGATGAGATAGTGTTGCGCCTTCTCAGAAATGGTACAAGCTTCTCTTCATGTATTGGTTGTCTCATTTTATGTCATGCACAAAGCCATTGAGTTTAGAAGGATTTTCCCGTTGCTTTTAAGAGAGAATGACTTTGTTACGGCATTCTATTGACCTGTTGGAACTCTCCAAATCCATTTAAACTTTTTATACTGGCACTTGGAACATACTGAGTGGCGAGAGTTATACCTTTGTAATCAATAGTTAGGGTTCCTACATCTCGGACTGAGATAGAAACCAGTGGAGTATTCAAAATAATATTGTTCCTTGCGCATCTAACTTAGATGGCCATTGGTGAGTTCTTGTTTCGAATTGTGTGATTTTCTTTCTGGCATCTGAGCTGTAACTTCTCTGCTTTTCTGCAGGTGTTCTTGATGAAACTGTTCACACTTATAACCCTAAAATTGTGCGCATTGGTCTGAAAGCACATCACTCAGTTCAGTCAGTCAGCATGGATTACCTTGTACGTACCTGGAACTAATGAAAAGCCGATTCCCTCCCATTCCCCCACACCCACCCACCCTCCCTCACTCACTCTTATGCATTGGTGTCAGTTTGCGAACTCATTTTTGGTTGATTCATGAATCATTACAGCCAAATTAAGTCCCATATAACTAAAGCCAGATCCCAGTTGGGGGTAAGAAAGCTGTTATGCTGCCATCCAAGTCGCACAGCAGTGACAACAGCTTGATTCCCAAATTCTTCTCCATAACGTTTCCTGCTTATTATGTAATTTGCATATGCTGATGAAGAGTCAGTTGCTGACACAACAGAAATCTGTCTGCAGGTGAGACAAAAGCAATCTGAGTCAGCTGCTGAAAAACAAAAACATGGAGCTGCTGGAGGAGATATAGATAATATCCGCTCTTCAATTCTTGACGAGGCTGTTATTGTATGTAACCTTGTGCCATTCTGAATTGGGAATTTGATGGGCTGTTCTGACTGAATCATTCATACCCATTATCGCTCAGTGTCAAGGAAATTATCATCCTTTTATTCTCATGACATATGCTCAATGTTCTGCAGGTCTTTTCAACTCTCAGCTTCAGCGGTTCAGCACTTTTTAGTAAATTGAATCACGACTTTGATGTAGTAATAATCGACGAAGCCGCCCAAGCTGTTAGTCCCTAATCCCACATCTAAACTTTCACTCTTTCTAAGAAACAGTTTGATTGATTGTGGAGTCATCAATTAGCATGTAGAATTCACTTAAGAAATCAATGATGGGGGTATTAGGATATTATTTTGCATGCTTGTAAAGTTGTGGTAGTGCCCTAGCATTCAATAGGGAAACATTCAAGATAAAATTTGAAAATCTCATTGGTGGTTTAGAGGGAAAACTCTAGCGAGCCATCTTTATTCAATTAAACTTCAACATGAAACCTAATTGAGATTGATAAGCAATTTTATGTTCGTTAACAAATAATTAGAAAGATATCAAATTATGTTAGGGCCCAAAATCCGTGCTTTGTACCGTTGTTTTGGTTAATCTTGTTTGTCAACTGCTGGTAATGTCACAAAACTAACGGATATGTACCTCCTATTACAGTTCAATACATTACTGATTTTTTTTTTTTTTTTTTTCTTCCTTCTGATGAAACAGGTGGAACCAGCAACTCTTGTTCCTTTGTCCAATGGGTGCAAACAAGTTTTCCTGGTATTTCCCTTTCCCTGTCAGCTCTTATTAAAGTTTCTGAGCACATTTATTTATGTATAACATAGATGGTTCCTTGTTAGTATTCCTGTTTTTTGTTGATTCTGCAATTTTTTGTACTTGTACTTAGGTGGGCGATCCAGTGCAATTACCAGCCACTGTAATTTCTTCTACTGCCAGCAAATTTGGGTACCCCAGTGTGCTTTTTCCTGCACACATATTGACCTTGTTGTTTCGCCATATAAATTATTCTGATTGAATCTTTCCACTTCTTTTCTTTCCCCATTGTTTTGACTTTTGAAGTTATTGCACAAGTTTGTTTGAGAGGTTTCAAAGAGCTGGCTATCCAGTAAATATGCTGAAGGTGCAGTACCGGATGCATCCAGAGGTGAGTTTTTCTAGCCCGATTTATTAAAAACTTTAGTTTTCCTGAGTTTAGATTTATATATATCTGGTGGTTGGTTGTCAACAGATTAGACACTTCCCTTCCAGTGAATTCTACGACGAGGCTCTGCAGGATGCAACAGATATGGAGGAGAAGACCAAACGTGACTGGCACAAGTACCGGTGCTTTAGCCCATTTTGCTTCTTTGATTTACACGAAGGACAAGAGTCCCAGCCCTCGGGAAGTGGGTCCTATGTAAACACGGACGAAGTTGAGTTTGTGCTCCTTCTGTACCGTAAGCTGGTATCCATGCATCCAGAACTCGGGTCAAGTTCACAATTCGCCCTCATTTCCCCATATAGATACCAAGTGAAGCTTCTGCAAGATAAATTCAAGGAGAATTTCGGTCAAGACTCAAGGGAGTTTGTGGATATTCAAACAGTTGATGGTTTCCAGGTAAGCCCAAGTTTTCTTCTTTGCTTTGCTTTGCATTGTACTTGTGTGTCAAGTAATCTCCTTTACAGCTCAGAATTGTTAAAGTTGACAAGATTTTTATTGATGCGGTGTTTGAAATGAAATGTCAGGGTCGAGAGAAGGATGTTGCAATATTCTCTTGTGTGAGGGCAAGTGAGAGTAAAGGGATTGGGTTTGTGTCAGATGCACGGAGAATGAACGTTGGGATCACACGAGCAAAGTCCACTGTTCTGGTACGATATCTTAGTGTAGTTATATCGAATGTCGTTCTTAGTTGCCACCACATTTTCTGCTCGCTCACTAATTAGTCCACTGTTGGGCTGGGTGTGTTCAGGTTGTGGGATCAGCATCAACATTGAGGCGGGATGAGCATTGGAGCAACCTCATTGAAAGTGCAGAGAAGAGGAATGTCCTTTTCAAGGTAAAGACGGACAACCACCGAACACCAGCACTTGCTTGCACGTCTCGAAGCCAGCTTGTTAATACTGTTATCATGCTCTGTGCCGTTTCTCGTGTGCAGGTGTCGAAGCCTTATGCCTCCTTTTTCAGCGATTCAAATCTGGAGTCGTTCTCAGTGAAGAAGACCATCCATAGTGAATTGCTGGAAGGAGGGTTGCCGGCAGAAATGGAGAATGACATAATGAATTATGCTCTTAATACTGGAGATGTTGGCGGTGAAGACGATGAAGGCCAAGGAGATGACGATGGTTACGACAACGTGGAGGATGGCGGCCATGGTATGGACGAAGACTGAACACACAGTACACTTTTTGTTCCTCCTGCTATCAAAAGTTTTCCTCTGCTCATTTGCCTGGCCTCTCTACTTCTGTCTTCTGCCATTCCATTAGTCTCTTTTATGCGTCAGAGCTCCATTGTTGAAATGAAACTGATGTAAATTTTTTATCAGTTATTATTTAGAAAAGCATTTGATTGTCTTTCAAAGTAACATGTAAACATGAATGGAAGGATGAATTGCAGGGTCAAAAGTGGAGCAGCACTGCATGTTAACATGAACGGTGCAGTTTCATTCAGAAAAGGAAGAGCTCAGATTCTTTACAGTTCACGTCCAGTGGTTTAAGATCCAGTAAAAAGAAAAAGGCCACTAGCTCTCTTGTTCTGGCCCAACAAAAACTCGAAGCCCAATACAAACCCAGCTTGACGAATCACAACGAGATAGCCCACATCAAGGATAATCCACTCCGTCGAGGCCCAGCATTGCGTAATCATCCCGAGTGCTGACGTGGTCCCCCGCCGGTCCAAGTGCGACCTCCGCCAATTCCCCGGCTGACATTTCCCAGTCGTCGTCGTCTCTCTTCGGAAACGGATAGTCGTTGCCGGAGCTGGTGGCGTCGCCGACGTTGCGAACCGGCCAACCATCATCTCCGATGCCTGGAGACGGCGATGTTCTTGGAGCCGATTCCAGCGGAGATTGACCCGCCGGGACCATAACTGCCACTTCAGTCAGGTTAACTGGAGGACAAACAGCCGGCGGCAGAGTTTCCATCAAGGGCACCGGACTGGGAGCGAGATCAATCGAAGCACCGTCAACTGAAGATGGTGGCAAAATCGGAGGGACACCGAAAGCGGTCTGATTATCAACTTCTTGCTCTGGAGGAAGAAAATTGTCGCCGATAGTCGGAGGCAAACTGATCTGAGCCGCCGGACTGCTCCCGTCAATTGGAGGAAAAGCAGGAGCGCCGCCACGATTATCACGAACAGGAGAAACGGCGGAGTTGTTGCCAGGAGTCGAAATTGGAGGAAGAGCAGGTGCCCCGTAATCAGCCGAAGGAAGACTCGTCTGATTCGTTTGAACAGTTACATTTCGCCCAAACGGATGAACACCAAGAACCGAATCTCCCGGCGCTGATTCTGGTGAATCCGTTAGATTCACTGGAGGAGGAGGAGAAAGGACCACCGGTCTGTTATCCGGCAATGGAGAATTCGTTCCGCTTGATCTCGGAACTCGGCGCGGGGAAATCGGGCGTGTAAACGGAGCCGGCCTGGCAGCTGGAACCAGAGGAGGAATCACCGTCGCATTCCGATTCCAATTCCGATTCCGAGTAGTGACTGGCGGAGGACGGAACCACTGAAACGGAGGTGAGTCTGTGACGGAGACGAAGCGAGCAGGAAGCACACCTTGCAATCCGTAGACGGCAACAATGCTGGAGTCGAACAGAGCGGGGAAGAGGACCTCCACGCCGTCAAGATGAAGAGAGGCGACGGCGGCTGGCGGATCTGCTCTGGTGGCGTGGAGGCGGCGGGAGGGAACCAGAGTGTGGAGCGAAGCATTGTTCTGGAGGTAGCGGAGGTCGATGCGATACGGAAGGACGTGGAGGCGGAGAACGGCGAGGTATAGCTCCGGCGATTCGGTCATGTCGATGGCGAAGAGCGCCGGATCGACAGGAGGCAAGAGAGTGAGGGAAGGGAGGGAGAGGACGTCGAAGAGGAGATCGGAGGTGGAGATCGCATTGGCGAACAGAGAGTGGCCGCGGCTGCGGAGGAAGTACAGGACGTAGTCGAGTGAGTCAGTTGGGATCGCTTTCGCCGGAGTAGGGAGAAAGGCGGCGGCGGCGATTAGGAGGAAGATGATCGGAAGATCAAGAAACGGTTGCTTCCTCTTGATCGACTTCATTGGGGAAAAAGGGGGGAAATCCAAAAATGGAGGCTGCGATTGAGAGGGAAAGTGGGAAACAGAGATGGGCTTCGAGATGATTATATCTACCTGACAACGGCATCGTTTTGAGGCTAACCGCTTTGACTGCTTGCGTTGAAATAATTAATTTTAATTCCAGAAAAACCCCTCTCCTCGCCAGGGTTGGTTCTCTTTCATCTTTGCCTCTACTCAAGCCGAACCGTACCCAATCGGAGAGCAATCAGAACTGCTGAGCTTGGAGTCAGAATGAGCGTAGCAGCGGCGCCGGAGAAGACTGAGGAAGAGCTTCGTAAAGAGATCGATGAGCTCCACCGCCAGCAGCGCCAGGTTCGTTTCGCTTCGTTGCCATCTTCTTCAAAAATTGTAATTTGGTACTTGGAGCTGATGATTTGATTGGTTTATCGGTTCTCATGTTGTTTTACGGAAATTTTCAGATAACGGAGCGGTTACGTGATCCTAGGGGGCTCCGACGTGGAGGTTTGCCCGGTGGCGGTCCGAGGAACTTCGCCTCTAACGGCGGTCCTCAGCGAGGGTTTGTTCGGCCGGTACGTTTGTTGGTCCTTTTCTATATGAATGTAATTTCTAGCAAGTAGTTTGAATTTTTTCATAATGATTGAGCTTAAGCTCTCTCTCAGGCTGATAGGAATTACTCAGGGGATCAACCTCCTGCAAAGAAACGGCTTCTGTCTGCTGTTGTGAAGGTAATGCCATCTTATATCTGTTTAATGTGTACGCATTTTTTGCAGCATTGTCGATTTGGATGGATGATTTTCAACTTTAGGATGACAAAGTAGGAGATTGCTTGAGTAGAAGATATGTCTATTACAGTTCCTCGGGTTTATTTGTTGCAATGTGTTACTGAAGTCTTCTTCCTCTACTCGTGAATGAGTGCATGACATTTCGCCCATCTGCTGTTGCGGGATTTTTGAATATAGGCTGAGGATGGAGAGATAGTTGAGGACGGTGCTAAGGATGGGAAGGAGGAAGGATCTAATGTTGCAGCCATCAACAATCATCAAGATGAAGTAAAGCCGCTAAATTTACGTCCAGGTGGTTTGCCTTGGAACCAACGACCACCGAAAAGAGTAATTCTCTGCATTTTATTTTCTGCCTGGTGTCACATACTGTCTAGACAACGGATAGGTCGTCGTCATTGTTTGCTGGTTAAGTGTAGAATGAGGACCCTAGTTTGGTTAGCAGAATGAGTCATTCATTTACTGTCTTTTGCTGTCAGGATTCAGACATTCCACCTGATGTGCATGTGCCAAGGGTGTTGCCGAAGAATGAGGACCCTAGTTTGGTTAGCAGAAACAAGAGGATGTTGGGGCAGCTTCTAGGTACCTTGGAGGTATTGTGCAAATGCATCTATTAGCTGCTCTCTTTTCTGTTCATCCTGATTGCACTTCAAAAGAGATTTTGTTAGATGTTGGATTGTCTGTGAATTAATTCCTTGGAGTCTGTCTCCCCATAACATACTCACTTATCCTGCAAATCAAAAGTGATATACAATGGGTGACCTACGAAAATATGCAGTAGCTTCACTGTAGCTGGTTATGTTCTTTAGTTAAGGACACTGCGTATGGGCACTACAAAGCATTTTCCCCATATTCTTGAACATACTTGTATAGCATGTATATGAGGAATTGAGGGTTGATTTTAATGCATATGCTTGTTTCAATTCCTGTGATATCTGACCCAAGTTCTTCCTTGAGAATGTTCTCAGAAGTGCACTTTAGTCCAGGCCAGGGTATTCTATTGTGTTTTGATTTATTTGCACGAGGACACTCTAAATGCGTGAAAAATATTTCAGGGAACGTTTTTTCAAGTTATAACATTGTCACATCTTTTGTTTGAACTGTTCCAGAAATTCAGAAAAGAGGATATGAAGCTCTCAGGGACTGAGGCATACACAAAGAGGTCAAATGCTTTGCAAAAGGTGAGATTGGATTCCATGCTATTCCCACTCCATTATTGCTGTGGTATTGGTTTACTCAGTAAATGTGATAAAAGAGGAGCTTAAACACAATGACTTTTACCAATTATCTTATTTATTGCTATCCTATACGGATGATTTGTGTATAGTTACTGTCATTTGTTAAATTGGAACTACATGTAGGTTATAAGAGGTAATAAGAATCCCCTAGTCCATATGTTTTTAGGGGATGGTGATACATTCTTAATATCTTGTGTAGTCACAGTTTCGGATATGTCATGGAATCTCACTTTTTTTGCTATGACTTGTTTACTATGGTTGCTTGGTATTATTGATCTTCACCGAGAACAAGTTTTCACAACATTTACCTTTCCCTTGTTGTCGCTGTGGTCTATAATTTAACAACATCTGAAACTCCCTTAGGCTGAGCAAAGAGCCCGTGAAGAAAGTGAAAGGCTGAGACAGGAAGAGCGTGAAAAGATAGCAGAAAAGAGGAGGAGAGATCTGGTTTGTTCTTAGTTCCCTGTGTTGCTTTTTGCAGAGTGACAAAATTCGTTACTCTATTGACTTTCTCCCGATTTCTGATCTCCAGGTTCTTAGGGCAAGAGTTGCTGCAAAGGCAGAAGAAAAGAAGTTGGAATTGTTGTTTCTTCGTTGGACCGAGCATCATAAAAAGCTTTCCCATTTTACAAGGCACATCTCTTCCTGTCAAGTGAATCTGTTTGTGTTCCTAGCTACTTTCACAATCTGGCCATGTTTGTTAATATTAGTTTTTTCCCGTGCAGGTTATTTTTAACTTAGGTCCAAAAGTGTCCATATTCACATTTTATTGGGACGAAGATAAGTTTCTTTTCACGTGCATTTAGCAGTGTTGAAGAGCTGAAGCATTAATTTTCTTGATCCTTTCCGGGATATTATAGGTTGGATTCTGTTTCTGCAAATGATCTATGTTTGATTCATAGTGATTGTTGTTCAATTGGTTTTCAGGACCAAGGCAGAACCTCCTATTTATTATATGTCAAAGAAACCATTGGATGAAGATGCAACTTTGCAACAGCAGCATCAAGAACAGGTAAGCAGGGCTCTACTTCTGAAATGAGGACTCAATTCTTCCATGTCCTGATCATCCTGCTTGGAATGCAACTGATATTTTTCTTCCTGTGCTCAACTGTGATGTCGTTTCAGTTATTATCGGAATGGAAGGCCGCAAGAAGAGAGGAGCTATCCGAGTACCAGAAGCAGATAGAGGCACAGTACCTCGAAAACGTCGAGAAAGAGCTAGAGAGGTGGCAAAATGCAAGAAAAGCTAGGAGAGGTAACAACAACGACGCAAACTTGCAAGAAACAATGGACCAAGAGCTGGAGACCCATAGGCTCGAGCACGGTCCGAAGACCACAAGAAAGATCCCAGGTGACAATGAAGACGGAGAAGATGATGATGTGGAAGATATCATTGTCGGGGAGGATGACAATGACATGATGGAAGATGTGCTTGCAGCTGCGGAGGACAATAACGACACAAAAGTTGATGATATGTTGAAGACGGACGAAGGTGGTCACCACAGCTCGTCTCTGCCTGAGAACCCCGATCAGTGATCGCGTTGGAGGGTAAGCTCTGCCTCTTTATCTTAATTCAAACTAGATTATGTAGCCATATTGTCTCCTTGAGTTAGCCCTTATGGTGTGGATGGGTCTTCTTCTGTTTGTTGTTGTTTTGGATTGATTTTTTCTAGTATTTAATCTTTCCCGAGTTGTAGTAATCTCATGCTGTGGTTTAGGAAAAACAGAGAAACTAGCCATGATCATAAAATGAATTTGGTGACCATGTGGTTGATTTGGAGTCGTTTCTTCTGATAAATGAATTTCATTCTTTTTGTTTATAAAGGGAATAGCAACAGTCTGATATGATATTTGCAGGAAGAATTCCACCATCCAATTCTTCTTCTTCCTCTTCTTGGCTCCCCAACCCCGAACTAATCACACTCATTATCCCAACTCTATATACTAATCCTCACCACAGAAATAAACAACCAACAAATGTACAGCCATAGTCTATAACCCTCCTGATATACATATATAAGACCTTCCCTCTCGGATCAGTGTCCTTCACCTTTCCTGCTTGGCCCCGATGCCAAGTTACTCTTCACAACCGCCGCCGGACCAGGATCTTCCCCTCCTCCGCCGCCAGGATCCTTCACCTTCTCCGAAGCTCTGTCGACATAGTTAGTAGCAGCAGCACCACCAGATGCAGATGAACTAGCTGTGGCAGCAACTTCGCCATTCGCATGGTCGCGAAATTTTAACAGAGTTCGGGAATGCACAAGGCGAGGCTGGGCGACGAAAAGGAAGAAGATTATGAGGGCAGCAAGAAGAGATGCAGAGGAGGGTCTCATTGATATTTGCTCTGCTCTGTTTTCCCCTGTTTTTTTTCAGGTGGGTGGAAGCCAAGGCTTTGGAGCTCTGTTGATGGGAGCTAGTGATCAATATATATATGATCAGTTTATTAACTGAGTATAAATGAGTACTTTTGGTGGGAGAGATTCTTAGACCAAGAACAAAAAGAATGGAGGACCTTGTAGTCCCTCAAAGAATGGAGCAGAGGGAAAAGGGCAGCCTTAGATTCTCAAGACCAAGAAGAACAAAAAAGAATGGAGGTCCTTTGCAGTCTCTCAATGGACGGAGCAGGGAAAAGGGCCACCTTATATTATAATTTGACAAAGAAGCTAACTCCTCCAGAAGTAGTTTTATAACTTCAAATTGGGAAATGGAATCTCCCAAAGGGAAATGGAACTTTCCCTGTAAAGGCGACGGAAACAGAGTATGGGAGGGGGAAAAGGTGGCGTTCAACTGAGTTTGCGTTACTGAGAGAGCGCAGGTGGCGGCAGAGTCGAGTCGAGATCGGGGGTCCAAACAGAGGAACGGACGGAGAAGGGCTTTTTGGAATCTCGGTTTTCTTGTTCTTGGTAGAGGGTAATGATAGAGGGAGAGAGCATTTTGACCATGAATGGGACTAATATGTTGCTGTTTTCACTGGGAGGCTGAATCGCAAAAATTAGTGGTTTAGGGTTCAGTGATTAACGGTTATAAAATCGTTCTGAACCGTAAAAGTTAGTGGTTTAGAGTTCAGTGATTAACTGTTATAAAATCGTTGGTGAACTGTTGATAGAATCGTTCATAACATAAAACATATAAAACTTGTATAATTCACTGATCTAAAAATTAAGTTGTTATTAAACAATTTCGAATTCATATCATCACCAAAATATCTAATAAATCACTCAAACCGTCTCACAAAAGAAGTCATAATTTTCTTAATTCAAATTATTACGGTGCCCGTCAATAGTGGACATCATAAAGTTGACACCAAGGTTGGAAAATGAGAAGAAGAAGAACATATAAAATTAATAATTATGGTTTGATAGTCTTAGTTTATATTAAAGTGTTTTTAAATTTTTTTTTGCTTAAAATAGTGAACCAGTGGACAAGTTAAACCGCGGTGGTTCATCTGATTTTATGTTGAACTGTGAAAACCCGTTTGGTTCATCAATAAACGTCCAAGCAATGAACTGGGCGTTATCGTTATCATAAAGTTGACACCAAGGTTGAACAGTTCTACTGGCCCGACAATTAATCTGATTCGGTTCTTATAACAATGTTTATGAGTGATGAGGCGAGGGGATGGGCTTAACTGTAAAGTTGAATGTTCATATGATTTTTTTGAAACGTCATTTTCATTAGATTTTGAAGGTTACGTATTACGATTCGGCTTGAGGTTATTTTTTACTGATGATTAAGTCTATTAACCACCGATTTGACGAATTTTTTTAGAGGGCGTTTTCATAATTTTTTGGCAAATTTTTTGAAAGGTAATTTTCCTTGGATTTTGAGGACAACATATCACAGATTTGGCCTGATATAATTCTTCACCAATCATTAAGTCTATTAAGTATTAAGCACCGATTTGTACAAAAAAAATCGTGTTCATTTTTGGCATACTCCAAAGGGATGCCATCACCGATTTCAAACAAATTTTTTGAAATGTCATTTTCCTTTTATTTGAAGGTTACATATCATGGTTTCGGCCTAAGGCTATTCTTCACCGATGATTTAGTCTATTAAACACCGATTTGGACAGGTTTTTTCTGGAGGCATTTTAGTAATATTTTTGGCGGATTTTCGAAAGGGCCATTTTCATTTGATTTTTGAAAGCTACAGATCACGGCATCGGTCTGAGGCTATTCTTCACCGATGATTAAGTCTATTAAGCACCGATGCTGGCATATTTTTTCAAGTCCATTTGAGGCAAATTCCAAAGGGGTACCATCACAGATTTCGAGCAATTTTTTCGAAATGTCATTTCCGTGGATTTTGAAGGCTACAGATCACGGATTCATCCTGAGTCTATTCTTCACTGATGATTGAGTCCTATTAAGAACGATTTTGGGAGGATTTTTTTCGGGTCCATTTTTCCAAAAGGGACACCATCACGGATTTTGAGTGTTTTTTCAATATGTCATTTTCTTTAGATTTTGAAGGCTACATATCATGGTTTCGGACTAAGGCTATTATTCACTGATGATTAAGTCTATTAAGCACCGATGTGGGCGGATTTTTTCCTGGTCCATTTGTGACAGACTCCAAAGGGGTGTCTCATCACAAATTTCGGGCAATATTTTTGAAAGGGCGTTTTACTTGGATTTTGAAGGCTAGAAATCATGGATTCGATCTAAGACTATTATTCACTGATGATTAAGTTTATTAAGCACTGATTTGGACAGATATTTTTCGGTCCATTTTTGGTTCCAAAGGGATAAGACCACAGATTTTGAGTGATTTTTTCGAAGTGACATTTTTCTTTGATTTTGAAGGCTACATATAACGTATAATACTTGATGCTATTCTTCACCGATAATTAAGTCTATTTAGCACCGATTTTGGGGGGGAAAATCCAGATCCGTTTTTGGCAGATTCCAAAGGGGTGATGTTTTCCGACGAGAAAAACTTGTGTTGAATCGAATTGATTGCACCTTGACTTCTTTGAACAATGATCAACTTGACACAGTTCACACCTCTTTAAAAAAAGTTCGAACGAGGGTGTTTGATGTTTACACGACTCACTAGACCAAATCAAGATTAAATTAGCCCTACTCCTATGGAGGTTCAGAGAGAGCTCCGGATCTACGACTATGGTATTTGTAGAGAAAACGGTAAAGTTTGATGTATGCATCAATTGTTTGGTTGTGGAACCCACTATCTCGGTCGACCCTTCCTCCTATTTATAGCCATGGGTGGATAAATGTCGCAGTAACCGCCTCGGATAACTCCCAAAAAAGAACTGCTCATCGTTTCCTCGGAATGTGGCCGACGTGTCTCTTAAATGTGAGATGAGTAGCAGTTCATCACATAACTGCCTTCTCTTCTTGAAAACCGTCGGAGTCTTGGAGTATAGCTTGCCTCGTCTAGCTGTTTTGCAGCAATGGTCTTCTCGTGAAGCGGCATGGAACTCACAGACTTAGACTATTTTGTCTTTCTTCGCGTCCATGGCCACCCTCGTGACACGATCATGGACCTCCCAATCATGCACATGGCCCTTCTCTTGAGGCGACATGGCCTTCTCAAACTTAGTTTTTTCACTCACGCCTAGCCTTCTTGTCTCGCGTCCATGCCCCTTCTCGTGAAGCGGCATGGCCTCTCATACTTATAATATGTTTGTTTTCTTTGAAGTATGATTCGCGGGTGGGAGACCTCCGAATCACGTACATGTACCTCTTCCGTGAAGCGACATGGCCTTCTCATACTTAGTATTTTTTTTTTACCATACCGGGGTCTCTTGTCTCTCATCCATGGCCCTTCTCGTTGAAGCGGCACCTGCCTCTGCGGACTTAGAATATTTTTGTACACTGAAGAGGGTCATGGTCACGTGACTTAGGGAAGACTCCTCACGTCCATGATGTCTCATTGAGATGGCATGTGCCTCTATATTCTAGATGGACATGACCCTCTTTGTTGAAACAACACGTCCTTCTCGATTTCTAGAGGGACATGGCGCTACTCGTTGAAGCGACATGTCCTTCTCTAGACTTAGAATATTTTATACTATCTCGTGACATGACATGGCCTCCTACAAGGGGCTCATGTCCTTCATTGAATCATGTCCATGTTCACTATTACTTAGTGACTTGGGCTTAAAATCAATATCTATAAGACCCAACTTTAGTAACAATAATTGTTATTATTGGTGTAGCCTTATAAAATCATTAATCACCTTGTAGCTCACCAATATGGTACAAGATAATTTTTTTAGGTGTAAACAGGTGTCATCACAGATTTTGAGTGATTTTTTAGAAATGTCATTTTTTGGATTTTGAAGACTACAGATCAGAGTCGTCGTGAGGCTATTCTTCTCCAATGATTAAGTCTATTAAGCACCATTTTGATGATGTGGCGGGTTTAGTGTTTTTCCGGTTGATTAGAATATTTCGTTTGCCACGTTAGTACTTAACGGACTCTATTGACGGAGACTGTGACCAAATTTGAAATATTAAACTAATCTTAGTGACCACGAATGAAATTAAATATTTTTACTAACTAAACTGAACACTTCTGTAATTCCAGGACCAAACTTGCAATTTTTCCGATTAACTATATTTCTTTACCATTTCGTATCTTTCGGTGGACACTTTTTTCCTTTTCCCGATTCCTTCTCTGCATTTTCAGTTTTCGTCGTCACTCTCACTCGCAAAGACACTCTCTCTCTCTAGTCTCTCCCTCCTTCTCCGTTTTCTACTCTCCCCTTCTCCTCCACCTCCGCGCCCCCCAAGCAGCGCAACCGCAGCAGCCGGAGAAGGGAACGAAAGGTAGGCCGCCGTACCGATAAAATGCCGCCGAATTCCGCCGACAACAACGCTCTCAACGGCGGCCACCACCATCACCACCACCAAAGAAAACCACCTCCGCCGCCAGCAGCAGCGGTGCCGCCGCCAACGCCTCCACTCCCTCCTCCTCCTTCCGCCGCCGTCACCGCTTTCGCCCCGCACAACCACCACCACCGCGGCGACCACGGCGGCGGGCACCACCACCACCATCCTCGCCACCACCACTACCACCCCTACTACCCGTCCTACTCCACCTCCTCAAAAGCCTCCGTAAAGGGATGCTGCTGCTGCCTCCTCCTCCTCCTCTCCCTCCTCTTCCTAATCGCCATCGCCGTCGCCCTCGTCGTCGTCCTCGCCGTGAAGCCCAAGAAGCCCCAATTCGACCTCCAGCAGGTTGGCGTCCAGTACATGGGGATCAACACCCCGAACCCTTCCGCATTCGACCCGGCCACCACCGCTGCTGCCTCGATCTCCCTCGCGATTCACATGCTCTTCACCGCCGTGAACCCGAACAAGGTCGGGATCAAGTACGGCGAGTCCCGGTTTACCGTCATGTACCGCGGAATCCCGCTCGGGAAGGCCTCTGTCCCTGGGTTCTTCCAGGAAGCACACAGCGAGAGGAAAGTTGAGGCCACTGTGGCTGTCGATCGGTACAGCTTGATGCAAGCCGATGCGGCGGATTTGATCAGAGATGCTTCGTTGAATGACCGGGTGGAGCTTCGGGTTCTGGGTGAAGTCGGAGCTAAGATCCGGGTCATGGAGTTCGATTCCCCTGGTGTTCAGGTCAGTCTTCCCCCATTAATTCTCTTCCTGCATTCCTTCTTTTACTAGTTCCATTCCCATCTCTTAATTAGCTCCTATTCTGGAGGAAACCCAGTTCAGAATGATGAATGATTTAGCTGAAATTGACATTTTTGGCGTGCTATCACAAGGAGTCTTCTGGTACCCAGTAGCCATTTTAGCACCAGTTTAGTTCAATGCTCTGTTCAGCAGCCATTTTTGGCTCAGTAGAACTCCAAGTTTTGGATGCGACCCATTTCATTTTCGGAACAGATTAGCTGGGTGAGGATTGTGGGATTGAAGAGAGAGAGAAAGGGGGGATTTTTGGGGAGGAGTGGGGGGCTGGTGCCTTGTCTGGGTTTCGTAGTCTGATCTTTACGACATCCCCCACTGTCTCGTGTCCCGCCCACGACTCTGCCTCTCTCTGCATTCTTTACTCCTCCGCTAACCTGAGCTGCCGCCTTAATTATTTGCGGGTGCTAACATGTGCTACCAAGCTTTGGGGCTAGTGGGAGGAAGAAGAAGTTACAACTACCGTGATCATCATGCTGTTGTATGGTGATCAATTCGTGCTAACGTCGTTGGATTCGGCTGAGAACATGTAGACCGATTCAACAGCATCACTGTGCGGCGTGGCGTGTGTGAGGTGTGAGGTTCGCCCGGACGTTAGCATGTGAGCTGCAAGTTCACATGTTTTCCCAATGTCCGAGTGGTTTTGGCTCGTGAGCTGAGAGATGCTGCCTGCTGTTGTTGACATTTTGTTCATTTCTTGGCGCCGATTCCGGTTTAATGTTTTGATATGGCGGGGCAATGCGATTGACTAATTTGGTCCTAAGGCAAAAGTTTCCTGGGGAATCGCGAGAGGAGGAAAAAAGGATGAAGGGTGTTTGGTAGTTTTGGTCTATGGAATTGCTCTGTTGTATGAGCATGTGATGTGTGAACTGGAAGAAATGGATAGATTTGGTGGACGCCATTATTGATGGTGGATTGGTCTCTGTCTTCTCAACTCTGTACACAGAAAGAATCCTATGGTGTAGGACAGGGTGTCCCCTGGCCCCGGCAGTTGGTTCTGCTTTCATTGCTTGTTTATCTAACCTTAAATGATTGTGTTTACATGTTATCCCATTTTACTATCGTCCCTACGGATTGAACCTTAGTCGTGCGACGACGAATGTTATCGTCCCCACATTGTCACCAGACCCCGTTCCTTGGTGTAGTATTTTCACTTCAACGTTTGTACTTGAACAATAGATTACCAGAAAAAGGAATTGACTTTTGACAACCCTCTTGTGAATTTTCTTGATCTGTTCTTCTTCTCTTGGTCATGGTGATGCAGGTATCGGTGGATTGCGCAATCGTGATCAGCCCGAGGAAGCAATCTGTTACGTACAAACAATGTGGATTCGATGGATTGAGCGTCTAGTTAGTTTCATCCATCCTTGATTACTATATATTGCTAACACAACTTAAGGTTCTTCTCTCCTCTATCCCTGGCCCTGAACCCTGAACAAGAAGAAGAAGAAGAGATCAAAAGAAGGTGCAGAAAAGGGGGAAGAAGAAAGATGGTAAGCTGGAAAAGGAGAGAAGGGTGGGGAAAAAAAGTGGAGCCATGATCTTCTCTCCCAGTTGCTGCACATGGTTTGGTGGACAAAGGGCAAAAGGAAAGCTTCTTACTCTGTTGGTAGTGGTGGAGTAGTGGATGGTGCTGAAGAGATGATTATTACTGTATTATTATTAGCTTTGGGGAAAAGAAAGAAGAAAAAAGGCAAAGCTGGTTTTGGGAAGGTGAGGAAGAAAATGGCGAAGGCCAAGTCTTCTTCCCTATGATTCTTTTGAGGGGGTTTTTTTTTTTTAATTATTGTTTTGTTGTGTTGTTCACCATATGGGTTTACTTCGTTCTGAAGGAAGGAAGTGATGGAGTGGAGTAGGATATGTGAAATGTTTTTTTTTTTTTTTTTTTTGTCAAGTAATCCTTGCGGATAACATAGGTAACAAGTGAAGGGGCCACAACAATTACGGCAACACCTCACAAGGACTCAAAGACACAAGAGATAAGAAAAATCATGTAAAGTAGGGGATACGCCAGGATAACGTAGGGCATTTCGTGCCACCAAATGGGCTGCCCGATTCGCTTCTCGAGGCGTAAAAATAAATTTAACAGCAGTGAATAGACGGAGAAGGTGGAAGATCTCCCTCAAAATAGCACCCCCAATGACGTCGCCAGGGCATCTGTCATTCAAGCGAGTCACCACTAATTGTGAATCACCAGAGATGATAACCGGAACCGAGAACCATTGCCAACGGTGCAGTAAATACAAAGCCTCTCGAAACGCAAGTAATTCCACCAAGAAAGGATCGGATATCCCTGGCAAATAACACCCATAAGCAAAACAAGGCCTTGAGTCACAGTAGCCAACGACACCCAACGATCCACCATGAGGAGAATTGGTTGCACCATCCACCGCAAATCGAACTCCTTGGGCCGGAATAGGCGTAGGGCACTGACGAGGAAGGGGAAGTTGAGTAGGGCGAGCATTGTGGTGAAATGATCCCAACCTGTAACTACAAAAGCTCGATATTTTTTTGTCCACTCCACTACCTTTCCACATCTTTTCTTTGCTTCAATGATCCCAACCTAAGGTAGTAAGGTTGATGTTGCCTTAACTACTTGTTTATTATCGAAACTTTAGCGAAGTATATTAATAAGTGACTCGCACGAAACTACACCACAATAAAACTTCAATTAGAGTCCAAGTTTTTAAACTCTAATCGGATGCAGTATAGGGCAAGTATTTAGATATCGACCCGGGTCGGTCTGTCTGCCCCTGCTTCAGTTGTTGAAATCATTATCTAGCAACAAAACTTTGGTTTAAAGATTTGTTAATTGAAATAAAAGAAAGCAAAGGTCATTGGGTTTGAAAACTCTTTTGTGGGAAAGTCACTCGGGTGTCGCTTCCCCCTAACCGCTACCATGCTATGTGAATTGGAATGATGCCTTTGGGCACGATAATCGCGAATCACAGAGGGATGCGTATGTGGTCGAAGAACGCATCTCAATTGCTAAACCGAGGTAAGGATGAAAGGTCGTGTCACTCGACCCTCTCAGTCTAGACAATCGGTAATTGACTTACTCCCTCACTCAACTCTACGGTCGAACGGTTTAATCACGATTAATCGACTTGCATAACTCAATGTCGAGGGTCACCCTAACTTAACCTAGTTTAGGTGGCTTAGAAAGCGGAAGGAAAACCAACTCGATAGAGTTTCCATTGAAAGGGGGATTTTCCTCTCTAAACTAGGCTAAGGTGGCAAATTAGATTACTAGCACCTAAATGCACAAACCTAGGGGTGCTAAGCACAATTATGCACAATCCTTAGGTTGCTAAGCACCTAAATGCACAAACCTAAGGATGCTAAGCATAAAACATGCACAACCCCTAGATTGCTAAGCACAAGCATGCACAATCATGGTGAATAATGCCTCAATAATTGACTTGAACAATACCCAATGACAATCATCCAAAACACATACAAGAAAACTACATGATAGAGTTAGGGTTTCACTACACCTAAGTGAAAGGAGGTCTACTCCATGCTAGAAGTGGGAAAAACAAAAGAGGGAAAGGTGGAAACCATCTTTGAGGATGCTCCCAGTCTTCTTGACCCTTGAGTTGAGCTTTCCTTGGGGGAAATCTTCCCAAAATCTGCCTTGAAGCCAAACTCTAACCTTCTTCTTCCCTTTGGTTTTGTTTCTCTCACTAGAATGTTGAAGGTGTTCCACACAAAAGTGGGCTCTCCCCTCTCTCTTCCTTTCAGCTCATCTTTTACCCGAGATGAGCTGAGTTCACGGCCGTGAACCATGAAACGCGTCCGTGAACTCCAGGCGTGCGCCAAAACGCGCAGCATCGCTCACGTCCATTTACGGTCAACTGCCTATATTCATGGTCTTAGTGACTGTGAACTCACCTTGCGTCAGTAACCTTCACATTGGCTCTGGACGCATCGCGATTCACGGTCTTGCATGACCGTGAACTCCCTCTGTTAGCCGTGAACTAGCTCCTTTTCACCTCTTCTCCCAATTTTCGATCCTTTTCGCCAATCTTTCGACTCTGAGGCTGGTTTCACCTGTTAAATCCTGAAACACACTCAAACACGAAAAACCTAGCGTAAAACCAACCTTTCAGGAGCGAATTTGGCACAAACATCTAAGTAAAACGGGGCAAAACATGTGCAATTAGGCCCGAATCAATAAGAATGAGTGGTTACATTGTCCAGCACTGACTGATCAACTAGAAAAATCATTGGTCTGTCATTCCAAACAACTTCTTAATTACAATGTGTTTCTGCATGGGTCATAACGTGGGGTGGTAATGCTACGTGCTATTATCGCCCAAACCACCTAGCAAATACCTTATACTCCAACACCCAGTACCTATTATGTGTGTGCCACCTTGCACATTTTATGAGATAAAGTTTGAAAGTCAGTCACCATGGCAGCATTTGTATTCATTATCAGTCCGCTAGTGACTAATAGGAGCGGTAGTCTTCTATGAAAAACTTTGTCGGGAGGTACAATCTCATGCTCGTCCAACTTCTGCCCATTGAATAACTGAGCATTGCACTCCTTCCAAAAGAACCAGAATCTAGGGTATCAATATGCGGGTCAAAGGACTGGAGATTGAAATAAGGATTAGGGATATGTAAAGAATTGGGGAGTAAAAATAGGGATTTAGAGGAGAAAGAATGAAGTGTGAAGTTTAGACTGATGGCAGACGACAAGAGAGAGAGAGATGGGGGAGAGAGATATGGGAGATTAAGAAAATACTCCTAATTAAGCTTACCGAATTCAGTTCTCAGTTACAGAATATACAATCCAAAAACTTTGCTTATTCGCTTAAACGACTTATAATTATCGCTTTATAATACATAAATCAAATGTCAAATATAAAAAGTGATGGAGACTCAATTTTGAACAAAAACTCATATCACGCCTTGTCTTTTTCAATTTTCACATTAAGCGACAAATTCCGATGTATACGAGAATTTGGACCTAAATCACACATTTGTCGACTCACTTACACAAACAAATTGCTCAAAGCTGAAACAAAAAAGAAGAGAGCGAGGAGTAACAATAGTGAGTGTATATTAGGATAATCAAAACTCAAAAGTTTTGTCATGCTACTAAGAATTAGGATGGATAACATGACCATAAGTCATATAGATTTCGTAAAGTTTATTAGCCTCCCTAAGATGCTTATCAACCCATAATTGTGAATGAAGGCAGACGAAATGATCGTTGTATTTAAATTGAAAGTTTTGTAACCGTTTTGTACAAAGTAAAAAAATGTATGACTATAGATGATAATTACCCTCAAACTTACAAAAGAAGCCACTCGAGAATAAAATTGAAATGAAATGGCTGGGGAGTGGGGACTGGAAATTTCCCGCCTTACAGCCAAACAAAACTCGATTCGCTACATTCTCTCCTATCCCTTCCCTTCCCCTATCGCCCTCACCGCGCCTCTCCCATGGCTTCAGAATCGACTCTCATCTCCATCCTCGAAACCTCAACTTCCCCGCCCATCTACTCCACAGTCTCCGACTACCTCCAGCCCTTCGCCGAGCTCCGGAATTTGAAGAGCAGTTCCGGAGCCCGAAAACCCCAAGCCAAACCCGATTCCGAGTTCAAGTCGCTCGTCAGATCTATAGCCAAGCGGTTCGCTCCATTTCTCAATCAATGCCTGAGGGTTTTGCCCAGGCGCCTCTCCAAGCCGTCGAAAGCAAGCGGCGGCGGCGCGTCGGAGGAGGAAGGAAAACCTCCGGATTTCGTCCTGGAACTGTTCGATACTTACAAGCTGTGTTTGGACTGCTACGAACTGTTGTCTTCGGAGTTGGTGGGTAAACCGTACGATATTTACTTGCAGACTGCGAGGCTTTTGCACTGCCTAGTGGGTTGGGGGCAGTATGTGGAGGCGAGAGATTTGGGGTTTGGGGTTTTGGAGAGGCTCAGGGCTTTGGATTTGGGGCCGAGGAAAAAGGGAATTAAAGCGGGGAAGTTTTTGCCGGTGATTGGGCAGGGCGGGGATGATGAAATGTTCGCGAAGCTGGTAGTGGAAGTGGTCACACTCATTGTGAAGTGCTTGGCATTGGGCCGAAGTGCCGTTGATGAGGACTATAGGAAGGTCATGACCTTGGTGGAAGAGGTTAAACCCTGGTTCAGGTATGCGATTGATTTCCGTTTTGAATATTTGAATGAGGAAGTGGCATGACCTAAACTTCTTCTTTTTTTTATTTTGCTGAATTTTCCGAGTTTAGGATGAGCGAGGAGATTGAGAAATGTAGATTTGACGTCTCTTTATGGTTTTTCGGTATAGGCCTACATTGTCGGAGTAGAACGAAGTCCTTGCCAGAACAACTGCAGTTTTAAATTTTATCATCATGATACTGCTCTTGTCATATGGGTCAAATTGGTAGTTGGTAGGTTGCATGTATTGTTCTTATCTGTTGCTTCTACATTTATAATCCTTTTGAGAAGATCAGTGAGAATGAAATGAAAATAACTAGGAAGAATGAGGGTTTTGACTTATGGCAAAGCTTAACCCAACAGGGACAAGCTTGCAGCATACTTGTCTCCATCGTTTTTGTTTCTGAAAGCTTAGATTTGTTCTTGTTATTTTTTCATGGATCATTTGGTACTTTGCTAGATGTCAGAAACCCTCTACCGTGTGACTGTTTGGTGGTTAATCCTGGAACTGCATTTCAAATTTTCCTTTTATCCGCATCTGTAGTAGATACCAGAATTGCTTGTTAACTTGTTTGAATGTGAAAACTCTAGGGTTCTAGACGAAAATACAAAGCAGAACAAGGATATGGTTATCATAACTTGCATTGCAAGATGTGCTGAATATCTTGTTGGGAAGTTAACGAATTTTGATGGAGGTTTAGTATGTGCATTCTGTCTGATGGCATTGGACAGCTACGCCAAATCATCAGTGAAGGATCAGATGTTTAAGGTATATACTTTGTCCGTTACTTCCAGAAGATATACTACAATATATTCTTTAGTTCCTCTAATAGTTGACTTTGCTTTTAGTTTTGTCGCAGAGCAAGTTCTTCACTGTTTTTATTTCATGAAGACAAGCCTTCGGTCACCCTTGAAATTATAATGGGGTTTTTGGATTCTCTTGCCTTCGAGTGCAAGGTTGAAAAGGGGAATTGGCAATTGGAATTTATTGACTTCGTCTCTTACATTGCAAGCAAATGTCACCGTGCAAGTACAGTTTTTTGTAGTACTGTTGCTGGGCATCTAAATGACTTAGCTGATGACTTGTCTCAGGTATCTTGTGTTAATGGTTTATATGTCAACCTCTTATGTGGTTTCTGATGGAAATAACCTTTTGATTGTCATTTGAATTACCTTGTTTCACAGGTCATGACACCCCTGGATTTGTTCGTCAAGCTTTACTCTACCTCCATCTGCTTTAACAATCGTATTTATAAGCCTAGGATAGCTGATACAGTGTCATCTGAGGATGATCCTCAACCTGGCAGTTTATTTGATGATGGGATTGGACTTAGCAACATAGGACCTTTTCTGGGCTCCTTGCGGAGCTACATTTATGATGGTTCCCTGCTGAGTAGGGAAAAACACAGTTTTGAGGACCATTCTCCGATTAAATCATCCTTACTATCTTCTTATTCTGGAAATTCATTAAGGACCCCACACAAGAGTGCAGATGCTTATCATAAAGCCTACTTGAATCTATTGACGTTCTTATGTCTACCTCTTGCCGAACTAGTAAATTCGCAAAAGACGTGGATTGTTGCTGGAAACGATGTTACAGCTATTTCTCCTGTGCTCTGCAATATCCTGGAAGGCTTTCATCAATTCTGCTTTACTTTGTTATCTGTTCACAGGTACATCCACCAAGTATATCTATTCCTTTAACATGCTTTTGTTGCATCTGATCACCATGTCATAATGTTGTGCTTTACTCTTCTTTTTGTTTCTTGAGGTCTGCTTTCAACCATAACCTTTAAAGCTGGAACTTTTACTTGTTGGGAAAGACAACTTGTTTATGTGCTTTTGTTTCTTAGGATAAGATGTTTGGTAGTTTGTTGATATGTATGGCATCACCTATTTATGTTTACCCAGTGTGAATTTTCCTAATAATTTGGCAGCACTGCAAACAAAAAGGGACAAGGATTGGATGATGGATTTGATTTCAATGAAAGTGATAACCTTCTTGCTGTTCCTGTGGCTGCCTTTATAGTTTCACTCAGGACAAAGCATGAAGAACAGGTTAGTATCATCTTCAATTGTGTGATCTCTAAAGTTCATTTCGATTTGTCTCCTTATATCTTTTCTGTCAGAACATGGCTGTGAAGTTTAAATTTATGTTACTCCCTGATTGTTGTCCTTTATATAGTGAGCATGCTGTATTGGTTGATTATTCAATTTCCTGATTGATTGGTGCTTCTTGTATCAGAACACTGTGAATCTCATTAAGCAGGTCATTGCTAGTGATTGGATTCAGCCCAAGGTGCTCAAGCACATGAGCAGGAAACTCTATTACATTGGTGTACTTTTCTACAAGCAAAATCAAGTGAATGAGGTATGATTCTACAGATAGGCTTCATCTCAAAGTTCTAAAACAGAAACCACAAAACTTGATGCTTAGTCATACTTAAATATATATCATATATAACCCAATATGACAACCTAAATTTTGCGTGACTGGTGAAATATTTTTCCATTGGCCCCTCTTTATCTTAATATCTATTTGCTAAATGGAAGGGTTTTCTCCTCTTAGAGGGCCGACTCATAAGTGCTTCTATCACTGCTTTTCTATGCATTAGTAACTTAGGCCATGATTTTAGATGAAATGGATCATTAGGATGCCCGTCAGTTCATTGCTGTGGTGGATAAGGGTACTACAAATGTGCCACCAATCTACTTTCCAGTTTCTCTGCTGGTGGCTGTTGCAAATGTTTCTCTTATTTCTTTCGGATGTAGAGAATGGGTTTGACTTGTAGCTCTCCGACATGTGAGTCTGTCATGATTGGAAGGAATGAAACAATGTTTATCATGATTGGAAGCCAGTTTATTTAAGTAAAAATGAGTGAACATGAGAGTGTTAAATTGAGTAATTGGTGATCAAATATACTGAACATAAGTTTGTTTGTCCGGCGATTGCCTCCAAAGTTTTAAATTCTCTGTATGACTTCTTTTCTTCTGAGACTTGCATTTCACTGCGCAGGCTTCAAAAGCTCTCAAATTGTGCTGCAGGGCAGAGTGGGGTTGCCTTAAAATTCTTTGCCAGAATGGGGTTCTCGGTGACGCCATTGTGGATTCTGTTAGTGATGCTTGTACAAGAACTGTTTTTCTTTTGGACATACTCAGTCAGTGTGGAAGCATGAAACTGCAGAAACTAATTGTAAAAAGTCTTGAAAATTGGTCTGCTGCTGAGGATTTGCCTATAAAGCTCCAACCTCCCACGGCTCTAGTGCAACAATGGGTGAAGGTAGCATCTCCAGACCTTCAACTCTTCTCATCTTAAATCACTGGCTCTTGTAATTGTTTTATTGTTGCTTCTTTCTGTTTACATTCCAGATTCACTGTAAACTTAGCAAGAGCATGAGTTCAGACTATAGCGCTCCAACTTTGCATTGCTCGCTAGGTTCTTCTACAAGAGTCTCAGTAAGGTCAATGGGCAAACTCTTACAGCAGGTTTGAAACTATAGGATGTTCAAATCTCTAGTCCTTATGAATCTGTAGTTGTATCCTGTCTTACCTGTTCTCCTGATGGTTAATTTCTGTAAGTTTTTAGGAGCTTCTTGTTTATGAGAGAATGCAAAGTACGTACCCGGAATTTTCGCACAGAATGCTACTGAAAATCATAGATATCCTCCTGCAACATGTTTTTATCAAAGGACAAGATTATTTAGGGAGATCAAGAATCTTGCTAAGAAAGGGATGGGCATTAAGAGCTAATTCTGATCAAGGTCTATCCGACAGCATCCAATGTATATCGGAAGCAATTTCGATTATTGTGAGTTTATATCGTATCTCTTGTTATCTCGTGTTATTTTGGGGATTTAGTGGATTATTATGTGCACTACAGAGTTATCAATTTGATTTGTATGAAAAATGCTTGTTGAACAGAGTTCTAAAACAATGGGCCAAGGAAGTGCAATATCTCATCAGTTAGCTATGTCACATAGTTTGCGAGCACTCTGCATTCAGGAAGCAAAGCCCAACTCAAAGGTCCTACCACAAATTCTCTTTCGTTTCTGCTCTGGTTATTTTCCTTGCATCTCTGTTGTAAAAATAATTTTCTTTGCATCAGGAAATTATTCGAGATTTTGAAGCTGCCCTAAATCTATGGTTGAGCATTCCGCATCCGGATGGTTTTGGATGTGTTGAAGAGAGTGCATTCACTGGTGATCTGCTGTTAATGTTGTGTAATATAGCCGATGTATTAACACTAAAGGTAATTTTGTTGTCACCATCAAATTTGTATTTTACCGGCTTTAAGGGTTATTCCATAACAATATTTGGTCTCTTCTTGTACCAGGGTTTCACAGGACTCACCCATGACATCTACAAGCTCATGATTAGATTCTGCGAATGGCGAAACGTGTCAGTTGAAAAGTGTGTGCACTTCTTGTGGGGAAGTAGAAGGCTTAGTCACGCTCTTTGCTTCTCGCCAATAGACAAAGCCTTCCTTACTGGATTGTCATGCAGTTCCGATGATAAATTCAAAACCATGGGATTTTGGATAGGCTGTCTAAAAGCGTCCATGCCTCTATTAGTTGGATTCCAGCTGAAGCTATCAAGTTCATCTTCTTGTTGCTCTTCCAATCTTGGTACTGATCCTCAATTAGACGTTGCAGTTGATGATGTAAAGAAGGCTGCTTCTAAGCTTATATCTGATGTAAGGTGCTCTAAAAGAACCATAGTAGTTTTTTTCAAAATTCTCCAACTAACATTTTGTCCTGGTCATGCTTTTAGGGTCCTATGAACAGTTGGTCAGCTTTCTTTGCTGCGTATCTTTACCATGATTTGTCTGAAAGGCTCGTTGCAAGTGGGCAATGTATTGAGGTAACCCATTTGTGCTGCTTTTTTCTTCAAACTAAATTCAACGTGTTTAACAATGCACATATTCTCTCTCACCATGCTGTTAGTGAACTGTATTTCTCCCTTACCAATCTAATTCTATGCTATTTCAGTTTTTTCGTATACTAGTGAAGCTGCAAGATAATATGTTGGATATCCTGTTCATTTAAGATCACATGGGGAAAAGGTTGTATTTGATTCTTTTTGAGCCAGGAGCACATTCCCAGTGCAGAGAGCTTTCATGACTTCAGTTAAAAAACATAATTGGTGGGGAACATTGCTTGGTTTCAATCCTTATCCTAGTGTTCTGTGAAGTAGAAACCTACATGTATGTCAATCTGGAAATTGAACAGAAGTATTTTACTTGTGTTAATGGTGTTCAGCTGCGAGCTTGTGTTCATGGTGATACATCCTGATCTGACAGTTTTATATTCCTCCAGGCTCTCTATTTTGCAAAACAGGCATATAAATTGCGGTCTAAATTGTTTCAATATAATTTCACATATCAAGGCGGACTTTATACTGAACGGACAGATTGCAATCAGAAGCCTACATATAGCATCCAGAACCTGCGAGTGAACAAATCAATTGCTATTCAAATATGGTCGTCTGACAATATTTTAGAGGACTTGGAAACATGTTATATTAGTCCATGGAAAGTGCTGCAGTGTTATCTTGATAGCACTCTTCAGGTAAGTTTGTCTTTATTTCTAGATATGGTTTAGGTCTCCATTGGCTTGTATAATATTCATGGCTGCTTCGTCTTTCCGTGATTCCATGTGCAGGTCGCTTTCCTCGATGAAATGATCGGGAACGGAGTAGAGGCCGAGGCTTTTCTACTGTGGGGAAAAGAAATCTCTTGCTGCTTGAACTTGCCACTTTACAATGTTGCATTTTCTACTGTTCTAGGTTAGTTCTTCTTACATTTGACCCCCCCACCCACTCAAATTTCCTGCGCCCGTTTTCATTAGAACTGTGCTTACTAACTTTACCTGTACGCTTAGGAAAACTATATCGCGAGAAACGGTCTTATGATCTGTCAGAAGAGGAACTTGAAAGTGCTAAAGAAATTTTGGCACAGAATGGCACTGCTATTTCTTGTTCAAGGTGTAGATTGATACTAGAAGCCTCTGTGAATCAGCAGCTTGGTGATTTGAATCGTAGCCGCTTGGTCAATGCCACCTTGGACATCTCACATGAATTATTATCGTTAGTGGAAGGTTTGTACTCATCAGCTCTGGAAAAGCTGAACCTGCCGAAGTGGAAAGTTCCTGTTAGTTGTCCTGAGGAAGTTGAAAATATTGCTGGGAATGTGGATGCTAGTTCTGTCGCAAGATGTCCAGAGGGAATAGGATTTGCTCCATCCAGGGCTGCGCCAAAAGTGAAGGCAGGAGTCCGAAAGAGTAGACGAACTGAAAATGCACCACTATCTTTATTGGAGGAGAACAGATCAGGGGTAGGCCATAATACAAGGCTAACCCGATCTAGATACCGTTCTTCTCAGAAGCAAAATGTCAATAGTTGTGCTGAGGCTCAACCTGGAATTGCAAAGGGTTGCGAGAGCAAAAGTGGTTGTGGTTTTCCTCATTCAAGTGGTGAAGGCCGGTTGCTGCCAGAGGTGAAATTCTGCAGTGTTGAGGGTAAAGGTAAATGCATCTGCAACACAGGGGAGTGCTCTATCTGTCCGTCTTTGGATGCAAAGGAATCTGAATTGTTGAGTCATTACATTCAAATGAGATGGGAATTTGCTTGCAGACGGATTTCTATTGGATTACTTGATGGCATAGGTACAATTCTGTCTTTATGCTTAAATATAGAAGTGTCATTAGTCTGAGCTTTTTTCCTTTTCCATTAATGCATATATGTCAACCTCATTTGGTGTTGTGTACTCCTCCATCGTCCCAATAGCCTTGTCAAGAACTTGTTTTCCAAGGCTTAATGCTATACTGTCACCTGGCCGACCTATAATTATGGTTTGGCATAGGAGGTTCAGGGATGTAATTGGAGGTTTAATGTGGAGTTGTTCTGAACGGGTTGGAAATTGTGAGTGAATAAGGTTTAATTGGGGAAGCTGATATGAAATCCGGAGAGAATAATAGTGCATATTGCGTATATATGTGCATCATCTTGGGTTCCCTGATGCAACATATTAATCAATGAATGAAATGTTGGCAAGTCCTAGACCAAGACCACTATGTGTTTCGTCTCTTTTTATATAACTATGCAGAAATTCAAAACTTTGCTTGCAGTTGATTTTGTTTTTAGTCATGGTTGCATGTAAGATGGTAAAAATTTGTGATGTCGGCAAGTCTGTTGGAATCATGAAGCCACTTAATTTTTTGCCTTTGTTGTATACAGTGATCTATTCTCTTATTTTCGTAGTTTTTTCCACTGCTGTTTAGGAATGTGCCATGAGATTCGGGGTCGACATCATGAACAACACAAGGTTTCTGTACAAAGTATATATGTCTTATTGGGTCAAAACCCGTTCGGGTTGAATCAAATTTCTACTCCACCAACCTTCCTACTTAATCTATTAGTCAAGGAGTGTTTCCGGAATGTTTTTGCTGTTGAGCTTGCGCAAGTGTTTTACAATGTATGCTGGATATCTCTGAAGAGTTACTGCATCAAGGACGACAGGTACTTTTCTTCTGGTGCTTTTATTTTGTGATTTCTTGTTTAAATTTTTTAATGATGAATAATTTGTCGGAAAGATCAGTCTGACTGTGGTTGTGGGTTTCATGCAAACTACTGGCTGAATGTTTCCTATGTATTGAGATAATTTTAACCGGCTTTAGTCTTTTATTAGTTTCCAGGGATCTTATTTAGGCAAGAACTTGTCACAGATTGAATGCTAAAACATGTTGCATTCACATTTTATTCCACTGTATTTTCTGTGTTGCTCCATATTACTGATAAATTCTTGTTAGTAGAGATAATGTTACTAGCTCATTGATCGTTTCTGGTAATAGGGACATCTGCTGCAGTTTCACTCAAATCAAGTCATCTGAAGCAGTGTCTTGGCTGTTACAAGCCTTTGTACTCTGTCGAGAGGTTCCTAACCTGTTGAAAAAGGTGAAAAATCATTGTTTCTCTTCATTTCTTTGACATGATCTGTCGTTATGTTCCATGTTCAATATATATATATATATATATATATTTTTTTTGGATTTGAAATGATTTACAACCCTTGGTGTCTTTTGATGCTTATAGTGAGTAGGTCACTCTGTACTGCCATCCTTCTTGCTCATACGAAGGCTTCTATTGGCTAGGTGACATTTGGTTCCTGTATTCTGATATTGATAAATAACCAGATATTTGCCACTATACTTTCAATAGAATCTTAGATTACATCCTTCTAGACTTTCTTTTTGATAGATCATTGGAAGTTTTGTTGCTTCTGTTTGCTTCATATGCTTCTTGAAGCATGCCAAGTTTCTTGTTCAATTTGAATTAATATCCTCCCCAATTGATCTCAAGATGTGTTCTAGTGTAAAATGCCAGGGTTACTGCTCGCTCATCAACAATGTTGACAAAAGATCCTATAAATGGGTTCCATTCTGATTTAGATGACTTTTTAATAAACCTTTAATAATGTGGATTTGTCAGTTCGTGATGCAATACCTGACGATAAGCCTGCGTCGTTTGTTCCTTAATAATTGAAATGACTTACATTTCTTTATTGAAAATGGAACAGGTCTCCAGGCTGCTCTGTGCCATATATATACTTTCCCCATCGAAGGGACTGTTCTCTTTTCCTTCCTCCAGCAAAGTGCTCTCGGAAAGCCATTGGGCTTCCTATTTTCATCAGGCCTCACTTGGCACCCATCTGAACTACCAATTCCTGTTGAACAAAACCCAGCAAAACAAACACCACCATACTATGGATGAACAGGTAACCTATTAGACTTTCAAGTTTCAGTTCCCAGCAACCTATTAGTTTTCTGTTCACCTACTCTTACAAATTAGGATCGGACTACAATGCTGGAGTATGGGACTCCCAAGTTTAGTAATTGGATTGTCAGATTTCCTCCCATTATTATTTGAATGTTCTATGTATACATGCTTATGTGCATCACCACCAAATTGTTATAAACAAAAAGAACTTGATTTTATCCTTCTGTAGCTTCGATAAGTCCTTACCTGGGTTATCTTTTATTTAGCATTCTGATTATCAGGATTCGTCAACAAGTGACTTGCTGGAAGCAAAATCACATGATTTACCAAGGTCTTGCTCTCCCACTTCTGCTGGTTTACTCTCCCCATCCCTTCCTGTGGTCCATGGTTCCAACTTCCTATACTTCCTGTTGCAGAGTTGCACCGCCATTTGTTGAAGAGTTGGAGAATTTTGTGATAGAGTTTTTTGCAGAGCTTCCTTGCACCACTGTGATCTGCATAAGCTTGATAGGCGACCAGTTAGCCACTTTATTGCAAGAACTACTCGCATACCCTCCATCTATCCATGCATGGCTACTACTATCACGTTTAAACTCTAAGAATCAACCTGTTGTGGCTGCTATTCCCGTTTACTCCAGTTTGGAAGGTATATTGCGTGATAGGAACTGGGGAATTCATCAATTTGTTGTCCTGATTGATTTTTCCCCCCCGACAAAAGTATAGTATGCTGACTGATTTCCATGAACCCTGTCAGTGACTTCTGAAGATAATTGCGCAAGCTCCGGTTACAGAGATATCCTCAAAAGAAATGAATTGACTAAAAAATGGCACTGCCCCTGGGGTGCTACTGTTATTGATGAAGTTGCTCCAGTATTTCGACATATATTGGAGGAGAATCACTTGTCATCGTCAAATTTACCACTGGAAGATTCCAAAGAGAACAGAAATGCATGGTGGAGTCGAAGAAAGAGACTAGATTGTATGCTTGATGAATTTCTAAGGTAGTTACAACGTGTCTTACTGTTGATTCCATAGTTTTCTAATTCCATTTAACCTTGAGACATTGCTTATGATTTTGTGACAAATTAGCCAACTTGACCTTTTGGATTGTGGCCCTCATTGGCAGGAGTGGAGCAGTTTTCTTTACATTGTCTGAGCTAATATTGATGACTGTGGATTTTGTTATAATAATGCAAATATATGTTGAGTCTTTGTATCTGTCTTAGGTAGCTAACTGTGCTTGAGTTTTATTGATATTTATCCTTTTCCTGACGTAGGAGCTTAGAAGAAAAGTGGCTCGGACCATGGAAGAGCTTGCTTTTTGTTGAACTATCCTACTGCAAGGCCATGGATGCAATAGAAAGCAGGCTCGTTCGAGATCTGAAATCTAAATGCAAAGTGGCTGTAAATCAAATTCTGCTTAAGGTCATTCTTGGTGCAGGAGAAGAGTTTGGCGTAGAAACGTGTATTAAGCAATTGTTATCTCTGAAGAATGGCTGCGTTTTTGGTAAACCTGGATTGTCTGAAGAAGGAAGTCTTGAGACCCAACCTGAAGAATCTGAAGCAGTAAAAAGACAAACTGAGTTGGCTGTTCAGTTGGTATATGAGGCTCAGAATAAGGTTAAAGAGGTAAAAGAAGAAGCCTCTGCCAAAAAAGAGGCAGCAATTCTGGTCCTGGATAGTGAGGTGCAGGTGAGCTTTACCTTCAGACATTTCACTCTTGTTTCACATACCTGTACACCATCAGTATTTACGCCTTTTTTGGATTCTGGAGTATATCATGGAACTGGGTGGCATTTCTTTCCAGGCTAAACTTATGCAAAGGTCCCTAAAAGAGTTGGGTAGGTTTGTATGTCTGAATGTGATGATCCTGCCAACTCTGCAGAAGGGAGAACAGTTAGATTCAATAATAATATAACACACTCAAACCATATGATCTATATTGTAACATTTGATCTGTATAGTAATGAAGCTTAATCCATATTCAGATGCTTCCATGGGAAAACTTACCAACACTGAGAAGCCAAGAGGTGTATCGCTTACCTACAGTTGGCAGCATTTCATGGATACTTGATAGGAGCTTCAGACAGCGAGAATCAGGGGCGGCCATGTCTGTTGCCTTACCTTACATAGATCCCTTGGATGCTTTTTATGTCTTGAATCCCAGTGGTGACCTGGATCATACACAGGCTGCATTCGAGAAGTGGTTTCAGGAGCAAAATTTAGGGGTAAGGATGCAAATTCCTTCAGTTTCCAATTATGATACGAGACTCTATTGTGCTAATACCTGAAACTTTTGAAATGCAGGGAAAGGCAGGATCTGCACCAACTGCTGAAGAATTGGCTTTGGCCTTGAGGAATCATGACCTCTTCATATATTTAGGCCATGGCAGTGGTAATTGAAGTCTAGCCTGGATAACTTTCATTTGGCCTTAGAGATGCATCGAGACTGGATATGCTTAAAAAGCTTTTCTGCCTTGTAATTGCAGGTACACAATACATATCAGGGGATGAGATAAAGAAGCTTGAAAAGTGTGCGGCAACTCTTCTTATGGGCTGCAGCAGCGGTTCCCTGACCATAACTGGCTCTTACACTCCAAAAGGCGCTCCGCTCTACTATCTATTAGCAGGTTCCCCAGTCGTCGTGTCAAACCTCTGGGAAGTCACTGACAAGGACATCGATAGATTCAGCAAGACCATGCTTGATTCTTGGATGCGTGAAAGGTCCGATGCTTACACCGATTCTGCCCGCTGCAACCTAGTCAAAGAATTCGACTCAATGAGCATCAAGGGCAAAGGCAGGAAGAAAGTCTCCAAGAAAAAGTCATCTGAACCTGAAGACTGTGACAACGACGACAGTTCAAAACACAACAGTTCTAGCAACCGGCGGCCTACTGTTGGGTCGTTCATGGCTCAGGCTCGTGATGCTTGCACTTTGAAGTACTTGATTGGAGCAGCACCAGTTTGTTATGGAGTTCCAACAGGTATTCGGAGAAAGGAGAAAGTAGCTCAATAGTTGGTCATTCCACTCAGTTCACTTCACACTAGTGAGCTTTCAGGTTATCAAAATTGGTCACTCCCATCTCGTCGATTGCTGGGCAGCTTGTGTACTAGAGCTTTCACATGTTCAGGTTAGTGCTGTAACACAGTAAACAGCAAGGAATAGTTGTGCATAACCCAGTTACAGAAATTTAGTTTCAGGTCTAGTGTCGCTCTTACTAGTTCTGTATAGGTTTTTTCCTCAACTAATGGATGGATGAACTTTGGTCCACCTTTTTTTTTTCTTTTTCTGACAAGAAACTTTGGTCCCTTAATGTTGAATCAATGGTTCTCTTTTATGTTTTCTCGGTTAGCTGGAAACCGAACTGACGGATTGGTTTATCCGGTCAGCCAAAACAGTTTATTTGAGCATGGCCATGCAAGTTATGAACAACAAACCTGCATACAAAGATGTACACATTCATATTTCGATTTTTAGTCCTTCATACTCTGATTTAATTATACTTGTTACCATATAATTTATAGACATTACTTACGCTCTTCCTAAATTCTTGGGTAACAGTTATAAAAAAAAGGTAACGCACATTTGTATGGATTTCTCTAAGTTTGGTCTATTGATTGAACTTTACTAATGTTCTCTTGTGTGAATTTATTAAAAAGGTTGTAGATTTGAAGTTAAATTATGTTGCAATTGAATTTTAAACCAAGACTTACCAAATGATACATATAACGATGATGCACATGATGATAAAAATAATCTTAAGGATTGTCATAGTAAATTAAATAACATTGGTTAAACATATGGTTTTACCTACATAATAATTAATAACATAATTCTTGATTGTTGAAAGGGTGGATATTGGTTTCAACAAAAATGTATGTAACCCATTTATGTCGGTTATAACCAAAAACCATTTTGAGACTAAATCATTTATAATCCATAAGAATAATCATTGAGGATTTTAACCGGTTCGATTTCTGGTTAACCGGATGAATGAAACCGTAGAGAAATCTATCCCACTTCCAATTGTTTAATTTTTCTGAGAACGGGCGAAACAAAATATTAGTGAATGAAAATTTATGAAACTATATATATAGCCTGTAGGCAAGGGCGGGAAGAAATTGAGCGGGAACCCAGATATCTGTCACCGGCAAGAAGGAGAAGAGATGAGCGGAAGTGAGAAAGCGGTTAACCGCCTTAGCCTCAATTCTCCGCTCCTCCGCTACCTGCAAGGCGCCGCCGCTGCGAGATATCCGACTGTCCTGTTTCCGCATGATTTCGACGGCGCCGACGCGGAAAATGCCTTCAGTTCTCCCTCGCCTGTCTCCAAGAGGAACCAGTTCAGCAGCTCTTCCGGAAGCAACGGCCGCGTCGGAGGCAGCAGCAGCAGCTTTGGGAGATCCACGGCGTCTTCATCGCCCCTGTCGTCGTTGTCTTCTTTGGAGAACGCGAGGAAGTCATCGGTCTTCGGCGTCGGTCCTCTGAAGGCGATGGAAGACGATGTGTTGGTGATGGATGCGATCGGCGTTGCTTCAGACGTCGGAGGAACGGCTAGGGTTTCTGGTAGGAATCGCGTGCTGTCTGAGTCCGGCGGTTCGTCTTCGAGTAGTTCTTCGTCTTCTTCGTCAGGGAACAAGATCAACAAGACTGAACTCTCTTCTTCGTCGGGGAACAAGATCAACAAGACTGAACTCTGTAGGGCTTGGGAGGATCACGGATACTGCCGCTACGTCACTAAATGCCAGGTTTCTCCTCTCGCCTTTCCGTTTTCCATTGGAATGTCTCCATTTCGATTCTTTGGACGGTGAATTTGTGATCCGTAAGCGCTTTGGTGTAGAGGCTAATTTCACAGCTCTAGGCATGGCAGGGGAATCTGAAATCTCCATACCTCCAATTTGTAGTTTTAATTGTGAGCTGCGAGTAGAATTGAACTGGAACTCTTACAGTATGTTTGTTATGCCTACAACCTGTTTGTGTTTATGATTCTTAGAGAACCTAGGAATAAGATTCTAGCTGTTGGTGCTTCGTAGCATCCTTAAAGAATCTCAAAAGAGCTTGCGATACAACTTTATCCCTGTAGCTTCTCCAGTGACTGGAAGTAGGATTGTCAAATTAAGAGTGAAGTAACGAATCTGAATAATTCATCAGAAGACACCTGTGCATTTGCTTATTTGATTCTCCTGGTGAGTTGTGGTTTTATCTGGAAGTCCCTGCATACTGCAAATAGACAGGAGAATACTCTAAAGTGTCCATTCTAAGTTCTTGCAAAGTTGCAACTTGAATCTCTTTTCAGTCTTCTAATTTTGGGGAAAATTGCTTACAACTTGAAACATTCAGGAACTATGTTCTTGAGTGGAGGGAACAGTAAACATAACTTCTCTTCAGTGTGCTAATTCAAGCTAGATTGGTGTTTATCATAACCAGGAAAGTAAGTTAGGAAACTTAAGATGACATGTGTTCAACGCTTTTGCTGTGAGCCTGTGACCCCTCGTGCTTGCCAAAATCTGAGATCAGATTTATGCTAACCATTCTTCTGATTCAGCTTTTGTGTGGGTATTGAACTTGGATTCATCATCTTGGTCTCTGCTATTTCAGTTTGCACATGGAAAGGAAGAGCTTCGTCCAATAGGTTACATCGTCAATAACAAATCTGAGGTTTGAACCCAGTAGATGATGAGTAAAATCTCCGTTGTCTATTGAAAGGCGATTCACCTTGTTTCCCCCCTACATAATCCATGCAGGTTGGGAGTAACAGATCACTGACTCCACCTTCATACCCTACAAAATCCCTCATGTATTCACCAGGGATGACTTCAGCAACGGCAAACCAAACAAGATATGCTTCCAACACACCTGAACACAGCAACAGGGGCACCTCGAGCTTCATGAGATCGGAACTCTCCAGCAGGGGCTCCAAGAGAAGTTCAACTTCGGATGCCAGGGTCAGTATCTCCACTCCACCCAGACTACACCTTCCAAGCAGAAGCTCAACATCCATCAAGAAGCCTGAAGGCTTCAGAATTTTGGGTTCCGGCAACACCAGCTCATGCGACTGGTCACCCTTGGACGATAACATCGAGGTTTTCCTGCCACCTTATGCTGAAAAATCCACATCAAGGGAAGATGTTGATGCCTATATCGACCGGATTCTTCATGGCCCATCTACAAAGAAAAGGTTGCCTGCATTCACAAGGTTCTTCCCATAGGAGGAACAGGAACAGCCTCTCTCACCTCTCTTCCATCGCAGGTTTGAGCTTAAATTTGCAGATATGCTTATTGTTCACCTCCGTTTTTCAGAACCATGTTCATTAACCACATCCCATTCATTACAGAGTCCTTCATCAGCAGTAAGTCCGTATGATTTTGTTCGACTGCTAGTTGCTGTAAACACGAACATACATAGATATCCTTGTACTTAACTGCCGTGCGTTGGACGATCTAACAAGAAGCGTGGAAGAATGATAGACCGGCTGTAAATAAGTTGGAAGACCAGATTCATGGCTGCAGAGCACGGTTAGTTCTTCCTTTTGCTTTCTGTATAAATGTAGTACTTTCCTTGATTCATATACGTCCCGAACTGTTCATTTTCGTTTCGCGTTTCTGTTATTGACCTGCTTCTCTTCTTGAACCTTATCATTCCATACAACTAGGATTGCATAGTGAACAAATTTAGTTGCTTACAATGTTCTAACGAGAAGATATACACAAATGTAAAAAACTTATTCCCAACAAGAAACAGATGCCCCCAAAAAGAACATTATGGTACAACACAAACTCGAAACCCTTTCTAACCTAAAATAATCAACACCCAATTATACACAGTTGTTGAGTTGGAAAACCATACACCGAACCCTTTTTATGCACAGCTCCAAATCAATCAATCATTTTGAATGCATACAGACATGTTTCTGTATCAATTACCATCCATGGCAGCTAAAATTCCTTTCAAAGCTTAAACCCCATCAATGGCAGCATTCTTCAGGTTCCCGCCAAACAGAGACATGAGCCCACCACCATGGACTCTCCCTTCAGGAACCATCATGAGCCCATCACTACTAGTTCCTCCATCTCGCTTCCCGCCATTCGAGAAGCTCGAATACGTCGACCCCACAGCTGATGATTTCATCGAAAGTGGAACCAGCACCTGTGGCGGTATGAGTTGCCGGCGTTTCGCTGGCTTCTCCAACAAGGTACCACCACCACTACTCTCCGACACCCCGCTGCCTCCTGAGAAACTGTAAGTGTTGTTCTCAACACTGCCGCCAGCCGTTGAGGCTGCAGCAGCAGCTGCCGAAACGAGCCCTCGAAACAGCCCCGGTCTGATCATACTTCCACCTTTCCCCATCTCCCTCTCCTGGACCAAGCTCGCGTGAGCAGCACAAAGACCACTCTTCCCTCTCGCGAACTTCTCGCATTTCCCCATTTCTTCTCCTCCCCACGAGCACCTCTTCCCGCCGCCGTGGGCTTTGCAGAAGTCCGTGCTCCCCTGAGCGCTCTTCTCGCAGCTCTCGAACTTGCACCGCTTCCCTCCACCGTGCCTGACGCAGCAATCAGTGCGTCCACGCGCGCTCTTCGTGCACCCGGGCACCACGCACCTCTTCCCTCCACCGTGAGCCACGCAGAAGTTGGTGCCACCATGAACACTCTTCGGACAAATCCCACCGCCGTCGTAGGAACACCTCTTCCCTCCACCGTGACCTTTGCACAACGGTGTACTGCCTTCTGCGCCCTTCGTGCACCCTGCAAACACGCACCTCTTCCCGCCACCGTGAGCTTTGCAGTACTTTGTGCTACCCTGTGCGCCCTTGGCACATCCTTCTTGCTGACAACGCCTTCCTCCACCGTGAGAAATGCACAACCCTGCCTGCCCTTCTGCACTCCTAGTGCAGCCGTTAACGTTGCATCTCTTCCCTCCGCCGTGTCTAATGCACAGCCCGGACTTGCCACGTGCGGCTTTCGTGCATCCATCGGGGAAGCCACATCTACGGCCCCCTCCGTGGGCTATGCAGAGTTCGGTCTTCCCCTCGGCACTCTTCGTGCAGCCCAAGTGCTCGCACCTTCTTCCCCCTCCATGGGATTTGCAATACGCGGTTCTGCTCTCGGAGCCCTTGTTGCAGCCTTGCTTCTGACATCTTTGGCCTCCGCCATGGCCAATGCAGAGCCCCGTGGCACCGCGTGCTCCCTTAGAACATCCAAAGAAGCTGCATCTCTTTGCATTGGTGGCACCATGGTGGCTTTCAGAGGTAGCAGTCGTCGTTTGCTCGGAAGCAGAAGAGAAATCCGTGGTGGCAGATGGCTCGTGACTCAGTTCAAAGTCGATGAGTTCTGTCCGTGGTGGTGGAGCTTTTCGAATGTCCATTCTGGGAGCCAAGAGAAGTGAAGGCATGTATCCACCAGCTGATTTCTTTGCTGAAGTGGAGCCCTCGTCTAAAACTGGGAAGGAGAATCTTGTATTGTCAGCAGGTGCTTGATTTGTCTCAGTAACTGAACTGTTCTCGAGTCCACTGAAGGAATCATTGGCAACTAGCCCGGCTTCAGAAAGGCCGAGCTTTAAGATTGAGTCACCCTCGAGTGTCGAAGGATGAGAGCCTTTCGGGTTGCTAACAGTTCCTCCAGCATTGTTGGAGAAATCCCCACTGTAAGTGCTCGGTGTGGGACCCAAACCGAGGACCAATTTGCATGCGTCTTCCTCGTGTAAGCTGTTACAGAAATTGTTCTTGGGATTGCTCTGAGTGCCACTGCCAAATCTGGCGCTGATGGTGTTGCTGTGTACACGGTTTGCTCCATAGCCGAGAAAGTTCAAGCGCAAGGTGGTGTCATTCTTCCCATGTTCATTGTCCAGAGAAACTCTGTTGGTGTTGTTGAAGCTGAGATCCATGTTATTTGTCGAGCTTATCGTTAGTGCTGCAGAACTTTTTAGGCCAGACTAGCTAGCAGAGAGAGACAGAGGGGGTTTCCACAGCATACTATTACTGTGCAAGTGCTTTGAAAATGAAGTGAGAGCAGGAGCCACCACCACTTACGAAGCCTGATGTGTCTAATCTATCCATCTTCAAGTCACTGATATCTGACGACGTTTCGAGGGTAGAAGCCTCTAATTTGGATAGTTAGAATCGAAGTCCAAAGAACATTGGAGCCTCTGCTGCTCCTTTCAGATTTCCTCAGCTTCATTCACCTCTGCAGCAAACATATAATACATGATCAGAGGACCACAATTAAGGACACTTATGTACAGTTAAAGTTGAAGGAAACGAAGACGAGGGAAACTGATCGAACAAACAAAGGACAAAGACTAAATCAAGCTCTCCACACGACATACAGTATCGAAAATGGAATCCCAATGTTCTACTAATCGAACAGGCAACTGGATGAACTGATCATAGAGTGGCAAAGTGGGAGAGGGAGCATACCGTAATGGCGACCAATTCGTGAATGAAATGCCAGCCGAACAAAGCAACTTGATGCTGGAAGAGACACCATGCGACCGAAACAAGATCAAATCAAGAAGTTCTGCAAAGAACCACAAAAGAATGTATCATTAGATGAAAACCCCACCAACAAGGAAATCAGCAGGTTGTCTAGATCAAGACAAGAACTAGAATTGCTTGCCATCTAAGAATTATGAGTCCATAGCACATGGTGAGAGCTAAATCGTTTCCCTAAACACAAGGGACATCGATTACAGATCCAAAAGCCTAATAGGGAAGGACACACAAGGAATGTTTAGTAGCTGGTAACTTGAGAATAGATCTGAAACTATATTTAACCATATAACTTGCATAACCCATGAAATTTTCAAGCAAAAACAAAAAGAGAAAACACAGGCACAGTCAATCATGGCAAGAAGGGAACTTATTCTGAGCAGACAAATTAACCCAATTCATAAAGTCAACCTTTGCCCAAATCCACAAAAAAAAAGACCTCAACACAATAAACAAGAACAAAAACAGAAAACCATCCAAAAAAGCTCGGAACTTGCCCCAAACAACTACCAACGAAATTCCAGAAAACCCGAAAGCCAAACAAGAAAACAGAGTCAAACCCAATTGAAGCCATGGAGAGAAGAATCCAAAAGCCTCTTCCTTTCACACAATTGGTACCGGAGGTGGGGTGAGAGAGGAGTAAAAAAAAATACAAATTACCCAGATGAATATTCCATAGCTGCAGAGAGGAGAAGCTGGCAGGGGAAAGGGACGATGAAAGAGAGGGGAATCAGAGCTGGTTTCGAGAAAGGAGGCGGATCTGAGAAGTGGCTATAGACGTCGTCGAACTACGCAGACGCAACACAACAAGAAGAACAGAGACACAAAGGGGAGGAGAGTGAGAGAGCAGAGATTCCAAAATGGGAATAATAATGGAGGGCAGACAGAGGACGAGAGGTAGAGCTAAAGGTAGAAAATGACCGAACAAAGCCCCGCAACCCCACTCGTGTCCTTGCTTGCGTAGTGTGGCGCGGTAGGACGATGGAGGGAGGAGGAGGAGAGGAGAAAACCGGGGTTTTCGTTTTTTATGATTTATTAATTAAATGGTGGGGTATTATATTGTTTGTTTTCTTGTTGCGGGTAATTCTGCCGGGGATTTACGCGCCTGTTCGGTTGTCGGCTTTTCATTGGCGGAAGCCAGTAGCCAATTTGATCGGCCGCCACCGAACGCCGTAACCTCTTCTTGTTCGGCAACCCGACTATGATGCTCACAAGCGCCTTGCTGAGAATATGGTCACAGGCGTTTGTGTTGCTGATCGCGAGCAAGCGATTCATAATCATTGGATCAAAGAGTATCACCGCTTAGAGTAATTGTCACTGATAGTAATGGAGCCTAATCTAACGCCTTTCGATGTCTGTGAATAAGTTCTAAGAATGATAATTGACCCGACACATTAGTACCGATACGATCGCACCCATTATGAAGATTTAACAATCTGAATATTTAACGTTTTGAGGCTTGTTGACTTTAACAAGTGGAAAGAAGGAGAAAGAAGAAGAAAATGATAGAAAACCAAGCTGGTGGCCAACCTGCTCGGCGGTGGCGTGTTCCTTCCACGCGCTTAGTATATGTTATAATTACGGGCCTTGCCTTCTCTCTCTCTCTCTGACGTCGCTGATTGGTGGGCGGGTGTCCCGCCTGGGCACGTTTTCACTCTCCACTCGCTGCATCTAACCGATTTCTGATTCGCTGATTCTCATCCCGTCTCCACGTGGCAGCACCAGGCTGGCTCATTTTCAAGATTCCGGAATCTCAACCCATTTCTTTTTCTACGTAATGTAATTTTGTTAGTTTTCTCTGAATTAAGTGAATTTCGATTCTCCTCCTTCCGAACTCCGAAGCGAGCTAATTATTGGATAAATTATAGCCATAAATAATAGCACAACATAAAAATACTTTGTATCTGATTATTACGATTTCAAAATCACTGTTTGTTACTTTTTAGAATTGTAAAAAAAAAAAATGGAAAGAAATGCAGTAGATGTAACGAGTTTTTTTTTACGGGGAAAATTGGGGACGTTTTGTTTTGTCTTTCAGTCTGACCTGACTTGGCCGATATTTTTTTCAATGGAGTGAGCAAATTGGTAGGTGGCAACCAAATTCCCTCCAGCAGAAGGTGATGCAACTTGGGTAGTTGGTGCCCTGTCAGTCTGTCACCATCCACACTTTTCTCATGGGCCCATGGGCCATGGCCCAATTTTGTTTCAGAGCAAGACTATTAGTATTATATATGACGCAACAAACAGCCACCCTGGGCCCAACAGATGATTAATCTCTCCCAGTGGCAGTTAATTAACCAAACCAATCTATATATGACGTAATTAGTGATGGCAATCGGGCGGGCGGGGCGGGTACCTCAATTCCCATGTCCCGTCCCACGCTACTACGGGTCGGGGCGGGTAAAACCCGCGCGGGTATGGGGCGGGGCGGGGCAGGTCGACCCACTCTTACATGTTCAAAAAAAATACGAGTAAATATTACTTTTTACAATAAAACGTAGGGGAAAGCACTTTAAGAATGAAAAATATTGATAATAGAATGGATAATTGAGCCTAACAAGTTGAAAGATCGACTCTAACTAGTTGAAGAAAAGTCAAAATAGGATAAATATGTATAGATATTGTAAGAAATTGAGATAAAATGAGTCTAGAACGGGGCGGGGCGGGGCAGGGCGGGTCGGAAGTAGATACCCATGCCCCGCCCCACGCTACTGCGGGTCGGGTAATACCCGCCCCATCCCGGGTCAGGTCGGGTAATACCCGCGGAGCGGGTTGAAATTGCCATCACTAGACATAATCGAACATCTGTGCTTGTGGACAGGAATCAAATCAACTATGGGGAAAAAACATTTGGGCCTTAATTATTTTCTATTATATTTTTTTTTTGTTTACATTAAAGGTGTATTCTCCAATGGTCCAACGTCATAGTCTGCAATTTAATGTTAAATCGTCATCTTCCCAAGTCTAGCTAGCGACGTCATTACCAGGGTCAAAGCGATTTTTGTTGGGTATGAAGAGGCACTTCCAAGATCAATTTACAAGTATTATTGGTTGTGTTTCAGCATAGATCGTGATACCCGGTTAATAACTGTAATTAGGGTATTGATTCAGACTCCTTCGTTTGATATCTGGCTCGGGGGAGGAACTTGTGAAGAGAAGTGGGATGGGCCTCGTGATCTGCACTTCAAGTACCTTTGACACCCAAATTAGCGTGGTATAGAAATAGTGTTGTATGGAAAGTAGAGAGAGCAGGACTTTGAGAGATGACCATGTGTAATTAATGACATGGGGGAAAGGAAGAGAAGGCCGGAGGGCTCGAGCGTACTTACATAGTAGTTTAATTTGGGTCCTCCTTGAATTAGTTTTGGCCATTGATGACTTTATAATTTTTCGTATTAGCCAAGTTAATTCATATATATCCCAACAGGTTGTTACTCCTTAGTCCTTGCTTCAAAGTCTATCATTGACTTTGGTTGTTGATAATGTATTGTATGTGATATTATCGTGATTTTGAACATATTTATTCATCAAAATTTTATCTTGTTTTTCTCTGTCTAATCATCTGCATTATACGGTAATTTTTTTTTATCCAAGATAAGTCCGAGGGCATGACCGGACAACAAGATACAAAATACATAATAATAAAGAACGGTAGTCCGTATGCAACCAGACTCACATTAATCGGTATTGAATGTAAACAAATATACAACGATATCACATTAATCCGCTAGATAGCAATAATATCAGTATCATTCTTCTTGAAACTCCCTGGTATTTAGTAATAATGAATTTCATTAATCCTTCGCCCCTGGATTTGCTATGGAGCTTTGCTATGCATACCATCATCAAAAGCTCTTTGTACCCGTAGAAGACAAGTTTCTCCTCACTAATTAGTAATTACTTCTATATGTTCGGGCCGTAGTCCAAATATGTTTGGCAAACTCAATGGGCCTTTTAATGAAATGGTTAATGAATGGGCTTCTAACATTTTAGGCTCGATGGCCCGAGAGAAGTTGTTTCTGGGTTTCACAATAATTCATAAAGTCCGGCAATTAGAAAGCCCATAGCAAGTAGTGGAATTGGATGTTTTACGTTTGAAACAACCAAAACGCCCGAGTTACTTTGATCATTGGCTAATTAGACGAGTTCTGACCTCGTTTTTAGTTTAAAATTTACAATCAAACCACGGCAAAATGGTTGTGTGGCAAGGAGAAAATGAAGATGAATGAAGCAAGGATCAAAACGCGGGGGTTAGATTGCAATGTGGATTGTTGAAATTACTTTTTCACTCAAATTAAAATTACATTTATTTTCTTGGATTTAGGGATATAAATCTTTTAGTTTGATTTCAATATCAGTAGGGAACTAACTAAGGATATCTCGAGAAGGAAAAATTGAAAATCTGAACCATATTTACCTGATATATTTAAATAGAGATTTTTTTTTGGTCCAAACACCAACATAAGTAACAATTTTAACAGCCTGAGTTTTTTCTTGGCGTCGAACAATTATTTGTAGACGAAAAATAGACATCGCTTTAATAATATCAAATAAAATTAGAATGAGTTGGAAAGAATATATATATATATATATATATATTTTTTTTAGGGGGATATTATGGATTACCATTTGCATAGCTTGCTGCCTTTGACCAAAAAGCCAACAAACAAAAGAGTTGAAATTGTCACCAAAATCAAACAAAGACACAAAGACTGAGAATTGGTTAAACTCTCAACAAATTCATTCCAATTTTTTTCACCAATACATTTCTTCTTTTCTCCCCACCATTCCTATATTAAATTAGTTTTTGGTACGACTATTCCTATATCATTACTAAATAAATTAATAACGATGATAATCATTTCCCACTCACCATTATCAAAATTGGAAGCTCTTAACTAAAACCATTTCCTTTTTCCTTTTTCCATTTCCTCTCCTGACCTCTATTTTCCCATCTCCCAAACATTCTCAGAGAAAGAAGGATTTCGTTTCGACTCTCGAGCTATTCCCAGTGGCTGGTTGCTTTGTCCTCTGGGAAGATTTTTATGCTTTACGCCTTTTGCTTTGAGGTGGGTTCTTCTCCTAGCTAGCTAGTTGGTCATTAATAAAGTCGACGAAGCATTGTTTTGGGTACTGGGTCAACGTGGAAGAGGTGGATGTTTCAACTTCAACTTTGATCGTTTCCTTTTCTCTCGTTTTCTGGGCTCCTCTCATATCCGGCTGAATCTTCGGCGAGGAAGGAAAGTTCTTCCCTTTCACGTCCTGGAGAAACTATGGCCGAATTGGAGCTCTTGTAACTCGGAGGGACAGAGGAAGCTATAAACGCGGCAGTAATGGAGTTGCCGATTGGAGGAGCGATCTGGCACTCCGGGTTTTGCTGGTTAATCTTGCTCCTCCATTTCGTTTACAGAGTTTCCTCCAACGCCGAAGGTCAGATTCGATTCATTTGTGTTTCTTTCCTTATCCGATGATTCTCCCTTCATCTCGTTCAGGTTTCCAATTAAGTTCGCCGGAGTTGACTTGTTGACTCGAATTGAATCGCTGTCAATACTGGGGAAAATGTTTGATTTTATAGAACCGTGAATTGTGGAGGAACTGTTACTATAATTAGAGTGGTAGAATGGAAAAAGTTTCTACCTTTTGTTGGGAATTTGAAATGGGTATTCCTCTTTTTTGGCTATTGCTGTTTGGAATTGTTATAGGTTGAACTTGAACCCCTCTAGTCTAGTAGCTATTGGTTTCTGTGGATAGGAGTTTTGTCCTGATGATGCTGCGTTTTATGTGTAACACAGGAGATGCCTTGAATGCACTGAAGACAAATTTGGCTGATCCTAATAACGTTCTGCAAAGTTGGGATCCTACCCTTGTCAATCCTTGTACTTGGTTTCATGTCACCTGTAACAGCGAGAATAGTGTGACACGAGTGTAAGTGTAGTCATTAATATTAGCCCGCATTCAGTTATGTGCTCCTTTCATTGCAGATCTCTCATGGTCCCGGCTCTCATGTGCTTCTTATTTGTCTTGTCATAGTGATCTTGGAAACGCAAATCTATCAGGTCAACTGGTTCCCCAGCTTGGTCAGCTGCCAAACTTGCAGTACTTGTGAGTAAATTTCTGTTCGCATGCTCATAGTTGTTTGGGATTTGCTGTTGAGATTTGAAAAAGACAATACTTTACACTAGAGTGATTTTGTTTCTGCTTGGGTGATAGCTTGTCAAATAGTTTCCTAGTAATGTGTGTTCCCTTCTTTGGTAAGCAGTTGCATTACATTGCTTGAACATATGGTTCACTGTGTAATCCTACTCCTTCCAGATACATATGTTCCGCTGTTTCTTTCTTTGGAAAGGGGACAACTCTTTCTTAGATAGTTTGTGGAAAGTGTATCTGCAGGGAAAAAAGTGAATTAAGAATAGAATCCATTTTTATTTCCTGTTGAACCTTTTATTTTGCGATTGAAGCTAGAGTTTCTCCATGAACAACCGGATGGTGACTGCATTCATCTATGTTTGTTTTTTTGTCTCAAAGATGCATCTTTTACAGGTGGTTAATTCGTTTTCCCTTAGTGTGTTGCCCCTTGTGGCTTGATGTATGGCAATGATTTTTTGTTGCAGGGAGCTTTACAGTAATAATTTAAGCGGCAGGATTCCTGACGAGCTTGGAAATTTGACGGCATTGGTGAGCTTGGATCTTTACTTGAACAACTTGACTGGTCCAATTCCAGTGACTCTGGGGAAGCTTGAAAAACTCCGTTTCCTGTATGCACTAATCCTTTCAACTACTTCTCGATCACATTGTTTAAACTCCTGTTTTATATTCTTGATATGCATGATTTTTTCCTTTTTCGTGTTCTAGAGGTTTTTCTGTTGGTTAGTTTGAGGATACTTAACAAGCACCTGTCCGACATTCTATTCAACTTACGTCTTCTTCATTAAATAGCGATCAACCCTAACTTTCACGAGGCTCTAATGGATGCTTGATTCTCCTGTGGGGGAACCGAGGGGGAAATGACAGTTGTTAGTTGTTTCTGTTTGTTTCCTAATAATGATACTGAGTAATATTACAGATATGAATTGGTGCTATATGGTTTTGATGATCAAGTGTGGTTTCTCTGGTTTTCATTTTGGTCATCCAAGCCTATGTTTCAGTGATTTATCAGCTGTATTGTCAGTGCTGTAGAACATAAGCATGTGTAACCATACTGCTCTTTGTTCTTTGAAACAGGCGTCTCAACAACAATACATTGTCAGGAACTATCCCTGTGACCCTAACTAATGTCATGTCCTTGCAAGTCCTGTAAGTTTTACCCTTCTTTTCGCTATCTCTTTGTGATTGCCTGGAGACATTCATATTTCGATTTTTAGTCCTTCGTGTACATACTCTGATTTAATTATACTTATCATATAATTTATAGACGTTACTTACGTTCTTCCTAAATTCTTGGGTAACAGTTATAAAAAAGGTAACGCACATTTGTATGGATTTCTCTAAGTTTGGTCTATTGATTGAACTTTACTAATGTTCTCTTGTATGAATTTATTAAAAAGGTTGTAGATTTGAAGTTAAATTATGTTGCAATTGAATTTTAAACCAAGACTTACCAAATGATACATATAACGATGATGCACATGATGATAAAAATAATCTTAAGGATTGTCATAGTAAATTAAATAACACTGGTTAAACATATGGTTTTACTTACATAATAATTAATTAATAACATAATTCTTGATTGTTGAAAGGGTGGATATTGGTTTCAACAAAAATGTATGTAACCCATTTATGTCGGTTATAACCAAAAACCATTTGAGACTAAATCATTTATAATCCATAAGAATAATCATTGAGGATTTTAACCGGTTCGATTTCTGGTTAACCGGATGAATGAAACCGTAGAGAAATCTATCTAGGGGTGGGCATTGGGTGGGTCAGGGTGGGTTTTGACCATAAAATGCACTCACCCGCGTTTAAACGGATTGATAATTTTTAACCCACCACCCACCCACATTTAGTCTCGGGTTGGGTCGGGCGGATGGTGGATGATTTGGGTGGGTTTGTGGGTTTACCCACATCACAATGTATATAATATAAAAGAGTCAACTTGACATGATAATAGGCGAAGAGAGTTATATGGGGAAACAAGAAGATGAAATAGGACGAAAAATGTCGAATTAGTTCTTAAAATGGATAGAAATTCTATGATGAAAGAGTTTTCTACAAATTGAGATGATTATCAGGTGCAAGGAACTAAGAAAAATAATTCCACAAAGGAAAGAGCAGTGATTTAGGCACAAGAATTAGAGGAAAAAATAAAGGGAAGAATAGGGGATCGCTATTTGGAAGGTTGGCTTTGAGGTTTAAACTCCAGGAGCAGTCCTAGTTTATGTCTAACGTCTCCACTCTCCCCTCTCTAGCGCCGACGACTTTGATCTTTTTGCTGTTGGGTTGAGCGGGTCACCCGCGCACCCACCCACAACCCGGTGGATGGCTCCCAACGCAACCCGTCACCCACCCATAGACCCACCCACTTAACGAAATTCGGGTCAAATGCGGGTGGGTCGGCCCAAACCCGCGGATGATCCGCCCGCATGCCCAGCCCTAAATCTATCCCACTTCCAATTGTTTAATTTTTCTGAGAACGGGCGAAACAAAATATTAGTGAATGAAAATTTATGAAACTATATATATAGCCTGTAGGCAAGGGCGGGAAGAAATTGAGCGGGAACCCATATATCTGTCACCGGCAAGAAGGAGAAGAGATGAGCGGAAGTGAGAAAGCGGTTAACCGCCTTAGCCTCAATTCTCCGCTCCTCCGCTACCTGCAAGGCGCCGCCGCTGCCAGATCTCCGACTGTCCTGTTTCCGCATGATTTCGACGGCGCCGACGCGGAAAATGCCTTCAGTTCTCCCTCGCCTGTCTCCAAGAGGAACCAGTTCAGCAGCTCTTCCGGAAGCAACGGCCGCGTCGGAGGCAGCAGCAGCAGCTTTGGGAGATCCACGGCGTCTTCATCGCCCCTGTCGTCGTTGTCTTCTTTGGAGAACGCGAGGAAGTCATCGGTCTTCGGCGTCGGTCCTCTGAAGGCGATGGAAGACGATGTGTTGGTGATGGATGCGATCAGCGTTTCTCCAGACGTCGGAGGAACGGCTAGGGTTTCTGGTAGGACTCGCGTGCTGTTTGAGTCCGGCGGTTCGTCTTCGTATAGTTCTTCGTCTTCTTCGTCAAGGAACAAGATCAACGAGACTGAACTCTCTTCTTCGTCGGGGAACAAGATCAACAAGACTGAACTCTGTAGGGCTTGGGAGGATCACGGATACTGCCGCTACGTCACTAAATGCCAGGTTTCTCCTCTCGCCTTTCCGTTTTCCATTGGAATGTCTCCATTTCGATTCTTTGGATGGTGAATTTGTGATCCGTAAGCGCTTTGCTGTAGAGGCTAATTTCACAGCTCTAGGCATGGCAGGGGAATCTGAAATCTCCATACCTCCAATTTGTAGTTTTAATTGTGAGCTGCGAGTAGAATTGAACTGGAACTCTTACAGTATGTTTGTTATGCCTACAACCTGTTTGTGTTTATGATTCTTAGAGAACCTAGGAATAAGATTCTAGCTGTTGGTGCTTCGTAGCATCCTTAAAGAATCTCAAAAGAGCTTGCGATACAACTTTATCCCTGTAGCTTCTCCAGTGACTGGAAGTAGGATTGTCAAATTAAGAGTGAAGTAACGAATCTGAATAATTCATCAGAAGACACCTGTGCATTTGCTTATTTGATTCTCCTGGTGAGTTGTGGTTTTATCTGGAAGTCCCTGCATACTGCAAATAGACAGGAGAATACTCTAAAGTGTCCATTCTAAGTTCTTGCAAAGTTGCAACTTGAATCTCTTTTCAGTCTTCTAATTTTGGGGAAAATTGCTTACAACTTGAAACATTCAGGAACTATGTTCTTGAGTGGAGAAACAGTAACATAACTTCTCTTCAGTGTGCTAATTCAAGCTAGATTGGTGTTTATCATAACCAGGAAAGTAAGTTAGGAAACTTAAGATGACATGTGTTCAACGCTTTTGCTGTGAGCCTGTGACCCCTCGTGCTTGCCAAAATCTGAGATCAGATTTATGCTAACCATTCTTCTGATTCAGCTTTTGTGTGGGTATTGAGCTTGGATTCATCATCTTGGTCTCTGCTATTTCAGTTTGCACATGGAAAGGAAGAGCTTCGTCCAATAGGTTACATCGTCAATAACAAATCTGAGGTTTGAACCCAGTAGATGATGAGTAAAATCTCCGTTGTCTATTGAAAGGCCATCTCACCTTGTTTCCCCCCTACATAATCCATGCAGGTTGGGAGTAACAGATCACTGACTCCACCTTCATACCCTACAAAATCCCTCATGTATTCACCAGGGATGACTTCAGCAACGGCAAACCAAACAAGATATGCTTCCAACACACCTGAACACAGCAACAGGGGCACCTCGAGCTTCATGAGATCGGAACTCTCCAGCAGGGGCTCCAAGAGAAGTTCAACTTCGGATGCCAGGGTCAGTATCTCCACTCCACCCAGACTACACCTTCCAAGCAGAAGCTCAACATCCATCAAGAAGCCTGAAGGCTTCAGAATTTTGGGTTCCGGCAACACCAGCTCATGCGACTGGTCACCCTTGGACGATAACATCGAGGTTTTCCTGCCACCTTATGCTGAAAAATCCACATCAAGGGAAGATGTTGATGCCTATATCGACCGAATTCTTCATGGCCCATCTACAAAGAAAAGGTTGCCTGCATTCACAAGGTTCTTCCCATAGGAGGAACAGGAACAGCCTCTCTCACCTCTCTTCCATCGCAGGTTTGAGCTTAAATTTGCAGATATGCTTATTGTTCACCTCCGTTTTTCAGAACCATGTTCATTAACCACATCCCATTCATTACAGAGTCCTTCATCAGCAGTAAGTCCGTATGATTTTGTTCGACTGCTAGTTGCTGTAAACACGAACATACATAGATATCCTTGTACTTAACTGCCGTGCGTTGGACGATCTAACAAGAAGCGTGGAAGAATGATAGACCGGCTGTAAATAAGTTGGAAGACCAGATTCATGGCTGCAGAGCACGGTTAGTTCTTCCTTTTGCTTTCTGTATAAATGTAGTACTTTCCTTGATTCATATACGTCCCGAACTGTTCATTTTCGTTTCGCGTTTCTGTTATTGACCTGCTTCTCTTCTTGAACCTTATCATTCCATACAACTAGGATTGCATAGTGAACAAATTTAGTTGCTTACAATGTTCTAACGAGAAGATATACACAAATGTAAAAAACTTATTCCCAACAAGAAACAGATGCCCCCAAAAAGAACATTATGGTACAACACAAACTCGAAACCCTTTCTAACCTAAAATAATCAACACCCAATTATACACAGTTGTTGAGTTGGAAAACCATACACCGAACCCTTTTTATGCACAGCTCCAAATCAATCAATCATTTTGAATGCATACAGACATGTTTCTGTATCAATTACCATCCATGGCAGCTAAAATTCCTTTCAAAGCTTAAACCCCATCAATGGCAGCATTCTTCAGGTTCCCGCCAAACAGAGACATGAGCCCACCACCATGGACTCTCCCTTCAGGAACCATCATGAGCCCATCACTACTAGTTCCTCCATCTCGCTTCCCGCCATTCGAGAAGCTCGAATACGTCGACCCCACAGCTGATGATTTCATCGAAAGTGGAACCAGCACCTGTGGCGGTATGAGTTGCCGGCGTTTCGCTGGCTTCTCCAACAAGGTACCACCACCACTACTCTCCGACACCCCGCTGCCTCCTGAGAAACTGTAAGTGTTGTTCTCAACACTGCCGCCAGCCGTTGAGGCTGCAGCAGCAGCTGCCGAAACGAGCCCTCGAAACAGCCCCGGTCTGATCATACTTCCACCTTTCCCCATCTCCCTCTCCTGGACCAAGCTCGCGTGAGCAGCACAAAGACCACTCTTCCCTCTCGCGAACTTCTCGCATTTCCCCATTTCTTCTCCTCCCCACGAGCACCTCTTCCCGCCGCCGTGGGCTTTGCAGAAGTCCGTGCTCCCCTGAGCGCTCTTCTCGCAGCTCTCGAACTTGCACCGCTTCCCTCCACCGTGCCTGACGCAGCAATCAGTGCGTCCACGCGCGCTCTTCGTGCACCCGGGCACCACGCACCTCTTCCCTCCACCGTGAGCCACGCAGAAGTTGGTGCCACCATGAACACTCTTCGGACAAATCCCACCGCCGTCGTAGGAACACCTCTTCCCTCCACCGTGACCTTTGCACAACGGTGTACTGCCTTCTGCGCCCTTCGTGCACCCTGCAAACACGCACCTCTTCCCGCCACCGTGAGCTTTGCAGTACTTTGTGCTACCCTGTGCGCCCTTGGCACATCCTTCTTGCTGACAACGCCTTCCTCCACCGTGAGAAATGCACAACCCTGCCTGCCCTTCTGCACTCCTAGTGCAGCCGTTAACGTTGCATCTCTTCCCTCCGCCGTGTCTAATGCACAGCCCGGACTTGCCACGTGCGGCTTTCGTGCATCCATCGGGGAAGCCACATCTACGGCCCCCTCCGTGGGCTATGCAGAGTTCGGTCTTCCCCTCGGCACTCTTCGTGCAGCCCAAGTGCTCGCACCTTCTTCCCCCTCCATGGGATTTGCAATACGCGGTTCTACTCTCGGAGCCCTTGTTGCAGCCTTGCTTCTGACATCTTTGGCCTCCGCCATGGCCAATGCAGAGCCCCGTGGCACCGCGTGCTCCCTTAGAACATCCAAAGAAGCTGCATTTCTTTGCATTGGTGGCACCATGGTGGCTTTCAGAGGTAGCAGTCGTCATTTGCTCGGAAGCAGAAGAGAAATCCGTGGTGGCAGATGGCTCGTGACTCAGTTCAAAGTCGATGAGTTCTGTCCGTGGTGGTGGAGCTTTTCGAATGTCCATTCTGGGAGCCAAGAGAAGTGAAGGCATGTATCCACCAGCTGATTTCTTTGCTGAAGTGGAGCCCTCGTCTAAAACTGGGAAGGAGAATCTTGTATTGTCAGCAGGTGCTTGATTTGTCTCAGTAACTGAACTGTTCTCGAGTCCACTGAAGGAATCATTGGCAACTAGCCCGGCTTCAGAAAGGCCGAGCTTTAAGATTGAGTCACCCTCGAGTGTCGAAGGATGAGAGCCTTTCGGGTTGCTAACAGTTCCTCCAGCATTGTTGGAGAAATCCCCACTGTAAGTGCTCGGTGTGGGACCCAAACCGAGGACCAATTTGCATGCGTCTTCCTCGTGTAAGCTGTTACAGAAATTGTTCTTGGGATTGCTCTGAGTGCCACTGCCAAATCTGGCGCTGATGGTGTTGCTGTGTACACGGTTTGCTCCATAGCCGAGAAAGTTCAAGCGCAAGGTGGTGTCATTCTTCCCATGTTCATTGTCCAGAGAAACTCTGTTGGTGTTGTTGAAGCTGAGATCCATGTTATTTGTCGAGCTTATCGTTAGTGCTGCAGAACTTTTTAGGCCAGACTAGCTAGCAGAGAGAGACAGAGGGGGTTTCCACAGCATACTATTACTGTGCAAGTGCTTTGAAAATGAAGTGAGAGCAGGAGCCACCACCACTTACGAAGCCTGATGTGTCTAATCTATCCATCTTCAAGTCACTGATATCTGACGACGTTTCGAGGGTAGAAGCCTCTAATTTGGATAGTTAGAATCGAAGTCCAAAGAACATTGGAGCCTCTGCTGCTCCTTTCAGATTTCCTCAGCTTCATTCACCTCTGCAGCAAACATATAATACATGATCAGAGGACCACAATTAAGGACACTTATGTACAGTTAAAGTTGAAGGAAACGAAGACGAGGGAAACTGATCGAACAAACAAAGGACAAAGACTAAATCAAGCTCTCCACACGACATACAGTATCGAAAATGGAATCCCAATGTTTGATCATAGAGTGGCAAAGTGGGAGAGGGAGCATACCGTAATGGCGACCAATTCGCGAATGAAATGCCAGCTGAACAAAGCAACTTGATGCTGGAAGAGACACCATGCGACCGAAACGAGATCAAATCAAGAAGTTCTGCCAAGAACCACAAAAGAATGTATCATTAGATGAAAACCCCACCAACAAGGAAATCAGCAGGTTGTCTAGATCAAGACAAGAACTAGAATTGCTTGCCATCTAAGAATTATGAGTCCATAGCACATGGTGAGAGCTAAATCGTTTCCCTAAACACAAGGGACATCGATTACAGATCCAAAAGCCTAATAGGGAAGGACACACAAGGAATGTTTAGTAGCTGGTAACTTGAGAATAGATCTGAAACTATATTTAACCATATAACTTGCATAACCCATGAAATTTTCAAGCAAAAACAAAAAGAGAAAACACAGGCACAGTCAATCATGGCAAGAAGGGAACTTATTCTGAGCAGACAAATTAACCCAATTCATAAAGTCAACCTTTGCCCAAATCCACAAAAAAAAAGACCTCAACACAATAAACAAGAACAAAAACAGAAAACCATCCAAAAAAGCTCGGAACTTGCCCCAAACAACTACCAACGAAATTCCAGAAAACCCGAAAGCCAAACAAGAAAACAGAGTCAAACCCAATTGAAGCCATGGAGAGAAGAATCCAAAAGCCTCTTCCTTTCACACAATTGGTACCGGAGGTGGGGTGAGAGAGGAGTAAAAAAAAAATACAAATTACCCAGATGAATATTCCATAGCTGCAGAGAGGAGAAGCTGGCAGGGGAAAGGGACGATGAAAGAGAGGGAATCAGAGCTGGTTTCGAGAAAGGAGGCGGATCTGAGAAGTGGCTATAGACGTCGTCGAACTACGCAGACGCAACACAACAAGAAGAACAGAGACACAAAGGGGAGGAGTGAGAGAGCAGAGATTCCAAAATGGGAATAATAATGGAGGGCAGACAGAGGACGAGAGGGAGAGCTAAAGGTAGAAAATGACCGAACAAAAACAAACGAGAGCCCCGCAACCCCACTCGTGTCCTTGCTTGCGTAGTGTGGCGCGGTAGGACGATGGAGGGAGGAGAAAACCGGGATTTTCGTTTTTTATGATTTAATTAAATGGTGGGGGTATTATATTGTTTGTTTTCTTGTTGCGGGTAATTCTGCCGGGGATTTACGCGCCTGTTCGGTTGTCGCCTTTTCATTGGCGGAAGCCAGTAGCCAATTTGATCGGCCGCCACCGAACGCCGTAACCCCTTCTTGTTCGGCAATCCGACTATGATGCTCACAAGCGCCTTGGTGAGAATATGGTCACAGGCGTTTGCGTTGCTGATCGCGAGCAAGCGATTCGTAAATCATTGGATCAAAGATTATCACCGCTTCGGAGTAATTGTCACTGATAGTAATGGAGTCTAATCTAACACGCCCTTTCGGTGTCTGTGAATAAGTTCTAAGATTGATAATTGACCCGACACATTAGTACTGATACGATCGCACCCATTATGAAGATTTAACAATCTGAATATTTAACGTTTTGAGGCTTGTTGACTTTAACAAGTGGAAAGAAGGAGAAAGAAGAAGAAAATGATAGAAAACCAAGCTGGTGGCCAACCTGCTCGGCGGTGGCGTGTTCCTTCCACGCGCTTAGTATATGTTATAATTACGGGCCTTGCCTTCTCTCTCTCTCTCTGACGTCGCTGATTGGTGGGCGGGTGTCCCGCCTGGGCACGTTTTCACTCTCCACTCGCTGCATCTAACCGATTTCTGATTCGCTGATTCTCATCCCGTCTCCACGTGGCAGCACCAGGCTGGCTCATTTTCAAGATTCCGGAATCTCAACCCATTTCTTTTTCTACGTAATGTAATTTTGTTAGTTTTCTCTGAATTTCGATTCTCCTCCTTCCGAACTCCGAAGCGAGCTAATTATTGGATAAATTATAGCCATAAATAATAGCACAACATAAAAATACTTTATATCTGATTATTACGACTTCAAAATCACTGTTTGTTACTTTTTAGAATTGTAAAAAAAAAATGGAAAGAAATGCAGTAGATGTAACGAGTTTTTTTTTTTTACGGGGAAAATTGGGGACGTTTTGTTTTGTCTTTCAGTCTGACCTGACTTGGCCGATATTTCTGTCAATGGAGTGAGCAAATTGGTAGGTGGCAACCAAATTCCCTCCAGCAGAAGCAGAAGGTGATGCAACTTGGGTAGTTGGTGCCCTGTCACCATCCACTCACTTTTCTCATGGGCCCATGGGCCATGGCCCAATTTTGTTTCAGAGCAAGACTATTATATATGACGCAACAAACAGCCACCCTGGGCCCAACAGATGATTAATCTCTCCCAGTGGCAGTTAATTAACCAAACCAATCTATATATGACGTAAACGTAATCGAACATCTGTGCTTGTGGACAGGAATCAAATCAACGATGGGGAAGAAACATTTGGGCCTTAATTATTTTTCTATTATATTATTTTTGTTTACATTAAAGGTGTATTCCAATGGCCCAACGTCATAGTCTGCAATTTAATGTTAAATCGTCATCTTCCCAAGTCTAGCTAGCGACGTCATTGCCAGGGTCAAAGCGATTTTTGTTGGGTATGAAGAGGCACTTCCAAGATTAATTTACAAGTATTATTGGTTGTGTTTCAACCTAGATCGTGATACCCGGTTAATAACTGTAATTAGGGTATTGATTCAGACTCCTTCGTTTGATATCTGGCTCGGGGGAGGAACTTGTGAAGAGAAGTGGGATGGGCCTCGTGATCTGCACTTCAAGTACCTTTGACACCCAAATTAGCGTGGTATAGAAATAGTGTTGTATGGAAAGTAGAGAGTAGGACTTTGAGAGATGACCATGTGTAATTAATGACATGGGGGAAAGGAAGAGAAGGCCGGAGGGCTCGAGCGTACTTACACAATAGTTTAATTTGGGGCCTCCTTGAATTAGTTTTGGCCATTGATGACTTTATAATTTTTCGTATTAGCCAAGTTAATTCATATATATCCCAACAGGTTGTTACTCCTTAGTCCTTGCTTCAAAGTCTATCATTGACTTTGGTTGTTGATAATGTATTGTATGTGATATTATCGTGATTTTGAACATATTTATTCATCAAAATTTTATCTTGTTTTTCTCTGTCTAATCATCTGCATTATACGGTAATTTTTTTTTATCCAAGATAAGTCCGAGGGCATGACCGGACAACAAGATACAAAATACATAATAATAAAGAACGGTAGTCCGTATGCAACCAGACTCACATTAATCGGTATTGAATGTAAACAAATATACAACGATATCACATTAATCCGCTAGATAGCAATAATATCAGTATCATTCTTCTTGAAACTCCCTGGTATTTAGTAATAATGAATTTCATTAATCCTTCGCCCCTGGATTTGCTCTGGAGCTTTGCTATGCATACCATCAAAAGCTCTTTGTACCCGTAGAAGACAAGTTTCTCCTCACTAATTAGTAATTACTTCTATATGTTCGGGCCGTAGTCGAAATATGTTTGGCAAACTCAATGGGCCTTTTAATGAAATGGTTAAGGGAGTGGGCTTGTAACATTTTAGGCTCGATGGCCCGAGAGAAGTTGTTTCTGGGTTTCACAATAATCCATAAAGTCCGGCAATTAGAAAGCCCATAGCAAGTAGTGGAATTGGATGTTTTACGTTTGAAACAACCAAAACGCCCGAGTTACTTTGATCATTGGCTAATTAGACGAGTTCTGACCTCGTTTTTAGTTTAAAATTTACAATCAAACCACGGCAAAATGGTTGTGTGGCAAGGAGAAAATGAAGATGAATGAAGCAAGGATCAAAACGCGGGGGTTAGATTGCAATGTGGATTGTTGAAATTACTTTTTCACTTAAATTAAAATTACATTTATTTTCTTGGATTTAGGGATATAAATCTTTTAGTTTGATTTCAATATCAGTAGGGAACTAACTAAGGATATCTCGAGAAGGAAAAAATTGAAAATCTGAACCATATTTACCTGATATATTTAAATAGAGATTTTTTTTTGGTCCAAACACCAACATAAGTAACAATTTTAACAGCCTGAGTTTTTTCTTGGCGTCGAACAATTATTTGTGGACGAAAAATAGACATCGCTTTAATAATATCAAATAAAATTAGAATGAGTTGGAAGGAATATTTTTGTAGGGGGATATTATGGATTACCATTTGCATAGCTTGCTGCCTTTGACCAAAAAGCCAACAAACAAAAGAGTTGAAATTGTCACCAAAATCAAACAAAGATACAAAGACTGAGAATTGGTTAAACTCTCAACAAATTTCATTCAATTTTTTTCACCAATACATTTCTTTCTTTTCTCCCCACCATTCCTATATTAAATTAGTTTTTGGTACGACTATTCCTATATCATTACTAAATAAATTAATAACGATGATAATCATTTCCCACTCACCATTATCAAAATTGGAAGCTCTTAACCAAAACCATTTTCCTTTTTTCCATTTCCTCTCCTGACCTCTATTTTCCCATCTCCCAAACATTCTCAGAGAAAGAAGGATTTCGTTTCGACTCTCGAGCTACATCCCAGTGGCTGGTTGCTTTGTCCTCTGGGAAGATTTTTATGCTTTACGCCTTTTGCTTTGAGGTGGGTTCTTCTCCTAGCTAGCTAGTTGGTCATTAATAAAGTCGACGGAGCATTGTTTTGGGTACTGGGTCAACGTGGAGGAGGTGGATGTTTCAACTTCAACTTTGATCGTTTCCTTTTCTCTCGTTTTCTGGGCTCCTCTCATATCCGGCTGAATCTTCGGCGAGGAAGGAAAGTTCTTCCCTTTCACGTCCTGGAGAAACTATGGGTGAATTGGAGCTCTTGTAACTCGGAGGGACAGAGGAAGCTATAAACGCGGCAGTAATGGAGTTGCCGATTGGAGGAGCGATCTGGCACTCCGGGTTTTGCTGGTTAATCTTGCTCCTCCATTTCGTTTACAGAGTTTCCTCCAACGCCGAAGGTCAGATTCGATTCATTTGTGTTTCTTTCCTTATCCGATGATTCTCCCTTCATCTCGTTCAGGTTTCCAATTAAGTTCGCCGGAGTTGACTTGTTGACTCGAATTGAATCGCTGTCAATACTGGGGAAAATGTTTGATTTTATAGAACCGTGAATTGTGGAGGAACTGTTACTATAATTAGAGTGGTAGAATGGAAAAAGTTTCTACCTTTTGTTGGGAATTTGAAATGGGTATTCCTCTTTTTTGGCTATTGCTGTTTGGAATTGTTATAGGTTGAACTTGAACCCCTCTAGTCTAGTAGCTATTGGTTTCTGTGGATAGGAGTTTTGTCCTGATGATGCTGCGTTTTATGTGTAACACAGGAGATGCCTTGAATGCACTGAAGACAAATTTGGCTGATCCTAATAACGTTCTGCAAAGTTGGGATCCTACCCTTGTCAATCCTTGTACTTGGTTTCATGTCACCTGTAACAGCGAGAATAGTGTGACACGAGTGTAAGTGTAGTCATTAATATTAGCCCGCATTCAGTTATGTGCTCCTTTCATTGCAGATCTCTCATGGTCCCGGCTCTCATGTGCTTCTTATTTGTCTTGTCATAGTGATCTTGGAAACGCAAATCTATCAGGTCAACTGGTTCCCCAGCTTGGTCAGCTGCCAAACTTGCAGTACTTGTGAGTAAATTTCTGTTCGCATGCTCATAGTTGTTTGGGATTTGCTGTTGAGATTTGAAAAAGACAATACTTTACACTAGAGTGATTTTGTTTCTGCTTGGGTGATAGCTTGTCAAATAGTTTCCTAGTAATGTGTGTTCCCTTCTTTGGTAAGCAGTTGCATTACATTGCTTGAACATATGGTTCACTGTGTAATCCTACTCCTTCCAGATACATATGTTCCGCTGTTTCTTTCTTTGGAAAGGGGACAACTCTTTCTTAGATAGTTTGTGGAAAGTGTATCTGCAGGGAAAAAAGTGAATTAAGAATAGAATCCATTTTTATTTCCTGTTGAACCTTTTATTTTGCGATTGAAGCTAGAGTTTCTCCATGAACAACCGGATGGTGACTGCATTCATCTATGTTTGTTTTTTTGTCTCAAAGATGCATCTTTTACAGGTGGTTAATTCGTTTTCCCTTAGTGTGTTGCCCCTTGTGGCTTGATGTATGGCAATGATTTTTTGTTGCAGGGAGCTTTACAGTAATAATTTAAGCGGCAGGATTCCTGACGAGCTTGGAAATTTGACGGCATTGGTGAGCTTGGATCTTTACTTGAACAACTTGACTGGTCCAATTCCAGTGACTCTGGGGAAGCTTGAAAAACTCCGTTTCCTGTATGCACTAATCCTTTCAACTACTTCTCGATCACATTGTTTAAACTCCTGTTTTATATTCTTGATATGCATGATTTTTTCCTTTTTCGTGTTCTAGAGGTTTTTCTGTTGGTTAGTTTGAGGATACTTAACAAGCACCTGTCCGACATTCTATTCAACTTACGTCTTCTTCATTAAATAGCGATCAACCCTAACTTTCACGAGGCTCTAATGGATGCTTGATTCTCCTGTGGGGGAACCGAGGGGGAAATGACAGTTGTTAGTTGTTTCTGTTTGTTTCCTAATAATGATACTGAGTAATATTACAGATATGAATTGGTGCTATATGGTTTTGATGATCAAGTGTGGTTTCTCTGGTTTTCATTTTGGTCATCCAAGCCTATGTTTCAGTGATTTATCAGCTGTATTGTCAGTGCTGTAGAACATAAGCATGTGTAACCATACTGCTCTTTGTTCTTTGAAACAGGCGTCTCAACAACAATACATTGTCAGGAACTATCCCTGTGACCCTAACTAATGTCATGTCCTTGCAAGTCCTGTAAGTTTTACCCTTCTTTTCGCTATCTCTTTGTGATTGCCTGGAGCTGTTCCATCTAAGATTGGGATTACCTGCATATTTTCTCTAATCAAGCTGCATTGTCATATCAAATGCAGGGATCTCTCAAATAATCAACTAACAGGAGATATTCCTGTTAATGGTTCTTTCTCTCTATTTACTCCTATAAGGTTAGCTTTGTTAGGTGCCATCAATTTTTGGAGCGTGTAGACCTAGTAACTGGCTCACTAACTACTGTGTTACTCTGTAGTTTTGCAAATAATCGGCTGAATGTACCTCCGGCTTCTCCGCCTCCTCCTCTTCCACCATCAGCACCGACTGCTTCTAATGGTACTTTTGTGATATTCAGTTTTTTGGTTGCTTGAATTTGGTAATATATGGTTTGCATGGATGCTGATAGTTTTTCTCATGTCATTCCCTTTAAGCAAGGACAAAAAGTTGATGCTTATGACCCAATACTTTTACCAATTTATTTATGTCGCTAATGTTATCTCCCTTAGATAAAGGCCATGGAAGATAAATGAAGTTGTATAGATTGAGAGATATGGGCCTAAATTTTGTTCATTGATTAAATTTTACAGCCAGATTTGTCACAAAGACGTGCTGTCAGATCTGTGCTTGTTATGTAAAATGGATACCAAGAGAAATTAGCTTATGCGAAAAAGACGAACAATAATTCCACTTAGGGATGAACATAGCACTGTCCAGTTTGCAGTTTCTGCTTCTAACCTTATATCTCGATAACGAATAAATGTTGAGAGGAATCCGAGTGAGCTGGAGAAACAATCATTTGCCCAGGAATGAATATGGTCTTGTCTTTCAGCTGCTGCAAATCTTGCGTTTCGTAAAACATGGTTACTGTAGTTTGTCTGTTGAATGCAACTAGGTGACTTGATTCGTCTCGTTGAGGATTCTCACTTGAGAAATGCCCCTTTTTGGGATCCTGCACTCTGCATGTTAACCTCGTGCCTGAAAAAGAGTGCAATATCTATCAGCTTTGTGATAGTTTGTGTGTAGTATGAATCCCTGATTTGTGTCATTGAATTAAGAGATTATTGTTGGAGAAAGGCTCAAACTTTTTTTTTTTGGGGAAATCTGTTACCTTTGGTGATTATAAAATTCTATTTGTACAGGAAATAGTGCTACTGGAGCTATTGCCGGAGGAGTTGCTGCGGGTGCTGCTCTGTTGTTTGCTGCTCCAGCAATTGCCCTTGCTTATTGGCGGCGAAGAAAACCACAAGATCTTTTCTTCGACGTACCTGGTTAGTGCTTTTACAAAATGGATGTCTCTTTCACTGCTCCTGCATGGAGGAAGGCTTCCAACTTTATCTTGCTTCTCTCTTTGCAGCTGAAGAAGATCCAGAAGTCCATCTTGGACAGCTTAAAAGGTTTTCTTTGCGTGAACTGCAAGTTGCATCAGATAATTTTAGCAACAAAAACATTTTGGGTAGGGGTGGGTTTGGCAAAGTGTATAAAGGACGCCTGGCTGATGGTACACTAGTAGCTGTAAAGAGATTGAAGGAGGAGCGTACACAAGGTGGTGAGCTTCAGTTCCAAACAGAAGTAGAAATGATCAGCATGGCTGTCCATCGCAACTTGCTTCGACTACGTGGCTTCTGTATGACACCGACTGAAAGGCTACTTGTATATCCCTATATGGCTAATGGAAGTGTAGCATCATGTTTGAGAGGTAATCTGGTTTTTACATTCTTGTATTTTTTTGTCTTTATCCGCGCCAATTGCCTCCTTTCATCTTCCTCTCTAACTCGAGAATTTTTGTTGATTTTCTTGAAGTTGTCTTTGGTTGTGATAACGGATATCTTTAGCCTGGCCAAAGCTTTTTTAAGCATGAGAATCTCATTCCATTTTGGGGGGAAAACATATGAGCTATTCGAAATTATTTACTTTTCACTATGAAGAACTCTGTTACTCTAGAATTTGGTAGATTTGAAGCTGTCCGGATTATGTTACTGATGGTTGTTTGCTTTTGATTCAACTTTTGGATTATGTTAGAGCGCCCGGATTCACAGTCTCCTCTCAACTGGCCAAAAAGGAGGGGAATAGCGTTAGGTTCTGCTCGTGGGCTGGCTTATTTGCATGATCATTGTGATCCTAAGATCATTCATCGAGATGTGAAGGCTGCAAATATATTGTTGGATGAGGAATTTGAAGCAGTAGTTGGGGACTTTGGGTTGGCTAAACTCATGGACTACAAGGATACCCATGTCACCACTGCTGTACGTGGCACTATCGGGCACATAGCCCCCGAGTACCTATCGACTGGCAAATCATCCGAGAAGACTGATGTTTTTGGATATGGTGTCATGCTTCTTGAGCTAATCACTGGACAGAGAGCGTTCGATCTTGCTCGGCTTGCAAATGATGACGATGTCATGTTACTTGATTGGGTATGTATTTTAACACCGTCACCTTTGTCTTTGGGCATCAATTTGTTTTACACGACCCAATTTCTGTAGTTGGGGACTGCTATTTAGACCATATCTGCATTTCATTGGGTAGGTTGTCAATCCTATGGTAATGAAATTTCTGGGAATCTGCATTTGGTCAGGTGAAAGGGCTACTCAAGGACAAGAAGTTGGAGACATTGGTGGATGGCGATCTGCAAGGTAACTACATTGACGAAGAGGTAGAGCAGCTGATCCAAGTGGCTCTCCTATGCACGCAAAGCTCTCCCATGGAACGCCCGAAAATGTCAGAGGTCGTTCGAATGCTTGAAGGCGATGGCTTGGCCGAGAGATGGGAAGAGTGGCAGAAAGAAGAGATGTTCAGGCAAGACTATAACCATAACCACCATCCCAACAGCAACTGGATCGTGGATTCTACGTCGCATATTCCTCCGGACGAACTGTCAGGTCCCAGATGACGATGCTGATGGTAACCATGAAATCCATTGCATCCCCTTCCACCTTGGACGCCTGTCTTGTGTCTGAAAGTCGGCTTTTTTTGTTCGTTCACACATTTGTGCATATAGTTTTTCTTTTTCGATTCTCTTTTTGATTGTCAATGTGTAGTCTATACCCCATATATTTGGATTGGAGCTGGGAGCTGCTGGAAGTATTGTTGTAATATTTTTTTTCATAGGGGGACAGGACCTTCAAATGATGAAAATGGTGCTAGTGAACAAGGCTGACAAACCAGCCATGGAAGCATCCCCCATTCGCCCTTGTTTTTGTTTTAAATGTAATTCAGATCCCCAAGTCATTATTGTAGATCTTCCTTTGCATGGATTATAAGATAATGTTTTGCCCATGAGTTCTGTGACATGAATACAATAATCTTTCTGAATTGCTAGATGCTGCATTTTTAAGATGATAATTAAATAGTCAAATTTCTACGGAGCTACAAAAATTATAATCATTCTCGGTTAGAAACTTACAATCAACAGAGACGTTGGCGGAACCATCTAATTGCGTTCAGTTTCTGTATGCTTTTCCTTCATTTTAAATACAGAAATGGTTTTGGTCGTTTATTATGTGCCCCTTTGGCCTTTTCTGCCACCTGGTTAGTGGTTACGTACTTCTATCTTGAGAAGCTTTTTCGACTCACATTCCCCACCTCCATTCTCAATCAATTGGTCGCCAAAAAGCTCCTTTCCTTATTTTCATCCCTTGCTTCCTTCCCACTTATTTCCCCTCAGAAAAGATGTGAAATTTCAGTGCGACGACTTTGTCTTTCGATCCCAGTTCACCTCTAATCTCATCAGGTAGAAAACCCTTTTCCTTTCCCCTTCTTCTGCTCCGTCAATTAGATCAGTCGGTCGGTGATTCGAGTATGTGGTTGAATTTTGCTTGATACCCAGTTGCTGTGCTCTTCCTCTGTTCCTACTTTCCTCTTTCTGGGTTACTTTACTTCGTTGATTCCTGGCGTGCTATTCACTTTGTTGTAGTTGACTTATACCCCGCTTGATTGATCTGTTATACTCAAAAGATTTTCCTTTTGTAGTTGAATTTTCTTATCTGGGTCTTCTGTTTGATTCCAAGGAAATTGTGTTAGAAAGAACAAATTTTGTGATTAGGTTAGCTGCTTTTGGATGTGAATTTGGGGTATATATAGCTCCAATTGCTATGATCTACCATGCTTCATTTCAACATACTTATGTGTGTGGTAGTTATGTATTTATCATATCATCTCTGGGGAACTGACTTTATAGCTTTACCTTGTGAATTGTATCTGCCTTTTGCATATGAGCACAGGCAATCAGTTGACCTTGACTAGTCAGTCTCTTCCGCTCTGGAAAACTTGGTGATGGGCGCAATTTTGAGCTTAAGTGGGTCTGGCTCCAGTTCAGGAGCTAAGAACTCTTTTGATAAGTCGCCCTGCAATGAACCTTCTAAGAGACAAAGGGTTTCAGCAAATTCTTTTGAAGGAAACCCACGATTGATTCCCAGTCTTCCTGATGAGATATCAGCGGAGATCCTTGCCCGGATTCCCAGAATTCATTACTTGAAATTGAAGCAAGTTTCACGTTCATGGAAGTCGGCCATCCTTGATTCCCAACTCTTTAGTGTCAGAAAGGAGCTTGGAAAGACGGAAGAGTGGCTTTACATACTGACAAAGGTCGAAGACGACAAGCTTCTCTGGTATGCGCTGGACCCTCTGAACAAGATATGGCAGAGGCTGCCACCAATCCCAAGTGCTGCTTACGGCGATGAAGCCAAGAAGGGTTATGTGGGTCTTCGTGTGTGGAATATGGTAGGCTCGGGTATGAAAGTAGCTGATGTGGTGAGGAGCTGGCTTGGAAGGAAAGGTGCCCCTGAAAGAATGCCCTTCTGTGGTTGTGCTGTTGGAGCTGTAGATGGTTGTCTGTATGTTCTTGGTGGGTTCTCCAAAGGTTCAGCCATGAAATGTGTGTGGAAGTATGATCCCATACTAAATGCATGGACTGAGGTCAGCCCCATGACTACAGATAGGGCATATTGTAAGACAAGTGTCTTGAACAATAAGCTCTATGTAATTGGAGGAGTTAACGGTGGTCGTGATGGGTTGATGCCGCTTCAATCTGCTGAGGTCTTTGATCCTGAAACCGGTTCGTGGACCAGACTCCCAAGCATGCCTTTCCTGAAAGCTCAGTCGATCCCCACAGCATTTTTAGCCGATCTCCTCAAGCCCATAGCAACAGGAGTGACTTCATATCGTGGGAAACTGTATGTGGCTCAGAGTTTGTACTGCTGGCCTTTCGTTGTTGATGTTGGTGGAGAGGTCTATGATCCAGAGACGAATGCATGGGTCGAAATGCCATCCGGTATGGGCGATGGTTGGCCTCCAAGGCAAGCCGGGAGGAAACTGAGTGTCACAATAGAAGGCGAGTTGTATGCTCTCGATCCATCGGGCTCAGTTGATGGTCCCGATACTAGAATCCAGGTTTATGACTACCTCGAAGATGCTTGGAAGGTTGTTCTAAGAGACGTGCCTATTTGCACTCACACCGACTCTGAATCCCAACATTTGCTCACTGGTTTGCTTGGGAAGCTCCATGTCGTCACCAAAGATGCAGGTGCCAACATTGCTGTCCTGCAGGCCGGCATGCAGAACTGTGGGGAGGACTCTTTGGGTTCAGAGTTGGCGCCAGAAGCGGATAATTGGCGGGTCATTGCTTCCAGAAATGCTGGTTCTTCTGAACTGGTTAACTGTGTGACTCTTGATGTCTGATGAGTTCTGTGTTGCCCCTTAACAGTTTTCATGCTCCATTTCCTCTTTGAGTGAGCCACATGTATACACAAATGTTACTTTGTTTTAGTCTTGTTTTTGTCAAGCTCACAAGTTATAGTGAAGTTATACCTTTTCAAGTTGATGCTCTCTATTGAATTTGGTAGCCTTGCTCTTTATCTTCATTTGTAAATATCCCACGAACCAGAATTTTTTCTGCTTGGAACCTGCATTTCAGTTTGGTGACTAAATAAAGCATGGATTTGGATTTTGGCTTGCCTCATCTCCAAAGACGTTCTCTTTTAGTAACACACAATTTCATTTGGGAAAACAACATATATTATTGACACACATCGTCTCCTATCGGCACGTGTTATGTTCCACGAGTATGCATTATCTTGTATATTAAAACACTGATCTCAAATTATTCGTAGATATTGTCTTCTATTGATACATACTCCGACTATTAACACACATAATTTTCTATTGGAAAATGTTGTCTTCTACTGATACGCGTCGTGTTCTATGAGCATGTATTATCTTGCATTGGCACACATTGTGTCCTATTGAAGAATATGACTTCTAAATCGTTTATTAATAATCCGATTCATGGAGTCGACAAGATTTTGAAGGTAAGTAGACATGTCTATGAACTGTAGCAACAAAAATAATAAAGTGATGCATTATTAGCAACATACCAAAAAGTTTAGGGGCTCGGTGTGGTATTTACCTTCAATTTCCATGACCTACCAAAGCCAATCTAGCTCGTCTCTTCCATATTCCTACACTGTAACTTCTAATCTCAGGAGTATTGGAGGACGGCCAGCAACGAACGGACGAAGGGCGAGTCGCGGTTAGTTTTCTTTCCGCTAGTCGCCAGAACCGGGCCTTTGGACGACCTGGTGAGTTGCTTCCCTCCGGAGCTGCGAATTTTAGGGTTTAAGCTTCATATCTTTTTGGGTTCAAGTTTGATATTAATGCTCAAGTCGTTAATCGAAATCTTTGTGAGTTCTCATGATTTGAATGAAAATGTTCAAATGGAATGGTTATGATCTTACATAAAGTCCAAATCTTGAGTTGCAGTCGAGATACTGGGTATTTTGTCAGCTGCCTTACCTGTGTCAATGCCCGGCGGCTATAAGGATTTATTGTCGCTGTTCAGAATGTGCTTGCTTGAGAGTTGGTTATACAATGTTGGCATTGGAGAATTGATGGAACTGTGTACCATTTTGTTGACAGAATACTGTCCAGAAGGAAATGCCGGAAGACACCGAATACCGTTGTTTCGTTGGTGGGCTTGCCTGGTCTACGTCTGATAGAGGGCTGAAGGTGGCATTTGAGAAGTATGGGAATCTTGTTGAAGCAAAGGTGTGAATCTCCAAATCACTTCTCACTTATCTGGTCTACAATGGCACCATACCTTCCATGTTAAATCGCTGTTTCTTACATTTAGCCATAACTTGAATAGCAATGCAACATGCCTGAGGTTTTTGGGGTAATGGCGTAGTTAAGTGATAAAAAGTGTTTCTTGCTTTGAGAAAGGAAGGAATTTCTTTGTTGCATTGTCATGATTAGAGATGCTGTAGAGCAGTATAAAAAACATGTTTTTTTTGTCAACTATAGGTGGTTGTTGATAAGTTCTCTGGGCGCTCCCGTGGATTCGGATTTGTGACTTTCGATGAGAAGAAGGCATTAGAAGAAGCTATAGAAGAAATGAATGGGATGGATTTGGATGGTCGAACCATTATAGTTGAGAAGGCCCAACCTAGCCAAGGTTCAGGACGAGATCATGATTCAGATCGAAGCCGTGACCGTGGAGGCGATCGTGGTGGTAATGGTGGAGATTGCTTCAAGTGCGGGAAACCTGGACATTTTGCTAGAGAATGTCCAAGTGGTGAAGGAGCAAGAGGAGGCGGTAGGTATGGTGATCGAGATGATGATTCTGATCGAAGCCGTGACCGTGGACGCGATCGCGGTTCAGACTATGAAAGTGGAGGCAGGCGTGGTGGTAATGGTGGAGACTGCTTCAAGTGTGGGAAACCTGGACATTTTGCTAGAGAATGTCCAAGTGGTGAAGGAGCAAGAGGAGGCGACAGGTATGGTGATCGAGATGAGAGGTATGGAGGTGGAAGTAGCAGAGATGGGAGCCGCTATGGTCCTGATAGGAATGGAGACCGGCATGGAGGCCGTAGTAGCAGAGATGGTGGTAGCCGTGGTGGTGAAGGGAGTGACCGATACAGTCGCGACCGTTCTGGTCCATATGATCGATAAAATAACTTCCAGCTCCGGTACGGGATTTTCATGCTAAACTTCATGCACTACTCAAATCTAAAACTGTGCTAATGGAATTTATTTGCTTCCTTTTGGCAGATGAGAGACTTGAAGGAGCTGCTCTTGCTGTCTGCATCGCAGTAGACCTGGTAGCTGCAGATGTGAGGACTTCCTTGTTGGCCTTTTTGTGGATCAGCCTTGTAGATCAGTTTCTTCAAGTGCAAAACTTGCACGGATGTTGTAGTACTTTGTGTTCTCCAAATGGTGCCTTTGATGTTTGTGTGCCGGATGATGATGAATCTTATGGTTTCTTGACATGGGATTGTGAGGTGGCCCTTGTTCTGCTTGAGTTTAAGTTGGTGTTCCTTATGTTCTTTGTGGTAGCAGCTGCTTAATCATAATCATGCTCAACACAGTTCGTTTGATCATTTTGTGTCGGCAAGAACCATGAACGAAAAGTGGGTTCATTACGGATAGGCGAGGAACAATGGCCTGATGATGTTCTCAAGTGTACTTTTGGGAAGGATGGAAGAGCTGAGCAACAGTTTACAGTTGTTCTTTGGTTCCATTCGTCTTGTTGGATGTTCTCCACTTGTGGGATGGATGGAAGAGCCGAGCAACAGTTAACAGTTGTTCTTCTGTTTCCATTCATCTTGGTGGATGTTCTCCAATGGCGGTTTCTTGTTCACTAGTTCTTCTGGCTGGCCTCTGGTTGCCATATCTGTCCTTTTCCCGGCCCGGCCCGGCCCAACAATAGCGGCTCTCGTTTCAGCCGGTTTGTATATGCCTTTCCCCATAATAAAAAGCTAAAACGAATCAGCTTCCCTTATCCCAGTCGGACTCTGCTTCACGCGTCAAATCCCAAAACCCTACAAAAACAAAAATAACCAATCTTGCTTTCAGAGCCCAAAACAAAACCTAACATTCTTGCGAACGGCGAGTCTCTGGAGCATCTGAACTCGGACGGACGACCTGGTGAGTCGCTTCTCTAAAGAACTGCAAACTTTTGGTTCGATCTCCTTTTGTTTCACAACTTTCTTGAATTTGTTTTGGCTGAGCTATTGTTGTTACGATCTACTGAAATTTTGATTCTAGGGTTGAACCGAATGTTCGTTGTCAGCCGAAAGCTATTTGAAATTCACCTACTTGATGTGATGTTCTGGTTACAATTTCGCAACTTCTCTGAATGTTGCCGAGATTAGTAGATACTGGTTTGGTGGTGCTTTGATAAAATTTGATCAGACTGGTTGATTCTTGGTGTTCTTTCTTTTTTTTTTGCTAATTATGAATTCTAAGTGCTCTTTAGAACTTTCTGATCGTTTGCCAGTGTGTGTGAGCTTCTTCATAAAGTTCCAATCTTGTCTCGATCGATTGCTTGAGGATTGTTAAATTTTTCTGTCTTTTGTATAGATATGGCAAAAGGGGAGGTGGCATATGTAGGGAGGGTAATCTTATTCTATTGGCAAAGTCATGAGATGAAAGTTTAGCAATGAAGGGATTGTAGAGGGATGCTTATAGTGAGTCAATAAGTTGCGAGAAAAAAAAAAGGCTTTCCTCTTTTTTTGGGAGCAGTGATGGAGGGTTGTTGGTTATGGGAGGAGGCTGTTTAAGCAAAATCACATGCTGAGTAAATTGTTAGCTAGCTCTTTATGTCAATATCTAGCACGCCTTTGAAGATGTTCATGATTACATTGTCTTGGAGTTGGTTACAAGTTACTGGCGTAGGCAAACGAGACACTGCCATCATATTGTTATATCATTTTTATCGACTTCATACTGATTTTGCATTTTTCTCAGAGCACTATCCGGAAAAATGCCAGAAGACGTAGAGTACCGTTGTTTCGTTGGTGGGCTTGCTTGGTCAACATCTGATAGAGGCCTGAAAAAGGCATTTGACAAGTATGGGAATCTGGTTGATGCTAAGGTGTGATAATTCTCCGAATCCCACTTCTCTGGTCGACATGTTCTCATACCCTCAGTTTTCAATAATAGTTTCTGTATTTAAGTGTTTAAGAAACAGAAAAACTAGTTGCTATCTGACACAATATAGGTTATATTGATTTCCATTCAATCATTGATATGTTACATTGTGTTGGGCTTTATTGCTGCTGTCAACCTTGTACTGTGTCTGTGGTTACTGAGGTAACTGCAAGAAATTTGAAAAATTTAGGCTGTCAATTGGAGATAAGCTTCTTGCTCTGGAAAGGGTGGAAGTTGTTTGTTGCATTTGCCATGATTGGAGATGCTGTCAACTTGGGATGAGTATAAATGTCTTACTTTTGTCTACTATAGGTGGTTGTTGATAAGTTCTCTGGACGCTCCCGTGGATTTGGATTTGTAACTTTCGATGAGAAGAAAGCAATGGAAGAAGCTATTGAGGAAATGAATGGGATTGATTTAGATGGTCGAACCATTATAGTTGAGAAATCCCAACCTAGCCAAGGTTCAGGACGAGATCGTGATTCTGACCGAAGCCGTGATCGTGGACGCGATCGTGGTTCAGACTATGAAAGTGGAGGCAGGCGTGGTGGTAGTGGTGGAGACTGCTTCAAGTGTGGGAAACCTGGACATTTTGCTAGAGAATGTCCAAGTGGTGAAGGAGCAAGAGGAGGCGACAGGTATGGTGGTCGAGATGAAAGGTATGGTGGTCGAGATGAGAGGTATGGAGGTGGAAGTAGCAGAGATGGGAGCCGCTATGGTCCTGATAGGAATGGAGACCGGCATGGGGGGCGCAGCAGCAGAGATGGCGGAAGCCGTGGGGGTGAAGGAAGTGATCGATATAGTCGTGACCGCTCTGGACCATATGAACGGAGGGGTTCATGAGGAGATGATACAGGTAAACTAGCTGCACCTATTGTATTAGGGTTCTCTATACTAAACTTTATGCATTACGAAAATGTAAGGGTTTACCAATGGAATATGTTTGCTTCTTTTTGGCAGGTGAGTGCACTAAAAGAACTGCCCTTGTCATCTGCATTGCTCTAGACCTGGTAGCCGCAGCTGTGTGGTTGTCGTTATCGTCTTTTCGTGGATCAGCCTTGTAGATCCGCTTCTTAATGTGCAGCACTTGCATAAATGTTGTAGTACTTTGTGTTCTCAAAATGGCGCCTTTGATGTTTGTGTGACGGGATGATGGAAACAATGGTTGCTTTGACATGGAATTGTGAGGTGGCCGTGGACCTTATTCTGAATGAGTTTAGTTTTGGCATCTGGGTTCCCACGATCCATCTACAAAATCATAAACATGCTGAACAGTTCATTTGATCATTTTGCATTGGCAAGAACCATTGATGTGGATTGGCATTTGGAGGAACAGTAACTGTACTTCGTACTGTGCTTGAACTCTGAATCCTTGGATGTTTGAAAGTAGAAGGTGACTTAAAACATGAGTGACTGGTTGGTTAGAAACAGGAATGGGCCGGGTAAATCCTTTTTCCTCCCTCACCTTTACCCTAGTCCTGATCAATGCTTCATCTTTTTTATTAATTTTGTCAATGTTTTGGCAGGGTTGATGATAAATTATGGTCTTTCTGGGTGCACATTTTGGCTTGTCTGTTGCTAATAACAGAAATACTCTCTATTTAAAACACTGCTGGGGTCCTTTTGTTGAGGGTAGCAGAGCTTAACAAAAGGCATCAATTGAGGTTCTCATGCTCATAAGTGGTGTTCTTTTGAACGGATGGAAGTGTCGAGCAACAGTTGTCCTTGGTCTTTCATCTTGTGGATGTTCTTCCCAAAGAGAAGATTCTTATTCTCTGGTCCTCTCTGTGGCTGTTATGGTATCTCTTTTGGTTGCTACCTTACTGATAATCATACACATTGGAAGTGTTTTGTTTGTGCTTCTTAGGTTAAGAACTTACTAGTACCCTTGATGTTTGGAAGAGGCTTCTTCTTCGTCGTCGTCTTTGGTTTCATACCGGTCTTCTGTAGTTTTTTCAAGATCCTTTCTAGCTTGACTTCTTGTTTACCTGTAGCTAATGCTGATACTGGCAGTTTTACTTTTCAGTGACTTGGCAGTATTGTATTATATAATGAAGGTTAAATGAGGTTGGCATTCTTTACAGTCAGTAGAAAACTCGGGGTAAAGAAGCAGGCAATCTTGGTGTATAGGTTTTGAGAGTTTCTTATGTTCTGCTCAGGGTTGTTGCCAGTTCCAGGATTGGTAGCAACCTCCACCTTATGGTTTGAATTGCTTTCTTTCATTCTTGCAAATTTTATTTGAGACTTTTGAAGCGGTTCTTTGTTGGTTCTTTCATTTGGAGATCGATCATCGTTTCCTTGCAATCAAAAGCTATTCTAATCCTCATCATGGCTCCACTTCTCAACATCATGAACGATCCTCCATATAAATGGAGTTTAACTGATCTGGAATTTAGCTTGAATCTGGAAATTTTAGCAGGAAAAATAACAGGAGGAATAAGGAAAATCAGTAGCTTTATTAGGCCATCCCCAATGGCCAGCTTCTGTTAATGTACTATTAGGAACAACAGCTAACTGATGTGCTGATCAGGAACATCAGCTTCAGTTTTTACCATATCAACAGCAAAATTACAGATAAAAAAGGCAGAAGAATCAGTAGTTTTGATCCAGCCATCCCCATGGCCAACTGCTCTAAATGTAAAAGAATTGTACAAATGCACATGCTAAAATACACAATCATCACAACTTAGAATTCGCCTAATCCCCCCGGCTGCCGGCTGGTATCTTACGCCTTTCAACTGTCACCTCCATCGACCCTACGCCTACGTCGTCTACCTGAACGGTTCAAAAGCATCTGCCCTTGAGCACGGAGACGAGAAGCAAGTGATGTGACACCACCACCACCATCCTCATCATCCTCATCGTCTGCAGTCCAATCATAGCTGTGATGATGGTCAATGTCGTCATCAAATGCACCGACTGGTGAAGGGTGTCGATTGCCACCACGGGCTCCTTCTGACTGATGGTGGGAACCCGATGCAGACCCAAAGGCATGCAACAGCATAAACACATTCATCAGATTCTGATCAAAACCTGCAAATCCTCCTCCTCCACTCCTATTTGCAGCCTCAATGTCAAACCCCATATCTTCATCATCATCTGAATCAAAATCACCACGGTTTCTCTCAATCACATAATCCCCGAAAACCAACGAACCCGGCATTGTAGATCTTATTGTGCTGAGAACATCATCACGCTCTCGCTCCCTTTCCAACCTTCCCCACTTCTGCTCCAATAGAGGGTCTACACCACGAGGTGTTGCACAAGGGTGAACCCCCTTCATGTGCTTCCTCAATTCCTTGTAAGTGCCCACGAATGAACAATCATCCTGCATACAGTTTCTTTCCTTGGAATTCAGATATTCACGGGCAGGCTCCACCACAGTCCACCCTTTCACTTGGCCCCTACAAAGAGGACAGGCAAGCTCCGAGATCTCACACTTCTCGACATCCCTATTCGCATATGCTTTCTTGTACTGGTCAAGACAATTGGAATAACGGAAGCTAGTCCCACACATATAGGGACGGCAACCCTTGTCATGAGAGGAGCAAAGCAACAGGACTGCATTATGTGGACACTCCATGCAAACAGAGCAAGTCACATCTTCCCAGTCTTTCTTATCTAATAATAACCCTTTGGATCCTTTCGGGCAGCATTGCTCTTCAATGTGACTGCCACAAGTCCGCAAATGGTAGGGAGCCATTCTGCACTGTCTGTAAGAAGCCCTACGTCGCGACCTACCAACTTTTGCCATGTGAACTTAACCTACATACGTGATTGATATGAACTTCAAAATACTTGTGAAGCAAACATTTAAGAGAAGACCATTAACAAAAAGAGTAGATGGAAGTGACCGGAAAATATAGGAAGCATCACGAGTTTCAGGACATAAAGAGAAAGGAATAGCAGTAATAATATAGACAAAACCGGAATGTGCAGTAAATGATACCGAGAAGCAAATTTAGAATGATACATAAATAACGCTTAACCCTCCAAAACAACAGCATATGAGGTAAGAAGTGTCAATGCTAAACAAAAGGGCTCTTCTCCAGTTCGTAATGAAGCAACAACAGTTAAAAGAACCCTTTGCAAGATATAATTCACCATCTTGTTAAAAGAACCCATTCTAAGATATAATTCACCATCTTGTTAGAAGAACCCTTTCTAAGATATAATTCACCATCCAAGAGGATTCTACATAGTGGTTCAATTGCACAAAAACAGAAGACAGAAGCAAGCAATATCCAAATCATTGATAGATATTGGGAAATGTACATTCAAGGTAACGCCATCATAAATCCAAATCACAGAAATAATTCAAAGTCAATTCAGCTCATTCTTAACAGTACCCACAAGTATTTTTGGATAATGAAGTATCCAAACATCAAATGGCTCGTCATCAATCAGCAAGCATGTGATTGTGAAACCAAACAACCCCCACAGAATTGAGTGACCACCCAGAGAACAGATAATGCAGAATAGCCAGGAACAAAACCAGAACACCTCCAGGTAATGAATTCAAGCAAGTTCAAATTAGTTCTCAAGTTGTGGATCTAAACCAACAAAAACTGGAGAACCAACAGAACAAGCGACTCACAGTCAAAAGCTTCCGGAACTTGCACCAAAACGAAAGCGACAAGTCGCCCGACTGCTGTGTAGCTGGTTCGGAAGCTGGAAGACGGGAAGGAGGAAGCAGCAGCAGAAGGCGAAGCTATCTAACGCGAAAAGGACGGAAGGAGCAGAAGAAACGGTGCCGGTCGAGATTTGATCTGCGGCGACGAGAATGGCGGAAGGAGCAGCTAGTAGAAGGATCAATTGTGGGGAGAGCGGAATCGTGCAATTGAACAAGAAGAATTGACGAAGATGACGGGGAAGGTAATTAGGGATTGCAGATTGGGAATCGAAATGGAGGGAGAACGAGGAACATCGTGGTGTATTGATTGGGAGATGGGAAAATTGAGGATGCACGGAAAGGTAACCGTCCGTCAGTATCTGGTTCCGAGGATAACCCGGACCATGGGCCGGTAACCCGCCAGAAAGTGGTTCAGACCCGACCTTTTGTCTGGGTCTAGCTGTCGAAATGGGCCCACCAGGCCGTACCTGGGTTAAACTTTGCCTGGGCTCAATGTGGGCCTATCTTATCTTATCACGTGGGGCCATCATGTGACCTAGCACGGTTGTGCCTTTTCTATGGGTGGGCAACGATCCGGTGAATCGATAATTGGATCGAGCTAGATCGAATATATTTTTATTCGATTTCGATCTATAAATATTTTTAAGTATGAAGAAAAAATTGATCGAAAATGAATTTGGACCGGACCGAACCAAATTGAACCAAAACCATCAAATATACTTTTGGTTCGGTTATGATCCTTATTTTTTTCTTTATTTTTGATCCGATCCTATCTCAACTCGATTTGGTTCTGGATCGAAGCAACCGATGGCCGCCCCTTTCCCATAGATTTTCTTTTTGTTTTTGTTTAGGTTCTGGATCGAAGCAACCGGTGCACCATGAATTTTGCTACCCGTTATTAGCCTAGACCTTCAAGTTCAAAACCAATAGTATTACCACTAATCCAATCCGTGTTCGCAAACCATGAGCTAGACATTTTTAATTAATCAGTAGCTTCATTCAGCGATTTCCAATTAAGAAGAAAAGTCAACTGTTGTGCTGATCAAGAACTTCAGCTTCAGTTGAGCATATGAACAAGGAAATTACAGATACAAAGCAGAAGAAGGTGAAGTTCATTGTTGATCAAGAACTTCTCTAAATGTAACAATTGTACAATACACAATCCCATCTGTGATATCACTCCCTAATCCCTCCTTCCCTAAGAAGGTGATGTTCAGTGTTCACCTGCAATATATTCCTGCTTAAAATGGCATGAAACCGGCTTGTCATCTGCTACCTCTGTCCATGTCCCTACGCCTAGGTCGTCGTCTACCTGAACGGTGAGAAACAAGTGATGACATGCCACCACCACCATCGTCGTCTGCCATCTCATCGTAGCCATGATGATGGTCAATGTCTTCTTCATCAAAGGAAGCCAATCCACCAACTCGAGAGGTGTTGGGATCGGGCATCCCCACCGGCTGTGGAAGCCGTCTGCTGAACTCATCACGAGAGGAACCAAAGGCGCGCAACAGCATAACCACATTCACCAGATTCCTACCAAAACCCACAAATCCTTCTCCTCTACTCCTGTTTGCAGCCTCAACTTCAAAATCCACATCTTCATTTTCATCATCATCATCTGAATCCAAGTAGTCACCACCACCGTGGTTCCTCTCAATCACGTAATCCCCAAAAACCAACGACCCGGGCATCGTAGATCTTATCGTGCTGATGACATCATCATGCTCACGGTCCCTCTCCAGCCTCCGCCACTTCTGTTCCAACAGAGGATCTACTCCACGTGGTGCTGCAGAAGGGTGAACCCCCTTCATGTGCTTCCTCAACTCCTTGTAAGTGCCAACAAACGAACAATCGTCTTGCATGCAGCTTCTTTCCTTGGAGTTCAGATATTGGCGTGCAGGCTCTACCACAGTCCAGCCTTTCACTTGGCCCCTGCAAAGAGGGCAGGCAAGCTCCATGATCTCACACTTCTCTACGTCGCTATTCGTGTATGCTTTCTTGTATTGGTTCAGACAATTCGAGTAACGGAAGCTAGTCTTACACATATAGGGACGACAACCCTTGTCGTGAGAGGAGCACAGCAACAGAACTGCATTGTGAGGGCACTCCATGCAAACAGAGCAGGTCGCTTCTTCCCAGTCTTTCTTATCAAATAATCCTTTGCAGCCCTTATTATTTGGGCAGCATTCCTCTGCATTGTGAGCATCACAATTCGGCAACTGGTACGGAACCATCCTGTACTGTCTGAAAGAAGCCCTACGTTGTGATCTACCACTCTTTGCCATGTCCCAACTTAACCTACATACGCATTTAACGGAACTTAAAAATACATGGACCTTCGTGTGAAGCCGATTATGTAAAAGACCATTCAGAGAAAGAGCTCGGAGAATGCGAAAGAATGAAAATTTTAAAAGTGGCAAGGGCTCAGGACATATAGAGAACATAATGGATGTCATAATATAGAGAAAAACAAATCTTTCAATAAATGAACCTTCAAATCAACAGCATATATGAGAGGGGATCATGTCCATGTTCAAGAAACAATTCGTCACCCAAGAGAATTCAACAAATGGGATGAATGATTCCACGTTCAACATAAGGTGTCGAGTCAAATACCCAGATAACTGGAATATTTGAGCAATGTACAATTCAGATGAAGACATCATGAAGCTAAAGCACAGAAATGATTCAAAGTCAATTCAACTCATTCTAAACAATAACCACCAATGAAGTATCGCCATCAGCTCATGAATACGAAATGGGATCATCATCAATCAGCAAGCAAGGGAAACCATTGAAACCTAGCACCCATGGAGAATTGAACTCTAACAGATCATCCACAAATGCAGAATAACCAGGAAATGAAGTCGAACACCTACTACAGGTAATGGGTTCAAGCAATTTCCAATTATCCTCGAGTGCTGGATCTAAACTGAACAAGAAGGAAGAGCAGAAGCGACTCACCGTCAAAAGCTTACTTCTATTATGACTTGCACCAAATCGCAAGTCGCCCGATCGCAGCGGCGAGGACGATGGCGGAAGGAACAGCAACAACCAGCTAGCTGGCTAGCAGAAGAATTGATTGAAATTTTGCGGATGAACAAGAAGAATAAAGAACGATGAACTTTTCGGGATTGCAGATTGGCAGAAATGGAGAGGAAATAATCGTCCTGTCGGGGAAGATTGGCGATGGATTTGAAGAATGCACAAATCTTTCACGCGACGCAAAGGTAGCCCATCAGCATCTGATTCTGTTTTCTTTTTTTTAAGACAAAGAGCATCTGATTCTGGAGGATAACCCGGAGTCACGTGCCGATAACCCGCCTGACTGAGATTCAAACCCGAATTTCAACATAGTGTCGCCATGTGGCATGTGGCCAATAATCCGATCCAACAAATCCAAGTTGGATCGAATACAACATAATTCAATTTTAAGTTTTTCTTAAAATAAAGAAGAGAATAAAAAAAAAACAATTTGAATGAAGAAATTTACAATTTTGAATATGATGTACTTTCATTCTTCAAATTTCATTTATTTTTTCGTTTAATCCACGCTTGATTAAGTTTACATAGAACCGACTACTGCAAAGAGTGTCGACTGTGCTTGGATGGATAAGAACCTAACTATATGTTTTTACGACACATAGATCTAGTTTATCAGATGTTCGCGAAGGAACAAATCTAACTTATAAGTCATAGCATTGCATCTTGCTCGATCAGTTTAGACTAGGGTAATGGTTGCCGATGGTGGAAATGACCAAAAACACTTTCTTAATGGTTTTGTATGACACGTTGCACTTATCGAGTCGGACCTTGCTCATGGTGAATTTGATTAGTTTTTGTGGTGAATTTGATAAGTTTTTCTAGAGGGTGAAGAGAAACGGTAAATATCATGGAAAATACATCGGCAAGCTTATCATTTTCGTCACAAGATGAGCAACCCTATATATAAACAGGAAAGTATGAAGAAAAAAAATTGACTGGGGAAGACAGCAACCCAGCTGGAAATGAACACAGGCGAAATGCAGCCCCACAACAAGCTTCTAAAACTAGCTAATCTTTAAGCTGCTGAGGAGGATCAGTGACAGCTTCAATTCTTTTGTTTTGTTTTTTTTTTTTTTTTTTTTTTTTGTTGTGAAAACCGTTTTCAATTCCTTGGCAACAAGGAAACGAAGCCGTGCACACCAAGCTTCCTACCCACAAAAGGAAGAAGAAAATGTCACAGCAATCATATCAAAGATTAGCCATCATTAGAGTTGTATCTTCACGCTGTCGTAGCGATCCAGGATCCATGAATCTTTCAAGTTCAAGACCAGCATTTCGTTTTATTTAGTAGGCATAGTAGAAGTTGTTAAGAGGCACTGGAGTTTCTGGGGTTTTTCCCCCCTACGAGAACAAAGCTTTCAGCCTCCTTGCAGCCTCCAGGATGCTTTCCCTGTGGCCAAAAGCACTGATTCTCAAAAACTCTTCACCTCCAGGGCCGAATCCACATCCTGGAACGGTTATGATGTTAGCCTTCTCGAGGATCATATCAAACACCTCCCAAGAATTCATTCCTGGAAAATGAACCCAAACGTAAGGCGCATTTTGGCCTCCGTATGCCTTGATGTTAAGTGAAGCAAGAGCATCCAGAAGTATCTCTGCGTTCTCCTTGTAGTAGTTGACCCTGGTTCGGACACCCTGGTGAAAAGAGTTTGTTCAGTAGTTTCAGTAAAACGGGCCAGGTCTTAAAAGTCGAGTTACCTTTGATGCATAACCGATCTCTGCTGTTCTAAGTTCTTACCTCGAAACCTTCAGAGGAAAGACAGGCAAGTCCACCAGCCTGAGCTATATTCGAAGCTCCATTGAAGCAAGTGCACACCACGCGATTGAAGTCATGTATAACAGGGAAACCATTCGAGAAGCAGAGTTCTGAGGGAACTACTGTCCAGCCAAGGCGAACTCCAGTGAAACCAGCAAATTTTGAGAAAGAAGAAATCTCAACTGCAACCTGGTGGGGAAATCAACCTAGTGAGTCATCATTTCTGAAAACAAAACCGTAAAACATAGTATCATATATTCGAGGGTTAAGATGTTTACCTCTTTAGCACCAGGAATTTCGAAGATAGATCGAGGAGAATCGTCGGAAATGTAAGTTGCATATGCAGAGTCGAATACTATGATTGATCCATTATCTTTAGCAAACTTTACTAGCTGCTCTAACTGCTGCCTAGTTGCTGCATGCCCAGTTGGGTTATTTGGAGAGCAAAAGAAGATTACATCCGTGCTTGATGTCCTTCTCAAATCAGGGAAGAATTTGTTTTCAGGTCCACATTTCATGTACTCAAGGCGATGGTATCTACCGGTTTCATGGTCCAGGTCACCAGCTTGGCCAATTATTACGCTTGTGTCAATGTAACCCTGGAACGAAGCATTTTTTTTGTCACTAGATTATGGGAAAATTCCATCTCATCAAGAACCAAAGTATCAAAGACTGACAACAAGTAGCAGACCACTTACCGGAAATGATGGATCTTGAACAGATGCAGTCACTCGTGAACCAAGAAGCAGCTGTAAGTAATGGGAAGAAGTCGTACATCCATTTGAAAACCATAGTCAAGTACCATAAACAAAGATATAAAGATGCAGCACAAACTGAGGTCCCATCAAAGTATGGTATACGTAGACATCACAAGACATTTTGGCAGCTAAAGGAAACAAATAAAGTCAGATAATAACAATCACCACTGGAATATGTACTAATCTGGTACCTGAAGGCGAGCGATGTCACACTGTGCACCATCAGATACAAAAACTTCAGAATCTTTCACATTTACATCTTTGTAGAATGTTTCTGCAATTGCTTTCCTGAGTTCCTGCAAGTAGATGTACGAACTTGCACAGTGTTCATCTGATACTAATAATAGATCTTTCGGAAAATACGTTTGTTACCCACAAACATACATGTTATTTCATCAATAATGTTCCCTTCGATATGAATTTTAACTGGTAAGGTTATTATTGCAAGTGCCACGAAAACATATTAACTGAGATGAACTTGCTTATTTTTCAGTCAAACCAAGTGGGCAAACCACGTTGTCTAAGTTGACATGGACAACAAACAAACAAAGAGTTCACTTTGCAGTCAATCATGACCAATAGTGCAGAAAAATATATAAGAAACACAAATGACATGAACCTTTCCCCTACTGTTCGTTTCCTATAAAAAAATTAAGGTGGGTTTGACTTCCGCTACAACAACATTTGAGGTCCAGTAAACAGTCAACAAAAAGTTACCTTGTTGCCTTGCTCAGCTCCATATCCTCTGTACCCTTCTAGTGTTGAAAGGCCGCTTGCAAACTGCAGAGTGGAAATGTAAGAGTTAAACTTCTTTAATGGGGGGGCACTTCATATTGAGTCAACAATTGATACAAGGGGAGATGAGAAAAACCAATGTCATAGGTTCGGATTAAAAAAAGGAAAACAATGTTCAGTTCAAGTCTTTTAGAGTAAACATAGCAATGACAAGAAGCATAATGTCACCTAAGCTCATACCATACCTTAGAGCTCTATTCATGTCTGCAAACAAAAGGGAGAAGCAAAGGGGGAAAACAGAAAGATAAAGAAAGAACATTACATCGGCCATTCTTGATGTTACAATGTCTGGTACTGGTTCTGTTGTATCACCAATCCCAAGGCTTATCAAGCTTGCGTCAGGATGTTGTTCAAGGTGCTGATGCTGACGCAAGGAAATCTGTTTCCAAAACAGAAAAATCGAGAAAATTCTTCATAACAAGCGTGAATATCTTAGATAGCCGAGAGAGTGTGCAAAGGAGCAGATCAACAAGAAAGGAGCGCAGAACAATTCCATAAGTGAAAAATAATGAAAGAGCAATCAATCATCACTACCAAGGGCTTCATTTTCTAAACTACTGTGAAGGGGTGGAAATGCAAAGAGAACAGCTCATTTAGAGCAAAAGCTCGACAAGATGCCCATGCTCGTGGAAGTGAACACTGATGAGAACAATTATAAACATGGATACATGCAGTAACAGTTGAAGCGGGGGGAAAAAGGTACATGAATCTCGCAACGAACCTCAGGAAACAGATAGCCCTTTGGTAGCTTCTCCAAGTTGGCATTACGAGGAACATTTGTGTAGTGATCTATGATCACACAACATCATTTTCATCAGTTATAACATTGACAATCACAAAAAAAAAAAAATCAAGAATATTTCAGAAGAATTGCATACATAAGCACATACCTTTCTTCTCCTTTCTGATTCCAAAGCTGAACAAAACATGAAAATGAAAGGGGGCAAATGAAAAGAGAGGAAGCAGTGAGTATGTGAAGGGGCTAAATGTGTATGAAATTTGGAGAGACCAGTTCAGTTATGCAATTATAGCCTAAAAATGAGAGACAAAGGTTCATATTTTGGCTGGAAGACCAGTACCTGGTATGGAGGCATCCAGGATCGAAGAGCTTGTCAGACAATGTAGAATTACAAATCAGAAGCTTGTACATTTTATGAATTAGTACTTCTCCACGTAAACTCTAATACAGCTTGTGACTTAAGTTTAGGCAGCAATAGCATGAAGCCTACTGACTCAATGGACACACATATATATATATATATATAGCAGCAAGTAGTAACAATGTCAACATAACTACTTTCCTGTTCACTAACTTGGACTAATTGTTTTCAAAGGTCAAAACCAAAGCAAGGTAGAAACTTCTGCAGTAGTTTGTCCCTGGAAGCAAGCACATGTGTATCTGTCTATTCACACTCATGGAAATACTAGGAATTTCAAGTTCTTATGACTTGTTGGACTCATGCATTCAAACAAACCGATTTTAAATCAGCACTTATCAATTGGCATATCACTTATCAACTGGTATATTCTCACCTAATCTAACGTTCTGACCCTGTTCAAGGAAGATGGTATTGACTTGAGTCATGTAACTCACGTAGAAACTTACCAATTCCCATCAAACTCTCCAAATTGTACAAGCCTGTTAGAAGTCGTTTCATTGCATGTAATTGTTAGGGTGAAATTAGCAACTTCATGCAAAAGAACAAATGTATCGTTTTTGGTAGACACTTTTGATGCATTTGAGTGCAATTCAGAGTGCACATGCAATCTCAAACACTTGGAGATTGTAGTATTTGAAAACTCACTCTATAAAAGTGAGTTCCACACGTCTTTATCCCCACTTTTCTGGCTCGACTTACAGCACAGATGCATTAAAACAAACAATGTTTTTGAAAGTACAACTCACATAATAGCATGCAATTGAGACAAATGACAACAACCTACAAGTACAACCAACCAACGGGCTCTTAATTGGCCTATAATATAGGTCTGAGTAGAAGTTCTCAATGGATGCATGAAGCTTCAGATTAAATCCATTGCTAATGCAACCACTCTTACAAATGTGTTTTTAGGCCACAAGAAATCTGATTTCAGAGATGGTAGTGCCTTACAAGACCAAAAAAGAAGTTGGTAGTTGTCATTCACACTACTTCCAGTTCCCAAACTGACAACTTTGGAAGTTTGATGAAGCAAAACGACAATATGAAGAGTCCTTACAATCACCAGATTGGCACTGTACACGTGCAGAAACAAGGCAATAATGTGAACACCATAACTGACCACATAATCCATTCTGATCCTAGTCCTAGTGGTGTCCTTACATTGAGTGGGTTCTAGCCATGCAAGTCATGGGACAAACCATATGTTCTGGTACTGTGCTAAAGTGAAGGTAAAGTCAAAGCATAATTGGCTGTTTGAGGCAATTCATCAAACATATGGAGGACATAAACTCTCGTTCCCCCACATTTTCCAAACCGTTCCAGAATAGTTAACAGTGTCAAGAAATCCAAATGTTCCGTAAGTGGTTGTAGTTCTAGATTAACTAGCTCCTTAGAAATAATCTCCATCATCATTCATGAGCTTTTTTCCACAGTTTACAGCAGCCCAACAAGTCTAACTAAACCACTCACGTTTGTTGAGTTGACAAATCAACAAGAACCTTCATGGAAATTATCTCCAAAATTCCACGAGTGCTCCGAATTGAAACAATCATGAATTTAACCTTAAACAAGAGCTCTCACCTTTAATTGAAGGGAAAGGGCAGGAATTCTGCGCCCAATTTGGTATATGCCACAAATATGAAGCTGCCCTTTCAACCAGGCCAGAAACTACAGAAGAAACTGCAGAGAAAGCGACGCATCCCAAAGGGTGGAAATTTGGTTTTTGGAAGAACTCTAACCGTTCAAGATTCTCCTTGTCGTCAATTTGAGTGGAGACCAGGCACCAGCCATGGAAGAAGCAGAAGAAGAAAATTGAAATAAAGAAAGCAAAAGAATAATGTGATTCATTAGATCAGCCTCGACAAAGTGTGAAACTTTGAGAGGAAACAATGAAATACAAGAAGTCAAATGAGGAACCCAGATAGCCATATTCCTCTAATGCGACATTCGGGTGTCTTTCAGCCTTTGACCCGCGCATTTTCTTGCTTATTTCCTTTTCCCTCCTCAGTCTTCTCTAGGTTCGTGTACTAGTAAGTTCAGTGGTTTGAATTTGAGGAGGAAGAGTTGGAACAACCAAACATCGAAACCAGAGGCAAAGTTCAGTGATTTTGCAAGGACCAAGATTGGAATTTGTTGGTTGTTAAGATTTGGGAAGGGATTTCAGATTTGTATTTGAATTTGGATTTGGATTTGGATTTGGATTTGGGAATAGGATATGGAAATCATAGTACTCATAGGGTGCGTTTGGATACAAGAATTTGGATTTGGTATTTGTGATTTGGATTTTCAAATACCAAATCATGTGTTTGGATATTAATTACATTTGGTATTTGGATTTGTGTCAAATTCATAGGGTGATTTTCAAATACATGTCTAGTGTATTTTTTGTCAACTTCAAATACATTTCAACAACTAGTGATTTGAAATACCTCCTAACAAAAGAATGGACCTATTTGTAAAATATGAAAAGTTTAGGTTCTATAGTGTGAGCAAAACATATAAAGGTACCAAAATGTAATTTTACCATCAAAATTTCAGGACCTTTTTGTAAAAGTTTAAAAGTTTAGGTACTAAATTGTAAGAAAAAATAATTTTGGGTACCAAACTGTAATTTACCAAATTTTGTAGTAAGTGACCAAAAAATTAAAAATTGAAATTGAAAATCATAAATACAAAAATACAAACAAATTACAAATGATTATCCAAACAATGAATTTGAATTACATGTATTTCAAATGCTAATACTTCAAATACATCCATTTCAAATACCAGTATTTCAAATACCTTACATTTAAAATACACTTATCCAAACGCACCCATAGTGATTTTGTAATTTTTGATTCTAATGTATTATTGGTGACGTAATTGATTTTTTTCAATTGTTTGAGATTCGAATTTTAAGTTAACAATGAAAGTGTTAACAAGAGTAGGTTGTTCTAGCTCGATACCGTTAAAGAATTCACTTAATTCGCAAGTAATTTCCATGGCTACATAATCCAAACCAATAACATTGTGTTCAAAAGTGCAACCTACGTATATCAAAGCCAAGTGAATCTCATATTCAAAATGATGCATCCAAACGATCCACGAAATCAATGTGAAAGACCAAAACTGATTTTGCCATCAATCTTCTCATCCAGCCACTCCTCTCCCTGAATGAACTCACCCGGAGTAAAATGAACCGCCTCGTCCTTCCCCACAACCCGAAACCCCTTCCACTTCACCCTCCCTCCGGTCGCCGCGCCGGCGCCGGAGTTCCCATACTCCTCAAAACACAACGTATCCAAATACAGATCCCCCAGCCACGGCATCCACCCCTCCGGCCGAATCACGCCCCCGATTTCCGACTCCATCACCACCGCCCTCGAGTACGCCTTCCACGGCCGGCCGAGGTACGACGGCGGCACGCCGCCGTCCTCCGCCACGATCCTGCAGTTCTGGAGCACGATCCCGGTGGTCTGCTGCTCGATCGCGCGCCCCTGCGCGATCACGGCGTTCTGCTGGCTCCCAATCGGGCGGCGGATGGTGATGACAGAGTTCTGAATGACGGCGGCGGCGTAGCCGAAGATGAAATCGATCGTGCCGGAGATCTCGCAGTTGTGGTAGAACTGGCGGTGGGCGTGGCAGTAGAGGGAGTCTTGGTAGCCGTCGATTGCGCAGTCGATGAAGGCCGATTTGTCGCCTTGCACGCGGAGGGCCACCGCTTGGTGGCCCTCTGGGCCCGCTGTGTTCTCGAAGCCCATTGATTGGGCTATGAACCCCGGGCCCAACGCCTCTGCACCCAGCCCACAAATAAAACTGTTCAATTATTTCCGCCCCGTGGGATAATTGTTGCTTCATCTTCATAAGCACAAATATAAAATTTCATCTACCATTTACTTCATAACATGATATTTGATTATATACGCTATATTGTTGTGATAAATGTCACTTTAACGTCCAGATCAAAATGTTTACACATGGTAATTTTGTGCATTATCGGTAATTTTGTGCTATGTGGTTCATCGACAGATGTATAAGTCCAAATCGTTTATCAACATAAATCGGCCTAACGTCGAACTTACCGAAAGTGGCAGTTTTCATGGTCCGGAAACCATCCCGATTGCTTCGATTCCCAGTCACAATCGTCCTCCGAGCTCCATCTCCAAACATGAACACATTCCGTTGATCCTTCCTCACCGTTACATGCTCCTTGTAGACGCCCTCCTTCACGTAAACCACATAGTACCCACCCGTATCCTCGACTTTCTCTCGATCGTACGCCGCCAGAGCTTCAGAGATCGTCGTAAACTGCCCGCTCCCGTCCTGCGCCACCACAATTTCGAAACTGAACCCCTCGTCCAGCATCCTCCTCCCTCGCCGTCGCCGTCGTCGCGTCGTCATCAGATGCTTCCGACCACCTTTATGATGCTCCCTCTGGGTCCGCCCTAGTGACGTGACCAGACCGAGCGACCGCGCGATCTCGTTCACCATCGCGAGCGCGTTGCTCGTCAGCCGCGTCGCCCTCCCGAGCCCTCCCTTCATGACGGAGCCAAAGGAGTTGGGCTGACCTGTCACGCGACACACGTGTAAGTTTTTATAAAACGATAATAAAAAAAAAAAATCTATATATATATATGATATGGAAAAGATTTGAACCCACCCATTTAAAGTGACATAAATGTATTTTCTATCAATACACCAAACTTCACTTATAATCTGTTGTAATAAGTTAATTTTACTACGTTATAACGGTTAGTGTTGTGGTCTATGATTCACGATTGAACTTCTCCCAACAACTTGAGTTATTGGGAGCAACTGGTTCTTGACATAGTATCAGAGCCTTTTGTGACTGAGAGGTCTTGTGTTCGATTCCCGATGACCCCCATTTGTTAAGCACATGGTATCCTTGTCTTCAGACCTGTGCAAACTTTCAAGCCATTGTGAGTGGCTTTCGTTTGAGGGGGCGTGTTAGTGTTGTGGTATATGATCCACGATTGAACCTCTCCCAACAACTCGAGTTATTGGGACCAACTGGTTTATGACAATAACTTATAAGTAAATATCCCCAAATCGAAATTATTTACAACAAGAAAAAAAAAAGACACACCTAATTTCAACTTCTGTGACCGTTCGACCAGGTGGTCAAGGCAGGTGTACTGGTACGAAACGACAGCGCTCAGCCAGTTCTGAAGCTCCGTGATGACGTGTCGGCTGTCGTCAGCGGCGGCCGACACGTTGTTGGCTCGGGGCGTGAGGAGCTGGCTGCTGTTGGCTAAAAAAGACAGGGATTCTTGGAGCTCGGAAACGGCGTCGGATAACAGGTCCCTGCAATCTTCCAGCGCCATTCGTAAGCCTCTGATGGCGGTGGTGTTCTTCTCGCGGCGGCGGCCGACGTTGATTTTCTCGGTCAGAGCGGCGGAGAGATTGAACGATCTCTCCGTGGCTTCGATCGTGGCGGTGATCGCCGCTTTGATGAACTCCTTGGGGTCGTTCGTTGCGTTTACCGGTCGGAGGGTTTCCTCGCATGCTTGCTTGTAGTCGGTGGAGGCGCACATTCGCGCGACGGTTAATCTCGTCGCTATTAACGTGCTATTGTGACCGTTTTCGGCTATAGCGACGGCGGCTGCATGTATGAGAATTAGGCAAAGTGCCGGTCCGATTCGCTTTCTCGTCATTTTTTTGGGGTGTTTTTAGAGAGGAATTTTGTGTTAGGGTTTAGGGACTCTTCTCATGTTTGCTTAATGTGACTGGGATTAGTGTGTGACACTTAAACGTAGTAATGAAAAAAAAAAATTATATACGGAGTAAACTCTGGAAAAAAGTTTGTATCCTAGAATAGCAGGTTAGTATGAAATGGGGAGACGTGGTTTCATGGTTCTCCGATTATCATGAATGTTGACTGGAGAACATTGTGGATCGTAATGGAGGCGAATTTGTTAGTGAATTTACATTAAGGAAAAGGTTATAACAGCTTTAGAACTATGTCAACGGGAAGTTTGTTTTGTTTGACATATTATGTCAACCTAGTTTTTAGTGAAATTTTGTTACACGAATAATGATGAATAATGATTACGTAACTTTTCACCGCAGGTTTAGGTATTAAGGTAATTGATGTGAACGACTATTTAAGCAAATCACTACCAAAAATCTCAGGCTTCACGCTTTGAATTGATCATCTAACCTCTTAACTTGAATGTATACTCTCTCTTTTTTTGTCACAAATGAACCCGAATTCGCTAGTAGGAAATAAATCGGAAGCACTCTAAGTCTGTCAATAGAACCTAAAGAAAACGGTCCGAGGATTATAACATTTGCTACACTTATGGTTTGAATTCAAAACTAACAATTATTGTATGAAATATGTAAGAAAAAAATCTATGAAATGGATCGGCTGAAACGAGGCTCACTTATTTTGATCAAAATTTTAATTCAGAGACTAATGGAGAGCATATTATACTATATAGTTTTAAGCCTCTTATAATCTTATTTCCAATTGGACGAAAAGAAATTGCGCATAGCTTGAGCAATCCAAAGAACTCCATGCATGCCGCTAGAAGCTAGCTAATAATCAAACATATAGCTTAAATAGATAATTAAATGAAATAACATACTTTTTGAGTGATTAATCGACTAATCTTCTCCCTCGTCCACATAGATATTAGTAACAAAACTCAACCTCTCTCATCTACAACACCTCTCCTCCACAAAAATTAACCAGCCACCCCATAATTTTAGCTCCCAAAAATATAATTTTCTAAATTAAGATATCTGTAAATTTGTAATCCCCCTATAAGTACCTCCCCATCCCATCCGCCAATAATCGTAGTAGATAATAAAAAATAAAAAAAAATAAAAAGGAAGTATCCTTCCTCCTCTTTCATTTTTTTTCCTCCTTTCCTTCCCGGTCACCGGCAAATTATTCATTAGCTCGCCGGGAAGGGGCATCGAAAATAATTATAAAAAAAAAAACATACAAAATAAATAAAAACAAAAAAAGAAGAAAAAATTATACAATATGGTAGCTAAAATAGCAATTCCGGTCGTGTCCCTCCTCCTGGTGGTGGGCATCGTCATCGGCGTCGTCGCCTCCGTCAACCGGAGCGCCAAAGACCCCGCCGCCGACGAGAACCTCTCCCCTCACATGAAAGCCGTCACCCAAATATGCCAGCCCACCAACTACAAAGACGAGTGCATGAAGACCCTGAGCGGCGCCAACTCCACCGACCCAAAGGACCTCATCAAGGCCGGCATCCTCGCCGTCGCCGAGTCCGTGAAGAAGTCTTTCAACATGAGCGACGACCTCGTCGAGAAGGCCGAAAACGAGTCCAACAGGACGAAAACCGCCCTGTCGGACTGCAAGGAGCTCCTGCAGGACGCCTCCGACAAGCTCCAGGACATCATGGAGAAGGTCGGCGCGTCCGACATCAGCACCATCGCCAACCGGTCCGAGGATTTCAGGTAGAGGTGGCAATTAGAATCCAAATTCACGAATTCAGTCTAAAATACATCCATTTAAATATTAATCCAACTAATACTATTCATTTGAATCCAATTCATTTTAATCAAATTCAATTGGATTGGTAGACTTCTGATTCATGGATTGTTGGCAAATTATAATTTAGTACCTATACTTTTCAAATTTATAATGGTCCAAGGCTTGGTGGTCATTTGGACCTATGGATCAATCCATTTGATCCAAATCCAATTGGATCGAAGGATACATGGATTGTTGACAAATTACAATTTAATATCTATACTTTTATATTCTATATTTTGGTGTCTAAAATTTATTTTCAAGACAAAAATATCATTGAAATTTTACTTTTTGCCACGTAAAATTTTTCATTATGACAATATAGTCCCTAAACTTTCCAAAATTTACATAACGATCTAAGGTTTGGATATCATTCGAACTCATGGATCAATCCACCAATCCATTTGATCTACAATCAAATCGACTAATCCATCAATCCAATTCATTTCACCTCTGATTTCAGGATATGGATGAGCTACGTCATCAGCTACCAGGAGCTCTGCGTCGACGGGTTCGACGAGGACAGCACAGTCAGGACCGACGTCAGGCAGAGCACGGAGGTCGGGAGTCAGCTGACCGACAACGTGCTGACCATCCTGGGCGGGATTCAGCAAGTCCTTAGCTCGTTCGGATTGAAGCTGAACCTGACCAGCCTGGCATCCGCCGGCGGTGATCAAGACGATCACCACCGGAAGTTGTTGTCGAAAGAGAACGGCGGGTATCCGACGTGGATGTCGGCGGCGGACAGGAAGCTTCTGGCATCAAACCCTAAGATGACACCGAACGCGGTGGTGGCAAAAGACGGGAGCGGCCAGTACAAGACCATCTCCGCCGCCCTGGCGGCTTACCCCAAGAACTTTCAGGGGAGGTATGTGATTTACGTGAAGGCCGGAGTTTACGCCGAGCAAGCCAAAGTGGCCAAAGGGATGAAGAACGTTTACATGTACGGTGACGGACCGAGGAAGACCATTGTCACCGGTCATTTGAGCTACGCTAAGGACGGCCTCGGCACCTGGAAGACCGCTTCCTTCAGTAAGTTTACTACTATTACGTAATCTCTCAGTTAGTTTCAATAATTTGAGTTGTTAAAATAGGTTCACGAATCTTAAGTACTTTCTTACACGCTAGCCGCATAAAACGAAAGTCATCTCGTAGCCTTAAAGTTTGCTTTAGCTCATCATATATGCTTTAAGACAACGGTTAATATTGGGGGTCGTGAGGACTTGAACACGTGACGACCTGACAATCAAACCAACTTTGATACCATGCATGTCATAAACCAACTGTTCCCAATAACTCGAGTTATCGAGACCCAAGTGGTTCGTTCGCTGACATGGTATCGGAGCCTTTGATGATAACCGCAGTCATGTCTCGGTGTTCGAATTCAGACGATCCACATTTGGTATTCGTATCTTAGCGAATTTCAAGCTTTGTATGAGTTGGTTTTCGTTTGAGTTAGCTTGTTAGCAAAATAGTATAACATTCATAATTGAAAATTCTCCCAGCAACTCGCGATATATCGAGTTATTGGGACGAAGTGGTTTGTTTATTGACATGGGTGTTTCTACACAGTTGTGGAGGAGGACGGGTTCATCGCCCGGTCAATGGGGTTCCAGAACACGGCCGGACCGGAAGGCCACCAGGCCGTGGCGGTCCGCTCGCTATCCGACCGGTCCGCATTCATCAACTGCAGACTTGACGGATTCCAAGACACGCTGTGCTACCAAGGCGGCCGCCAGCTGTTCCGCAACTGCGTCTTGTCCGGAACCATCGACTTCCTCTTCGGATACGGCGCCGTAGTGGTGCAGAACTCGCTCATCATCGTCCGGAAGCCCATGGAGAACCAGTTCAACACGGTGACGGCCGACGGCAGGAAGGAAAGAGGCCAGCCCACTGGGATCGTGATCCACAACTGCAGGATCGTCCCCGAGCTGAAGCTGACTCCCGACAGGCTCACGGTGAAGACGTACCTGGGCCGGCCGTGGAAGGCGTACGCCACCACCGTGGTGATGGAGTCGCAGCTCGGCGATCTGATCCAGCCCGAAGGATGGAAGCCGTGGGCCGGGTCCATGTTCTTGGACACGTTGTATTATGCTGAGTATGGGAACCGTGGGCCCGGTGCCAGCACGGCGAGGAGGGTGACGTGGAAGGGCGTGCACAGCGTGTTGTCGAGGAGTGACGCCATGCGGTGGACCGTTGACTCTTTTATTCAAGGGAGGGAGTGGGTTGCTAATACCGGGGCTAATGTTATTTATGGGCTTAAAGCTTGATTAAAGTTTGGGTCATCGTGTTTGATTAAAGCTAAATTGTATGGGTGATGACAGAAAAACCCTACCCCGTTATGAACAGGAAGGGTGGAGGATTGAAGGGAGGAAAATTAATGAAAAAAGGAATATATTCATATTTATATATATGTGCGCGATTTTAATTCATGTTTTGTTAGCGTTTTTTTTATAAGGATTAAAAATCGTATCGGAGGTGGTATGAAAAAAGTCAATGGTAGTGTGTTTTTATGATGAAATCATGGTTGTCATGTCGGTGGCATGCCACCAGGTTGCACCTGTGTCGGTCATGAAACCGACATGACACCATCGACATGACCGGTATGATCAACTTGCATATTTTAAGCAAAATGACATAATTTAAATGAATTTAATTAATAAAAATTTAATTTCATATTTATTTTATGAATTTAATAGTTAAAAGTTGATTATATTTGTTGGATTGTAACTAATTAATTCACAAATATTTTTTTTATATATGATTAAATACATTGGATATTAATTGTTTTCACAATTTTTTTTATACCGGCATGATGAACCGGAACAAACTGGTTATACCACCACCTGTCGTACCATTTCACTTGCCAAACCGACACAACGGTATAAACCGGTTTGACAACTTTGGATGAAACTATGGTTTAATCATAGTTCAACCGTTTCACACCGCTAAATACCGCCTACCGATTTCGTTTCCGGTATGAGAATTTTCTTGTCGAACTGCCGCACGCAGTGCGATACGATATTTTTTTGAACATTGCTTGGAAGCATATTAATTATCTTCTTTCTTCCAAAGGAAAAGAGCCACTTGCTTTTAGTCTAAATTAATCCCTACACATGGAGAGACCTCGTCCCAATGAGCTTATATAGTATACTAGTGGTGGTGGGTGTTTTGACCAGCTCCTCATGCCAATGAGCTTCATTGCCATGGAAGACCTCCTCCAAAAGATGATCTTTTGCTCTTTTTCCTCGTCCTTCGTTATCCCCTTTCTCCTCACACTTGCAACCATTCTTGTAGTCACCTTACTCATCATTCTAAAGCAGAAGCTATCCAAAACCGCCGCCGTTTCAAACCTGCCGCCGGGCCCATGGAAGCTTCCCATCATAGGAAACATCCACCAGATGGCCGGCGACCAACCCCACCGTCGACTCAGAGATCTGGCCCGGAAATATGGTCCCGACGTGATGAGCCTTCAGCTCGGGGAGCTCTCTTACATCGTGATCTCAACTCCTGAAGCCGCCAAACTAGTGATGAAAACCCACGACGTAGCTTTTGCTTCCAGGCCTTACCTATTAGCCGCGGACATACTCTCCTATGGTTTCAAGGACATAGTTTTAGCGCCCTATGGAGAACACTGGAGGCAGATGCGCAAGATCTGCACGCTCGAGCTTCTCAGCGCGAAACGAGTTCAATCTTTCCGACACATCAGGGAAGAAGAGGTGTCCAATCTCGTGGACTCTCTTACTGCAGCTTCAGGGGAGCCTGTGGATCTCACTCGGATGTTGTCCACAGTAACGAGTTCCATAACTTCCAGGGCCGCATTCGGTAAAGCGCAAGAACTAACCGATGCTTTTATGGTCGTGATCGAAAATATTTCGGATGTTCTTGCAGGTTTCAGAATCTCCGATCTCTATCCTTCTCTCAAGTTGCTTCCGGCCCTCACCGGGTTCAAAGCTAAGCTAGAGAAGATGCGCAAGGCATCGGATTCTGTACTGGATCAAGTGATTGAGGACCATAAATCCAGAAGAAGGGCGGGAAGAAATGGTGATGGTGAAAAAGAGGATCTTGTCGATGTCCTTCTGAATCTTCAAGAGAAACAGAATCTTGGTGTACCCATCACAACGGAGGTCATAAAAGCAATCACTTCGGTATGTTGATATGATGATTTTACTTACTATTGTTATTTCTTTGGAGTTACGATACTCAGGAGTCACGATGTATTGACTTTTGTTAGGAAATGTTTCTGGCGGGCATCGAGACATCAACAACGGTAATGGAGTGGGTCATGTCAGCAATGATAAACGATTCGAGAGTGCTACAAAAAGCACAACAAGAGGTCAGACAAGTATATGGTGGTGATGATGGCAAAAATCATTTCGGCGAAGCCAAGCTTGATCAATTGAAGTATTTGGATATGGTTATCGCCGAGAGTTTAAGACTGCATCCACCGCTTCCTCTGCTTATTCCTAGAGAAAATCGAGATAAAAATGTGAGTTTTGGTTCATATGAGGTTTCGGTGAACACCAACGTCATCGTGAACGCTTGGGCGATAAATCGAGATCCTCGTTACTGGACAGAGGCGGAGAGGTTCTTCCCGGAAAGATTTGTGGATTGCCCAATCGATTATACGAGTACCGATCTCCAGTTCATTCCATTTGGTGCTGGAAGAAGGATGTGTCCCGGGGTTTCATTTGGAATGAAGATCGTGAAACTTACTCTAGCAAGTTTGATTTTTCATTTTGACTGGAAACTTCCCGCTGGACAAAAAAACATTAATATGACGGGATGTTTTAGAGCGACATTGAGAAGACAATATGCTCTCCATCTAATTCCAATTACGTACGGTCGCGTGCTTCCTTAGGCTGTAATACTCTGCTCATTGCACATTCTCGGAGCCTCGTTTTGGTTGCATGAGCGGGGTGATATGGAGATGTTTTAGTGATTTTCTAGCTTTATCTTCTGATGTTCTGCTTGCATTTTTGTCGTCCTTAACCTTGTACACTTTGTGTTTCCTTTCTTCTTTCTTGATCGTCCAATATAATGATCGACAATAAAGTTTGGACAATTTAGCAAAATTGATGGTTAATTGAAGTCACGATATTATAGATAGAAAAGATTTACGATGTTAAATATGTGCAAAGTTGGGGCGGGACAAAAATATTAACCCACACTTTAATAATGGAAGCTTGGTGTTATAGTTCTCATATATAAAAATTTAGTGTCTAATATGTCCCCTATATGGAGTATAGTGACCATATCCGCAATTTTCCTTCGCTCCACCCCTGGCCAAATTACGAATTCTAGCCTAAAGTAATGGGGAAATTGAAATGGGGAAAACAGCAGCAGAGTGTGAGGGAGCTGGAAAGTGGAAAGGAGCAAAGCTTCGAACATAATCATTGCAAGCCACGGCATATAATCAATTTGATCTAACGTATTGTATCGGAGAATCATCCTAGTTGGCACATGGCCACGACTGCAAACGGCGGAGGAAGAAGAGGTAGCAGCGGCGGCGTCGGAGACGAGCCGCTGGAAAAGATGACCGAGATAAGCAAAACCCTAAAAGAAGGGGAAAGGATTCTGGCGCCAACCCGAAGGCCCGACGGTTCTCTACGAAAACCCATTCGGATTCGTGCAGGTTACGTGCCTCAAGATGAAGTGGCCATCTACCAGTCTAAAGGTGCCTTGGTACGTTCTGTTGCTGGCGGGAGCTTTTTTTCTTTTTTTTCCTATGCGTTTATCGTCTTCTTCTTGCTTTGCCGCCTTCTTTTTCCGCATTGGGTTTTGAATATGTAATCAAATTAATGCGCTTTGATCGACATCCTTGCCATTGCTGGCTAGTTGCATCCTTTTCTGGTTTGTGAGAAGTTGAAGAGAATTGTTCTGTTTTCACCGAGCAATTTGAGAATAAAGAGAAGAAATTTCTGATGGTAGGATCCTTTGATGGACAATATATGAAATTCAGTCTTAAGCTCTTCAGTTGTGAACCATAGTACATATTAGTGAATCCTTTCTCGGCGGTTCTTGGTATCTGGAGGTGATAACGGTATGACCATTTATCTCCAGACAGAAATATGAAACATAGGCTTGTTTCCTTCAATGCAGTGGAAGAAGGAGATGGAATCACAGCAGTCAGTACCTCCGGGTTATGATCCCGTAGATGCAAAGCCAAAGTCCAAGGCAGCCAAGAGGAATGAAAGAAAGAAGGAAAAGCGACTTCAGGTGTGCTTCTTCTTCCCAGTCAAACATACATGTTTAACTATCCTTGATGTTCCCTTATATATTGCTATCCTTCCTGATCTATTATCTATGATCTGAAAAAGAGAATCTTTTTATGAACATTTCATTTATGGCCAGAGGGTATTTGCTGAAAGTAGATTGCCAAGTTCATCCATTGATCTTGGTAGCTTTGTATATGATCAACAACTAGAAACACTAAGAATTAAGAATCTGGTAAATTTGTTGAAATGCTGAGTGGTACAAATCAAAGTAGCAAATTCCTAAGAGGCGCTCTGGTATATGACCTATGCGGATTTAGTGTTCCTCAATTAAATTAACTTGACTTTTGATTGGCCCTTGAGGTCAGCTGACATTGTCTGTTTGAAACTGGTCATTGCATTTGTGAGTAAATTTACTTTTATACTTCCTGGAGAGTTCTTGCATGCCACACCCATCCTTTCTTTGAATTATGTGCTTTCCTTTTTGTGGTTGTATAGTCTAATGCAAATGGAAGAAGATTACTAATCCTTAACCACAGACCTTAAAAGTTAGTTCCCATGTTATATTGAGAATTCAAGATCAGTTTACTCTTCACTGCCCACGTTTTTGTCTACAGTTACTTTCACATGAAAATATTCGTATTGAAGTTAGCAACCCAGCATCCGAAGGTTCAAATTTTAAGTATAACTCCTGGAATGCACAGATAACTCCTTTGGTTTCTCTTTTTGCCTTAACTCAGGCTGAGAATCCTCATCTCCTTGTCCTCTCATTGTCCTGTTTTCTTGTCTTCAAAGAGCCCAACATTAAGAGTGACACTGTACACCCTGTATCACAGATATGAAAACATGCAGGCACACCTTCTGTCAGTTCCTTTTCTTTCACACTATCAGGAAGCTTTGGAACCTTCGAAACTCATGGGTTTAGCAGTCTTGTGATTTCAACATTGTAGATTGCGTGGGCTCTTAATAATGTACTTTGATGTTGTATCTTTAAAGTTAAAACCATTTATTGTAGAATACATGCATATTAACAATACGGTTTGTACTTCGTACCAATCTCAGTTGAAGCAGCTGATGTGTTGTTAGACATCATGCATCATTGAAACAGGGGAACAAAGCATGGTTGCCAGGCTAACTCTTAGTTTAGGAAAAGTTATTGCTTCAGATTAGCTAAAAGGTTGAACGCCGATTTTACCAGTTAGCTAAATCATCCTCTTTACTGGGTCTATCTGTTTGTTAAACCCCCATTATTAGCTAGTGAGCACAGGTAGACCTTACCAAAACTATTGCTGTAATTTGTAGAAAGGGTGCAACTTTTAGATGGAACTCTTATCGTGGACCATCATTGATGGATCTACATCTTGATGCATCCTGTTCTCTTACCTCTAAAGTAAAAAAGAAACCCTACTTTTATCCTCTGGTACTTGGTTCTGGATTGCTTGTAGATCTAACCGTAACTTTGCGCTAGCAGGCTGCTCTTGAGAAAGGCAAGAACTCGGAAGGAGTGTCAGATGTGGATGTCGAAAATGAAGAATCGCAGTCTACTGAAGATTTAGGGCATACATCCAAATCTGTTGAAGCATTGACATCTCAGATGAAAGCGATGGCTGTTTCAACAAATTCTATTGGAGTAACTCCTCCAGTAGACTCGTCGGAAGCTTCATGTCCCGAGCCTGCCATCCAGGATATTGATAAAAGAATCCGGGCTCTAAAAAAGAAGGTACTATTAATTCAAATGCCTTGTTCCTGTGTTCATCACGCGTTTTATGCAAGTAATCGTTCATCTCTCTCAGGAGATAAAAAATTTCCCCTCTGGGTTGGATACTTGAAAAAACTTGCCAATTTTGTGAACGTCAATGAGCTATCTTGAGTGTCGGATTAAAATTTGGGATGCCAGCCTGATTAATAGGTAGGATTAGGGTCTGCAGGGGCCATTGTAGTAATTCAGGAAGGAAACGAACAAACTAGGATTCAGGTTTGCTGTTCCTGTATTGGCATATTCTCTCTGGATAACTTGCTAATGGTTATCATCATCACATAAAGAAGGGAAGGGTGAAAACGTCTCTGGTGCCTTTAATTTAATTTGCAAAGCATGCTTGTAAGCTTCAAAAGCATGTATCAATATTTATCCTTTGAATAAAGTTTCAGCTCTTCTAACCAGCATGAAAGCTTACTTGTAGCAGTTTGGTACTAATGATTTGAGGGTAAGTGAATGAAAAATAATGTATTGGCAGCTTCTTCTTTTTCAATTCATTTAATGGCTGGCAACTCTGTAATTTAATTGATTGTTTCAACATCCATGGCCATATTTACCGCTACCCCAAAGCTTACCAGCAGTTATTACTTATTTGTCAACATAAGTTTGGAGGAAGTGGATGAAAAGCATTCAACCTATTCTTCTCTATATTCCCCAGATTCGGTTGGCAGAAGCTCAGCAGCAGAAGAACGCTGCAGAGAACGCGAAACCAGAACAGCTGGAGAAGTTCACGAAGCTGGAAGGCTGGCGCGAGGAGCTCAAGCTCTTGGAATCTACAAGGGCAGAGCAGGTATCATCCTGATTGCAGGCCTGCCTTCTTTTTTCTACCTTTGTCCGAACAGCAGTGTAGTTCATCGAATTCTTGTCTCTCGTGCTGATTGTCGAAACCATTGAACTCTTGAGACGCTATATCCAGACAGTCTTTTAGCCCACAGGATCTATCTTCTGTCCAGTGCCCAGTACAGTTATCGCTTAAGATCAGTCTAGAAATGAGATTTAGGTAAACGAACTTGTATATTGCCACTGTTTTGTGTGTCTTGTTTGGTTCTACTCTACACTGTGATGGCGATCTTCTTGAGGCCTTGTTGTCAAATTGGTCACGGAAGTTTCAATGATGTTACGAAATAGTCACCGAATTTCGATTTGGTCACAAAACGGTCACAAAAGTTTGAACGAATCACCGAAATCGTCAGGAGCGCTTCCATTCAGTAACAAAAGCTGATTGCTTTGGTAACACAATGGGTTACTTGTTGAGCGCTCAATCAAATGCTACGCATTTATTTAGTCAATTCTTTTGTTACTTTCGGTCAAGATGTTAGAACAAATAACCAAAAGATTGTAATACTGTATCGAAAGTTTTACCGGAAAAGCGCCTCAACGTGTAACGAGAAGGAAAAGGGAAGGAAAAGGGAATGCATATGTATGTATTCAATGACGTACATAGGAGCAAAATTTAACCGTTCTTTCACCAAAGTGGAAAAAAAAGCAGAATTAACCGTTCGAGATAATCAACATTCAATTAAATTAATTTCACAACGAAGAAAAACAAAAAGAAAGAAGAGAATTTCCTAAAACAGAAAAGGCGGAATTCGGCCCCCTGTCGGTCTGCAACTCCGCATGTCTTCCTCTGGAACCGTTGGTTTCCCTCATAGCTCTACAGCTGTAATACAGTCAGCACCACTCTCTATATAAGAACATCTCTAGACAGAGAAAGCCACAAAAAATCAGAAAACGGAGAGAGAGAGAGAGAGTGACACGGCGGAGCGGAGCGGAGCATTATTATTTCAGCCTAATTCACTTCTTCTCGCTCCCTCTTAATTAATCACCCCGCCTCGATCGATCGCGTTCTTTGAAATTCTTTCCTCTCTCTCTCTCTCGGAATTAATCTCTTTGATCCTGAGAGAGGAAAGCGAGATTAAGGGGCCCGGCGGGGGAGATTAATTAATTAATTAATGATCATGGGGAAATTGACGATGCGGGAGAGGGTGGAGGAAATGAAGCCGGCGGCGGTGATGGTGGTTGTCCAGGTGGCGTTCGCCGGCGTCAACATCTTCTACAAGCTCGCCGCCAGCGACGGGATGAGCCTCAAGATCATCGTCGCCTACCGCTTCCTCTTCGCCACCGCCTTCATGGTCCCACTAGCCCTCGCCCTCGAAAGGTGTAGTGTTCTTCCAAGTTTCCAATTCCACGTGATTTTTTTTAATTAATTAACTATATGCATGCCCCCGGAATCGAAACGCCGTCGTTTCATCACAATTCGCACTGGATTAGGGTTTAATTTAATCTCGGGTTAATTTAATTTAATCAGGAAGAAGCAGCCGAAATTCCGGTGGTCCATCCTGTTCCATGCATTCATCTGTGGCCTGTTCGGGTAAGCTCTGTTAATTTAAATCCCAGCTTAATGACATGTTTCTCTCCTATAATTAAAGCGATGACGATTTCCATGACGCAGGGGCTCGCTGGCTCAGAATCTGTACCTGGCAAGCCTGGCGCTAACCTCGCCGACGTTCGCTTCCGCCATGGCGAATCTCGTCCCGGCGATCACCTTCCTGCTGGCCGTCACCTTCAGGTTAATTAATTAATTAATTAATCAGTGGCTTGATTACGATTATACTGTAATTAGTGTGGTGATTAAGGAATGGTGGGGTGCAAAGCAGGATAGAGAGGCTGGGGCTGGGAAGCGTGGGAGGGAAAGCGAAGCTGGTGGGGACGTTAATTGGGATAGGTGGCGCCATGCTGCTGACTTTATACAAAGGCGCGGTTCTCGACATCTGGTCAACACATGTTGACCTCCTCCACTCGCCACCGCATTCCTCCGGCGGCCACGTGGCGGACCACCAGAACCGTGGCCTCGGCGCTCTCTTTGCCATTGGGAGCTGCTGCTCCTATGCCCTCTGGCTCATCGTTCAGGTCTCTACTCTTTTCTGCCTTTCTTTTATCTCTCTGGCGTACGCTAGTTTGAACTATATGCACGTGCGTAGTAATTATGGTACTTACGGTTACATGCATGCACTATTGCACTACGTCGTACGTACGACGACAGGCGAAGATGGGGGAGAAGTATCCGTGTCCGTACTCGGCGACGGCGTTGATGTGCGTCATGGGATCGATCCAAGCCATCGTATACGCTCTGTGTTCCGAAAGGGACTGGAATCAATGGAAGCTCGGTTGGAACGTCCGCCTCCTCAGCGTCGCATACTGCGTACGTTACTATAACTACTTCCTCTTTCTCTCTGCATTCAGTTTGTAGAAAGTCTTATATAAACATACGTGGGATTTTGCATGCATGGCAGGGAATCGTGGCGTCGGGGCTGATGGTGACGGTAATCGCGTGGTGCGTGAAGAAGCGAGGCCCGCTGTTCGTCTCCATCTTCAACCCGCTCATGCTCGTCTGCGTCGCCGTGGCTTCGAACCTCCTCCTCGACGAGAAGCTGCACCTCGGGAGCGTGATGGGAGCGACGCTGATCATATTCGGGTTGTACTTGGTGATTTGGGGGAAGGGGAAAGAGATGGACAAGCAGACGGTGGAGAAAGAGGTGACGATCGGTGTTCATAGCAATGTCAACATTCCTAGCGTTCGCGTCGATGATGATCCACCGACGGGAACGGATCACGAGGATCGTCGGGATGCGAGCGTCGAGATTGTGGTTGTGCGTCTGTCGTCGGATGGGACGGGGCAGGCGCTCGACATGACTGCGAGGAGCACGATTATTCGTGATCGCGAGGAAGTCGTGGTGGTGCGTGTTTCGGCGGATGGGAGGTGTCAAGCCGACGTGGTTGGTGATGATGATTCGGAGAACGGCGGCGTTTCCGTGAAGGCTGAGGAGATCGCCGACGGGAGGGAGGAACAAAGTGAAAGAGACACGTTACGTACGTAGCTAGAGATATATAGCTAGATAGGTTGAGAAACGTATACTTAGAGATGTACTAACTTTGGTTATAGGTGTAAGAAGTAGGGAAAATATGTGTTGTTGGTAGTTAGGGTTCGTATATAGCGTTTTGTAAAGATACGATCAAATCGTGGTATAGCGATTGGAAACCTAAGTTGGAGGTTTTCTGAGCTGGGATATGTCACATTACAATGAAGCAAAAATAACGGTGCAAGGTGTTTGATATGTCACATTCATGATCAGCTGACTTTAGCAAATTTGCAGGTTTTTTCAGTTCGGCCGGCTGCGGTGAGGGCCGGGAGTTTTGTGGGCCAGGCCCTGGCCCAACAAGCCCGTGTATATACGAGATCAACATTTGGTTTGGGCTGGTTACCACTTGGATCTGCACCCATTCTCAGATGTAGACACTAACCGTAACCGATCGAGGTTGTTGTGTGGTGTGTTGTAAATGAGCCGAACTTAGCTGAGTATGAGCCCAAAAAGTATGAACTACCTCGGTTTCAGTTTGTTAATAAATGAACTGGGGTTGAATTCGAATCCGGTTCATTTACTAAAATACTGGCTTGTGCTTGGCTCGTGCTCGGTTCATTATTAATGAGCTCACGGGCTTTGCTCGTGTTGGACTCAAGCTCGGCTCATTTAGCATTCAAAATGGTTTGAACTCCAAAATTAGACTCTAGAATAATTTACAAATAGATACTTTGATATTCGTATGTCATATATACGTGAATATATGATTAAATGTCATGATAAAAATTAGAATAATGGACAAATTTTCATCATTAATTTATCTAATTTTTATAAACTTTATTGGTGTCATATTGTTTACTAAATAATTTTAACTAGTTCATCTCATATTATCTAATAATAATATAGTATCTAATCAATCTAGGATATCTAATTTCTTTACTACGTCAGAAATGTCTCACATGCTCAAAAAGTCTTAAATGTCATACGAGTGAAACTATGAATAGTCAACAAGCCAGCTCATAAGCTATAGTTCGATTAGCTCATAAAATGCTAACTGAACTGGCTCGCTAGCCACACTCTGCCGAACCGGCTCATGAACTCAAAATAATCCAAACCCATAAGTTGACCTTACCAAGCCACCATATCGAACTGACTTACGAGCCTCTACCAGTTGAACAATTACTTAACTCAAACTCCACTTAATTAATTCACATTTCACAGCCCTAAATCAAATTATTGCAAGAGTGAGTAGCAGGTTTTCTTTTTCCCATAAACAAACAGATTTTAGGGCCTAACCTAAATCTAAATAACGAAATGGACCCTTACATTATGGATCGATACCCAATAGAATAGATCGCACTCTTCCTAACCTTCATTGAAGGAGACCCTACAACTTGCAGCAAGTCAATGTCATTATTTGTGTATAACCAAAGCTATAGTGACAGATTAAACAAATTAAGAATATCAAAAGTGGTAGTTTACTATATAATACAAAGCCCTAAGTCGAGTTTTTGGAATCAATTGATTCTCAAAATGGTATAAGAGACTTTGATAATCGAGAGGTCTTGTTTTCTAACCCCGACAACCCCCATTGGTTAAGATATGGTATTTGGACCTATGCAAACTTCAACATATATGATGAGTTGGCTTTCGTGTAAGGGGAGTGTAGGTTTATGATATAATATTTATAACTGGAACCAACTAATTCTTGTCAATATGATCCTTAATTAATTGGTACTCATGGATTCGAGCCACTATATTGTATACCGTATTACCGTATATATACACAGAGCAAAAGAAATAATGAATGCAAAAGCATATAGTATCCGACAGACTGATACAATGTGATGGAGAGCATGGTTGTCAAACCGATTACACATATATATATATATCAATCGGTACAAATCGAGTATCATCGATGCCGGTTACTAAGCATATATATTGGAATAATGCCCCCTGATATGACCGATTTCATACCCTCCAAACAAAATAACGCCGTTTTGGTGAACTTAATCAACAAAAGAGTTGAGATGTTTTCGTGAATAGTGAAATGTTGACGTTATTTGTTGAATTAAAGTACAATTGGCCGAATACCACATGCGTTTTCATTCAATAACGAAATGGATCCTTACATCAAGGATCGATACCCCCAGTTGAATAGATTGTACTCTTCTTTATGGGAAGAAGGGAGATGGGAATTTATCCCAATGATCCACTCAAGAAATGAAAGGAAGGTCAAACGAAATGGCTAGTGGATGCATATGCATGACTTCTTCCTAAAACCTTCATTTTAAGGAGACCCTGCAACTTGCTGCAAAGTCATTGTAATTTTTGTGTAACCAAAGCCACATATTGACAGATTAAAGAATTAATCAAAGATACCAGAGTACTGTTAGTTAGTATATAATACAAAGCCTTGTTGGGTGAAAGGAAGTAAAAACAGAGAGATCGATCGAGTACTGTTGCAAGATCTATGGAGAAGAAGAACAAGGCGGCGCTGGTGGTGATGCTTTTGACCGTGTTGCTGCTCTGTCATTCTGATATGGAGCAGTCGGCAGCTCAGGATTCGAGTCCTTACGGCTGCTACGATGTTTGCACCACCTTTTGCGTTCAGTATGCGCCTGATGGTATGTTATGTCTCTGATTTGCTCCTTGATTCGTGTTGGTTAGTGTTATGGTGTTTAGGGTTTAGGAGAGGTTGTATATTATTCTCGTACACATATATACTCTGTTTTCACGTTATAGTGCCTACTTCGGTTTTTTGTTGGAGTTCGTTCCTCGCCTTGTCCTCTCGCTATTTGTCGAGTGACTGATCGAATGTATTGATCGATGTGGGTGCAGCGAGGCGCATGAGGCGGTGCGAAATCAAGTGTGGCATTGAATGCGACGACTGATTCGGAAACTGAAGAGCTAGCAATAATCACCGAAGTTTCACAATCGTCATCCTGTTCTGATAACTTTTGTTGTACACCTTTTATAAATAAATAAATAAATAAATGAAATTTCTGGTTTCGAGCATTGAGCAATTACGTTGTGGTAGTTTGATTTAGGGTCTAAAATCAAATGCTAGTTAGTATATGTCATAAACCAGTTGGTCCCAATAACTCGAGTTGTTGAGAGAAGGTTATGCTGGATCTTATAACACTCTCTAACATACCCCCTCAAACGAAAGCCAACCCATGGGCTTGAAATTTGCACAAGCCCACCATACCTTGTGCTTTAATCAACTGTTAATATTGGGGGTCGTGGAGATTCGAACACACGACCACTTGGCCAAACCAGCTCTGATACCATGTCATAAACCAGTTGGTCCCAATAACTCGAGTTGTTGAAAGAAGGTTATGCTGGATCTTATAACACTCTCTAACAGTATAAGATTATATTTATAGATGAACCTCTCTCAACAGTCGAAATATAAAAAAAATCAACTGGTTGTTGATATTATGATACTTAATGAGAGCATACATGAGAAATAATGAATGCAATATCAGGCAGTATCTGTCAGCGAACTAACTACTTGGCCCCAATAACTCGAGTTATTGGGAGAGACGGTTATGCTGCTGGATCTTATACCACAATCTAACAGATCCGGGCCCGGATGCTTGCCTAGTTGCAGATATATATAAATGAAAGTCAATGCATGCAGGAGACAGCTAGCTAGGTAGTAATGTATTCATTCATCCATCCAATGGCGTCCTCCTAACTCCAAGCTAGGCGCCACATGGAGCAAGTTGCAGTATTAAAACAGAGGAGATCATCGATCGATATTCAGAGTAGTCACTGAAAACAGGGGATATTACTATTACGTTGAGAATGGAGAAGAAGAAGGCTCTGGTGGTGGTGATTTTCTTGAGCGCGCTGCTGCTCTGTAATCATCTGGAGCTCTGCAGCGCACAGGACTATGATGAATTCAGGTGTCGAGAAACTTGCACCATGCTTCACTGCGATCAATTGCCTGATGGTACGTATCCTCCTTTCCTTCTTAGCTTCCTCTTCTCTTTTCGATCACTTCTTAACATGTCGAGCTTTATATATGGCTGAAATGGGTACTGGCAGCGAGGAGCAGGGATCGGTGCGATATCAAGTGCGAAATCCAATGCAGGCCAGGTTAACGATCGAGCAAAATAAAACCCAGAAGTTTCCACGCTATCTATATATCTTTGCGTTTTCCTTTTGAAATAGTCTTGGGTTGGGAGGATTTCCTTTTTGCTGTAACTCGAATAATTAATAATCCAGAGATGTTACATATATATATATATATATATATACACTTGATTTAATGTGGATGTTTATTATTTATGTGATCACGCTTGGTCATTATTAAGTCATGGTGTGATGAATACTGCATCTTGTGAGTTGTGACAAAAGGTAGAATTGAGATTGGCGTGGAGGTAGTCAGTTTGACATGATCAACTATCGTGCCGCGGGGGATTACTGCGTTATCGGTGATGGAGTTTGATTACGGTGTAACGAGTTGACTGATCGATGACCAAAATTAAAGTTTTTCCAATAGTAAAATTGGTTGAAATGAATTTTTTTTTTAATACAAACTAACATTTTCCTTGGTTGCAAAGATAAATTTTTGTAGCTGTGATTATACCCGTTGTGAACTCTGAGGACAGCATCAAAGGTATTGGCAATTGGCAAAATTGGGAATTCTAATAATGATTTGCAGAATAATCATTTTTGTAGGGAATTGCCATTTCAATATCTCCCATTCCGTCAAGGCCCAAACCTGTCATGCGGGGCTTTGTACACTAAATTTAGGCCCACCATTTGAAACTTCAACCCGCGGGCTTATTTCCGACCCATCATCCCAACTAGGCCTCTCCTTGCCCACATCATCCACCTGGCCCAATTATATACCCTACCCAACGAGCCCTTAGAACTGCAGCCCGACACCTCGATCGGTGTCTCACTCATCATCTATTGTGTGTTGTTCAACGATCACCACGTTACTCAAAAGATAAAGACTAAAAATGAAATAAGACATTTATGAAGGGACAAGTATTAACTCATGCACTGATTACTATATCTTAGTCCCCGTCTCCCCGAGATGCATGCTCTTCCACGTCATTGTAAAAGTTCTATTTCTTCAAATACAATGACTTTCTGATAAATCTTGTAACCCAATGGATAGTTGTTCTCTAAACCACGTGCCTCCTTTTCTTGATTTAGAACGGACCGGATCTATCTAATATGTTCCGCCTCTTGTTAATCATTACTAAGATTAGCTTATGCTGACGACAATGTCAATGCTAGTTAAAAGCAACGAAACATGGTTAATTGATGTGGTACAAGTGGTCTTACATGTTTTAATTGCGCGATTGAGCTATGAGAAACCAATTCAAATTGGCCTTGTTATTGAGCTTCCATTTCAAGTTGGTTAAAGGAAGACGATTGAAACCGAGTTTGGCCAAAGCCCAAAAGAAAAGAGTGTAGTTGACGTTTTTTTTTTGGCGGGGTTCGAAACTGCAATGGAATTGTCGTATTGTGAAACTTATGTTCACTGCGTTGTCTGTCCTCTTTAGTCTTTACCATCTCGAAGGGTTTAGGGTTTTGCTCCATCGGCGTAAAGGAGATTTTTCTTTTTATCTGTGGTCTGGTTTGACACAGTAAATGCTGGAGCTGGAGCTTAAAGAAGAAGACGAGCAGCAGCAGCCAGGAGAAGGAAAACAGGGGGTGAAGGATGTGGTATCTTTGCGTGTTCTTCCACAGACTGTTGGATTACCGACGGCCAGAAGTCGAGGCTCTTGCGGAGCTCTTTCAGCCCAACTCAAGCAATGAGCCTCTGGAATGGAGGCTTCCCGAGAATCACCATCCCGATTCTCCATTCCATTTCGTGAATCTGTCTTCCGATGACGTCGCCCGAGACATCGCCAATCGAAGTCTGTCTTTCGCTTCCCTCTTATTCTATCTTCACTAATATGTATGCTTTCTTCAGTTGGTTGAACTGGGTTGGGTTCTGGAGTCGAAAAGTTGTGTTCTTTATGTTGGGAAGGCATAGGGATAGTAACTTTGAACTGTAATTGCTCTGATGTTAAGAGACCTGCTGGAAGCCTTTGTTGATTCAGCTTGCAAATTTGGCACTTTCAGGCTTACTAGTGAAAGGAATGTATGAGCTTTGGGGCGAAGGAAGCACACTGGAAGAATTGGAACAGGCGATAAAGAGCTACCCAGATGAGCGAAAGTCACCATTCTTGAGTTCTGAAAGTAGTTTCAAGATCATCGTTGACAGCTTTGGGAAGGTGATGAGCTTCGCGGAGCAGAATGACCGTATTGAGCAACTTGCTTACATTCCTTTCAAGGTATACCTCTTCTTTACATGCTAATTCTGTATCAATTATAGGTGGTCCTTTGTTGTGGTTTGGATGTCATAGCTTCTTCCTTTCAAGTGTCTCATGAGGGTTTATGATCAATGTCTGTACAGGGTAGGGTGAACCTGAAACATCCAGATCATAAGTTTTGGCTCATGGAGACTGATGACTATGGGGGTAACAATGGACTGCCACCAGTTGTTCAAAAAAGGATCTTTTTTGGCCGTGAGGTAGGTGGTTCTGACAGGAAGCTAATACCCACATACCAGCTAAAAAGCCGCACGTATCTTGGCCCAACAGCGATGGATGCAGAAATGGCTTTCTTGATGGCCAATCAAGCTCTGGTCAAGCCTGGGAAACTTGTCTATGACCCTTTTGTTGGGACTGGCAGCATTCTGATTGGTGCTGCTCATTTCGGAGCAGTGACAATGGTTTGTGTTTCCTTACCTTACCTTGCTTTTTATTTTCGGTTGTTGCTTGGGGTCGATGTCAGCATTCTGGATGTGTGATCTTCTTCTATGCACATCATTAAATGTTGCAGGGTGCTGACATTGATATTAGAGTAGTTCGAGATGGACGTGGCCCTGACCGCAATGTTTGGAGCAATTTCAAGCAGGTAATTATGGATATTCCCTTTTTAAGATACTTGCTGAGCAACATGATGCAGAAAGAAGAAACTTCCAAGTCAAGGTTTTTGTGCAGAGCTGCAGAAATACCTCCTCGTAGATTGAACTTCATTGTTTCGATACACTAAGTGGTGCTAATTTTATTTGTATTTAATCATTTATGCAGTATGGACTGCCTATGCCTGTTGGCCTTCTAAGGGCTGATAATAACTCTCCTCCTTGGCGTCCTGGATTGAAAGAGGTAAATGTTTCTCTGGGCTTTTCTTCCTTCATGCACATAGTTTTATTTAGCCTCCATTGTACTTGTATTTGAAACAGAACCGGCGAGATGTGATGTTTGTATTGCATTGAAATGGTTATTCCATTCATGCGCATGCTTTTAACCTTTAGAGTTAGAAAGTTATTTGAATCAAGATCTACAGGAAATAGGTTATTCTCATTTCCTTTTTAAATATTTACTAGAATTCTTCGGATCTAGTACAGACATTCTTGCATGAGAGAGGCCTGTGTTCTCTCCTTCCTCATTCCTCTGGGGATTATGCAGTGCAAGGGCTTTATGGGTAGTTAATGGAGACTTGGATTATTCCAAATGATTCCCTTTAGCTAGCTATTTTTTTTCCAAGCCTGTTTCCTTGCGTTGTCTTGTGTTCTTATTGGTTTTGCTTTGCTTTTGATAAGGTTTTTGATGCCATAATCTGCGACCCACCGTATGGAGTTCGTGCTGGTGGACGCAAGTCAGGCGGCAGAAAGCTGCTGAAGGGAGTTGTGGGACCATACATGGTCCCTGATGACAAGAGAACAGACCACATACCTTCAACTGCAGCATACAGCTTAGTTGAATGTGTACACGATTTGCTAGACCTTGCTGCGAGGATGCTTGTGATCGGTGGCAGGCTAGTCTACTTCTACCCTGTGCTTCGAGAAGATGAAGCTACTGTGGACAACACCGTCTTCCCAGACCACCCTTGTTTTGAATTGATTTCATCTTCGGAGCAGATCCTGAGCTATCGTTACAGTCGGGTCTTACTAACCATGGTCAAGAGGCACCCTTACACCGAGGAGATAGCTGAAGCAGCTAGGGTAAAGCATGCGGATTTCAGAGAAAACCACGTCAAGTGGCTAGAAGATGGAAATCTTCATTCCTCTGTTTTCGCTCCAGCTGATCAACTCACCGTGCCAGGTGAAGATGCCAAACCACTTAGAGATAAACCTAAATACAGAGGCAAGTATGTCTAGTACTCACTCATTCTGTATCGTTGACCGAAAATTAGGTCCCGTGATTCCATTTTTGGCATGTATCATTAGATTGTTAGTACTTGAACAAAAGTGTCGGACTATTTAGTTACGAAGTTGTATGCTTTACAATTGTAAGGGGAAGGTTCCTTCCCAGGAAACGAACAGGAGACAAGGGGGGAAGAGATTGGGTTGTTAGAGTAAAAGATTAAAAACCTATTCAAACAAACTGGTTAAGATTAGTAACCATGTGTATATCCCCCCATGTTGTATGTGTTATGTTGTACTGTTCCATAGCCAACGTGTCCTTGCATACCATTTGCTGCATATTGTTGCCACATCAGTTGCTCCTCCATCAGCAGATGCTGCTTCTTCTCCATCTCCGACATCTGCACATAGTGCGGTGGTGGCACTGCAATCGAGGCTGCAAACGGGTCTGAAAACCCACCGGAGGTGTTCATCGTTGATGACATCGGAGGAGCAGGCAACGCTAGCATTGCAGGCCTTCCAGCTGAGCCAAGAGCAACACTGCTAGCACTTCCACTTACTGCACCATAGCCAGCCACACCAGACATTGCTGACGTAGTTGCTCCTTGCTGATACATCCCGTCGAGCAACGACATGTCGAAGCCTCCCGGCAGTGCAGGCTTCTGAATAGCTAAACTGCTTGCTGATTGAACCAGAGCAGTTTCCCAGTCCGAGTCATCGTTGAATGCTTCCCACGTCAGGGCAGGAGTCGTGAAGTTGGCTGCAACTGGAGGAGCCCCATCAAACAATGCTAAAGCTAGCTGATTCGCATGATCGTCGCTCGACATTGCGTCCTGCCCTAGATTCAACAGATCAGCCTCTTGTTGGACAACGACCTCCGGCTTCACCTCTTCTTCATCCTTCACCTCTTCCACCACAGGGGCAGCGTAACTTTCCTCCGGAGCAGGTAAAGCCTTGATGGCATTCATGTCTTCCTCGCTCGCCTCCTGAGCATCCTTGAACTCCTCGTTGTTATCCTCGTTCGACTCAGCATCAGCACTTCTTCTCGTCTGTGACAGGACGGATTTGTCACGGAGGAACTCGTCCATGAGCTCCAGCTTCTTGTGCGAGATGCGCTCGATTTCAGGGTACTCTGAGGTTCGACAAATGGCCACGGTCTTGCACCAGCCGTAGAACGAGTCGAGCTCGTCGAACTGCTTGGCAACGCGGCAGAAGATCTCGTAGATCTTCACGGCCTCCGGGAGATCCAAGTCCATGAACCGGTCGATCAACACGGCCAGAATCTCCGTGATGTCGTAGTACAGATTGAAGCTCTCCTTTACGACCGGGTACAGAGCCACCAGGACAACCTTGTCGTGCCTTGCATTACCTGCATTTGCATTCATACATGAGATTCAGATGAGGTGCTTGCTGCATTAGAAACAAAAGCCTCTTTCAACGAGGAAATGCAATGCATCTCTGCATAATTTCTTACCTGTAGGGCGACAAGCGAGGAAGCGCTCCATCAAATGCAGCAAATGCTGAACTCTAGAGAACAGTTTCTCATTCTTAGTTTCACGAAGCGGCGTGGCTTTGACACCAGAGCTGCTTCCGCCTGCACTACCACCACGGCGTCTTCTTCCTCTGCCGTGGCTGCTACCGCCGCCGCCGCGTTCCTCCTCCTCCTCCTCGTCCTCCTCCAATGCGAATGCGCTCCTCTTGCCGCGCCTCCCAACCATCCTGAACTCGAGCTTCTCGTCCAGGTAGAGCGCGTACGTCCTCACGAACGCGGAGTAGTCCCACGACTCCGACCTCGAGTCCACGAAGTCGGACAGGTTGAGGATGCGCGTCCCCCTCCGCGTGGCGAAGAAGATCTCCTGCTCGTAGGCCGGGTCCCCTTCATTGAGAAGTCGCTGGATCAGCATCAGCGTCTTCAGGGCAACCGTCCAGTTCTTGGTCTTGTTAAGCCGCCTCGACAGCGTGCTGACGCATGCGCTAATGTAGGAGCGCGAGTACGATGTCAGGCTCAGGATCTCCCTGATGTGACGCTCCTCGGCGGGGTACTCCTCGTGGCGAGTCGCCTTCACGATCGCGACCTCCAGGTCAGATAAGGAGCTGCTGTTGTTCACCTTGGCTAGGCTGATGCTCGCCTGATCCTTCACCGCTCCCACGGCTCGTCGTAACTTGCTTGGTCCCATTTTTTTCTGCTTATTGTTGTTTGTTAATCTCAATGTTTGATTTCTTATCTTCTATGTTCTTTGGAAATGGTGGGAGAAGGGAGATAAGGGAAGGGAGAAGAGAAGAGAGAAAAGGGGTTGATGGGTATCAATCTTCTCCCTTTTCTTCTTCTTCTCCTCCTCTTTTTTTCTCGTATGGAGTCCCTTCCCTTAATTCTGTTTCCTTTGTTTTCTGTTTTGCTGTTTGTTGTTCATTCTCACTGGTTTTTCTTTTTGGGTTGTGTCTATTTTTTCATTTTTTTGTCATCCCTCCATCTTTTTTCAGGGATGATGGATGTACCAGAGAGAGAACAGAGGGGAAGTCCCCTGTTTCTGGCAACCAATCAAGGTATTGCAGAGATCATTAACGGTTATGGGCGAAGCGAGAATATAGGAAAATTTTGTCATAAATCCGATTTGGCAATTATATTTGTAGTCTTTGCTTCTCCTCTTTTCTTTTTTAAGCAAGGGAGAGGCGGGGAAAGAAAAACCGAGGTTCTGTTTTTCTTCATGTTGACCATGTCAACGAGGACATGCATCCATCAAGACAGAAAATTGTAATGTTTTATGAAACAAATTTGATATAAGTGGACTGTTTAAACACTTAATCTACTGTGGTCGAACCATTAACCAGTCTTTAAGTATGACCATTGATCTAGTGTGGAAAAAAAGGTAGTCGATGGGAAGTAAAGGGTAATGGTTCAAATTGATTACACAAATTTGAATCCATAATATGATCATATAAATTGTCACCTTCTGCCATTTCTCTTTGATTTCTTTTTTTCTCACAAATTCCCCCTTTCCACTCTAATGGTTCTTCATTTTATTAACCGTTGATTAGCCCGATCGACGATTTGGCGTGGATTTCTAATGTTTTGTTAATTAAGTTAGGATAGGTTGAGACAAGTTTCTGTTTCATTCTCCGTCACGACAAAATACCGGCACGACAAAATACTTAAATTTAATAAATTAACAAAAAAAAAAACGAAATGAAATACCTCTGATTGGATAAAATTAAACAGAAAATGAAGCAAAAAGGGTTAATCAAAAGAAAGATTTTAGATGGGTCAAGACTATTGACTCGAATCAAGAATGAGAAACGAGCTGAAAATTATAGGTATAATATGCCCCTATACTATGTCGTTTTATCAAACATGCCCCTTTACTATTTTTTACATCTAACATGCCCTTGTACTTTGGAAAAATTATCAAACATGTCCTTCTATTAAAATTTCTATTGAAAAAATTGTCAATCATGGTTGAACCGAGATTTAGACGACCCAACATCGGCAAACGGGAGGGAAAATGTCAGTTTTGTCCCCTATTTTATTTCTCTGGGTCTCGTCAAAGTAAAATTATTAGAATTATTTGGCTATACAAAAGAGCCAAAAAAAATTCTATAATGAAATTAGTAGGGATATTTTAGAGATTAATGTCGTACAAACCAAAGTTTGACCGTGGTTAACGGTTTTTGGATCTAAATTTTGACAAAATGGCATGTTTGATCATTTTCCCAAAGTACAGGGGCATGTTTGACGTAAAAAATGGTTAATGGGCATGTTTGATAAAATGACATAGTAGAGGGGCATATTATACCTATAACCCTTAGCGAACAGACCAAGACACAACAAATGAATCTATAAGGAAAAATAAGTCACAAACAACTGAAAAAGGAGCAATATAAAAGAACTAGCCCCAAAACCAAAAAGAAACCTAGGGTGAATTGAAAAAAAAAAAACAATAGCACCAGCTATCACTTCAAAGACTTATGCACGTATAAGAGAGCAGCTGCAATTCATGACAAAATACCGGCACGACAAAATACCTCAATATCATAAATTAATAAAAAATGAAATGAAATACCTCTGATTGGATAAAATTAAACGAAAAATGAAGCAAAAAGGGTGAATCAAAAGAAAGATTTTAGATGGGTCAAGACTATTAACTCGAATCAAGAATACGAAACGAGCTGAAAAAAATGAAAATAAAAAAAAACAAACAGACCAGGACACAACAAATGAATCTATAAGGAAAAAGAGACAAGAACAACTAAAAAAGGAGCAATATAGAAGAGCTACCCCAACTCCAAAATGAAAACTAGGGTGAATTGAAAAATCAATAGCTCTAGCTATCACTTCAAAGACTTAATGCATGTCTAAGAGAGCAACTGCAATTCAATTTAGGAGATAACTGTAATGACCTATTAGATTGGGTATGATTATATAATTGTGCTTGTGTATAAATAGCAAGGATTGAAGTACCGTACCAGAGGTTGTACCGGAAAAGTCAGCGGTAGGGTATTTTATGCTAAAATCGTAATTTAACCGTGGTTCAATGGCTTAATACCGTCAGTACGGTATGGTATATCAACCCTTGATAAACAGGGAAACCCAAAATGCATAACACATACTGAACTATGTTTAATCTTTCTTCTCCCTTTCCTTCGTTCCCTATTCTTCCTTCCTTCGCTGGAATGGAATCAACTCAAGCCAAGCCTATTACATAAACTCATAAGTCTAGTAACTCAGAGAGTTCAAATCAACAACCAATTTAGTACTAAGTTAAAATTTAATTTTCTCCAATATCTCAAACACAAACAAGAGCTATATTGTTAAAAGCACAACATTAATACATTAAAAACCAAGTACAACCAAATTATGTAACAATAATGGTTGAGGAGAATGACTTTTATATATCCGTGGCATGCAAATGGTACATTATACATCCTCATACTGTCAACATGCTCCTAGAGGCAAGCATAAAAAGCATGTAGATATTCCTAAAAGGTTGTTGACTCATATTAAGTAGGTCCATGATTAATCTTTTTGATTTGTAATGAAATAGGTGGTTGTTTGGCTGTGGATTACCACTATTGCCACAATCTCCAAGCACAGCAAAACAATGTTGTTGGGATTCAAGTAAAATTTCATTAATTATAGACCTACTATCAATCATCGAAATCCGAAAATTAATCAAGAAAACACAATATGTATATTCGATTGATTCACACTGATCTTCTAACCTCGTATCTTGAACCATGACCAGTCTAGCTCAACGAAAGACTTTGATCATATTCTAGCAAATATCAACATTGACCTCATAGTCTAGCTCCAATGTCAAGACCATATAATAATATTAACATTTCGTCTCATGAGGATGTCATACACAGTGTAATGTATATGCAAGAATAGAAATCATTGCAAGGAAGACTAGAGAAGAAAATGCCAAAGGAGAAAAGATTTTGATCATAGTGATCTTTCATTGTAGACCAATCTTAGCAGCATGTTTTACCTCAGGCTGTAGAATTGGTGCGCAGTTGAAGGGGTAAAACAGTATTGTTGGCATCTGAAATAGCAGCCTCAGTTTCAGTGAGCTTGTTATTCATGCGCGAGATACAGGAGTCAGTGTGCTCCTTGTACTTTGAGACTGAATCCACCAGGGTGAAAAGTTGACGAGCTTTCATTTGGACTTGTTCTTCACTTTGTTTGATTGCTTCTCCTAACTTTACCTTCTTATCCTTTTTCGTAATTACAAAAAAAAAAAAAACACACACACACACATTCGAAACAGATATTAAGGAGAGATTGAGGGGATTCACTGTAACTTGCAGATTGGAGAACAAACTATTTTAAGCAAACTATTAAAGTATCTCCTCTCAGATCTACCAGCCATTTAAAAAGGACATGGAAGTTGAGAATACACTGTACCTGCAGAATAGCTGCAGCTTCTTTTTCTAACAACATCAAGGTATGTGCCTCGTTTCCAATGCTTTCCACCATGCTTTTTGCTTCCAATGCACATCTGCTCTGGTAATCCTCTATTTCTGTCTTGATATGATTCAGCTGGGCTTCCATCTAATCGAAACATGTTCATGTTCAATTCATAATCACAACTATAATGACCTGTCTGTCTTAAACCATTTCCTGATTTAATAAGAACTTATGCTCACTGCAGTCGACTCCATGGAGAAATGCAACAAAAGGCATGTGATGGATAGCATGCCAAAGTCTGCAAGTCTTGCTATCAAGAGAAGAGTTCTAATTCCATCAACTTTGCAGAGTTATTAACCAATTTTATCAATCCAAACAGGCCCTAACTATTAGCTTCCTGCTCCTAACTACTGATTTTGCAACCACTAAGAATTGAGAAGAAGTGGCAAGTCATCTAATATTCTTCATTAGTATCATTGTTCTCCAATTAAATGGTACCTAGGCAACACAATTGATTATCTCGTACTGCTACTTCCAGCATATGTTTCGCTACTTTAGTCCAGTGGCAATGCAATGTTCATGCGTTTTTTGCTTTCTAAAACGTGGCAGACAACGGAAAAAATAACAATCACTTTTGCCAACAGTTAAAAGCTCTCAGTATGATGCACTTACTTCATCAATCTGAGACTGGAGCTGGGAAAGATCTTGTCTTTTGATATCCAGCTTATTTGCCAATTCTGATGATTGTTGCTGAAGCGACATATCCTCCTCCAACTTTAACAAACAGCTCTTCTTTAGATCATCAGCAAGGGAATTAAGTCTAGGTTTAAGCGTAGACTTGTAGTCGATCCCCATTACTTCAGCAGGGGTGGAACCGTTAGCATTCAAGCCATGCTGAAAGATGTTCTCAAGCTTCAATCTAGATTCATAAGCATAACATCACTGCCATCAGAAAGAAAGACAAAAAAATAGCAACATAACAAGAAAGTTGCAAGCATTTATGAGAATGCTACACAGACTAGTATCATAAGAAACTACAACTACTTACTTTTACCCCCAACATTTCCCATCTTTGTCATTATTTTAGTTTTATCCATTTCACCTAAAAAAGTGACCCCTGAACCCTGATCCGAAAGAGTCATTTTTACCTAGTTGATCATCGCAACATGCAAACAGCTCATCCTAACAATCAACTCCTTTACAGAATCTACTTATTTCAAATGCATATGTTCTTAAAACATAGATATTCTATCAATAACAGGATCCCAATCAGCCTTAATGTCAAATGTTGTAGGATTAGGTAAGAGCTATTGTGCAACATTCTGCTGTATTGTTCAGTATATCAGAAACCTGTATATGCTTCAAGAACATGCAACAGGTAGCATCTAAAAGCCTATCAGTCAAGAAGGAGGAAGCTGCAAACATGTGAAAGGAGTTAACTGTACTTCCCAGGACATTGTTATGCACATATAGTACAAAGCTAAGCAAGCATGAAGAGATTTGGCTCACAGGAAATATTGACTAACAAGAATCCCATGTCACAGCAAGGAGAAAAAAAGTCAAGTAGCAAACCTCCTAGCCTCCTGGTTACAATCCATGGCCACTGCCTCAAGCTCCTTGAACTTTTTCCCAATCGTTGCTTCCAGGTCCCATATCTTCTCCTCCAACTCGTTCCTCGAAGCTTCCGCCTCCTCGAATTCTCTCTCCACCGCCTGAAGCTCCCTCCTCATCCTTTCCGCATCCCGGATATTAAAACTCTGGCTCTCTACCTGCTTCTTCAACTCCTCATTCTCGGCGATGCACCTATTCGTCTCCTCAACTTTGGCAACGATGGCGGCTCGCTTTTCCTGCAACACCTTCTCCGTGCTCTCGATTCTCTGTTTGAACTCCCCCAACATGACATGGAACTTGCTCACGTCCTGTTCCAGACAACCCTTCTCCGTCTCCAATCTCACCCTCTCCGACGGCGCAGTCTTCAACCTCTCCACCTCGGCAGCCAATTCACCACACTCATTCTCCAACCACGCAATCCCTTCCTTGACTTCATCCTTGTCCTTCTCCAACTTGGCTGTGAATTCCGCATCCAACGCCTCTTCCGAGTCTTGGTCATCGGCAATGTACTTCAAGTAAGTATCGAAGGCGTGAGCAAGTATTTCATCATTTTTAAGAGACGAACCTGACTTCTTCCTGAGATGCTCGCTACAATTGGCAATATGAACCAGCCAGTGCATTAGGGCGAGGAAGGAAGGGAAATTGTGCGGAGTGTTGGGAGCGCGGAGCGTAGACCCGTTGATCTTGATAGGGCATTTGAAGAATTTGAGAACGCTCAACAGATCGTCTTCGACAGACTTGAGCTCGACCGGGTAATCGAGCTGCAGGAGAAGGAAAGCTACGGTTTCCTTGATCTGTTTGCTGGAAGGGGCTTGGCCCGTGGGAAGCACGATGGACGAGGACTGAGAGGAGAGGTAGGAGTTGATGGCGCGAAGAGTTTCCGCCTGGTGGGAGCGGTCCTTGTAGGCATCGACCAGAGCGGCGGACGGGCGGCCGACGCCAACGGACGACGGGCGGCTGCTGGCGAAGCTCGCGTCGGAGTCGCGGGAGGCTTTGAATTGACGACGGTGGTGGTCTTGTCCCGGCGGTGGGATGAAGGAATCCTTCTGCCCGCGATGATAACCTCTCATTTCCACCGGCGTCGGTCGGAATCTTTCCCTCTGGGTTCTCTCCCCGGCTGTGTGACTGTGTCCTTCCTGCTTCAATTTCTTTCCCTGGGCGAAAAGTAGCGTTTGAGCGGCTGCTTAATTGCTATTTTGTTTTATTTTCCCGCCCAATATCCATACAAAAGTTAAAAAGACATGATTTTGATTTTGATTTTTTTCCTAAATGGAAAGGAAAAAGAGATAAAAAGGCATATATATTTATGTCATCAATAATTTGATAGTTTTTTTATTAGGAACTACTAAAAGAATTTGAACCTTCAGGTTCAAAACTAAAGATATTATCATTTTCAACGATGTCGCATATAAATATATTATGTAATTACAGAATGAGGATTATTGAAATTATGATGAATAGACACAAAAGACTTCCTAATTTATATTATGAAATGAGATTCGAAAATCTCAACAATGTCGTATATAATCCAATTTCAAAAAGAAGGATCATCGAAATCAAACACGATGATATGATGAAGAATCTACAGAGTACTATTATTATTGAATCCCTCCGAATTTCAGAAACAATCTGAAGTAGAAATCTATAGATCTTATGATTAGGCAGATTAGCAGAATTAAATCATATGTTGTTTGTAAGTCTAGTTCTTTAGCAGATGAATGTTGGTGGGGATTGCATTGAATTGAATGTACAAAGACTCCATGTTTGTTGCAGATCTATGAAGTTGCTGGAATTACAATCTCCTAAGGTGATACTGATGAGTAAAACAATGATAAAAATGAAGGAATACAGAGTACAATGCTGCTAGGTGACAAATGGGACAATCTAGCAGGGGAAAAAGATGAACCTCTGGAGCTTTTACAGCTGATTTTCAGAGCAGAATCCCCTCATCTCAGAATGCTCATATAAAGGTTATTTACACACAATGGGCAACTATCCAAGTTTACAGCAAACATGATGGTATACGGAGATGGAGGGTCGGGAACCGTGGCTACACAATAGTGATACTACAGAACAGTTCTCCCAGGGCCTTTCGGCAGATTCGAGTGGAAGGATGGGCAAGAAAGGACTGCACTGCCTAGGTAAGCTAGGAAGTGGAATCGAAGGCAAAAGAATATGCTCATCTTGCGGTAAAATCGATCATTCATTCTCTCTTATCTTCTTCTAACACGTCTTCTTCATCGAACGCAGTCACGTGGTGGATACCATTCTTCTCTTTGCTTTCCACTAAGCTTATGTCGCCATCAGGCATTCCCCTGGTTAGAGACTGAGTCTCCTCGTCGAAGTCTTCTCCAACCTCCTCTGAGTAAGCATACCTGAGCATTGTTTGAATCCAGGGATCAGTACATGAAGTAAGGACTTGATATCGATATGAGATATCACTCTGCCAACAGATGGATATTCAGATAAGTTAAAGGAGGAGTTGCTTCTTTAAGGAGTGGCATAAACCTTTTAACATTCCATTAGGCTGTAGCAGGGCTTAGTCATATGATTCACAAAGATAAAAGAATGGATCATATCCATACCTTTGAGAATTTAGAGATGGAGCCCACAAATAGCAGATGACACAGAGCAGTACTAATGTGAGAAGGTCCCAGAATGCAGTGATGATCCAGGCGCTTTGCCAACGTTCATTGAATGGATCGGTAGCTTTGAAGTAAACCTGAAAGAAAGGTCTCTAGTTCACAACTTCCAAGTCTATTCAAAATAACAGGACAAAAAGTATCATATCAGGCTATCAACATGAATATATTTTCAGCAATGGATCATACCTCATAAGCTATCCAAACAACTGAAGCAATAACGGTAACGGCTAATGCATTTGAGAATTTCCTATAGATATCCAACTTGACAGAGCTTCTCTTCGTCTGTGCCAGGGAATAATATCAGAGTTTGTTACATGCTCCAACAATTTCAAAGGAAAAGGTAAAAGGTTTTATATTTCAAGATGGAGATGGGAGGGTGAGAAATATAAACTAAGCTCTGAGAAAATATAACAACAAAGGTTGTATCTTAAGAAACAGATGAGGAAGTCGTGTACCTGTAACTGTTCTAACGTTTTCTGAAGAGATGTGAATATCCACAGTATCAAAAATGCATCAAGGAAAGCTGCTGGAAGCACTAAAAGCAATCTTGCTCTTCCCGATATGTCATTAATGGTTCCAACATACTCTGTTATATCCAGTAACTCAGATGCCAAGAAGTAAGTTAGCCCAAGAGAAAGCACCTTTGAGGTAAGACCGCCAAGAGTAGGGCGGACAACACCAAAACCCATTGAAACAGAGAGTATGAGAAGACGAGAAACCGTTTTCCTTATAGCTCCAATCGTCACAACCCAAGTAGTGATTGCAACTGGCCTAACGCCTAAGCTGTTGAAATTCACATACTCAGCGTACCATAGAACCATCTCAAATAGTCCCAAAGCTATAACAGCCGTGATGCAATGCTGAAGCTGCAAGATGTCCTTCCAAAACCTCAGGTACTGGGTAAACCATATCAAGCTAAGCAGCAAATATGCAACAGACATAAGCACATAAAACTTCTTTAGAGGCGCCATCCTACCAGGCAGATAACCATCGGGATTCTTCCATATCGTCTTCCCACTCATCACAAGTCCCTTGAGCTTTGGATCGCACGCAACGAAGAACAAGTTATACATCCCTGTCTTGGTAATGTACACATCCTCATCTTTTAGCTTTGTAAGCAAGTCGTCGCCTCTGAAGTTTACATCCAGAACTATTGGCCAATTGACGTCAGTTGCAGAAGGCCTCCTAAGCACCCAACCTTCCTTGCAGCCTTCCAGCTTAGCAAGGTCAGGGGTGCAACAGATGGACCTCTGTCCACCATATGCAGAACCGCCAATATTGTCCCGATCAGCAGCCTCAAAAATGACTACGTGAACCTGTCCCGTTTCATGATCCATATCTGGATCCTCATCAGCTGCGCTTTTAGTCCTCCAGAAGCTGATATTCTCAAACCTGTTAAAAAGTCGCATCTTTTAGAAGCTTGACAACAAAAGGAGATGCATAATTCAACAACGCAAGTTACTCAGTTGTTGTCTGGCAGAGATCAATCACCCACAGCGATGAATTTCTTCCCTTTTGCTCAAGGGTATCTTGTTTTGATTACCAGTAACACAAAACGCATCCACATTTCATCAGATCCATACAGGAGGCAGATCACTTCAATTCAGACGATGCAACTATTTCACCAAACAATTCACAATAACCCATCAAATTCGCAGCGAAACCGTTAGTCTTTCCTTCCAGATCTAACTAAACAAAGAGTTCAATTAAGATTCAAATTCAATCAATCATTCACCAAACCAGAATACCAATGCAGAATTTGGGATCTCAACACAATTCAGATCCCAAATTCAACCACTCAGATTCAGTCACCATCACCAGGAAAACCAAGTGAAGAACAAACCAAACATAATTGATCTCAAACTAACAGCTCCTCCGTCGCAATCAATTTTACCTGATGTAAGAACGGCCATCATTGATGGCGCGCGGGATGGCGTAGGATGAAGAGTCAACAGTGTAAGGCGGAAGACCAGCGGCGGCGGAGGAAGCCACAATGCCTTCGCTACCTCCGGAGAGAAGGAAAGCATTTCCGACTTCGGTGAAGGGCTGAGTGTCGTAGATGTGGATGGATGCGCGGGCCGAGAAGAAGGAATGCCCAAGAAAGAGAAGGAGTAAGAGGCGGCTGCTATAAGTTATCTCCATCGCTGGCTGGCTGGCTGTCCACAAGAGACGCGGAGAGCAGCCGACAGAGAGGGAATCGGCGGATTCGAAGGAGGAGAGATCAGGATTATGGCTGCAAGTTCAGACGGTGATGACAAAGAGTGAGAGTGAATCAAAAATCGTTGTCGGTGAAGGTGGACTGAAGAGTTCGCTTTACGGCTGGCTTAGCGCCTGAGAAGGACGTAATTGGGGATTTTCCATTGTGGGTTAATAACAGTTTGGTCACTAGAATTGTCTAATCGTACCAAGCTAGTCCCTGGATAATTGGGCCTAATATGCCCCTACCATACCAACTATTGGAATTAAGTTCTCCTCTTGGGCCCGGCCTAGAGCCCAAAATGCTTACCCAAGAAGAGAAATATGGGCTAATTAAACCGCTAGTTAGAGAAGGGATTTCACCAAAAACAGGATGGATTTTAGTAAGAATTGAAAGTAGCCCTCAATCAATTCGGTTAGGGCCGATAAATGGTGCGGTCTGGTCTAGATCAAAACATATATACGGTCTATGGTCAGATCGAGTGGCTGAAGTATAGACCACAGACCAGACCACAAACTATACGGTCCGGTCCAGATCACGCTTGTGCGGTCTGATTTGGTTTGGTCTGGTCCAGATAGACCACACTCAATGAAAAATGAGTAATTTGTTTAGTAAACCACACGAAAAATTGAACCAATAACCAAGAAAAATATTTGTTATTTTTCTTAACACATTAATCCTAACATGCATGAATAATTTTGATACCCTAAATCTTAGTACATAACAAAGATACAAAGTAAAAGCATCCTAACTTGGACCATAACGTCATAAACATTAACATAATGTCGTATGGAGACACAATTATTTCTACTCTCTGGTTAAATGTGGTTGTGAATGAAGGAGGGACGAGATTCCCAAAACTAAGGTTCAGACTTGTGTGTCGTTGTGGGAGTTGGGAGAGTGATCGAATGGGCTGTTAACACGTATTGACAAGTCGGTTGGGTCCACGGTTTGGTCCGCTAAACCGCGGTCTAGACCAGACCAGACCAAGAGATCAAAACATAAAATAATATAGACCATGAACCAGACCATACCATACTTTACGGTCTACGATCCGGACCAAACTGTGCGGTACGATTTGGACCACGATTTTTCTAACGGTTTGGTATATTTTTCCAGCCATAAATTCTGTGGTGATTCAGAATTGGTGGAAGTTGACTTCTTTATAGTTCATTCCTTTTTATAAATTATAACTAATTATGCTCCTGACATATTAATAGGATTGTCTAACAAGTGACGAATTATATCATTTTATCAATAATTCGACTATTGGTTCAGTAACTCACTTAAATGCTTGGTTCCTCATCTCTCTTTTCAATCTATGACACTATTTGCGAGTAAAAAAATCTCGAGTCATGTGAATGTCAGAACCAAAAAGATCGAGCGTAAGTTCAAGCATTATGAACGATAATAAAGTTGTAGAATCTCATCGCGTTACAGGAATAAGAACAAAGAAGATAGTTGTTACATACATTCTTAATTTATTATCACGATCAACTGTAAAAAGAAAAAAAGTAAAAAAATAATAATAATCCGCGCGCTACAAGAACCACTCTGTTGCACTCGCGCATTTGACTTCACTTACAAGCGCAGTCAAAATATACGAGCATCGCGTTTTAGTCGTTCTTAGCAGCAACCGCGTCGTCGTCGAATCGATCACAACGAGTAAGGTGGATCTCCTGAGGAAGGAGGCGATACCTGATCCCGAGATTATCAAACATGCCCTTCAGCTCGAGAATGAGCTCCGTCATCCTGTAGTTCCTCTCCCCGTAGTTCTGGTGGTTGATGGTGTGCTGCACGCACAGCGCCATGTTCATCAAGTTCATCGGCGCGATCTCCTTCACCACCACGGAGTGCTTCGGGTTCCAGTAACCTGGCTTGCTCTCGATGTAGATTTGAATTGCTTTCTTGAGGGCGTGGATGGTGTCCATGGAAGTGGAGATGTCGACGGAGAAGTTGACGGCGTCGCTCATCTCCGGGCTCCTGTAGAAATTGCTGATTGGTTTTGTGAGCAGGACGGAATTCGGGTAGTAAATCTTCTCGTTGTCGTATCTCAGGAACACCGTCGTCAGTATGTTCATCTCCTCAACCACCATCTGCGTGCAGAAGCAAAACCACACAATTGACGCATACGTCAAGTTATTATTATTATTATTATTCTTCAGTAAATCGTCGTAATCGTTATTGGCGTAGCTAGAAATTCATCGAACTGGTGTCTAGTTTTTTTTTTTTTACTAATACTCAATAAGTTTACTAAATTAAGTTGGTCTAATTTTTAATATGCGTAGTTGCAACTGGAAATGAGTGGTAAGAATAACGTGTAATTTTCTTTCGATTTAGAATCTAAAAGTTTGATCTCGAGTGAATTTATCTAAATTGAAGGGGTCCAGCGCCCAAAATATACAATTATCTAACCATAAACTCATACAATTTTCAACTTCCTTCTTTCTAAGTGGGGTCCATGGACCCCACATTCTCTAATATGGCTCCGCCAATTAGGGCTGGCTATTTGGTCCGGACTGTTTGGTTTTACCCGAAACCGGACCGCATAACCCGGACTGGACTGGGACCAGATATTAAATAATCCAATCTCATATTCGGGTTGAGATTTGAGGCAACAAAGCCCGGATAAAGACCGGATAAGAGACCCCTAACACCTAAAATCAAGATCAAATTGGGACCGGACCGGATCAAAACCGGACCGTATCCAATCCAATCCAATCTTTGGTTCTTATATTCCCGAAAAAACCGGATTGGGACCGGATCAATTTGGTCCAATTTAACCGGACCGGACCGTATAGCCATCCCTACCGCCAATGATAATCGTAGTTTGGAACTCTCGCTGAAAAAAGAAGTAATGTAATAATGTATTATTATTTTCTGAAACTATTAATCAAACACTTTTGTTTAAACTCTATTGACAAAAGAGTGATTCGTTTTTTAATAATAGTTGTCTAAAGAAATCAATGCGCTTTGAAGTCAAATTTCCTACCGGAAAAACAGCAAGTAGTAATGTATTCACTATCACTATCAAATATGCAGTGATAGTGAATTCACCTGGACGCCGTCGACGACGCAGCGGTCGCCGATGTCGAAAGGGTGCATGATGAAGACGAAGACGATGGACTCGAACACGTTCCGGCACATGTTCTGGAAGATGACGCCGACCACCACCATCTGGGTGGTGACGAAGAAAATCACCTGCAGGTTCGCCAGCCCCATCAGCACCACCGTCACCGCCGCTATGATCACCACCACCACCACGCTCGCCAGCTTGTGGAGCTGGTGCACCGCCGTCCTCGTGTCGTTCAGGGAGTGCGCCAGCGACTTCCTCTCCAAATATGCGCGCACCTAATTAATTATAACTCAATATTGTTGATTAATTATATAGTTTAAGCAGTCAAGTCGTATCTTAAACACGTCATTATTGAACGTGCATGCATGGCTAGTTTGGCTACGTGCGTATTAAAACAACGATTGAAGCATATATAATTAATGAATTAAATTAGCTCACCACCCAATTTCTGAAGGAGGGCTTGGAGATCCTTCCTGTCTCGAGGGCACCTTCGAAGAACGGGAATATGGTGTGAATCTCAACTCTGGACAAGAATCTCATGAGATCTTCTTCTTCTATGTACCTTCGTTTTTTTTTATCAATAATTAGTTCATATATTAACAATTATGATAGTAATACTAATAATTATGTATTTTTTCCCATATAAGGTAGCCACGTTGGTTGTATTTCAACTCTCACCTGCAATAGACAAGAGCGCATGTAAATTTCGTAAAAACTTTACTCCCTCCCTAATTATCGTAGTTCAAATTCAGTGGGCATAATTTTTACCTCTTTATTAAGATTTATGGGTCCGACACTGATAATATATATATACAGGTTCCGATGTTTATGCACCTATTGAAAACAAATACCTAGGGCATGATCGATGTTGTATGTAACTACCTAAATATGATAGTTTACAATACTGTCAATAATTATAGCTGACACACCTCTGCCCAGCGGCGGAGGGAGGTGGAAGGAAGTGGGGTCCTATGACCCCACTTGGATAAATTAAAATGATTATGTGTATGTACATATTTGTTTAATTTGGGTAGATTTAGAATTCAGGATCTCATTCATATGAAATTTAATTGTCCTAGTATTATGAAACACAAAAATAAATTAAACAAAATTTAAAAAGCTCTTAGTTCAACAAAATTTTCCTATCAATATACAATTTTTTTTGTCTATCAAATGTGTTTTTATAAAACTTTTGTGCGTATTAGATTTTGCTTGGGAACTATTTACCTTAGCTAGCTATTGAAATGTCATTTCTCAATTATGAGTTACACAAAATGTAAGGTACAAATCTAATAACTAATGGTTTGATATATAAATGACTACTTGACTTAATATTGTCAAGAAAATTTATTGTTATAAAGTTTTATAAATGAGACCCCACTGAACTCGAATCCTGATTACGCCACTGCCTCTGCCAACCCATACACAGCGGCGGAGCTACCGTTGATCACCTCAGGGGAGGCTTTAGACCCCATCAACTAAGGGTAAGACTTCAGCCCTCCTCGCGCCGCGGGTTCATATTCTCCGAGTGTAGATTTTTAGTCTCTCTATCTCATTCGGAGTTCTGGCTCCGCCACTGTCCACATACACCTATATCCTAGAATATTCTTGGTCGGCCACGCAAGGTGGAATCGTCGGTCGACAGAGTAAAGGCGAGTGCGATGGCATGCTTGGTCCCGACGGAGCGCGCCATCAAATGTTATTTGCGGAAATTAAGGAAAGAAAGCAACCGCCGTGCGCACCAGACAACATCACTACGTATGGCTATCGGCCGGCGGTGCGGTCGTGACCACATATACACACGTGACGTAAGGATAGAATAAGTAGAACATTCCAAAACACTTTGTTGAGTTGAGTGAGACCAGAGCTGCAGCACCACCACCTTCGATCGAATCCAGTTCTTCAGACAAACTAATAGTGGGCGCGCGCTGAATTATGCAAAAAAGGTGCGAAAACAGTGGACCGCGTGGGCTAATGGTGGTAGGACACATGGTTATTGCCAGTTTGCCACTCACGAAGCCATCAATCTATTCTATGATGTTTAGGCACATGTTTTTGTGTACTAGGTTGTTGATTACCCTGATATTTTCTTCTTGATAATGAGAGTGAAGCAGTCAGGAGATCGCGCGTTGAAAGAGTTCCTTTGCGAATAACATTGTGCTTAATAATGTACATTTCGTATATTCAATCAAATAGTCATCCATCAAGTTACTGGTTATGTTATTGCGTAACTACTTTCTTATAAGGTATTCATAGAGAAAAATGATTTTTTCAATAGCTAGCTCAAATAAGTTGAATAGGGACTAACATATTCATATTATGTTGTGTCACGAGATCTTTTTCTAATTAATTTATCTTACTCTGACCATATTTTTCAGAACAACCTAGTAAAAGGACGAACCGTATATATACGCGATGATATTAGAATTGAGATAATAATATGTATTATAAATTTATAATTAATATCTAGAATCTAGAGTCTTCTTACTTACTGCCCAAACTCTAACCGGTTATTGTATATGGTGTGGAAAGTAATTAAAATTGTTAATTCATGCAGATATGCTTTCGACTGGTGCTTAACCCATCATTTTCTGTTGGTCCGTTGTCATGGGGATTCCATTGTGGTTGTTCGGCGGCTATTGGCGGGAGGTTCCGAGCATGTGTCAGGAGGGGTGATCCTAGAAGACATCTACAGGCTAGCAACATCTTTTGAGTTTTGTTCTTGCTCCCATGTTACTCTTCGAGTTAATAGAGCAACCCATTTTGTGGCAAAAAAAACGCTCTTTCATCGAAAGTTTGACGATTAGTCGACTTTCGGCCGTGGATTGATTCTGTTCTCTGACTATGTATCCGGACCTCGGTCTGGGTTTGACTATGTTAAAAAAAAAATTACTGAATATATTTCAACACTTACTTGGCACCAGGTTTAGCGACGTTGACGAAAATCCTCTTGGCCGCGCCTCTGGCCTGCCACTCGCTGCCGATCTCCGACTCCGCCTTGGCGAAATCGTCCACCGTCTTCGAGATCGTCGACAGCCCCGACGTCATCACGTGGTTCACCAGCCGCCTGATCCCCCACGCCGACGTCCTGCTCTCCAAGCTCAGCCGCCTCAGCTCCTCCACCGTGTCCTTCCTCGACGACGACGTCGTCGTATTCGTCGACCTCGACTTCCCCAACACCCGCCGCTTCCTCCTCCTCCCTCCGTCGGCCGGCATCGACTTCGACTCCATCAGCCCGCTCCGCTGCTCCACCGCCGCCCTCTCCGCCGGCGGCCCGGAGAGCGTGTCGAGGACGTAGTGGTGGAACACGCTCTCCTTCATCCGGTCGAAGTAGGTCGCCACGTGGAACGACGACGCGAGGGTCTTCACCAGCACGATCTTCACCAGCCAGATCACGGCGGCCACCAGGACCGCCACCTGTCATAGTACGCAGTGACGTAGCCAGAAATTTAGTTCATGTGTAGGTCCAACGTAATAAAATAAACTCGTCATTTATTAATATTTTATAATGATTCATAACGTGTAATATTTAAAATACATTAATCGTCCAAATTACTAACGATGTAACTCTTAATGTATTCAGGTAAAAGTCGTTTATGAAACATTATATTATGTACCAAAATTATGTTAGCCATTAAATATGAACCATGAAGTCATGGTTAGATTAGTGATGAAGATGCTAAATATATAGGGATCTTCTGAACGACTACTCCTTTAGAAAAAAATCATTGGTAATATATTTTTCAGTATTTAAGAATCATACTGATCGAAATCGCCTATCAGAACCCTAGCTGATAGGTAATTTTTAGTGGCGTGAAATATAGTTAAATCATGATTAAAACGCAATTTCAGCATAAAACACATTATCAGTGACTTTTTCGGTACAACCTTACAATTTTTAACATCAGTTTATGTATGTGTTTTATATTTGAGGTGGCGCCAGGATCGCACTCAACCCCACACGGCTCTGCCACAGATAGTGCGCGCGTAGTATTATATTATACTACGCGAGTACTTTTATGTAATTGAACAACGAGTTATGTTCCTTATTAGACTCGTACCAGCCCGCGGTAGACGCGGTCGAGGAGCTTGTACTTCTTGTGGAGCTGCGGGCTGAAGACGAAGGTCCAGGAGAGGAGGACCAGGCCCAGCCAGACGCAGTTCTGGATCCCCTTCCGGAGCCCGTAGACGAAGTAGAGCACCTTCTCCCGGAGCATGAAGTTCCTTTCGATGGCGAACACCGCCACCGCCATCATCCAGCCGGAGACCAGCCGGCCGCAGAACGTCACCATCACCATCAGGCACCACTTCCACACCCGCTTCCTCCGGTTGAACGGGTGCACCGTCAGGGACGTCACCAGGCAGGCCAGGATCGCCATGAACATGACGCACTCGATGAAGTACCTGGTGTTGTTGTTGAGAGAAATCAGAATACGGTGGAAAATTGTTGCGGTGTGTACTGTTACCGAAAGCATGTACGGTTATTTAGACAAATAATTTATTACCATAATAATTCCAACACGGAATATGAAAAGTTAAAAGGAATAGAATTCTGCTCAATTACATAACAGTACTGTGTAGTAACCTGGTAGAGAAAATAGGAATCGTCGATTGGAAAAAGCCGGCATCTGGAATGAGTTTATTAAAAAATTACGAGCTAAATAATACGAAAAAATGAATTCCCATTTTATATCTTACATCGATAATATTCTTACCCTGGTGGATTCTTTTTTTCCCTTTAAATAAAAGACGAGAATACTAATAATAATAATCGACTACTACAAGAAAAATTATATATTACTCGTAGTACTCATACTCTAATTGTACCTTAATGGGAACTTCTTCCTCCTCCTGTGAAGCTTCTGCTTGGAGGAGGAGAGTGAGGTGCTCGTTTCGTCGAAATCGTCGTCGTGGCTCCACTCGTCGTCGTCCTGCGACGACGACGAGTCGTCGGAGTGGGTGGGTTTGTGATCGTTGTTGTTTGGTGAGTTAATATTCTCGGGGATGGAGGATGGAGCTAGAGGGTAGTTGTACTCGAGGAGACGAGCTTTGGGCTTGGAGAGGCTGAGGCGGCGGAGGGTTTTGGTTGGTTTTGGACGGTGATGATGATGATCCTGTCGGCTGGTGATTAGGTCGTCGTCTTTCATGGATTGGGATCTGGTGGTGGCTGGTTTTGGACGATGATGATGATGGTCCATTTCCAGAACGACGTCGGAGGTTCTGCTTTGCATTGGTAGCGTGCGAGAGTTAGGGTTTGGGAGGGATTTTTTTTGAAGGTTTGATGAGGGAAGCTAGCTAGCTTTTCATGGCGGAGTGTTATATAGTGTCGTTGTGATATTGTTGCTTGGCTGAAAATATCGTGGCTAAAGTGCGCCAACTAAGCAGTAGTATATGTATACGATTGCAAAGTGACTCCACTTGCTCTGGTTGCTAGCTAGTAGTGGTACGCACGTGAAGAATTGGTATGGTGATGATGATGATGGTATTGCGTCATGGCTACCTCCTCAATTTAAGATTAATGGAGATATAGAAAAGGTGATATTGATCTTTAGATCACGAAATTGTGCATAAACATGAGCATTTCATGGAGGTTTTTGCCCCATATGGGTAGGAAGTAGGAACTAGTTCAATCAATAAATTAAACCATAGCTGAGTTCAGGGGCGGAGCTACGTAGAACTTAGGGTGGGCTCCGATCACCCGGGATTGGTCCCGACCTTTAGGGACTTAAGGATTTTCGTACAAATTTTATAAGTATTACTTGTTCGGTACATTTTGTAACGTAATAGCTACGTGAGAGAGTACAAATAAAAGGCCACCTCTTTTTATTTAGTTTAATTAATTCCAAGTTCCAATTTCCCGTTATCATTCCAAAAATCGAACGGAAAGAGTGATAGCCAAAAGAATGGAAAGAGTGATAGTCAAAAGTTTTAGTTTGGATGCTATTTTGAGTGATTTCAATGATCTCAAAGAATGTCGATGTACTTCTAAAATAAATATAATTTTTTTTATTTAATTATTTCCGGCCTCCCCGTCTCGGAATCCTGGCTTCGCCCCTGGCTGAGTTAGTCACTTTTGTACTTTTATACTTTGAAAATCACTTAGGTTAGTGTTTCGGGCAAAAGTACTTTACGGTCTTGATTCAAAGTTATGTGTTGTCCGATTTTATGTTGAGATCCTTGAGTGCATGCCGCAACTATGGTTATGAAAGGATAAATTGTAAGAAAACGTAAAAATTTATCAAATGATGGATGTCTAAGTAGTTGGGATCATTCATCTTTTATCATGACATCTCGTACTTATAGTCATAAGAATATGTCAGAAATTCTCTATGAAGGAATTTCTCGCGAGATAATTAACCATAGTTACTTTATTTGAACTCTATACTTGAAAAAAATTTGTCGATAGAAATTAGAGGTGGCAATTGGATTGGATTCGTGGATCCATGGATCAAATGGATTGGATCCAATGGATTGGTGGATTCATGGATTGGATCCAATGGATTGGTGGATTGATCCATGAATCCAAATAACATTCAAGGCTTGGACCAAAATGTAAATTTTGAAAAGTTTAGGTACTAAAATGTCATTATGAAAAATTTTAGGTACCAAAATGTAATTTTCCAATGATATTTTTCGTATAAAAATATAAATTTTAGGTACCAAAATGTAAAATATAAAAAATATAGGTACCAAATCATAATTTGCCATTTGGATCCATGGATTGATCCATGAATCCACCAATCCAATTGGATTTGGATCAAATGGATTGGATTTAAATGGATTGGATTAGGTGGATAATTTGGTGGATGGATTGGATTGGATTCATGGATTTGGATCCTAATTGCCACCTCTAATAGAAATAAACCTGTTTGACATTGCATTCACATACATGAATAATATTTGTTTGTACGCCTGCGTAGAAATGCTTCTTGCCAAAAAAGATAAATGAATGAACATACTAGCTTCAAAGCACCTGGCCATGTACATTCTTCTTATTTCTATACACAAGTCTATTTACGAATCCATATTAAGGGAAGCAAATCTAAGGAAAATAATAGAATTGTTTTTTTCCTTAAAATGTTGAAAAAACACAAATCTGAAGTCCTATAAAGCTGAACCGTATTATACTGATGCTTTGATGCTTACAGCTTATTACATAAAACAGTTGTAGTAGTAATTACAGTAACAGTAGAAATGGCGCAGAATGGCAGCAGCAGAGTTGGCGCCTGTTGTATTTCCCTCCTCCTGATCATCATGTTGTTCTGTCAAGCAGCCTTCTTTACCGAGACGGCGGCTGCAGCCACGTACACGATCGAGTGGGCGTTCGGCGTCACCAATTGGCCCAACGGCAAGAACTTCAAGGCTGGCGACGTTATAGGTTGGTTGGTTTAGTCCCCTTCTAGCTAGATCTCTACGTTTTGTAACAAATGTATCGTTTTTCATTGACTAGTGTATTGTTTTTTTTTTTTTTTGCCCCTCTGCATCATGTTGGTGGTTAAAGTTTTCCACTACGAGCAAGGAGAACACGAGGTGGCGGTGGTGGATGCTAACGGGTACAAGACCTGCACCGTCCCGACGGGAGCTAAGATCTACACCTCCGGCAACGACAGGGTCACTCTCCAGCAGGGGAACAACTACTTCATCTGCGATATTCCTCAGCACTGTGATCAAGGTGGAATGAAGATTGCTGTTACTGCTGCTTAAACGATCTACTATGCTTTCATTTTGCAAAACCTGGCTAGAAACTAGTCATAAGATTTCATTGAGGGCACTTGGATTAGGATCACAAGTTTTGAAGCTAATAAAATATCGAATCAACTTCTGTAAACGCGAAAAGAAAACAAGAGAAACAATGTAATGCGGAAAAAAAACATGTATTCTCGAAATCACTTGTAAACGAAATACATGTTTGTTTCGTATCTGTCGAAACGAGTACAGAATTGCAGAAAAGAGGACATCTGCACATGCTGATATCTTCCAATCTATGCCCTCTTGCATTTTTACGAAACCAGGGCGCATCATATCATTCGACGACTGAAAATGCTAGAGCACATGATCACTTGATCAGATAACATCAGCGAGAACAGAGCAACACCATTCAAGGATGAGTTGAATGTAAGTTTGCCAGGTTTACATTCTTTAACTCAGGGGATTACAACAGATGAGGTGAGAAGAGGAGGGAAAGGAAGTGTGACCAAGCCAGGGACCTTGTTTAGTATAATTTAGAATTCAATAATGTTAAATGCAACTTGCGAGGCGCTTGTAAAAATAATTAACAGCTACCACAACAAAATGGATCATTTGTTTGTCATGATCCAATTTTTTCCCATCCACCAGAGAGCCAGCATTACTGAATGACCAGATTCATATATCTATCTTTATATTCTGCAGGCCAATATACAAGATTAATCTCTTGAATTTAGAACTCTGAAGCAGAGGATGTATATAAACCTCGCAAATGAAGATCTATCTCATCACATTGCCCACCACCCAGCAGCTCCCATATTGTTCACATCCACTAACTGCAGATGAAGTTGTCTGCACAATTTGGCTGGATGATAGCTCTGATCATCGTTCTCGGAACACATACAGTAGCCTCTCCCTCCCGCAATCCTTTCTTCCGGGAGATTCGTAATCTAGAACTATCACCACAGATCCTTACTGTGACAGGTAATATAGGCAAGAGCTGGGAACCATGCATCCTTCTATGGTTTTTTTCATTCCTTCTTATAGTAGCATCATCATACCATTGCCTTATGATATGGGGACTCTTCTGCTGAAACCTTATGCAGGATGCAACAATCACTGTGATACGGCTTGCTGCAACTGCAACATCGAGAAACAACCACCAGTATGCGAGCAGTGCTGCCTATAAGATCATTGTTCTGCTCCTACTGCTCCTATTTTCCATCAAATGATAGTTCTGCAATTGCTCGTTGGATCAAAAGATTATACATCATAGGGTTCCACGTCCCTCCATGAAACCGCAAGTATTGAAGGAAGCGAATAGAAGAATAACACAACAACTTTTATAGCAGAAACAAAGACAAGAGTAAGATTTAGCCGTTAAGCATAAACTTCTTTCCTGGATAGCTTAATTCTGCATTTTTCTTTGTCAGTTCACTTCATTGTACATCAATCAGCAGTAACTGACTTCTCATATCCAGAGATGGATTATTACATCAACGAAACTCTCAGGCAATCACAACAATAGCTCAAAACTATCCTTAGGAAAGCTGACTCTTGTAGAGACATATTCTGTAAGATTCTAGCGATACACAAAGCTCAAAACTTTGAAAGACCAAGGAACACTACCGCTGATGATACTTGTACCTTGAGATCAGCAATATCCAAATCATGACCTCCTTCAACTAAACCCCAGTTGTCAACCTGCCAGGAATTTTCAATGTCAGGGAAAGCCAACAGAACAAAGAAAAGAAAAGGGCAGATTATCCCAACCAAGTTCAGAAAGACAAAGAAGAACAAAGAACCTGTAAATCTTCTTCAAGTCTAATCAACTCAATTGCTTCTTCAATGTCCAACCTCCCACGAAAGATCCCAACAGCAATCACCAAAGAATGCGATGCAGCTGCAAGAGCATCAATCGCTGCTAATTCACAATTACTGGTACTTTTCAGAAGTTTTTCCATTGCCTTCGCCAGACCTTCATCTTGCTTCCCACCAAAGAAACTCGAATATACCACAGGCTTAAACCCAAATTCTGTCTTCACCCAATTGAGCAAAGGATCGATTTTCTCCACCTGCCGATCTGGAAATCAGAAAACCAAATGCAGATGATCCTTCCACATTAGCATACAAATGGCACCAAAAAATAAGCATAATAAAGCAAGAAGTGGACAATCCACAGAACATACCATATACACCACTGGTTAGATTATTATCCCATGGAGCACGACAGAAAACCAAGTCCTGGTTGAATTTCTTCATCAAGTCGTCTATAATCTTTGGGCGTGTGATTGGAACCCTCTCCAATGCAGTACAAGCAAGCCTCATAAGGGGCATGGTGAAAGGTCTGATTCCATCTGTTTGCTACAACAATTCACATTTCAATCACATTCTTCGCAAGTCGCAACCATATTCAACCTATAACATACCAATTCAAGCAAATTTCCAGAACACAAAGAGAAGATCCAATAGATGAATTCACCTGGTAATCCCACTCAGCAGCAATTGCCTTGGCAAGAGACAAAGTCGGCAACTTCAGAGCCCTCTTCGAAGGGGTCTTGAGCGTCCTGTAATCAAGCATCACCGACCACCCGTTGCCGTCGTCGGCCTGCCTCGTCGTCACTTGGTTGTAGAACCTCTTCCCGACGATTGATCCCGTCATGAACGACATCGGCATCGTCACCGACGACGACCCGCCCCCACGTTTCGAGCCAGAGCTAGGCCCCTTGAGATGGATTGCATCGCCGCCGCTATCTCCACCGTCGCCGAAAGAGAAAGACGACTGCCCTTCCGGATCCGGCGGCTGATGGGCGGCGGCGGTTGAGTTGAAATGACGGACGAGGGGCGACGACGAGGACAGGGGAGCTAACTGTCTGGGTCTTTGGATCAAGTGAAGCGTTCTGGTCAGAAGAAAAGCTGCCATCTTCACCGGGTGCTGGATGGAATTCAGAGCTGATGAAACAGAGATTGGGGATCTAGGGTTTAAGGAGGGGAATTGAAGAGGAAAGAAGACAGTTGAAGCAGTTGGACGATTTCAAGGTGTGTTCTATACAATTTCAAAGTTTTGTTACCGTATTGTTACAAATTAAAGATTTGTGACCGTTTTGTACTAAATGCAAATGTTTGTGACTATTTATGCTAATTACCCGTGTTCTTGAAGCAGAGAGAGAACTGTGAAATCGATACCATTGGGCCACAAGTTCCATAAAATTAGGCCCAACTGATTAATTACGTTTGTGCCATGGAGTGTGCTACACATTGTATTTTTACTTCGATACAAGATCGGACAAATATTAATTTCGATAAAAAAATAACGCAAACCATTATAATGAATTTTTATTTTTTATCATTGGATCACCAGTGTCATCGAGTGAAAAGGAACATGAGTTAATACATAGTCCTAAATCAAGACGTAAAATCATAACCAATAAATTTGAGAATAAGAGTTCTCGCCACCAAATGGGCAGACTTGTTGATGTACCAACAATGAAGCAGACACTAAACACTTGTAAATAATCTCGAAGAACCACTATGTATGCTAAGTTGGACCCTACGTGCATCCAAAACAACCCTATGGACTCGAAAATATGCAATATCACACGATCAAAGAAGTCTTACAGGACTTTGAGAAATAGAGATAATTGGATATATGTACCAAAATTGATGACATTCCAAGTTTCGAACGGTGCCATGTAAATTGGACCTTGATTATAAAAAATTGCTTTTCTTTTAAATCTCGAATATCATGTAAATTCTATTGTTCTAAAAATTAGTAACAATGTTGTTATATTGAAACAAAATAAACCAATTGCTCCCCCACACCACTTCTATAGTGTCAATTAATCTTGCTACTTCATTTTCCTTGTTATGAGGGGGGGGGGGGGACACATATAGAATGAACATTAATGAAATTGGCAAGTTTAGTGACCATATATGTAATATGCAAAGATATATTTTTTATAATATATATGTAAAGATATTTATAACAAAAAATCTTCAATTTTAATTTAGAGCTTAATTAAAAAGTTCCTTTCTTTTATTTAAAGCCTCTAATAAAATTATACCAACTCCTCACCAACCCACCACTATAAATAGATCAACCATGCACATGGACAAGTCATCATATAGACTTAATAACAAGATTAAGAATAATAATAATAGAAGTAGACAAATTAAAAGAGAGAGGAGAGAAATGGGAAGAGGTGGTTTAGGTGTAGGTGAATTGTTAATGATCATGTTAATTGTGATTAACATGAGGGTTAATGAATCGGCGTCGTATATGGTGGGAGATGAATTTGGTTGGGATCTCACCATTGACATGGAGACTTGGCCCAATGGCAAAACATTTTACGCCGGTGACACCTTAGGTAAATAATTATAGTTGCATATGATGTATTATTGTAGTTTGTGTAATTAATTTTTTTTACCTTAATAAAAAAAAACCCCGTGTAAACATCTAATTCTCAAATTTAACAAATTGACCTTTTACAATTGGATGTATTTTGATTTCCGTTATTAATTATCGAATTTTCGTGAAATATAAGTTACACGGAATTTTGTATATTTGAATCGTCTTGCTATGACATAAAACCATACAGAAAATTTTGATATTAAATCTCACTCCGTTTTACTTTGCAGAATTCAAATATGACTACTATACGTACAACGTGGTGATAACGGACAAACTAGGGCACGACACGTGTACCGTGACGAACAATTCACAGGTGCTTGACTCGGGAGATGACCACATCCAGCTTCAGTACGGAAACAATTACTTCATAGATGGCTCATCGACAATTTGTTCCGGCGGATTGAAGATGGCCATCTTCGCAAACTCGCAGCATGAGAAGGAGCAGCAGCAACAACCTCAACTTTGATTCATCTTCATTTCAAGTCTGTCATACTACTAATGTATCCAAAAACCTACTTTGTAGGGGTTATACATTGATGTTTACTATCATATTCTAATAAAAATGACTAGTTACATTTTACATCGACTGCTCATTTCATGTTGTTCACATATGTATTCATTAGTACGAGTTTAGATGCATCATTTCGACTTGATAAAAGACGCGTTCCCTCTGTCATCTGTAATTGTCTCGTACCAAAAAAATTGCAATCACATTGGTGATAATATTCTTCATTGATACATACCATTCTTTGAATGTACAGCTGCAGTTTATGTCATTCCTTTAATTTTCAGTTTCCTATTCAAGACTTCTTTCCTACTGAGATGTCCCCTATACTGTACAAACATAAACATTACATATCTTCACCTGTTCTTCCATGTCAAGACGCAGGATGTTGCTACATTTCAGAAGCTGCTATAGTGGAGATGCACTTCCCAGGGACGAACTGTCGTCGTCCTGGACGACTTGCTCAACTGGGTTCTGCTCAGCCCACACGGCTGCATCTAGGTATCCGAGCTCAAAGAGCTGGTCGAGAACGTGATCCTCTGCTGGCTCCAGTGCCCAACTGAAAAGCTGCAATCATAATATGATGGAATAGAAGAATTTAGCTTTGTTCTGGCTTTCCACTGGTAAGTGGACGAAATGAACACATATGATGCAGCTACCTGTCTTGCAGTTGCCCTGTTTTCAGGATTGCAGTCGGGACTGATCCCGATTCCTTTGAGTCCCATTCGACTGGCTGGGAAAGCACATACTCGAACCTGTTGCAGTAAGAACAAAGTGAGTTGCTCAAACACCAGAAATCAACTCAAAAGCAAATTGTGATAGAAACTACTACAAATGCGCTGGTTAAGAGCACCAACTCAGCATGCTTCACTTTTACTTGAATCACTTGGTTCCCAATAAGTTATGAGGGGTTGAGAGACGTGATCGCTATAACCAAGCAAATACCGTGTTATCAGCAGATGTTGGAGGCATAAACAACGTCAATCCCCCATCTACACAAAGTCGGTTGCGGAACATGGTGGCAGGCCTTGGAGCAAGATACCTGCACCAAAAAGAAAAAAGAAGTTCGAAATCAATCTCAATACGAAAGCAATATCGCTCCAGTCCCAATAATACTACACTTGCTATTCAACTAATTACCCAGGAATGAAGGAGGAAGTAAAAACTGCGTTTATGAGGTCTTCCTTGGAGTCGAACTGATCTACCAGCAAACCCTTAGGCCGCCACAGAATTTGGGTCACAGCAACTGTCATAGGAAGGAAGACATACATCAATTTTTGGCACAGATATGAACTTTACAAGTACCAAATGCAAACAGATTGGTCATCATATCTTAATATTTCACGACAATTTCTAATTTTAAAATGCAAACTTCACTTAGCCTATTGGTTGCATCATCGGTATTTTATCTCCAACACAAAGGAATTGTGTCCATTTCCATTTTATGCAACAGCTAAAGAACGAATGAAAAGAAAACTCAAAACTTCCGATATCGAAATGAATCTCATCCTCACCTCGAACCCTCCCATTTGACCGAATGTGAACATCATCAGGAAGAAACTTTCCTAGCACATCTTTGAGAACTGCCTGTTAAGAACACAAGCATGATATCAGCTTACAGCAAATCAATAAAACAGTAGAACAAAAACTTCAAGAGGCACTTCATTGCAAATGCACCATTATCACAGTATGGGGTAGGAATATACCCCCAACCGGAATGCAGTGCCTCTTAGCCTGCAGTCTTCAGCCAGGGTTTTCGTTACTTCTAACGCTTCCTGCATGGTAGCGCCAGAGGCAATCACCGCACAGACGATGGCACCAGCAGAAGATCCAGCCAGTGGTGTAGTTTCCTGTGAAAGACAGAAGACAATAACACAAGCAAGAATTTAGCCAAGTTCCCATGCTCAGCAATAGTAAATCTATGGACACAAGATCAGAGTTCTTTCTTCATTTAGCCCAACGATATGCAGGACAAGAGAAAGACATCATCAAAAGCTTTGGTTTGGAGCCACACATATGATGGCTTGCACAAACACAGTACTCCTAGCTTCTATTTCATTGTCCAGAAGACACTTCACCATAAAATTCAAACATCCACACACTAGGAAAGAAATCAATTCAACAACAAAGCCTCGTTCTTGCCTAGATATATAAGTTGCAGATTGCAGCAGCATGGAAGCTTCAAGTCTAGTGAACAACTAAACAATCAAAATTGTGAGTTTCTTCTTAGGAACAATAGAAAACAAAAAATGACATCTTGTCAAGAAAAAGCAATAACACTAGAATCATCATCAAAGCAAACTAGGTAAACAATCCAAAAAGAAGAAGAAAAGGGGCTCTGACCTTGATGTAGCCTTTCTCAATAAGGCATTGGGCGACCCCTAAATGGTAAGGGAAGAGCAACCCAGCAGCAGAGAAACTAAAGCCAGGGCTCGTCACAACTCGTCGCTCTTCCTCCGCCTCCACATCCTTAACCCTCTGCTCCCAAATAACCTCCGGCTGAATCTCGTCCTCCATAACCTTCCCAATCCTCTCCTCGTAATCGACATTCCCATTCGACTTATCGAACATCAAGATGCCGGAATTGCCCGCGCCGGAAGGAGGGGAGCCCCCCTGTTGGCTGGACTTCAAAATCCTTGTGGCAATTCCGAGGAAAAGCTCGCCGGTGACCACCCCGAAGGATCTCTTCTCCGGCGGGGAAAGCGGCAGCTGCGGTGACGTCGGGGAACTCGTGGGTTTCTCGTCGGCGGGCGTGTTTTTGTCGTGGGAGGAGCTTTTAGTGGCCAAGGTAAGGACTTTGGGACGGTTAGGGAGGTGGGTCGGGTTCGGATTGAGGTTCCGAGAAGGGAAAGCTTGGCGGGTCGAATTGCGGGAGAGAATTGAGGTGGCGGACGACGTCGGCGGTGGTGGAGGAGGAGACGCCGCCATCGGAGGCGACGATGGACGCGGAGGTGGAGGAGGTGGTGGTGGAGAAGGCGAAGAAGAAGCGCCGGTGGTAGTATTGTCGAGTTTGTTTTTCGACAACAACCGCAAAAGCAAAGATTTTAATTTGGGAGCCATTTCCAAGATTTGAAGAAGACGACGATTTTGATTTCTGCCGTCGTGTGAAAATAGGTTTTTACCTTTTACCTTTCCTGGATGAAAATGTCTACGTCTTGTTTGCATTTAACAGCAAACCGAGACATCTACTAAAAAATGTCGACAAGAAGAAGAAGAACAAAAAAATGTCATTGTCTTAAATAGCTCCAAAGTCGTCGGCCAAAAGAGTAGCCTTCATAATAGTTTGCAGGTACCAGTCACCATTTCTATACACACATAAATTCATAGGATTCGGCAAACCTAAAAGGGAGGATTCTAATTAATTAGTTAGGCAAATTGGGATCTTCAGAATTGACTTCAATTGGATAACTGGAACAAGAGCTTGGGTCTGTTGCAGAGAGTAGAGGCTTCACATGGTGAAGTGAACTGCAAGTAAGGACGACTCCACATAAGACCATTCCACCGTTTGTATTATCCAACGTTCACTACTGGAAAGCTTGGTCCATTGTACAAACGATGGATTCCAAGAATGTGACCGAAACTATACAGAAATGACATAGCTTGATCTCTCCCTATCAATTCCATGTTCCTGATATTCTTGATTTCTTCTTCTCTCCATGGGACTTGGCCTGCGTTTCTTCAAACTAACTCGGCCGATGTCATTCAGGATAGGGATCCAAGTTTACAGGGGTACCTTATAGGATGGATCCACCATCTTCAGGATGAAGAGGTTTCCCATGTCTCCTCTTGAGATTCTGCAGATAATAATAATCATAATCATCATATGACAATGTCCTGTCAACTGAGGCTTCCCTCTTTGTTTTGGTTTGATATGACAGGTAACGAGGTCAAGCTTTGCTCTTTGTTAAAGATTAGTTATGATTCATGAGACTGACCTTAATTCCTCATCCAAGTAAGTGATCTCCAGCTGCCCACGTCCACTTCCAGGCGATTCAATCGGAATCTGACGAAAACCCATGTTTAATCAAAGCATAAACAACAGGCACATTCTTTGCTTTACATTAAGGCAAAAAGAACTAGACTGAATACAATAGAGAGAGAGGGGCATTGAAGCTGCCACATTACCAGGCCAGCAATCTTGAAGAAATCAAAGTTGACAGCAACCCTTTTCTCGTTTAGAGGTACTAGATTAGCTGTTGCCTGCACATAGCCTTAAACTGGCAGTTAATTTCTACAGCCAACAACACTAAGAAATTGCAGCAGGCAACTACTGCAGAAGTAAATCAGTTTCTCTTCTGGGTTCCTATGAATCTTCTACATGGTTGCATGTCCTAAGTCCTAAGAAGTAAGAAGTGGTAATATTTGAAGAACCAAAAGAAGCAGCTAGCCTCACCTGATTAAAGAAGGGCCAAGTTTCCAGATTTTGAGCCCGCAGAGTGTCGACATTGATTGCCTGGTAGATTTTCCCATTTGGTCTCAACAACTTTGGCCACTGCTCCAACAAACTCCCAAAAGAACCAGTGAGCAATCAATCAAGAACTTCAAAGGGGATTGATTCATTCAATCAATAAAACTTCCACCTTTTTCTTGAGTATTGATTGAGATGTAGTGTACAGGAGCTCCCATTTCCCATTCAACAGAGTGGACTTGAGAGGCTCCTTTTCTGCGTTCACAGCCTCCAACTTACGAGCTATCTGACAACAAACAAATTTCATCAGATTCTATGTTTCCCCAAATCGCCCAACTCAGAAAGCCTTGATTTTGGGGGAATTCGAAGATCGTCGACTCTCACCTCGTCGACGCGCTGTTGTTCCTGAGGGGTAGCTTCAACGCCGCGGTCGAGAGGGGCAATCGCGTCGTAGAGCTGAGACTTGAGGAGGTTGATGACCACATCTTGCCGCCTGGTGGAGGACGAGGAGGAAGAACCCTCTTTGGAGGAGGACGAAGAAACTTGGGTCCGCCATTTCCAGGAATCTGAAGCAGCATAGAGGCTGGAATCCTTCAACTTGATAGTGGAGGTGAAAACTCCGCGTGAATGGGTTGTGGGAGGAGAATCCGATGAGAGGAGAGTGAGCCGTGAAGATGGCCGCCGGGAATCGAAAACTTCTTCTGCTGACGATGATGATGGGTAGTGAATTTTCAGACACGAAGAAGAAGAAGAAACTATGCCCGCCATGAATGGAAGAAAGAAAGCAAGCTCTCTCTGTAATTGTGAAAGGTTAGCGCTTTAGCTACTTTCTGGGAGCTGTTTTTTTTCCCTCGCAGGTTGTGGATCGGAGCAGTTTGTTTTCTTTGCCTTCTAGAGAAATCACTTGGATTTTAGTGTCCAACTGTAAAAAACTAAAAAAAAAAAATATCTTAAAGAATATGCATCTAGAACAGTGAAAGAGAGTAATCAAGAAGATGATAACTCATTTCTTTCCCTGGAAATTATCTTGTTCGTTATTTACAGACATTCATAAGATGGTAGCAAAATTTAAGAAGTGTCAAGCCTCAAATTTGAATATCTGTAACTATGTATTACACCCTTGGAGCATTGAGTTCTGAATTCTGATGATGGCATACATCTCTTTTGTGTGCTGAGATGCTGTTTTTGGATAACCCACCCTTATACGAAAAAAGTTGCAGCTGCAGCAACAGGAGGAGATGTGTAGTAGTTCAAATCGAGCTCTTGGGAAATGAGGACTGACACTCATGATCATCCAGTGGCGGGGACACGGTAAGATGGATCCAGCATTTTCAAGATGAACAGGTTCCCCTTGTCACCTCTAGATATTCTGTGATCATGAACAAACACCAAAACCGATACCGAGAAATTCCAGTAAGTGAAATTAGAATTGAATTTTCCAGCTACTCTGACGCCTAGCTAGCTAGGCAGAGAGGATTAGCACGCTGTTCTTATTCGCAACTATGTTATGAATTCCTAATCCTTCTAATCCTGTATGATTACTTGATTAGCCAGAACTTCATCTTTTTGAAGCAAATGAGTGTGCAACAAGTTCCAGGCAAAAACTAGAGGAGAAATTTCATGCTACTAACCTCAACTCTTCATCCAAGTAAGTGATTTCCAACTCCCCAAGAGCAGTATCCGGTGCCTTAACCGGGATCTGTGACCATATATTAGCAGTATCAGTTACTCTACTTTATCTGACAGTCATTTCGAATTTGGTACATCGACAAGAATCACAAATGGTGTAAGGACCAGTTATCGTACCAAACCCAATATTTTGAAGTAATCAAACTTCACAGCCACTTTTCTTGTGCTCAGAGGGGTTAAGTTTGCTGTTACCTACACAAATGCATGAAAGATGTGAAATTTATCATTCAACCACATGACTTCCCTTCAAAATGTTAGTGTGCACATGAAGGTGAGCAAATCTACTTCCTAATCTAGAACCACAAGTATAGTATATGCGAACGTGTGTCCAATATGGTATCGTTGATGACGAAATAATAATGTCAAGCCCTAAACAACAGAGAGTAGGCTAGGATATTCATCAGTAGACTCCTGCATAGTACTTGGCCTTCATATGCACCCATCAAAAGAAAAAGGGGAAAAAAAAAACTTGAGCTTTCATACATGGAGGGTGATCAAGTACAAAAAACTGATCTTTCTAAGAGAGGAAAGAATTGCCCTTTTGTTACTTAAATAAGATGAAATGTGGATAGGGGCGTTTCACTAATACACTTAAAGCACAAAGCTTATGCTTGATCCCATAATGACATTGTAACTAACCAAATTGCATCCATCCACTCAGGAACACAATCATAGAGCTATGTAGAGCAATATACAGAGCTATATACAGCATTGCCGTCCAAATGAAAGCAGCAGCAGAAGATTAGTGAGAAAGCTACATACTTGGTTGAAGAAAGGGGCAGACTCCATGTTTTGGGCTCGCAATGTATCTGTATTGATAGCTTGGTAGTTAGTTCTGGACCTCAGCAACTTTGGTCTCTGCATTGCAACAAATAGCAGCAGTCTTCCTTAAGAACAAAGCACCTTCTTCCAAGTAAAAAGATCAACCAATCCTTTCCTAATTCTACACAAAGCAAACACCAAAAGCTAATTTTTACCTTGGTTTGCAGGATTGACTGTGAAGTAGTGTACAAGAGTTCCCATTTCCCATCCAGTAGCTCCGATTTCAATGGATCCTTAGTGGGATTGGCTGATTCCAGCTTCCGGGCAATCTACTCAAAACGAATTTTTACATGCATCATATAACAAAAGTTTCAAAATTCCACCACTCTTCAGATTGTGATTCACGAAAACACTCACCTGATCGACGAATTTCTGGTCCTCCGGAGTAGCCTCGGCGCCGCGATCGAGGGGAGCAATGGCTTGAAGAAGCTCCTCCTTGAGAGCATTGAGGTCCTTTCCAGGAGATTTGAAGAATGCGGGAAGGAAAGAGACATTGGTTCTCCACTTACTGTTGTTGTTGTTATCTCGACCGGTCTGGATCAGGGCAGTGGCGAAGGAGTTCGCCAAGTTTTTGGAGAGGGGAAAGATGGCGCCAGCGGCAGGGTGGAGCTTCAGGGGATGTGGTGGGTCGCCGTGAAATATGGCGGCAGAAACCGTGGTGGTCGAAGAAGATAAAGCCATGGCCATATTCGAAGCTCTGAGGTGGTGGTGGTGGAGGTGAAGAAGGGGTTTAATGGCATAATTGGCAGGCTGTGTGTGTGGTTGCTATGGATTCTTGTCCCGCTTAGTGCTCATTGCTAACTTGAGAGACGTGGCAGCTTGTTACATTGCAAGTAAAATCACCAATTAACGATTTAACTGTAATTCTACTATTTCTACCAATATCAGTACTGATATTTTACAGGTCCCTTTTGTCGCATTAGCAGAACTTCACATGTGGATCTTTATTCTAATTCCTTAAATCCAATTAGTGATGATGACAGAGGCGGCAGCAACTACTGGTTGCGAAATAACGTTGAGTTTCGCGTCCCGCTGGCGGCGGCGGCCAAAGGGGAACCAACGAGTATCGCCACCGGCCACCCCATTAGGTTCTTCGATCTCTCTACATGCCAAACTGGTGCTGATGTGAAAAAAGCTTCGATCTTGATAGGAAGGGAAGGGGGGTGCAGTTGCGCGAGTACGATGCTCTCCAAGTTCAGCGTTTCTTGGTTCAACAATGGTTCGATTGCAAGTCCAGGAGGGACAGGACCCAGTTCCTTGTTTCTGTATCGAAGTGATTTCCCGAAGTCTAGAAGGCACAGGTTGAGGTTTAAGCTTGTGGGTCAGTCTTCTGGTGACAACAAATGGAAGCTCAAGGAAATTGATACCAGTGAGATTCCGCTTCCGCTTGTTTTTGGACTTCTTTTTCCCTTCCATTTGACTATCATCTTAGTTCGTTATACTAGAAATTCGTTGTTGTGAAGTGATCAATTAGGCGGTGCTGAATAGTTAGGAACGTAGCCAGGCAAAAAGATGGAGGTAGGAGAATTAGGCAGTGGTCGTGAAGCTTGCGCACGCACTTGTTTGATTTTAGCAGTGAATTTCCAATTGGAGGCGCAAATTTTTTTGGTTAAACAGATGCTAGCAGCTGTCATGGATGGAGCTGTCTGCTTATGGCATGCATATGTTCCTTTCTTTTATTCCATAAAAGTAGGACCTTTCCTAGGAATTATCCCAGTATGATCTTGTGCATCCATGAATGACTTCATGGTGGTGTTGTTTTTTAACTGTTGACAGAGGCAGTGCAGGAACAGTTGAGCTCATGGTTTTCGAAGACCCAGAATTTCATAGCGGAGGTGGCTTCACCGCTGGTGAAGTCTGGTTCCAGTGGGAAAATCACTTCTCGAAAAGCTAATGATACTTTAGAGCTGGAGGAAGTATTTCTGGTTGAGCCAACTATTCAAAGAAACACACGGAAGGGAGTTCTTTCACTAGCTGCTTTGGTATCTATTGAGCAATTTAGCAGGTAGAGTCCATATTGTTTTTAATTCCTAACTGAGATAATTACCGTCCTTTGTGAATCATGTGCTACTATGAAACAATTCGCAAAAAGAAGAAGAAAAAACAGTTGCAGGTTCCTCCCGAACCTCATGATGAACTAGTTCTGATCAATGACAAACAATCCCCACAAGAGAATTCCGGCTAGCATTGTTTTTCTGAAGTACATAAACTAGGATATGTTTTCATTTGTTTGATAATGTAGCAAATGATAATTCGGATAATTGGAATTCCTTACAGGTTGTTGGCATATTTTCTGTAGGTGATATTTTATGGTTCCATGTTAGACTGATCGGGGATTTATGGTATGCAGGATGAATGGGTCGACCGGATATAAAATGCAGAAGATTTTTAAAGCACTTGTGGCGGAGCCTGTTTATAGTGATGCCCGTAACTTGGTGGAGTATTGCTGCTTTAGGTTCTTGTCAAGGGATAGCTCTGCCTTCCATCCATGCCTCAAGGTTTGTGCATTAACTTCCTTCCACTTCTACTGGTATATGAAGTGTGTCCAACGCCTTCGTCTGTTTTTCACCAACTTGGTAAAGTTTCTGTGTTCTGGAATCATGGCCGCATATTTATCTGTTGGTTGAACAATCGTAAACACATATGTCAATAGATTTGACAAAACAAAAAAAAACATATATCCATACAGGACGATACAATGGCACTCTTAGTTTTGGTCTGCCATAGTTTCTGCGAATTTCTGCTTTCCCCCTTTTTCTTGGGTCTGAAATTGTTATATCATGTTTACCTGAACTAAAATTGGCTTTCTTTGCATATATTATGTTCCAATTCTTTTCCCCTTTCCATTTCAAGGGATGTCTGCTCTGGGATCAAAGTCCTTTATCCTTCTTAATTTCCTGTATTTTTGGGAACTTTGGTTTGGTTTTCACAGGAAGCAGCATTTCAGAGGCTAATCTTCATCACTACTAGAATCAATACCCACGGCTACGCCGCGGGAGATGTAGTCGTGTTTAGTATATGTGAAAACAGTCATACAACTTACCATCACAATAATTATTTACGGAACATTAGTCTAAATACTCTCGAGTAAATACTTTTTTTGATACGAAACTCATTATGTTAGACATCAAATCAATACATACCCAGGCTATCGTGCTAAAATTTTGAGCAATCTTCATTAGAAAAGAAGCAATCATCAACCTGTATCAACAAAAGAGTAGTAACTTTAACAATATAAGGGAGAAAGTCACTAAATTACTTCTCTTCCTAAAAATATGCTCTTACAAAATGGAAGTAAACAAATAAAAGCTCCAACGCCAACCTGTCACCATGTATCAAATGCTTAATCGTCAATACAATTCAATGTAGGACATGATACTTGTTCTGGTATACTTTCCATCAAAGATCCTCCTATTACTCTCCTATACACAGCAGTACATTACACGAAGAAGACTTAAATTTCAAAAGCTTTTTCTTGCTTTGCAACTTCTTGTTCAAGCTCTGCAAATTCTGCAATGGATTCCTTCTCCTTCACTTCTTTCTTTAGTTTGTTTTTCTTCATCCCATATATACCAGAAGCATAGCAAAATTGCATAATCAGAATTACAACATAAAGAAAAAAGTGCAGCAACAACTAACAACAAAACCAACAAAAAAATATGCCAAGAAGTACAGAATTCTGGTCATGTATACGAAAGTCCCCAAGTTTCAACTCTAAGTTCTCACATAAACCAATCGGTCCAGATAACTTTTAACTTTCAATACATTTGACCAACAGCAAGCAGATATGAGCATCAAACAACAGTTGATCGTGAAAGAAAATAGGAAGTAAATTTCATTCTAGGTTGTTGACTGTAGTAGAATGCTGATATACCTGAAAGTTAGAACCAACATGTTTCTTTCCAGAAATAAAGAGAATGTAATATCTCCAAGTATAAATGAAGTCAAATGTTACCTGAAGTTTGGCATGGGAAATCTGCCCAGAAACCATTCAAGCAGAATACCTGCAAACTGCATCAGTCAGTTATAGCTATACATTAGGCAATAATAAATCCAGAATTGAAATAATAGAATTTAAACCCCTGCCTCTAGTTCAACAGCGGTAAATGAATCATAATATATACATATAGGCCAAGGAAATCTCATTTCACACCAGAAGGGCAAACACATCAAAGTTGCAACCTCTATTCTGATATAAGGTCATTTTTTGATTCTGCAGCAACATGAAATGACCTGAAGTTTTTTTTATCATGGTGACATAAACTTATTAATTAGGAAAAATAAACAAAAGAAAAGCATACAAATACAAATCTGCAACATGAAATCTTCTCTTGCCAGCTCATCTGACTACAACAGATTGCTTGCCGAAGATCAGCTACTGCATCCTACCAAATATTACTCTCGAAGTCTAATTGCCATCCAAACTCAACCAGCTAAAACTGAACCAAAAGCCAATGCAAGGGTTGTATCACATCAGGCTCTTCACAATAGATCAAGAACATGGGAAGAATTTATATGATATAACAGAAGCACTATCATACTTTTTTTTTTCTTTCTTACCAAGAAATAGCCATCTCAATGCTTTTTGCCCTCAAGTAAGACTCCTCAAATTGCACAGGGTTGATTGTCTTTCATGCTTCAAGTCTCCACTGCTGGAGCTGAGACCAACATCTCATTGAATTTGAAGTCCACTCTTCCGCAATCTGAAGATCCACCTTCTTTGTGAGTTGGCTAGTGCGCGTATTTATGGAAGCACACCAGATAGCATAGAAACTTCAACATATGTGGATGATTTTTGCTCGTTAACCTGAATATTGACTGCAAAGAATGTAGAAACAGGTAAGCAACCCATGAAAATGAGCAGAAACTAATAGACGCAGAGGGAAGAGAAGATATAGGATAAGTAGCACTGTACATTACCTTGCCTACGCTGGATTTCACACTTGCTATTGCACAGATCCCTGCTACCCGCTGCACTCATATGGGCATATACACGACGTTAATCCAATTACTCAAACTACTTAAGAAGTGATCGAAAAACTAAAGGAAGCTAGGAAGGGGAGATATATTGTATCAGACTACGTACCATAAGCTGCTTGATCGCATTGACTCCTGGTGCAAGTGTCTTGACACCACAGCTCATCAAAGCCCTGGGAGGTGCAGAGCTCTAGATGATTATTAGTATGACAGATAGGGGTGAACAAATACACCCGCAAACCGACCCACCCGTCCAACCCGACCCAACCCACCCGTATTTATCGCTAAATCGAAGGTTTTGGGTTGGGTGAGGGTTTTCTTTTGTACAACCCGCCTCTTTTGGGTTGGATTTGGATTTTGGATTACACAACCCGTAGAACCCGACCCAACCCGTGTTCCAATTATTGGTATGAGTTCGTATCCAAAAAAATATTTATGTCGTATATAGTCATACTTGTGAGAAAATTAAGATATTTCGCCATGTTTTTCTCTTAAAGTCTCACTAATCTAATGCATTCTTCGACTTAAAGTTTATACATATATTTAATATAGCTATGATTCACGCAATTTTTTTTTCTTGTGTACAATTTTAAAAGAATATCATATTATGGATGCGTTCATTTGTAACATTTTTAGCCTATTTCAACAAATGTCGTGAAAAAAACTATACATAAGTTGAAGTAAATCAAGTTTTATTAAATTTCAAACAATATTTGTGAATTTTGATACCTTTCACCTCGGTTTATTCGTTTGAATTTTTAATTAGTTATAAATATTTTTATGATATAGAATAATTACATATTTTGTGTTGGGTTGGGTTTTTACTTAAAAATATCGCCAACCCGACCCAACCCAATTAAAAACAAACCGTAGGGTTTAGATTTTTTTGAGTGGGTTTGGGTTTAATATTTCCCAAACCGTAGTGCATGAGTCGGGTGATTAAAATGTCTAAACCCGAACCACCCGACCCATGTACACCCCTAATGACAGAGCAGCAACACACCCATGAAAATCACCATCAATGTCTTCTTCTCCATTCTCAATGTAAAAATCCCTATTTTAATGAGGCTTCATGTGTGATATTCACAGTACTCAGACTGGGTTATTTGCTTGGGAAGTGATTTCAGAACAGGGGGAAATGGTTCAATAATCAGGCAGAGGGGGTGGAGATGGTCACAGAGAAGCCAACAAAAGAAAGGACTACCAGCTAGCTAGCCATTGTAGCTTACCAACAGACTCTCTCTTTGTCTCCCCTCGCCGCACTGAGAGCTGATGTCCAACTGATCTCAAGTTGATATTGATGAATGACAACCGGTAGAGCTGCGTCCTCACCCACGGGTTCATGGCGCCTTGTCTTTCAATGAGCAAAGCACATTTAAGCCAGAGCTACTCATTTTGCTGCCCATGCGGTTTTTTCCCAATCAGACGTCGCCATCATCGTCAATGCGTCGCCGTTGCCATTGCCGACATCCTCTTCCTCGGCATCTCAAACGGGAGGGAAAGTGGAAGCGAGAATCAGAGGTGGCGGTCCGATTTATGAAGGATTTATCGGGCTGTGTTTCGTGGAAGTAGATAAGAAAGGGATGAGAAGAAGAGGGCGCTCTAGTTTCAGGCTTTACGTGGGGAGACGTGTGGAATGAAGGTAAAAGACCATAGACATAGAGGTATGGGAGACGTAAAGGAAGTGTAGACTGGGAGAAATTCAGTTTGCATGTTAGATTGTTTGGAAAGATAGAGATATGATTGTAGGTTGGAAGAAAATTGGAAGTGATTTGATTGGAGGAGGAAGAGTATAGAGAAGAGAAGGATTTGTCAGGTAGTGGGGTGACAGAAGAAAGGGGAAGGGTAAGATTTTATTTTGTGGCAGTTGAACCTCTTTTCTCCTTTTCTTACAGTTTTGAAGGCTTTTTGGTGGGTGGATGAAGGATTGAAAAGATGGAGTTTCACTAAATGACAAATAATGAAACAGTAACAAAAACAATTGGCCAATAAAGTGTACCCACATTTCATATATAAAAGAATGCTTGCCTGGGAAAATCCTTACTGCAAACAAAATTATTCCCCAGAAGCTTCTTTAAAGGTTCAGGATTTGCAGTCCCCATCTTTATCATACATTTTTCGTGCTGATTATTTATGAGAAGATGCTAGAATCTTGGAATGGAAAGGAAAGAAAAAAACATTCCTCAAAGCAGCAACTACTAGGCTCATATATATGTGGCATAATATGTCCTATGCTGATTGTTGTCCACAAGGTATCGTATATTTTATCGACCCAAATTATCCCATGGCCATAAATATAAGTCATCTAAGTAACTGAATGGAACGTCCATCATCCTATAAAATGCTTGCTGTAGTAGTCAGAAACTCAGAACTTATTCTTGTTTTCCCTCACTTTCTTTGCAATGACGGCATGTGTTGCTCTTGGAAGTCTGTTTTCGTAGAGGGGGTTTATAGCTTTTGGCTTCAATGTAGTCTTTTTGGTTACATTTCTTTCATTAAGATACACTCATGCTGTTCTCCAAAAATGGGCAGTGGGAAATTTACAATTAGGAGAAACTTAGTTTAGTAGTTTGCTATTAGGTTTAGCATCTCCGAAGTTTCATTTTCTTTTTCAAGTGCTAACTAGATTTTTTTACTTATTCTGTTCTGTTACTGAAGGGAAAGCTTGTAGGGGAAGATGCATTTATACGTATTGCTCCAGCTGTTCCTGGTGTAGCTGATCACTCCACAGTGCATAACCTTTTCAAAGCCCTAGCTGGTGATGAAAGAGGCATCTCAGTTGAAGTCTGGTTAACTTATATTGATGAACTTCTCAAGTAAGTTCCTATTCTCTCGGCCATCTTTGTTCTCCCGATCTTGTACTTTATGTTGATTCTTCGACAACAGTCAGCAAGTAAACTTCTTAGCATATTCACTTTGTGTCCTATGTTTACTTTTTCTGTTGAAATATTGTAGAGTGCATGACGGACGAATGGCATACCAGACTCGCGAGTATTCACCAGTTTGGAACGAAAGAGTCCTGTGCATTGGTTCTAGCAAGAAGCAGCCTGTTCTGAAATGGGAAAATAATATGGCATGGCCAGGAAAAGTAACTTTAACAGACAAAGCACTGTATTTTGAGGTACTTTACTTTTAAATTGAGCTAGTGGTTGCCAACAGGTTCCATATTCACATTTCATTGAAATTTATAACAACGACTTTTCAAATGGTGCTTGCGGTACTGGTGGTTAAGGTTTGTTTATGATATTTGTGTGTGTCTTGCAGGTTGTTGACCTACTCGGTAAAAGAAGCTCTACAAGGCTTGACCTTACAAGAAATGGATTTCAAGTTCAAAAGACAAAAGTTGGACCTTTAGGTGCTTTCGATTCTGCAGTCTCTGTTGGGTCAAGTTCTGGGTGAGTGAGGTTCTCTTCGCCTATTAGTTTTGTTTCCAGTCAAATGTTTGCATTAGTTGCATATATGGCTGGACTCGCCATAGTTGGTTGCCTTCTGTCTAATGGGTTCATAATTTTTACGTATTCTTACTATTTGTTTTCATTACCCTTAGTTTTTTCTTATTTTTCCTTTGTGGGTCAGATCAGAAAGATTGGTGTTAGAGTTTGTTGACTTGGGTGGCGAGTTGAGACGAGATGCTTGGCATGCATTTATCTCTGAAGTTGTTTCCCTTCATAAGTTCATATCCGAATTTGGACCTGAGGATGGTGATCCCTTACTATCACAAGTATATGGTGCCCGAAAAGGGAAGGAAAGGGCTATCAACGATGCTAGTAACAGCATAGCCAGACTTCAGGCTCTTCAGTTCATGAGGAAATTGGTGGATGATCCTCTCAAACTTGGTCAGTTCTCATACTTGCGCAGTGCACCCTTTGGAGAGATTGTGTGCCAAAGTCTGGCTCTTAACTATTGGGGTGGACCATTAGTTAAGACCTATACAGATGATGATGACTATGAACCAACTCCAGGGCCAGTGGCACCCACTGATGGTGTATCAAAACTCAGTAGTCATTTGCTTGACATAGACGGGAGCATTTACCTAAGGCAATGGATGATGAGGTCACCATCTTGGTCTTCCAGTGCTTCCATTAACTTCTGGAAACGCTCGTCCAAAGGGCAAGGTTCAATTCTAAGTAAAGATCTTGTTGTTGCCGATCGGAACCTAGTTGAGAGGGCAGCTTCAACTTGTAGAGAAAAATTCAAAGTGGCAGAAAAAACACAAGAGACCATAGATGCTGCAATGCTTAAAGGGATTCCAAGTAACATTGACCTTTTCAAGGTTTGCTGCTCATATTGTTTCCTGTCTTCTATTTCTTATTGACGGGCCAAGTATCTGATCGAATTGGTTAGAACTTATCTGATATTTTGAATTCATGCAGGAACTGATACTTCCTCTATCCATGGCTGCAAAGAATTTTCAAAAGCTGAGGCGATGGGAAGAGCCACACCTGACAGTATCTTTTCTTGCATTTGCTTATTCCATAATTTTCAGGTATCATGTTCATCTTGTTCTTGCTTTTATATGTTTTATGAAGAATGCTAATAAAGTGCCCCATCAATACCAGACGTCCAGACCTACCTAGTTTTTGTATTCAACCAAAAGCTTATAGCTCCTGTTCTTCTTTCCAATGGCAGCAAATCTAAAGCTTCTCGATGTTGGCTTCTTCTTTGCAGAAATTTGCTGTCGTATGTATTTCCGATGATGTTGATCGTTTTGGCAGCTGGGATGCTAACACTAAAGGGCCTAAAACGGCAGGGCCGCTTGGGAAGGTCATTTGGAAAAATCGTTATCCGTGACCAACCCCCTTCCAATACCGTTGAAAAGATCATAGCTGTGAAAGATGCCATGCGAGATGTGGAAAAATACCTCCAGAATCTTAATGTCGTGCTTCTCAAAATACGAAATATCTTTCTTTCAGGTCAACCACAGGTATGCTCCCATCAGTTACCAACACTTAGCTGCTTCGCCACGTATTACTTCCTCAAGTAGAGAGCTTAAGGGCCACATGCACTGTGCTGTCTTTGTGGTTTATCTTTTGTTTCTGTGCTTGCAGAATATAGTGAGACATCAGATTGCTTTATTAAAGGTTTTGTTTCTTTCAGGTGACTATGGAGGTCGCATTGGTGCTATTATCGTCAGCTACCGTCCTTCTCATCGTTCCATTCAAGTACATTCTTGCATTTTTTCTCTTTGATACCTTCACTCGGGAGCTTGAGTTCCGGAAAGAAATGGTGAGAAAGTTCACAACCCTATTGAAGGAGCGTTGGGAGACGGTGCCAGCTGCACCTGTAGTCGTGGTGCCATTCGAAAGTAAGGAGTCTAGATCAGCAAATGAAGGAAAGAAGCCTGATGAATAGTCAATCATTCCGAAAGGAGAGATGAAAAAACAAAAGTGTACAGTGGCTGCTGAGAGGTGCAGGTGTGCAGGTATCTGCATGCATAGTTTTGTAAGAGTACAGAAAATTCTGGTTGTAGTTCTCTACCATATTTGTGCAGTATACAAGGTTCAGTAGATCTCTGCCATATCTCAGTGCTCTTATAGGTGCTACATAAAATATCTCAATATCCAGGCCACCATCGGAAGCCACCATGCAAAAGGTAGAACTTGAAACTGATCATTCGAGGAGGAACTGATGCTGTTATTATTACTGCAAACCACCTTGTTGTCATGGTAGGAGCACAGTGTTTGATTCCTGCAAGCATATAGTAAATAATTAATCATCTTGTAGTAATAGGTAGTTACTTCTAATTGCCTGAATGAGATTGTCATAGGAAGTTTCGAAAATTCAACCTCGATGAACAAAAGGTGATCAAGTAATCAGATGCAGAGCATGTCATCACTGTGGTACGATCATCGAGTGCATAGCTCGATGCTGCAGGGCATACTTGTTTGAATGCCTCCGAGTAATTGTTTGCCACGCATACCATTGGATCTGAGTACTTCCCACGGCAGCAATACTCATCGCTGTCGAACACCTGACAGGCACTCTGGCACGCAACCACCCTGTCGTGGTCAGATTCGACCCCAAGTTCCTGAGGGCAACTCTGCCTCAGGTCACCATCACATCCAGCAATGCTGCAGTTTCCTTTGCCGTTCAATGGAGACACCACCAGAGGCAAGTTGAACCCGTCTACGAGACTGACATCATAGAAATCAAGGTCGTGGTCATCCCCAAGGGTGAATTCTGCGATGGTGTTGGGAGGTGAACTTGGGGTGGTGCAGTTGAGGGAAGTGCCACAGCTGCCTGTTTGGCAACTCCCAGTAGTTGTGCCATTGGTGGCGTTGAAGGTGCAGCCAGTTCGACCCCATATTCGGCCACTCCATCCAGGTGGGGCAGGATAGGAGGCGGTTTGGCCGGGCTGCAAGGGGAACCCAATGTCGCCTGCAGAGTCGTTGTGGTCGGCCTTGGTTATGATACCTGGCCAGATTGTCTCGTTGCAGTTGTTGTATAGCGTGAATGTTCTGCTACTCGTGGTCGAGTTTTGTGCTGCGGTGTGAGCAATGTGATCAGTGCTAAGTATGCAGAAGAAAGTTGCTTAAGTAGATCAAAAGATGTGGATTTTAGTGAGCATATGTGTGTTACCTGAAGCAACTGCAATGCAGAAGGTGAAGAGGATGCAGGCAAGATGGTTGCAAAAACGATTTCGATAAGCCATGCTTGTTGCTCAAGTCTGTGATGTGGTTGGTTGGAGTATTAGAACAGACAAACTTTATATGTGTTAGCAGGGGAATGGAGTTGGGACAGAAAGAATGGCTTCCTTACTTACAATGCTTGCTTGTCTATCCCCTTTTCCATTGATACCTTGCTCTGCCTTCAGCCTTGTTATTCTCTCAATCTTCTGGCAAATCTGAACCCCAAAATGTTTGTTTGTATGCAGTTCAGTTCGTAGTCGTTGTTTAAATCGGTTCTATCAAAATTCGGATTGTATAGAGATTTCAACTCATGAAAATTGACAAGAAACTCTACTTTTTGTAGTGATAAACCAATAAATTTGAGTTTGATAGTATCAAAAACACCTTTTAGTTCTCTAAATTCTAACAACATTTGGATTTTACGTCCAATAACTCCAATGTATAAATTTTCTGTAGTCTCTTTACTTTTTCGGTAAATAACATTGTGATAGGAACAAAGGGAGAAATGATAGATTGAAAATCCCGTAGAATTCAAATTCAAACCAATGACCTCGTCGTCTTTATTTTATTGATGGTACCACTAGCTACATTAATGTTTGTTGGTAATGTATGAATTTTACTCTTTTTAGGTTCTGGCAATCCTTGGACCATATATTCCATGATCTTTTGGTATCATCGTATTGCAAAAGAGGTCGGCTGGTCAATTTAGTTCGTGTTTATAAAGATGTCAGGCCGCCTATTTTAGTAACTTTACATATTGAGAAATATATTTTTTTAGGTACAATCTCCTTTTCAAATTAGTAATTATATTTTGATCAACTTAATTGATGATCACATGTTTATCAATATAAAATTAAACTTCCAAAAATATTGATAAATAAAGACTGAAGCACAAAATCACATCATAATCCTATTTATTCCCCCTCAAATTTTGTATTGCTCATCAACCTTTCAATTATGGAAACCCGCTATTTCCTAATCGGAAAATTGCTTACCCAACCTAAAACAGACAACAATAATACACACTTAATTAAGAACGAAAAAAAATCCAAAAAAATCATTGGCTCTTATCCAATACTTTATCGCCACCGCCGCCGCCGGAACCAATCTTCTCCGCCGCGGCGGCCTTCCTCTTCTTCGCGGCGGCAGCGTAGCTCTTCCCATGGAAATCAACGAAAAGCGCCAGAAGCGAGGCATTGAAAACGGCATTGAAGCACCACCCCCACATCCCGGAGCACCCGCCGGCGGCGAAGTGGTAGTACAGCATCAGCCCGGAGATGCAGAAGCTGAAGACGAACTGCACGATCTGGAAATCCGTCACCAGCCTCTTCCACCGGGGGCGGGACCCCAAGGCGGTGCAGAAGTAGTACCAGTACATGACCACGTGCACCGTCGCGTTGGTCACGAGCGCCACCGGGAACAGGGACTGGGCCGTGCTGAGCCAGAGGTAGCACATGACGACGACGGTGGCGTGGTGGTACACGTGGAGGAACGTGAGCCGTTGGTTCGACTTGCTGAGGATGATGAGGAGCGTGTCCCCGAATTCTAGGTATTTGGAGAGGTAGAAGATTTGGGCCCAGAAGAAGAGCGGGCCGGACGGGGCGGTGTTTGGAGGGAAGCAGACGGCGCGGCGGAGGCGTGGGGGAGGGGAATTGGGGGAGAAGATGGAGAGGATGGTGCCGGCGGACATGACGGCGGAGAGGAGGAAGAGGACGAGGCTGTGGGCGGCGGTTAGGGGTTTGAGGAGCGGAGGAGGGAGGAGAGGGAGGGGGAGGCGGCGGAGGAGGAGGGTGAGGAAGAGGTAGGTGAGGACGGCGGCGGCGACGAATTGGGGAGTCGAGGCGAAGGTTTGACCGGGAGACCAAGTGAAATTGTGGATTTGGGGATGGTCGACGAGCCAGTAATTGAGAGTGGGGAGGATCTGAGACAGCGGTTGCGGAGCCATTGGGTTCGCCGGAATGATTCGCCGGCGAGCGGCGACGGCGGCTGGAGAGGATTGGGGATGGGAATTTTTTCTGACTTTACCAGACGAAGGATAAGTGGGATGGGGAGTGAAGAAGACCGTTGATTCTTTCTTTATGCAACTGGTGGTTGGCATACGGTACGTCGTCGTCTTATACCGGTGGGCCCTGACCCAATGGGCCTTCCAAAGTAAACAACGGCCCAAATTCTATTTCAGAATAAGAAATGTTGAACAATACCAGAAAAACAATGCCAATATCCCTACACCAAATTCTATTACTTACTTCCCCCATTGAGAATCCTACACTCATGACTCGCTCCATGGCAGCTTCAAGTTGCGGCTAACAGGAGGCAAAAATTGGATATGAAGATGATCAACAGCTTTACTCTCACTTATGCCGAGCCAGCAGGAACCTTTTTCCGGACTACTCTCTTCCTGCGGGGCTTAGCTGCTGTCTCGGTGCCACCAGACTCTGCATTTCCTTGTTTGATGCCGAGCAGGCCGAGCCCTGAAACTAAGGCATTTTTTGAGATGAACCACTTTGAGGAGGAGGATGCTGCATCAAGGTCCTCTGGCGTTGTCGGCCTGTTGTACGCCTTCAGAAGGTTCTCCGACTGAGCAAGAGGGTCTACCTCCACTCCTAGCCAGGCTAGCCTTGACACTTCCCCGGCTTGGTCATTCATTATTCTGCATAGCAAAAGAAACACGATGAGTATTAGGACGACGACAAAATAAGCAGAATGTTCGAGGAATCGCTTATATACGGAGGAGGAAGATCAAACCTTAGAGCTGTGCCCAGAAACAGGGCCACTCCAATGACATCAAAGTGGTTGACCACTGCTCTATCAAATCCGCATAACAGCTGGTATCTAACATTTCCATAAAGCCCGAGAAAAGCACCATAACCCAGAGCATAGGTACTCACAGGCGGGACTGTCACCGACACCCTGGGTAAAAGAGAAGGAACTTGTTGTCAAGATTAACACACAACACAAGTATACAAAGATGCCCAACACAACCCTGTGCATAGATTTTCAGTTATTTCCATCGGGATAGAGACTAATCCAGACAAAGCAAACATCACTGCAGTCTTTGTTTGCTTACCTGTCCTTTTTCTTAGAGGCTAGAACATTTGACAATGAACCTTGAACTGCTCCCGCTGCTAAACCCACCAAGGATAATTCTGCAGCCTTGAAGAAGAATGAGTGGATTCTCTTCTGCAAGTCGAATTCTCTGAGTGGATAGCTCTTCTCAAATATGTTGTTTGGAAGCTTCTGTAGTGTGTTCTGTAGATCGAACTGGAATGTGTTTCCATATGAACGACAAGGAGCAAGCGACCAAACCATGAAAGCATTGCATGCTGTCACAGTCAATACATTTACAAGGGCCAAGTCCCACTCTTGCTTTATCCTTTCAATAATCACCAGCAGCAGCGAAAATTGAGTATCAGTTCAGCAAAAATCACCAAGTCAGACTTACTTCCAGCTTTAGCAAAACAAAATGCCAAAAAGAGAATAAATACCTATCTCCACGATTCTTGAACTCCCACCACACAGAGCAACCAAGTGTTGCAAACTGCTCTAAGAGAAGCTTGTAAATGAAGGCAGGATCTGCAAGCATCCTGTGAACCACAAAATAACACATCCAATTGTCAGATACTGGATTGAGTATCCATGCACCATCTAGGAAACATATCCCACGAACTCCAAGATCGGCTCAGCAACTAAATCAAGACACCAACACAACAGATGTGGGGTAAAATCTATCTAGATTTGTTACAGTATTCAACTTAAACACACAAACTGCAGATCGTCCTGCTTATTTTGGTTAACTACGAGTGCAAGTTCAAGTATTCTACTCATTGTGGACCACCAAATCTATATATACATGCTATCCATTGAAGATTTACCAAATCATTAACTATACGCTCAATTCAAGGACCTAATGGGTTCACAGACAGAAAGACCCACAAGGTGAAGTCGAAGTAAAACACACGAAGAAAATTACTTTGTTTCGATTGACAGAAGATAGACGAAACCAAGAAACAACTCAACCTGTCCCTCAAAACCAAGATGAATAAGTATATCAGTATCAGATGTGAGAGAAGGAGATGCATTTCAAAGTATGACCTTTCTATCTCTAGTTATAGAATGAAATAACTCTGACAAATCTACTCATCAGAGTGAGCAACTTCAACAAAGGAAATATGACACATTAATGCCATATATGTTTTACATTTGGAATATCAATAAAGCCAAAATGATAGGACATGTAGGCATCAGGAATAAAATACCTTCCAATAAAGGCCCGTGAAACTGCTTGAGGAAGTGATCTAGAAATGAATCTTGTAGTGGTTGGTCTGGCATTTATAGCAAGGAATTTTACCATTTGAGCTGAGCTCACCAAGCCCTGCAAATTTTACAAGTTAGATAATCACATAATCCTACGTTGGGCCAGACAAGATAATTATTCATAAACTAAAGGTCACAAAAGAATAAAAGAAGAAAGTATTAACCATTTCATAAGCTTGTCGGAAACCAGCAGGCAAATCCATCATGGTTTTCTGCCACTCATTCAACACAGCATCTACAAACTTTTTATCAAAAAGCTGCAAGAAGCCATTGACAGATATCAGTATAGGCATCCAGTATCCTTTGTCAAAATATCTCAAGTCCTAGGAGGTAATTTATGGCATTCCAACCTCTTCAAAGATTTTCCTCCTTCGGAAGAGCCCACCTTCATCACCCTCATCACCATCATCAAAGTCATCGAAGTAGTCATCATCATCACCATCATCATCACCTCCGTCTCCACCACCGTGATTGATTTTTTTCCCAATATCCCCACCACCTCCCCCAAGTGCAACCTACAATTTTCCAGAGCATTAGGCACTTCCTCGAATACTCAATTTGACTAATCAGTTAAACTGGAACATCCAACTAGATTCTAAGATTACTCTCCAGACTCAAAGCTGAGGATTTGACCCACTAAATCTGTCTCTTCCCTGTTAAAGCAAGTGCCACCAGGACACATTCAAAAAATAATTGGCATGATTTCTGTTGACATGAAAGAACATTGCCAGTGCTTCTATAAATCTATGGTTCAAACAAGTAACGATGCTATGTACACTAACATGAGCCTCGCTCACAGGCAACAATCCAACGTCTACTGAATTCCAACCATGTTTCTAACCCTTTCTCAATTCTATTCAACGTTGCATCGACAAAGGAAACCTCAGTACAAAAGACGAGCAATTCCTTTTTTTCTTCCATTTCCTCACTGAATTCAAAGAAATAATTGAAGAGAATTCCAAAGTTTCTATCCGAGAGAATGATCCAACCAGAAATGTCATCAACATCAATATCAATCCACGGCTTACGATACATAGACCAACCCACCTACCAGTGCTCAATACCAATTTTTAGTCAAAGAATTCACCTAGCCAATTACCATAGAACTTCCCAAGATAAGGTTCATCACCCTGAACTTTCCAGCTAGCAAGATTACATATTTCCAATTCAATTTCCAAAACAAAGTTCTAGGAAACAGGAAGAAACGCCAAACCTCAGGAGTAGACTGGGATTGCTTCTGGGTTAGATCGAGCTTCCCCTTCTCCAGAGTAACAGCACCAAGAGAACCAAAACCCTTCCCCTTCATAACCGGGCCGAACTCCCCTCCCGAGCTCGAACCCAAACCCTTCTCCACGGGCGCAGTCGGGGCCACAAAGCACCGTTCCAGCAGCGCCACATCGCCCCCGCCGTCAATTATCGAAGACGACGACGCCGAAGAAGAAGAACAGGAGCACGAAATGGATAGACTCGGCACCCGCCTTCCACCGATGACCTGCGGCTGCAGGGTGAAGAACAGCCGAGGATGCGGCAGGGACTTTGCGGCCGAGGAATGGTTTGGCGCGGTGGTAGGAATTTGCGCCGCCGGGATTTTCAACACCAAGTTGGACATTGTTTTCTCGACGGAGGCCACGAAGAATAGGAAAAGCTTCTAGCTGTTTTCCTCTGCTTGTTTGGATGCCGAGAAAATTTGAGCGGATGGGTGTAGCTACTAGCTAGGTAGGTGGATGATTGGAGTTCTTCATACCCGATTGGAGGGATGGGGGAAGCTGCGCTTTCTCTCTCTAGAATTGGGGAGCTCTCCTAGTGAGAGAAAGAGGTGAAAGAGGATTAGACGAAGGAGATTGGTTGGGGGTTTTTTTACTTGTCAAAAAAAAAAAAAAAAGATTGGTTGGGGGTTTTCTTAACGCCGTGGGGAGAAGGCGGATAGCGGCCGCCTGCTAACCGACAAGACAACCAGTGGGTGAGCGGGCGGACCGAGTTTGAATCGACTCGGCTCTGTCTGGGCTCTTTTGATATTGGGCCATTGGATTGGATCAATTAATGAAGACTAATACTTGGGCCTGCCTCGGTAGTCTTCTCTTCGGGCTGTCGGATGGAGTACAGGGCCGGGGACATGGGCTACTAATAACAAGTTGGCCTTTTTAACAAGCCAATTGTGAACGAGGACGGGCCGGGGCCACCGGCGGCACCTTTCTCGGCGACCGTAGCCTTGCCGACGGTGGAAATGACGGCGAAAGACCCCAACTTTTCTCATTAACGCCGGATATTGCCTATCTATATTTAGTAAAAATAGAAAACAGATGAGCTGTCCTTCTCGTTTGACTAATGTCTGGCGAAGAACAGTGATTAATCATAAATTAGTAGCTTAGCAAATGCCAACCAGGCAGCAGTTTTGGTCCATAAACAACCGGTGCATCATCGTATTTAATGATGATGGCTGCTGAAATTTCCACAACTCGATTCCCGCCGGCGGCTGCTGCGGAAGATGTATGCATAATGCACAACATTAAAGAGTGATGGTATATATAACATCAATTAATTGTACATGTATTTGTCAAAGACTAAAACTAAAAGAGAGACAACATCGAATCGATCGAGAAGATAAGTACTTATATGTCTAGTTATTGCCATGATATTTTAGTCAAATATTTGTTGTTTGGTCCTCAATGGATAAGTAGTTGAGATCAATAATGTGGCTCTCTAAAAGATTTGGAAACTCGATCATATACCTCCAAAAGACTAAAAGGAGAAAAAAAAAAAGACGTTAACCTTCAAATATAATGATAACCTACCCAACCAGTATCTGCAATGTCTTAACGTACAACAGGCTCACCACCAACCGCGAAAGACACACGTACGGAGTTTAAACTTCCTAGCCAGTACAATATACATCAAAAAGTATAGATAAGTTTGCTATCACATAACCTTATTTACAGTATACAAAGGTGGTTATAGAAAGGGTACTGATTGTAACTTATACAGAAATAAATAATATCATTATCTTGGTAATTAGTAATTACTACTATTCTCGAGTCAACATCCAGAGTAATGACAGCAGAGACTTTTAAGTGGAAGATTTAGACAAATAACACAAGTATAGTGGCCGCATCATTAGCCTGTGACTTGAGGGGATAACTGATTGATTTACAGGGTGCGGCCCCATGCATGCAAATTGCAAAATTGCAAAGCCAATAATTTTCCGTACGCGACAAACTATATATGGTGCATGTGGTGCAATTTGCAGTCATTTTCGGGTTGAGATACGGTGACAACCCTTTTTAGGGTTGTTATTTTCACAACCCACTTTATCCACCATTAAATTCATTCTCTTTCATGCTTTTTTAAATTGATGGATGAGATTGGTACAAGGGTATTTTTGAACGAAAAAATATGACCACATGGGATTACAACCCATATTAAATTCAATATTCTTCTCCTCTCTCTAAAAACCCTACTGCCCTCCTGTTCTTCCTTCTTCTTCCTCCCATCTCGTAAACTCCTCCCACCGCCGTCGCCTTCCTCCCGGCGCCGCCGCCTTCCTCCTACTGCCCTCCTCCCACCGACACCTATTCTCGTCCTCGCATCCACAGCAGTCCGGCAGAACCTCCGCCCTTGTCGGCTGCCCCCTGGCTCGTCACACTGTTGCCTCCGCCCTTGCTGCTGCCGTCTCGCGGCGATCTCCGCCCCTGCCGCAAGTCACCCCCCTCTGCCCCTGCCACGAGGTCATCGATTACCCCTGCCACTAGCCTCCTCTCCTTACCTCTTCCGGTGTGAGTCGCTCTGCCTCTTTGTACCTCCGCTCCCCTACTCCTCTTCGTTTTTCATATCTGTGATTTTTGGATTTTCAGATCTGGGTTTTTTCTAGTGGTACTGATTTTCTAGTGGTAGTGGTACTGGTTTCTTACTGGTAGTGGTACTATATGGAGTAGCAGCTGGTAGTGGTACGCGTACCACTATCATTTGGTACCACTACTATCTGGTACCTAGTAGTGGTATGATACCACTACCAGGTACTAGATGGTAGTGGTACCAATGATAGTGGTACGCTACCACTACCAAGTATCAGAAGGCACACTATCACTACCTGGTACCAGATGGTAGTGGTACCAGTGGTAGTGGTAGCGTACCACTAACGTACTGACAGAGTTTTAATTTTTTACAGGTGGCCGGAGCGAGTCGTATTCAAGGATCTTGCCGGAGAAAATCTGCTGGTCGGAGTGGAGTGGCTGCTTGAAAAGGAAGAGAGAGATAGAAAGAGAGAGATAGGAAGAGAGAGTTGTATTTATTGTGGGATTCAAAATTTAAAAAAAACATGTAATTAATATGGGTTTTTAATTCCCAATCTGTAATTAATAAAATTATTAATTAATAAATTATTTTGTCATACCTAAAATACCCTTGGTTGTCAATCTCACAACCCCAAAGGGGGTTGTGACCGTATCTCGTCCCGTCATTTTCTTATGGGCGATCAGATCTACCCGGTTCGCTAATACGATGTTTCTTAGTTAGTTCACGGACCGTAGAGAGTCTGCTTATTATACTTTAAATGAGATACAGATTACAGAAATTTAGAAGGTATATATAGTTCATTATTCGTACGACCTAACCTAATCCAACATAAAAAAAAATGATAAAAGATATTGACCAAACCCAAACTCAAACCCAAGATAGACAAACAAAAGTACTGTATAAGCTCATACACCTTATGTGACTTTCAATCAACAACAGATAATAATTAATATGTCTTCAAGTCATAGCAACAGTTCATTTATATTCAAACACAAGAAAACGTACGTACACATCTCTATTATATGGAAGGCTCTGATACCATATCAACAAGTAATCGATCTCAATAATTTAAGTTGTTGTGAGAGGTTGAATTAGCTAACAACTACTACTAATAGGCACATGAACTGCTATAACACAACTACTACTAGTTGTTGTTTTGAATCTTCTCCGCCATAGCTACTAGCTAGCTAGCCTCCACATTCTTTTTTCAAACAGTTTGCCCCTCTTCACCATCCCCGTACCGTTTTTTGTCAAACAAACACATTCTGGAAAATGAAAGGGAGTTGTCTTATTGAGAAGTATCTACGGCTGTGCGCGCGCATTCCACGGACGATACAGTACTGTCTACTACTCCTGCAGTTTGCCGGATTGAGAGGAATATTCTCTAACCCGAAAAACGAAGACAGGAGATCATAACCTAAAAAAAAGCCACTTATCATAGACTAAACGAATCTTGGTAAAAGATACATTATTAAACTTTTCTTAACAAGTTGAGTTATTAGAACAGACTGGTTTCTTACACGGTATTCGAGTTTTCTGTTATCAAAAAATAAGAATGACAATAAGGTGGTTCCGGGATGATATCTCAATAATCATACTCTCCTCATGTCAGATCGGGTAATTTATCACGGGACACATATTGGAGCACGCATATGAGTATGTAATTTAAAAGGAAAACATTAGAAATATTCATTTTTTTTCATTAGAAAAAAAAAATCAAGAAACAAAATATAATATGCTAAATGTAATTAAATTATTCGAGAAATTGAGGTTCTTTACATATTATGATTCAGACAAAAAAAAAACGGTCGAGAATGGGGTGAGTTTGGGCAGGGCAGGCTGAGGAGAGCAGTCATGTCCACCCCGCTTAAATAGGTAATAAAAGAGGGTCGAGTAAAACGAGTCATGTTAAAATTGCCATCGATCCCTATCAAGAAGTGATATGTTCGAATTCCGGTCATCCTAATAATATGCACATTGGTGTCTAAAGTCGATTATCATCGTTAATCAAATCATAATGATTGGCCAAAACCTTTCCCCTCTATGTCATGTGAGAGACATAATCACCTTAACTAAAAGTTACCTTTCATATATCTTATAATTTGAAAACGTGGTGATAGCGTTCACCACCAGTCCTACTGGCACTGCTAATCAAGTAACTAACCACAAGTCAGATATATTACAAGAACAGTCAATGAAAAGAATTTCATTTTCGCTTCCAATAATTAGTTAAATCATTAAACCCCACGAAATTTTCCTTGCTAAGCTGTACACATTAGCCGACATGTTTTACTAATCCTCTGCAACACTTTTCTTCTAATAACAACAAACCGCATCATCAAATCTACGTACGTATCTCATGCAAAAGCTTCACCTCCTTCCTATAAATATCCCGCTTCACTTCCCCATAGTAAACCACCCAATCCAGCCGCATAGATTCCTCTCTCGATCTGTTAACCACAACAGCAAAACTAGATGGCCAGCAGTATCAACAGAATGAGCGTGGTCCTTTTTCTAGCCATGGCTGCAGCCATTATGTTGACGACGGTGCATGGGCAGGGAACTCGGGTCGGGTTCTACTCGACCACCTGCCCAAGCGTCGAGACTACGGTCCGGTCCGCGGTTCAGTCCCGGTTCGGGTCCGACCCCACGGTCATGGCCGGCTTGCTCAGGATGCACTTCCACGACTGCTTCGTCCAGGGCTGCGACGGCTCCGTCCTCATCTCCGGCACGGGGACCGAGAGGACGGCGATCCCGAACCTCTCGCTGAACGGGTTCACCGTCGTCGACGACGCCAAGGCGCAGCTCGAGGCGGCTTGCCCCGGCGTCGTCTCCTGCGCTGACATCCTCGCGCTCGCTGCTCGAGACGCCGTCGTTTTGGTATACTTTGTTTTTTTCCCTTAATCTGGTTTTTTAAGATGCTATTAATTAACTAATTGCGTTAAGTTAATGACATTCAGGCGAATGGGCCGACTTGGGCGGTGCCGACGGGACGGAGGGACGGGACAGTCTCGCGGGCGCAAGATGCGTTGGATAACTTGCCGGGACCTTCCGACTCCGTCGAATCCCAGATCCAGAAGTTCACCGACCGGAATCTCAGCGTTCAGGATCTTGTTACTCTCACCGGTAATTACTCGCGATCAATCTCCACTAAACCACAAAAGCAAAAATGATGATTACCCATAAACATAATTAATGACCACACCAAACCTGGATCCAGCGCGGTCAAAGCGGGTAAAAACTTAGTGGTACGATGGGGTTTAAGTTACGTGCGTGTTTTATCCTCTTCTGAAAAATGGTGGGGTTGACGAACCTCAAACCCGTTTTCCACCGGACGTGCACTCGAAACGCAAAACGATGGTATCGTGTATCGCGCTGTGTATCTAACATTTGTACGGTTTATATATGTTATTAGTTTCCAGGTGAGTATAAACATAATATGGATAATTTATGGATGTTATTATTCTTTATAGAGATATACAAAATTTTGATAATATTATGATATAGTTACTCGGAGAAATAACGTACATAGTTATATCCGTGAAACCATGGATACCCATACGCTTGTGGTCGTGAGTACGTACTAGTTGAGTTGAGTTGGATTTGCTCTTACAAAACCTGTTGTGGGTAGTTTGCGAGATTTTTTTTAACGTATGCACACACCGGTTTGGGGTTGGGTTTGAAGAAACTCGACCCTACACTTTTGTCATCTCTAGGTCCGATTGAACAAACTTCCTACCAGCATACCCTAAATCGATAGACCGTTTTTTGACGATACGAAACGATTTAACCACCATTTCATCACACAATATTTTATTGCTAATTTTTCCGGTACGTCGGTCTTACAATTTTTGGTGCTTGTGCAGGAGGACACACCCTAGGAACAGCATCGTGCGCGACCTTCAACGACAGGCTGTTCAACTACCAGGGCACCGGCGGCCCGGACCCGTCGATCGCCGCCGACTTCCTGCCAACCCTCCGGTCGGCCTGCCCGCAGAACAACAACGGCGCGGCGCGCGTGGCGATGGACACCGGAAGCCAGAACGAGTTCGACACGTCCTACTACACCAACATCAGGAACGGGCGGGGAGTGCTGGAGTCGGACCAGCGGCTGTGGACCGACAACCGGACCGGGCCCTTCGTGGGCCGCTTCCTGGGCCTCGGCGGGGGCCCGAATCTGAACTTCAACGCTGAGTTCGGCCAGGCCATGGTCAGGATGGGAAATGTTGGTGTTAGGACGGGGACGGACGGGGAGATCCGCCGTGTCTGCTCCGCCGTCAATTAGTTGCCTAAAAGAAACGGGACGGAAAACGTTTCTGGGTGTTTTTGTACTTTTTTTTTCCGTTATGGGAGTAAGGTTGTAAGCGTGTAATAGTTTGCCTCGTATGCAAGGAATCGAGGCAAACGGCGTCGTAATAATGAATCCATTTCGGATCTTTTCAGTTTTTCTCTTTGTGACGATCAAATTTGCTGTTTTAAGATTCTCCAAACTTTGAACGGCAAGGAAAGGAGCACTATTGATTCTCTTGGTTATATGCATATGAAATTCTCTGAAATATTTCTTGAAAACCAAGTGAATAGAGAACCTATAAGGCCAAGTCCAATGCAAAACCCTAAATTTGGGGGTCTTGAACCCCAAATTTGGAGATTGAACCCCATTTTCCCTTCTTTTGCTCCAATGCAACAGACTCCATATTTGGGGTTCTTAATATTTCCAGTTTTTCCATTTACTTAAACATGTACTTATCGTATCCTTAATATAATTTATTCATGTTAATTTTTGTATAGTTCGTCATCATTTTTTAATACAAAATTTTCGATAGAATTTTGTTAAATTTCGAGTCCGAATTTTTTTGACAAAAAATTATGTACCTAATTTGGATTTACACGCAACACTTGAAAATGATTGATATAATTAAATCTCTAACTAATCCCTTAATTAAACTCTCAATTAACCCCTAAAATCTTAAAAAGAAAAAGAAAAGCCACGTGGCGGGCTTTGGTGAGCCTCTATATTTGGGGGATCCCCCATTTCCACCTCCAAATTTGGGGTTCCATATGCAGGATCCTGCATTGGACCTTCTCCTCCTGCATTTTTGCAGATTCCTCCATAAATGGGGTGCCCATTGGACTCAGCCTAACGTAACCTACAACAATAAACAATGGATTTTCCCATTTTATTCCTAAAGCGACAATCACACCGCTCAGACATCATAATTTTGAGTATGCAATCACTTAAATATTACATTAATTTATAAAAGGTAATTAAGTGATTGTTTGAACTGATTACACATCAATCGTACAACAATAACAAGTACAAATTGACTACTTTATAATCTTATGCATTTTGATCGACTACATATTTTTCTGCAAAATATAACAAGTATAAACTATAACAAGTACAAACGGAATACTTTAGAATCTTATGAATTTTGATAAAACATCAGGTTAGCATGCTAGTCGTTATATCACTAGTTTGTGTTGGGTAAGAGTTTAGAGAAAGTAATGCTGGATGAAAAATGTGTATGTGTCGTTTGAGTAGATCAATTAGAAAATGAGACGAGTCAATTTCAAATTATCTATCTGTACTTCACATGTAGTTTTTTTATTAACAGAAATAGGTGAATTTTTAGAAGGTTAATTACAAACTTAAATATCTATCTTATATGTAGACATATAGTAAGAGAAGTTGAAAATTGATTAACCCTTATTTTGAGTGACTGAAGTGCAAATGCAAGGTAGACTCAAATTCCACTAGTGCCTGGTAGAAACTAGAAAGGGGAAGACGAAACTGCTAGGGAAAAATGATGGGATCGTCGTTATCATCCTCTGCGGCCGGAATTCCGCCGTGGTGGGTTCAATTCGATATTCAGAAGGCCGGAGTCTCCGCCGCAGCTATCAGCCTCAGAACAACAGCCGGTTCTTTTCGCATTGACTACCTTCTCCGCTCCTTCTTCAAGGTATAACCCATTCACCAGCCGAAACTGTTTCTCGTTTTTTTCAGTCAACCCATGTTCCTTGTTTCGCCAAAGGATGTCTAATTAGTAAATTGGTAGTAATCGAAACGATTAGAATTTGGAAGACTGGCAAATTGTTGTGCTTTGTACTGTGGAAAGATGGATTGGCATGCCAAGAATGCGTAATTAGGAAGGACAGTGGGTTTCCTGTTCTGTTTAGTGTCGAACATTGCTCTGTCTGCTGGATAGTCAGTGGAAAGTTTGCATCTTGGTTATGTAGATTGTGTATTTGTGTGGGATTCCAGTCGTTCGGCTCTGCGAGTTCTTGATGATGGTGCAAAAGTTATTGGGATTTGAAGGGCGTGTCAAATTAGTTGATGGATCATGCCATGAACTTGCACCCGCGGAAGCTATCGGCTAAAATGCTTTTCATTTATCGAATTTTCATTCTCGTTTGGGGATTCCATTGATAATTCTGCGTTCATTTGATATTAGAATTGATCAGCTAATAGCCCGGTTACTTGCTATGCAATACTTACATCATGATCCAGAGTGATTAATCTTTTTATCACCAATCCAGTTGCTTTGCCCATGGGCTGCAAGTTCAATTACCTTCCTAGTTCGTGAGTATGGTATGCAGTTATGAATGTCTAGGCTTGGCTGCGTTTTTATGGTTGAGCATACACACATGTTAATAAGTTCGTTTACTAGTTGTCAATGATGCCCTGGTTCTAATGAAATATTCTCTGTGATTTGTCCTGCTGAACAGAAATTTCCTCATCTCAATCACATACCTAGAGTGAAGGATTTGTGGTGTGAGAAAGCCTCCCAAATTCAGGACTTCAATTTACTCAAAACCTCAAACGATTTATTCGCTTCCACCAGTGCATATTGCCTTTGTCTTCTCCATGGGACAGAAGAAGAGAAGAATTCTGGAACTAAAAAACAAACGCATTCGGAGACATCTGGAAGAAAACCATCTGGCGGAAGACTGTGCACAAACGTTCTTCTTGCTGTTAATGTTCTGTGAGTATTGGATCATTAAGATACTACTAATGCAGAGAAGTACAGTAGTTCATTTCATGAACTGGTTTTCTCTGCGTTTGTTCACACTTTCTAATGATAGCTAATACTCGAGATTCAAACTAATGAAGCAGTGCCATTGCAGAGTTTTTGCAGCTCAAATTGCAACAGACGGAAAGCTACTGTTTATGGGAGCTAAGGTTAGACAATTTGGCTATGGATCAAGGAACATCCTTTGCTCGACATTGAAATTTGTTTTCATTAACTCTTTATGGATTCTATGTACAGGTCAACAGCCTCATTGACAGAGGGGAAATATGGAGATTGGTGACCTCTTCATTTTTGCATTCTGGCTTTTTGCATCTCATGGTCAATTCTTGGTCCTTTGAACCTCTAATTTTCTTTTTCGTCATGGCTGGTTCGGTAAGGCTGAAATGTGCTCTGCAATCTGTCCAGGTTAACTGTTATTCTTTGAATTCGGTTGGCCCTACCATTGAGAGTCTTATTGGACCAAAGAGATTTCTAGCAGTCTATTTCACCTCTGCAATTGCAAGTAAGAGATAGCTCACCACTTCATCCATTATCATTGTTTTGCTGATAATCATTCCGAGTCACTTGTTTCAAGGAAATCAGGTTCGGCAACAAGTTATTGGCTGTGCAAAGGCCCCTCAGTTGGTGCCTCCGGAGCAGTCTTCGGATTAGTAGGTCTTCTCAGACTCGAGAGATATGAAACTCTACTGATTTCTTTGTGGGTTGGAAAAGAAATTCTGAAGATATAGACAAATATCATAATAAGATCAGAATGAGGGAAGAAAGAAACCCAAGAGAAAACTGATAGCTTCACATGTGATTTTAATTCATATTTGCTGGATGGAAAAAATTACCTACATATTTTGTTGTTAACCTTTCAAAAGTTCATTTTCTTTAGTTGATTCCTTACTCTGATGTTTGATTTAGGTTGGGTCCCTAGCTGTGTATGTCATGCGGCATAAAACCATGATACGAGGTGGCAAACAGGAACTACAGTACATAGCACAAATGATACTCCTAAATATGGTTCGTGTTATTAGGCTTTTGTCTTTCATATCTTCAGTTACCTGTAATTTCTTGGACCCTTTGCTTTGAATTCAGTATGATGCCCTGTGCTGCAAGCATCTGATCAGAGCAGTGTTTTTGGATGCGATCTCACGAGTTGTAACCCGCCCATAACATTTTAGTGTTGGAGCATATTCAAAGCAACCATAATAGTCATTTTCCCCCCTTCTTTTTTACTACGGTAATAATGTGAAACTTTTATGCAGGTTATTGGTCTACTTAACCCGCAAATTGACAACTGGGGCCACGTAAGTACACTGTAACTCTCTTATGCACAGATCCTTTTCCATTGAAAGATTATGTATGAGATCACCATACATGAGATAGGTAATTACTGTGACAAGCTTTTTCCTGTCCCTTCCCATTCAATTGAAAGCCATCTTAACCAATTGCTCAAGGACAAAGATTAAGAACACTCTAATATCCCCATTACATAAAGCTTAGCTGCTTGCAGGAATATGTTAGCATATTCCCATTGAGCTCCAGAATTTAGGAGAGGGGGATCTTTGTGAAGAATATTGGAATTTGGGTTCATTTTCAAACGTTTCTATCTGTTGATGATGGTGTGTTTTGGCATGAATAACTTTGCAGTTAGGAGGGTTGTTGGTGGGATCGCTACATCATGGGTGGTTGGACCTGCCTGGACATTGGACTATCTGTCCAAAGATGGCCGCAGAGTTTTCATCGACAGGGCACCCCTCAAATCTCTCACCACAAGAAAAAGAAACGGGGTCCCCTAGGCTGCTGACCTTGCTAAATTCCAAACTACATGGATCCCACCCTCATAGTTCTTGTACCTGTATTGCTGTTTCTTTTTGTTTTGGATCGTCGACATATACAGATTGATAGACCAAACAGCGATACATCCATAGGGATTGTTTGAGCCCCCATTTGTATGTTGTGTTGTATCCGATTAGGCGATTACGATCAATTCCAACCCGCTGTATTCTGCAACTGTTGTTATCAGCTGTAAAACAATGGTTGTATTCCTCAATTCCAACCCGCTGTATTCTGCAACTGTTGTTATAGGTTGTATTCTTCCATGTTTACTGCATTTCCAAGTGGGACGATATGTGTTAATAACATGGTTGCATCAGTTTCAGAGTCGAGTTTCGTTCTTTGCCATTGCATTGGCGCATTTATATACAAAATTATCATTACATCCAATCGAACAGCAGAAACCCGAGGAGAACCAACACAAGCTGCTCGCCTCACATTTGGATAGCAGCCAGATTTTGCCAGGATAACAAGTCGTGAAAACACAAGTTGAAGCCATTGCAAGTATAAAGGTGATGAAATGAGTTAAAACCACCACCACGTATTCAATCTTCGCAAACGAAAATAAAAATACTCTGCATTACAGTGATTATCTGGCTTTTTATCTTGTGTTTTGCCTTTCCACTCGGGACTGCATATGCTCAAAGGAAAGAACCAGTCCTGACAGACATTTTTACACTTGCAACGACACATTAGTAGCAACTTGTTGGTTCTTATCTTTAAACTCTGCAAACCCAGATGTTCTGCTTCTCCAGATTCATAATAATACTCTTTTCCTTCACAGAAGTTCTGATTTCTTTCCAGTTGGGAAAGAAAGCTTAACTATGGGTGGCACACATTGCTGTCTGTGTTCCCTTTGGAACAATAGACTTCTCCAGTAGTAGCAGCATCCACAAAACCTACAAAGTGAAGATGAGAGGCCTGCCACCTTTTGGCTTTGACCTGCCATTATCTCCCCCTATTTCATAGAATTTACACTTGCTTTTTTTACCGGTTGGTTGGTTGGTTGTCGGTAACCTGACAAAGAACGAAACTCTGCAACTTTTTTTCGCACAAATTCCTACCATCCTCACCCCCAAAACAAAACTGGGTACTGTGATATCTTCAGCAATCGTCTCCCCATGCATTACGATGATGAGCAGGCTGAACAACTATCCATGTTGCCAACAAAGAAGATGAGAGATCAGAAGGCACCATAATCCCAGCAGCCACATCTCCGCAACTGGCCTGTGTTGTCCTGCAAAAGCTGCAGCAAGCAGGAATGGAAGTGTGTTATTCTAAAAGTTGAAATACCAGGTACTCGGCTACTGAGAGAGTACATGTAGGCTGTGCTTGTCTATGCTTAGAAAAAGTGACTTGAAAGGTGAGTAAACAAATAGAATTCCTCAGTCTAACTTTTTAAAACAACAATTCGCTTAAACCTCACAAATTACTAAGATCTAATAGTAAGTCGTAATAAAACTTACATGATCCGGAATGAACAGATGGAGGAGGAGCCAGGGATGGAGACTCTGAGTCTTCTGAGGGTGTTGAACCATATGAAACTGCAGGTAAAGGAGAGAGTTCGGGGGACAACTGTGGTGGGGGTGCATCTGGATGGAAGAAATTTTGCTCATTGGAGGGCGATGGCGATCTCCTAGGTGGAATAACTTTACGACCATGATATGGACAAGGGTCAGGAGGATGAGCAGGAGAATTTACAGGAGGGAAAAAATGGGAAGGTGTTCTTTTCCTTTTGGGGGCTTTTCTTGTATGTTTATGCGGAGGGGGAGCTGGAGAAACAGCTGGAGGGTTTATTGGATAAGGGGAAGCTGATGGTTCAGAAACGTCGTCACTGGGCTCAGGAGAGGGAGCAGGTGCAGGAGATGGAGTGTTTGGATTCAGTGTCCGATTTAAGTACGATGACAGAATAACACCCTTCACCTTACCAAAGACAGAGTTATGCAGGCCGAGATTATTCTTGCTATCGGAATCTGCAATGGCTTGAGCCAACTGTTTTAACCTTTGTGGCAAAAGTGTGCCGAACTCTGATGAGACTGAGGCCTCCAATGTAACTGGGGGATGTATTGTGGAACCTGCTGAGTTTGTTATTTGCAAGAATAGATTCTGCAAATTCAAATGTAGAGGATCAAAGACCTGATATAATATTAACCTCAAATGTCTGGCATCTAAAGAGCATTTCCTTATTTAGCAGATAGCATATTATACTTAGTTACCCTATTTCCGAACTTTGCACATGCAGGCTGCAGCAACAAATTAGCAATGACAGAACAACATAGCTTGAAGTTATCTAACCAAATCATACCTCGTATGCCCTGAGATGCAATCCTGACCTCAGCTGGTCCCTCAGTTCACCAAAATTGTGGAGGATCTCAGATATTGAATTATTGAGGGTAAAATTTAAAAGGGGCTGTCGGGGTGTCCAAATTGAGCCATATTGGAGAGGAATTACAGTGACCCCTCCAGGAAACTTGAGAATTTCAAAATCATAAGGTTGCCCAAAAACAGAGGTAGTTACAGACAGATTCATCTGCTTCAGGAAGAGGTCGACCAAAGAGGACCGCAGCACACTTAGGTGTGCTGGATTCAAAGGAGTATTCATATGATCAGAAAGTATACCAAAAACCCCATCCGTCCAGTTGGAAGTGCCATTTTGATGCATTGACAGCATAGCCACCTGCAAATTATACACAGCCTTTTAAGTTGATTTTATTAGCTTAATATTAAATGAATTGAAGGTGAATACAAAAGCATTGAAAAGGACCTTCATATCATCAATACTTATTTCATTGAAGATGTCGTCTTCTAATGAATTAATGTGTGGAACAACCTCTGAAACTGGCTTTGGAATTTTGAAGCATGCCTGTACAGTGGCTGAAATAAAAAAACAACAAGGGAATTAATACAGGTGTAAATTTCTTTTGAAGAACAAAGTAAGAAACCTACGAATTTGGGCCTAATTTATTTTCTTTCATTGACACAATCTCAATGTACCAACCATATACTTCGCATTTTAAGCAGAACTGAAACACAGGCATAAAAATAGAAACACAAAAACCTTTCATCGTATTTAAAACACACAACAGAACTGCTAGATAAAGAACAAACATGCAAGACGATCTGCAGACATACAGCATGAATTACTTTATGTACAGAAGATCAATGCCCTAGATACAAGGTAATCAGATATGCAGTCAAACTTTTCATGTGAAGTGTTATATAGTTGATAAAAAGTTCACAAACTTCATCAAAATATCTAGCCACTCACGAGAACAACCTCCTCTCATTTTTCTCCCAATGAAATCCTTAAATGAAAAGGCTATAGAACAATTTGCACAAAGGGTGTTAGAACATTAGAAACCATAAGGAGCTCGGCTAACAGGAATCAAGTATAGCAAGTGGTGTTAAAAAAAAAATCCCCGAATGCAACCAAGAGCAGGAAAGGCTTGGCAGAGAGCAATCAAAACAGTTGGACAGGCAACAGGCGCCTTGGCTAGCAAAATATGCAAAACAGGCTTACCCAGATAGCAAATAGGATTCGTGGTATGTTTTTTAGCCATACATGGTAACTGGCAAATGAACTGAATGAGAGCTATACGGAACTTTTCACAGCCAAAAGCGTGAAACACTTTGGTAACAATGCCAGTCATATTTAGCACAAATTACTCCAAAGAGTCAACAGAAACTTCATTCCAAATGAACTGAACTAGAGGGTACACTTTATTGCTAATATGAACTGGATCTAGCACAAGTACCTCCAACAATAAACTGTAAGCAATGTCTAAAATGAAGCCATAGAAGTCTAATGTCTGCGTTATTAGAGCAGTAACCAGCTGAATAACATTTTCTTCACTCAAGACAACAGATAGACTACTCACTGAAAATCAATAATACTAAAATCAATCACCCACGAAAGCCACAACCAGGGTAAGATGTTAAGAACAAAGAGTAGCCTGATGCCCTTTAATCTAGGAGGCTCCAAATGATCAAATCCACATCTGCACCAAAGCATCAGCCGAACCCTAATAGCATAACAGTGACAGCTACGGCGGCTAAAATCCACCAAACCCAAAAATAGACGCCGAAACCCTAATTGCAGTACCAAGCACAACTACAGGATGATGAGAAGTTTGAGGAGCTCACCACTGAGCTTAATTGCCTCCTTGGCATCAAAACCATTCGAATTGTGTGAGCCGAAAGGGAAGATCCAGAAGATCCCGGAGAGTACAAGTGCCAGAGAAAGGATCACAGCGAAAACACATCTAAAACTGAATCCGATTCTGGATATCGGGCAGCAAGAGCTCCTCCCGCCGTGAGTACCCCCATTGCCGCTCTCCAACTGCTGCAGATTCTGCTGGTGCGCGTCTTTATTGCCCATTGAAACAGCAGCATAGCATCTGGGGATGAAGCCCGGAGAATTAAAAAGAAGCAATCGAATTTCTCACCCACTACCCACCTCCTTATTTGCTTTCCCCTTGTACGATTCCCTCCGCTCGTGGGACTATAAATTTCCAAGACCCAACAACAGTGGCGACAATAAATGTCGATGAGCCGGACGAAGGAGGAGAGGAGAAGAAGGAAGGAATGGTGGGGGGAAAGAGAGGAGATGGGTCATGCTCATGTGAGAGATGAGAGACAAGTGTTAATGGTGGTGGGCATTTGTCTCTATACTCTCTCTTCCCTTTCTTCTCTCTTGCATAACACAAACAATAGATTACTACTATTACAAACAAACAAAAAAGAAAGGAGGAAAGAAAAAAAAAAGTTTTCACGAGCTTCTCTCCCTCTTCTTCCCCACCACTTTCCCTCTCTTACTGGAAAATTCCCATAATTTTCTTTTCACTCTCACCAATCACTCCGCAAGTGCGAGAAAGAAAGCGAAAAAAAGAAGGGGAAAAAAAGGGGAAAGTTTCGTTTTTTTCTTTGTGGGTTAATCTTTTTGCCCAAGTTTCGACTTCCTTTCTTCTCCACTCCTTCAGTTCACCATCTTCATCTTCACCTTCACTTCACTGTTAGTTTATTTTTGCTCAGTTTCTAACTTCTTATCCGAGAATGACCAATCCAGGCCGTCGGTTTTCCGGTGATATCTTCTGGACAGTTGGATCAAAGAGTGGTGGGCTCCACCTGAAGCGGAAAAAGCGGAGGGAATTTTTCCTTTATTTATTTCTTTTATCTCTCCTTTTTTTTATATTAAGTTCAGTTCTAAAAATGTCTGTTATTATTGTTTATTTTATTTGTTGTATTTATCTGATTGGAGGACGAACGTAGTGAGTAGGAATGGGATTGGTGTTTTTAGGCTACCGAACGTTGAGGAGAAGCAAAGGCAAAAGAAAACCCTATCCTACTCATTAACCGTCTTTTAACTATAAAAAAAAGTGCAACCCTAGCTCGAGTGAGTTAATATGTTTACGAGGAGGTGTAGGTAAGGAAATGGTACAATCTGGTTCAGATCGAATTATATATACGGTTTAAAATTCATATTGAGAGGGTGGAGTACAGATTAGAGATCATATCATATATTGTGGTCTGGTTCGATATGATTTGGTCTAGATAGACCATATTGAAAGGAAATGAACGATTTGTTTAGTCAAGAAAAATTATTTATTTCCCTAAAATATAATTTCCTACATGCATGAATAATTTTGAGTTTTGACACCCTATAATCTAGATCTTAGTAAATAACAAAGATACAAAGTCAAAAACATCTCAGCTTGCACCATAACGTCATAAAGATTAACATAATGTCGCTTGGAGACACGATCGTCTCTATCCTCTCATGAAATGTGGTTGTGAATGAAGGAGGGACGAAATTCTTAAAATTAGGGATGAGACTTGGGTCTCATTGGTGGAGTTGAGAGAGTGGCCCAGTGGAATGCTAATACATATTGGAAAGTCGGCTGAGTCCACAGTTTAGTTCGGTAAATCGCGGTCTAGATCAGACCAAACCAAGAGATCAAAATATCAATAATATAGATCATGGACCAGACCAGACCATACCATTCTTAACAGTCTACGGTATGAATATGCGGGCCGATTTTTGGCCCATGGTCTTTCAAACAACCAGGTCTATTTTCCCATCCCTAAGTAGTTGGAACTTGGACGTTCACTTCAAAAATAAAACTTGTCAATCAACGAGTTAGACATGAGTTAAGTCTTGTTCAACTTGCGAATTAGCTTGACTCTGTGGCTTGTTGAGGTTACTAGTGAGCAGACTCGTTTTTACTCATGAAATAGCTCGACATTGTGGTTAGCAAGCCAACTCAACTATTGATCTATGAGCGAATCAATATATATCTTAGAGTTTGCTTGTTGATAATTCATAGGTTTGTTAAATTATATATATCACCCTATGTGACGTTTAAGACTTTGAGTACGTGAGCAAATATGAAATATGTCTCATTTATAATTTAAAAAATGAATTATGCATAATTATTTAGATATTAATTACTATGAAATAACATTATATGAAATAATAATATGATACTAACATAGTATATAAACATTGGATTAATTAATAGTGAATATTTGACTACTATTTTCGTTCATCATGACATCAATCATATGTATCATGCATGACTTACAAGTATAACAATTGTATGCTAATCAAAGATGGATCAGGCGATGAATAAGATAAGATACCTATCAAGGAAGTGAAGGAACTACGTTCTGTAGGCAGCATGAATAGACCAAATGCAAGGGCGTTTTCAGCTGTTGTTCCCCTCCCAATGACAGGTTCTTACACATTACTCACCTGTCCGCCACACTGGTAACGCTACTTCTCGACCGACTGGCACAAGTCCACACTTATGTACTACTGCTTATTGTAGTTCGACCAATCCTTTGGGATTTCAACATCACTCTACTAAAATGATGGTATCTCTCTAAGGTTTCTCGGTGTGGAAGAGTTTAGTCTCGGTATGGAAAGGTGGGCCGATTCTTTATGCCTTCTCGCCTGCCTTGAAGATGAACCAACCAGCATCACCACTCGTGCTTCACCTCTTTCGAAGAACTGTCGCTCTGACGAACAATGGAGAAGTAGGAAGACTTTGGCGGCGATTCAAATTCAATAGTAGGTAAAACTTGCCTAAACCCCTTGTTGACAGATCCAAATTGAGAGCAATGAGTCAAATAAATGACCAAAGCATCGCTCATGTCCCAGAAATTTCATAAAAGAAAGGCGCATTAGCAATTAATACGATGTAATTGTAAAAGTAAGGGTATTTACCTTGCGAATTATTTAAGATTTTAGTTTAAGGGTTCAACTGTTTATTATAAATGGGTTGCGCTCGAACCGAACTTGTGAACTTATTGATGGACAAAACTCGAGTAAAGATTGTAGGCTCATTAATGAGTCGAGGTAGAAACAAACAAGAAATTACGACTCGAACTCGACTCTCACTTATTAACAACCAAACTCGGCTCGCGACTCATTTGTGATCACAGCCTCACATAAAGATGAACATATAACTACCCCAAAAGCCCAAGAGCGATGTTGATGGTCAAGAAGCATCACTTCCACCACACTTCCCAACTGTAACCAATTCCTTGAATATATAGAATAACTCAAACATGTATGACCAAAGCTGTGTAACAATCTTTGAATGCCTGCAAATGACAATCACACACAAGAATGGCCATTTCACTTACTCCCTAACCATATCAAGATCAATGTAACAATCCCTTATACTTAATCTTTACATATAAATACATAATAATCTGGCACTTGATAAAAGCAATAAAACCCAAATCTATGGCGAAACCCACCTTATTGTTCTTCTTCGCAAACCTCATTTTCCCTCTCTTCATAATCACCTCATTAAACGTCTCCCCAATTTTCTGCTACAGAGCCTGGCGGAGGCCGCCATTCCCTTATCGCCGCCCACTCCCGCCGCCGCCGCCCACTCCACCGCAGCCGCTGCCCCACAAGATCTCCACGGTCCTCATCTTTGGCGACTCCACGGTGGACACGGGCAACAACAACCACCTCTCCACGGTCTTCAAGGCCAACTTCCCGCCGTACGGGCAGGACTTCCCGGGCCACGTGGCCACGGGCAGGTTCTCGAACGGGAAGCTGGTCCCGGACTTCCTGGCCTCGATGCTCGGGATCAAGGACACGGTCCCGCCGTACCTCGACCCGGGCCTGAGGCCCCGGGACCTGCTGACCGGGGTCAGCTTCGCGTCGGCCGGGTCGGGCTACGACGAGCGGACCAGTACCGGGTTCACGAACGTGATCCCGGTACTGAAGCAGGTCGACCTGTTCAGGAGGTACATCGAGCGGGTGGAAGGGCTCGTCGAGGAGGCGCAGGCGCTCGAGATCGTGAACGCGGCGCTCGTGCTCGTCGCCGCGGGAACCAACGACATGACGTTTAATTTCTACGACGTACCGTCGACGACGAACAGGAGGGCCGAGTTCAATCTCAGCGGGTACCATCATTTCCTCCAGAACAACCTAGGGATCTTCGTTAAGGTACTTTCTGATCACCGTTTCGTAGTTACGAAAGAAAAGTGCGAATTGAAAATAGATTATCCGCTATCAATTGAAAGGTCACGGGTCCACAATGCATGGACTTACTCACATTTTCGAATCGGATTGAGATAGGATCGGACCAAAACCAAAGGAAAATGACGATCGAAGAAACCAAAACAAAAGCATGTTTGGTTCGATTCGGTCCGGTCCAAATTCAATTTTTGTACAATTTTTTCTTCATACTTAAAATAATTCACAGAATGAAAACTTAATCAAAATATATTCGATTCAATCAAATTCGATTGGGTAATGATTCGGTCTGGTGTGACTCGAATCGTTGCCCACCCCTATTGGAATGTAACCTCTTTTTCTTTCCACACTAGATTATGGGTTTTAGCCCGATCCGTCATATCAGTAAACCACATAAATTTGTATATTCTTAATGTTTTTTTTCATTATGGATTCTCAATCCGTTCTAACAAGTAACAAATTTGAAGTTTGAGGTTAAATGCGTCCTCAGGAACTGTACACTCTAGGAGCCCGGAGAATGCTAATAACAGGGCTCCCTCCGATCGGCTGCCTGCCGATCCAGAAGGCAACCAGGAATTCCCAATCCTGCGTAAAACAACAGAACAAAGACGCTCTTTCCTACAACAAGAAGCTCAAGAAACTGCTCCCCATCCTGCAATCGGAGCTCCCCCGCAGCAGGTTGATCTTCGGGGACATTTACAAGCCGTTCCTCGAGATGATCCGATTCCCCAAGAAATATGGTACACCTTAATCAACCCCCCATCGATGCTGATGTTATCTCCTTTCTCGATCATGATGCGAGAAACACCGCAATGGTATCGAATTGCAGGATTTGCAGAGGTGAGCAGAGGATGCTGCGGAACAGGGAGGTCGATGGAGAGGTCGATGCTGTGCAATCGGAAGACGCCGAAGTGCCACAATGCTTCTCAGTACGTGTTTTGGGATAGCATCCATCCTTCGCAGGCGACTTACGAGCTTGCTTCGAAAAGGATTCTGCTGCGTCTGCTTCCTGAATTGACATGAAAAAACAGGGGGATTCTTGCTCTGTTTCTTTTCCATGGAATTGTCACAGAATTTGTCCGGGTGCAGTTTCAGTAATAATTTGATGATGATTATTATGAAGGCCATAAAAATTTAAGCCCAAGTTCTGCTCCGCGGCCCATTTAGTTGTACTGTAAGAAGCCCATCCAGTTTATTTATGATTTTTATTAATTATAAAATAACGGAATCTGAGAGGCGGGCGCCCGGACCCGGACCCGTGAGAATTGCGCGCGGGTCGGCGTTTTGAGTTCAGTGTTCTAGTTTATACCGTTAAATATTTTGTTTTGGGCGGAAAAAAAAAAAAAAGACAGAGAATCACCAGACACAGATTTCGAAAAGTTTCAAATTTTGAAAACTTCACCCAGCCGCTCGCAGCTCCCAAAAAGAACAATCCGCGCTTCTTCCTTCTCTCACTTTTTTTTTTTTTATATCTTCCTGGGGGGTTAAAGACACATTTGGTCACTGAGATTACAAAATCGGGACATGTTTAGTCACTAGAAAAAATTAATATCAAATTTGGTCACTACAATTACTAAAACTGGACACATTTAGTCACTCGCCGTTAGTCTCCGTCCAACTCCGTTAATGAAGTCCGTTAAGTGATGATGTGGCAAACAGAATTGCCTAATCAGCCGGATATAACCCAACAAAAATAAAACCCGACCCGCCACGTCATTATAACCCGCCACGTCATTTAACCAACCCAATCCAACCCAACCCAACCCATGACCCAACCCCACCCAACCCTTCTTCCTCCTTCCTCTCACCTCCTTCTTTCCCCAAATTCGAATTCAATCCAGACATCAAAACGAATTCAATCCACACATAAGGGAAATCGAATCGACAGAGAATAAAGTAAAAAAAAAAAAACCTAGTTGCCGTCGTCGAAGGGGACGGGCCTGGAGAGGAGAGCGTAGATGTCCTTCTTCTTCGACAAGTCCCTGTGGCGGTCGGGAGGTAGCAAATCGAGCAGATCCAGGTAGTTCCTCGGTAGCTTCTTCTCCCAAACGGAGTCCGACGACGCCGCGCCGCGGAACGCGTGGTTGAGGCGCGCGAGGTTGGAAATCTCCGGCGGCGTCAAGTAGGTGAAGACGCAGGCCACGCAGCTCTCCAGAATGTCGCCAAGCCCTGGCCCTATGGCGGCGCCGTTCGCACCTTCCGTCAGGTTTGATAGCGACGCACCCATACCCACCCTCCCCTCCCTCTCCCGCCGGAAAATGACGTCAGGCGGAACAATCAGTTCAACTAATTCTGCGTTTCTACCTTCTTCTTATTGTTGCTCGTGCTTGCTTGTGTGGGTTCTCAGGCCATTGGCGAATGGGAGTGTTGGGTTGGTGAGAAAAGTGCAGGTGGTTCATGAGGAAAATGTTTATACTCGAGCTCTTCAGCTTAAAGAGGATGAAGGCGTTTCGTATTGTTCGGGAGGAAGAAGTTGGCCTGCTGATCGACTCCATCTCTGAAATATCAGCATCTGCCTCCACAGTTGATCTCACCGAGAAGTTTTACTCTCTCAAAGGCAGGTTTCATGAACTGGTTCATGAAGCTGAGGTTGTTTCGGGAACCATTTCAGGGGAGGAGTGTTTCCCTCGACCATTTAGTTGGATTGTTGGCAAATTCAATGGTCATCAAGCAAGGATTGAAAGAGTTTTCCATGAGCTCGACACTTTCTACGAGCGTATCATCGATGAACACCTAAGCCTGGAAGGGAAGGAGCTGAAGAAGACATGATCAATGTGCTGCTGGCAATCGAGAAGGAACAATATCAATTACTCGGTGAGAGGAAGGAGGAAGAAGGGTTGGGTGGGGTTGGGTCATGGGTTGGGTTGGTTTAAATGACGTGGCGGGTTATAATGACGTGGCCGGTCGGGTTTTATTTTTGTTGGGTTATATCCGACTGATTAGGCAATTCTGTTTGCCACATCATCACTTAACGGACTTCATTAACGGAGTTGGACGGAGACTAACGGCGAGTGACTAAATGTGTCCAGTTTTAGTAATTGTAGTGACCAAATTTGATATTAATTTTTTCTAGTGACTAAACATGTCCCGATTTTGTAATCTCGGTGACCAAATGTGTCTTTAACCCTCTTCCTGGGATTCGCCATTTCTACCCAGCCGCCCAACTCCTGGACACGGTACACAGACCTCACTACTCAGCTACCATTTATTTCTCCTCTCATTCCAAGTTCTCTCCCTACTCCAGAGCGGCGTCTTCTTCTCGGTCACCACCAAGAAAAAAACTGCCTGCTTCCTTGTTTCGCAATTCGTACGTATCCCCCATTCCCTTTCTTTCTACTGAAGTGGTTTCTGTCCTTGTTTTGCTGCCAATACTAGTTTTCGTGCGTCTGATTGTGGCTGTGGTCGTTGGGGGGTGGGTGGGAAAAAATCTGCAGAAGGAATCGTTTTTTTTTGTGTGTGTGTGGGTAAGTTGAATTTGCGAGTTCGAGGGAGGTTGAAGCTTTTGTGAAAAATTGATTGTCCCCGCGATTTTGATTTGTATGTGGAGTTAATAGTATTGATTTCCCAAGTGGGTTTCATCTGGGTCTCTTGATTTTCCTTTTCTATGGGTAGTTGGACCTTTTCCTACATAACCTTGTGTGACACTCAACACGATTTGATTTCCCATTTCAATCAGTTGGGTTTCCCTGGTTGAGTAGAAGAAAGTACATGGTGGGTTCTCTTTCGAATTGAATTTGCGCAATTTGATATTCTCCGTTGAGAATTACCCTTGTGTATGTGAAAGATACAGTAGGATTGGACTCCTGTTATTGTTGGGAAAAGAAACTTGTAGTTTTGAAGAAGTATGGTCATGGACTGGTAAAGAAATTGGGAAGCTTTAGATCCGTGAAATGATTCTGAAAGTCCCTGTGCTTGGAAAGACCCCCTTTTGTTAACCTCATTCTCGTTTTGTTTGAAATCGATTGATTGACTTTGTTATATTCTCGAAATGTTCTTTGGCAAATCTGACTCTGCTTGTTACCTGTTTGTTATATTTCTCCAGAGAATGGAATCTCTACCTGATGCCATTGTCCAATCTATCTTCTCGTACATGAACAATGCTAAGGATGTAGCTATTTGCAATTCGGTATCGAAGAGCTGGAAGGACTCATTGTGTTACATCAGAAGCCTCTATTTCCCTCGAAGCACGTTCGATAACTACAATGGTGTTGACCATCCTGATACTATCGTCTGGAGAATGGTGGCTGCTGTTGTTCATCTGGAAGAGCTTGTTGTATACTGCCCATTTACCAGCAAAGGCCTGGCCTCTTGGCTGTTGCGTGCTGGGTCATCACTCAGGCAGCTTGAGCTTAGAATGGATAACATCGCTGAGTACCAACAAGGTTGCAGTGAGGCCCTGACCTCCAAGGTGGATTGCCTTGGTTATGCCAGGAATCTCGAGTCCCTCAAGCTTTGGGGTGTCCTCATGATGAATGCCCCCAAGTGGGATGTTTTTCCAAAGCTTCAGAACCTTGAAGTCGTTGGAGCTAGGTTGGAGGATTCTGCATTGTCTTCTGCACTCCAGGCGTGCCCTAATTTGAAAACGTTGGTGCTCCTTGGTTGTGAAGGCAGCAGGAACGTGTCTATTGACTTGCCCCATTTGCAGCAGTGCAAGCTCGACTTTTATGGTGTGGGGAACTGCTCAATCACCTTGAATTCCCCAAAAGTTGAGGTGCTTGAGATACAAGGCTGTAGTTGGATTAGGGTTCGTGAGACCAAATGCTTGAAGAATCTTACCATCTCCAACAGTGCAGGTATAATCTTCATTCTATTATGTGACAGTGTTACCTTTCACTACTATTATACCTTTTTTTTCCTGGTTCAGGCCTCATTTCAATCTTAACTAATTTTTGTGATTGCATCAGGGAGAGTATACATGGTTGACTTTGGCAAACTCATGGCGCTTGAGTCCTTAACTATGAGAGGGATCCAGTGGTGTTGGGATGCCGTCAGAAAAATGCTTGAATGTGCAAGCGAGGTGAAACAGTTGTTCATGAAGGTTGAGTTCACTGGGGACTTTGATTCCCTTGATCCTTTCCCGGAGGTTGATCTTGTCGATTTCTTCAATAGCCATCCAAAGCTGCAGAAGTTTGATATCCATGGAGCCATGTTTGCATCTCTTTGTCACAAAAACAGTCTGAGAAATGTAACCTAATGCAACCTTTCTTCAACACATATAGTATCGAATGATTTTTTGTGACAATGAAGGTAACTTTTTCTTCTTTGGTTTGCAGCTCAACTCTAGATTTGTAATTCCTTCACTGGAGGAAGTGGTGGTGACTGTGAGGTCCCCATTGAAAGCTGAACAAAAGATCAACACTCTGGAGTCGCTGTTGAAGTACGGGAAGAACATGAAGACAATGGCGATTAGGATCCTTCAGATGAAGAGCAGCCATAGTTGTGCAGATGATTTCTTTGATGATATTTGCAGGTTTCAACGCCTAAATCGCAAGATAGTTAGAATAGAATGATGCATTCCCATTTGTTTAGTCTGATTAAAATCGTTCATTGAGAGGGGGTGTCTTCATCATTTCTACCCTTTTATCTTACTTTTAGATTCACCAGATTAGAACAGTTTTTCCCTACTGAGGGTTGATTTTCTCTTCTGTTACTGTTTCTCATTTCATCAGAGGCCTGGGGGTTGGAATCACTACTACTTTGCAGTGTAATCTCTGTTGAACTATGACAAAATTCAGCTAGCTTTTCCCATTTCATAGCTTTTCAGAGTATTCTCTGAGCAATCCAACTTGAGGAACACAAGTGGTCGATGACTATGCCCAAATGTGGAAGAAGTTGTCGATGATATGATATGCCACTTTTAGCCGATGCTCTGTTGATGCTGCAGTTGCGCTGCCGCTGATGCTGCTGCACCCTACTGCTGTTGGCCTTTGCTGCTGCCTTTATGTTGCTGTTATATATGTTGTTATGCATCTGTCTGCGCTGTTGATATGGTGTTTCTAGTGTCGTTATGCTGCTGCTACATTTATTAGTACTGGGAACTGGGAAGTCCGTATAGCAGCAGAGGAAGGTAGTTGAACAAAGTGAAGAAAGATGGTGTATTTTTCATGTTTCTCCCAATGAGGTTGCTGCGGCTGTGTAAATTGCAGATAATTTCTGTTTTGTTTCCTTTTAAATCTTACTCCTGTTATTAATAAGATTATTTAATGACTATAAAAAAATAAATCCAACTTGTGAGGTAAGGAGAAGAAAGTAAAACATGGATCGAGTTCTTTTTCATTCATTCAAATGGTCGAAAATGGCTACATAAGGCATTAGTTGAGGTTAGCTCAATCAAGCAGAAATTAAGTCTAGTTACTACTAAATTGCAAAAAATTTCGGCAAAATTTGGGTAAAGGAAAGACTTGGAAGCCTTTCAAATTTTCATTTGCACCTTTTCCCCTAGCTCACACTCACACACCTGACTTGGAAATGACGTTTAGATGAGCTTCTTCTTCTGGAAGAATCGCTTCAAGTGCCAGATTTGGAGAACCGAAACACTGATGCAAACACCCAAAGACATGATACTGAACCAAGCTACTTTAGAGTTCGTTTTCTCACTTACAATCCTCATCTCTGATTCCCTGTATTGCAAGGGGGAGAGTGGATTAGACGGGTTAAAAGACAACTTGTAATTATGAAATGACCATACAGGTTGTGGAAGTTTTGTACCTGCTCTTGAGATAAAGCAAGTTCTCATGGATAGCTTCCACAGCTCCTTGGAGTTTCGCCAACTCTAGCTCAACACCCTGTATTTGGATGATAGCCAAATGTGAGGAAAGGAACAAGATATATGTGGCATAAACAGCAGGGAAGATGCTTGTCAAGTGGATGGAGGAGCTTTAAACTTAAGCATATAGTGAAGTGTTAAAACTTTTTCCAAAGCAAAAGGAAGATAAAAAGGTATCAACTTCTTCTACAGAGTTCAACTATGGAGAAAGAACAACCAGAAAACACAAGTCTCCCCCTTCATTAGCAGTCCACGAGAACCTTAACATAAAGTCTTATACTGGTTACTCGATAAGACGGCCAGCAAATAGCATGTCTTTTGGGAAACATCTTTGAAAGGCCGATGAAGCTTCCTTGTCGGGTGATGAGAAGTAAAAATTTAAATTCTGATTAAAAACAATACTGAAAATGGTTTAACTTTTTACCTCAATTTTCTCCTTTTTGGCAACTGTATCCCAATCCTTTGCTGCAATTCCTGTTTTCCAGTCAAGGTTAACACTCACATCTCCCTTTCCTTGGTTATGCGCATCTGCCCAAAAACATGCAAGGTAATTGCCAGCCTCCTGAGTGGTAAATGCAAATTGACCATGTGTAGCATTCTCCTTGTGATGGAGGTTGTTCCCATATGGAGATGACACCTGAAGAGGGGGGACAATCGCAAACTGAGGTGAGACCAGCCCAGTCAAATGAGTCTAATAGCTAAAGCGATCACGTAACAACTACAATAAAGAGTAGCTCGCTCCATCATGTTGTACAATTCTTTTGCTGCACTACTCAATAAAGAGGATATCGGTATCTCATACTCAGAACTGCATCAATAAACGCATAAAAGTATACATGAAAGGACTATCAGATAGATTAAAAGATCGCTGTGAGTTCATATAACCAACTCCAACCGCTTCATGTTGAGGAAGATAGTTCTTTAGAGAGGGATCAGTTGTTTACAAGGGAAGACTGATCCCAATGAACAGTGTAACATATCTCAGTTTCACACACATAAGGAAAGTAAGTAGCTAGTAGTACGATTATACTCAATTTACTGATCATAGATACTAAAGACTAAGGAACATGTGCACATAACAGAAAGTGATGCAGTTAAAAGAGAGTGATCGCAAACCAGACAATGTAAATCATGCAGTAGTCTATCGAATTCAAATCGCTTGTAACATAATGAGAATACACAAATTATAGAACTGCAAATGAAGATTGCCTGTCCGTTTCAAAAGAAGAAGAATCCTTGCTGCCAAAGCTTTCCATCACTGTCAAATCTCTTGCCATTTGCCCCCTCCTGATATACATCTAAACATTGTTGTTCATGCACACAGACCAGACCATCCTCCATTCCCGTCCTCCAGCAAAAAGATACTCACTTTTCGGGTAAATTGAAGAAAAATTTCCACCCCAAAACATCATCGAGAACAAAGGAATTTCAACAATCAGAATGCGCAGTGGGAAACAACGAAGAATCCGGTATAGGAACGGATCCATGTAGGGAAGCAAAGCATAAAGAGAAACGAATCAGGTTTAGGACGAAGAAAGAAAAAAAAGACAGGGAACCAAGAATCGTCAGACCTTGACGGAGATAGCGGGGGTGTGAGAATGATCATCGGAGACGACGACGTAGTCGGCGAGAACGACGACGTTGTTGTGGAGCTCCTCGGAGACGCATTTCGTCCCCGACGGCGGGAGATTCAACCATATCGCCTCCGTCACCGGCGCATTGCCCCAAAACGGCGACGTACACAGCAGCAAGAGTAAGATGGCGAAGAAAGGCGGCAATTTCATCGTAATCATCGTCCCCTGTCCGAGCACCTTTTGGCTCTATCTGTCACACACTTCGATCAGTTCCCTCTCTCTAAAAACCGGTTCTGAAATCTGATTCTAAGGGTTTTGAAGGCGGGGGGGAAATTTGGGGGAAGAGGAAGAAGGAGGGGATTTGGAATCACGGTTGGCGTTGGGATCGTTGTTGTGCTTGATTGCTTGCGCTCCTCGTGTCCATCTTCTGTTTCAGCTTCGCTCTCTGCAATTTCTTTCAAGGAAGAAGAAAAGTTCTAAATTTTTGCCTGTGGATTTGTGGGCTGTTGGGCTCTGATGTAGGCCCAATTTCAGGTTTGTGGGCAAAAGTGGGATATTTTCCATGGGGGATAACATAAGAGGGATTGGAATTTGGAAGTAGTAGCAAACTAATGGCCTTTTACTTTAGAAGATGCAATCACCATGAATTTTTTTATTACTTGGTTAGTTGGTTGGTAATTGAACAATTATATTGTGTTTACCAACTATTTTTTTTTATAGTATAATTGGTCCGATGTGAATCACACACAATACATAATTAACGATTGTTGTTTGCGAGACTACTTCTACTCGATTTTCCTTATTCAAAGTTGAGTTGCTGTCTTCCTACGTCCTTCGGAGTTCGGACACACTCTTCTTGGATTGCAGCTTTGTAGTTGACGAGGAAGACTTCCCTTGACCTACTTCCTTTGAGATGGTGCCAAATTCGACTAGACAGCCAAAGAGAAAGAAAAAACTATAGGAGTTCGACATCTCGATATAATTAAGGACAAAAAGGGGATGGATCAGTTGATGTTAAAGGTGTCAAAACGGTCGCGACCATATAAGACACGAAAGGAAGGCGCTTCAAAATAAGGGAGATCTTGCTCCCCGAGCTCTTCGAGCCCTTGAAATATGAGCAACAAAATTTATCCTTAACGAGATGATACTGACTTTCGTACAAATATTGCAGGACTGTCGTCAGCTCGTGTCGTGGGATGTTTGCTCAAGTATAATGAATGCCCTCTCTGGTAATCCATGGAAAGCATATCTTAGTTATGCCTTTTGTGCTTGTTCATGAGAAGAAGAAAAAAAGTTGTCTTGCACTACACAATCTCTTTGATGAATACCAATACCTCAAGCAACATTCCAAATACCTCAGCAGCCTTTTTTTTTTTTGCTGCAGAATCGCCATTACAAGGAAGGAAGAACACACAACCTCTGTTCCCAAACTCGAACGATTACATTCGTTTACTTATTGGTGGGTAATGCAGGAAATTAGACAAGCAAACGAGACAAAATTACGCAGGATGAACCTTTTGCTTCGAAACCCCTTTCCAAGCCGACCTCATCGTCGCCGTGGCCGAGTTCATCGCCGCCTCAACATACCTCTTGGAAGCCGCCGACGCCGCCTTCTCCATCACTTTCCCCATCCTCCTCGCCTTCTCCGCGGTCCGCTCCAGCCCTTCCAGCTCCGCCTTCGCCATCCCCTCCATCTCCTCCTCGAACCTCCGGAACTCCTCCATCGCCGCCTCCATCGCCGATTCCAGCTCGTCCTCTGCAGCTTCCATCTCGCTTTCTGCAGAATCGACCTCCTGCTCGTGCTCCAGCTCCAGCGCCGCCCAGGCCTTGTAGGCCTCCAATTCGAACAGCTTCATCAGATCCGAGTCGATTCTGGAGGGGTCGAAGTGCTTGTCTCGCAGGGCTTCGTCCGCCAGCAGTGTGAATTGGGACATCAGATTCTCCATTTTCTCTGAAATCGGCCGCTCCCTTTTCTCTATGTGGGAAAAGGTAGAGATAGTGTTGCAGCATGAACAGAGACTCAGAGGAGAGTATAAAGCTTCTTTGTGATTGGTGGTGGCCTGGTGGGCGTTGAAATCGGATTATTCGTACACTTTCCTCTTTTTATTTTTTTTAGGATAATCTTTCTTATTCTCCTATATTCGTTTGGGCCTGGGCCGGGCCCATAATTAAACTAGGAAAGATGATGGATGTTGGGCAGAGTTGGTCCAGTAATTAATTTAAATGAAAAATATGAAAAATATTCATTCTTTTATTAAATAATAAAGAAAAAACTATAAACATTTTATAAATTATTGAAAAAATTGAGATTCTCATTTGGTTCCAACTCATTATAACTGAAATATGAGGTTATACAGGTTGGTTTTTGCTCCTGATGATTGCCATGTTCACTTCCATTTTCGTTTCCCGTTTTCTGTTTTCATGTCATAAATTTGGCAACCCAAACGAGAAAACTTGTTTACTTTTTATTTGGTTTTCTATTCGTTTCCAACTATGAAAACAGAAAATGGCAACTTCCTGCTGTTTTCGGAAACGACAAAATGTTGTTTTCACCTGTTTCTAAAATCTGTTTTCTCAAAAACAGGAAACAGAAATGAAAGTAAACAGGCCAATAGATTGAGTAAAATTACATGTAGTTTAGAAAAGAAAAAAAAAACCATTTAAGAATGAGATGGATCCAGACGAGTCAGGTCAAGAAGAGTACACATGTCTGCCTTGCCCCCCATCTACAAATCGAGCATTACCCATCCCAAAGCATATCAAACAGATCGTGTAAAATGAGTCAAATCGAAATTGTTTCCTTGTGCAAAATGATGTATACTCCCAAATTTTATGGGGATTTTATTAATTAATTAATTTCATTTAATAAACATATTTCAAAATTACACTTCCAAATACATCCCACAAAACAGGACCGTCAAATGAAAGAAAATAGAAAGAAGCGGCCAAGATCATGTTGTCACAGTGGAAATGGTTTGCAAGGTACAACTATCAACTTCCTCATTTCCATCACTAAGCCGTTGATAATCCTGGCTGGAGTCTCCAGCTGCAATGGCTGCTGCAATCTCGTCTCCAGGATCCTCCTCCTCACTGTTATCCAAAACCCCAAACGAATCACCAGAATTCGCCACATTCCTAAACCTGAATCACAATACAACTTGGCAAGAAGAGAGATGAAGGTTGTTACCTTGTGGAGTAGATGATCAGGCCAATAGCCACCACCCCGAAAGCCACATAGTACAACCACTCAACCTGTTTTGAACAGCAAACGGATTAATACGATGTAAGATTCGATGGTCGATCTTGAGTTATCGAGACTCGACTGATCGCTGATGACATGCAAACATGAAGATCCAGAAGCAAAGAGTAAGATATGAGAAAATGATCTGTTTGTTTCCTGACCTGCTGATGGTAGAAGAATAGACGAATCAAGACTACCCACATATCCGATGTAAGAACCGATAGATTGTACATTGTAGCCCCTGTCACCTTTGATAGAGTTGCAAGAGTAATTATTAGTATAAGAATAGACTTGTTAGTTATGTTTAAGAGCTGTGCAGATCAGGAGCAAAAACCAACCTGTATGAACCAGGAAAATGTGGAGAATAGTAGAACCTCACATACACCGTACCCAACAAAGGCCAAAACCTGTTAAGTTCATAAGCCAAATGAGGAAACTACAACCATGTTCAGAACTATTTAGTCAAATTCGAAAGTGTTGGGTTGTGCTTACAAGATTAGGGGACCATTTGATTGACTGCACGTTCTTTAGCTCCACCACTGAGCTTAGCAAATGGTTATGGAAGCGAAGCAAAGTATCCATTCTGCAGAAACTAGTGTTTTCATGAATCCAAAAGAGAACAGTTAAGGATACATCTCCAGAACGCTGATCAGGAAGCCGAACACGCCTATCATGGCCATCAACTCGATCCGGTCTCTCTTCTTGGCACAAAATTCCTGAACTCATTAACAAACCGGACCAACTTCATCGAATCATTTACATGGAGAAGAAGAAAATTAACAAGGTGAGGGAGCAAGAAAGTGCAGCAGAAGTTCAGGAACCTCGCCAACATTGCTCAAGGCGTAAAATACTGTTCCAGCAATCACAAGGAAATCGCCTAGGATTGGTTTGGATCCACCTAACAATATAAACATACACAGTTTAAGAGTAAGGGAGGAGAAAAGGCACCAAAGCATTCAAATTTTCAAATAGTTTTGTTCACCTTCATCACCACCTCCTCCAATGTCAGAGAGGATCACCAAGGCAAGGCCAGCAACACAAATGGCTGCACCAAGGAATTGGCAGATGGTGTAACGAGTTCCAATGAAAACCCGACTCAGGATTATAACCCATAACAGCGCGAAGCAATCCAGCATTGTCACGCTTGTGATCGAGGTGAATTGGTATGCCTTGTTAACTGTAAAAACCAGTTTAGTTTAGATTCTCAAAGCAATGGCTGAAGAAAGAGAGGATATACGAATTAGGAAGGCTTTACAGAGAAAGATGCCATGAACATCAAGGAAGCTGAGGAGAAGGTACCAGTACCAAGATACCTGTGCAGGAAAAAAATGGGGAAAAAGAATGTGCTTTGTTACAATTGCAACCCAACCCAGTTCTGCAAATTGAAAAGTGTAGAAGAAATGTACCAGTAGCTTGTGGCGCCTATAAATTAGGATGCCTCCGTATATCAGAGCTGCAGCCAAGTAAGAGGAAGATCCTTGGGTAATGGGAGTATCAACACCTGTAAAAAAGAAGTGAAATCTGATAAAAGTTCACAAATTTGGAATAAAAAAGAGGAGAATATGAGAGAAGGTGATCTTTGATGTGTTAATAATACTTAGTTGCTTACCAAGGGCGGCTATGAGGGAAGCAAAGAAGGTTGTAAGAGCTAGTAGTAGGGATAACACTTGACCCAGCAAGATCAGATACAGAGTTCTCCATGGAAAATTTCTTCCAGACTTCATGTCAACCTTCATCTTTCTCCCCTGCACTTCAGACCCAAAAGAACCTGGCAAGAGCTGCTACAAGCGTACACCAACCACAACAACTACTAAATAATTGAGCTCTTTCCGGGTCCAACTTGTGTGTACATTGTTGAAAATTGCTCTCTCCAAAAAGAGAAGGAAAACTTGATTATTAATAATGTAGGCGGCATTTTGTTAAATGATACGCTGCCCCACTTCCCACGAGAAGATCTTTTCTTTTTTTCTTTCTGCCCTGTATCAAATATGCAAGTCAACTAGGTAAGTGAAACAAACATTTATAAGCAAATCTGACGCTGAAAGAGGAATTTTGAAGATTTTGGCAACCAGATCTGAAGATAATTTACATCAAGCTGATAAACAATGGAGGTGATTTGGGTAATGTAGAAAGAAACCATCGGTAGATCATATTCAAGTTAATCATTCTGTTGTTTGAATACTAACTTCCCGATCAGCTTGCCTAGTCCTACTGCATAATCCATTGATGACTGAATCACGCTCTGATATAGCTGCAAATTACATTCTCTGCAACTGTCTGTTCAATTACATTCAAACGGTGACACAAAACAAAAATGGGATCTTCGTAGCATCTAGTTTGCTTTACGTCTCGAAAAACCGGAGCTCCACCATGAACTCCTGCTGCTTGGGCGAATACCATGCAATTGCCTTAGCTGAACCAAGGACTTGTAGGGCATACTCGATCGCGAACACTGTGTCATGTGCATGCACATACCAATCGGTCTGCTTTTTCAACTCCGCGGTGACCCTAGAATCAACTCTGAAGCTGAACGGCCCAACAATCTGCAATCAAAATGCATAGAGAGACCCATCTATCAACTAAGATGCATACAATTTATGCAGTAAATCATCAAAGGAAAAGCGAAAAAACCAGAGGAAACCATATGGGTGTTCAAAAGACTTGGTTACCTGCTGTTGAAGGGAAATAGTTGCATTGGGGGTAATGGCTTCAATTGCTTTATTAGTCGGTTGTTGAGAGTTGACGAAATCATGTGCTAATTGAGTGGCACCTGAAAGAAATTTGCGGCCAGAAGGGAAATCAAGACGGACATGGAGCCGTGTGAGATCTAGGAACCACTTCTGGAAACTTCCATGCTGAGCCATGAAAGAGACAGACGAAAACATGTCAGCATGAACTGCAGATTTGAGGGCATGAGATCGATAGGAGAATCCTGCTGCAGTGCTTTGCAAATCATCCACTTCTGACCCAGCCGAGTTGTCTCCATGAGAGGCCGTCATCACAGCACCTGCAAGATTTGAATATTAGGCTGGTTTCTAAACTAATTACGTCAAAGATTATTGGCCCGCCACTTGGGGAAAATGAAAAGTGAAGGCAAAGGGTGCAGAACTTGAGCTATACCTATGATACCAGATGCCGAAATATGAGGATTAGATAGGAAGATGTCAAATGGTTGCACCATCCTCAACTTCTTAGCTTCACCCCTCCAAATTTCTACATTTTTCTTGAAGGAGATGGCATGTCTGAGAGTAATACCAGGTAGCAGTGTAGCAGGAATCATCTTTCCAGCGTTGTCGTTGCCACCTTCAAACAGCTTTGGCAATCCAGCTATATGACGCATACAGAAATGGTAACTGGCACCAGAGTTGGAAGGAATGGATGCAAGATCAAGGGCGAGAGACAAAGGTACGTCCCAATAGTTTCCAGAGTTGTCCAGGAAGAGGGCAGGGGAAGCTGCCTCCAAAGTGAGATTGTGATTAGGGAACTACAAAAACACAGAAAGAGTTAAAAAGAAGCAAATCGAAAGCACCACTGTGGAATAAACACACCACCTTAGAATTAAAAAAAAAAAAGTTAAGAGAAATCAGAAATGGTGTCTAGGCTAACCTCGTGATGGAGGACTGCCTTGCGACGAGGTGGCATATCGTTATTGCCATTGGCGTCCGAGCTGAGAACAAGAGTGACTTGAGGGGTTAGTAAGAGCTCAGAATAGATGCCAAGTGCATACAAGGATTTGTCACGAAGACATGCACAAATGGCAGGGATGAGGGATGCAGTCTGGGAATCAGAAGATCGAAGCAAGGTTATCCGCTTTCTTAAGGAGGACACAAACTTGTGAATATTGAATTGGCCTTGCAATGCGGCAAACCTGTGTGCACGAATTAAACCAGACAAAAGATATAGCTCCATTGTAAAATCTGAGAAACAAGAGAAACAAGAGAACTGAGAAGGTTCTATAAGAAAATACCAGTCCTGAGATAAAGGGATGGTTAGACAACGTTGGAGCGAAAACGAGTGACTGCTGGAGGCTGGAGAATAGGAATAGGAAGGTAGGAAAGGAGCAAACATGAACCGCTGGAAGAAATCAGTCTGCTTAGGCCTGGACAGCTTCGTCCCACGGGAAACCCCAAGAGGGAGAGGATATCCAGGTACCGCCCTAGCCTCTCCTTCTAGGGTCACTGGAGTTGAGATGTCCAGGTCCCAAGACCCTCCGTCCATCGCCCATCTTAGCTTGTTCATTGTGCCCATTTCCAACTTCCTCTCTCTTGTTTTTCCACCGGTCTGCTGTTCCTTAGTTATTCATCCACTCATCCCATCCACAAGCAATGCTGCTGTTCCTTTGTCTGACGAATACAATGACAGCATTCTCGACTTTCCAGAATGATTGCCCCTGCCTATCGATAAAGATCATAAAATAGACTCACTACACCATTCATCTAGATGTGAACCAATCAAATCGCTTCACAAACCAGTCAAAGGAAACAGAAATAACAGAAGAAAAATCACAATTCAAATCATTGAGCCCAACCGAAGTTTCATCAAAACTCGATTTCTTGAGCTGCCTAATATAGCCATAAATGCATGTGCCTCAAGAGCAAATAAAGGCAGATAGTACAGCACCACCACTGATTTCTCATATCCAGCAGCAAATCTCCAAACAATTAAACCGAAAAGAGACAAGCACGAGGAAAGAGCAGTAACCCAAGATCAAAGATTCAAACTTTCTTGGATAAGTAAGCAAAGACCCAAACTTTCAAAGACCTAACAATAACATACATACGCAATTGACATAAGAGAGTGGCAGTGAAGTGCATAGATACAATCGCAGGAGTGAAGTGCCATAAATATAACAATAACATACATACGCAATTGACATAAGAGAGTGGCAGTGAAGTGCATAGATACAATCGCAGGAGTGAAGTGCCATAAATATAAACGTCAGAAGTTTGAGAACCAGAAAAAAAACAAACTGAATTTCCTACCAGCAATTGGGATATCGCACGTTCACATCCAGCTGATTAGAATTAAGCTAGACCATCATCAATTGCACGAACTGAAAAGGGTTGTACCTGTAGCTGCTGTGTGACCGAGGCAGATTGACGATGCACTTATGCTCTGCGTGCGATTCTGTCTCGAAACGAGCAATTGAAGGTAGCAATGTGGCAACTGGCGAGAATTTAGCTGTGGGGGAATGAAGAAGATATAGAATCAAATTGGAACCTGAAAACTCTCGAGTTAGCGCCGGCCAAGTTCTCTCGGCAGACTTTGAATCGTCCGGTGGGCGAGGGGAGAGTTAATGTTGCTCTCAGGAGATAACGCCCGCCGTCATCGCTATTTGTGACCAGCCACTCCGACTGCGGACTGCAAATGCAGGGAGGAAGATTGCGAGACGGCAAAGGAAAAGGTTAAGCCCTTTTGGGGAAGGCTAAATAGCAATTTGATCACTAAACTTGTCTAGACTTCGCATTTTCAATACCATATTTGTTCTTTGTATCATATAGCACCCTGAACTCATCCATGTCGTATATGCCCGTCTCGACCAATATAATTTTTTTTATGAATAATTATTTGTGGTATTGCTATAAGAAATTCGTACAATAATAAGACGTTGACAAGAATGTAATTACCGGGAGAAAAAATGTTGATAAAAATGTCACATTGAGCATGCGTGAGCGACAACTCACGCCACACAACAACCCAACCATACTTTTTAAGCAAAACTGACCAAAATCACGTAGCTCAACAATGTCATCCCGTCACGACACACAATTAGCTAAAAAAAACATAATTTTCCCGAAGGTTATGAATGTTTGTTTATCATTACAAATTCAGGGAGTTATTATTTCCCATGCCAAAAAAACTAAACGCCATGCTCATCACCCCCAAAAGAACCTAAGAAAAACGCCATAACTCCAACTCGACATTCAATAGACGATTCACTTCTTACGCTACTTAAAATTTGTACACCGCAGCTGTTATTACAGGAAGATTCACATGATAAATTAATAAATCCAGTACAAGGACAAGTGGAAAAACAACCCATTCAGCCGACAGCACCACCGGCCAATTAGCTCATCGGGAAAAAGATGTCGATGTCGACGCCGTCGCCGCGGTTCATCCTCGTCGTCGTATTGTGCTCCGTGATAATGTTGCTTGTGCAACAAGCATCATGTTACAAATACCACTACCACGCCGCCAAGCTCCGAGATTTCACGGCCAGAGCCGACAAGAAACTGGCCGCGCCTCCGCCGTCTCTCGCCGTCCGGCCTCCTCCGAGGGTATGTATCTGAATTCCGGCCGTTGGATCCTAATTTGTTGAGAAAAGGTTCAATACGCGGTATTTGATCACAGGTTGGCGGAGTGTTTTACCCAATTGGGTACGGGGCGGATCCCACCGGCCACAACGACAGCGCCGACGCGATACAGAAGGCGTTGAACGACGCTTTCGAGCAGCTGAGCGAGCCGGACAAGGAGCTGATGCCCGGAGTGAAGGACTTGGGAGGCGCCGTCATCGACCTCCAAGGCGGCAAGTACAAGATCAGCAAGCCTATTACCTTCCCGCCTGCCGGCGGCGGCGACCTTCTCGTAACTAAACTCTCGATCATCGTCCTTTTCGTTCTAAAAAAAACTTGTCTTTTCGTATATAGTGACCACTACAAAAAACAGAGGACTTTTTAGCGACGGAATTTGCGACAGAGCAAGGTCGTTGCTAAAAGCTATATGTGAAAATTGTCTGGTCGCGAAACTTTTTTGGCGACGAAAATGTACCGTCGTGGAAGCTTCACTCTAGCGACCAAATAGTATTGGCGACCAAATAGAAACTGGCTTTTGCGACGTTCAATTTCCTCGGAGAAATCTGTGGCGACAGACCTTTGGACTTTTAGTGATCATATATGCCGCCGCAAAAGCTATGGTTTCTTGTAGTGATTTATATAATATAAAAAAAACTAATTGGTGCAAATTACTCAAATTATTGGAAGAATGTTAATTATGGAGATCTTATATACCTCTTCATTTTGGTTTCCGCAGATAAAAGAAGGGAGTTTCAGAGCGGCGGAAGGGTTCCCATCTGACCGTTTTCTGGTGGAGTTACTGTTCCCGCAATCAGAGGTCCTGATAAACAAAACGGCCAACGTGTCCGCGTTGCAGGGCACCACGATCTTCTACGAGGACATAACGTTTAGGGACCTTCTCTTCGACTCCGGCCACAGTGGCGGCGGCCTGCTGGTGGTGGACGCCGCCAGGACCCGGATCGTCAACTCCTACTTCTTCAACTTCACGACACAGGGGATCCTGATCCAGGGCGGCCACGAGACCTTCATTCAGACTTGCTTCGTAGGTCAGGTTCCCACCGTGGGGCGTGACAAGAACGAGCGGTACGTACCATCATAAAGCAATATAAGTTTACATAATTAACATTCTCTTAACAACTCACGCACGAGTTATTAAGACAAAACTGGTTCCTTGTATACTTCAATCCATACAACCCTCGATATTGAACGGTTGATCTGAGCACAAAGTATGGTTTTGCGTCAGGTACTACTCTGGCACCGGGATCGACCTCGCGAGCAACGACAACGTCATCACCGACACGGTCATCTTCTCAGCACAAATCGGACTCCTGGTGCGGGGCCAAGCCAACATCATCACGGGGCTCCACACCTACAATAAGTCATGGCTCTTTGGCGGGATCGGGGTGCTGATGAAGATCGACGCCGCCTACAACCGGATCATGGACTGCTTCTTCGACTACAACCAGGTTGTGCTCGAGGACCCTTACTTCGTCCAGGTCATGGGGAACTTCTTCTTCGGGCATGCCAACGTGATGCTCAAGTCGGTGAAGGGTGGTACCACAGGGCTAACCGTGTTCAACAACTACTTCGTCGGGTTTGCTGGGGCGCCCATGATAGAGCTTCAGGGGAAGTTCACGATGGTGCACGACGTGCTGGTGGATCAGAATCAGGGGAAGTTCTTGAACGTCCAGTCGACGTCGGCGAAGGTGACGGTGGCCGGGAAAGGGAAGAAGTGGGTTGCAGATTTCAGTAAGAAGCTGGTTTTCCCTAACAAGATCGACCATTTTCAGTACTCGTTCGCGGTGAAGCAGCCGAGGCCCACCGTTGCTGGCGGTGGCGTGTGGGGTGGGCCGAGGTTTCCGATCCATGCGGCGACGAACGTGTCGGGGAATGTGGTGGTGGTGGAGAGCGAGGATGAGGTGGACGCCGTCGTTTCGGTGATGGTTGATCAGGTTAATCCGGTTGGAGAGGAGACTTTTGTGTTCGGTCGCAACGGCGAAGGCTATAATGTCGGCATGCATAAGTGATACAAACCAAGTGCTACACTCTTCCTGTCTTTTTTTATTTCCTGTGTTTTTATTCTATCTCTTTAATCTTTTTCATTTAAGACACATAAATTTCATAAATTCTCTAATTAATAGTTGTCGAGCTCCACATTAAACAAGTTTTTCTTACTCATCAATAGTATCCTTCTCTCATCTATAGCCTCATTGGTAAGCGAGTGCCAATTTCTATGAATCTCTTCCATAACATTTTTGTATTTTTCTTATTGCTTTTGCAATAATGTTTCCTCTTTTTCTCTCATGGCGAAACACATACGAGTGAGCTATACGGCCAGTACAACCGACTTCAACCGATGTCGATTACAGAATCGGTTGAAATGCCTTCAGTATGAAAAACATGACTAATTTCCGACCTTTAAACAAAATTTAGCTCTTTTAGTGAATTTAATGAAAAAAATAATATTTTTGTTTTGTTTCTTCTGGTACCGATTGTTGCGTAAACAATAAGATATCATATTGCATAAATTTTACAGGCTAAATGAATATTACTATTTTACTACTATACAAAAATATGCATTGTTACTAATTAGTATACTCCCCATAGAAAAGAAATTCTTATGAATGCACCTTCTCCTACAAAAGTTGCAAAGAGACTTCCCTTCTCAGAAATAAAAAAAGAAATCCGAGAGAGATTAGATAAACACCGGCATTACCTGAACAAAAGATGAAGAGCTACACCACGAAGCTTTGGATAAGTTCTCAGGGAGGTTCTGGAAACACTTTTTGCAGGAAATTGATGAACCGCTGAGCATACAGCTTTGGCTCGACGACAGAGATCGTTACAGGGTCGAACTTGAACGATTTGTAAGCATTCTCCGCTTTCTTCCTGGCATTGTACTCCTGCAATATGTCGATCACTCCCATGTACAGAACCACGTCATAGACCTCAAAGAGTTCAACCTCTGTGGAATCGCCCTCGTCTTGCAGCAGCTTGTGACTCGCCTGAGCTGGCATGTTCACTCCTAACTGAACCCGCAACCTGGAAAGGACCTCCAAGGTACGCGTTTAGTGACTAACAGCGCTTTGCAATATACAAGCGGGTTTTGGGGGAAAGGTTTTGAGCTATCCTGAGTTTGGATGGTTATGTTTAATGATAATGAAGGTATACCTTGCAGTCCCGGGCAGTAACAGGTCGACCTCCCGCTCACCAACAGAAAAAGCTCTCAGCGTGCTACCTCGGATGTGAGGACCCGGTGCAGTGTTGACAGAACTAGGTTCATGAGTGACCAAGATTAATCCTGTTGGGGGTATCAAGAGCTCCCCTTGAGAACTCACACCAACTGTAAGCAAAACAAGCACTTCGCTGTAAGTTCATTATTGAAACACATGACTATCATCCATACAGGAAAAAAGGAAGGAAATTCATGAGTATCAATCCTTTCGAAATATGTCCGTAGATAGTAGGATTCTCAGTTCTGTTGTGATGTATGTCGGCCACAAAAGATTTCTACGTTTGAGGGAATGCAAAGATACCATCATCTGAAGAAAAACCATCATGATTGGTTGCGGCGCCAGGAGGCTCTAAAACGGCCTTCAGCTGCTCTGGTGCTCTGAAATGCAACCCCAAGAGGAGGCTGTAATCAATTATGTTCTGAGATTCTAAGAACTTGGAGTCCAGATGAAGTTGTCTGCAAGAGAAAATGAATTCTACTCATAATTAAATGACAAGGATTCTAATGAATAGTAGACTCAAACAGAAAAAAATGCTATCTCAAAAGAAGAAGTTTACTTGAAGAGGGATTCCCTCAATAGTTTGTCCATGTGAAATTCATAATCTAGATCAAGGTCCTTTAATGTGGTACCCTCTTTGATCTTATCTTTATCTGTATATCTTCCATGAGACGAGCCTTTCAGATCATAACGACGATGAATTCTCAATTCCGTGCAAAACATATTACCCATGACCACAAACCGTACCTAGAAACAGAAATGAAGAAACAATAAACCCCGAGTAACTATAGGTAGCACATGTAGTGCAAAATTCTTTTGAGGTCTACAAGAAAAAAAAGTCCAGTTACCTTTCGTCCACCTCTTAATTTTATTCGATGAACCCCGAAGAACTTCGTTATGAGAGTATTTTCATGCTTGCCTACATGACAGTAATATTTTGGCAACATCCTGAGAAGGGACTGTGAACAAAAAAATGGAAACTCTGGTAATTACTAATTTGTATTTTTTCTGTGACCTTTTTCTCCAGATACCACACCAAGCAAGAGTTAAATGCAACAACAAAGTTACCATCCAGAACCACTATAGAAAGGGCACACTAATCAGAGATAATGACCCATTCATCTAGACGAATTTGATAACTCAACACATTTCAAATCAAGAAAATCGTTATTCAACTAAAATACTCCAGAGTCTAGGCAGGTTAGCTATTTATGAGGTACAGGGACACAAAAGCAGGGAAGTGACTAGGTCAAGGTTGTCAACCCACGGGTTGACCCGGACCCGGTCAAGCTAGTGGGCTAAGGGTTAATGGGTCAACCGTTTTAGCCCGGTTTAGCCCGGAAATATGAAAATAGTCATTATATTGTATTTATTCTCATAAATTATATCAAATCTTATCTAACATATGAGTTACAACATATAATATTACACCAAAATAACATATCGTACTTAGATCCAACATATAGTGAAAATTCACACACACTTATATAACATAAATATTTAAATGTTCAACTTAGGATTCCAAAGATTGAGTTAGGCGAAAAGAAAAATTGGAAAATAGGCGCATTTCGCAAACCAAAGAAAAAAAATGACACAATTTGACCTCCAAACCGGTACCTTATAGCGGTCGGCCCGGCGGGTGCGTGTGGCCCGTTTTTCTCACCGGGTCAGGGTCAAATTGGGTCGACCCGGGGGTCAACCCGCGGGTTGACAACCTTGGACTAGGTGCTTTGACCTGGCAATTTAGTATAGAGAAGTAACATCTCGAGTCAAACCTTGAGTTCAGCCTTATTTAATGTCTTGATCACAAATCTATCATCATGAGAAAGATAGAAGAGACTGCCACTTTTCCCGGGTGAAGCGAGTTCTGTCAGACCATCATCACCGCAAATAGACATCATGTACTCAGCTGCATCTAATTTGAACATCTCTCTCAAATTCCTGAAAGATAGATCAGATAGAATAGTAACCTCAGCTAATGATGATTATACATATCAATCAAGCAAGTCCAGCACAAAACATAACAGACAATTGTGTGCATGAATGGAAAAATGAAGAGACTTAGCGAACATATTAAGCACCGACAATAAGAGAACCAGTAGATTACTTATAGTAAAAAAGGTAAAAAAACATTAAAGGGGAAGTCACTCTTATTAACATGGGGTGTAAAGTTCTTCAAAAAATGCAAATCGTTTAATCTGAGAAGTGGAGGACGAGTAACGGAATAGTCATGTAAATCCTATGAACTATGTTCAATCACGGTTCTAAACATGTCAAAGAAACTTATAAAAAGGCTCCATCGACCCCTCCAAAGACAACTTAGCAGCAAGTTCGAATGATGCAGCAGACCACATACATATATATCCTTTAATCTCATTATAAAAAAAAAAATATATCCTTTAATCCAATGTCAATAACCAGAACCTTATGACTATCTCGCAAAGATAACAGCGTTTGTAATCTTTGAGGCCTCAAGTTTGGTCATTGACAAAAACAACTCTAGCCGGTAGTATATCCATTTCCAAGCAAAGAGGGAACCAATAGACAATACCTGAATACCATGGGACAGTAATCTTTCCAATAGAAATCAATGGAGTAGTGAGGCGGGGTCAACTGCGATCCTTTTTTGGGAAAATACATCCTTATTCTAGCTCGCTCTCCAAAATCAGAAGGACGAACTTCACGCATGGGCACCGGAGTGATCTTTCCAACAGTATACCTGTGAACTTCAGAATTAACTGATCAACAAGCAGTTTGATGTCCCAGAACAGGTTCAAGAACTTTTACGAGGAAACACAATTTTAGGATCACAGTACACAAAAGAGGTACTGGCACTGCAGAAATTCAAACTCGTTAACGTTATTGTTTAGCTCTGTCAAGGAGAGTAAGCATTGGATTGACTATAGAACGAAGACACAATTATAATTTAAATGCAGCAGCTAACATGTCTATCTAGTAGAGCGTGAAGGAAAGCTGAAGCACTTAGTTTAAACTTTAAAGTTTAAACCCCTTGGGCAATCTGTATGCTCTATAACCAAAAATGCATACTTGATCCTGGTAGTAGCCGGACAACATTGGACCTCTAGGGGTGTAAATGCTACAATTTGATTTGCACCAAAAAAGAATATGAAAGGTAGCAAATACTCCACATCCTGTTTCCCATACCATATTCAACCTAAAGTAAAAGGTGAGAGAATAAGCATTAAAATTTTAAGTGCCTCCAAAATCATATTTCAAATTAGGCTTCTTACAACTATATAATGAAATAACAACAAGCAAAGAGCCATATGAATGAAAGGATCGAGTTGAAACCTCGAATTCCCATCAATGGGGGAAAGCACAAAGCAGACACAAACTGCACAGTAAACAATGAAAAGGAAAGGAAAAGAGTGCAGCCTAAGACAGGTACCTGATACCAAGTTGTAAATTAAGCATTAGATAATAGCTCTGACGGCTCTGGAAAATATTCATCCACGAGTTGGATTTTCCTTCTTCGACATGGAATTTGTTTTTATGTTTAGTCTTCCGTGACCGCTCTGCAGTTATAATCTTCTCTTTGATCAAAACGCCTTGAATGTATTCTCGTTCATAAGCTATTCTATCGCTGTCTAGCACCACACTATGAACATCGTCGGAGACGTGAGACAGCGCACTTGATAAGTCATTATTAGGTATCAACTCTCTGGCAGAATGACCAGGGCTTGAATTTCTGTCCATTGATGATGTTCTCTGTGCTATCCTCCCTGAACCACTTAAACTTCCACTACCTGACAATTCCGAGACACTGCGCCTGATACTTGTTCTTTGAGCCTCAACTTCTACCAAATTCAATGTTGAAGCATCATGAGACTGAAAGCTACTTGGAATACCATCATAACCAAGCGATCTACACCATCTCTTTAGAGATGGATGTCTCGTTCCAGCGGGATAGTATGTCCCTTTCCCATCCTTCAAACCTTTGGTCCATGTTCCAAAGTAGAAACCCCCATCTGCAAACCTATAAACCCCAGACCCATGCCTCAGACCATTTGACCAAGAGCCATCAAAGATATCACCACTGATCCATTTCATGATTCCTCTACCATTCATGATTCCACCTTTCCAATTTCCCACATAGACATTACCATTGCTCCAAGAGTACCTACCGTTACCTTCGTGGACACCTTCCTTCCAACAACCTTCATAAACATCCAAATTGGAGTACAGTTTCGTACCAAGCCCATGCTGTATATTCATCCTCCAGGAACCTCGATATTCAGATCCATCAGGACGAGTAAAGGTGCCAAAGCCGTGAAGATAACTGCCAGAAAATTCACCTTCATATTTGGCTCCTGCGGCCCATGATATATGTCCTTTTCCAGTCATCTTACCTCCTTTCCATTCTCCGTCATAGACAGTGCCATCTGACCACAAATATTTGCCTTTGCCATGGGGAAGTTCTCCCTTGAAGTCGCCAACATAGACATCTCCATTGGACAAGATCTTCTTATTAATCCTGGGAGGAAAATATAACATTCCTGAATGAAATAGAAAGAAAGAAAAACAATTCAAGGTGTTCTAAGGGTGAATCAAATGAAATAGAACCTTTCATTTTCTTCTAAGAACAGTTGCCGCAAGCCCACCATTTTCTTCTACCTGTAAAATACATTTTTTCAAAACCAAAAAGGAAAATTGGAATTACAACATGCAGTAACAACTTCACCAAAGTTTCTTCAACAGTGACTTGATTCCTCGTGGAGTCATTTCCTCAAAGCATTCATGTGTATGCGTTTTCACAAAGCAATAGGGGTTTGATGCTGAGATATAGAAAGACCCCACTGAGAAACTAAACAAATTGATCATTTCTCCTCTTGAAAGATGACCAAGTTGATAATGTGTAGCTAGAAGCTCAGAGCCTCGGACATAAACGTAGGATTTACAAAGACAAAAACAAAATCAACCAAATGCTTTTATAATTTCGCTGCCATTAACCAAACTTTCCCTAGTTGTTTCAAATCCCCAATGCATCAGGAGAGCTTTCAAGGAATTGACTGAATAGAAGAGAATAGGAATACTAATCACATACAAAAATCAGTCTTTACATCCCAGAGCAAGTTAAGGACAACCCAAGTCAATTCCATTTCAGCCCAAGTCCCACCTTACAAGTAAAGTATAGGAACTCACCTTTGGGCAACCCAGAAGCCAGAAACTCAATCCATCCCAAAAGCACCCTGAAGAATGGCCCCAAAAAGAACCCACAGGAATCAATAACTGCCCCTTCCCTTCACTTTCGTCGATACCTGGAGAAAAAGCTTGCAGCTTGCCCTGTTCTCCGCAATTTACAGATTCTCCGAAGGATCAAATCAGGCAGTTCTTTCTCTCCCCACCCTGCTCCTCTGTATCTCTATCAGAAACTTACAGAGAAAAAGAGGGAGTTTTAACGAAGAAATCCTTTCAATTGCGTCACCCTTTTTGCCAGATGCAGCAATAAATTCAAAAGGGTGTGACTTGTGAGTTGCCCATGCACGAAGAATAAGAATTTTGTGAGTTCCCTCCTTCGCATGCCAAGTGAAAGCCAACAGAGAGAAAAGAGAAAAGACACAGCAAACCAAAGCAAGAGAGAAATGGAGGGAAAAAGAGATAGAGAGGCCCCATGGCTGACGACAGCTCAAAGGAATCGCAAACCAACGTGGCTGTTTTCGGTGGCCGCGGGACTTTCTTTCCTTCCTCATCACAGTTGATGATGATGCCAAAATTGAACACCTTTCAGCACTGATCTCATCGTTAAATAGTTATCAATTCAGAGAAAGAAAATATCAAGAATACTCCACATCTTGTGCAGAGGACCAGAAATGAACAGCAGCGTATTTATGGTATCAAATTGCAAATACTCCACCTCCTGTGCCAATCCATGCCTATCTATAACTGTAAACCCAACAACGGATTCCGCGACAGCCGAGAAAAAGGAAAACAGACACCCAACTTCGCTGCTGCAAATTCGGGCATCTGAAAAGAAATCAAGACCCCAATCTCCCCTAACCATGGGCCTCTACTCCTTCACCTTGGCCGGCGGTGGCTACATCCTAATCGGCGCTTGGGAATCCCTCCGCCCAATCTCCGCCGCTGACCCATCGTCCAAATTAGAAACTTTGAGAACCGCGAATTCAAACCCAGATGCCGGTTCTTCTTGCACGTCTCCGTTGACGTACGCCGCCGTCTGCCTCTTCTCCTTCCTCTTCATGGCCGACTCACTGATCTCCCTCTTCAGTGCCGTTGACTCCAACGACGGAATCGGCTCCGCCCTCCAGTTACAAATGCTCCCGATCGCCGCTCTCTTCTTCCTCTACTCGATTCTGGGTTTAGCAACCGAGTTCTCCATAACCAAGATTCGGTTCCCTTCCAAGCTCCTCAATCTAATCGCCCTCTTCGGCTTCGTCGAAGAATTCCTCCTCTACTACCTGCAAAAGAAGGACAAGACCGGGATTGAGAACAGGTACTTCGACCTCCTCCTCGTTCCCATCGCGATTTGCATCTTTTCAACTCTTCTCGAATTGAAACCATCTGGGTCAGAATCAGAATCGAGTTGCTACCCGAGATTGGGCCGTGGGTTCGGGTTGATTCTGCACGGGACGTGGTTTGTGCAAATGGGGATCTCCTTTTACTCCAATTTGATTGTTCAGGGATGCCACTTGCGAGCCAAGAGTAGAGGGAACTATACCATAGCTTGTAAAGGCCATCCCGAGTACCATAGGGCTAATGGGATTGCTACACTTCAGTTTAACTGCCATCTAGCGTTGATTGTGGTCTTGGCTTCTGCTTTGTACTCGAGTATAGTGAAGAAGATGGGTGGTTACCGCGGTGGTGATTCGGAGAGAAGAAACTATAGGCCTCTAGGTGCTACTGCAGAAATGGTGCAGATGGAAAGTGGTGGTGGAACGTTTACTCTGGAGTCTGATGACGATGAAATTAGAGAAGAGGAGAATGAGAACAAGGAGTTGAGAGTAGGAACTAATGGTTATGGTTCTCATGACTAAAGGCGAATGATATATAATTCTCTTGGTTTCCTTTTTTCCTGTATACCTCACAGCAAAAGGAATTCATTTTTCTACTTCTTCCTGTTGTTCTGTAGATGGATCTCAGTTTTGTGGTTAATCAATAGAGAGATGATATGAATGAACACCCTTTTGGGGTGCATTAACATGATTCTCATTACTTTCCTTTTTCATATTCACAATCATTAGAGGTGTTCAGCCTTTGTCTTCCCTTTTGTGATCAATCATCATGGCCCAGGCTGTATGATGGTTTCAGGGCTTGGAAATTCTTAGAAATGCGGCTTCCTTTTTGTTTGTTCATTGCATGGGTTGTAAAGATCATGGGGGTGGGGAATGATTATTGACATCTTTTTCTGTTAGAGAGAATCCATTGTTGGTTAAGGAAGTCACTTTTCTGTTCTTTTCAATCATTTGAGTGTGATGAATAATAAACCTTATGGATGCATGACTGCACCTAATTCATCATCGAGTTTCAAATCCAAATTTGAGATGCCGTACAAGAGAAACTTGATTCAATCAAGCAAACCAGGGCCAGATCTAGACAAGGTGAGTCTCTCTCCAAGATCCAGCTATGTCTACGTTGCAAGGTTCTCACAAGCAAGCAAATCGGAAAGCTCAGTTGGAAATTCAACTTCTCATCCATCGCCCTTTTTGCCAGATGCAGCAATAAATCCAAAAGGGCGTGACTTTGTGAGTTGCCCATGCACGAAGAATAAGAATTTTGTGAGTTCCCTCCTTCGCATGCCAAGTGAAAGCCAACAGAGAGAAAAGAGAAAAGACAGAGCCATGGCTGACGACAGCTCAAAGGAATCGCAAACCGACGTGGCTGTTTTCGGTGGCCGCGGGACTTTCTTTCCTTCCTCATCACAGTTGATGATGCCGACATTGAACACCTTTCAGCACTGATCTCATCGTTAAATAGTTGTCAATTCAGAGAAAGAAAATATCAAAAATACTCCACATCTTGTGCAGAGGACCAGAAATGAACAGCAGCGTATTTATGGTATCAATTTGCAAATACTCCACCTCTTGTGCCATGCCTATCTATAACTTGTAAACCCAACAACGGATCCCGCAAAATCTCCCGCCTCGTAGCTCTCTCTCTCTCTCTCTCTGCTTCCTTAGCCATGGAGATTTCAGCTGCATTCTTGGGCGTCGGCCAGGTCTCCACGCCTTCGTCTTTCCCTTCCGTTTCTTTGGCATCCGCAGCCGCTTGGAGTTGCAGAAGTTGTGTCCGCATCGTGGCCGCGGGAACCGCTTCTCCGGTCGAAGAATCCGGCCGGCCGCCGCCGCCGAGCATTCGTAAGGCCAAACTCTCCAATTCCCGGAGGCGCGGCTCGAATTCCTACTCGGCGAGACAATCCGCCGTCGTTGAGGTTGAAAAATCCGCCGACTTGGAATCTGCTCTCCAAAGGTGAGTTCTATCTGTTCAAAGCTCTTGAATTGGAGTTAAGTGACTGTGCTGAAACAGTTCAATTTGGGGCTACTGAATGGTTTGAAAGAGTAACCTTGTTAAATCTCGCAGATTAGGAGGGGTTTTGAAGGTGCAAGACTTGAATGTCATTTTGCGGAGTCTTGGAAATCAAAACAGATGGAGGGACCTTTCTCTGGTGCTGGAGCTCAAAACCTTGATGGATAAAAGCTTAATGATTTGATCTTTTGTTGTTTTTCTTACTCGTTTCTACTTTTGGGGGTTGCTGCAGCTATTCGATTGGATGCAAAAGCAGGGGAAGGTTTCTGTTGCGTCCTATAGCAGTTACATCAAGTTCATGGGGAAGAGTCTTAACCCCACCAAGGCGCTGGAAATCTATAAAGGGATACCAGATGAATCAACAAAGAGTAATGTCATTGTCTGCAATTCTGTTCTCAGTTGTCTGGTTAGGAGTGGCAAGTTTGACAGCAGCATCAAGTTGTTCCATGAGATGAAGCATAGTGGTTTAACACCTGATGCCATCACATATAGCGCAGTAAGTTCCATGAGTCGAAAACCTGCTAGTATTAAGGAAATGATGAAGCCAGAATCTTATTGACTGTAGTAGATAATGAGCCAATATTCACAAATCAACACCCTATACTGTGAGCTAGTTCCATATAACCAATACTGCTTACCGGGCACATGTAGTAGATAATGAGCCAATATTTACAAATCAATACATCGATTGTGTGCCAGTTCAATATGTCAAATTCTGCAGACCAGGCACTGTCTACTTTTTGTGGTATTGTGTTATTGTATACTCCTACGTCCTACCAACATCAACTCTATGCTTGCTTGTTGCCACTACTATAAGATTTCTTGTAATGGTAGATGTGTTCATCTATTCATACTTTTCTTGGTGCCTCTGATGATATGAAATATTTCTGAACCTTGAACTTTTTGCATTTCAGATATCATCTTGATTGCTTTCATTTTTTCCTTCCTCAGTTACTAGCAGGGTGTATCAAAGTGAAAGACTGCTATGATACAGCATTGGATCTGGTTCAGGAACTGAATTATAGAGGGTTGAAGATGGACAGTGTAATGTATGGGACGCTGCTGGCTGTCTGTGCTTCAAATAATCGACGTGAAGAAGCAGAAAGCTATTTCAACCAGATGAAAGATGAGGGTCATTCACCTAATGAGTTTCATTACAGCTCTTTGATGAATGCATACTCTTCAGGTGGAGAATACAAGAAAGCTGAGGGGCTGGTTCAAGATATGAAATCTTCAGGGCTTGAACCAAACAAGGTGGTTCTCCTATTTATCCCTCTGTTTGAACTAGCTTTAAGCGTGATATTAGCTTACTCTTTGTGATTCTTTCTGTTCAAAGCACACAATTGGGTTACTTTGGGTTGTAACTTTAAGCTTTCTTCATTTTAGCCAACCTGTTTAGCTTGGATTATGGATGAGACTACATAACTTCATAATCCTATTTCTAGCTCAATACATACTCCTTTTTTCGCAATTATTTTTTACCTTTTCATCTGTCACCTTATGTCCATTGTTGTAGTGGCAAACAGTTCCTAATTGTTTTTATTTAACTCCTGCGCCAGGTAATATTAACAACATTACTAAAGGTGTACGTGAGAGGAGGCTTGTTTGAGAAGTCCAGGGAGCTATTATCTCAATTGGAATCCTTGGGCTATGCAAAAGATGAGGTTAAGTTCTATTATGCCTATCTGTCATTTTTCGCACTCTTGGACTATTGCAGCATAAAAATGGCTTTAGTTACAACTTATGTGACACATGCTCTTACTCTGGAATCTGAAGTCTGAAGCTAGGCAGGTTTATTTCACGTGTTCAGAGCCGCATGTAGCTGATGAACCAGTCAATATCTAACCAGATAATTGAAATCCCACTTGATTCGTGATTGGTGCTAAATTTCTAGAGCAGCTTCAGCTTTGCTTTATTTTATTTTGATATGACGCTAGCTTTTCCTTTTTCATCCTCCATTACTACTGTCTGTTGCTCATTGCATGAAATTCCAACTTATAGATGCCTTACTGTTTACTGATGGATGGCCTGTCAAAGACTGGGCGTATAGATGAAGCAAGATCAGTTTTTGAAGAAATGAAGGCGAAAGGGGTTAGATCTGGTATGTGATTAGTTACATATTCAGTACTCTATATTAATATTGAACTTATCTATCTGGGCTGTGGTCTCTCCAGATAATGCTTTAAGCATAGTTGTGTTCTATTAACATGAACTGAATTAACGCACCTACCTTTTAGTCAGTAATCAAGGCCTGCTACTAGTGATGTTTAAATTTGGTTATGTGATGTGCAAATTTCATTTTGTGAACAGTAACTGGTCAGTGCACCAATTGAGCAAGCATTTCTTCTGTTTCTAGCAGCTTGCCTCTTTGATTCCTTTTTATGATTTCTGAAAAAGTAAATGGTATTTACATCTCATTGTACCGTACCAAGTGCACACACCTCGTTATCAATAGCTCCCTGTGTAATGAATAGTTTATTCGCTTACTGTTTCCCTGAACGAATATTATATAGCTTTCACCCTTCTTTTGTTCTCTCTTGCAGATGGCTATGCTCACAGTATTATGATTTCGGCATTTTGCCGAATCAATCATTTTGAAGTTGCAAAAGAATTGGCCAAGGACTTTGAAACTCGGTATCAGAAATATGATGTGGTTATATTAAATACAATGCTTTGCGCATACTGCAGAGCTGGTGCAATGGATAATGTTATGAAAACAATGAGGAAAATGGATGAATTGACAATTGCTCCTGATTACAATACCTTCAATATCTTAATCAAATATTTCTGTAAGGAGAAGCTATACCTACTTGCTTTCCAAACTATGGAGGACATGTGTCGGAAAGGCCACGACCCAGGAGAGGTATGTTGCTTTTTTTTAAGAGACCAGCTCATGTTTATTTGTTGAAAGGAATCCACAATGTGTTACTTAGAACATCAAACAGTCCCATGCAACTTACCAGTGCTTGTTCCCAAGGAAATTTGTTCACATGCTAACAATATTATTTCTGGCTGTGTATGTCCTTCAACCATAAGTCCAAATAAAAGCCTTCTGACACCATTTCAATATTGCAGGAACTTTGTTCTTCTCTAATTTTCCATCTTGGGAAAATGAAAGCTCATTCTGAAGCATTTGCGGTGTACAAGATGTTGAAATATAGCAAAAGAACAATGTGCAAGGCTCTTCACGAGAAGATCTTGCATATTCTTATTTCTGGCCGGCTTCTCAAGGATGCTTATGTCGTTGTCAAGGTATGCATCTTAAGCTGTTTGTCTCATAAATCATTTAGTTACAATTCACCAAACAAAAATAAAATAGTTATAACACCTTTCTTGGCTATTCTGATCAGGACAATGCAAACTCTATTTCCCAGCCTGCTATAAAGAAGTTTGCGAATACATTCATGAAGCATGGTAGCATTAATTTGATTAATGATGTTATTAAGGCTGTCCATGCTTCTGGATACAGAATTGATCAGGTAATGACTCTGAAATGCACCTTGGTCATCATGGAAAGTAAAATTTGAGGGTGTGTTTTGTATGTCTGGGAGTCAACAACCCCAGTAGAACTTTTGATAAAAACAACCACATTGTGGAAAAACCATACAAAACATTAAATCCGATTGAGCTTTGTGTAATAGAGAATCTCTGTTAACCCACGTTACAAGTTTGACTTGAAGTCTATGTATTTCCAGGGACTACTTGAAACGGCTGTATCGCGATATATTGCAGAACCTGAAAAGAAGGACCTACTTATCAACTTGTTGAAATGGATGCCTGGACAAGGTTATGCTGTAAACTCTTCCACAAGAAATGCCATTCTTAAGAACTCTCATTTGTTCGGTCGCCATCTTATTGCTGAGCTCTTGTCCAAGCAACGGCAGTTGTCAAAAAGTGTGAAGTCTTAGCTGTTGGATAAGTGAGATTGACACTAAGGGAGGAGAGCTAATCCAATATACAATGGGCGATAAACAAATTAGGTAAGGACTGTGATACAGGTTTAGTACTTATCATATAGTCTGTATTTTTGGTGGCACCTTATTAGCTGAATATTTATCTGTAATACATTTACTATTATGATCTATGAAAAATCTGGCATCTGGACAGGATACATATGAATTCTGTCTGACCATGCATTTTTCCTTTCAGGATCAACTTTTGCGAGGGATTTCCAAACTGCACTGTTACACTTGAATCCACTCCCGAAAGAAATCTGCCAAATCCTGTCTCCCTTCTTCACCCTGCCCTTTGCTTCCAGATAAGAAAGCTCATACCAGACCGAAGAAGATGAAGTATTCCCAAATCTATGAAGTGTCATCCTTGAAGCTTCTCCATCTTCCTTCTCCAGCTTCAGATTCTTTTCCACCCCATCGATTATGGCCCTTCCTCCAGCATGGATACAGAAATGTTCGAAAGCACTTTTGAATCTTGGCACCACCACAGTTGCTTCCCCCTTTGCTCTTCCTTTTTCACAGAGTTTCTGACAAGTCACTAACCAAATGTATTTGAGCTGTTCAGAGTACGGCAGCACAAGGGGTCCCAACTCTGATACATTAATCTTCAGAGCACGAGCTGCCACATGTAACAGTGACTTGGATAGTGAAACCCCAACAACATCGTCCTCATCTGGTTTCTGAACGACGGAGCAGTAGGACTGTTCATCTGCTCCCATGTGAGTTCGTACGAGATGCTGAAGCTCATAATTGGCTCTCCACTTGTCCTGTTTCTTGTTCGACAGCAGAATAGCAGCTCCACCCATTCGGAATATCGTATTGGCTACCAGCATGGACTTTGCTCTGCCTACGTACCCGTTTGGGGTTACAGCTTCCATGGTGAGAACTAGAGCCAGTGAATTTTTATGAACTTGGAACAGTTCTTTAATCATGCTTATCGATATAAGCCCAGCACTGCAGCCCATTCCGCTCAGGCTGATGCTTTTTACATTGCTTCTGAGTCCAAACCTGTTGATGATCATTGATGTGATGGATGGAGTGGGACAGAAGATGCTGCAGTTTGATATCAGGATATCGATTCCTTTAGGGTTTATCCTGTGCTTTGAGAGAAGATCTTTCACCACTTGGAAGGCGACTTGCTCCACTTCTTGTTGAGATGGGTTGAAAGAAGTGTTGGGAGGGAGCTCGTGCACCGCGATTGGCATGCATGCTTCATCCCCAATCCCTGACCTTTGAAGAACCTTTTGCTGGAGATCTCTGTTCTCTCTACTGAAACCTTCTGTTCTCTCTATATGCTCAGTGAAGTGAGGGACAGAGGCCCGCAAGTAATCAGGTGGGCGGTAGCATGTGTAGTCTATGAGGTAGACAGAGGTGTTGTTGCTTCTGAAGGCAAGATAAAGAAATCCCAGCATGAAAAAAGCTGCCCCAGCTGCAATGAAGTGCGTGAAGATGATGGAAGAAGCTGCCACTGTTTCTGTAATGGTGATAGCAGAATTGGTTAGAGACCAATCGCTGAATAAAAGTAAGATATTGGTTCCCATTGCTGGAAAACTTGAATGGTTTCTTTGTCAGTATATATTCAAGTTGGAATTTTTCTTCTTTTATAACTGAATTCCCGCCACAGGAAAAATACGATAAGTGTGATAGTAAGGAAGAAGGAAGTTGCAGAATGCAACTGTTTTGTTTGGCATTTTAGGTTCCTTTCCATCCCCATATGTGTGCATGAGTTTTGAGCTGCTTTTCGAGTTTGATGCGTATGCTACTGAACTGGATATATCATCATTTATTTGCCGATTGCTGCATTACAAAATATCATCAAATCAAAATATTTGGGACAATGTCTCATATCATACTATCTGCATTTGGGGAATGAGGCGTTCCCTGTATCTCATCTAACAACGCATAATAAGTTTCACAAATCGTGGAACTTGGCCTAGTATTCCTGAAATAAATGTTACAAGCAATTTTGCATTAATAATCATCGCAAAGTCATTCGAAACCTAGTTACACCGTCTATAGTTGCTCGAGAAATGGATACTTGTTCATTCACATTCACTGGAGATGGATGTCATAAAGACTGAATGAATAATAACTCATCAGTAACAAAGAAATATGGACATCATACACCCTTTCTGCAGTGCTGTTCACTAACCATTAACATGGTGACAAGTACATGAGTACATCTGATAGATATTAAAGAGTACAATAACCCTACAGCCTGCCATAGTGCCATACTGCCATGGGCCATGGCATGGTCATCTAGTCAGTTAACTTGCCGTCGTAGCCCTTCATTGCATCACTTATAGAGCTCTGATACTGCTCAAACTGCAACAAAAGCAAAGATTGATAGAACACTTGAGAAGATGCCCTGGAATCATGATCTTAAGAATGTATATTTTCAAATAACTATGCACTCTTAGCATATACCATCAAGAATAACAGAGTCCAACAACCCCTTAAGTTCACATGCAATTATGAATGTACTTTTAAATGTCTCACCTGCTCCACGAGCTCTTGAATTTTCTGATCCAAAGTCCGAAATTTAGCAGCTCCAGTTTCATATGTGAGATTGATCTTTGAATCTATGGCATCCGCCTGAACATCAAGCACTAATCAGAAGTATTCTTTATATGCAGTAATAGTACAACCTCGGTATTAAGATAAGTCTCCGCGAAAGCAGAAAAGCATGCTCCTAAGCATAACTGACAACACAGTACCTCTCCAAGAACAGCTTCTACTTTCCTTTGCCTTTCCTCCAGTTCATGCTTCCTGGACTCCACTTCCAGCTTCTTACTGTGTAATACTTTATCAGCATCTTCAAATTTCATCTGTCTTTCTTTCTCCAATTGCCATCTCAACTCAGCAAGCTGTTGTGCTAAAAAAGGATTTGATCCACTGTTGGCCTCAGCTGTTCAACGCATCATCAACGTAGATACGATACAGTAGAGAAGAGGAAGGTACCTTTGCCTCGACGTTCCATTATTTTTGCAGCAAGTGACTTATCCAACACTGCATCATCACTAAGCTTAGCTTTCCGAGCCTTCAGGTCCTTCTCAGTTGATTTTGCAGAATTCATCTGTTTGGAGCAAAGGATTAGGGACAACTTGGAGATGGATGCTTTAGAAATGAATTAAGGCAAAATTTTAATTCCACTTCTAGTTATTCATTTGAGCAAACTGTGGCTTGCATACCTGCTCATGTATAGCCTGCATCTGAGAGTAGAGTTTTGATAATTTCTTGGAAGTCTGAGAGAGATGTTAACAATAAACAATGATTAGTTGCTTTTGATTGCCATTACAAGCTTTGCAGAATTTAAGGAAGCTCTTTGCCTGGAAAAAGGAATAAACCTATTAACATCAAACACATGAGCTGCATGGGGATGTATCATGTTGATGAACCGATGGAATTTTTTATCAAACAAATTGCAAATAGATTTGATCTTAAATTCTCCAGGAGGAAAGTACCTTTGAATACAACTCGAGAACCGAAGTCTTCTCCTGAAATGACTGCATTGCTAGCCTTTCAGCATTCCTTGCCTCTTCCCGAATGGATCTCTTCTCTTCAATAGCTTTCTATTCAACAAGTTCACACAGGTCAACAAGTGATAAAGAGAATGCTTTCTCAAAGGAAATGTGATCGCTTCAACAAATCCTTCTGTTCAGTTGGTTCATAAGAATCCCTAGTCAATACTTGACCAAGCGAATGTTAGAACAGGGGAACACCATCACACGTGGGAACTATTAGTTTCAATTAAGCGTTATGATCCAACTACATTGGTACCTACATCACCAAGGAATATGCAATTTACTAGTACTATAATAAGCAGCTAAAGTTGGGGAAATGGCATCAACTTGCAGACTTGGGATTGGCATATAAATACTTTCTACAAGTGGAGTTGTTTTTATCAATCACCATTTCTAAAGAGTGGAACACAGAACATACCTGCAGCTTATCTGGAGACTGAACAATCATAGAGCGCAAATTTGCATTCTCCTCCTGGCTTCGAATCAGATCATACTCAGACTTTGAAATCTGGTTTGAGGGCCAAAATTAAGGCAAATTGAAATTAGTCACCAGCAAGCAACTAATACACATTTCATTCTATCCGGCTGTCTACAGGGGCAATTCACATTTCCACATAGAAACAACTCGATGCACCAATTCACATTTGGACAACTTAATTCCAAATGTAAATATGCAACATTGCCATATTAAGATGAGTGAAAGTCGAGGGAGAGTAAAGATAAGAGAGGATAGTATGTGGTAAGGCTGTATACAAATGATTGAAACAGAAATGTGGAGATGAATAAGGTAAAGCAAAGTAACTGGAAATCAATGAAGAAAAATCCACCTTGGTCTAGCATAAAAAAGCTTTCTAGTAAGAGATCATAGACAAAAACAAGGAAGAATTTAAGATCTTTAGAAAATCAGATCTTCCGCCTCCTAAGTATCAGCAGCTCATGCATGCAAATTAAGTACCCTACAGAAATCACAGTTCAATTAGTATTTCTGATCTTTTTACATCAGAAGGATGTTAAGATATTAGGAGGCTAATTATAGGACCCACCTCCTCATCCATATTTCCAGTCTTCTCCTTCAAGTTACGCAGAAAAGTTCTGAGTGAGCTCTGCTGACTGTTGAGGCTGGCAATGGTCTGGTGCAACTCTTTCACTTTTTCATCAAGCTCTTGAACAAATGGCAACTCACGCTCTCTTGCAGCGTTGTAGTCAGCTATTTCTGCATCCAACTGCGGTAGCAAAACCCTTTAGCACCATTTATACCATAGTTCAAAAGTTAAATAAAACATGTGCTTTTGCTGTTACCGCGTCTTTCATTTCCTCCAACTCCTTTCGCTGCTGAGAAAGAAGTTCGGTTTCCTGGATTATTGTTTCGACTGACTGCATCTTTAAGTCTCTGATTTTTCCCACACAAGGAACAAAAAAGCACAAATTATTCCAGGAAACTCAATATGCAAAGATTGGAACTTTCTGCTACCCATTCCGCCATTCGGTCAAACAAGACATGATTCACACATGGGAACCGACGTACCTGTGGAGGCAGAAATTAAGAATGGAACTAATGAAAAACTCGGTGCTTTTGGGTTCTGGCTTGATAAGGTCTTTGAGAGTGAACTCATGAGGGCAATCAATTTGAACCATGAACTCCCGTATCATGTTATACTCGTTCATTAACCTAAACCATTCCTCGTCGTGACCAGGGGGGTTCTCAAGCTGCTCAAGGTCATCAAATTTCATCTGCCCTTGTTCCTCTCTGGAGAAATCCAGCAATAGAACAACGCCAAACCAAGCGAAGTAAAATAGCAAGTAATCAGAAACAGTCTAGCCCTAAACAAGAAAGAAATGCACAGTGAAGGGGTTGAAAGCTTACACGTTGAAAAGGCCGAACAGGTCTAGCAGATCGTGGTAGACGCGGCAAACGAAACCGGGAGTAGGGTTTTCTAAATCGCTTTTACTGGCGGCAATCTCTGTTTTATTCAGTAGGTCGATTATATCTTTGCGGTGTAATACCGGGTAATTGAAAGTCGACATTGTGGCGCTCCAAAGTTGCGCTTGATTGGAGGTTTTCAGTATTATGCAAGAGTAACAACAATTTCTGCAGAGAAGAGAGTGAGAAGAAAGAAATGAAGAAGTGGGTCTGGTTGGTGAAACTGAAATGGGGAGATATATTAGGGATTGGAATCAATCGCCCAATTTTCCCGCCAAAATTCTTATGCGGGAGCGAGTGGGCGAGTGCCACCCGAGTCCCGCCGAGTTAACATAATGATGTCCGTAATGGAAACCAAAAAAAAAAAGATCAGGTACTTGAAAAATAAGTATACATAGTTGAGGGTGGAATTCTCATATTTTTCTTTTGTCAGTGCTGTTAGAAATTTGCTTTTGCTTTCTTGGCTGAAAGTGCGGTTGATTAACTTCTTCTCTGCTAGGCTCGATTGCTTAGGAGGATCACGGAATTGCGACCTTGAGCTCAATTTAGCGAAATGGAGACTCCTTACCCAGAACCCATCTCACCCTCAAAAACCCGCGTTGGTTGGATCGGGATCGGCGTGATGGGTGCTGCCATGGCTTCTCGCCTGCTGTCCGCCGGCTACTCACTCACTGTCTACGCCCGAACTCCGTCAAAGGCCGCGACTTTACTCTCCCTGGGTGCCCGTCTCGCCGATTCTCCTTTCGCCGTTGCTCAGTCCAGCGACGTGGTGTTTACCATGGTGGGACACCCATCAGATGTTCGATCAATTGTCTCGGAGAGCCAGGGCATTCTCGCCGGCCTAAACCCTGGCGGGGTGGTAGTCGACACTACAAGCAGCCATCCAGCTTTGGCACGCGAGATTTTCGATGCGGCTCGAGGGAAAGGATGTTGGTCTGTTGATTCCCCGGTTTCAGGCGGGGACATTGGCGCCAGGGATGGGAAGCTGGCTATTTTCGCTGGAGGAGATGATGGGGTCGTCAAGTGGTTATCACCCTTATTTGATGTTTTGGGGAAAGTTACTTATATGGGTGGAGCTGGGTGTGGACAAAGCTGCAAAATTGCGAACCAGATTGTGGTGGGGGCTAATTTGTTGGGGCTGAGTGAAGGGCTGGTTTTTGCAGAGAAAGCTGGGTTGGACGTGAACAAGTTTGTGGATGCGGTGAAGGGAGGTGCTGCTGGGTCGATGGTGATGGAGTTGTTTGGGCAGAGAATGATTGGGAGGGACTTCAGGCCAGGTGGTTTTGCAGAGTATATGGTTAAGGACATGGGGATGGGGGTGGATGTTGTAGAAGAGAGTGACGACGGCAAGGTCCCTGTCTTGCCTGGTGCTGCTCTGGGTAAGCAGCTCTTTAGTGGGATGGTGGCCAATGGGAATGGACAGCTTGGAACTCAAGGGCTTATCACTGTGATTGAGAAGCTCAATGGCAAGTAAGAAAAAACTACGTCCAGATTCCCTAAACCTCTTCTGCAGTTGAAGCAAGTTGTTGGGATAGCTTTAATTTGTGTTGTATTTTGCACTTTTTGTTGCAAGTAGTTGTTCTCGATGAACAAATCGTCTACTTCTGGTGAACAACTTGATTGTTGGATGAGAAAGTTAAGAAGTGTTGTATCCTTAACCTAATCTATCTGTGGATGGACATCGTTTGTCATCTCGGCAAGTGGAAAGTTTAGCTCTTTTAGATGCAAGTAAGGAGAAAACAAACAAAATACACGGGTGCCATCAATACCATCCAGAATCAGGATACATCAATTCTCACGATTGTGTTCCTATGAATATGTGATTTTTTTGGGGATGTTCCTTGTGCAAAAATGCATTTATGCTCTTAGTAACCAACGAGAGAAATAGTTGATAACTAAACTGCCACCTTGTTTCTCTCGTTGTTTATGGTGGATTTTATTATATTTCCATCTGTCAACTCTATGAAGTTGATACCTCATACCCATTACTCAGTTGTTGACCAAACTTGGCCAAGAGGAAATGGGTCCTCAGGGACAAGTTGCTGCTTCTTGTAAATCTTCAGCACCCAGGGAGAGTGTGATTGTTGTGATGCACAGTAATCAAAGTAAGTGTGATGTTGAGGCCGTGGATTGGGCTCTCAAGCATGTGGTTCGACGAGGAGACGATGTTATTGTGCTTGGAGTTATAGATGGGTGTGGAGTGAAGGCCACGTGCTTCCCTTTCAACAAGGCCATGGGTTTTTCTGCAATTTGTAAGCAACCTTTTTGGGCTTTGTACTGCACTCCACTCTTTTCTTCTGTTTCAATTGGTTTGCAGTTCAAGTGGTGCTTTCATCTGGAGTTTCGTTGATTATTTTCAGGGGAAAGATTAGATTGCTCAACAACAGGACAAGAGCTAAGACCGAAGGAACTTGCAGAAGAAATTGAGAGAAAGAAACAACAGTGTCAGAGTAAACTCCAGCCATTCTATCGAAGATGCAAGAAGAACGAGGTTCATGCTCTTTTTAATTTTCATTCTCATCAGCAATACTATCCCAGAATACCCAAATTCCATGTCATATTTTACTGGAGGCAGGTGCTTTTAACTACGCAGGTAAACTTGCAAGTCAAGCTTACATTTGGTTGCTGCCCTGTAAAAATCACAGTAGAGCAAGCTCAGAACTCAAATCCTCGTTGGATTATCTTGGATAGGTGAGGTCCACCTTCCGCTTCTCCCCTCTTGATATACTAGCTATTTGAGCGTAGGATTCTGATATATCATCTCAAGAGCAAGGAACTCTCGTTATTTGGCGACAGAAGAGAGTGGATTATGTATGGGGTGTGATTCTTATGGCTAAGAGATAAGTAACTTCAGAAAAGTTCGACTTAAAAGTTAAAACAAAAACATTTTTTACAATTTAACTTTCTAGAACAATTCTTTACCATCAACTCAACTGTTTCAAAACCCCTATCAACCAAAGACATATCTCTTTCAGAACTCAAAAAAAATAAACAATGAAGCTAAAACAAATACATGTTTTCCTCTCTCAAGATGTTAATTGATAGTTCTAATGTGTGTGGTGGTGATTGTGCAGCTACTTGAAGAAGTATAAAATGATCATATACAACCAAGTAGGCTGCAATATTGCAGCAATGAAGGGAAATGATCTGGCAACTTTGATTCCATCAAGAAATGGACAAGGTGGAACATCTGGTACTGCTGCTTCTTGTGGAAATCAAAACAAGCTTAACGTTCCGGATGATGATGACTCATCATCAACATCCAGGCAAGCATCAGCAGGACAAAGCCCTGCATGGTATCCACTATCATGGAGAAGTGGGGTTCCTCAAGCTTTTTCAGAAGCAGAACTTGAAGTGATAACAAATGGTTTCTCCAAAGAGAACGTTATTCTAGAAGTGCGAGATGGCATTGGAGTATATGAAGGGATGCTCCAGGGATGTCCTGTCCTGGTAAGAGCCTTTGCGGGAAACGATGAACGCTTCTGGCCGACGCTGAAGATCCTTTCCAGGATCCGCCACCGGAATATAATGAACCTTGTGGGACACTGCTGCACTGCCACCAAATTGTTCTTGATTTTCAACTACCCTTGCATGGGTAATCTGGAAATCAACATTCTAGGTAATATAATGAAGAAAAATAAAACATCTTGGGGTTTTGAAAGCGCTGACATTTTTTTGAGCTTGTAAATTTACTTTAATTTGTAGTTGATGATTTGGCCAAGAACTTGCCCTGGAAAGCAAGGTGGCACATTGCTCTGGACATTAGTGGTAGCCTGCGGCATCTTCATGAAGAATGTGCGACTGATGGAACCATTGTTCACCTTTCTGTTTGTTCTTCTTATGTTACCTTATCTTGTGGTTCCATCACCATGGTAAGGCACGCACATAACACATTGTAACTCTTGATCAGTTCATTGGTTTCACTTAGTTGATTAAACTTATGTTTGCTCTTGTGCTATCTGAATGTCGTTCAAGCTTGCCTACTTTGCATCCGCTAGAGTCCTTAAAGATGAAAGGGCGAGTAACGATGACGCTAGAACAAGGTAAGCTTTTTTCCCCCTTCCATTTTATGGTGGAATTGTTCATTACTTGTTCCAGTGTTTAGAGTTCTCTTTAGCCTTACCTATACCTTTGGGGTTGAAGGCAGGGAAATGAGGAGCGGGATCAACTGATAGCTGTAGACATACACGACTATGGAGTGCTCCTGATTGAGCTCATCAGTGGAATGAGTGCGCGGCTGTTCCAGGGGCAAGGTGTGGGACAAAGCCTGATTGACTGGGTGAGAGACCGACAGAATGTGTGCTCTTCAGAATATCCTTACAAAACTGCAGGAACTAATTTTATGTGTTCGATATTGCTGTGTGCAGGCACTGCCACTTCTGGAGAAGGGTTCCGTAGATGCAGTGTTGGATCCCAGAGTGTCAAAGGAGATGAATGATAGCAGGATGATTCAGTATTTGGTAAATGCAGCTTTGCTTTGCCTGAGGAGTAATCCTTCTCCTGGCCATTGCCTCTCCATGAGCCAGGTGTGAATTTGTTTCTGTTGTCTAATATGTCGTTACCAAATGCATTTCTGATTCTGTCGCTGGAAAGAAACTCATCTGGCTTCCTTGGCATTGCAGGTTTTGGCAGTAGTTAGAGGTGACCAACTTGCAATGACAAAGCGGTGAGAGCTTTTCCCAGATGTAAACAGGAAAATGCGAACACACTACTATGGTTTGGAATAATGGTCTTCTTTTTATTTCATGACCAAGATTGGACTCATTTTAACCGTAGGATATGCCACTGGAGCTTCGCCCCTTCCCAGAAAATTGCAGCACTTTCAGGAGAGTAGGCGTCGCAGGAGCCACACCGGTGACTAGGCTGTAGGGGGTTGCTGGATAGTAATGATACATATGGTTCATTTTCGGTAGTGAAAAGATGTTGTTTTAATACTGAGAATGATGATGTTGTTTTAGTACTGAGATGATGTTTTTCTACTAGTGGTATTGTACGTTTTTAGTAGTGGTATGGTGCCTTACTGGTAGTGATTTCCCAGTTGAACTGCGCTGGTTACCAGATTGTAGCGGTATATTGCATTATTGTACAGACATGGTGCCTTATTAGCAGTGTAAAACTACTGTCTAGTCCATGTAGCATCACTAATATAAGTCGTAAACCCACTAATTTATATTTTGATCATACAATATAAACACACAACGTTGCTGATGAACATAACTTTTGGAGTTGAAATCCTTACAACCATTTCGCTAAACTTGCATCGAATCGATACAACCCTAAGGGGTCATTTGAATGAGGAATTGTAACGGATCAATTTGACACAATTGTCTTGTTTTGAGACAATTGTACCAAATTGCCTCGTTTGCCAGCAAAAAATCTGGATGGATCAATCTGTCTGAGGTATTTTGAATTGATCCGTTTTGAGTCAATTTCAATTACCTCGGGTGGGGCAGGTAATTCGAATTGACTCGTTTTAATTGCCTCGTTTATAAAACGAGACAATTGATCAAATTGACTCATTTCTAGATTGATCCATCCAAACGATTTTAGGGTAATACTATTTTTTTGAACAAGTAAAAGTACATAGAGTGATTGAAAACAAGTGAAGAAGCAATAAAAAGCAAACTTATTTTCATCTTTTTTGCAATGCTAGTCGTTGGTCGTTGCTTCAAGAAAGCAGCAGAAAGTACTACTACCAGAAAATTGCAACTTCGCTTTTATTTCCTTCCTATTTATTCTTCGAACAAGCTTCCGCCTTTTTGAAGAAACCTGAAACTTGAGACCTTAAAGCTCTAACCTTTTGCCGCCGCCGCCGGTTGCAACTATAAAAACGAAGCCAAGCCAGAGTTCTGACTCAAAGCTGGATATGGAGGCGGGTCGTAGTAAGGAGCAAATCATGGACGTTAGGTCAGTAGCCGAAGCGGTCGCTTCTGCTGGAGACGACGACCTAGACTCCCCGCTTTATGAGCTCGAGAGCCTCTGTATGCGTTGCGGCCAAAATGTTCGTTTTCTCGTGCTCCAACCCTTTCCGCTCTTGTTGTTCTCCTTCGCGTCCGTATCCTTTCTTTTTTCCTTCCTGCTATGTGAATTGACATTCTGGGTTCTTACCATTGATATTGGGAAGCTAGGAGAATGGGTGCTAGGTTCCCCAATTGGAATGAGGAATAAGTTTCTGGAAAAGGGCTGATAAGGATACCCACTTAGCTACCTGATGCTTAGTGGCAGTGGTTGTTCCAAATACTATAGACGTAAGAACTTGTGTAGATGCATAATCTGACATTGTAGTTTGGAAGTTCACCAATGTTGATTATCTTGTACAAAAGATTGCTCTTGGTGAACTTATAACTTCCACGGTAGCATTTGTTGTTCTGCATTGCCCCTTTCCACCTCCATATTTGGTAGTCCATTTTCTGTCTTATTTTAATGGTGAAAATGAGACTTCCAAGCAAGTTAATTTGTTGCTCTCCTTGTTCTTCTTCTTTTTCAATCTTGTTGTGCATCTTCTGCTTCTTGCTATCACAATTAGTTTGGCAATGAGCGCTGTTTTCTCACTTGCAACTTCTACTTTGCTAAACTTCTTTGGCTATGTTGTTTTGTTTGATAGGGAGTAACAAGGTTATTGTTGACTTCAATTCCTCACTTCAGAAAGGTAGCGTCCATACTCACTCCAACTCTCCTTGTTGTATTCTTTGTTCTGATTATTTTTCCCACGAAATGCATTGTAAAAGTTTTACCTTTGAGATAGATATATTGATAGTGAAAATTGAGCCCCAGTAATGGTTTAATCTGCAGTCGATAGCAGATTAAGTCATAGGTTTCCTTTCGTTTTTCTACTTCTATTTTCCCTGTTGGTAGGTTCCTTTCACAAAGGAAGTTCTGTAAGCCTTACTTAGTTACCTGTTACTAAGCCTTATGCAAAAGGAAACGGTAGACTGAAATGTGCTCTTGCTGCAGATCCTGTTATCAGCCTTTGAATGTCCACATTGTGATGAGAGGTAGTTTGCTTTTCATGGTTAATATACAAGTAACAAACTATTAGTTAACTTCTTTGTAATTCCATCTTCTTCTGCTTTTTGTTAGGAATAATGAAGTCCAGTTTGCGGGTGAAATTCAGCCACGGGGTTGTTGTTACTGCTTGAATGTCACAGCAGGCAATCAGAAGGTTGAACTGTTGTGATGTGAAAGTTCTTCATGTCATTTTAACTTGAGCTCTATTTAAACTACTCACGTGATGTACATTTGCTAATGCAGATGCTCGATCGTCAGGTTGTGAAATCTGAATCTGCAACCATAAAGGTAATCTGAATCATGCTTTTGCTAGTCTCATTATGCTTTTTCCCTTGGTTTTGGTGCGACAGCATGGATTGCAGCCCTATGTCGTGGCAGTCATGTCCTGTTATATGTTTTCCTTTATAGGTTGGTCAAATAGTTGTTCAGCAGTTGAAGTGGAATTGAAAACCTTGTGGTCTAGTATATAATGTTTTTTGCTAAAATAGTTTTGCATGTAGCATTGTTTAAGATCCCAAATTGGCTTATTAGTCTGTTTTATGTAGGTGAACACACGACTCAAACCTGCTTCTGTTGGCACATGTAGTTTCTTTAGTAAGATGATTGCCACATTGCTTATGTAACCAGAATTTTCTAGCATGTGTAGTTACTGATGGACTTAAATTGATATGTTTGCTCATTCTTCTGAGCAGATTCCTGAACTGGACTTCGAAATTCCTCCTGAGGCACAGCGTGGTAGCCTATCAACAGTATGTTTCATCAGAGAACTAGCCCTTTTTTAATAAACACAATGGTTTAACTCTGGTTGTTTCTTGTTTATCCATTTTGTTCATTTGCACTCATATCTGTTCAATAAAATAAGGTTTTGGAGCTTCGGTGTTTCTAAAAGATAAATCTTCAAGATTCAGGGTAGAAACTGGTTAAAAGTTTATTACTTGCGCTGAATCCTGATGTTTCGAGAGGATATAAAGTCGCCTTGATAAAACGATACATGTTTACTTTCGGGAGCCAATCACCTCGACGAAAGGTGCCTTGAATGAATAATATGGTTGGTTGCATTATATTTTATGCTCCAAAAAAGTGTAATGAACCTGAGGTCAAATAATTTCACGAAGGAGATGGACGGAAGGAACCAGGATTTGGGGTTTTGAACAATCTGTGATTGGATGTTCCTTGTCTGGACTTTAGAAACCTATAATCCACTCATCTCAGGGTGTTGAAATAATTCTTACTGAGAAATTGAGCACATAATAGGTCTCAATGGTGTACCAAACAGTTCACTTCATGATTTTAAAGCATGTTTGTTGCTGAAACTTGTGGAGTGGGCTGTTCATGTTGTTTTAACAGAAATGTTAAGTCCTTGGCTTTACTCCTCTTTTCTTGTTTGATGCTTTTATAATTGGCAGTTGGAAGGAATTTTGATGCGTGCTGTTGATGGCTTGCAAGCACTTCAAGAGGAACGCAGGGTGCGTCACCAATTTTTCATCAGTCACTTTTGGTTGTTTATCATTATTTTCTATTTTCTCAAAGTAGTGGCTGTTGTGCTTGTGTAGAAAGTGAATCCTGAAACTGCCGAAGCAATAGATCATTTCTTGTCCAAGTTGAGGGCTTGTGCTAGGGGAGATTCATCATTCACTGTCATCTTGGACGATCCTGCTGGAAACAGCTTTATTGAAAACCCGTAAGGCACTATCTTCAACAGTGAAGTAAATTCCTTATTGTCCTCTAATATTGGATTATCTTCTGAGAACACCTTGTGTGATTAGGTGTGCTCCATCACCAGATCCAGCATTGAGTATCAAGTTCTACGATCGAACTCCAGAACAACAGGCATCTTTGGGATATATGCCTAATCCAACACAGCCTGGAGTGGACACAGCATCTGCAGAGAGAACAGAGAATGATAATGCCAATCCAGGAGAAGTAGAACCTCACGGATCGATAGGAGCAGTGGCTGGTCATCGAGCCATTGCTCAGAGTAATAGTTCGGAAATTTCTGAAGCTTTGTTCCGGTACACTTCACCAGAAGAGGTCAGCAAGCACAATAGTCCAGGAACCATGTTCTTAATTTCCTTTTAAGTTTCAGTTTTGGTATTGACTGTTATCTATGCTTTGTACAGGTTATGACATTCCCGTCAACCTGTGGAGCTTGTGCTGTCAGGAGTGAAACTCGGATGTTTGTCACTAGTATCCTCGATATTTCTTCTGGTTTAGTTTCTGTGCTTACTAAAGCAGTTCAAACGTGCAGTATGAGCAAGGAAACATGAACCACACATTGGCTTAATTTCTCGCATCAGTTTCTGACCTTCCGCTTATCATTATCAGTGGTTCCCCTCTTCTGGTAAATGACATTTCTAGGTTTGTTGTGTGAGCATGTTTGACCTTGACAAGGTACAGACATCCCATACTTCCAAGAAGTAATTGTGATGGCATCCACTTGTGATTCCTGTGGTTACCGTAGTTCTGAGGTTCGTGATGGTTTCTATATTACCTTTCACATTGTTTGGGTGGGTGTATATTCGGGAGATGATATTTGCAAGTATATGCAATTGAACAAATATATCATATTTAGTAGACTCCTTTGATGTATCTGGTGTCTTTGAAATTGCACATGGAATCTCAAATCTATCAAAAGTATACAAATCCCATACACAGATAGTACACACTTTTGATGTATCTTGTAATTGTGATAGATAGCATTAATGCACAAATACGTCCAACATAACACTACTTTTATTAGTGCTTTGTCTCATGACAATTCGTATCTCTTCGTTGCAGCTGAAGCCAGGTGGGGCAATTCCTGAAAAGGGGAAGAAAATAACACTTTGTGTGAAGAATGTTAAAGACCTCAGTCGTGATGTCATAAAGGTTTGCTCTGAGCTCCTGGATTTGTGTTTCTTGTCTGTGAATGGACGTGCCGGTCATTTTACTAATTCCGCTGAATGATCTTCCCAACTTCCCAAGAAAACATTCATAATTGTTCCAGTGTCCTTATAAAAGAAGCTGGTGCAGAGCCATGATCTTCTTTGGTCATTGAAAATCTTGGTTGTTGTTTAATCATACTAATCTTAATATGATATAAGCAGTTGACTTGGATATATGTCGATCTGTTTGATATCACTTTGGTGTTCCTTATTGATATGGGCATAACAAGAGATAATTGCATCTGATGATGGTTTTGGTAACACATTTTCAACTCAGTTCTTAACTTCCGCTTGTGTTTGCCAGTCTGATACTGCAGGTGTGACAATCCCCGAGCTTGATTTGGAACTGACAAGTGGCACTTTAGGAGGATTAGTGACAACAGTGGAAGGGTTGGTTACAAATATCAGTGAAAGTGAGAATTGTGGTTTTATGTGATGTTATAACTTATAATCTCTTAACTGCTCACATTAGTTCTCTTTCTAGACTTTCCATTCAGTTATTAGTTATTACACAGTAGCCACAATGATTTTTCAACAGCCTTGAGTATCCAAGATCAGGAGAGAATTCAGGCCTATCTAATATGATTTAGATGGGTTGAGTTGGGTCTCATAGAAACATCTCCGATCTATCCTGCTTGCATATTTAGGTCTTTCGTTTATAAAAAAGATCTCGAATTAATGATCCATTGGTCCATATTATTATTATTATTTTTTTTGTGTTTCTTATTCTATTTATGGGATGATGAGCCGCAGCAAGATGGACATTTTCTTTAGCTGTTCTTACATATGATTTTGTTTCAGGCCTTGAGAGAGTGCATGGATTTACATTTGGTGACAGCCTTGAGGAATCCAGGAAAAGCAAGTGGCTAGATTTTAGATCAAGACTAATTAAGGTCTGGTACAACAGCTCCAAACTGTGCATTATCGTGGTCTTCCTTTTTTTGTTGTTGAGTTATTGGAGATGTTGACTCCACTGTTTATGGTGGGCGAGGATCATTTTAATCTCCACATTATCACACGTATTCCGTAGGGTTCATAAAGCCTATTTTTAGCCAACATGGGTTTTTTTATCAACTCGTGTTTAGAGGCATGACTATCTCTATTAATGCTGCTCCTCTGGACGATTACTTTGTTAGCCACGAAGTACCAGATTCAACTTCCGGGATGTCAATGGACATAATTTGTTTCTCTTTAGGTTCTCTGGTTCGTTGTGGACTTGTGGTGGTGCCATTCATTGAAACATAGAAAATGTATCATGAACCACTATGATACCAATCATGTGTACATGAGGAAAGTTACTGCTCGACTTAGGTTAAGAAAATGCATGGATGTGTTCAGTGTTCCTGTTATGTACCACACTGGTTTTGGCTTTTTTGTGTTCTCTTTTCCATACTCCTGACTTGCCATTTGTTTCTCTTGTCAGATTCTAAACCTTGAAAAGCCTTTTACTTTGATTCTTGACGATGCATTGGCAAATTCTTTCATTGCTCCAGCAACAGATGATCTCAAAGACGACCAACAGCTTATATGTAAGTAAATTGTCCATCCTGTTGTACAATCTTAAATGGAACACTGAGGCTTAACTTCAAAGCTAGTTGTCATATGTCGTCCTACTCCTGCTACAGTAATTGACCGAGTAACACGTGTTTGTTTTGTCAATGTGGGTTGCTTGTGATGAATCCAGTTGAAGAATACGAGAGGTCATTCGAGCAGAACGAAGAGCTGGGACTGAACGATTTGGACACGTCTTCAGCTGATGCAGCGTATAACGCTAGCTCCAGTACTGCTGCGGTTGAAGAAGAGAAGTAGTTCTCTGCTCGTCCTGCGGGATTGTTTAGCAAATGCAGAAAGCAGATAAGAAATATTCCCCTTGATGGGTACAATGTGTGTCTTACAGGAAATGACTATTGTATCAAAGACGGAGAGAACCTGTTATTGTTTGAGGAGATCACCTCTTGTGCTATTGGTTCTGCTTGTGGCAACCTTCCTTTTCTTTGTAACGTTAGTCGATGTGTGACCTACGAGAATAAGGCCCACTATACCCAATAGAGAATATTTCTCACGTGTTTTACCATGAAATTGCCAATTTTGCATTGTTGGTGAAGAATAAGGAATTCACCCGACCTCATCGAATGAAAGCAAAGTACTCCATCGTTGTCACTAATTAGCATCCCCTTCACGACACATCTACACTGAAATGCTTCAACAGAATTTAGCTACATGTACTAGTTAAGAGCTCTTGATTGGGGATTTAATTATCTTGTCTCAAGAGAATTTTATGTCATGTACAATTTTATTGATTTAGTATCAATAATAATGGCGATGTTGTAAAATCAATCGTTATTTTCTATAGGTTAGCTAATAATATCGTGAAAAACCTGTACTCTTTTGGAATTATAAAAAAATGACAAGAATATCGTATATTATGAAGTTATAAGTTTACTTGTACTCTGAAGTAAAATGACTGTTAGAATTAATCAATCAATGTTTCACCACATAATGCAGTGCCAATATGTATACCACGTAGGTCGAAACCATGGCAACTGACTTAATAAATAATAATAAAATAATAATAGAATTATAGAGTAAAATTAATTGAGATTAGTTGCCATGATTCAAAATTAGAGGGCGTTACCACTAAATCAAACTCGTGTTCTCAATCGCAGTTTCTTTCTACTTCTTCTTGTGGTCTCATTCTTCTTTCTTTCAAATTATTTCCATATGTTCATAAAAACGTCCCTGCAATCAACAACACTAAGGAAATGGAAGCTATGTATTTGTTTTGTCACTAGTAGGGCATTCAACGTTTGGCTATTTGTTAGAAAATGAAAGTTTCAAACAGAAGTGTGATGTGCTTTCAATGCAACGAGGATCAAGGCATAGAGATCGTTCATTAGAGAAAGAGATAAACAAAAGGCAAAGAGAACAAATGTGTTATATAACATTAGGTTATAGTATAACATGAATCATGTTATATAACAATGTTATCTCCGGCCCTACTTTCATGATTTGGAAATTTCATGATTGGATGCCTCTAATTGGTTTTGGACTTTGAAAGCAATAAAAGGTGTAGGAAGGACGAGACTGATTAATCATTCATAATAACAACAATAACACAGACTAGAGATCACAGAAGGAGGTAGTAGTAATAGATAAACAGCAGGAGGAGACAGACGCCCAAGTTCTTCAAAGCAACTGGGGCTCCACCACATCGTAAACCCTCGAAGATATGAGGGATCATGCTGTCGGAAATGATGTGGTAGGCGTGTCGGTGAAGTGTATTCCATGTTCTGGGTCGGGACAGAAGTATCCTCCTGGATATTCGTACTCTTGGTTGTTTGCATTGCCACAGCAGTATCGGATCACGATCTTCTTCGCCCCGTACTCGATTACTTTCTACATATTAGTCAAACAGAGTCTCCGAATATGTACATGGAAGAAATGGAACAGCTTTCCAATACTCCTTTTCCAAGAGCAGATGGGTTGAGAAAAATATAAGGGGAACCAGAACAAGGCAAAAGAGAGAGAGGATTTCATGGTTGTTAGGAAAGAATTGAACTTTTTTTTTGTTTCTTCTGTGGGTTTTTGCTATTGTGAGAAGGGTTTTGCTCTGAGTTGTGTTTATGCAGAGTAGAACGAACTGAGGCATCGGTAGTTATGAAACAACTGATTCACGCCGCTCTAGATGTCTCAATAGACGATCCGGACCTCCAGGAACTTGCTGCTCAGGTCGCGAAATAGCTGTTGCACGAGCTGGTTGTGGAGCTCGTGGTACACATTCCACGACTTGCTGCAGAAGATCCCGTCCATGTGCAACATGCTCTCGTTGGTGCCCGCATATAGCTCCCTTGGTACAGTCCAAGGAGCACAATCTTCTTCGCCCCGTACTCGATTACTTTCTACAAATTAGTCAAATAGATGCATTAGTTGTCTGATGAGCACATAAAAAAAAAGTATCACGTACTTGATTAAAGCAGGAAATCATGAGACTTACCTTGGTTCCATTCATGAGGGAATCAATCACATAAGGCATTATCAGCATCTTGGTCCTCAGAGGGTGCTTGTTGAAGAAGCTGTCATTCATCTTAAAACTTGCATAATCATCCCGCCACCGCCTAATACTAAAAGGGAAGACCCTATTGTGTCTGCGCGAGCTGCAAGGCAACAGAGTAAGAGGTAGTTCTCACAAAACGAAAACAGAGAATGTGCGAGTCAGCTTACAAAAATCCGAGTAACATATAGATTTAGGTGTTCAATTCAATGTGACCTCTTCACTATAGATAAATGAATGGTAATCATAGTTTCTTGTGACTATGTCGAGATCTAAGCTATCTCAGAATCTGGTAACAACTTGACCACCCTTCGTCAATTTAAAGTGTTCTTCTTGTTCAATGTTCATCAATGTTCATACTCGGTTTTGCAAAACTTAAGTCAGGGAGAAGCTTTTGATCAAAGAAAAAAACTGACCAAGAGGGAAATTTGTGGGTGTATAAATTCAAAACCACACCGTTCGTTAATTGAGAACTGAGTCGGGTTCCTAGCAGGCTTAAGGATCAATTACAACGAACATAAATATAAAATACTTACCAGGTTCTTCTCGGAGAAAATCGTCGAACCACCTGAGCTGAACCTCCAAACTATTCTGGGACAAGGCGAGTACGACGTGCAAGTTTGTTCGAAGCACTTTGGACAAGAGCCCAACACTACCAACGACAAAATTGGTGTCGGTCAAATGGTTCAGACTCTTGTTTTTGAACGGACTGGTTAGTGGTAGCCTCGCCGACTCAGCTGCAAAGGAAAAAGGGGACACCATATTAGATGGAGAAGTAGGGGACATCACTAACATTCTCCTCAGTAACCATGAGTAACCTCTTCCTCTATCCTCCACGTGTCAGATTTTGTTTTTTATTTAAATTGAACACAAAGAAGTAGTATGGTAAATTGCACTCACTCCCCATTTAATGTTGACTCTGATGTTGACGCTGACTTTTGGTCAGACGCGGCCCTCACTCCTGCCCCCACATTCCCCTCTCTCTCACTCTTTTTTCTATTATTAAAAGAAAATGCAAATTATTTTTTCTCTCACACATCTACCACTAAAAGATGAGGGAAAAAATGTATATGTTCTCTCCACTCTAACTATATTTCTACAATAAAAATTAATCTAACCATTTCAGCTCCCCTGCTTTACTTTCGGCTCCACTTCAATGATGATTTTTCCATTAACTAATTCAGTGCTAAATAGGGTAATTACAAGTATGAATATGATTATCATTTTCTACTACCATGGTAAAAACATGGTGACATATGCTAAAGAAAATTATAAAATAATTACCATACAATACCACATGGTATAACATGTTAAAATAAAACTATAAATCCAACTACCATACAAATATCATATGGTATAACATGGTAAAACACGCTACATACAATTATAAATCCAACTATAAAAGTGGTCATAATACATCGAATTTTGAACTTTAATTGGTAGTAGTGGTCTAATATGATTATATAACATACAATCACAACTAGTCAATCTATTATCCTATCCCATTGACCTTCAATTTTGAATTCCAACCCAACATCCTAAATTGTAAACCTAAACCCTAACCCTAAATCTCTACATCCTAAATTCTTCAACTTAAAGTAAATTTTGAATTAGTTTTTTTGCAAATTCATGTGTTTCTTGTTCATAATATCATAAGCGAGGATTATTACCGTTTTGACATGAATCGCATGCTCTTACGATTATGAGGCGAGTGCATTGAATGCACCAAAAAAAGTGGGTGCACCGAATACGCCACCACATAATTATAATTGAAATTAGAAGGATGAGAGCATTTTAATTTTCAGTGATAGAAAATAATTAATAAAATAATTATAATTGAAATTATAAGTTAATGAGGGGCAATTGGGTCAATTTAAAGCCTATTAACGGTCACTTAACAGAAAATTAGACATAAGGTATGTTCATTACGTTTTAAAACTAAAAGGGTATGTTCGTGAAAAAAAATAATAGAGAGATATGTTTGTTAATTTACCATAATAAAAGCGTACAAAATACTATTAACCATTATAGCAAAGTTGGATACCTTTTCCACAAGCATATATGGAACTAATTATATATGGATAGGGGGAAAAGTACATGTCAATAAAAGAAAAGAATTGTGTGAAATTTGCCTCTTTAGTTTTTATACTATTCTTGACAATCAAAAATAAATTTACCTCTTCCAATCATAGTTGTCAGAAGAGTTATTTTTTAAAATAAGAATTTTTTTTCCTAATGACTAGTGTTTATTCATGATCAAACTATAAGTTCAACACATCATATCAAATTGTAATTTATTCACTTTGGTTAATTATTGATAATTTAATAGGTTTGACTAATAAAAAAATATGGGAAGTGTTTGACTAGTAATTAGTGTTTTACCCTTTCATCAACGAACATGTTTTACAATGTTATCAAATTGATCAATTACGTCACAATTTGCTGTAAGTTAAGTAGGTAAAATAATTTTGTATGGGCTTCAATTATTAGTAACAACACAACAAATTATAATGGGCTCAACTAGCCCACAGAAGCATCATATACAATCTGGTCTACTAGGCTCATTAGTGGCCTTTCCTTCCGTACAACAAGTTGGCCCCTAGGAACTCTTAAGGTACAAAGGCCCAAATAAGGAAATGGTTTGATTTTTGGATTGAAATGAAGAAGGAAAGCTGGTAATAGAAATCTTTAAAAATATATAAGCACTTTCAGAAACTGCCCTGTGCCACGTACGCTTTGCAGCCACGTCCGTGTTTTTCGGAATTAGCCTGATTTTTTTTTTTTAATTAAGCCACTACATTCCGCCGATTACATTTCCCCGCTCACCATTATTTTTACCACATTTTACTCTCGGTGGATGGAATCTTCCCCATTACCAGATCAACATTTTGCATAAATAAAAAATATTCAAATTCATAAGCATTGGAAAAGCCATTATCAACTACCGAAAGAAACGGATGATTCTCTCTTAACTTTTGTTTCTCGAACCGGGTTAGATTTTGAAGAGAAAAATTAGTGGTATAATTCAACCGTTAATTTTATAGGATCGTTGGTTAACCATTGATATAATTATTCATGTATTCACATAAAAGACATATATAACACTAATTTAAAACTGAATTTATCAATGATCATAAATAATTTCAAATTTATATTATTCATCATCAAAAGTTATAACAAATCATTCAAACTACATCATAAAGAAAATCATAATTTTTTTTATCAAATTTAATTTAGTAATTATGGTGACAATCTGCATCATATAAACATGAGAAGGAGGATGAGAAACAAAGAAAAGGTTAGCGAAATAAAATTAGCAAGTTATCTCAGTTTACATTAAATTACTTTTTTTCTTCATTTTTTCCTTTTGAAATAGTAGATCAGTCAAATAGGGGTGATTCATATGATTTCATGTGAAACGTTAAAAACCATTTGGTCCATCACTATCCGTCCAAGCAAATGAACCAAATCGCTACTTCGACTGGTTTGGTGGTTAAATCGATACTTTTAAGTTTTCACAGTGCTTTTAACTCAAAGAAAGTAAGCAATTCGTGATTAAAAATGTTGTGTTCTTTTGTTGATATTTTATTGGAAGCTACCACCATAATGTAATCGGAAGCTACCACCATAATGTAAACAAATTTGATCATATAAGCATGCAAGATATATATAGGAGTTTCTAAATGAACTTATCCAATATGAATATAGGATTGCAAATTACGGTTTTAGATAGAAGGTTTTCATAATTTCCCAAAAAATTACGATTTTAGTTATGAGTTTGCTATCCACCTATAAAAAGTTTATCATATATCACAAAAGAACTTGGATGTATATTGGAAAACGCTAATATCGCTGGACGTTTTTGAATAAAAAAATTATTAAAATTTAGAAAATTAAATTGTGGAATAAGTACTGAAAATTGTGTTCGTAACTTATATGGAGAAGAGTTCTCAAATCATTTTATAATATAAAATAAAATAAAAAATTGAAACTCACCCGTCCAAAGGGCCGGTACGAAGCTAGTATTTATATAAAAAAAGGATTCTCAACCAACCTTGTCTCATGTCCAAAACATGATTAGGGAATGTTATTATATATATTTAATCATACTTATATCTTGAATTTAAAAAAGGAACTGAATCTTGTAAAGGGATACTTTCCACTTTTTTAAAGTGTTTATTTAATGGATTATGAGCTTCTTGTTGGTTTAATCCTTTTCTTTTAAAATATGTACAATTCCTTTAAAATCGTTCTTTATAATTTATAGAAAAGTTGAATACCTTTTCTCTAATTATATATGGAAAAATGAGGATTTCATTTCTTCCCAATTTGTATATTTTTTATATTATTCTTGACAAAGGTTATATAGCCTAACTGGTGTAAGTGCGGAGAAAAAGTGACGACTTGGAAGAAGCAGCCCTCAAGTTCGATTTGGATGACCTAACTAAATGACTGCTAATTATTGAACGAGGCACAAGGATTATGACCAACCTTCAAATAAAGAAAATATATATCTCTACATCGAGAAAGCTACTAAATTACGTATATCAAACCTAAAAATTTCAGTTCTCGCACAAATGACGAACACGACTATCCAACTAAGTCCTCGTCACAATTTGTTGTAAGGTAACACATATTTTCATTCAACACATGCAAAATTATTTCTTCCATTGTGATTTAGTTTATTTCTAAAAGGGAAACCAACGTGTTTCTTGCCAAAGCCCAAAGCCACTTGAACAAGAAGTCAAGAACGCAAAAGATTCATCATTGGACCTGAGAAAGACGGCCGAAGAAGTTTGGAGCTAAATATAGAATTTGATTCCGTAAGTTACTTTTTGGAAGACCTGATCCCGCCTCCGTTCTGGTACCAAGGCACAGATCCGTTTCTTGACAGTGGGAAATTTCTTGTTCCTCTTCACTTCCAAGCTTCTGGACGTTATCAGCCAGTCGCTTCTCAGTTCCTGTCGTCGGAAACGACGAAAGAGAGACAGAGAGATTGCAGCTTTCCCACAAAAAAAACGATGGAGCAAATTTGGTGGGTTTTGGTCGCCACTGCAGCAGCATTGCTAATACCTTTATTCAAAATCGCCTTCTCCAAGTCCAAACCACTACGTTTCTCGAAGAAAATTGCTGAATCGCCGGACCCAGAACCAGAATCAGAAGCATCGCAATCGGTCGAGCTTTCTGCTCCTTCCAATTCGCCGCCGGAGCTTCCCGTCGGGGAATACGAGGTGTTTCTGAGCTTCCGAGGTCCCGACACTCGCCTCACTTTCACCGATTTCCTCTACACCTACCTGGTTCAAGCCAAGATCCGAACTTTCAGGGACGACGACGAGCTCCGCAAGGGGGAGACAATTGGGCCTGAGCTCATCAAGGCGATTGAAGAGTCAAAGATTGGGATCCCAATTTTCTCCCCAAACTACGCCGCCAGCAAGTGGTGCCTCCAGGAGCTTGCGAAAATGGTGGAGTGCAAGAGGAAGAAAGGGCAGGTCATTTTGCCCGTGTTCTTTTATGTTGAACCCACCGATGTAAGGCATCAGAGAGGGAGTTACAAGCAGGCGTTTGAGGAGCACAGCAAGAAGTTTGATAAGAAGACGGTGGATGAATGGAGGGCTGCTATGGAAGAGGTTGGAGCATTGAAAGGATGGGTTGTCAAGGACTCAATTTGGTAATGATTTGATGTGGCTTCTCAATGTGATTCCTTTGTATGCTTTTGCTTGTATATGCAGTTAACCATGAAGCTACTGATGCAGACATGTAAAGAAGTAGGGTTCTTTGGGGATTTGATTTGGTTGTTGTTGAAGCTGTCAATGCTAAACGACTTGATCTATTGTTGTTTCTTTGTTAGGCAAGGAGCTACAATTCAGAATCTGTTTTCAGCTGTATGGTCAGCATTGAGGAGGGAGTATTTGTTAGTGACTGATAGCTTGGTCGGGATTGAGCATCATGTAGAAGAAATGATGAAATTACTGGATTTGGACTCCAAAGAGGTGAAAATTGTTGGGATTCATGGTGTAAGTGGGATCGGCAAGACGACTATAGCCAAGGCTGTTTACAACAAACTGTTTGAGCAGTTTGATCATTGTTGCTTCTTGGAAGACGTACGAGGAACGTTACAAGAATATGGGGGCACTGTCAAGTTGCAGAACAAGCTTATCTCTAGCATTTTAAAGGTGGAAGCCGACATTGATAATGTTAGTCAAGGGGTCAACTTGATGAGAAACAGAGTCTTGAAGTACAAGCTTCTGATAATTCTTGATGATGTGGATAAGAAATTTGAATTCGACAAGATCTTAGGACATGCGGATGAGTTTTCCCCCGGTAGCAGGATTATTATCACAACAAGAGACAGGACAGTCCTTAATCGTCTTAAGGTGCATCTGAAATATGAACCCCCTGCAATGAATCCAGAACATTCTCTTCAACTTTTCAGCAAGCATGCCTTTGGTGAGGATTCTCCTCCAGAAGAGTATGCAAAACTATCTTCTGACATTGTATCAACTGCAGCAGGGGTTCCTTCAGCCCTTAAGGATGTAGGGTCACGTTTGTCCGGAGAAGATAGAGCAGTGTGGGAAGAAACTTTGATGAAGTTGAAAGATAAAGCCAGCGAGAACGGCAACTTGATAAGTTGAGGACCTGAGGTAACTTCTGTGGTACTAAGAAGGTTTGATCTTGAAATTTGAGTCTTTCAGAAGGTTATTGTGAACTTGCCGAAGTACTCCAGTCTCTGGAAGTTCTAGAATATTTGAGATCAGTGTGCCTTCAGTTGATTACAAGATTGGCTTGTCTGTCCTAGTTAGCTAGGTTATCGTTTCTGTTCATAAAACATATGCAGTCTTTAGATGAAACTGAGACCCTCAGGGGCTTGAATGTATTGGTGAAACTGAAGCTATTGGGGAACTACAAGCAGGCGTATGAGCAGCACAGAAAGAAATCCTGCCTATATCTGCTTCTGCTTAATTCTTGGCTTAAACTAAATGAACAATTTGTCATATTGTTTAAACAAATGATATCACACTGCCTTGCAAACAGGTTTATGTCAGACATAAATTAGTCAGAGCTTGTTTATGCTCCATAAATATTGTCTTCTCTAACGGCTGCCTTTCTATATGCATACAAAGTTGCAATTCTTAGACAATTGCTTCTGTTACCAATCAATGAACCAAATGGCATGACCAAAACAGGCAGATGCAAGAAGCTGAACTTGAAGAAAGGTAAAGGATGGGTATGCTTGCTGCAGACACAGATGACACAAGGGAGAAGTGAAGATCAGTCTGTGGCTGCTATCATCCCATCTGGAGATCTGAGCAGTTAAAAAGCTTCTTTTTCTTTTATACTTCAGAGCTAATGGCTTTACATGTTTACAAGGGAAACATATGATGTCTGTGGAAGTAAGCATCTCACTTGACAGATAGCACTGTAACTATGATGCTAAGAGTGGCATTCATGACTCTGGTTACTGGTTTTTAGAATGAGAACTATGAGCTCTTTATATTTATTCTGAGAAATGCAACTTTTATGAATTCCACAGAGTCTGAATCAAGCCATTTTAGAAATTCCCCAATGTTTGAATGGTTGTATTGTATTAAGTATTAACCAGACATGATAATTTGACCGGGAGGATCTGAAATGGAAGGATACACCCCGAAACCAACCGAATCAGACCATCCGAACCACGACCAAGGACCAACTCGGCTTGACTCATTAGAAAGTTCTTCCATTCATCTTCCAATTTCTCGCAAAAGCAAGCGAACTTTTCCCTGCACCCAGAAAGAGAAAGATTGCAGCTTTTCCACCCGCAAAACAAAATGGAGGAAATATGGTGGGTTCTGGTGGCTACGGCGGCAGCGGCATTGCTGATACCCTTAATAGTCTTCTGCAAACCACTACTCTTCGCGAAGAAAATAGCTGAATCTCCGGAACCAGAAGAAGAAGAAGAAGTATCGCAATCCGTAGAGTTGTCAACTCCTTCTGATTCGCCCTCACAGCTTCCCGTCGGGGCATACGAGGTGTTTCTGAGCTTCCGAGGTCCCGACACTCGCCTCACGTTCACCGATTTCCTCTACACCTATCTGGTCCAAGCCAAGATCCGAACTTTCAGGGACGACGACGAGCTCCGCAAGGGGGAGACTATTGGGCCTGAACTCACCAAGGCCATTGAAGAGTCCAAGATTGGGATCCCAATTTTCTCCCCTGACTACGCCTCCAGCAAATGGTGCCTCCAGGAGCTTGCCCAAATGGTGGACTGCAAGAGAAAGAAAGGGCAGGTCATTTTGCCCATTTTCTATTATGTTGAACCCACCGATGTAAGGCATCAGAGAGGGAGTTACAAGCAGGCATTTGAGCAGCACAGCAAGAGGTTTGATAAGAAGACGGTGGATGAATGGAAGGATGCTCTGGAAGAGGTTGGAGCATTGAAAGGATGGGTCGTGAAGGACTCAACTTGGTAATGGTTTCTTAGTTTATGCATTTCTTACTAGCATTGAGCTGTTAATGTGGCTTCTCAGTGTGATTCCTTTTTATCCAGACATGTAAGGAAGTAAGATTCTTCCGGATTCCACTATGGTTGCAATTGAACCTCTCAACGCTTGGCTAGCTTAATGGAATTTTTTTAGCTTTTCACTTGCTTCCTAATCTATTGTTGTTTCTTTGTTAGGCAAGGAGCTACAATTGAGAATCTGTTTTCGGCTGTATGGTCGGCATTGAGGAGGGAGTACGTGTTAGTGACTGATAACTTGGTTGGCATTGAACATCATGTAGAAGAAATGATCAAATTACTGGATTTGGACTCTGAAGAGGTGAAAATTGTTGGGATTCATGGTTTATGTGGGATCGGCAAGACAACTATAGCCAAGGCTGTTCACAACAAACTCTTTGAACAGTTTGATCATTGTTGCTTTTTGGAAGACGTACGAGAAACGCTACAAGAACATGGGGGCATTGTCAAGTTGCAAAACACACTCATCTCTAGCATCTTGAAGATGGACGCTAACGTTGATAATGCTAGTCAAGGAATCAACATGATGAGAAACAGAGTCTGCAAGTACAAACTTCTGATAATTCTAGATGACGTGGATACGAAATTTAAATTCGACAATATCTTAGGAAAGAGGGACTGGTTTTCCCCCGGTAGCAGGATAATTATTACAACGAGGGATAGAAAAGTCCTTAATCTTCTTAAGGTGAATGATAGATATGAACCCCCTGCAATGAATCCAGAACATGCTCTTCAACTTTTCAGCAAGCATGCCTTTGGTAAGGATGCTCCTCCAGAAGACTATGCAGAACTATCTTCTGCCATTGTGTCAACTGCAGCAGGGGTTCCTTTGGCCCTTAATAATGTAGGGTCATATTTGTGCGGTGAAGATAGAGAAGTGTGGGAAGAAACATTGACGAGGTTGAAAGAAAAAGCCAGCGAGAATTGCAACATGATAAGTTGAGGTAACTTTTGTGGCACTAACTCATGAACAACTCTTACAGATGCTTTTTAACATGACATGGTTCTTGAATAGAAAGAATGAAGAAATCGCTTCGTACATTTGGATTGGCTGACACTTATATCTTACAAGAAGCAATTGTCCTTTTTCCTAGGTCCTTGGTGAAGGTTGGAGCATTCATACATGGTCAGCTTAATGACCTTGATGGAGCTATTATCCGTGAAGAAAATATTGACGAGCTGAGGAAGCATAATTGATTGTGGTCTAATGAAGATACTTTGGTTGTGCTAAAGAGCAAGAAGGTATTATCGAAGTTCAAAATAGGTGTAGCTATTTTTCAGCTTTAACCTAAAATTTTCTCAATGTGCAGCAGTCGACGCCGGTTAAAGCCCTTCGAGTCAACATGCAGTTGAATTTGCAGAATGGTTTTGGTTGCTGCAGACAGAAACACTATATAGGAGACTTAACGATCAGCCCGTGGCTGCTACCATCCAACTGGAGACATCTCTGTAGTTGAAAGGGTTGGTTTTGACTCCAGAGGTAAGGACTTCTCATGTTTACTATTTAATTATACAAGGGAAACATATGATGTCTGTGGAAGGATAAGTTAATTGGTTGGATGATGTTGGTTAGACGTGTCCAGCATCACACTACTGAGAGAGCACTGAACTATGATGCTAGAATGACATTCATTACACTTTGATATTGGTTTTTACAATGAGAGTTCTTTTGATTTCTTCTTGGAAATGCCGCTTTTATGAATTACACAGTTCGAATCATGCCATTTAGAAATCCCCGATGTTTGCATTATTGGATTGAACTAGAATATGGAGACTATGTTGATATCCAGACCATGCTCTTCAACTTTTCAGCAAGCATGCCTTTGGAAAGGATTCTCCTCCAGAAGAAAATGCAGAACTATCTTCTGACATTGTACCAACTGCAGCAGGGTTTCCTTCAGCCCTTAAGGATGTAGGGTCACGTTTGTCCGGAGAAGATAGAGCAGTGTGGGAAGAAATCTTGATGAAGTAGAAAGATAAAGCCAGCGAGAACGGCAGCATGATAAGTTGAGGACCTGAGGTAACTTCTGTGGTACTAATCATGAACAAATACAGATGTTTCTTGACATTACATGATTCTTGACTAGAAAGAATGAAGAAATTGCTTCGCACATTTGGCATGACTGTGTATCTTACAAGAAACAGTCATCCTTTTCCGTAGGTCATTGGTAAAGATAGGGAAAATATATTAAGTTTAGGATGCATGATTGGCTTAATGGCCTTGGTGGAGCTATTATCCGTGAAGAAAATACTGAAGAGCCAACGAACCATGGTTGATTATGATCTAATGAAGATGCCTTGGCTTTGCTAATCGAGAAGCTACTGTCTGGCAGCTTTGAATGTTCATAGACTGACCAAGGGGTGGCTCGAGTGATAAGGCTTGCGGGTTAGCACGGTGTGCTCCCTGGTTCTAATCCCTCAGCTTTTCCATTCTAAGGAAATCCTTTGGCGGCCACCAGCAGGGCTATAACACTTGAGAATTTCAGATGGTTTGAGCTCGAAATTTGAGTATTTCAGAAGGTTTCATCTTGAACTTGCTCAAGATTGACACCATTGAAGTTCTTCAGTCTCTGGAAGCGCTAGAACATTTTGAGATCAGTGTGCCTTCAGTTGATTATTAGATTTCCTTGTTTGTCCTAGTTAATTAAGTTAGAATTTCTATTCGTAAAAAAGATGCAGTCTTTAGATGAGATTGAGACCCTCAGGCCTCAGGGGCTTGAAGCTATTGGACCTATTGGTGAGTTATAAGCAGGTTTATGATGGGTATGGTTATAAACAGGCATATTGGTGAGTTATAAGCAGGCACATGAGTAGCACAAGAAGAATTTCTACCTGTATCTGGTTAATTCTTGGCTTAAATTAAATGAACAATTTGTCATATTGCTTAAACAAATGATACCACACTGCCTTGTAAACAGGTTTATGTCAGACATAAAATAGTCAGAGCTTGTTCATGCTCCAGAAATATGGTCTTCTCTAAAGTCTGCCTTTCAATATGCATACAAAGTTATACTTTTTAGACAATTGCTTCTGTTATACTTTGAAGAAAGGTAAATGATGGGTATGGTCGCTGCAGACAGAGATGACACATGGGAGAAGTGAAGAAGAGCCAGTGGCTGCTATCATCCCAGATGGAGATACCTTAGCAGTTAAAAAAGCTCAACTTTTTACTTCAGAGTTCAGATGTAATGGCTTTACATCTGGTTACCTGGTTTTTAGAATGATGCTAGAATGGCATTCATAACTCTGGTTACCTGGTTTTTAGAATGAGAACTAGGAGCTCTTTAGATTTCTTCTGAGTAATGCAAATACTATGAATTCCACAGTCTGAATCCAGACATTTATAAATTCCCAATGTTTGAATCTTTGCATTGTATTAAACTAAAAGACTACTGATAGAATGGCAATTCATGACTACTGATGGACATATTATGTTCTACACCATACCATTGCATAGTTAGAGGACGCATAATCGTAACTTACGAGATCAATCGTCGAAACAATTGTTGAGGTCGATTCGAAATATTACTCGAAACTTGGTCTACTTGATATTTCCTATGCTGAACCGATAACGCTAATAATGCAAACACATTTGATAGCAAAGAGGGAAAATATTGGTTTTAGCCGTTCTGAATCCAAAGATAGCATGAAAAATAAGTTACTATCAGAGTAAAGTAATATATCAATTTTCTGGACGAAACTAGCCCCGCCTCCATTCTACTGTCTCATACTTTGCAACCTCACCAAGTTTTTGTTGAACCGAAGCCTGAAGCCGCGGGGAAATGTCAGTACCGGTAACCGCACAGGCAGCTCTATCATGTTTCCCGTGGAGAAGGATCGACGCCGGTTCGGCTATGATCGTCGTTGCAAATCCCTGTCACTCCACTCTTAGCAGCAGTGGAAGAGCTGTCGCCTTCATTAGTCGTATCCCCTGCTACCCAATTCTTGCTCGGTCGTTCAAAATCGGTTCTTCTTCGACATCTTCTTCGCCTTTTGAGCTCTCGCCTCCTCCAATCGATCATGACCTTCTTGTAAGCTCCCCTCGCTCCCTCACTCTCTGTCGGGTCTTCGTCGAATTGGGAGCTTTTTCATGGGTAAATTAAGTTGTCGCTTGTCGAAATGGGAATTGGGCAAATATAGAGCAGGTCAGTGATTTAGATTCCAGTTAATGGAAAAAGTGGATTAAAGCTTGTTACTTTTGCAGGAGGAGATTACAGGGGATGGGGCAACGGTTTCAGAAGCTGGGATTATTGAGACATTTGGCAATGACGATGAAGCCTTGGATGCCTTTGACAATGGGGTAGTGGTGAGTTTTCCCCCTGAACTAGCAAAATTATTGAGGTAGAAACAAGTGTCTAGCTCTCTACTCTTTGCCCCACATTCCATCACTGAAATGAAGAGTATGGATTTGGTTTTATACTCTTTCATTCGTTTAGGTTCACCAAATTGACACATTTCTCTCTGATGTTCAGGTTTCAGATCTCTCACACTTTGGACGGATAAGAGGTCAGTATTTTTTGCCTCTATTCTTATGTGGCGACTTAAAGCTTTCTTACCTTTGATACCCCTTTGTTCTTGTTTCCTTTTTTGGCTTTTGGAACATGAATGAGAAGGAATCCATGGACTCTTTCTTTCTACTGGTTCTTTAAAAATTTGATGACTTTGGAAGTTGATAAATCGGAATCATGATTAAATTTCAACATATCGATACTCACAAACTAAGACGGGTATGGACCATCTGTCTTGTCTGTGATCTGTTAATGATAGACTTTAGGTTCATGTTTCCCCATGATACTATATGAATGTCTTTAATTTACATTTCTCCCTTTCTTAATTACAGTGTCAAGGATTAGTTCATAGGTTGTTTCAACTGCATATTAATTGATGGTTTTATTTGCATTGACTACTGTGGTTGTGTGACCTGAATGTTCTGGTCTGTGTGTGTTCCTATGGATTTTGATTTGATATTATGAGAAATTGGAATGTCAAATCTGCCAAATATATGGATGTGGAACCATATTGGAGCTTGGATGTTCTTGAAATTGTTTAACAACAATGGTTTGGTTTCCATTTTGAAGTCAGTGGAGATGATAGAATTCAGTTTCTCCACAACCAAAGTACAGCGAATTTTGAATGTCTTCAACAAGGACAGGTATGTTTTCAGAGGAATACACCACTTTGTATTCGACCTGTTCAATAATGAATACTTTTCCTATAGTGCTGTGTATATAATCTACCAAAAATCTTTCCTCTGCTTTAAATTTGATGCAGTTTTATATGGAATTATTGATAGGGTTTGTTCGATTGAAATCAATAGGGATGTGATACAGTTTTTGTTACACCAACAGCTCGGACGATTGATATTTCACATGCCTGGAACATGGTAGTCTTCCTTCTTTGATTAGTGTCTTATTCAACTTTCTACCCATTTGTAACTCATGATTTTCCTGTGTCCTGCAGAAAAACTCAGTTTTGTTAATGGTCTCTCCCCAGACTTGTAGCAGCATAACTCAGATGTTCAATAAGTATGCTCACTTCAGTATTCTCCCAGCTTTTGTGTTCTCTTGTGGGTTCAATCCTGTTGATCCCTCCTTTGTAATATTCTGGACCTCTTCTGCTTCTTTGGTTTTATTTTAATCCCATCGCCATTATAAAAAAAAATAAGTATGCTCACTTCATGTCTTATTTGTTCTCTCCCTATTCTCAGCTTTATGGCTGAGTAGTTATGTGGTGTGAGTAGAAAATCCAATGTTTGTATTGTATGTAAGTTGTTTGTCCCAGTTCTATAATCGATCTAAGATGACGGAGAAACTCCAATGCTTGTATTGTATGTCATGTGTGGTAAATATTAGTTTTAGTATTGAGGAAGTTTCCAATAATTTGAAATGTACTACTTCTGCATTCGAAAGACAAGTTTGGAGTTTCTTTACATATTTCTGTTGGCTTTTTTCTCTGCAGGTACATATTTTTTGCTGACAAGGTGGAAGTTGAAGACATCACCAAGAAAACTAGCTTATTTATTTTAGCAGGGCCACAAAGCAACCAGGTAACACACTTTCTTTTATCATTTTTAAAAGATCGAGAAGTAAACATTAAGCCTTTGTTTTGTTGTGCTAACAGGTAATCGAGAGTCTAAATGTTGGCAATCTCGTCGGCCAACCTTATGGCACACATCACCATTACACTGTAAGCATGACTTGTGCTCCTCTTCCAAACATTCTCTCTTTCTTAGTGAATGTTCTCTGAAGCAGTAAACATGAGAAGACCGAAGCTTTTAGTTACCCTAGGTATACTGCATAATAGGAAGCATGTCACAGCTGATGAATAGAGCTGGCCTTTGGATTTTTAGGTAAATGGGATGCCTCTAACCATTGGGGTAGGAAGTATAATATCCGAAGAAGGTTACACACTGTTAATGTCCCCTGCTGCTGCTGGGACTGTCTGGAAGTCCCTCTTATCGCAAGGTGCCCTTCCAATGGGTTCTAATGCCTGGGAAAGGCTAAGGGTTGTTCAAGGTCAATGGTTTTCTATCTCGAAAATTTGGAGTTCTTCGCCACTTGTTTATTTTTGCCTGTTGAATACTTCAACTCTGAAAAGCACCTCTTGCATTGATGACTGCTTACTGATTTTTAGAGCTTTCCAAATCCATCAGAACCACTTTCTAGTTTCTATGCAAGTAAAACTCTGAAAAGAATGAAACTTTCACAGGAAGACCAGCCCCTGGTATGGAGCTCACAGATGAATTCAACGTTTTGGAGGCTGGTCTCTGGAATTCCATTTCTCTAAACAAGGGTACCTACTCTTCACTACTAAAGAAGAAAAGAAGCAGATTTTTTAGAAATGCATAATTCATCTCTGATTGCTTGTACCACCCTTCTTTTCGGCACCTCTGCTAGGTTGTTATAAGGGACAAGAAACCGTTTCTCGACTCATAACGTATGATGGAGTGAAGCAGACGCTATGGGGGATTCACCTGTCAGCCGCAGCTGAACCTGGAACCCTCATCACAGTCGATGGTAAAAAGGTATGTGCTCAAGTCTTGTATAATTATTCTCTTCTCGAAGAAACTTGTTTCCAGAGATGTCTGCTGTTGTGAATTGTGATTTGATCTGGAATTATGAAACCGGCATTGTAGGTGGGAAAGCTGACGAGCTATACATATGGAAGAGAAGGATCCAACAAGCATTATGGATTAGGATACATCAGAAGGCAAGCGGCTTCCCAGGGGAAGACGGTTGCCATTGGGGACGACATTGTTGGAACCTTGGTCGAAGCTCCTTTCCTCTCTCGCCAATCACCTCCACCAATCCCATCAAAGAGCTCCAGCTAGCTCCTCGAAATCTGGCTGAAGCAACTGGTCACACAAAAATGTGTTCCAGAAGGAAAAACTGCATGTCCTAGTTTCAGACTCTTTAATGTTGTAACATTAATATAAGAACTGTGATGCTTACATATGTCTGAGTTGGCTGGTGAATTTTACCAAGGAATATAAGAATTATGATGGCAAGCAATAGGTGGGTTAATGCTGGTGGCCACTGGCCAGGGATTTTTTGTAGGGAAAATGAAAGAAGCCATTAAAAAAGGTTAGAGCTTTCTTCAGAAAAAATTATTGCTCTCGTTGAGAGTCGAACTCAAGACCTCCCGCTTACTAAACGGGTGCTCTAACCAACTGAGCTACGAGAGCTTGTTTGATAAATTTTGTTCTTGTCTTATTAATAAACAAATTAGTGTATGGAGCCTTGCTAGTACATTAATCCTAATGTCAACCAATTCATAAAGGACATGAATGTGCAATTATAATATGAATGCGTATAAATTCAACTTGTAAATTACAATTGGATATGATAATCAAGTGAGCTTAATTAATTATGTTGATGGTAAGGCGATAGTTATACACTTGCCGCCCGTTCTCTATGTTAATTGACTCTCTTATGGTCGAAAAATAAATTGAGAGATCTTAACCAAGCTCCGTATAGTAACTCTAGAATCTAGAGGCAATCGTTACAGGAAGTGTAAATAAGGGGATTTTAGGGGTAGAAATAACATACCACATAAAAGAGGCATGATTGTTATATATTACTTTGACAAGGTTAACTTGAGATTGTGCAAAATCTTCCCTATAGTCATTCAGTAGAATGAGTTGATGGTTAATTAAAAAAAAAAGTTATGGTATTGATCTTTTTTATATTCTTACATTTTCAGTCTCTGTTTCTCTGCTCTTTGTCATTACTCTGTTTTTCTGAGTTTTGGTGAAGAACACGTAAGATTGAATCGAACAATAGGGCAGTAGTGGGCTTCAAACTAAGTATTTCGAGGATGTCTGTGGGTCGTTGTCTTATTTTAGTCATCTATCGCGTGTGGCCTTTTAAATGCGCGGCTCAGTGCTCTACTAAATCTTAGACCCGCCGCCGCTGAAACCATGTATATGTTTGTAACAAGTATGTGTTTGTTTGATTCGCAGAAAGTAATTGGACGCGCGGTGCCAAAAAGATTGTGTTGCTCGGCCTATATCAAGGAGGCTGCCTCTCGGGGACCAACGAGAGTATGTTGCACGTCGATGGCATCTTCTGCATCTTCTGCCCCAAATCCTTTGAAGAATGGGCGTTTAGTGATTTCTCTACTTATTTTTGTAATACTAGTTATTTGACTCGTGCTCCGCCACGGAATACCTAATTTACCGGTGTTGTGCGATCGTTTTTTTTCTTTTTGTTTGCTATAATATTTTAATTGTAGTTTTTTTTTGTTCTAATTGAAATTAAACAGAATGCCTATTTTACCTTTATTATATTTATAATTGATGTTTTTCTTTTTTATCACATGAATTACAATAGAGTTTAATTTTACAGCTCTGCCATTGGACAAATCGTGGTTCTTGCACTTGTAAAGTTAATAGATGCAAAACAGTAATTCGAGTTCCCTTAATGAATTTAATATAAATAAATACATGATCAAAGTTCTTTCAGAGATACAACTACGTACCTCCCCACGCAAAAAGCTTATTCAAACCAACCATATATTTAGCTAGCTAAATTCTGTCGAAGCATTTAAGGACGAATTGCTCATAAAGGTCGTCCACATCTATAACAAAGATTGAGTACTTGGCTTGGCCGTAATGGTTGGATGTGGTTATATTGAAACGATAATAGAAAATGTAGTCCGATAAAGGATAATAAACACCCTGGTCAATGCTTACAAGTCTCATTCGATTAGGCGGGGAACGTTCCTTATTCTTCTCCGACAGCGCAAAATTGGCAACATCCTCGTAAAATTCGATAGAAAGATCCTTCATCGGGGTTGGTGGGCCGTACTCTCGTAGGTCGCACGCTGACTGAACCAACGTGATCACCGAGAAAAAGAAGGCCACCACGAAGAGCAGAGCCACTAACACTAAAGGTGATCTCCTCGCCATATTCTAAGAGTTGTAGTAACTAGTAACTAGTTTGGCGATAAAAATATATTGTTTTCTTTAGCTTATGTAGCTCCTCATATTAAAGGAAAAAATGTAGGAGAGACGACTATTTATAATCCAACATATATGAGTTTCCTAATTATTTTGACTAACGTATTCAAAATAAGAATTCTTAAATTACGTTATCGTAATAAATTCTTTTCCTTACACCCAAAATAACATCCTAGTTATTTTATTTGTATATATCAATCCTATGACGGGGTGACAATTAATGACTATCATAACCCATGTTTTGGTTTTATTAAGTGTCGTTGATCATTGTTATATAATAACACACATTTGTTCTCTTTGCCTTTTGTCCATCTCTTTCTCTAATGGACGATCTCTATGGCTTGATCCTCAATATTGCTTTGGTTGGAAACTTTCGTTTTCTAACAAAAAGCCAAACGTTGAATGCCCTATACTATTGTACTAATGACAAAACAAATATAGCTTCCTTTTCTTTGATGTTGATTGCAGGGAAGTTTTATGAACATATGGAAATAATTTGAAGGAAGAAGAACGAGACCACAAAAAGAAGGAGAAAGAAATTGCATGCGATTGAGAACACGGGTTTGGTTTAGTGTGGTAACATCGCGCTATTCTTAAACCATGGCAACTAACTTTTAATTAATTTTACTCAAATTTCAGGATCGTTATTATTATTTATTAGAAGCCATCATGACACACACTTGTCCACATCTAAGCCTATTCATGTTCAATACATCGTTCAAATGAAATCATGGTTTCATCGTGTGGTTAACAGTTTTAGGACAAAATGTTTATCAGAGTAGCATGTTTGATTATGTTTTTAAACTACATGAGTATATTTAATATAAAGATAGTAGATCTGCATATTTGATAAGAATGTATAATAGAAAGACATTGGCACTGGATAGTCGAACAACTTTAACTATCGTTCGGTGAATCATTAACTCTAACAGTCATTTAACTTTAAGAGTACAAACATAATTCCTATATATAAATATATGTAGCTAAATTCTCTCGAAGCATTTAAGGGTATATATGTCGGTAATGGGGTGCGAATCAATGACAAAGACGGAGTACTTGGCTTGGCCGTCGTAATGGTTGGATGTAGTTATGTTGAATCCATAGAAACTATCGAAGTCCAATGAAGGATAATAAACACCCTCGTCAATGCTCACGAGCGTCATTCGATGAGGCTCATCGGAGCGTTCCTTGTTCTTCTCCGTCAGCGCGAAATCGACAATTTCACGGTAAAAGTCGTCGGAAATATCCTTTATTGGGTGTGGCGTGCCATACTCTCGTAGGTCGCACGTCGACTGGACCACCGTCACCAAGAAAAGGAAGGTTGCCGCGAGGAGCAGAGCCGCCAGCACCGGAGGTGACATCCTCGTCATTGTTAGTGTTGTGGTATATGATCCACGATTGAACCTCTCCCAACAACTCGAGTTATTGGGATCAACTGGTTCTTGACATGGTATCAGAGCCTTCTGTGACTGAGAGGTCTTGTGTTCGATCCCCGGTGACTCCCATTTGTTAAGCACATGGTATTCTTGTCTTCAGACATGTGCAAACTTCAAGCCCTTGTGAGTGGCTTTCGTTTGAGGGGGCGTGTTAGTGTTGTGGTATATGATCCACGATTGAACCTCTCCCAACAACTCGAGTTATTGGGATCAACTGGTTCTTGACAGTCATTTCTGGCTTTTAGTTTTGCTAACCGTAGTTTGTTTGGTCGTAAAATATATTTTTTTCTTTTTGGCTTTAGCTTCCCATATTTAATAATTTTTTTTTTTACCAATAGATCACTTGTATTAAGAACAAGTGTGGTGGAAACGAGTATTTATATTTATAGTCTATCATATACAGAGATTTATATTTTGACTAACGTCTTTTCCTCATAATTAATTGAATTGGAAAGAGATTTATTACTTCCAAAAGTAACCATCTATTAGTTTTCGTTTGTAAGAATTAATGGTCACCAATAAGTCCATAAACTGATATTTTGGTCTTTATTAAAAGTCGTCCATCGTTTCTTTTTTAATAACACCAAATGTTCCTAAAAAAGACTGTTCAATCCCGTAGTGTCAGGAAAAACTTTAGGGAGAAACGGATTGAAGGCATGATTAATCACTCTACTTAGAGTGTTATTTTGCCCCCATTGCGTTGTTGCTGGTAGGAATTAGGCAAACCACCCCCAGACCCAGTAGTCCCTTCAACCAAAGTCTGAAAGCAGCAACCTTTCTGACTTCTATGTTTGTGTTTTTGGAGAAGGAAAACGAGGAGAAGAAGATGAACGTTGGACGAGAAGTCTGGCTGCAGAAGACTTTTATAGTGAAAACGACAGTTCCCTTCCAAAGGGTTACGTCGTTTCACAAAAGTCAAACATCAAATAATTATCCGAATTAATTAATTAAAATAATTCTGGTAATTAATTAGCCAAAAATTCAAATCTATACATCAATTTAATATGTCAAATTAAATAGCTCACACTTTTTTCCAAAGCCTACTAATTAACCACTTTATCCAATGAATTATAGTGGAAAACAAACTTAAAAACCACTTGTACTTTCCTTCTCCCACCAATGTGGTATTTTCTTTAACTCTTTTAACTACTCTAACAAGTAGTTGTTTAGAATGAGCCATAATAAGTGACTTCCCTTCACTTGTTTAATTGAGCAAGCATAGAGTTAAATTTATAAGCTACAAAGTCCTTAGTAGTTTTCATCTCGGAATAGCGGACCCTTACCTTGTCGAGTTGTTTGCGGTGCGGGATGCGCTTTTCATTGCGGCGGATCACCAGATTCCTAGAGTGGTGATTGAAGACGATTCATAGGTTGTCATCCGTCAATTCTATAAAGGTTTCTTGTCAGATGCCTTGGGTGCTAGCCTTCGAGCTTCTCTCTTGTTGTAAAGTTTAGGGCGATCCCTCGTAATATCAACTGGGATGTCTATAGAGTGGCACGGTGTTTTTCACTTTTTTTTTATTAGAGTTGGTGGGATTTGTAGGTTTGGGGTTTGTTGTGTATTGTTCTTACTTATTATTAACAGACATTTCTCAGTTAAAAAAATCTTTAAAAGAAATAAACAATTTGGGATTTTACGATGGAAAATATTCACATATATAATATTATATGCACAAGCAAGAGACAGATTGTAATACAAACTAGCTATAGCAACAATCTCTCAAAATCCGGCAAGCCTCCGACCGCCGTTCGTCGCTCAAACCCGCCGGAAAACTGACCGAAAACCTAATCAGAAAATCCCCTTTCCTCCCTTTCTCGCCGGGAACAGGCATGCCCTGCCCTCGAATCACCTTCTCGTAGCCGGGACATATGACCTCGTCGCCGGCGAACGACAGCCACATGTTCTCCCGGCCGATCAACGGCACCGACAGCGTGCAACCCGCGAGCGCGTCCGTCAGCGACACCTCCATCTCGTGGATCAAGTTGTCGCCGTCGCGGCTGAACAGATGGTGCGGCTTCTCGTTGACCACGAACACGACGTCCGGCGGGAGGAACCCGAGCCGGTCGTCTCCTTTCCCTTCGAAGGTGATCTTCGTCCCCGCCTTCCACCCCGGCATCAGTTTTATCTTCAGGGTCTCTTCTTCCGGCATGAATATCCTACACCAACCGCCGTGTCATTACGCTTCGAATAACTCGAATTGTCAGAAAAAGTACACATATGAACGTTAACCACTTTCTTATAGCGTCTTCTCAAACAAAAACTGACTAATGATGAACTCAAAGTTTTCACTTTGCATAAGCCTTATTGAGGGCGTGAAACATGTTTTCTTGCGACGATATAATACCATGTTATAAACCAACTGATTTCAGTAACTCGAATTTTTTGAATTTTTTTTAATGAATTTCAATCACTTTCTTACTTTCTTACGTGTAAGTTGTAACGCAAATGAAATACGTACCCGTTAACATTTGATGACATATGGAGTGATATTGACACGCTTTGACCCGGATAACTCGGATTGTTGGAGAGGTCCATATATGAATGTTAATTACTTTTGTACTTTCCTCTCGAAAGCTAAATTATGAACTTAATGTTTGTGCAGATCACCCTACCAAATGTTATGAAGACTCGAACATATGCATGTCATGATCAAACTAGTTTTGATATCATGTTGACATGCAAAACCTAAAGAGATCGGGAAATATTCATGTATGAATTTTAACCACGTTCTAACGTCGTTACGTACCCGTTAGCGTCGACGACGTGTCGAGTGATCTTGACCCTTTTGACCCGGCCGCGGAAGAGCTCCTCGAGGGTGCACTCGAGCGCCATCTCAATGGGAGGAGCCTTCTTGGTGGGGAGATAGTGGAGCGATCTCGACTGCGTGAACACCATCGTCGGCGCAAGGATTCTCCTCATCGCCGACGACGAACATGGCGTTTCACTACTACTGCTAATAACGTTACTTTTGTTCCCCGCCGTCGGCGAACAAGAAGTATTACGACTGGCAATGCTGATGCTCCTTCTGCTCAGCTTCTTGAGAAGGACCAACGGCCGTGAGAAGAATCCCCCCTGATCCGTCCCCTTCCGGAGGTTGTCGTTGGCGGCCGGCGCCGGTGGCGATTGCACTATCGGCGAGAGCTGGTTGGGCTTCTCCGCGACGTCGTTTTGCTCGTTTGCGGACTGGATGTTAATATTGTACACGTAACTCAGAAGAGCGATATATATAAGGTTTCTGTATACATGCATGCATGCATGCATGATTAAGTACGTACGTACCTTTGACGATGGTTCATGCATGCATGATTATTACGTACGTACCTTGGAGGCGTCGACGTTGGTTTCTGGAGACTTTGGCGGCGACGGCGGGTGTGTTTCGTCAATGGTGGATGATGACGTGGAGCTTTGGCATCTCTTGTGGAACGACTTGTAGGAGTTGCAGAGTTCCTTAAACGACCGGCTTTTCGACGACGACATCCCGAGGAGGGTGTGAAGCTGTCTCGACGGTGAAGGCGGCGTGATCTCTCCCATGAGGATGATCAGATAATTTACAAAGATGTGATGGGATTAGCGAGAGGAGGCTTACAATCGAATATGGAGTCTTGATGATGATGATTTACAGCTTCTAACTCGAGCTTTTGTTATAGCTTTTTTTGCAAAGGCCGCAAAACAGAAGCAAATTGTGCTTTGCTAATTACTTGCTTCAGTTTTCTTGGGTATTATTACGTCGTACTCTTTCTGTTGTGGTTTTAGCATTTCAGTTTTGGAAAGTTTGAACTCTGTCGTTTAGTGTTTTCTATGTTTAGATCGATGGCGTAATACGTTGTGGTCTTCAGTTCTGGACTTTTTTTCTTTTTTTCCTAGCCGACCATTGTCGAGGAAGACACTGGATTAACTGCAATTAGGTTTACGGGCACGGGCTACTGATGAATTCAGTGGTCCGGAAGAATGTAAAGGTTACCCGATGATGATCAGCAGCGATTGAGACCGATAATTTTTTTTTTAATTATCTGCTCCATTGCAGTTAAGGCTAATTTAAAAACGGATTAACTCTTTTTTGTTGTTTTCGTCCCTCAATTTGAACTCATTTCTGACCAACATATCTAATGGAAATTGAATAAATAAAATTAAATACAGAAATTACACTTCATTTGTGAACAATCTATAACAGCAATCACTTCATTTGTTGAACAAAAAAGACTGATAGTTATCATATTGTTTTGAATAATTGACATAGGGGGGGGGGGTTTCTATGGTAATTAACTCGAGCAAAATTAATGAAAATAATGATCTTTTTAATCGAATCATGATTAACATGTTGAGATAGAGAACAGAGTTTGGGCCTCGTCGGCGCGGCTGCCTGCCTGTCTCCGGCGACAGTTTCCACTTTCCCCCGCCCATCTTCGATGTGTTGATGCAGAGAGTGAAAAAGGAGAGAGATGTCCACGTGGCTGTAAACACTTGACACGTTTGCATGGTCGTACACATGATCCCGGAGAAGGAAATAAACGTGGTGGAAGTATGACTGATCCCTAGCTACATCCTACCATTATTTGAAACTGATGATGATAAGAACAAATTAACAATAACTAACGTACACTTGATCTTAGCCCTAAAAGCCCTCAGTCTAAGTCAATCAAGTATATCCTTTCTGTACGAGGAAACGAGATGTGGCGTTCATGCGTGGCGGTAACCGGTACTAATTAGACATGCTAGCTTTTGGGTACAATATTAGTTGTACTGATCAACTAGTAGCCCTAGCTAGTAATTAATACATGCAATTTACATGTGCAAATCCTTGGAGAGTTTTCAAAATGCCACGTTGCATGCATTCATGCATGCTCGTATAACGTTATTTTTGAAGAGCCATGCCAAGAAACGCGTCACTTGTCACCACATCCATGACATCCTCAAACACGTGTTGTTAGTAACTGATATATGATTCATAATTGAACATCTCTTTGCTCAACAATTGAACGATGATCGGTTCTTGATATGATATAAGAGCATTCCGCGTGACGCATAGATTTTATGTTCGAATCACGATGATCGGCATTTAACGAGTATATTAGTAAATGTCGACATATATATGATCAATAATTGAACGTCTCCAAACAATTCGACCTGTTTCGCATGGTCAATGAAACCGTACCGGAGATCGTATCGGGAAGTCAGCGGTAGGGTATTTTATGACAAAATCGTGGTTAAACCGTAGTTCAACCGTTAGTACCGTTAAATACCGCCTACCGGTTCAGCCTCCGATACTGGTATTTTGTGGTTGAACCGTCGGTACGATACGGTTTCATGGACGTACCATACTTATTTGAACCTACAACAATTGTTTCTCTCTCTTCCACCCCTGGTATCTTTCTCTATATATACGTAACCCACATTCCTCTTTCTCCCAACTTACCTAAACCCAAAAACTCCACCATATCTTGCTCACTTCTCCACACACACTATAACTACTCGATGGAGGCAGCCGCCGATCACGAACCCGCTATGTCAGTCCACAACACCACCGTGTTAATCATCGGCGCCGGCCCCGCCGGCCTAGCCACCTCCGTCTGCCTCTCCAAGCTCTCCATCGCCAACACAATCCTCGAGAAAGAACACGTCGCTTGCTCCCTGTGGAAAACCCGCGCCTACGACCGCCTCCGCCTCCACGTCGCCAAGCAATACTGCCACCTCCCCTTCGCGCCACCTCACTCGCCCTCCCTCCCGACCTTCATGTCCAAGGACCAGTTCGTCGCCTACGTGGACACCTACGTGTCCACGTTCCGCATCCAACCCACGTTCGGCCGCCACGTCACCAGCGCGGCTTACGATGCCGGGACGGGGAAGTGGAGGGTGGAAGCGCAGGCCGCGGGTGGAAGGAGGGAAGCCTACGTGGCGGAGTTTTTGGTCGTGGCGAGCGGGGAAAACGGAGGGTTTGACGGCGTCACGGTTCACTCCAGCGGGTACAGAAACGGGTCGGGTTTCTCGGGGAAGGACGTGTTGGTGGTCGGGTGCGGGAATTCGGGTATGGAGATCGGGTTGGATCTGTGTAACCACGGAGCACGTGTCTCTATTGTGGTGAGGAATCCGGTAAGTAAAAAAACTATTTTCCTTACGTGGCATCTGTGTGTCCACGTGGACGACACGTCACGCGGTCAGATAAAAATTGGGTTATAGGTAGAATATGCCCCTCTACTATGACGTTTTATCAAACATGTCATTCTACTATTTTTTACATCACATGCCTTGTACTTTGTAAAAAATGATCAAACATGCCCTTTTGTTTAAATTTCCATCCAAAAACCATTAACTATACCATTAACTAAGGTCGAACTTTGATCTGAGCGGCACAAATGTCTAAAATATCCCTAATAATTTTACTTTAGATTTTTTTTTTTGTTCTTTTGTATAGCCAAATAATTCAAATAATTTCACTTTCAAGAGACCCAGAGAAATAAAACGGGAGACAAAACTGACATCATCGCTCCCATTTGTCGATGTCGGATCGTCTAAATCTTGGTTCAACCATGATTGATGATTTTTTCAATGGAAATTTTGACAGAAGAGCATGTTTAATACTTTTTTCAAAGTACATGAGCATGTTCGATGTAAAAAATAGTAGAGGGACATGTTTGATAAAACGTTATAATAGATGGACATATTATACCTATAACCCATAAAAATTTGACCTATTGAAGTTTTGTAATACAAGTGACAAAGTCGCGCTAAAGATTAGTATTTTTTTTTTGTTTGTGTAAAAATAATGCAGTTTCACGTGGTGACGAGGGGAATGGTGCATTTGGGAATGCAAATGATGAAATACATGAAGATGGAGTACGTGGACTCGGTCGTTGCCTCCATGGCGAACTTGTACTACGGTGATTTGTCCAAGTATGGGATTCGCCGCCCCTCCGACGGACCTTTCACGTACAAGTCCACCGCCGGCCAGACTCCCGTCATCGACGTCGGGACCATCGACAAAATCCGCGCCGGACAAATTCAAGTAACTTTAATTAACACACACGTTAGATTTATTTTCAAGGATAATTGGATAGTAAAAGTCTGTATTGCCCTTCCGATTTTTTTATGGGGTTTCGAATGATTCGCAGGTAGTTCCAGGAATCAAGAGAGTGAAGGGAACGAGCGAGGTGGAGTTCGCGGATGGAACGACGCGTCGTTTTGATGCCATTGTGTTCGCTACTGGTTACAGAAGCTCTGCAAATAGTTGGCTCAAGGTTGATAAATGATAAGTAACACTATATACGTATATATTATTGGTAAATAGTTAATAATTAGGTTATATAATAATGATGTTTTTTTTCTTCTTTTTTTTGCATGCATGAATTGGCAGGACTTCAGGTACATATTTAACGAGGAGGGGACGCCGAAGAATCGAACGCCAGACCACTGGAGAGGAGAGAATGGGATCTACTGTGCTGGATACTCGAAGATGGGTATTAATGGAATTTCCAATGACGCCGAAGCAATCTCTCAAGACATCATGCGCCAAATTATGAAGAAGAACTAAAGTCGTCGGTGCAGTAATTTTGAAAGAATTATAGTGTGCATTAAACCAATAAGGGGATTGTATATACAGAAATAATAGCGCGGTTGAGATTCGAGTCATCGTAGTTTGGAAATTTAAGTTCGTGGAAGAAGCTGATCCTGATATGAAATATGGGGTTCTTGTCCGAGCTCTCGTTAGTTGTAGGGTTGTGATGTCTTGTTAAATATGATTAATATATATCCCCTTATTAATTAATGATATGGTGCATGTGTCTTGTTAGTATATAAGGATATAGAGATATAACTCTTGGTTATCACATCTTATATAGCAAGTATATGGGGTCTTGATCAGGTTGTTAATATCGTTAGTTTGAAAAGTCCGTTGAAAATACCGTTCCCGATATAAAAAAAAAACGGAGTCTTTGTCCGAGCTCTCCTCAGTTATTGAGTACTTGTGGTGTGCTGGTGAATAATAATTAGTGCGTTCTCAGTACTGAAGTGTTGTACGTCATTAAGGATTTGGTTATAGTAATGATAAACCCGCCGGTTATAACTTCTTCTCAGTAATGATTGTGGATTTTTTTCCTCGTAATCCTTTTAAGAGATAATATAGTAAGCATTTGTGCCTCAATTAGTTGGTATTTGGAAATTCGTTTAATACAGATTAATTAGTAACACATTATTTCATCGATTATAAGCTTTTTAATATCGATTAGTAGATAAGTATTGAAAGATCAATGAATATCATGATTGTGAGGTCATTAATAAGATTAGGAATGACCAATTGATGATTTTTTTTTTTCCTTACAAAGTCATAAGGAGGAAGAAAGAAAAGCGCGAGAGGCAACCAATTAATGAGTTTTCTCCTAAGCTTTGATTCCTCCCATTTTGATTGGCTATGTAAAACCAAACGCAGTCGTTGAGGAAGAGGACGAAATGTCATTTGGGCCTTGGGTCCTGCTCTTGTTTGAAGGCCTACATTGTTGGGTTGGCCCGCTAAGCCTATGAAGCCCATTATCAGCAATGTCTTGCGCTTAAGAGAGCCGAAACGCCTGACGGCTGACACTCCACCTTACAGCTTAAACTTCAAAAATTGCAAGAAAAACTTCCTCGCGGAAACCAAAATAGAGTGGCAGAAAAATGGCGGCAGAGTCTTCCTCGGCAGCGGCGATGGCGGAGGAGCTGACGCTAACCGTGAAGTGGAGTGGCAAGGAGTACACTGTCCGCGTCTGCGGAGACGATTCGGTGGCTGAGTTGAAGCGGCGGATTTGCGAAGTCACGAATGTACTGCCCAAGAGACAGAAGCTCTTGTACCCTAAAATCGGCAACAAGCTCGCCGACGACACCGTTATTCTCTCCCAGCTTTCCCTCAAGTCTTCGCTCAAGATGACGATGATTGGGTTCGATTATCCTCTCTTTTCTTCGTCAATCAAAAGCCTGTATTGGGTTCCAGATTATGGGAATTTTGGCGTGTGTCGGTGCTGATCGTGATTGTCTAGGACGAAGCATTTCGAAATTCGTATTCTATCTATTTGGGTTCTCTTGCCTCTGAAATTGCAGTTTTATTCCGTTACTTTCTGATATTTAGAACTGGGTGTTGGCTTGGCTGTTGGGTTTTACAGAACGGTTGAGGATGACATAATTGTTGACCCAGTGGATGACCCGGAGATTGTTGACGATTTTGAGCTTGGGCAAGATGAAGCTGTCGAGATTAAGGACAAGGAAGTTAATAAGATGAAGTTGAAGAGGCGTACAGACCAATACAAGGTAAAGTTCTCATCTTTTTTTTGCTATGACACTCAGATTCAGAGTAGTGGAATGGGCTTACTGGCTTAGTCAAGTAGCAAAATTTTCTTTTCTAGATTGATTTTTATTTGGTCACTTGAGTTGAGGTGACATTCTCTGTAAATTATGTAAGTTTCTGGTGTGGTATTGATGTTTCAAGGGTATCAATTCCCTTGAAATGTAGCTGCTGTTTTGAGCACGAGTCTTGCCATTTCTAGTTAAACAGCCTCTCTTGGAAGAAGCCACAGCATCTGTGTCCTATTGTAGGATTTTTCTGCCTAGTGACGATGAAGTGAGTTTTGCCATTTAGAGCCTATCAAAAACTTCTTCTGTAATTATTTTCTTCATCTTGGCATGATGGCTAGGATAAGTAAAGAGTTAAGCTATGTGAAAAATTTGGTCAGGGAACTTCAACATGTTCTCTGCATCCATTCAGGATGTTGATCTTGATCTGCTGCCAGATTTCATGCCATTTAGAGCCTATTAATGAAATTGACTCTATTGTGCTGTGCTCTAGATCAAGCTTCGTAATCCATGTCGTGAGGGAAAGAAGTTGCTCGTGCTGGATATTGACTACACCCTTTTTGATCATCGATCAACAGCGGAGAACCCTATGCAACTAATGCGCCCTTGTGAGCAAACTGTTGTTGCTAAATGTTATCTTATGCATTTTTTCCGTACTCTTTTCTAACATCAGTTTCTTCAGATCTTCATGAATTCCTTACAGCAGCTTATACAGAATATGACATAATGATATGGTCGGCAACTAGGTATGAGATCGTTCTCTACTTCCAGTTTTACCCTATTACCTTCCTTGTCATGCCAAACCTTCTTCTTTGTCATCGTTGGTTTGGCGAATTGAGTTTTTTTTGCTTAATTCCTTAGGTTATACTTGGCGGTGTGAACATGATAATTACTAATTAGTATTCTTCCTCGGTTCAGTACGTCTAGATTCCATATAAGGAACTTCAACTAGAGAATTCCTTTGTCTAGTACTGATAACGGACTATTCCTTTCTTGCATAATCAGTGTGCAAAATTCCATTCCTATTAACTAAATTATGCGTTTGTTTTTCTTTTTGACTTTTTTGTGCAGCATGAAGTGGGTTGAACTGAAGATGGGAGAGCTTGGAGTACTAAGCAATCCCAATTACAAAATTACTGCTCTCCTGGACCATTTAGCAATGATTACAGTGCAATCTGATGCTCGTGGGATCTTTGACTGCAAGCCTCTTGGACTAATATGGGCTCATTTCCCTGAGGTGAAACTCATTAAAGATACTTTGATTCCTACCTCATGCGAAATTCATTGATAGATTCTCCTCTGCCATGCGTGCTTGATTAGTGATATTCTGAAATGTCCCTGTTCGTACCTTGTGCCAATTTGGGTTTAATCCCAATGTCTCTATGAGGCTGCTGTTGAACTGCTGCCAAAATATCACATAACCGCACTAGAAACAAAATCCCAGTACTTTTATTTACAGTTTACATACAGAACACAGGAATTCCAGCATCACCAGGTTAACATACTCTTGTTGCTTGCCTCTCAGTTTTACAGCAAGAAGAACACCATCATGTTCGATGATCTACGACGGAATTTTGTGATGAACCCAAAAAATGGGTTGACAATTAAGCCCTTCAGGAAGGCTCATGCCAATCGAGATAGTGACCAAGAGCTCGTGAAGCTAACGGAGTACCTTCTTGCTATTGCTGAACTAGATGATATAAGCAAACTGGATCACTCCAAGTGGAAGTACTATGCAGAGGATGGCTCGAAAAGGCGTAGACATGCGTAAGTTGCACTAATAGGCTCCGAAGATCCTTTTATGCTGCTTCCATCCAGCACTTTCTGTGGTTATGTGTTCTTGCTCAAGGCACCACACTCACAACAAGGATCACCTCAAATGGAAATACTGATTTCGTTCCGCTCCAGCAACTATGGTGATAACGATGTGTACCTTCAGCATGCCTCTCATTCAGCACCCGGGTAAATTTATCTCGAGGACAAAGAACCTTTGATTCTGCTGCTGTATACTTTATTTAAACCACAGTTCCTATTACCATTTACCAGTAGGTTCAAACTATTGGCATTATGAGATTGTATGCACGATTTCATTTACTATGCGCATGCAAGACTATTCACTGAGGTCCTAGCCTCCTAGGTTCTATTCTTCTTCTTCTGATGTTTTGTTTTTAAATTTTGACAGTGGAAGTCGGTAGAAGATGGTTATTCGTAATAATAATTCGTGGATGGAAATAAAACTTTGGACGATTAATTAGCTGTAATTTTAGCTGGCAACCGATTTTTCTTCCTTAAGAAATGCAGCAGAATAGAATTTCCCAATTGCTAAATCAAGCTGTAATATTATTTCTCGTTGGTTACATTACAACCATCGACCATGCATCATGTCTTACATTAACGAGTTATTTACACAATCATCAACTAATTCACGATCCTACTCATTCCAAAAATATCATCAAAATTTCGAACAAGGGTTTGGTCTGTTGTTGCGATCTGTCAAAATTGTTGCCTTATGAAGCATGATTGTCTGATTAAGGATTCATTGTGATTTATCATTTATGACCGTTTCATTTACTCTCTTTTTCTTCCATATTAATTTCACGCTGATCTTTTTATTTTCCCCTAATTCAAAACTGACCAGAAACGAAGAACCATTTGGCTCTCATCTTTCTCTCTAACACCTACAAGCGCCAAAATTAGGACAGAGAGATTGAATGAAAACAGAGTGAGTGATCGAGTGAAGTTCCAATCCTGATTCGTTTCGGAGGAGCTCCTTAGTACGATATTCAGCTGGTTTTTTGGCACCATAATTTAAGATTCTAAGAAGAACCCATTGTGGGTTTTGGATCAGAGATCAATGGGGTTTGTTTCAGTTTTGGTTTGCCTCGTCGTCCTCTCATTCTCTTGTACACCTTCTTGTAAGTAGTCCTCTGTTTCTTCCCCTGTTTTTGTGTGCTTCCTTTCTTCTCACTCGTTCGGTTTCCATTTTTCTTTCTTTCATTGTTGGTGATCAAATGATTCGAAATTCTAAACCCAATTTTCTGGGTGGAAACAATGCAGATGGTTTTGATCCATTGGATCCTCAAGCCAACATAACCATCAAATGGGATCTCCTGCTATCAACAGGTAGCTCTGATACGGTAAGGAAAAAAAAAAAAACTTTCTATTGTTAAGTTTATCTCTCTGTTTCCTTCAATGGTTTGTTATTGCGATGCAGAGAGTGTATGGCGGCCGACGTGGTTTAGATTCAGTAGGGGAAAACGAAAGTTGTCTTTGTTTATACCTTACTGACCCTACAATATTTAAATGCCTACACTTCCTCTGTTCTCTCCACTCTGTCTCTCTTCTCTCTCTCTGCATTCACCAAAACTTAACCCAACATGTTCTCACAACCTTCTTAAACCTCAGATTTCGATTGGACAGTTACGGTGTATCTCGAGTGTAAACTTATTACGCCTACTCGTTTTCTCTCGTATTACTCCAAAAACGGACATTATGTGATGTCAAGCTTCAATCTTTTCGTCTCGACTCTCGAGTGAACTAACCAAGTATGCATACCTAACATAGGTTGCATTTTTTTACTACTTAAAATGAACAAATTGATTGTGACTATTGAAAAGGTTGCAACTTTACTATGTAATTTTGACTTGGTGCAGGTCAAAGTAACAATACTTAATTTCCAAAAGTACAGACACATAGAGGCGCCAGGGTGGAAGCTAGGGTGGGACTGGAAAGGCAAGGAGGCCATAAGTTCCATATTTGGAGCTGAAGCAACACAGCAAGGTGACTGCTCAAGATTCAAGGGCCAAGAACTCCCACATTGCTGCGATAAGCACCCGGTCGTCATCGATCTCTTGCCCGGAGCTCCTTACAACACTCGGTTCCAGAACTGCTGCAAAGGAGGAGTCCTGTCGTCCATGACACAGGACACTTCAATGTATGCAGCATCTTTCCAGATTGCCACTGTAGGGAGCACTGCTGCAAACTACTCCGATTTCGCGATGCCAGAGAATTTCACCCTTGGATTGCCTGGCTACACCTGTGGGCAGCCTGTTGAAGTCCAACCCACCAGGATCCCTGTCGATGGAGGCCGAAGATGGACTCAAGTCCTCAGTATGATACTAACATTAACATTACCACCATTCTTGTAACCACCAGTACTGTTTCTTCAACGGGTTCGAGTTTAACTAGATCGATTTGTTTCGTTTTGCAGGGACATGGAATGCGGTGTGTGGTTACTCGTCGTTCTTAGCATCGCCATCTCCGAAATGTTGTGTTTCGTTGTCAGCTTTCTATGATAGCAGAATTGTTGACTGCTCTACGTGCAGCTGTGGATGTCAAGGACAGCCTGGCTCGAAATGCATCAAGTAATTTAACTCATAAGCCTTTTCCATTAATCAATCTTCTATTGTTTATGATATGGTCTGTTGAAGTAACCAAATTGATCTAAGCCTAGCTTGGCTAATTATATTTGAGTGGATGGCAGGGATGGGGAAACACCAGCTCTTCTGCAGCAAAAGCATGATCCAAACGAGGAGCCACCTCCACTGGTGAGATGCACAGACCACATGTGCCCTATACAGATTCATTGGCATGTAAAGGAGAGCTACAGACAGTATTGGAGAGTGAAGATGACCATCAGAAACTGGAATATCATCAAGAACTACTCCCAGTGGAACATGGTTGTCTTGCACCCCAACTTGAAGAACATCACTACGGTTTTCAGCTTCAGCTATGCATCGCTCAATGAATTTCGCACCACCAGTAAGTTTGTTGTTTTCTTTTCTTCACTTGGACTTCTCTTCACTTGGACTTCGTCCACCAATAGTTCAGTGGGTTAGAGCGTTGTTCTGAGAGGGTGACTAAAGGAGAGTTGCTTTTTTGGGGTTTTGTTGTTTAACTTGAGCAGATGATAGCGGGATGTTTTGGGGGATCAAGTACTACAACGACATGCTTCTACAAGAAGGGCATAGCGGGAATGTTCAAAGCGAGATGTTGCTGGCGAAAGAGCCAGGGTTTAGTTTCGGCGGAGGATGGGCTTTCCCAAGAAGGATTTTGTTCAATGGAGATGAATGTGTAATGCCACAGCCAGATGATTATCCAAGGCTCCCTAATGCTTCTCCTCCTCTTTCATTTGCCTCTTCCTTCCCTCTGTTGTCCTTCTTCTCAACTTTGCTCTTCCTTTTGCTCTTCTGCTAGTTCTTTTGTAATGAAGGATGCAACGGAAGCTATCCTAGGATAGGACTTAGTTATCTCCTTGACTATTTGCATGAACCATCAATTCAAGCTAATGCATAGGTGAGCTGTAGAGTAACAAACTCTAATCTACCCTAAGAGCTGCTCATGAAACCCTAGAACCTCTACATCAGTAGCAAACCAGAAATCCCAGTTCACATAATGAAATGATTTTCATTAGTATCCATCTTAATTGCACAAGGAGAGGAGACAATTTTTCTGGTGATACCCAGGCAAAGCTGCAGAGTATAACAAATTACCACATAAGAGAGCCAAAGAGAACTAAACCACACCTTATTTACCATTCCCGCTAGGCGCTAGTTAAGAGAAAGAAGAACAAGAACACAAATCTCAACCGGAGCCCTTTTTCCGGGACAAAATACATCTCTAGACATAGAAACAGATTTTACAATAGAAACCATATTCCCTCCCTAAAACACTGCTTCTTCAACTACATTGGACATCCTTCCATCCTTCCACAGAGCATATTGTGGACTCACTGGAAGAAGATAAGATAGATATACTCTAAACCGGAATCCTGAGAAGCCAAACAAGTTTCTCCCTCGAATTACAGCTACTTACTTTCTTTTTGTTTTTCTTCTTAAAATACAAACGAGGACCACCGACAACATGGTCACTTCTTTCTTTTCCTTCGCCACCTCCGGTGAGTCATTGGCCTGAGAAAAATACAATGTCCGGAGCAATGACCACCAGGTGCACATGATGAAGCATCATAAACAGTTAGTTTTCTTCCTTAGCTAATGGAGAGACGCAAGCAACGGCCAGACAAACGCAAAATGAGCAAATCACGGTCATTGGTCAAACGGTGAAGGAAGGCTCATGATCCCCGTCACTCTCTTCAGGAGCAAGATAGCAGCAGCAACCCATCATTTCAATTCACTACTACATATTGTACATCTAAATGCGGAGTGGACCAGTCATCGAATCCCGTCCAGAACCAGTGTCTTTGTGTTTCAAAGACAGGTTTCCAAATTGGGATTCAAGGTCCCTGCTGTTAGTGCGGCGATGGTGAGTAGAAGATGGCTGCTGCAGTTGCTGTTGATTTGGTGGTGGCAGTAGCTGCTGCTGATACAAGGCCCGAAGCCTTGCAATCTCCCTCTCCAAAACTTCTTGCTCCACTGAAACAACTCTTCCATGTTAAGGAGCAAACAAGCGGATAGATCCAACTTTGAAAAAGAAAGAGAATACAGTACACATATAGTTATGGACTTGTCTACCACACACTTGCTTCTTTAGGGTATATGCTATACACTTTCCTCACAATCATCATGTACGTTATCCGATTAGCCTCAAAATAATTTCATATTTTCAATTACATTATCATGAAAAAGTGAATGTATTTACGATTTACTTGTATATCAAGTATTTCTAAGATTATCCAGGGACTCTAGATTCGTCAAATGCACTATCAGGCATCAAGTGGACAAATTAATGAACGAACATAAATAAATTAGTTGTAATTCTAGATTATATCATTATTTTAGACAATAATTTTGATAATTTAAGTTGGACTGCATAGTATGCCCTTACTCTTGTCAGTGCACTATCATCCAGTGGCCCCTCTATGCTAGAGAAGTAAACTTAAAGTAAAAGAAGATCCAATAGCGAAGGTGAAGGCGCCATAAATAAAGATTTGAAACATACAGTGTTTAATAAGCTGCTCCTGGGCTATGCTTTCCACCCGCTGCTTAAGAGCTTTATTCTCCATGCTCAAAATAAGATTTTGCTGGTTGAGAAATTCAAGCTCTGCAGAGACTTCAGATCCTTCTGCCTGTAGGTACAGGATAGCTGTTAAAACATAAAAACCTGAGCCATTGCTACAAAAAACAGTTCGGTAATACATCTGCACTTGCCTGTAGTGCCTGCACATTTCTTTCCAGCTCAGCTATATACTGAAGTTTCCGGACACGAGACCGCTGTGCATATTGCCTGCATTAGATATCATTTGAGTTAATTGATGGATAGCAACAACTTGTATCCACCTGCTTACATAAACATACAAAGAAGAGGGATAGCAATCACATCAGATCAAACATAACCCAATTAAACTTGTTTGGATAGGACCCAATAGCTGGCAACTACACCGAGCAGACTCTACAAACTACATCTGAACAAAAATAATAACAATTAAAAAGCAGCAGTAATGGCATAGCTAAGCGTGCAACAAATGCTGTTATCTTACGACTAGTAAGCATAAAGCAGTGGTTCAATGTTAGCCTGTACACCATAGAACTCCCATCATATTCAAATACAGAGGGCAGTCCAGCAATCTTTGTGACTTCTTTAGGCAATCTTATGTAGACACCGGTTTAAGGTTATTAGTGCTCAGTTTCCCATTGAAAGAAATGTTCAGTCATTCTTCCAGCACAATAGAATAGCGGATGAAATAATACTCCCAACACAAGGCCAAGAAAATGAGTATAGATGTCCTTTTGAATTCAAAAACATGATGAAGACAACACTCTCCTCATGTTCTACACTTACACAGGATTGTATTACAAAATCAACAGTTCCAAGAGATGACAGCTACACCAGATCAATGGCAATAGATCATACTAGTACATTGAGCACGGATAAAACATGTCTATCATATCACGTGCAATACAAATCTTTAAATTGGAACAGACTGCCATGACCAACTACAGCCTACCTTTTTTTGTCCTTGCATTGTTTCTGCAACTTGGTTGTGACAAGAAAACTACTTGGCAATGAAATAGTATTTGGTTTTAATAGTTATCAGACGAAAATGATAGACTCAACAAGCAAAGCTTAAGCCATAAAAGAATCATCAGTAAACATATGTTTTGTTTTATGTACTACTACCACTACTGGACATTGACCTGACTACTCTTGAGCAAAATGGAATAAATCATTCTTCAACTGCATTTCCATTTTCTGAAAATGCTCAATAAACAAGTATGATTTTCGAGTAACATAAGTGCTTCAGCGGGCAATACATTATTTTGTATACTAGGATCATAAAATGGAATTTTAATCAACAAAAAGTTAGAAGACTTACTGTTTAGCGCGTTTTGTGTCACCCTCTGAAGCAGAAGGCTTAGCATGAGGCCCATCCTTTCTCTCAGAAGGTTTCGGATCATGAGAACCAGATTCAACAACTTCTTGCTTCTCACCTGCTGAAGATCCATCTGGTTCCTGTCGAGCACATAATGATCCAGAATTCTGAGAAGCAACATTCTCCCTCACAGAAGAAACCCCACTTGAACGGCTTGCAGCATTCATAGATAAATCTCGGCCCCTATTCTTCTGTTTTGACAAGTTCCCTTCAGCATAGAAAGAACCTTGACGAGCATCTTTTAGATAATCAAATTCTTGAGATCCCCAAACAGGTACTGACACCATATTTTTATATCGGTAGTCCTCATATGCTACATAATCTACGTTAGAATTATTCATTGCATCTACATAAGCAAACGAGTCACTTGATGAACGCCTATGACCTCCTCTACGAACTGGTGTCTCAGGCTCGTTGAGAAGATCATCGAGCCAAGAAGGTTGGTCCTCTATTAGGAAAGACTCAGAAGATGTACGCTGGTGGAATGTACTTCCTTCTCTGGGCTTCTGTACAGCTTTTGACCCAACCACATTGCTTGGGATATATTCAACATATGTTGGGGCCATACCAGGAAAGGGGATTTTTGGAGGAAGTAAGGATTGCTTTCCAGAGTACATAAAGTTTCTAATGTTTGATGAACCTTTGGAATTTGCCATTTAAAAGCACAACTTGCACCCTGCAAATTCACAAGGACAAAAAGCCAACAAAAGAATATGTAAGTAAATAGAAGAATCACAAAGGCATCAATTAGAACAACCAAAATGACGGTTTGAAATCGCAAAGGAAAAGATCAACTATTTGAGACAAAAATAAGTTATACATTCTCTTTCAACTGGTAAAAAATCCACATGCAAGTAAACCTGTACCTACAAGCACTCAGTGAAACTTGCTTTCTAATTGGGGCAAGACAGAAAGAAGTTAGAAATCCAGAAGACCACATAAAAACAAAAATGCAATGATTACATTTACGTCCTTGGGGTTAGTATGGATTCTCTACGTTCTCAATCACCCGGATCCACTAGACAAATATATCCAATAGTCAAGATGACATACTATACAAGGTATGCTAGATTAATCCTGAGAGGCGAGAGACACTAACTGGACCTTAAGGCAGTAAAGAACATAACCTAAAAACCTTGTTCTCTCTTGATATCACTCGGAAATAAAAATAAAAGATAAAAACCTCGCATACTACATACAGTATGAATGTAAAATCACCACAAACTACCTGGGGCGACCTTTTCTATCTTAAATTAAAATCATCAGCAAGGAGAAGCTTACCAATTTTTAATTAAGTTTTCACTATCCCGTGACTATATTACTCAAACCTCGACCTAGTTGGTCATCACAGAAACACAAGAGACCCCAGATGTGCAATAGTAAGAACAGTGCAAAGACCAGACGAGAATCTCCATCTACACCTTATTACTAAGATTTATGCTGATCACCTAAAGTCCATCAAAGCATCTATGCTGCTCAAACTTCTCACGGTCAATATAAACAACACCCCCGGTCGTTTATTCCACATGACGAGCTCATAGTGTACCAATGTATAAGCAGAAACTCAACTTCAAAATTCTAACAACTAAGAAACAGAGGCTAACCAGCATAACATTACCTTTACTACTAGGAACACAGGCAAACCAAAGAAGAGTAACACAAGGTATGCTTTAATCATCACAATGCCACTCACCCACAGTTCACCCTAAACCCAAAGTTCCAAATGTTTTATCTCCTGGAATGTCTACTCAAGTTCCAATCTTTCCTACCGGATCCCACAAAGTTTTTCATTTGTTTTTAACCGTATCTTTTCTGCCTCATTTTCTCAGCAACCAAACAAAGGGCATCCAGGGACTGGGACGTTTTTTTATACAAAAAACGTAAGCAAATCCGTCGCGACAATTTCCTCGGACAAAATGCAGCAGCAATGCACGATGAGAAATCAAAATCAGAACCCACGAACAGCCAAAGATTCCCAAACGAGAACCAACCCAGATTAACATAGACGAATGTGAGGCGAGAGAAGGAGAAAGTTACCTTTTGGAGGGATGGGATTGAAGGAATCAAGATCTCAATCAAAAACGGAATCGAGAAAGGAGAGGAAGGAAGCCAGAAAAGCTATAATCTACCACAAGCGAAACCACTTTTCCCCCCCTCTGCCTGTCCCCCTCTCTGTGGTTAGGGTTTAAACCAGAAGAGAACGAGAAAGAAGAAGGAGACGGTGATGAAGATGGAGAAAGCTTGAGAAGATGAATTTTTCCTTTTTCTCGGCTTCGTGGGTGGCCTCTCTCTCTCTGCCCTTCCTCGCTCTCTCTCTCTATCTTCTTCTATCTCTCTCCCTCTGACTCTCTGTGTATGTCTGTCTGTCTCTGTCTTTTTTTTTTTTCTTTCTGTTTTCTTTCTTTGCAATCAGTTTTCCTTTTTCTCTCTTCCCCTCGTTCACCTCTGCGGTTGATAGAAAAGGAACGCTTGATCGCAAATTGCTAGTTTTTTTTTCTGCGAGCAATAATAAAATCACAGTAATAATAAAGGCAATCAAACAACAAAAATTAAAATAAATAAATGTGTGTTAAATGACATTTTGGGTCATCATACTTTGATTCTCTTACACACAAATCTCGGATAAGTTGCATGATCGAAACAAGCAGTATATCAACTACTCCGTTTCATTCATCGAAGTGAGTATGAGCATTGAACTGCCCATTTCTTGTACACAAAGTTATAGCATGCATTCATATTGTTATCTTCATAACCGAGTCCGATTAGCATGTTAAATGAAACACCTTTTAACTGCGCGCGACTAAAATTGACCGACTCTGTTATATTGATGGACAAAAGGAGAAAGCTACAAGCATATCCTATATTATGTTACATTGAAGAAAAAAAATGTGCACCAGATCAAGCCTTCCCAAAACAAATTATGCAAGTTAGTTGGCTCCATTGTTGGTACTGTATTGTTTGAGCTAACCATTTGTTGTACCAAAAAGTTATAACACTCACTCACTCACATTGCTGTCTTCAATTATAACCTACAGCTTTTGATATGTAAAATAATTAAAAACAAAAGTGAGGTTGGAATCATAGGAATTGCATAAAAGATATATATATATATACAGCCTGAAAGTGGTCCAATTTGACAATTACAGTTGTCCAGTTTCGTTGGACTGGTCCTCCTGCAGACAGGGCAAAATGAGGTGGAGCTTCGTTGGCAGGTTTCCTCACATCCCCATATAAAAGATCGTCTCTTCTTCTTGTTCTTGTTGTTGGTGCAACTTGCAAGTGTAGCATTCAAGAGAACAAAAGAGAAAAAGGGGGAAATGCTGTAATTGGCTGATTAAGGTTTTAGATTACTCGAAAGAATGCAGCTGTACTGTAAACTCGAGGCGGGTTAATGGTCAAAAGCAACAACAGCAACTGGCAACTTGGGTTTTATTAATTGAGTTGGTATATCCAATCCATAGCCAATAATGCAACCAGCTTCTATGGTTTTTGAAGGAGACTGTAGACCACAGAAGCTCATTGTTAGCTTTCTAATCCTTTTTCTTGTTCCTTCTGCAAATTGAACAAGGATTGTAAAACCAAGTGCAATGGTGTACTCTTCAGTTTATACAATCGGCTGTGGTACCTTGCTCTGAACTCACCTAACTCATAGCTCCACCATAGAACATGAGAAAGTTGACTTTGTCTCTCTGTATCTGTTTCTTGTACACAGGACCAACTGCAACTCTGTTGTACACTGCATTAACTTGTGCATTGTCCTTTTTTCCCAATAACAGCTAGAACCCTAATTTCCCCCTTTTTTAGCTCCATTGTAGGGGCAGAAGAATGACATGATATAAGTATAACATATTGTGCACTGGCCATTGGATCATCAGACAGCATATGGTATACAGTGCTAGCTGGGATTTCTGGGTTCCAGTTTCTTACAACAGTAATGCCAAGTGTTAAAGTGCATCGAAAAGAAGCTTATCTATGACTAGAATGTAAGACCTTCAGTTGTCTTGGTTACGAAATGATAGTTCAACCCTTAGGTTGTTTGATGTTTAGTTCTCGGTGAAAGTATGAGAGCAAACAGAGCAGTGGAAGAAAGTAGTTTGCCCCTCATCTGCGGATCTCATCTGTAAACAGGAACAACCACAATAAGGTTTTAAACATGGTGATAGAAAGCGAGAGGGATAGAGAGTAGTGAAAGTGGCTTTAGAGTTTAGAGTAGCTGGATGCATACTTGTCTAGTCGAAAACTTGAGCTTTGTGTTGCTGCATTTCTCGCACTTTTTGTTTATCTGTCAAAAGCCGATTTGGAAACCACAAGTGCCATAAGATTACGACCCCCACGAACGAAACCTTACAAACTGATCAGAGTACTCAGTAAGCAGTTACCTCCATGTCTTTCACTTCCATCTTTCCTTCAAAATGCGAGATCCCTAGATCCCTTCTGATATCCTGAGCATAATCACAATACCAGAAACACAACTCTGCACATCAGATTGACTGATACAAAAGAAAACCCAAACTGCAATCCACCATCAAGAATCACAAAGCAAGAGGTTATAACCATCAAGATAACTCTTCTAACGAAGCAACTCTGCAGACACATTCTAAACCAAGAGCAGCATCGATTCGACTGTTATCAGTCTTCACCTTAGCAACTAACATAGATTCAGCTCAAAATTCTCGTCTTATCAGAATAACATCTAAACACTTCCTTCGTAAAAATCACAACTTTGATTCAGCCATTGCCAAGAACAAGTTCAATATCAACACATCAAACCGTTGCGGCTAAAAAAAGGAAAAAGGTTCATACTTTCATATAGATATGAAGATACGGAGATTGTATTATCATACCTCAGCAGAGACTTTGTAGGATATTTCTTGTCCAATCACCTCTGCAGACAAAAGCAGCAAGTCATTAGCTTTGCTTGCTTAAGAGCTTAATATTAATAAACCGAGCAAGTTCAGCATATTCAAGGAGTTCAAGACATGCCCTTTAACTCTTCAATCTGCTAAAAGAAAAACAATCAAGAACAGTGCAATCGGAAGAACAAAGCATCACCAAACTGTGTGTGTATACCTTTCGTCCTCTTCGAGCATTTACACAGAGGGCATTCCACCTGATTCCCAGAACTGAAATTCATCATCGTCCCGCACACGTTGCAGAACATGAAATCCCCACGGCGAGCAGCCCTCATCTTTACCCTGCGCGCGAATACTGACAGTATCAGACAGACGGCGGAGAACCGATTGGTTGGCAGATGGCGGCGGCGGCGACTGAACCAGATTCGGCCGGACGGCGGCGGTTTGTGCAGGGAGCAAAATAGGGCTATGAGGGACTGAGTGATCGTCTTTAGACTTTAGAGGAGGTCCAAAATAGAGTTTTGGGCCGTTGGGCTTTTGCAAGCCCATATTCACTGTCACACCGGCTTTATGCTGTTAGTTATTATTATATTCCTTTTTTTGCGCGAAAACAAAACAAACTTCCACTTCTTCCTCCATTCATTTTCTCTAGTCTCTACCTTCAATTCTGCAAATTCGCCGAGAATCGGTCCTTTCTCATCGGCGAGACGTCACGTTCTTATCTTCCTCCCTGAAACTAGCGGACGCCGGCGCCGCCGCCGCCGCAATCGCTAGCGTCGTGCTAGAAGGAACTACTGGTGATATCAACGGTGAGCGCCTAACTTACTTTCCCTCCCTTTTCTGTTCTTTAACAAGTAGAAAGAGAACTAGATAAAATTAGGGTTTGTGTCTATTTGGATTAATCAATCCAAATTACTTTCCTTTGTCTTCATGTTATTTAGTAAGTAGTGATCATCACTCATCAGTACTATTGGTAGGAGAATAATAATTAGGAATTTGATTAAGCATTAATTGGTGCAGCGAAGGAATCTGGCTAGCTAGGATGAGGGGTGCAGACAGAATCAGTGGGTTGCCAGGCAGTGTTATGGAGCACATTCTGACGTTCTTGCCGCTACGAGAAGCAGCAAGGACGAGTGTTCTGTCGAGGGAATGGAGGAACAGATGGGTAGATATGCCCGCCCTTGCTTTCGACGACAAGTTTGGTAAGGTAATGGAACCAGTCGCGGGTGGTACTTCGCCTGAACTAGCATCAGCAACCAACTGCAAACTTATGTTGGATGTTTTCGAGGTTCTGTCGCGCCACAGTGGTCACATAAAGGAGTTCTCCCTCTCGATTCCTGGACTAAGAAGCTCGTTTCGCGACCATCGGATCGACACAATCATCAACTTTCTAGACAACCGACACGTTGAGTCGCTGGCCATTGGGATCAAGGACTACGTGCTGCCGAGGCTTGTTTACTCCTTCACCCGACTCAGGAAGTTGAAGCTGTGTGGTTGCAAGCTCACATCCTCCAACGTCGCGTTTGACAGCGCTGCGTTTGCTGAGCTCGATGTTCTCGAGCTTAGAGATTTAGCAGTACCACAGGTTGGTGATGCTTGTTTCAGCTTTAACTGCCCATTGCTCTCTGCATTGGCCATGGAAGGTTGCGGCCATCGTATCAACAATATTAGGATTGTCATTGAGGCTCCTAAACTCGAATATTTCCGTCTCGTGGGGAACTTTAGTTTGCTGGAGTTCAAGCATACTCCACTTCTCAAAATCGTAGATGTTCATCGAGATTTCAGCATCAATATACCGGACAAAGGGTACTCAAACTTATTGAATTTTATAGCCGGTCTTCCAGCGGTGGAGCAGCTATCCATCTCTGGCCATATCTATTGGGTACGTAGAAACTGTTTTTCTCAGCTCGTTTTAATTTATACGCACAAGGATGATAGTACTGTCTACTACTAGGTAGACGATTTCGATTCTGACAATTATATACGTTAGGTGCTTCAGTACTTGATGATCGGAGCTATATATGCAATTAAGTCTTCCGGGACGGTGAGGCTCCTTAACCTTAAGCATCTCAGACTGAATGCAGAGCCTCTCGGCTCACCGCTTCCAGCCTATGTGTGGTGTGCTATTAGCTTGATGAACACTTCCACTGGCTTGTCTGAACTAACCATCGGGGTAAGCACTGTAGATCTCTTTCTCGCCCCGCCTCATATCAGTTTCGAGAGTATGGTCATGTTTAGTTTACGGGTTATAATGATCGAATCTCACAAGCCATTCTAGTTCTGATCTATGTCAACATAGCGAAGTTGATGTGTAAACACACGAGACGTGTTTCCTTGCTACTTTCATCCAAGTTATCATATGTTTGAATGTTTTCAGATTGTGGAGCGATACGAATCTAATAAAGAAGAACAGAGTATGAAGTATTTAAGTTATATGAGGAGCAGGCTGAAACTCAAGCGAGTGCAGGTGAATCAATTTCGCGGTACAAGGTTGGAAATGACTGTCGTACAATCGTTATTGGCCAAATTACCGGCACTTGATATGATGCAAATCGAGTTTTCAGACTGCTGTGGAGTTGAAGATCAACGGTCCATTTTTAATAAACTGTTGGAATTAACACGAGCCTCGACAACTGCCCAAATCAGGATCAAGTAACTTGTGGGTATAGCCAGTAAACTGCCATCGTGTATGCCTACTCGTCAGCAGATAATGTTTATGAAAAGAGTGACAATGGGTGATGTGAAACTTGGCATTGCCAGCCTCCTTTACATTTGTTACTATGCATTTCCTATATGCCGCAAAAACTATAAGCAAATTCCCTACATGAACAACTCGAAGATATAAGTTATAAGCACGCGCACCGTCGTATGTCATTGGTTGATAATGATGATGCTTTCAACTTAAGAACCAAGCAGCTTCTTCCATCTTGCAGTAGAGCCCCCAACAACATAGCCAAATATGATTGAGGTATGTTTTGATAGTGCAACATGTAATCAGTTTATACAGCACCATTACAAGGTGGCCAGTGATTCAAGAGAAAATAGATCAAGTAAGACTAAGTGGCCAGTGATTCTTTGTAATCAATGATTATACTTTCTAATAGAGGAGCCCTCACTCATATCCTAAAGAAGAAGAAGAAGAAGAAGAAGAAGAAGCCAATTCAAGTAGATTAAGGCAAGAACATCATATGGGAATTTTAAGCTCCAGATGAGCATGAGCCTCTTCAGATCTCTTTCATGTGTTCTTTTCCCTCTCTCCCTCTACCGAAACTACTTTCCCCATCTCTCCTCCCCTCGTCCTTTTGCCTTGATGCATTTTCTTCCACAAGGAAAAATTGAGTATAGTTACAAGCGTTAGGAAAAACAGTATGGACTCTGGCAAAGTTTGGATTCTCAAGATCAACAGAAGTTACACCTTAAATAAAAGGAGCATTTCTACTATGCTATATAGTATTGATGCTTTAATGTACAATTTAAAGTTGTACCATAACATTAAATGTATAAGTTTAGGTTGTACCATAAAGCAATTTGTACCATTATGTTATGGTACAACTTTATAACTTGAAGTTGTACCATCACATAAAAGTACAAGTTCAAGTTGTACCATAAAAGAATTTATACAAAAAGTATAGGTGCAATATGAAATTGTACCATAACGTAAATGTACAATTTTAAGTTGTACCATAAAGGCAAAACCATATAGCACCAATACTATATAGCATTGTAAAATTTCTCTAAATAAAAGGGCCCCTGAGAGGATAGAGCAGAAACATCTCTTCGAGGCAATAATTGCACTAAACTGATCAAAGTTTAAGAAATTCCAGATGAGAAGCAAACTAGACTGACCGATCCTTGATAGTGTGAAAGAACATGCCAGATGCCTTCTCTAACAGGCTACTTCGCACTAGGATTTTACTTTATACAAAGATACCATTCAACTAGACGAGAAAGAATAAGGAGATCCCAGACTACCTTTTGAACACGTGCCAGTAGGCGAGTCAGATTGCTTTCCAAACTTCGCACATGTTGGAGATTCTTGGTACTGACATTCCTAGCCAATTCATCCAAGATAGGATATGCATCTCGCTCCAAGTCCCGCCACGCTAGAGTCCAGATATGAACACATCACCTCTAATGCAATCTCAAGAACCTGAAACTCGAATGGAAGCTCAGGCTGTTCACCATCAGCAGCTTCAGTAACAGGGGGCGTGTGTCCATCACCTGCAGCACGCATTTCATTGTCTCGCGTCTATCAGCATGGTTTGCTTCTTCAATCTGTAATGGTGCTTTAGGTTGAAGCTGTAGCCTTAGCTGATCGACAAACTGAAGAACCTCTTGTTTCAGGGGATCCAAAATCCTCTGCAGTGGCTAAAGCCCCTATGAACTCCAAATTGACAACCATTGCCTTCTCCCTGGCTGCAAAAAATTTGCAATTCCATTCAGGCTCTGTACTTCCTTCTCAAGCAATGAGTGAAGCATATGTGAAAATGCCATCAGTAGCAGACCAAAGAGAAAATCGAAACTTTATTTCCACTCTATCACTTCTTCCATAATTTCCTGCTAACTACAGTTGAAATCACCCTACGTCATAAGCAGAACGAGGGCAATGCAAACAACTCGGTCCCAATCACATTTGCATCAACGCGACCAATGCACTTCACCCCATCCACGAAACGAAACCACACAAATTTCAACAAGTAGAATTGGAAGAAAAAAAACATGAAGAAAATGAGAACTGATAGTTACCAAGAATACTGGAGGAGTGAGAGAAGACGGGCCCGAGGATCCTCAAATCCCATAGCAGGAAGCGCCACACGCTTGATAATGGCGTTTTTATCACACTCCACCAACTCCGAATTCCCAAAGCGATCGAACCTCATCCACAGCCTGGCACCTCCGGCCTTCTTCTTCCCCTTCACCACCGACACCGCACCACCATTCTCGCCGGCCTCCGGCGATGAAGTAGCTCTCAGCGGAGGAGGTGGCGGCAGAGGATGCATAGTAGCGAAGGCCCAGCCTTCTTCTTCGACTGACGCCGGCTCCAGATTATTTGAGGAAGACAATTTACATTTCCCCAGCGGTGGAGGAAAAGGACGACAGCGGCCGGCGAGGTGGCGTTGGTTGTGTCTTCTTCTTCTTGTTCGTCTCCGTCTTCTCCTTCTTGCTCTTCTGCCATAAACGCTGCCTTCTTATGATTCTGTGATTCGTTCGTTCAACAAAGTTCACCAAAAGTCAGATACAACACGAAAAGGTACTGACAGAGTGACAGTGGATACAAGCAAAACCATATATTAGCTTCCTTTTCTCTCCCCTGCCGGTAGTTAGTTAGTTAGTTAGTTAGTTAGTTAGTTAGTTACCTTTGCATGTTCTTTATTTTTGGTAAAATGCGTCTTACGAGTTACGATTTTATCGGATTAAGAGCGTACGTGAATGAAGAAACAGCAACTAAACAACAAACTTTAAGCTGACCAAATCCTAGATTAAGGAAAAGCAAACTGCAACTGATTAAACGAAAGAAAAATGCTTCTTCTATTACCCAAAAACCTCATCCTGCTCTAAAGATATACAAAGATCAGGACTCGGTACACAATTGGAAAGACAGAGAATGCAGATGGATACTTGCTATGCTATGAAATCAGTTAAGAACCAGGGAGAGGGATTGGATTAACAGCAGTCTGGATTCTCCTGAACGCAGTCCTCACTTTTTCTTTCAGCCCTTCATGCTCACTCTCGACATCCCCACTCTGCTTATCAAGCTTTGCCACGTTCCCGTCGACACTTATCACCAGCTTCCCATTCTCGTCTCGCTTCACATCCCCGAACAACGACACCAGCAGAGCGTAGATCACCTTTTCGGCTCTCTTCTCGTTCTCTTCCTCCGTCTTGCTTGCCTCCGACTCAATCACCACCTTGGGGAGCTCCCTGGAGATGTTCAGGACCAAGGCCACCACCGAGTCGGACACCATGTCGCTGACAGGATCAGCAGCCCAGTGCATGGAGATGTGCTTCTCGGAGTCCTGCTTAACAGTGACAAGCTTGTGCACCAGCAACGTGGGTACAGCAGACTCCTCATCAGTGCCAGATTCGACGCTCTCGTATATCTGCTCGAGCCGGTGCTTTATCACGCCAAATGCGCCACTGAATGGAATGGTGATCCTCTGAGTAATGTTTGCCGTTGAGAGCTGTGAGAACACATGAAGATCTTCGGGTGCCATGATTTGATATGTGAAGCCCTTCTTCACGAGTATTCCGCTGACAGTTTCACCGACTTCGGGTGTCTTCTCAGCCAGCTTTCCTATGGTTTTCGCCATCTTCTCGGAGTTGAACATCATCTCGACCGACTGGCAGTTTTTGGGGGTTAAGACTTTGGTATTGCCATCAGCAGCAAACTCTGTGATCAGCTTCTGTTTCAGCCTTCCCATCTCATTGGCTTCTCCATGGACCAGAACTATGTTGGGAGGTCTGAGCTCTTTCAGGAAAGTACTTGTCTGGGCATAGTCAGCATGGGCTGAGAATGAGATGTAGTGAACTGACATGTTGAGTGGGGCCATTAATCCATTCATGAGGGTGACTTCCTTCGGTTCATTGATGATGGTCTTTGCAAGTGTTCCTTCAACAACATATCCCGGTATGACACATGAATTCTTCTTATCAGAACACCACATATCGAACAACTGCCTGGACAGTCCACTCTGCAGCCCCCCAGGGCTGGCCATAACTACACACGGCCCACTATCAGTGAAATCATCAATGCTGTTTAAGTTTTGTATGAACTTGAACTGGAAGGGGTTCGAGTGTGCAAACTGATTCCGAATCCTCTCGTTCATGGCAAGAATGTACGTCTGATAAACACTCATGCACTTTCTGGCCAGAGGGGAAGCATAGTATATCGGGATGTTCTGGAGCTCCTTGTGGGTGCTCCAGTACTCATCAAGAATCAATAGAAGTTCCTGAGCACGACCAAGCGCAAATGCAGGGATAAGAACCCGACCACCTTGAGAGACGGTGGTGTGGATGACATCGGTGAAGCGTTTCTCTCTAACATGCCGAGGCTGATGAAGCTGGACCCCATAGGTAGACTCGATAATGCATATATCAGGAGAGAATTCTGGCATTTCAGCAGCTTGAAGATGCCTATCCTCCTCACGTGAGTAATCGCCAGTATAGAGCACACGAACACCAGCAATGTCAACCATGAACATGGCAGCACCAAGAACATGGCCAGCGGTGTAGCACCAGAACTTGATTCCATTCACTTCTTTTGTTTGATGGTAGTCAATGACCTACGAATCGAAAGACAGTAAACAACCCACCTAAAAAAAAAGAGGTTCTTTCGCATGGTGAAACAGGTAAGAAAAGGGAAGTTTAATTAAACGCAGAACGAAAATGAAGCAACTATAGCACACCTCAATCCTATCCATGGAGTTGTTGATGTCTTGTTCGTCAAACAACATGTCTTCAACCGAAACTTTGCTCACTTTCACGTAATCAGTCAGAAGCAATTTGTAGATGGCCTTTGTGGGATGAGTCATGTAAACTTTGCCTCTGAAGGTAGTCTGAGCAAAAGAGTACAAGATAAGTTACAGAACTACAAACAACAGTCATTGTTCTATTTCCTTTTCGACACAAGCAGGGGAACCAACCTTCTCCAGAAAATAAGGCAAGGATGCAGCATGATCCAAGTGAAAACTGCAAGCAGGCAAAAGGGTAGCAATTATTATTGCTGAACTCAAAACCCCCCAAAAAGATGGTCCCCCAAAGATCAAAGAGAACACCTACTGAGTGATTAGAAGCACGTCAATGGTGGAGGGATCAATCTCATCGAAGTAGGGCAAAGCAGACATTCCCGAGTAGGCCGGATGAATCCCACAATCAAACTAACAGACAAGAAAACAATGCAGCCATATCAGAACTGGAAACGAACTAGACCAAGACGGTAGCTAAGGATTTAACTGAAGAACACAAATGCTTCAACGATATGATTCGTTTAATTTACCAGAACAGTCTTCCCTTTGAATGTCATGTAGCAGCAGGATCGGCCGACTTCGCTTCCGGCGCCTAGTGGAATAATGGTGAGCTGATCCCCTTCTCTTGTGACCGGCGCATCCCTTCTCTTGAGTGACGAAGCTGGCTGGGCAGTTGAAGCCATTGTCGTCAATTATCGTGCAAAGGAAAACTGTAGGGAGGTATGTCTGTTTGCTTTGAGCCGCTCTGGAATTCAGATGGGGAAGTGAAGATGGCGAAGAGGGGAGAGGAAATTAGAGCGTAAACCCTAGAAACTGTAATTTCAATTTAATCGGTTGACCCCGCGCTGGCTGATTCGGGTCGAGTCGGGTCGGGCGAGATCCGAAAAACTAAATCATCGGTTAAAAAACGACCACAGTGGGAGTCGAACCCACGACCTTCTGATCCGAAGTCAGACGCGCTAATCCACTGCGCTATGCGGTCTTTGATGTTAAAAAAGTAAACTTTTAATATATAACCAGATAATTTGGATAGGATTGGGCTGGAAAAATGTACCTGATTTAAATTTAGGGGTCTTTTGTTTGTTGGATTTGAGTGATTGATTTGTCACCCAAATCCCAAGCATGATGTATTTAACCAATTTCATTGTTTGTTATATCAAAAAATTGGATATCAAACCATGTACCCTACTGATTTGTAAATCCCACATTTTATTTGGGATTTGGTTGATGGAAGGCAAATTTGTGGAGCCCTTGGTACAAAAAGCTACAAATCCATGATAAAAAATCATCAACACAAACGATGCACTTTTTCAAATCCGTAATGCAACAAATCTATCACAAGTTTTAAGGTTTAAAAAACTAAAAACCTTCATTCTAGAATCCAACAAGCAAACGGCCCCTCGAATAAAACAAATGTTCTTTTCACTTTTCTTTAAGTTTTACTAGTTTCTATCTCGATTGATTTGGTTGCCGAATCGTCCAACATCAACCCCGATAAAAACATAGAGATCGCAAAATTTTCTCATTTAGTTGTTTTCTTAATCACATTAATCCCACAATCATGGAACCACTCCTCATGAATGTTATGTGATCATGGTCTTCCTCACACCAATCCCATCCTAATTTATCTCTCTTATTTAGATTTTTTCCTCCAAAATTCACATTCCAAGTTTCATATCTCATCTTCTTTCCCTCTTTTCTTGTTCTAGGTTGGAGGAGGTTATTTCGTTTAGTTCTAACATCTATCATCACCTTCTCCACCACGTTAAGCATAGAAAAATTGAATTTCTATCATAGATGTTTGTAAATTTTTACTGCATTCAATTTTATTCGCGTATTTGAATTTTCTTCTCCTTCTCTTACTTTTTTTACCACAAACCTTCTCATAAAAACTCCTTTGAAACAACAATCAATATATTTATTAAGAATAAAAAAAAATGTAACATCGATCTATCGATGAAGATTTAGACTATAACGAAGTTTTAATTTGAGAATTAAAATTCAACTCCATTTCATGCCATAGATCAAATCTCTCTTTCTTCCTAACATTATTCATCCCCTCCTTCAAACATCTCCGGAGGGGTCAAATCATACCCTCTTCCTTTTTTTTCCACATGCAAAGGTTACGAGATGGGTAGTGAAGCTGATTTAATAACAATCGCCGGCGTCTCATCTTCCACCCCAGACCACCAATCCAACAGCACCACCTCAGCGCGAGGCGGCAGAGCATCCACATCAAAACAACCGACATTCCTCCACGGCGAGCTCGACGTATGGATCCACGAGGCGAAGTCCCTCCCTAACATGGACCTCGCCTCGGAGCACATGCGTCGCTGCTTCAACATCCTCGGCTCCCCTTGCTCCAAGGGGGGCCACCGCCGTCGCAAATCATCTGCCGCCTCCACCACCACATCGTCGGCGCACCACCACTCCATGATCACGAGCGACCCCTACGTATCCGTGTGCCTCGCGGGGGCCACCATCGCCCAGACTCGCGTCATCCCCAACTGCGAGAACCCGCTTTGGGATGAGCACTTCTGCGTCCCCGTGGCCCACCCGGTCCTAAAAGTCGAGTTCCACGTCAAGGACAACGACGTCCTCGGCGCGCAGCTCATCGGCGTCGTCGAGCTCCCCGTGGAGAAGGTCACCCCGGGGGAAAAAATCGACGATTGGTTCCCCCTGGTGGGCCACGCGGGGAACTGCCTCAAACCGAATCCGGAGCTCCGGGTCTCGGTCCAGTTCAAACCGGTCGGGGTCGCCGCTGGACCGGGATGCGGTGGGGTTCCCAACACGTATTTTCCTCTAAGGAAGGGAGGGATGGTGACGCTGTACCAGGACGCGCACGTCCCCGACGGGATGGTGCCAGAGATTTTGCTGGACGGCGGGAAGATTTACCAGCATCAGAAGTGCTGGGAGGATATGTGTCACGCAATGTTGGAGGCGCATCATTTCATCTACGTGATCGGCTGGTCGATTTATCATCGGGTTAAGCTCGTCAGGGAGCCAACGAAAGCAGTGCCGTCCGGCGGGGAGCTCACATTGGGCGAGCTCCTGAAGTACAAATCGCAGGAAGGGGTGAGAGTCGTGATGTTGATCTGGGATGACAAGACTTCTCACGACAAGTTCCTCCTCAAAACGGTACGTGCAGCTTCGCGATTCGTAGAAAAGGATTCGTCCGAGCGAGAATTAATGAGTTTGATTGTGCATATACAGGAAGGGGTTATGCAGACCCATGACGAGGAGACAAAGAAGTTCTTCAAGCACTCCACAGTACACTGTGTTCTTGCACCTCGTTACGCCAGCAACAAGCTTAGCATTTTCAAGCAACAGGTGATTGACGATGATTTTCCCCCGTGCGTGCACGAAAACTGTATGTGATTTGATCGATTCAAATGCATGTAACGCCACGATGAATTGTTGCATGGTCTTTGGTGTAGTCCAGGTGGTCGGGACCCTGTTCACGCACCATCAGAAGTGTGTGATACTGGACACGCAGGCTTCTGGTAACAACAGGAAGATCACTTCATTCATGGGCGGCTTGGACATGTGTGACGGCAGATACGACACTCCTGATCACAGGTTGTTTCGCGATCTTGACACTATCTTCCTCAACGACTTCCACAACCCGACTTTTCCAGTAAGCTATATACTGCATATATGGCTTCTGCAACATGTATTTTCTTGACCCTCTTGTGCATGAACAAGCTAACACATGGTTAGTCTAATGCGAGGAGTCCGAGACAACCGTGGCATGATCTGCACTGCAAGATCGAAGGCCCAGCCGCGTACGACATCCTGACGAATTTCGAGCAGAGGTGGAGGAAAGCCCAGAAATGGAGGGATTTCAGGCTGAAAAAGGTCACCCATTGGCACGACGATGCCTTGCTCAGGTTGGATCGTATCTCTTGGATTCTGAATCCGTCCAATCATGGGGACAAGGATGTCTACGCTTGCGACGAATCCGATCCTGAGCGTTGGCATGTCCAGGTAATCGATCCAACTCTTGCTTTGATTAGTTTGAGCATAAGCAGAGTTCTTGGAATTCTACTTATGAACATCACCAGAAACTCTCCGTAACTCTCCGTTTGTTCTGTAGATCTTCAGGTCGATTGATTCTGGATCTGTCAGGGGATTCCCGAAGGCAGTTGGAGAAGCAGCAGCTCAGGTTTTTATAGTTCACAGAAACCCTTCACTGATAATCTGCATATGTATCGAGACAATCCATATTATTGAATAGTTTGTTACTGTTAATGGCAGAATCTGGTGTGCGGGAAGAACCTGAAAGTGGACAAAAGCATTCATACAGCATACATTAAGGCAATCAGATCAGCACAACACTTCATCTACATAGAGAACCAATACTTCCTTGGATCTTCCTTCTGCTGGCCCTCCTACAAAAATGCAGGTATCATATGAACAGGGAAGAACCCAGAAAAGATATTTAATATCAGGCTTTGACAGGGGAGATTTGATCACCCTTTTCGGTTACGCTGATGGATCCATCATTCTCACCAGGTGCTGATAACCTGGTACCAATGGAGATAGCGCTGAAGATAGCGAGCAAGATCAACACAAACGAGCGTTTCTCAGCTTATGTGGTCATACCCATGTGGCCAGAGGGTTCTCCTACCAGTGCTGCAGTTCAAGAAATCTTGTTTTGGCAGGTGAAGAAATTTCTAGTTTTTTTTTTTTTTGTAACCGGAAGTGATACACGGGATATGCATCACGATAGAACGAAAAGAAAGGTCGATGACTACGTACTGATCGATCGACTTGATCGTGTGGATGTGTATGCCAGGGACAAACGATGCAGATGATGTACAAGATCATAGCAAATGCACTGGAGAAAGCAGGGCTGCTGGAGGCTTACCATCCACAGGACTACCTGAATTTCTTCTGCCTTGGCAAACGAGAAGACAAGAATCAAGACTGTGCTGGTTTTTTGAATCCCCAAACTGAAAATCGTGCTTTGGTAACTCCAAGACGACTACTGATCTCACTTTCATTTTCTGTTAAAACATAGTAATCAATCAGGGGCACCTCCCCTGCTCTTTGCTCTCCTTGGCAGGCAGCATGTCAAAAGTACCGCAGATTCATGATCTACGTCCATGCCAAAGGGATGATTGTCGACGACGAGTATGTAGTCATCGGATCAGCAAACATCAACCAGAGATCTCTAGACGGTTCAAGAGACACCGAGATCGCCATGGGAGCTTACCAGCCAGCATATACTTGGGCTGCCAAACAGGGCCACCCGCGTAGCGAGGTCTGGATACCAAAATACTCTAGCAAACTGACCTTCTACGGTACTCCCAGTAAACTTCGCGAGTATACGGTACTTCTGATCGTTTCACTACATCGATGTACAGTATACTCCGAGTCTGCCAGGAGTACCGAATATAGTCGATGATTGAACAGTTTCGTGGATTTGTGGTTTGATTAGATATACGGATACCGGATGTCGCTGTGGGCGGAACACATGGGGGAGCTGGAGGAAGAACACAGGGAGCCGCAGAGCATGAAGTGCATGAAGAGCGTGAACAAGGTTGCTAAGAACAACTGGAAGGCGTTCGTGGCCGAGCAGAGGCTCCCGATGAAAGGACACTTGATGCAGTACCCTATTCAAGTCAGCAGAGATGGTAAAGTCACTGCTTTGCCCGGCCACGAATCTTTCCCAGACGTCGGCGGCAAGGTCCTTGGCTCGCCGACCACGCTTCCCGATTCCCTCACCACCTGAGTAACAACATGAGTGTAGCTGTCCCCTCAACTTAACTATGACGGGTCTCATGCACAGAGGGATTGTTGAAATACCATGTGAAAGGAAGAGTTGTTAAACAGAAAGGGAACCAGAAGTGTTTTTACTGAACCATAGATTTATATGTTAGACGAGCTAGATATCTTAACAGGCTCCGCCAAAGGTTAGAGGGACTAACTGGTTTTGGTTTTCCGTTTAACTGACAGCCAATCCGATTTAGTAGATTTGAGCAACTTCCGGCTTTCCATTAACAGGTTAGCTTGATAACAAACCATGACCAAGAACATAATTGAGAACTGCAAGTCCAATGAAAACATCCATGACAAAGCTGGTTTATATTGGCCAAATTCATATCGATTCTGCAGCTTTCTGCTAATCATTCAGATAATCGATTTTGGTCCATTGGTTAACCGTTCAGTCAAATGTTACATTACCAGTTAGGTTACGGCTTAAAACAAACGACCTCCCAAATGGATTTCAGTTTCGTTTCCGGTTGGATTAACCGAATAGAACAGTCAAACTGGTTAGCCATCCCTACACCAGATTGACTCTAATTGTTTTTTTACGGTTAAGACAATAGACATCGGATCAATGTAAAATCTAAATGCAGGGAAGTCGAAAAGAAGAAGAAATGATATACACAACAGTAAGGAAAACCGTAGTTATGAACCATAATCCACAATCGCAAGCACGGTTTGTAGGAAATATTTGAAGGGAATCGTACCAAAACCCTCTCAAGTAACTGTCTGACAGAAGGTAAAAGTAGCAAGCAGAATGTTCACCAAGTTCAGGAGGAGAAACGTTTTCTTTGCTCTAAGGAGACACTGAAGGACAGAAATGCTTTACAGAGGCCCCCGCTTGTTTCCCGACTCATAGGAATCACTGGTTCATATACTCAATATCTTTCTCGCACCTAGCAGAGAAAAGCGTCAACGAGGATTCAGAGATGGGCTAAAAGGGAGAAATAGTGAAAGCAAAAACTCGATATCAGCAGGCATGGAGCAGTAGTAACCTAGTAATAATGTTATCTAAAGATACGCACAACACTTTAGCTTATAATGAATTCCTGTTATTTATCCAGATAACAAGTGAAATATGGATGCTAAGAGCAGTAAACATTGATTCTTATATATTGAAGATCGAATGGATGTAGTGAAGCGGAGTAAAAAGGGCAAACAAGGCTTACTTGATGTGTCCCTGACTGATCCATAGGGTTGTTGAAGTCTCTTTGTCCTTCCTGTGAGTTCCTTTGTGAGAAGCCTTGAGCTTCACCTGGATAGCCACGCCCGCCACCAGCTCCACCTTGCCCATAGTTCCCACTAGGAACGGATGAATAATTACCACTGTCTCCCCTAAACTCCCTCTGTCCAGGAGAGCCATAATTTGTCTGAGCACCACCCTGGAAGCCACCTTGCCCTGGTGGTGGATAGTAATTACCCTGCTGCCCTTGGCTATCCCTGGTGTTCACAGGCATCTGACCGGGTGTGCGAGGATAATTCTGTTGTGGCGGGAAATTCTGTGGAGGTCCATAGTTTCTACCATCACCTTGCACGGGAGGCCCTTGTTGCTGATGAAATTGAGGGTTAGCCTGCTGCGGAGGATAGTTCTGTTGTGGAGGGAAATTTTGAGGTGGATGCCCTTGCTGCTGATATTGAGGGTTGCCCTGCTGCTGGTTGTATTGAGGAGGACCTTGTTGATTGTATCGATAATTTCCGCCTTGTTGATATTGCGGGTTACCTCCTTGTTCACCATACCTCCTCCGCATTCGTGATCTATCATTCCTCTGAAACTGTACTGGAGGAGGTCTGTGTGTTATCACGCCATTCTCGTATTTGTCCCCTGAAGAATAGAAATCAAATTAGATCTAAACTGTTCAATCAATTTCCATATCCACAAAACAGAAGTAGATTCACATCGATTAGTCATGAGCTTCCTAGCCTCACCTCCATATTCTTTGTTTGCAGGATCAATATACGAGTCCGGTAAAACGAACACAACACCAGGCAAATCTGTTTAAAATTGAAAACAACAAACCAATATCAGCTGAGAACTCCACAAAGCGAATATGAATCAATCCAACCGAATTGGAAAAAACTGTCATGCCTGAAAGCAAAACTGACCTTTGAATTTCTCGGATTCCTCTTCGGTCATTATAGCTTGAAACCCCTGGTAAGTTGTTGTGCTACAAGCATACATTTTCTTCTTGGCCTCCTCAATGCTGGAAAAAAAAAACCCAACATCAATCAGGAAAAAAAAAATAACTACTTGCTCGTTCAAAATACCTCCTAGACCACATTAATTGCTCCCCAAGAACACCAGCTGGGAAACCCTAGCTTAGACAGATGACTACCGCAATCATAATCCTTCATGTCTTCTCAATGGAAGGAAAAAAGAAAACAACAAAGTACCTGATGCCGAGTCCTTGGGCGCAAATTCTCTCGTAAGTAGCAACCATCTCTTCGGCCGACGGCACAGGATCCTTGGGGAAATCGACGGTGATGAGCCAGTGGTTAAAGTCACAGCCTTCGAAGAGCACGGTATCCTCTGTCATCTCGTCTCCTTCCTTGTACAGTTTGTACTTCCTCTCCTGCGCCAGCGACACCCTCGAACCAGTAAACCCGCGAGAATGAGAGAGCGAGGAATTAGGCGGCGCGGACACGGCGGAAGTTCGGGGGAACAGACGAGGGCCAGTTTGAATTGGTGCGGCGGGGATGATTGGAGAGGACAGAGAGCGATGGACGGAGGAGAGTGAGGTCACAGCTCGACGGAGACGACCGAATTGGAGGGCCATGGAGGCGAGAGCGCGCGACGGGATGATGATGGAGACAAAGACGGTAGGGTTTTGGAAGGGTTCAGGGAATTTGTGAGAGTGATCACTCGCTGCCCGCTGGCCGCAGCTCAGCTCACTAATAAAAAAGAAATAACTGCAACCAAAACTAACTTATTACGTTTTGGCCCTTGCAATGTGCAATTTGTTCAAAAATACTCCTAATTTATCAAAATTCGTGTGTTTTAATTTTTATGCTATTGTACCATGTGCAAGGTTGTCAAACCGGTGTATACCGTTGTGCCGGTTTGGCAAGTGGAATGGTACGACCGGTGATATAACCAGTTTGTGCCGGTTCATGCCAGTTTAAAAAAAATGTGAAAAAATTAATATCCAATGTATCTAATCATATATAATACATATTTGTGGACAATTTAGTTACAATCCAATAAATATCATCAACTTTTAACTATTACATTCATAAAATGAATAATAAATTAATTTTTTTATTCATTAAATTCATTAATATGATGTAATTTTACTTAGAATGGTTAAGTCGATCATACCGGTCATACCGATGGTGTTATGCCGGTTTCATGACCGGCACAGGTTGAACCAGATTCAACCGGGTGGCATGCCACCGGCATGACAACCATGACCATGTGATTTCTTTTTAGTTTTTACAATAACACGATCTCATTCATAATAATTGACGTATAAGTTATGTATTAATATTATGTATGTTATAATAGGTAAGAGGCCAAACAAGGATTTTTAATTTATTCAGCAGGCAATGTTCTTTGGCAAATTTTTTTCCAACCCAATCAGCTTTCATGTTCCTCATCATTGAATGAGAAAATTTGATACACATAGCTTTCTTGTCGGTTTGAGAAGATGATCGCAGATAGCCAACTCCATCACAAGGCCGAGAACCCTGAATAAGACTTTAGCTTCCGCAACAAATGAAGTGGAACAACAGGAGGGGGGAAAAAAACTATCGAGTCCTCATGTCAAACACTTGTCCACGAGAGCCGGTTACTTACAAACAACCACCCCCATAATTCGACACCTGAGACACCGAGAAGAAAGCTCAGTCACGGTGAATCTCCAATCGAGAAAGAATAAGACAGTGGACTGAAATCTGAGCGGAATGAAGAGAGTTTGCTATCAATTGTTGTTTGGTTCACAATGAAAACTAATATGTTTCCGTCAATTGTGTGAACTCCATCGATGTTTTTTTGTGTAATGTGTAAAGTGTGAACTTAAACTACTTAAGCTGAACCCCATGGCAGATTCTACTACTGCATAAACTAAAGAGCTTAAAGAAGCACGTGAAAATGTAATTCACATTAAACTATGCTTTCCATAAACATAAACAATGGCAGCCGCGTAGCAGAGCATACCCATTTTAATGGCGATGGAAAGTTGACCCATTACAGTAACCAGCCAGCCACTATCCCCGCCATTTGTTGACTCCTAACAAATGCCATATCGTATATATAAACAAACCATAACCGGCTAAGCAGATGTCTACACCTCAGATCAGCGGATCCGCCAAGGAACTCCATTGACAAAAGAACACCGCAAAGATACCCCCAACGAAGAAGAAACCAAAGCCCCCGTTTTCTCCCCCTGCTGTCGTCGTCGTTAGCAGCAAGTAAGGACAACGGATACTTCCATCATTTGTTCCAGGATCGGCTGCTCCGCTTAAATTCAAAATCCAGAACAGAGGGTCGAACACTTTCAGGGGAAATGGGGAAGGGCGCGAAACAGAGCAGGGTGAAGAAGGTGCTGAAGTTCCCGGTGAAGTTGCTGCTGAAAGCCAGAGACTTTTACATCACCGGGATGTCCCAATTGTCCGACCACCTGCGCTACGACGCCGTCGCCACCATGGGCTGCCCGACCCCTTACACCGCCTCGCTCCCGAGGAGCTACAGCGTCGGAGGAGGCGGTGGATCGACGAATTCGAGGTCGGATTACAGCGAGCTAATCAGGACGGATTCCGTCAGGGGTAACAACAGGAGTGTTTCTCAGAAACAGGGTGTGATTTCTTCAGGGATGATCAAAGTCAGTGGAGGATCAGGGAAGGTGTCCAGAAGCTACAGCGTCGGGCTTGGAAGGATCGAGGAGGAGAAGTCCGGCGATTTCGGGGAAGATCGTGCTGCGAGCTCCGACGCTTTTCGCAGGAGCAGAAGCTGCGCGGTTTCTGCAACCGGCGGTGTTTTTGCCAGGACGGCGACTGCAGGGAAGTTCAGACAGCAGCTATAGTTTAGCATGGGAATTGGGAGGTGATTTGATCACTTTTCCTCAAAAGCAGAAGCTGCCCTGTTTCTGCCCTGCCTCTACTCACCCGAAATTCTTCGTCCTGAAGATAGACATACATCAGGCAGGGGAGAACCTTTTTCTTCTTCGTTTATGGTTGTAAATGTTCCGGCAATGACCAGGAAAAAAAAAGCTTGCCAATACAAAGTGTTGTTGTTATGAATTACGATTATTGAAACTAGATAAGGAAACAGAGACATCAAAATTCAACTGAAAAAAGCAGTAGCAGTAAGATCAGACAAAGCAACACAGAAACAGCAAAGGCTCAAGATTAGACCAGATATCTCTCAAATGTTCGTAACCACAACCACAATTGGGCAATGACATGTATTCTGGAGGAGCAGACATACAAAATGAGATTCCATCAAAACAATTTAATCAGCCGACGAGCTCTTCCTCCTTGTGGGTCTCGATGACGACGTCGGAGGTCGCGTAAGCCACGCAGGTGAGAACCCACCCTTCCTCTATCTGTTCGTCGTCGAGGAAGCTCTGGTCGGACTGGTCCACCTCCCCGCTGACGACCTTCCCGGCGCAGGAGGAGCAGGAGCCGGCCCTGCAGGAGTACGGCAGGTCGTGGCCGGCCTCCTCGGCGACGTCGAGGATGTACTCGTCGCTGGGGCAGTCGAAGCTGATTTCTCCCTCCGGGGTCTTGAGGGTCACCTTGTATGCCATCGCCGCCATCCTCCTCCCCGCTCCAGCTCCTCTGGATTTCAGCCCGAACAGGGCCTGGTTCGAGCTGAGTGACTTGAGGGACGCGGCCGACGGGTTCGGCCGGGTGAACCTGGTGGAGAGCTGGATCGGGCTACATAGTCCTGCTGCTGTAGATGCCATTGTTCTTCTTCTTTCTCTTTGGAGGCAGAGAGTTTGTTGATGATGAAATGGGTGAGGAGGAGAAGTGAGGTGGTGGTGGTGGTGGTAATAGTAGTAGTTGAGGTTGGAGCTTGTGAGGATGGATATCTGCCACGTGGCGGGCGATTGTGGTATGTGTTATCTGCTTCTTTATCAGCACCATGCACCAGAGAAATTTTGGTGACTGAGGTTGGCTTAGAGGGTGTGGCTGCCACAATCCAGTGTCGACTTATCGGATCGTTAAACATCTAACGATCCGATAAGTCTCTTATAGAAAACTCCAGTTTATCTCAAGTCTAAACAAGTTTTTCGGATAGAACACGTCAACAAGCACCAACACAACTGCTTATTGAGTGAGATCGTATCGATTCTCGACCACCGATTGTACCAAAGAATAGACTCGTAGCAAAACAAACTCCAAAGGTAACCACATTTCCGGAGTATATCGGGATACTTGCTCGACAAGGCATCTAGCGAGGATAAGGGGTCAGTCGCTTCAACAAGTCGCATGCAGCTTACATAATGAATGAAAATTAGGGTATCAGTTCTTAGTACACGAGGCCGACTACTCGTAAAAAGCGATAAAATGACGACGAGGGAGGTTCGATATATTTCCTGCTAATGCTTCACAGATATATGACAAATCTCTGGGACTCTAAATTAAAACTTTCACTTACAAAAGGGGGGCCAAAAAAAGAAAACCAGAAACACCAAGAACTACTGCTTCCCCCGCTACTCCAGGGAAGAGTGTTTACCGTCCCCGTCCTCTCAAAACCTTTTGTTGTTGATTCGTCCACTACAATTTTCCCCCTGAAAATTCGTCCATCGAGTTGACCAGTTGCTTCGTCTCGAAAATCGTGTCCCCAGGATGCTAAAAGAATATTAGGGCTCCGGGAGAAAGAAGCGCCTAGTCTTCTGGTTCCGTGAACCGCCCAGTTCTACTAGTCACACTTGATGTTTCTGTAGATCCTCCTTACAAACAAGTTTGAGCCTAGATAACCAACGGCACCTGCACCATCCCAACATTACGCATTAACACGAGCGAAAGAAGAAAACGCAGCAGAATACTATGTGGTGCTAGGCTTTCAGCTATTGTAGACTGGTGATGTATCGTTCGAGCTTAGCTACTTAACCACCCATCATAACAGGGCCGATTTTAGTTAGTCCAAGAAATGACATAACCTAGAGATTCCCATTTCCCCTCATGCATGAAGGATAAAGGCATCTAAGAGAACGAGTGGGTAGTATCAGCCATTTCGAGCAACTCTCCCGGGACATAGAAGCACTACTTCCACTATATAGCGGCTGAAATAAAACATAGTCTAGAGCAGAACAACTCACCACAGAGTATTCCGAGGCCAAGGCAGAACATCAAAGTGTATCCAAAATAGAAGCTCGTCTGGAAGAAGCCTGACATCTTGGTCTTCACGTAGTAGTAGTAGATCGAGTACAAGTACACATAAACAGCTGTTGATGCAGCAGAGAAGAAGGAGGTCCATTGCCAATGGTAGTTCTCAGCATTCAGCAAGAAATATGTGCCCACAATTGTCACGCAAACAGTTACGATGATGAGAATCAGGAAAACAAGCAGCATGAAGCCATACACATAGTAGACCTGCAAGACATGAAGGAAATTATCAGGGTAAGGACTGGTTTGGTTTCTACAAGAAAAATAATAATTTGAAGCAATTGAAAACGATCAATTTGAGGTATATATTTGCAATCCAAACCAGCAAAGAAATTTCACCTTGTAATTCCAGAAAGAGGTGAAAACAAAGTACATCTCAATGAATATGCTGCCAAAGGGAAGTAGTCCCCCCATCATTGATACAACAGATGGTGTTAGGTACCATTTCTTCTCTGGGATTGGGCGAGGAATGGTCTTAACACGGCAGGGGTTATTTGGAGCACCACTCCAATTCCTACCAACCACTGTACCAAGAAGTGCTAGGGGGAAAGATATGAAAGCCCAAATGACGAAGACAACCACTATGGTACCAAATGGGATGGCAGCAAGAGATCCATAGAATATAGCAATTGTGTTCAAAACAAAGCCAATTCCAAAGCACATAAATGGGAACAATGAAGCTGTTAGGATCATTGCCTTTATCCAACTTTTACCTGAAAAGAAAATACAAAGCCTTCATAAGAACACAAATGCCAGATACAGAGACCAATGGAAGCAGACAAACAAAAGATATGATATAGATGCATACCTCCATGACGAGAATACATTCCTCCACTAACATAACCAGAAATGAACGACGTTAGGGCATAGCAAACAATGAAAGTCGTGACAATTGCTCCTCTCCTGCACAACACAAATACATGCAACTATCATTAGATAAGAAACTGCAAGAAAATCATAGGGAGAAGGAAAATTTTACAAACATAAGTCTTATTCCGAGAACACTCTGAAACGGAGACAAATATATGGCACAAATGACGTGTCCCTCATGACATATACAGATGACAAACGGAACAAGAGAGATGGAGCAAATGCACAAACCGACAAACTAGAAAGGGATCGAAGTTTTGGAAGAAGCACATACCCAACATACAACATCCCAATAATAGCCAATAGGATGACAAGAAGCACAAGCAGTGCCAGCTGAGCACCAGTCCCAACAACAGCGGACAGAATAACTAAACTGCGTGGAGGACGGAAAACATCTCCATGAACAAGCTTCCAACCAGACTCTTCACTGACATCTCTTTCCTGTTAAACATCATAAATTGTTTAGACATACAAAAATTAGAAGTCTACAGTTAAAGATGATAAATCTTCATTATATATGGTCTACAGGAATCCCGACAAAATTAATATCATATGATTCTCCAAAACATTATATATAAGAAACACAAAATTTAAAGAGGTTCAATGGGACGAGGCAATACCAAAGACTCCAGATCATCATCTTCTCTAGCATACTTAGCATAGTCATTTCTCAGGGTTCGCATCAATATCATTGAGACCAGACCAGTGAGAAAGATGACCATCATGAAAGAGTTGAAAATGGAGAACCAATGGATCTGCATTGAAAAGTAACTCGATAAATAAATGAAAACCAAATAAAGGGAAATAATAAAATTTAAGAATCAATGATCCAAAAATGGAAAACATTAGGTCTTCAAAAAAAAAAATATGACATAAATTGTAAGCTGAGTAGCAGCTTTACCTGGTGCTCGAAGAAAGGATAATCCAAGTAGACATCAAAGCGACGAGCAAAAGAAACATTAGTTGCAATCCATTTGACAGAGTATGTCATTTCCATGCTTCTTCCCGCTTCGAGGGGTTTGGCACCCTCTTGAGTCAGATTCACATGAATTATCTGCAGGAATAGACACTTCAACATCCTGAACAACAAAGCAGCATTAACTAACAATTCAACTGACGGTGAAATACCAACCTGGTTTTTGTTATATTTAACTGTAATACTCTTGTGCGTGTACAGGACATGTTTACCATTGTCACTGTTTTTATCAGGATGCAACTCCCCAACAAATCCTGAGGAAACAATTAAGAATCAACTCAAAACGATACTTCGGCAATAGGAAACAATAACAACAACAATGAGGTCAGTACATACCCCATAATGGCAAGTCATCTGCATAAATGGTCACAGAACAGAAGATCAGGAATCAGAAGACACAATAAACTCATTAGTACATCAACCTTGAAACCAATCATGACAATTAATCAACCATAACCAATAAAACCAAAAAGAGAAACAGGTTCCTTGTTAGAATTGGTGTAGTGGTCATCAAAGCTATCACAAGATTTGCCAGGTTAGCTTATGTTATCGGAAAATGTTTGAAATCAGATGGAGATGGAAACATGACGCTAAAGACGGGCCAAAACAGAACATACCCATGAAGAACTCAAACCAGTAACTGTTCTCAATGGCATCTTTGAAGTGTCTGACCTTAGCTTCATCAAGGTCAAGCTGACAAATGGAAGCTTTGTCTACATTCTCTGTTGGAATAGAAAATGAGGTAAGCCAAACAAATACCATAAACAGAAACACCGCCTCGCAGCATCAGAAATTTGAACATGGCATATAAGAAGTTTGTACATACTCTGGAACTTTATGTCCAGCAAACTATCAATAAGTTCATTTCCACCCAGGACTTCACCAAGGCCACCCCATTTATGAGCAGTATTTCCAGCTGGACGGCAAAATGGAAGGCTGTAGTAGTTGTACGTTTCCTGTGGGTTATTATAAGGACCCACTTTGTTCACCCAAAGAGTAACAGGATCATCTGGTTGGTACTGAAAAGCAATATGTGATAAAGAGTTAGAGATAAACTCGACAAACCATCAGTTCATAGTGAAATAGTAATAATATCCACATTATCAATTGGAAAGAAACTTGCTAGCAAAAGTCATTAGTATGTCCACGAGGAACGTGATTCCAGCAAGTATTGCTATTATTTTTCCAGGGGATTCCGGCAAGTAATCAGCAGTTTAAAATTCAAAATAAGCGAACACATTCCCTATATCATCAAGTTAATCGATCAATTCCACCTCAGCAGAAACATCACTGGATGCCAATATAACAGCTTACGAATAGAACATAAACTAATCCCCCGCTAGCTTTTAAGCCTGACCACCAAATTTATACCGGGGAAAACACATACACGTGCAACAATTGCACACTCCTGAATAGCTCCAGTAATTCTGCAAGTTTCCAGTACACATCGAAATTCAAAAGACAACTACATGCTTTGATGGGGCACAATGCAATATGTAAAATATCCAGTCCCATCGTGGACCTGATACTCTTTTCATGAAGTCCATCAGAAACAACGAAATCTCAGAAACCCCGACATGGGGAAAGGATGAAGATTGAAAACACTATGCAAGCTGTGGGAAGTGCCTAAAAGAATACTTGGGAGTAGATCCAGATGAAAATAATCCAAGACATGTGCATGATCCAATGCATCATTCTGACATGATGAATGCATAAATACCAAAATCAATAACATAGGCTGAAACCATGAAGCCATCAGACTAATTGTGCAAAAACTAAATGGTTCAACATGCAAGGTCATGCAAGATGCAACATCCTAGCACGGTAGCATCCTACTACACTTCACTTCGGCACCACAATCACTAGCATTTCCGCCAAAAAATCTGGAACCAGATAGGATAAAACAACTCGCAGCTGCTACAGCACTCTATCCACCATCATAAACATCAGCACGCATACAATACAAAATGAACAAAAATAAAATAAAGGGGAGATCTAATTCCCAATCGACGCGTTCTCAATCCACGCTGCTTCAGCTATCTAGGAACCCTAGCACCAGAAACGGACCTACTAACAATTCAAGAATCACAACATTGGGAGGAGCATTTTTCCCGCACAGATCTGAGTCCAATTCGGGAGCTCATAAACCTAGAGGAACGAGATCTAGAACCAACACCAACTCAGCACCGGCAGTGAAGCACGGGGATAAGGGAGGCTCGTTACCTTGTGATCTGACTCGGAGGCGAGGACGAGAGGAGAGATGAGAAGAAGAGCGCAGAGGAAGAGATGGAGAGATCGGGATGACGCGGCGGAGGACATTGCGATCGCCGGCAGGGGAGCAAGGGGGATCTTCGGGTCCGGTGGAGCCGCGTCGTCGGGCTGGTGTAATCTGCCGAGAGCTATTTGCGAGCTCTGTGCATCCGAAGGTTCTTCTTTTCCCTTCCTCCTCCGACCCTGGCCGCTCTGCGTTTTATTGGACGAGACTCTGTATAGTAAAAAAAAATTGAGACCGAAAGTCCTTTCTCGTTTTTCTTTTTTTTTTTATTTCCCTTTTTTTTTTTTTTTGCAAAGCCATAGTATTAATCAAAAGTCACATACCTGAAGAAATAAAAGCGTGGGAGTCGACCAATAGTCGAACTCCCGATGAGAGGGCCTTTTGTGTCACATGATGGGCAGCCCTATTAAGGTGACGAGAAACAAAACAGAAAGAAACACTGTGGAACGAAGATGCCAAGCTCCGGACGTCCTCCAAAATAGCACCACCCCGAACATGATGCACATCCCCTCCAATCATCCGACGGATCAAGAGTTTGAGAGTCCCCATGAAAACAAACAGCAAGAAAGGAATGAGTTAGACACCACTGTACAGCATCCCGTCACCTTAAATTTCCCTTTGATTCCATAGATGGTAATTAAATTTACCGACTGCCCTCCATACCGTTGGAATATCGGGTAATCAACATAAACAGTCACACAACTTTGCACTTCGTACAAAACGGTTAGAAAATTTTTATTTTGTAAATTTCGATAACACGGCTTTGTAAATTTCGATAACAGCTGCATCCGTAGTAATTGAAACGACCCCTTCGACTGGCTTTCGCCATTTCTTCTAAACTCCGTTTGGTTGCAAAACTTCTTCCATTTCCTGATGTCGGTTGAAGTCCTCCAAGAATAAGGTTGCTCTAGCGGTAATTTCATCCGGGGGGTTATATCCATTGAAGAGTTGGCCATTTCTTTCTCTCCACAAAAACCATAACAGACAGTTGATGTGGCGTCCAACAAAGCTTCTTAGTCAACAAATAATCAATAATATATTATTTAATGATTTATTTTAATTTTTTTAATTTATATACAATTAAGATATTAAAAAAATAAAATAACTTTCCTCTCTCCTCTTACACCTCTTGGCTTCCCCTATATCACCGCTACTGAAGGTGGCAAATGGTTTGGATTGGTGAATTGGTGGATCCACAAATGGATTGGATCCAACGAATTGGTGGATTCATGGATTGGATCAAGTGGATTGGTGGATTATCCATGAATCCACATGACATCCTCAACCAATGACCAATATGTAAAATGCAAAAAGTTTAGGTCCTAAAATGTCATAATGAAAATTTTAAGGTACCAAAATATAATTTTAAGTGATATTTCAGTATAAAAATTAAATTTTATGTACCAAAATGTAAAAAAGAAAGATTATAGGGACTAAACTGTAATTTGTCAATGATTCATGGATCCAATCCATGAATCCACTTAGATTTGGATAACATGGATTGGATTAGTTGAATATTTTTAATGGATTGATGAATTGGATTGAGAATTGCCACCTCTCTCTAAACGCCACTCTCGCATCTTCACCGACAATCCATCCCTCAAGCGGCGCAAGAGGGTGAAATTCCCCTTGGGACAAAACTCCATTCTCGGACAAAGCTGCCCTATAATCCACCGGCTCGGCGGAGAGATGTATCTCTTCATCCCCGTCCAAATGGTACCAGAGCATTTAAGTATCGTTGCTTATGTGATTTGGGTGATGGATTTGATACCCAAATTCCATGTATTATGTATTTGTAAAAAAATAAAACATTGTTTGTTGAAGTACACAAATTAATGGTCCATGAATTTAAATTTTTTTAGCTCCAAATATGTGGACCCCACACATATTTGCAAATATCACATTTCATATCGTCATTATTTTCTCTCTGATGGCGAAATGGATAAACAGACGATTTTCGTGTACTGCAGTGCAATTTACCAGTGACAGTGAGAAAGAAAATAAAACGGAACACAGTGCAATTTATCTCTTCCCAGTTCTCGTCTCGCATGCCCTTTCTTCCTCCGACCGCCGCGGTTTCTCCCCTTCCCGTCCGTCATTCCTTTGCCGCCGTTACTTGCCTCCCCATCCAGAGGGCTCCGTTTTCCTGTCTTTTGACCGCGCTAGTTCTCTCCTGAAGAAGGGCATTCTCAGCAGACTGAAAGCTGAACCAGGTCTATACATCACCAATTCTGAGCTTCGGAACTGCCTTTTCCTTAGAAGCTACAATTACTGCTGTTGATAGCGTAAGGCCTGTTTTCTATTGCTTGAAATCGAGATTTTTCTTTCAAATAACGTCTGCTTGGCGGTCAGCTGACTTCACGTTTTCCCGTCGTGTTCCTATTCGAAGTTTTATTTCTTTGAAATTGATATTCTAAAAATGTTTGTCTGCTTGTCTAGGCGGACTTGCGCGCTATGTGTTCGACGAATTGCCCCACTGAAAGTTGTGTCCTCATTTCTTGATTGTTGGTTTTCCTAATCGTTCTCTGGCTGGAATTCTGTAAAAATTGCAGAACGTTTGCTTTCATCTGCTGAAAACATTGCCTGTCAACTGATAATAGCTGCTAGGTGGGTGAACTTTCTCCGCTGCTGGATGCCCCACTAATCGTCTGTGACTCTATCCTTCCATTTGCCATCATCTCCTCCATCACCATTAACGTAGTTCGGAGATGCTGTCTTCAGCAATTTCCCGCCTCAATTTCCTTCCGAAGCCCTCTATCGCTATTTTATCTCACGAAGGCTTCAAACACTGCGAGCAGCGGTTGTGGAATCTAAATTGCTCTCTCCTTTACTCGCGCTCCTGCGTTGCTTCCACTCCCCGTGTTTCCTCCTCCTGTGCACCCACTCGGGCGTCTAAAGACGACTTGGTTGTTCTCGGCATTGAGACTAGCTGTGATGACACTGCAGTCGCTGTTGTAAGTCACTAGCATTTCACATTCTTTCTCCCGACTATTTCATCTGCCCGAACTAGAATTCACTTTGGTTTTGGATTTGCTTGTTCTTTACATTTAGGTTAGAAGCAACGGCGAAATCCTGAGCCAAGTTATATCTTCTCAGGTATGCGAAATGTGAGCTTTGATGTGCTGTTGAATCAAATAATCCTGGAAGTGAGTGGCGCGGGCTTTTGAATGAGGGCATGAACTAACTGAATCTTTGTTACTGACTATGTCAAGTCAGAGTTGCTTGCTCGATATGGAGGTGTTGCTCCCAAAATGGCGGAAGAAGCTCATTCCCTGGTGATTGATCAGGTGTGTTGGTCATGTCTTAGTCAATATCAATATGGTGAAGATTCTGCTGAATGATAATGCTCTCTGAACTTCGGGCCTAAGGAAATTTTGACCTGGAGATGCTGAAAATAAAGATATTTATTTGCTGGGTGTTGTATCTCTACTGGCTCCTACATGTCCATGTTGTAGGTTGTGGAGGAAGCACTTGATAAAGCTAATCTTACTGCAAACAATCTATCTGCAGTTGCTGTTACCATTGGTCCTGGTTTGAGCCTTTGTCTACGCGGTAAGTAAAGTAATTTGCACTCTGTTCTGATGGACCATTGTCACAGTTGAGTCCAAGTATGTTGAAATAAAAATCAGGTGTCTCTCTAGAATAATCAGGAAATTCCACGAACTTTTGATTCCTTCCCGTCAGTTGCTCGATTAGCCTAGATTGTAATTTCTTATTACCTTTCTCTCTTCCGCCATCATAGTTTCGTGGAATATGAATTCTGTAATATTTGTCTTGTTCAGTTGGTGTGCGGAAAGCTCGTAAACTTGCTGGTGCATTCAACCTACCGATCATTGGTGTCCATCATATGGAGGCTCATGCTCTTGTAGCCAGGTAATGATTAATTCGTGTGGATAGAGTATGGTATGAGAATTTTGTTAATATGTCAATGCAATAGAAGTTTTATCTGTTTCAGGGAAGTGATACTTGATAGCTTTTGTCTGTGGTAGGATCATTGAGCACGATTTGCATTTTCCTTTCTTGGCCTTGCTTATTTCAGGTGAGGTTATTGCCAGAGTTTATGTACTTCTTTTCATTTATCGAATTACATAGTTTAAGGAAAACATACTTGTATGAACTTGACTAGGAATGGAACCTTGCAGTGTAAGAATGTGATCGTTTGATTTGTGATATCAAGTGTCAGACAATAAGGGAGATTTGTTTGTGACAATGGATCCCTTCATTACAGTAGTGATGTGATTTTGTCATCTTTTTCTTATCTTAGGAGGGCATAACCTGCTTGTTCTTGCACGCGATCTTGGCCACTATATACAACTTGGGACCACAATAGATGATGCAATTGGAGAGGCCTATGATAAGACTGCAAAATGGCTTGCTCTCGATTTGAGGAAGAGCGGAGGACCAGCTTTGGAAGAACTTGCTAAAGAGGGGAATGCTCAAGCTGTTAAATTTTCGGTTAGTTCTATTCCAGTGACTTCATTTTCATTTTTAAGTTATGGTCGAGCAAGCAATACAGCAGAAGTACCATATAGGTGGTTGGCTTCCTCATTATACGCTATTGTGCCACCAGACACCAATGAAGCAACATAAGGACTGCAACTTCTCATATGCTGGTCTGAAGACTCAAGTCAGGCTGGCTATTGAATCCAGAAATATGTATGTCCTTTTTGATTTCTGTCGTTATGGTAATCGATTCACTTACTAGCATGATGCAAATTCAAAAAGATACTTGTTAACTCCTTCGTTTCCCTATATTTTCCTTGCTCTGTTTCATATCTTTACTCAGTAATATGGGTGCCTGCAGAAATCCTGAGATTCCAATTTCTGCCGCTAGTATTCAAGAAAGAAGCTCCCGTGCTGATATAGCAGCATCTTTCCAGGTTTTCCTGTTATAGGTCAAGTAACACCTAGATTATGACCTACGATTCCTTATGGGTTCTAATCCTCTTCATGATACAGCGAATAGCAGTATTACATTTAGAGGAAAGGTGTGAACGGGCAATAGACTGGGCAAGGAAGATTGATCCCTCAATAAAACATCTGGTAAAGCGCATTGACCTACCCATTTAATTATATTGCTTGTTTTCTACTAAGATTTTCCAATAAATTTGAATGACGCTCTGAATTGTTTCTTGTTCAGGTGGTCTCTGGAGGGGTTGCCTCAAACAAGTATGTTAGGTCTCGACTTTACACAGTAGTCGAGAAAAACGACCTGAAACTTGTATGCCCTCCTCCTAACCTTTGCACCGATAACGGTAAGATATAGTTTTGTGAAAATTGGTCAAAGTAGAAAGATCAGTTTGTTTAATGTGCTTGATTTTCATTTTGGTTGGCATACTGATTAAACACTTATTGTGCAATATAATGACCTGTCTCTATACTCAAGATCTTATTTCTGCCTGCACTTCGAACGAAGTTGAACACAGTATCCTGTTTTTAAGGCATAAAAGAAAGTCCAGTAGCTGCCAACTCATGCATATGAACCCTGTAATAGGCTTTCTGTTTAACATAATGCGAAAGTGGTCTTCTCAAGATTGCAGTCAGTTCATGTTTGAGTGCTACGCATATAAAATCTCTGTCTTTATTGAGCTATTTCTAAAAACATCAGCCTTTTGTTGTTGGTCTCACTAGGTGTAATGGTGGCTTGGACTGGAATTGAGCACTTCCGCATGGGAAGATTTGATCCGCCACCACCTGCTGATGAACCTGAAGATTTCGTGGTAATGCCTGGAACACTCATTGCAATATATACATCCCATTTCCAGCTCTCTAATGAAAAGTGTTTTTATTTTTACCTTCTTTTGATTTGTGAAACACATTTTGTTCGGATGCTAGTATGATCTGCGGCCAAGGTGGCCGCTGGGGGAAGAGTATGCCGAAGGAAGAAGTGAAGCACGCTCTCGTAGAACAGCTCGGATTCATCCATCTCTGACTTCTATAATTCAAGGCTCGCTTCGACAGCAGTAATACCCGCTAAGAAGAGCAGCCTTTTACCTGATCTGGCTTAGGAGCTGCCGTTGCTTGTATTTTAAGGTCATTTGCCTTCTCTAGCAGCATCCAACACCTGCAAACTGAATGAAATTTGGAGCTTCTTCATCAAGTCGACACAAGGAATCCGAGCAAACCGTACATCGGTACATGTGTAACATATATATGTAATTTATGGGTCGTTTGGAATCCATATTTGAAAGTGGTATTTGCGGTTGAAAAAGAAACTGAGCAATTGAGGGTGTTATTCTTCAAATACCACAAATATGTTATTCTCCAAACACTAGGGGAGGACTAGTATTTGTGAAATACCATAGGATAGTATTTCACTGTTTCTTTTTCTTAATTCAATAATTCATATGGTTAATTCATATGTTTCTCGTTATCTTCCTACCTTTACTCGCTATGTTCTTCGTTGCTACGATTTTAATGTTGATCGTTTGGGTGTAGATAGATCATAGATGGATCACCTTGCTATTCCACATATTATTATTCCTTCCTCTAATAGATCGGATCCACAACGCCGAATTAAACCTAGAGTTCAATGGTTGAACACAGACAATTTGGCCCAGGCCCACTTCTTAGCCCACCACTTTGTTTGGGCTTGAAATCAACCATCTTTCCACATTGGATGGGAAAACTGTCTTCACCTTCTCCGATTTTGCACATGAACCAGAACCACGGCTGTAAAAATCAAAAGAGTCATTGATGTTTGGGAGGAAGATTGGAAGAAGAAGAAGAAGAAGCACACCAGAGGCTGATGAGACTGCACACGTCGGATCAGGCCACCGTCTTCTCTACGTCTACGTTATCTGTTTTTCCAATTTAGCTAATAACTGAAAATCCATATCGGACTCGCACCACTTCAGTCACTGTAAAGGAGAAACGTTGACAGGGACGGTATATTATTAGCATTTAACCATAGACAGACAAACAGAAAAAGAAAAAAAGAAATAAAACAAGGATCCGCCATTGCCCAATCCTCCACCGTCTCTCTTCTTTCTTTTACCTTCATCGAAAGTCACAGAGAGACCCAATTGGCCAAATTCCATTTCCAAACACGAACCTTCTCCTCCATCCCCGCAAAAATTTCCTTCCTTTACCTTCTCGTGTCCCATACCCAGACAAAAAAGAAAAACACTGAAATTATTATTATTATTATTGAGGAGAGAAAAAAAAAAAAAAACAGTTGCTGATTCTTTGGTTTCCCACTCTGTTTGGGGTTCTTTCTTTTTCCTTTTTTTAATTCCAGCAGATTCTTAACTTTCCTTCTAATCCCCCCCTTCAATTCTCCTTTTTTCCTTCCCTCTATCCCACTTTCCCTTTGCCTCTCTCGTTGCTTTGAGATATTTCCTTGTGATTTCCCTCTTCCGATTCCGGCAATCCGGTGGGAATTCTTACGATTACCGCGTCGGAATCGTTGCTGGGTCTCTGAATTTGGGGAGCAGGAACAGAGGTATTGGATAAAGGAAGGATTTTTGTATATATATATAGAGTGGTGGTGGAAAACGGTGGAGAAAAGTTGTTGAATTTTGGGGAGCTGATTGTCGAAGCAGAATTGCCTTGTGTTTGTTTGTGTATCTACTTTTTGGGGAGAGATGGACAAGTACGAGCTAGTGAAAGACATAGGATCTGGCAATTTCGGGATTGCTAGGCTGATGAGGAACAAGCAGACCAGAGAGCTCGTCGCCATGAAATATATCGAGCGTGGCCCCAAGGTACACGGGTCTTTCTTCTTTCCCCTGTTTTTGATTATGACATGCTTCGTTGCCTGTGCCTCTGCTAGTTTATTGTACGTGTGAATTTTGAATATGGGGTGAGAATTCTGTTGGAGGAGATTAGGATTTTGGTAATGGTAAACCTCAAACGCGGTAGGATCGATCTTCCCAAAGAGAAGGAGAAGGGATGGAGAATTGCTTGATGGCAAGACGTGATGGGTTATGATTGAATTTGCAATTCACGGGCTTTTGTACCTTTTTTCTGGGTAGGGAGATCAGAGGTGTATATGATCGTAAAGCTATTTCATTATGTGTTGCAGATTGATGAGAATGTGGCAAGAGAGATTATAAATCACAGATCGCTTCGCCATCCTAACATAATTCGCTTCAAGGAGGTTGGTTGCCCATCATCACTCTGAAAGTTGTGGTTTTTGTTTGTTCTGGTGCAATTTTGTACTAGTTCAGTGATTTGATGGCCATCTTTCCTTTTCTGGGGGTGTTTGATCTTGCAGCTGGTTCTGACTCCAACCCATCTATCTATAGTGATGGAGTATGCTGCCGGCGGGGAGCTGTTTGAGCGCATCTGTAATGCTGGAAGATTCAGCGAAGATGAGGTCTCTCTGCCTGCATAACTATTTTTTAGGATGTGGGTTGTTGGAAAAAAAAGGTGTTTTGTGATCATTGCGTGGGTAGCATACTCACACCTGAGACCTTTCCTGTTTCACTATTAATTTTCCAGGCTAGGTACTTCTTCCAACAGCTTATTTCAGGCGTCAGCTACTGCCATTCCATGGTGAAATGAATTTTCTGATTGTAGTTTGGTTTTCAGTCCATTTCTTCTGAATCCTAAGAAAGAGCGACCAATTTCTTAGTTTCAATGTTGTTGCAGCAAATATGCCATCGAGATTTGAAGCTGGAAAATACATTACTGGATGGAAGCCCAGCCCCACGGTTGAAGATATGTGATTTTGGTTATTCAAAGGTTTGCTTTCAGAGTTGTAGATTTTTTTCCATCTTTGCCTGATCTATTGCTAGCTGTTCGTTTGAAATTGTGATCTCTATGTGACATTTGACAAACATTCTTCACAAATTGTTACAAGCAGTCTTCTTTACTTCATTCAAGACCAAAATCAACTGTTGGGACTCCAGCATATATTGCTCCGGAGGTTCTTTCCCGCAGAGAATATGATGGCAAGGTAATATCAGCTAAATGTTCATGTTCCGCCAGTTTTTATTATCGAAGAGTCAAGATGACATTCTGTTTTCTGGATCCTTTGAATGTAAAACATAGTTGCAACAGCAGTCAAAACTTCAATAGGATTCTGTTTTGATTACTATCTCATAGTTATCATGGTAGGCTGCATGCATCAAATACCATGAGAATCCTGCGCCGGGCTTGCATTTTAGAATGTTGCTATTTCTTTCTTGCTTTCTTTCTTTCCAGTAGTGCAAGGAAAGTACTTCTGCAGAGGCAAAGTGTGTTTACTTTGTTTTTTCCTGGTTCAGTTGGCTGATGTATGGTCATGTGGAGTAACACTCTATGTTATGCTGGTGGGAGCATATCCTTTTGAAGACCAGGATGACCCAAAGAATTTCAGAAAAACAATCAACGTATGTCCCTTTTCCCCCCTTCGGAATCCTTTCTACTTACTGGTTCTTTCTTTGTTTGCAGAGAGCTTAGTTTTGTCTTCTTCTGCAGAAAATAATGGGTGTTCAGTACAAGATCCCAGATTTTGTACACATATCGCAAGATTGTAGGCACCTCATTTCCCGCATATTTGTTGCAAATCCGCTCAAGGTATGTTTAGGAACTTCTTTTTATGTCTTGCATGAAAAAGAAAAACATAGGAATGTGGTTGATGGTTGTCATCCTTTGAAATGATCCTTGTGTGTATCGCAGAGAATCACAATGAAAGAGATCAAGAGCCACCCTTGGTTTCTGAAGAATCTGCCTAGAGAACTGACGGAGGCAGCCCAAACCATGTACTACAGGAAAGAGAATCCATCCTTCTCCTTACAAACTGTGGAGGCGATCATGAAAATCGTTGAAGAGGCCAAAGTGCCTGCAAAAGTCTCGAGATCAATTGGGGCCTTTGGCTGGGGAGCAGAAGATGAAGAAGAAGAGGATGATAAAAGGGAAGAAGAGCCCGAGCCTGAGGCTGAGGAAGGAGGAGGAGTGGTTGATGAGTATGAAAAGAGGGTTAAGGAGGCACAAGCTAGTGGCGAATTCCGAGTTAGTTAAGCCGATGATACCTAGTTTGCACGTTGGGGAAGTATGGACGTCTAGGAATATGCTGCTTGCTTCCTATTTTACCTCTACAATAGGATTGCCATGGAGAGTCTGTATAAAACAACCTTCTGTAATCTAGAACCCCCTTATGGTGCATGTGTGGTAATAATCTGTGTGTGTAAATTTGTAGCGGTTTTGGGTATTGGCAGGCAGGCAAGGTGTGAGACGAAATCTGCTCCACGGGAAATAGGGTTTGTGTTTGTGCTGAATTCTGCAAGACAGCTTCTGGTGTTGCTTTTTGGTTTGTTGTGATGTTCATTTTTGGGGTCTGTCAAACTTCTTACAGATTGTTAATGAGTTAACTAGTTACTGAACCGTACAGGTTGAGATGGAGAAAAGTTTTTATTTCTTCTTGTTCCTATCTACATGTGCACAACACCTTATTTCAATCTCAATTCTCAACACAAGGGCGCAAAGTTATTATCCTCAATTACGAAAACAATGCTTTGGGCAAAGCAATTTGAATTCTTCATACATCTGAAGGAGGAACTTCAGTTCGCCTTCAACACTGCTTCTGTCAACATACTATGCAACTTTCTCGTTTCTCCCACGACACTTGATCTATCAAACACAGTTGAAACTACTGCAACACCTTTCAGATTTGGCGGACCGATCCCCAGCACGGTTATTGCATTTGAAGCATTGATTCCACCAATCGCGACCACAGGTAGCTTGGAAGCCAAGCAAATGGTTTTCAGCCCATCCAAACCCACAGTGCTGTTGTTTGCCTTGGTGCTAGTTGGATAGACCCCACCGCAGCCAATGTAGTCCGCACCATCTAGCCATGCTTGGTGAGCTTGCTCCACTGTCTTGCATGATACTCCTATTACTTTGTCTGGTCCGAGAAGACTCCGGGCAACTCGGGCAGGCATGTCTGATTGCCCGACATGGACTCCATCGGCATCAGATGCAAGGGCTACATCGATACGGTCATTTATCAACAGAGGCACCTTGTAGGGACGGCAGATCTTCAGACATGCTTTTGCTGTTTCTATGAACTTTCTTGTTTCTGCATCTTTCTCCCTGCGAAATAACACACGAGAGCTAATTCAGTAACACAGGTTGCTACAAGTGGCAGTGTGTGCAGCGATTCAGTTCATATTGGAGCAAATCCATATTTGGATCTGAAAAAATATAGTTCGATTGGGTTTTGATTCCATAGATCCTCTCAAGAGGATAGAAATGAACTGGACAAGACCGAGAAATATGATGCAGAAAATAAGTTTAGATATGATGCAGGAAATGGTTTCAAAATTATGGCGGAACTTATCAGCACAAGTATAAAAAAGATTTTGTTTGAGCTTGAACCTTAGTTGAATTATAGTGGCACCTCCTTTGATTGCTTCTTTAACTGCAACTTCCATCGGTCGTTCCCATTTCTCATTCATCCCAGAGTCCGTAACAGCATACAGAAACAATTCATTCCCACTGAACGTGCCCCCTGTGCTAGTGTTATGCTTGAGCCTCAAGAAGTGGTCAAAAGGACCCTGAGCTCCATTTCCTAATATAATGTCTTTGCTATACTCCAAGGCAGTCTCCACATAGCGCTTAGCTAGCTGGAAAGTTCAAATCTTTTGAATCATTGATGGGGAGAAAGTGAGGCACTTAAACAAAAATATATAACAGGATCGTAGAGAGCATATTGCATTACATTTTTATAGCAGGTTGAAGTGATGATATGTACACCTGAAATCAGGACAGGAAACTAGTGCTTCCACCTTACTGTTCCCAGTTTCAAGTGAAACAGATTAAAAAAAACATATTCTGATCCTTAGTTGCATTGCCTATATAAAAGCCACCTTATGTGACTTTCACATTCAACAATCACTCCTTCAACCTCAAACTGCATGTGAACCAAAACACATTCAACAAAAGCAAAGGGGTTACCTTCACAGCAGAGAGCATAGAAGACCCTTTTGCTAGCTCAGCAGCAATGCATGACGCCAAAGTGCAACCAGTTCCGTGGGTGTTGCGAGTTTTTACACGAGGAGAGTGTAGTTCATGATACTCTTCACCTGCAAAATATCACAGAATCAAATCGGTCTGCAAATATGTTAAAGACATATAGATGAACTTACAACACCAAGAAAAACAACTGAACCCACTCAATACAGCTTACCATCAAAGAAGACATCAACAGCATCAAAAGACTCGGGAAGATCACCACCTTTGACAAGCACACTCCTGGAAATCAATACATATAATTGCAAGCATAAACAAACAACTCTACATATGCCACTGTCGAATCAATTTCACTTTTCAATTGCTCAACGTTCACGAACCGTGGACCCATGGAGTGTAGTATCTTAGCTGCACGTCGCATGTCATCAACTGTCTCTAGTCGCATTCCACCAAGTAAAGTAGATGCCTCTTTAAGGTTAGGGGTTACTATATCAGCCATCATAAGCAGTTCCTCCCTGCATTAAAAAGCCAGAGACATCATAATGCACAAGGTTTTCGGTTACTACTAACGCAGACAGCGGAAGGAAGTTCATAGGCTATTCAGTATAAGCTACCCTTTATCTCAAACTTATGATACATACCGAAACCTTGCCAGAATAGAAGGATCTGCTAGCACATCTCCACTTGTAGATATCATAACAGGATCAACAACCACAGCTGCCTTCAATCATTTGGTTAATTCAAGGCCCTCTAGAATTCGTGATGATACTGATATGAACTTAATCAGTTCAACATACCTCGAACAGGAAACTCCTTAAGACTTTGCTGCAGAACTTTAACTATCTCAATAGAGGGCAACATTCCTGTTTTCACCTGCGAACATTTTGCGAAACACGTTCAATAAGTCATCCAAGAAATTGGAAGCAATCCTTCCAACATCTGAACTGGACTTACCACATCAACTTCCATGTCAGATAGCACAGACTTCAACTGCTGCGCAACAAATTCATCCGGCACTATGTTTACTCCCTGAAAACCAGTAGCAGGATAAGGCTCAGCGACTTCACAGCAATTAGATAGGAAGACTTGAAAGACACTACTACAAAGAAAAGCAATGGAAGTAGAACCGGAAAGCATTAGAACCTGAACCCCGACAGTGTTCTGCGCAGTAACTGCAGTAATCACAGTGGAACAATACACTCCACGAGCAGCGCAAGCTTTAAGGTCAGCTTGGATTCCAGCTCCGGCACCGGAATCAGAGCCAGCAACCGTCAATACGTGAGGTAGTTTCTTCCTCGATACATCGAGTCCCTGCTTTGTGGCCCCATTTTCCTCCATCGACATGGAAATCCCCAAATTTTGAGCCAGATGAACTCTTGAGCTCGAGAACGATCTTGGATATGGAACTGCAAGCTTGTGATGACGACGAGGCCGAAAGCACTGAGACCAAATTGTATTCAGAAAGAAATCTCTTTCAAAAACCCCACCGAGCAAAGACAGAAAATTTCACCTCCGGAGACTGGGTTACCTTATTGGCAATGAAGGAATTGGACAGCAAACCAGAGCAAGCCATGGAAAGAGCAGAGAAGAAGAAGATAGCCGCTGCGGGATTCGCCGGCGTGGATTCGGGCGGGTAATTCAGCCGGTGTCAGGCCGGGTAATCTCCGAGCCCGAATTTGCAATAGCCCAGCTACTGAACTTGGGCCGAATAAATGGGCCGTAGCTTAGAAGTTTGAGAGGGTAAAAGAAAAGGAAAGGAGCCAAAATTTAAAAATTATTCCAGTGCTAAAATTTGAAAAGAAATGGGAATAAAACTGGGAAATATCCCGCCATTGAAGTCCGCGGTTATCGCTACTGCAATTCTGAAGAAGGCTCTCACTTCTTCTTCCTCCGGTTTCTGCCGCCACAACCGCCGAGCTCTCGCCGTCGGTCACCTCCCGCTGGCTCTCTCTCGCTTTTCGTGAAGCGAGTTCCTATTAAGGAACCACACTCGCTCACTGGCTAAGGTCGGTTTTTGGTTTAACCTAACTTCATTTGGTCAGTGAACTTGGTACGAGGATTTGATTCTCTTAGAAATTTCCCCGCGATTGAATTGTTTCGGAAATGAAAGCCACAGTTTCTGATTCTCTCTTGTTTGCGACTGCTGCTGATTTCTTGGATTTGGTGCTCGTTTGTTATTTTGGGGTGTTTTTCTTATTTGCCATTCTACTCGCTGGTCTTTTCAGAATAGTATGAAGTTGTAGCAGGAGTCCAATCAGTGCGAGTTGCTGTACGTTCCTAATGAGCAGTGAGAGACATATGAATCTGAAGTAATGGCATTCTGTTCTGCACGTCTCTCATCTTTCATTTCTTGAGTTTGTAATATATGGACTGATTCAATGTGTGGTTTGTTACCTCGTACCTGCAGTCTAAGCAACTCAGGCAATGGTTTAAGGGGTAAGGAGAATCAGCTGCCTAGAGTGAATTGGTCCCAGCATGCAAAGGCATACGACAAATCATCAGCACCGAGGGAAGTTTTGAGCTCGAGTTTCCTGTATTCTTTAGAATCTCAGAAACCTCAAGTTGGAGTAGAAATGGCTGGAAGGTAGTCGTTTTCACTCTCACTCTCTCGCTGTCGTGAATTTTGGCGTGAGTAGTATAACTAGTATTTTGCCCATCAGATTTTATCAAACATTTTCTCCTGAATTTTATTATTAGTTAACGTGTTGGAAATCATCTTTGGGTGCTTTTTTCTTTCTTCGAAGCCTTCATTAGGGAAAGTGTTGATATTGTGACATCTTTAATTTTTTTAATCTCCTTACTGAATAAATGTTTTCTGCTGTCTAGGCTAGCCTCTTGTCAAGTTCAAACTGTGCACAGACAGCTCAGTCCACAAGTTGAAAAGGTGATGTTTACTTATAAATGTTATGTTATGGGAAGAGGTTAACTCAATAAGGAGCTCTTTGAATTTTACAAATGTTTATGTGAAAAACTTTTGGCAGGCTTGGCTGGCTCTTTCGAAACTTCATATATCTAGCAGGAGTTACAGTAGACCTGGGAAAACTGGTGCGCTGAAGAATGTGCAAAGTAGTCAGGGATATGCTACTGTTTTGCAGAGCTCATCTACCGTTCCTAAATATAATGAAGGTGTGGCTGCACATCAGAACTTTTCCTCGACCCAGTGTACCAAGTGGTGAAACTACAGAGCATACACGGGCAAATGGTACCATGCCTTCTGCTCTTTCTGGCCCCTCCAGCAATCACAGTACAAATATTGCAGAAGGGTCAGATGATTATATGGATGAAGATGATTTATTCCAGGTAACTCATGTTCGTGCTATGTATAAGCTATGAATTGGACAGCAGCTTGGTTGGATTCGGTATTGCAGATGCTATTTCAATTAGTTAGATTGTTCAATTAATTCATCAGTTGTTTGTCTGTTGGATATTTCTTATTTGGTTAAGTCACAAATCTGTTACTAAATTCCATTCTACATGCTTATCCATGCTATTGGCTAGACTGCATTTCCTTCTTCAATGGATGTTCATTTACCATTTTCATTCATTTCCCTTTTCTGCATTGACATGGTTTCAGAGCATTGATGTTGATCAAATAGCTACGAAACACTGCCATTCTAGTTGCACACCTCAACATTCAGTTTCTAAGTTTCAACCAATAACTCCCTCCGTGAATAAAGATAACATCACTAGGCCAGAAGACACATTTCTACCACCTGAGTTATCGTCAAACTGCAGTCATGGAGTTCAGGTAAGCACTCACTGGAGTCTTCTAAAAATTTTTGTTCTCTAACTGGTCCTGACATCTGATGGACTATTCATCTCTCATGCAGCTAGGACTTTGTCCACATGCAACTACTCATAGGCAGGAGATAAAGGACATGTTGCTCAACATATCAAACGAATTACTTGATAACGCAAACCTTCATCCTGTAGAGATGGATAAGCTTCGTCAAGATAGGTTGAGTAGCTTTTCTAACTCGAGTCTTACTTTTGTTGCTTCTAATGTGACATAGGCTTGAAACAAATGAAAAGGTAAAACTGAAAATCACAATGCTAGTTGATTGTAGTCAAGAGGTGAACTTAGTACAAGTTTTCATTTGAAATCCTTGCATCCAGATGCAACCTAAGATGCTTGAAAATTCTCATATTTTAGGTGTTGTTTTGAATCTTGTGAGTATTTTATCTGTTTCTTACTTGTTAGTATCCATGTGTGGCCATCATTAGGTTGAAACTTAATAGACAGCTCCAGCAACTTGAGGGGTACATTAATAATCAGGAGAGACAAAAATCAAATCTTTCTGCATCCACTACGACATGCAACCACCCATATGAAACACCTCAGATGTCAGCCTTCAAAATGCAGCCACATGATTATGTACATAATGAATTGGGTGCAAGAGAGTATGAAAATTGGAACTCTCATCTCTTCCATTCACCCCCATGGATGGATTTGGTGTTTCATATACTCCCGTAGAGAGGGAGCCTTACATACCAAAGTTTGTAGAGGTGAACTACAGTGACGGCTCAAATGACCCAAAGTGGAGCAGTTCGAATTTCCCCTGGGAAAAAAAACTGGAGGTCGTTGTCTATATTGGACATTAAGTTACCGACTTTGATTATCGCTACCAATTGCTGACCTGTTTCTGATTCTAGGAAAACAACAAGAAAGTTTTTGGAAATCATTCTTTTCGCCCCAATCAAAGGGAAGTCATTAATGCCACAATGAGTGGATATGATGTCTTTGTTCTTATGCCTACTGGAGGTGGAAAGAGTTTGACATATCAGGTGAAAATATTCTTTTTTGGTCTACATAGTATTCTTGCATTTCTATTTAGAGTCTGCAAGAGCTTTATATCTATTAGCTGGTTTGACATTCTATCTATTCTCGGTATCTTTCCTTGGGACTGCCAAAACATTTGTATAGTAATACAAGAAAATAGCTTGAAATAAACTGGTAGTTGCTTCAATTAGACTTCCATTCCTAATTGATGAATCTGGCTCACATGTTTAATATATTATATCACTCCTGACATTGAAACAAGTGTGCATACTCACAGAAGGGATTTTTCCTTTGCAGCTTCCTGCTTTGATCTGTCCAGGGATAACACTAGTAATATCTCCACTCGTATCACTTATCCAAGATCAGATAATGCATCTTTTGCAGGTACTGATGGTTTTAGTTTACCTATTCTAGCATTTGCATACAATAATTTCTGCATGTTGGCGTATTAGCTTAAATTTTATTGAGGCCCTTTTATGCTGCAGGCAAACATACCTGCTGCTTATTTGAGTGCCAATATGGACTGGTCTGAACAGCAGGAGATCTTGAGAGAACTTTGCTCTGATTACTGTAGATACAAACTGTTATATGTCACGCCAGAAAAAGTTGCAAAGTATGTTTCATCTTTAGTGCAGTATACTGGTAATGGGCCCTTTAAGGTGAATTGTATTTTCCCCTTCTGAAATTGTTTGGAGCCCAGGTAATCCAATGAATTATAAGCTCCAGCACCATCAATCCGGTTCTGGAAGTGAACTAAACATATTGAAAACTAATGCATTGTGGAATATAAGATGAGATGCAATGTTCTTTTCCTCAGCTAGTTATTAAAACAAGTTGTAAATGCATAAGATTTTTGTGAGGTTGTATGGAAGCTAATATTTTGGTAACTTTCTTTTCCATCTTTTTTCACTTGCAGAAGTGATGCTCTTTTGCGCAACCTGGAGAGCTTAAATGCTCGTGGAATGCTTGCGAGGATCGTAATTGATGAAGCTCATTGTGTGAGTCAGTGGGGACATGACTTTAGACCAGATTACAAGGTTGTGACACTTGAACCCTATTGTATGTCCTGTTACAGCAAACATATTTGTGTGATTGTGTCTGATGCCAGATGACTTGTCATATATCCAGGAACTTGGAATCCTGAAAAAGAAGTTTGAGAAAACTCCAGTTTTAGCTTTAACTGCTACTGCAACAGCTAGTGTGAAAGAAGATGTTGTGCAAGCGCTTGGTCTTGTTAATTGCATTATTTTCCGTCAAAGTTTCAATAGACCAAATCTATGGTATGTGTGACAAATGCAAATTTTTGCTGTTTTCTTTTTTCTTTCACCCACTACTTTCATACAATAGTATTGTGGATGTATCAGGTATGCCGTGATCCCCAAGACAAAGAAGTGTTTGGATGACATCGACACATTCATTAAGGAAAACCATTTTGATGAATGTGGAATTATTTACTGTCTTTCAAGGAATGACTGTGAAAAAGTAGCTGAAAAGTTGCAGGTTGGTGTTGCACTATTTCACTTTTTTTTTTATGGAGTGCTCTAATTCACTCTTTATAACTGGCAAAGGATGCTCTGGATGCCATTATTGTCAAGGTGCAGAACGGTAGTCCACGATAAGTTTTCTCCTTGTACTGATTGTCTATGACCCGCTCTGGAGTCGCTACCAATTGAAACAATAGTATGCAAATGCACTTGAAATTTAAGCTAGGTTGATATCCTTGCATCTTGGTTTCATTGCGGGCACGTACTGATGCAAATCCAAGAAACTAGGAGAGCTTCAGTTGTTGGAATTTAGTAAGAATTTGTGAACATAAAGGCCAATGTTTTGTTATTGTCCCTTGGCACTTAGTTCACTTTTTCGATTTTTTTGCTGCTCAAGCTCTGGATATAATATTGACTTGAGCATAGTTCTTGGAGATTCTTTATGATAGGCTTTTATGTTTATGTATGTTTGACTTATAACATTGTTATGCTTGATTGTTTTCTCCACAGCAATGTGGACATAAAGCGGCATTTTATCATGGTAATATGGAGGCTACTCAACGCGCTTTTGTCCAGAGACAGTGGAGCAAAGATGAAGTTAATATAATTTGTGCCACAGTGGCATTTGGAATGGGTATAATTTTTAATATGTCTGATTCTCATTATCTGAAACAGATTAGTATGATTCTTCTAATATATGTATTCCAGGTATCAATAAACCTGACGTTCGCTTTGTGATTCATCATTCTCTCCCAAAATCCATTGAAGGTTACCATCAGGTAATATGAACACTGTTCACAAGTATAATTGCCAATATTACCAGTTGATCATAGAACTACGTGGAAGATTTTGACTACTAGACATCATAATGTTGACTGTTTTGGCCTGTTGGAATGGTGCAACTTTTTCAGGAATGTGGACGTGCTGGTCGAGATGGTGCCCGCTCTTCTTGTGTGTTGTACTACAGCTACAGTGATTATGTCGGTTCACCTACAAGGCTCTGTTGGTTTATGTTCTTTGAGTGATGATGGCTGCGTCTCTCTTTCATCTTTTATCTCCATGTTGTACTAATACCTAGTCTGGATTTGAATCTCCTGTCATCTATCTAGATAAGGGTGAAGCATATGCTTGTACAAGGACAGGGAGAGCAAAGTTCCTGGACATCTGGCTATAATCGCGGAAACACGGCAAATTCAGATGGGATATTTGAGAAAAATACGGAAAATCTCCTCGAATGGTACTTAGAATAATTGGGTTTTCTTTTATGAATGAATATGTTGATTAGTTCTTCTGCGAGTCATATCTACTAATGCAATGAAATATCACTTTAACTGTTTCAGGTGAGCTATTGTGAAAACAACGTTGATTGTAGACGTTTCCTACAGCTTGTGCATTTTGGGGAGAAGTTTGATTCTGGGAACTGCAGGAAAACATGTGATAACTGTGCAAAGATGAAAACCTTGGTGGAGAAGGATGTCACCGTGATAGCAAAGCAATTGGTTAGAAGACTGTTCTTCTACTTTTATCCATGTTTCTTCAGTCAGTAGAACTTTCGAATTTGGGACTGCTTTCACCTAAATGTTGATCTGTTTGGTTAGGTTGAACTGGTAAAAATGACAGGACAGAAATATTCGTCTTCTCATATTCTGGAAGTCTACAGGGGTTCTATGAGTCAAGTGGTATGTTGTGACAAGAAACCTTCTCACCTTTTTCATTTCATACGGTTGCTAATAGATTGGTGTTAATTGCTACTAATTACTGCCAGGTTAAGAAACATAGACATGAGTCTGTGAGTCTACATGGAGCTGGAAAACATCTGGCGAAAGAAGAGGCTTCTCGTATATTGCGCCATCTTGTTATCAAGGACTATCTTACCGAGGAAGTGAAGAAAAGTGATGTCTATGGATCTGTTTCATCAGTGCTAAAGGTAACTACCGTTTACATTTTCACCTTTTCACATCCTTTAAACCTTGAAGTACTTGCACTTTTCACCTTCAGTAGCACCTAACTATAAAATCAACCTATGTCACCCTTATAAAAATATAAAAAATCCAGGCATTACCTTATTGCATGCCGAACATGAATGTCAGAAATGTTAATATGTTATGGACGAGCATGCAAAAAGTCAAGAAACTCTTAGCCAGCTCTTCTAGGTTTGTTTGGCAAACTTTGGCTCTACTTAAATGTAGAGCTGGAGATGATGCAGCCTGTGCATAGAAGATGGTAACTATGGGAGCAAGAAGCCACTCTAGTGCAATGAGGTCTGAAACATTGTGTGTCTAACGGCCATTGTGTTCTTGAGTGCTTCCCTTAACATAAACATGCGCTCTAGAGAAGATATTGGGGTCAAGTTGTTATACAATGTGGAAATGGCGGTTCTTCGGAAGTACAGCGAAGAGGCAGAGGGATCTGCTGATCGCTGCATCACCCTATAGCTGTTGTTATATGGTGCATAACCAGCTCTATTTAGCCCTTATCGTTCCGAGGTGTATGATCTTGTTTTTCTTTATTTCAGGTGAATGCAAGTAAAACTTCGGATTTATACTCTGGCAAGCAAATCCTGCTAAGGTTTGTTCAGCTCTAGCTTATGGAGGATCTAATTTCAGCCTTTTTCTGTGAATCCTTCCCTGTGCAAAGAAGCAGAGATTTCCTACATGTTCTTGGAGCTATCTCTGCACGTTCATTATTGAAATTCCTGTATTCTAAAAGCTCTCTTTACGTTGCAGGTTCATTTCACCTGCAAAAGCATCTAAAGTATCCAAATCTGATGCCACTCCAGCAAAAGGAATATTGCAGCCTTACAACAAGCTAAGTCCACCAGTCGACACTCCGGCATCTGCTGCACCTAAAATCAACGTGGTATGTGGAAACTCGCATCTCTCTCATCCATGATCCATCTCTGATCAACCCTATGGTTAATTGATTACCTTATTCCCCCCAAAATAATGATCTTTGGTTTGTTCATCAGGAGCTATCTACCAAAGTATACTCTGCTTTACGACTGCTTCGGACTAAGCTCGTTAAAGAAGCTGGCGAGGGGTGTAATGCATACCATATATTTGCGTAAGCTTGCAAACCGCTTGTTCATTTCTTTGCCTCCTCTTCCATATATTAAAAGCCGACTTATAAAGAACAAGTCTTGCTCGAATCATCTGAACGTTTTATCCGTTGGGGTTTAGGAATGTGACACTCGAGCTCATAAGCAGAAGCCTTCCCAGAACCAAGGAAGAGCTCCTGGAGGTCAATGGAATTGGAAAGTGAGCAAAGCTGTCTTTCTGTAGTTGAATACTGTTTTTTTTTTGCATGCATTCGATAACCACAACTCGTAACAATTACATTTTACCGGATGAATTCAGCATTAAGATAACAAAGTACGGGGATCGGGTACTGGAAACCATAGCAGCCACAATCAGAGACTTCTACAGCAAGGATGGAAGTGGGAGCAGTAGCAACAGCACTGATTCGGGTAAGAGGAGGAGGAACCGTGCTACTGCTGCTGCTGAAAACGGCGATGGCTGTGGCATGGAGAACGACGACGACGAGGATGACTTCATCGTGAGAAGCACAGGTCGGTCGAAGAAGAGGTTGGCAAAGAAGCAGCAGGAGAACAGCAACAATGGCGTTGGTGTTTGTAATGATAATTGGAATGGATTCACACTTCCTCCCCAGGAATGCCTGGATGATGAGGATCTAGCTTATTTATGTCACTAACGGAAAAGTCATTTGAATTTTGATTTTTACCGAAATTATTGTGCTTACAATAATTAAATAAATTATTATTCTGGCCTAAAGAAAATTACTTCTTTGACTGCGTGCGAAGTGCGAACAAACTCACGGAGTTGCAATGAGATAAATGTTTGTTCAGTTTCAGGTGCTGTTCCGTTATTATTTTCTATCTCGGGTGGTGAAATGGATAAGCAGACGATTTTCGTGTACTGCAGTGCAATTTACCAGTAACAGTGAGAAAGAGAAGTGAATGAAACGCAGAGCAGCAGAATTTAGTGAGTCCCTCTCTCTCTTTCGTCTTTCCCGCTCTCCTCCTCTGTCCTCTCGCCTGCCCTTTCTTCCTCCGACCGCCGTGGTTTCTTCCCTTTCCTTTCCGTCATTCCTTTTCCTGTCCTTAGGCCGCGCCGGCTCTCTCCTGAATAAGGGCATTCTCATCAAGCTGAAGCTGAACCAGGTCTGTACACCACCAATTCTGAGCTTCATTCGGAACTATTGCCTTTTCCTTAGAAGCTACATTTACTGCTGTTTGATAGCGTAAGGCCTGTTTTCTATAGCTTGAAATCGGAATTTTTTCTTTCAAATAACTTCCGCCTGTGCGGTCAGCTGACTACGTTTTCCCGTCGGGTTCCTATTCGAATTTTTATTTCTTTGCACGCTATGTGTTCGACGAATTGCCCCGCTGAAAGTTGTGTCCTCTTTTTATGACCGTCATAGAGCGTAAAGGCTATTGGGACGATGAGTTCGGAGGCGCCGCCCAAGACCAGATCCCCACAAATTGTTACATTGAATCACGCGTTCAAGTTGGTAAAATGTCTGAACTTTACGCCGGAAAACCATCATAGAATCGGAATTCGCAACCAGTTAATGATTGGCTAGTAACACACGGCTGAACAAGACTTTATTTTTGTGCACAACCATTTTTTTCCAGGCTGAACAATGGGTAAGTAGAATGAGCAGAAGCAGTGACGATGAACCAGTGGAGGCAGAACAACAAGGACGACCTCTAAAGTCTGTAATGCTCCCTCCCGCTGTCTTTCTTTTTCTGTTCAGCTTGGTTTGCCTGTTTCTTGATTTCATTGTATTTAGATTGCGCCAAAAAAAAGGCTAACGCAGACAGTTGTACTCAGGCTTGGACTTGGAGCTAGGGCTGTTCCGCGGTCGAATCTTCTATCTACAAATGATCCCGCGGCGAGGAGGCTGCATAACAAGTTGGAAGCTGCCAAGAAAAGATCTGCCAAAGTAGCTAGTGAGACCGGAGGTGATGAAAGCGATGACAGTGATGGAGAACTAGAGAGCAGAACCGGTGCATTCGCCAAGAAGAGAGGTTTGCCCCCAGCTTTACCTTCACAACTGAACACCAAGAAGAAGAAGCAGCAGAAGTAAATGTTTCTAACCTTGCATCCTCCTTAGATGTTTATCATCGTACTTTGTTTAATGCATGAAGTTCAAATCTTTGCTTCATGAAACCACTCAGGTGCCTTGGTAGGTTCATATGCTGTAAAATTTTTGGATTGGAGAAGCTGGCTCAAGTTTTGCAGAGTTGTCAAACCATATAATCTGTTTGTGCTGCCTATTATGCGAATAACAAGATCTTTAGGTAGTCATTTTGCTTTTAACTGTCATATCTCAATATGAAAATTGCTGACTTGAATGATAGATCAATCTGTCAGTGTAGGTTAGGGGCGAAAAACCGAATCCCAATCCGATTTTATAGGCCTGTTGGTTTCCTTAACGAGTAAAATCCGAAACCAAATCCGTTAAGGACTTATTGGTTTCGGTGAACCGAAACTGATAAGCTCTTAACGATTTTCATTTTTCATGGTTTTGGTTATGTTAACCGAACCGAATAGTCCCCTAGTGTAGACAATGACATTTGTAATGTCTTTCTTTCGTATTAGGACATCCATAACCGAATAAACCCCTTGCTACGGATAATCGAACTAAGCGAAAACACCTAAATCCTAAATCCTAATTGAGTGGCCAGGCTGCAACAAGAACATAGTTGAATGGTATCGGCAGGCTACAACTTTATAACGTGTTTGGGGACCGCAAAAAGGCTGGCTAGTGGCTATAGTCCACAGCAGCCAAGAAACTCAAGTGGTGCTTTAGGTGGCCAGCAATTCTGTACGAGTAGACTTCACAAATCGGGACCAAGGCCCGGTTGTCCACTTTCTAGAGAGGCCGAACTTTTTGTCTTCCACTTTTGGGCCCACCTGGGCCCCTCTCCGTTAGTCCTCCCAAATTAAAAAGCCCAATTTAAATGGGCGAGAATTTCTTGTTCAGATATAGACAGGCAGAGCGCTCCTGCCAGCCGTCGCAGCCCGTCATTACATACGTGGTTCTTGTGGCGCCGATTACATACAGGACAGCAACTTCCCCTGCATCTTTCTTTCCCGCTTTCAAATGGAGAAGGAATCCTCTGCATCCAACACCAGATGGATCTCGAAGAATCTTGCTGCGGCTTCCTGCCACGTAGGGATGGCAATGGGTCGGGTTGGGTCGGGTTTTGCCAAACTCAAACCCAAACCCATGGGTTTATCTTTGAAAAAAACCCGGGGTAAAACCCACTGGGTTTGAAAAACTCAAACCCAACCCAACCCGTTGGGTATCCGCGGGTTCATGGGTACCCACGGGTTTTGTCATAAAAAATTTACAATTACAAATTCTTATCAAAATTAAAGTCAAATATCAATATCTTAATACAAATTATCCATATATAAAACACCATTCTAGAAAATTCAAGCAAATCACAAATTAACTATACAAATTGTTCAACACCAATCTAGAAAACTCAAGAAAATTGAAGCAAATCACAAATTATCCATAAATAACATGTTTAATTGAAAGCTTCTTCCTTTCAATTAAGTTTCTTTACTCTCCACTCCATAACATCAACTTCATTCTACACAATTAAAAAGAAAAAATTAGACATGTCTCCACAAACATAAATAAGATTAGTTGTTTAGAATATTAAATATACCGAAAAAGTTAATTGTATGGGTGAGCGGGTACCCACGGGTCGGGTTTACCTAAACCCAAACCCAACCCAACCCGTTGAATAGTGAACGGGTTTAAACCCAAACCCGGCCCAAAACCCGTCAACACGGATTTTACTCGCGTTGACCGGGTTGGGTCGGGTGGGTACCCGTGGGTTCGGGTTTTGTTGCCATCCCTACTGCCACGTGGATATATGATGAGAAATATTTTTTTTTATTACCCAGGAACTTTAGCCCCTGCAATCAAATTCGACGCTAACAGTCAACAGGGCTTTGCCCCCAGTAGTCTTGTACCTCCGGGAATACCGACGGACCTCGCTTGGATTCGAACCTGGGATCTGCACCTTCCAAGCCTTTATTGTCGCGACAGATTTACCGTTAGATTATCTTAACTTTGACTATATGTTAGAATTGGATACATGTAATAATTGAGTTTGACTATAGGTTACAGATATGATGAGAATTGGAGAAAAAGTGCATTTCAATTCCACTGTGCTTGGTGTTTTGTAGGTAAGTCGGATATTCATATCAATCCCATTCAGCTGGATGACCCGTGGAATCCATTCATCCAATTTTGATGACACAAATGTGATGTGAAAATCATTTTCTTGATTCATAAAAAAAATAATAATCATTTTTTACGATGAAAGGAAAAGAAAATAGAATCGAGATTGTCGAAATTTCAAACCGTTAGTATGGAGTTAGACATTCAAGAAGGGTTTAATACATGTAGTTGAGGTGATCGTGATCCCCTCTCGTCCTGGTCGGTACTGCTAGGGGTGGGCATTGGGTGGGTCGGGTGGATTTTGACCATAAAATGAATCCACCCGCGCTTAAACGGATTGATAATTTTTAACCCACCACCCACCCACATTTAGTCTCGGGTTGGGTCGGGCGGATGGTGGATGATGCGGGTGGGTTTGTGGTTCACCCACATCACAATGTATATAATATAAAGGAGTCAACTTGACATGATAATAGGTGAAGAGAATCGTCGAGGGAAACAAGAAGTTGAAATAGGGCAAAAAATGTCGAATTAGTTCTTAAATTGGATAGAAATTCTATTATGAAAGAGTTTTCTACAGATGGAGACGATTATTAGGTGCAAGGAACTAAGGAAAATAATTCCACAAAGGAAAGAGCGGTGATCTAGGCACAAGAATTAGAGGAAAAAGTAAAGGGAAGAAGAGGGGATCGCTATTTGGAAGGTTGGCTTTGAGGTTCAAACTCCAGGAGCAGTCCGAGTTTATATCTAATGTCTCCACTCTCCTCTCTCTAGCGCCAACGACTTTGATCTTTTTGCTGTTGGGTTGAGCGGGTCACCCGCACACTCATCCACAACCCACCCACCACCCGGCGGATGGCTCCCACCGCAACCCGTCACCACCCACAGACCCACCCACTTAACGAAATTCGGGTCAAATGCGGATGGATCGGCCCAAACCCGCGGATGATCCGCCCGCATGCCCAGCCCTAGGTACTGCAATTAAAAACCTGAAGATATTTAAGTGTTGATTAGGTAAGGCGACATGTAATTTAAACGAGGAAAATGATAATCAAAATGAGATTGCTTGACAGACTAATAGTTGGATTAACATCTTGTATTCACATATTGCCCTTGATAAATTTGTATGGAATCTGCCAACACTATAGATTGTCTATTGTTCTTTGAATTCATTCTTTATAGATTGTAAGAACGAAATTTATTGACGTTTTAGAACGAAAATTTTTTAGAAAAATTTAAAATACAAAATATTATATTTTACACCGTTTGAGGGAGCTATCAAATGACGTGGCTCCATCTCTTTCTTTCCTCCTAACCTCGTTTCATTTTTCTTGGCTTACAAATAAAATAAAATAAAAAATAAGACACAAAAAGAGAATATTATTTAAATTAAATAAAAAACTCGGGAAAATAAAAAAGTAGCAAAAAGAAACTCCTCCTCGAAGCTTTTCTTTCGTTGAAAGAGATAAAGAGGAGGAGGACGACGAGAACCCGAAATTAGATAGAATAGAACGCAAAGAAAAGTAACACACTAGAGAAGAAGTACACGCTTTTCCTTCCTTCTCCTTCTCCTTCTACTTCACCGGCGTCGGAACTGCAATTCGTTAATTCATTTCTTTTTCATCCATCGAATTCCCGGCCACTTTAATCTGCGGGTTCGGTTGTTTCCGGGGGGAGAGCCTGTTTCCCGGCGAAACATCGAAACACATGGCTACAGGAGTAGAATCGTCACCGCTATCCTCCGGGACGGTGGAGAAGGTGGCACCGAGTGGAATCGCGCTTGATTTCCCGGCGACTGATGCTCCTTCGTCTGCCTCGCCGCCGAGAATTCCCAAGCGGCTTCGGAAGCGGATGATGGAGGCGAAAACTTCGCCTGTCAGTAGCGTGCAGGAGATCGAAGCTAAGCTTCGCGACGCTGAACTCCGGAGGCAGGTTAGTTTGTTTTTCGACTGAGGCTCACTTTCTGCTGTCTGCTTATCAACTCTCTTCAATTGGAAAGAGCAAAACCTTTAGGGATTCTTGGGGGGTTTTGTTCTTTCCTTTGTTTTTCATTTCGTCAAGAGAGTTTAAGCAATTCGTAGTGAATTCTGGTTCTTTTGGGGTTTCCCTGGCTGCTGAGTCTATATTGATCATCCAACGCTAAAGAAATGATCTTGTTTTGATTCTGATACTGGTTCACCATAGATGAAATTTGGACTACAAATTCCGATCGATTTTGTGTTATTTCCCACCTTCTATTTCTTATTATCCCCTTTCCCGGCGGTGGGATTTTTCATCTCTTCGTGCATAAGGTTCATTTCTCTTGTGTTAGGTAAAAGGGGCTTGAGTTATCCTTGTGTTTGAACTTGCTTTTCTCACTTTTCAAGTTTCCCACATGGCTCTGTCTCCTGCTTTTCTTTCTTCATCATCATGCGGCTTTTTTACTCTATATTTCCCGACTTTTATGTTACCTTTTCTGGTTCATGTGACTTCTAAGAGTTGGTGTCCTTGGTTAGGTTCTGTAGGATCGATTAGGTTGGTTTGCTTAGCAGGGGATGGATTATTTAACCTGCGGATATGATGAGGATGAAATGTTTGTAACCTCTGGTTTAAACTGTTATATGTTCTGCGGTTGAAATTTTGTTGTTATTCCAATCTGATTGTGTTGTTTGCTGTTTTCGCCTTTGTTTAATTGCAGCAATTCTATGAGATGTTGTCCACTAAGGCTAGGCCAAAGCCGCGAAGCCCTTCGCGGTCTTCCTCTCAGGATGAAGATCTTGGTCAACGCCTTGAAGCCAAACTCTTAGCTGCAGAGCAGAAAAGGTATCAACTTTGTGTGAGCAAATAGATTCCAAACGTGAAGGCTGCAAAATCAGTAATTTTTTATCTGCCAAGTTGTCATCCATCTTATCCTCCACTGTTGTTGGTCTACCAGGTTGGGTATCTTGACCAATGCTCAAATGCGCCTAGCTAAGCTGGATGAGTTACGCCAGGCGGTGAAAGCTGGGGTGGAAAGGCGTGTAGAGAGGGAAAGGCAGAGGCTTGGCACTAAAGTAGAATTGCGTGTTCAACATGCTGAGGAAAATAGAATGCTTCTCTTGAAAGCTTATAAGCAGCGCCATGCTTCTGTGAAGGAGAGGACTTCTCGGTCATTAATGCAAAGAGTTGCCAAGGAGAGCAAATATAAGGAGCGTGTGCGTGCAGCGATTAACCAGAAGCGTGCTGCTGCAGAGAAGAAAAGACTCGGGTTGCTGGAGGCGGAGAAGAAGAAAGCATGTGACCGGATTTTGCAAGTGCAGCAAGTAGCTAAGTCTGTCTCTTATAAGCGCGAGATTGAGAGGAGGAGAATGATGGACCAACTTGAGGATCGGTTGCAGAGGGTAGGGATGATTTCTGAAATTTGTGTTCTCTTACTGTTATTTAAAAAATGCTTTCCCTTTCTAGTTCTGCTCGTTCTGTTTTTGACGTTTGGCTTTTTAATCAGGCAAAACGACAGAGAGCAGAATACTTGAAGCAGAGGTGCAGACAGCGTAGTCCTATGCAGATGAATTTGAAGAGGATGGAAAAGCAGGCTGATGTTCTTTCAAGGAAATTAGCCAGGTATATATTTTATCTTTATAGTTCGTTAACTTGTTGACTGGTTTATTAGTGTACTGGCATATGTTCTGGCGTGTGAAAAGGAAATATGAGATTGAAAAAGAAATACTCAGAAGAGATGGTCTTCTTGCTTTCGCTTTTTCGTTTTTCCTTCCAACATTATGCTTTTCCCCTTTTGTAGCCCTCGTATGCTTGGTAGAAGCTTCTAATTGGAATATTGGTCCTCTTGTTTTCGTTCTTATAGGTGCTGGAGGAAGTTTCTTTCATCAAGAAGAACGACCTTAGAGCTGGTAAAAGATTATGACGCCTTGAAGATAAACGAGAACTCTGTAAAAACCATGCCATTTGAACAGCTTGCTTCTGCAATTGGATCACCTGCTACCCTTCGGACAGTAAAAGCTCTGCTAGATCGGCTGGAGAGCCGATATAAAGTCTGCAGGGCAGTTGCTGCTGCTAGCTATTCTTCTACACTGGACAACATCGATCACCTGCTGAAAAGAGTCACTTCTCCTCAGAGAAGATCTACACCCAGGTCCTCAATGAGGAGCAGAGAAGCAAAGAGTGCAGGTGCTACAAGGGAATTGACTATAAGTCCAGCTAAGTTATCCAGGTATTCAGTGAGAGTAGTTCTTTGTGCTTACATGATTCTGGGGCATCCAGATGCTGTTCTCAGCAGTCAAGGAGAGAGGGAAACTTCCTTGGCCAAGTCTGCAAAGGATTTTATCCACGAGTTTGAGCTGTTAATAAGGATCATTCTGGAGGGACCACTTCAGAGCTCTGATGACGAGTCGGACTCCATTTCATCAAAGCGCTGTACCTTCAGGTCCCAACTTGCGGTATTCGACAAAGCGTGGTGCACATTCTTGAATTGCTTTGTGGTGTGGAAGGTTAAGGATGCCGTGTCATTGGAGGAGGACTTAGTGAGAGCAGCTTGTCAGCTTGAGCTATCTATGATTCAAAAATGCAAGATGTCTCCTGGCGGAGAAAATAAGGGTCTTCTTTCTCATGATATGAAGGCTATTCAGAAACAGGTTTTGCTTCTTAGTCATGCCCATCTCAGGCTTCTTAACAGCTATTTTTCATGGCTAGTGCTAGTGTTATTGTTTTTTTTTTAATCTTTTCCACTGCACAATGCTTGTTGTTTGGAGTTTGTGTTTGACAATGGTGTTATATTTCTCATCTCATTTTCTTGTAGGTAACAAACGACCAGAAATTGCTAAGAGATAAAGTACGGCATCTTAGTGGGGATGCTGGGATTGAGAGAATGCAATCGGCTTTGGACAAGATGCGCTCGAAGTATAAGGAAAATGGCACACCTATTGGTTCACCAATAATCAGTGTGTCATCTCCTGGCATGCCCAGTTTCGTTGCAGGTGCTGCATCTACAAGTGATGTCAGGGCTGAGTTACCAAGTCGAGTAGTCCGTTCTTTGTTCAAGGATGAAAGTATTGACCCATTTAAACAAGCAAGTTCCTCGGCTACTGCTATCCCACCCAAGTCGGCAATTTCCTCTGCAGCAGGCACAAGCTCATCTGTCGGTCAAGTGGGTGGTTCTGTTAATAAGATGATAACAGAGAATGAAGTTATTGTGAATGAGCTTCTTCATGAAAAGGGTAGGGGTCTGGTTGACAAATTAGACACTGCCCAAAAAGATGAAGAGAACCTCCAGGTTAGCAAATTCACTTATATATTAAGATCTTTTTGAGTGACTTGAGAGTCAAGACTGCCATATGGGTTTAGAGTTTAGACTTTTAACCTTATGTTTTTTTTTAAAAAAAAAATCATGCAGGCAAAGGTTAAAGAGGCAATGGAAAAGGCTTTCTGGGATGGAGTGATGAACTCGGTAAAAGAAGAGGGACCCGACTATGACAGGGTCATTAACCTTGTGAAGGAGGTGAGGGATGAAATCATTGAGATGGCTCCTGAGAGCTGGAGACAAACCATCATGGAAGCTATTGATCTAGACGTTCTTACTCAGGTATATAACCTACCTTGATCACTTTGCTTCGTTTGGACGTGTTGCTGGTTTATAGTTCTTAAGTGTGTCCTTTCCATGTGTGTGCTTTCTCTATCTTTATCAGGTATTGACGTCGGGAAACTTAGACATTGAGTACCTTGGGAAGATTCTAGAGTTTGCACTGGCTACATTGCTAAAGCTCTCTTCCCCTGCCCATGAAGATGAAATGAAAGTCAAATATCAGAATTTACTCCAAGAATTAACTGAGGCATGTCAAAATAGAGATGATAATGCAAAGAGTTCTCCTGCGGTGGCAATGATTAGAGGTCTCCGCTTTGTGCTAGAGCAGATACAGGTTTGTTCCTTAATATTTTTCTTCCTTCTAAATATCCTTTGATCATTGAGCAAGGAAATTTGCTGGAACATGGTTAAGAAGACATAAAAGGAACTACCCTCAATTCAATTTGCTGGTTACAGTGAGATATGCAGTTTATTACTTTGAGGCATACAGGCAGAGGTCTTTGCTGGTATCGTTTGGGTTGCAATGAATTTCTGTTATGGTTAGTCCTTACTCCAGTTTATCTCCTGTTTTTTTCCAGACGCTTAAAAGTGAGATCAGCAAAGCACGTATAAAACTGATGGAGCCATTGTTGAAAGGCCCTGCTGGATTGGAATATATTAGGAAAGCTTTTGCTAATCGGCATGGCTCCCCGTTGGATGCTTGTTCGTCTCTACCACTGACAAAGCAGTGGCTTTCTTCCTTGATAAGTTGCAGTGACCAGGAATGGGAAGAACATAATAATTCTCTCTCGGCTTTGGCCAGCCATGGGAATCCTTCGCAGGCGTTTCTGCCTTCTAGTGCACTTCGAACCGGTGGGAGCTTTCAGGTGAAACAAAGTGCTGCGCCAGATGCTGGCTCCAGCAATGAACAATCAGCGCTGGTCCCTGAATATTCTGGTGATAGGATTGATCTCTTGGTTAGGCTTGGATTGCTGAAAATGGTCACTGAGGTTTCCGGTATAACGCCTGAAACTCTTCCAGAGACCTTCGCTCTCAACCTGTCCAGATTGAGAGGCGTCCAGGCTGAAGTCCAGAAACTTATAGTGGTCACTACCAGGTAAAGTGTTGTCTGCTTAGTAGTATTCTCATGATATCTTCTTTCTGAACTGATCCTCTCATAATGTCAACTGCAGTGTCTTAGTTTGCCGGCAGACTCTCTTGATGGAGAGAGGTGCAGCCAGCAGTGCTGACACAGAAAACACAGTATCAAACTGTAGCAAGCAACTGTTGCAACTCTTGGACCGTGGTGGCGACGATGCTGGGATCGATGAAATCGTCGGCATACTCAGCAGCTTCTTCTCCCAAGATTCATCTCCGTCGGGATCTGAAAGCAAAAACACTCAGCAGCTTCAGTCGAGGAAGGAAGTCATGGGTAGGATGTTAGGAAGGAGCTTACAGGCAGGGGACCCAGTTTTTACAAAGGTCTCCCGCGCTGTTTACTCCGCGGCCAGGGGTGTCGTTCTGGCGGGAAGCGGATTCAAAGGAAGGAAACTGGCCGAAACGGCTCTCAGGCCGGTTGGTGCCGCCGTCCTCGCTGACAGGGTGGTGGAGGCTGCCCAAGTGCTGGTTACGGCGGCTGGAGTCTCTGTAGCAGTCCATGGACCATGGTATGCGACACTGGTGAACAGCTTGTAGATAGACATGATTTGTTTTGTTTGCTTGACTTGGAAGAAAGTTGGGTTGCCAAATAAGAAAGAAGAAGAAGGATATGTACAGGGCGCTGTGTAAATAAAAGTAGCAATGTGTTTTACGCCGGCGACGAGGCTGCTGTGATTTGGTTGTGTGTGTGTGTATAAATTGAAGTGAAGAATTATGTACATAGTGTTTGATAATAAGATCAGTGATTGGTTCATTTTCCCGATCTCTGCTATTCCCCATTCTCCACTACCGCTGCCGATATATTCTTCGTCACCGTCGCCGCCTGCATACTCTCCGGTAACCGTTGATACGACGGACAGGGAATAAACCAAGGAACCCGTTACGACGTCGTTTAGCATGCCGCCGAGGGAGGAGCCCAATAGCTTCCCAACGTCGGAGGCCCAACCAAAAGGTTGATATCTAAGGGGTGAGCCCAAGAGTTGTCCAAGCACGCAGGAGGAAAGCCCACAACCTGATCCACCAAAGGCCCAACAGAAAATAAATAAATAAATAACAAGAAGCCAAAAATTAAAATGGAAAATATCCAGAATTTCGTCCAGGTTCATTCCGTCCTTCTCTTCCTTGCCTTCCTGGATTCTCCGTCAACCATCTCCTACGCTAAGCCCAAATTCCCCCTTCTTCCTACTTTGCTCTCTGGTCGGTTTTCTCTGCTCGTCGTTCCTTTCCTTCAGCCGCCGGCCGGACCGTCTTCAAGCTTCTATGCCATCCCTTCTCTTATCATCCTCCTCTTCACCTCTCTGCTGCTTCGCATCTCTGGATCTCAGTCCCTTTCTCCTGCTTCGTCTGTGAATTCCGCTCTTGTTGTTGTTGATGGAATCCAACTTGTCTCTTGGCTTGGTCCCCAGCGTTTCCCCTGCCTCCCACCGCTCCCAGATTTCCGATGATTCGATCTTCGTCCGTGAAGCCTCTTCCGCCTCTTCGGCCGCCTCCGTCCACCACCTCCCGCTCCGGCTACTGGAGTCGATAAACGAGAATTGCCACCGCGGAGGCCTCCTCCACAACCAGAACGGTGGTGCCGCCGTGGAGCTGAATCGCGACCCCGGGGACGAGGAGGACGAGAGGGAGTTTCGGATTTTGGGCCACTCGATGTGCTTCAAGAGGCGTCGCCCCGATTCCGAAGTTCAGTGCGGTCCGGCCAAGAGGCCGGTTGCTGTGAGCGAGGCGGATGTTCAGGAGCGGCGGAGCTCGGTGAAGGCTTGGGGGAACCAGCCGATTAGCGAGGCAGATCCGGAGCTGTTTGAGATCATGGGCAAGGAGAAGGAGAGGCAGTTCAAAGGGATTGAGCTTATCGCGTCGGAGAATTTCGTGTGTAGAGCTGTAATGGATGCACTCGGTAGTCATTTGACCAACAAGTATTCGGAAGGGATGCCAGGGGCGCGTTACTATGGTGGGAATCAGTACATTGACGAGATTGAAAACCTGTGTTGCAAGCGGGCGCTGGATGCTTTCGGGTTGGATTCGGAGAATTGGGGTGTTAATGTCCAGCCATACTCTTGTACTTCGGCTAATTTCGCTGTCTATACAGGGTTGTTGTTGCCTGGGGACAGAATCATGGGTCTGGATACTCCTTCTGGAGGTAATACTAGCCATGGTTGTTATATGCCGAGTGGTAGGAAAGTTTCGGGTGCCTCCATTTTCTTTGAGAGTTTGTCGTATAAGGTGAACCCACAAACTGGTTACATTGATTTCGATAAGCTGGAAGAGAGGGCGCTTGATTTCAGGCCCAAGATTCTTATCTGTGGTGGAAGCTCGTATCCTAGGGAGTGGGATTATGCGAGGTTCAGGCAGATTGCGGATAAGTGTGGTGCTGTTCTTTTGTGTGATATGGCTCAAATTAGCGGCCTTGTTGCGACTAAGGTGTGAATTATGATTCTTTCTCTGTGCTTGCTTGAATTATGTGCCTTACTGTTTATGATCAAATTTGCTCATGAAGGAATTCATTCATTCTGGTTTTGATGAGAACACCTACTTCATGGAGAGATTGTGTCATGTATCTGGTTTGGAATCCCTTGCTGTGCCACTGACTGGCGTTTATTTCTTTCAGGAATGCGTCAATCCTTTTGATTACTGTGATATTGTTACCTCAACAACGCATAAAAGCTTGCGGGGACCAAGGGGAGGCATAATTTTCTACAGGAAGGGTGCGAAGCCAAGGAAAAGAGGAATGCTTCTAAGTCAGGGAAATGAAAGTGAGCAGTATGATTTCGAGGAGAAGATAAACTTTGCTGTATTTCCATCGTTGCAAGGTGGACCTCACAATAACCACATAGCCGCTCTTGCAATCGCCTTGAAGCAAGTTGCTACTCCAGAATACAAGGTGTATATGCAACAGGTGAAGCGTAACTCACAGGCTTTAGCCAATGCTTTGTTGAGAAGAAGATGCCGCCTGGTAACTGGAGGCACGGATAACCATTTGTTGCTTTGGGATCTGAGGCCTCTGGGACTAACAGGTATGATTGCTCTCATATATATGTTACAATTTCAGTGCTTGTTATTTTAGATTGTTGCTTTTGGGGATGGTTATTAATGTATATATTTGTCGTTCTTGGCATATATCCAGCAGATTGTAGTGTTCAGTAGGTAGTTTGCTTCTCTCTTTAGGAAGTGTGCTGGAGTTGGATAGTTATCTATATTTTTGCTTGGTATTGGAAAGTTGTCCAGTGATATTGCCCAGACTCTCTTGAATGACCACCAAATTTCTCTGTTTCTACCATTATTAAGCAAGCGTCTCTGGCACAGATCAATCTTCTTCAATTTTGGTGTATAGCTAATGGTTATTTATTATTGCTCGGTGACAGGTAAAACATATGAGAAGGTCTGCGAGATGTGCCATATGACTGTGAATAAAATTGCAATCTTTGGTGATAATGGCACCATTACTCCTGGCGGTGTAAGGATCGGTGAGTGATATCCTTTAATTTTGCCGGCCTTTTTTCTACTTTGCTATCTTTTGGTTTGATCAGCTAATCAATTTTTACTTGCGTACTATCCCTTAGGCACACCTGCTATGACGTCTAGAGGTTGCCTGGAGTCTGATTTCGAGATGATGGCCGATTTTCTACTGAGGGTTGCCCATATCGCGAGCACGTTACAGCGAGAGCATGGCAAGTCCCCAAAGGCTTTCCTGGAAGCTCTGCAGAGCAGCAAGGACCTTGCCGAGGTCCGGAACCAAGTTGAAGGTTTTGCAACCCAGTTTGCTTTGCCCGGGTTCGATGTTTGAACATGAAGGAATATGCCCGGATCTCAGAACTGCTGCATGCCATCTTGAAGCTACATTGAGGATTTCGATGCTCGTTTGAAACCCCCGAATGTGGGCATTATTCGACGCAGTGCTTGTTCCTTGTGTTTATCTGTTGGGGGGTGTCTATAGGTTGGTTTTTGGCAAGTCTCTGGTAATTGCAGGATACTGGATTTGGTTGTAGATAGAAATTTTGGTATAAAGATGCGAAGACAAGAAGGATATATTTATTTAGTGAAGGCGCTCTTTCTTAAGGTGTCAAGAATTGGTGTCATTTTCGGATAACGACGGATTCTCTAAATTGATGCATTTAAACAATCATCATATGTGTATTCTAATTAGTCGCATCATAGGGCCAAAGTATCATGAACAAAAAGTTCTCTACTACCCATCTAACCAAAATTTTCTTAGCCGAAAGCAAACTACAAAGGCTTTGCCCAAACTGAAACTACAGCCATTCTATGAGACCAGGCCTTGAATTGTATGACTATCACTCTTTCTGGATACAACAAAAATGTCAAAGTCCCCTGGTTTCTGCAGCTCCGTGCATTACTGTTTCCCACCAAATGTTCTGGAAGTTCGAACCGGAGCAGTTTTCGATCTTCTCTTCACAATTCTGCCTTGGATTCCAGGTCTATTTCTGGTTGAGAGCTTGGCTGCTCGGGTGGGACGGGGGCTGCAACCTGCTCTTCGGATTCCACTTCTTCTCCCAATATTTTGGCGGTGAATCGTCTTGCTTCTGAGTCAAGATCCACCCACTCGGGAACAATTCTTCTTGCCCCCTGGAAGAAAGAAGAAAATCAGAGGTTGTTTGAAACGGTGGCAGACTTAAAACCACAACATGAAGGATGAAACAGAAAATGGGAATTGAGAGCGAAAGAGAATACTGACCTGGAGCTTGGGTTCCTTTGTCATTGGGTTGTTACAAAGATCAATAGTCTTTGCCTTGGATTTGGTGGCATTGCCGCACCATGATTCACACCATAGCCACTCTTTGGGTAGAGAAAAGATTGGGACGGTATGCTGAGCGTAGTTTGGAAGATCCTGAAAGAAGGCGAAGAGGGCATGTTCCAATTATTCCATTTACATTTGGCTTGTAAGCTTCATCTAAAGCTTGCCTAAACTCCACAGATCATTCACACAAGCTATCTAACATCTCATTGATCGTCAATTTTTATTTTCTAAAACCTCAGCAAACACAGTTTCGTAACTATAATTTAGGGTATGTTACAAAAGCTATAAAAAAACACATCCATTGCTAAGGCATTTCACAGGGAAGGTAACTGCTGCATTAGAATCATAAAAGACGCGATGAGAGAAGGGAAGCAGTAGAGTAGTTCATCTAAGAAACCTCAAGTTGAATTGGATCAGGAGACGCGATGTATCAAAAGCATAACTGTAGTAATTAGGAAAGTCGAGCTTATAATAACCATACCTGATCTAAGTTGGACAAACTGTTGGGATCCTTGCTAAGAGTTTCATAGAAAACCCTCAGGTTATCACCAGCAGCAGTTTCTCGAAATTTCACAAGATCGACGACGTACAGAGCACTGCAGGAAAACACACGTTCAGTGAAACAATGCCCCTCACACGAGATGTGGTCGTATCATTAAAAGGGACCCAACGCAAAACAACCTACCTGATATGGTATGGTCTTCCCCGTAAATGCTCTTTCCAAAATCCCTATTCAAGACAAAGGAGTAAGATTCTAATCTCAACTCTAAAGATGGTGTGACAATTAATAGTAAAATGAAGATTTCACAGGGTTGTTCAAAGCATTTACTTGTCTCCAGAATCTATATCCATCCATATCCTTGTTGTTGTCGCAGAAAGGTGTATATGCTAGGGGCCTTCCTTTTATGTCCATATCATAAAGTTCTCCCATGTCAGCTCTCACGATCTGATCTGCATCAACAAATATAACCTGTACAGAGAATCAAAGCAATTAAAGTCAAACCCGAGTACTTCAAAATTCTCAAGGAAGGGTAACCAAACACAGAAGTACAAAATACACACAAGTTACCTTTTCCAAGGAAATAGGGAAGATGACATCAAGGAACAAAATCTTATAAGCCCAGATGATTCGCTGTTTTTCTTTCTGCTTATGTAGCCATGTTGGCCATTTATAGGTGACCAGTTCATATTCGAAACCATATTCTTCAGCCATGTGTGGAATTACATCCTGTGTGTTCATCAGCAACAAATAGAGACCATGTAAGCAAGACCTTCAACTTGGAGAAAATGCTCATAAGTGAAAGGATACAAGTGCATATATAAGACCTTAAATTGAGGAGAAAGGTAGTTCTTTATAAACCAAAACTTCACCGGACGTTGAGTGTTCTTCAAGACACTCAGAATCATAATTCTCAGAAACCGTTCATACCTACAAAAACCAGGAAAACCTTCCCGAGTGAGCGACTATAGAAGTGGAACAAGTTGATACTTTAGTGAGATAAGCATGAGATCGAGAGCTTCACTAAAATGACAAATATCCTACATGTACCATAGGCGGTGCTTGACAACCATGTATTAGAAAACACGTGGATTTTAACAATCCATGTAATCCAGAATATGGGTTTTATAATGTATGTATTGTCACAATAAAATCTTTCATTTGCAAGGATTCTAAAACTGATGTCAACGTAAGACATGTGATAGAATTTGTGATACCCTTTAACATCATCTAACTTATACCAAACTTCCAAAGAACATAACATATTTACGCCCTTCAGCTCTACAAAACTTGAGTTTCGTAAGAGCATCCTTAAGTACCAAGGTAGTCTAACAATAATAGTCTTAAATACATGAATCATTGATTTCGAAAATATGAGCTCAGAAAAGCATTATCATCATACAGAATTCAGAGTGAACAACCATTATGCAGGCGCTTATTTATCACAAAATGCATGATGATCAATTTTGCTCATAGACCGCTTCTCATCTATGTTAACTCCAGTTCCCAAATATATCTTTTTTTGAAGAAAAAAAAAAAGATTTAGCAAACTCGAATGTCCTCAATTGACATCTAACCTATTGATAGAAACCATCCTGTTATATGTTGACTCGAGTTCCCAATAATAAATATTCCCATATGCTAGCTCCAAACAGGTCATTAATTGGCACCTAACAATACAATTCTATGATAGAAACCATCCTACAGCTGCAACCGGGTGTTTTACTTTCTCCCTTCACAGTGCGAAGGTAAATGATTAGCAAGAAAATTAGTACGTAAGAGGTGGTCATAAAAGGTAATACATCAAGGAGTTCAATAAATCGGTAAAATAACAACTCACAGGTGTCCAGAGGCGATAGAAAAAATGTTGATTGTTCTTCCATGTCGTCCACCCTTTACTTTTTTAGCCTGATGAAACACAAGGAGTAAATCATCGTGAAAAAAATGAAATACATAAATAGTTATACAATTGGGATTTACAATCATAGCCAATTGTTCCTATTGCTCAGGCAAAATTACAAATCAGTTTGCAGCAATCATCACAACCAGGTTCTCCTGATGAACGGGGTGATGGTAATCATGATGCTTTACACAATCTCATCCCTTGGATGAGTATCTTTTCAGTAACATTTTCATCCAATGAGTGAAACTTAATTGTCGCCTTTCGTTTGATATCTTTTTTGCTTCTAACTTCTTGTTTCGATTTTTTCAGAAACATTCTTTTTACATGGTGAATCTATTGATATCCATTTTTTGCATATTTTCCATAACAGACTACTAATCAAATCACAGTGTTTAATACTATTCTCACAAAAGCAATGAATGTCATGTTAGTTGAGTATCTTAATATTTATCATAAGCTGAATATTCATGTTGCGCTGACTGAATAGTTGAATTTTTTCAGTGTAAATAGTTAGTTACATTCTCAAAAACTTATCGGCAAAAAACAATAAAGAAGGATCCGTAAGTATGATGCTTACTTTATTACCAAACAGAAAGTATGATGCATACTATACCTAAACCCCATTCAACAGGACAGCCAAATTCGAATAACAAACCGTGTGGAACAATAGAAGAAAAACTTAAATAATCATATTATCAGAGTTCGAATAGTATTCATTTGTGGAGATGAGGATATGTGGCAGGGACCTAATTTAAAGAACACAGCTCAGAAGTCTTCATAGGGAATCAACTAAGCAGTTATATGAAGGGAACGTTTTGGAGCAATACTAGATTCATCAAAACAGACTAAGTAATACTTGGTCCTCTAAACATTCACCGAAAGACAAGTTACATAAGGATGGGTTGGGTAAGAACAAATGTAACTTGGCATTGTATCCATAACGGTGAATCGAGCAAGAGGTATTAAGGACCACAGTCCATTAACTAAAGAAATTAAAATGAATATAATCCATGCTGAAAGGGGGAGTACTATAGTAGTATAGTCAAATAGAAGGGAATAACTTACCACTGCAGTGTTTTCACCTTTTTTAGATTTTCCATTGCCGCCAATGATGCCAGAGGCCCATTTCAAGAAATTAGCATTCCAACCATCACGAGATCCCTGTAAAGATTCAAGGAAAAAAATAATTACAACTAACTGAAAAGACTGAAAAGTTGTTCTGACAAGCTGTCCACGAATCCCCCCCCCCCCCCCCCCCCCCCCCCCGCGGATAATGCAAGTTGTCATCAAATTTGAGGGTGTACTGCCACCAACAATAACAATGGTGACTTACTTTCTCCCTTCCACGTGACTCGCTATCATCATCGCTAGAAAGAAGCAGTTTCTCATGTTCCTTGCCTTTCTTCTTCACTACTTCCATATGAACCACCTTACCTCTAAAATCATCTAAGGTAATGCGCTTTGAGAAATGCTTGTCTTCATTTCCAACACCACCTTCCTTTAGGGAATAAAGCTCAGAACTTCTGCCAGGAGCAAGTTGCAGGTACCATACACCAGGGGAAGCTTTCATTTGCCAGTAGCCCAAATTGGCCATCACGATTGTATCAACCAAATGAGGCATGCTCTTGGTTCCGAGAATCAGCTGAAGTCCCCGAGGTGACTCATGATCTTTCTCAGAACAATGACCTGTCAAATGAACGCTCAGTTAATAGAGTGACAAGGACTTGCAGTCAAAATTATGCCAACTCAATATCAATTACCAGAAATATTATTCAATGAGAACTAAAACCGGAAAGGTGGATCTAAGCAAGAAAAATAAGTTCTCACCAGTAAGAACAACTGCTTCAAGTTCAAAAACTGCCTGCATTGTCCTTGTATCACCCAGGTTCTCAAGCAAAATGTTGTCCATGTCATGACTGAAAAATATCACATGAAGAAGAGAACATTCAAGAATCAGAAACCTGAATATATGCCGGAATTGAGAAAGCAAAACTATGGTAATATATTAAGGAGTGAAGCAATGTACACAGCAATAACAGGTTCAACAAGCCATGGCTCAGGAACATCCAGATTCAAGGTGAGAGTTTTGGACAGTGGCATGTTTGCAAAAAATGCCTTTGGACCAGGTACTGTGTAGTCAGTACCGCTGAAGTCATCCTGCAAAGCCAAAGCACGTTAGGAAAGAGACAAGGGAACTAATATTAAAAACTAATCACGAGACAGTTTTCTACGCTTACCATTGTTGGCACAACATATCTGTAGTAGTTTTTCAGGGGAAGATCCACTAGAGAACTCTGGCAGAAACCAAACCTTGTGTTAGTCTGTCACCAGCAAGGTAAACAAACAAAAGGAACCTAACAAAAGTAACACACTATGTTCTAACTTCTAAGCTAATAATAAGCTAAGGAATCAAAATAAGGCATAAAGGTGTTGTACAATTAGCAAGTTGATCTAGTTCTATGCTGCAAGTATTCAGGTGCTTGCTCGAGAGACAGGCACAAACCTCCCATTGGGAAAAAATATCATTTATAAAAGGCAACATACACAATTCTGTATTTTCATCTCAGCTAAGACTGTTTCAGTCACCACTGAGTTGTCATTACCAGACACAGTGACAACCACTTATTTCACAAAACAGACAGTAACTGAGATTGCTATTGAAGACTGAAAACAGGAATTACGGGACTTCATTTCTGAAGAACCGATCCAAGTGCTTTGATAATCATGGTATCGAGGTATACTCTTCCAGAAATATAGCAGATGAAAACACATCTAGACCGAAAAATATACTGAAACTGAAAGATAAGGGAATTTTAGAGTTTTAACTCACCAGAGGATTTAAAACCATTCTCAAGCTTGGTTGAATGTATTTCTTCAAAACATTAAGAAGTGAAGCCACCTTTTGACCAATTGGACTTAAAGGATCAATTACAGCATCAATATGCACACTGGAATCTTCATTTTCTATAATGACAGCACTGCACAAAAAACCAAAAAGGATCACATAATCAGACAATAAATACTGAAGCTCCAAAACATAAAGTGACAACGTAAGTTTCCCAGATGATTTGCCATGACAAAGGAAATAAAAGTAATATCTTAAAACCTTATGAACTGTATATGGCTATATGCATATGCATGGACAACACTCCACAGAATAAGGTCGACTATTAACCTCTAGTGTCATCAGAAGTAGTTCTGAAGAAGAAATGCAAAACAACATATTATTGTTACCTATGTTTATCATTAAGAACCTCAAATCGTGCACTCTCAGAACTTCGATCCCTTGTAGCCATTGCAGATGATACGCACATGATAACGTCGCTTACAAATTTGCTGCAAGTGAAATTTTAAATTAGCTCAGACTCTACATGACAACAACAACAACAACAACAACAACAAAGTTGACACATCCTAGTGTATCCACATGACTAAACTAATAAAATAAAATAAAACTCTTATGTACAAGGGACAATAAATTAGCTACAGATTTGGAGAGCGAAGGAAAGTCTTCTTTAAGAAGTAACGTTCCCGAAGCACGTAAGCAAGGCAGATAAAGTGAAGCAGCAGCATGAGAACAAACGAACCTCGTTAATAAGTCAGGATCTGCTTCTTGCCACTCCACTTCTTCAATAATATCCACAATATGTTTGATACGCTGCTTATACTCCACAGACTCTAGGAGCTGTAGATCATGGCTGACAAAGGAACCTTCACTAGGGATCATAACCTGTTTGGTGACGGTATAGAAGTCACAATGAAAGTAACTAACCAAGATCGAAGGATCCATCAATTTAAGCAATGATGGCGCGTGAATGCACTATCATTGAGAGACAATACAACAAAAAAGCGAAATTTAAACTTCATTATTTTCAAAAATTCAAATAGGACTAACCCTTCCATTTGTAATGACAGCATTCACTCCAGATTCAATCCTCAGTAGCCTGAACAAAAATTGTGCCACCTGCATAAAAATTGCAGTCATATGACCTATACACATGGATATCTAAATTCATGTTATACATTTTGAAGAAGGATTTTAGAACAGATTCATAAAATCAATGGCAACAGTAAGATGGAAAAACTTCAGCACAAAATCAAAGAAGAACTTCTGGAGAAATTGAGGAAACAGTCACACATAAAATGTCCTGTGTTGATACCTTGCTCAAATATATTTTCATATCCTTCATAGATAACGTAGGCAGCACAGATTTGTAGGCTTTCGGTGACAAGCCATTGGAATCAGCAAGCTCATAGATTTTGTCCAAAAATATTTGTGTGCTTTCAACTGCTCCAGAGGATGGGAAAACATACTTCTGCTCATAATATGAAGTTATATAATCCAGACACGTCAATGCATTTTTCTTATGACTGCACCACTCAAGAAAGTGAGAATGAAGGTCAATACAATAGACAGTCTTACATGTGGGGTCAAGTAAACGACAAATTTTCATCGCATTGCACAAAGTAGCATAACTAACCCGTATGCCGAAACAGTGACTTCAAAAGCCTTCACAAAAAGGAGACTAGGTAAATCAATATCTTGGCTGGCAGTAAATAAAACACCCAAACGAGACACTTTAGATCCTTCAATCTGCATCATAAGCCAAAGATGTTATGACAATTGATAGGAGACCAAGGCTACAAAGAAACAGACAACACACTATGTGGAAACAATATAGATAGAATCCCAGTTATAAAGAATAACCAGAAAGCGAATTCCTTCATGAAGCAACTTGAGCCCTCTCTTCGTTGTGATGTCAACAACAAGAAGCTGAGTCACAGGCTTCAAATCATCAACAGCTGGAAAATTGAAAAATCAGATCAAAATGCAACAACAAAGGATCTTGATAGAAAAGTATTATCTAAATATGAATTCTGCTTACTGTTGGGAGAGTGCAGATAGTTTATATCATTAATAACGGACTCTTCTCCAAGAACTGCGGACATAAGAGACATAAATCTTGGTTTTTCCTTCCCCTCAGCAATGATCTATTGAATATATATGTTAAAAAGGAAAGAAACATAATATAGTAAGACTGATTTCACGTCCAAAATTCAAAAGACGATTCAAGTAGCAGAGTTAAATGCTTTACTTGTGGATTATATCGGCTAATACCGCCCTCTGAAAGGAATTTTTCCAAGACATCAGTACGAGAAGTTATGTGACCATAATATACTTGTTCTTGAATTCTGGGAAGTTCATCGTTCATTGCATTCATAAGAGCCTCCTGTCCAACATTACAGAAAGAATAAGCAGACTACACCACAAGCAAATCACGAATCCAAGCACAAAATCTCTGTCCAAAGTTAAATCACATTTCTCTAACCTAAGAGATCTTTTTACAAGTAAAGAATGCCTACTGCTTTTACATTTTGGAAGTCCCATATGGAAATGAAGCAGCCTTTCTTCAGAAGAAACTCGGAATAATTAAATCCTCAAATTCAAGCAATCTTATTGGAAGAAAGAAACACTAAATTTCCTCACTACTTAATTCTTTTCTGGATGGTAAGCACAGAGAGAGATGGAACAGTAGCTTGGCGTTCAATTTGGGTTAAATTAGTCAGTTAAGTTTTTTGTTAAAAAAAAAAGGCTCTAACCGACTGGTCGTATGCATCGGTAAGCTGTGTACCAAAGTAGTTCTAAAATTTAAATATAAGATGCATGTTTGTTCGAGCTATTGTCCCAACTTAAAGTTCAGAATCTGAAAAAATGTTGAAACAGACAGTCTATGGGATCTTCAAGAGAAGATGGCCATACCCAACAATATATCTTGCTGAAAATCAAGAACCATAACTACTAGGCTGAGAACAGAAGAAATCATGTTTGCTCATAACCATTACCTCAGTAGAATCAGCCACAAGACCATTCATCAAGAGAGGGCACTTCATGTGGGACAAACCTAGCTTAAGAACTGACATTGAGCTTTCTTGTGATAACTCCTTGTATGTTTGGTCCTTCAACAATTTGAGTAACATGTCTTGAGGATGGGATTTTGCCTTTGGTCTTAAAGGAACAGAATGCAAACACAAGTTAGTATTACCATCTAGATTTAGTAATAGCAAGACCTAAGTATGTGAAATATTTGTCGAACTAAAGAATTTGATCATGAAATATTTTCAACTCACAATAATGTGTCCACAAAAGCTCCTTCGACATGGTGCATTTCAGGAGCTTCGGAAATGTCTTCAGACTCCAAGCGTAACCTGTTAACCTGCCGCAGGAGGATGGAGCAGTTGGTAGCAAAATTGACCAAGGAATATACCAATGCTCCAAGCACATGAAGGGAAAACATTTTTCAATGAGTAAGCCTTTCCGAACCCTCGTTTAAGAAACTTCAAATTACACTTCTATGACATCATATAGATAATACTACCAATTATTAACCGCATTAACAAACCTTGCTAAGCAGGTCAGCAGACCTGAAAGCAATACATTGAACACTTCCATTCAACAGTTTTTGAAGAAATCACATCAAGCTCATATCTAAACATTTTATGCAAGTTCAATTATTTTTCTATTAACTTTGGGAACCTAAGACCTCTATAATACAAAACACTCGCAGTCAAGTACCGAGTTCAAATCTCAACTCATGGTGAAAATGAGTAATCGCACAACAGGAAAAGAAGGGGATCCATGCCAAAGCTAAGGGTGGAATCCTTTCTCGTGTTTTTTCCTTTAAATATGTTTACTACTTTGCTATTTTCTGATGACAAGTATAGTTGAAGGCTTACATTGCTCAGAAACTGAAATGCCGTCTGAACTCCATAGTTTTCCTTCATGTATAAGAAGAGACGTATGATCTGCACAGAGGGGATGAGAAGAAAGAAATATTAAAGTCAAGGGCATAATATGAACAAACCAAAGCGATTATGGAAACTGAAAAAGCATGCATCATTGGAAGGTTAAGAAATGGGATAAGGAAAACTTGAAGAGCCAACTACCACACTGGATTTATCTTCTGTCCTTTCAGTGGCAGATGAATGAACTTCACCACCAGTCAGTTCTACTTTGTTCAAGAAGTCTGAAGAGTATAATAACAACCCGAATCTCACTGGAACATTGTTCTCATATAATGATATAATCATGTCAACGGCCTACACGTGACAGATTCAAAAAATGAAGAGTCAGTGGGAACAGTCTAGTCACAAAATAGTTAGAGACAAATAATTTCTGAGGATCCATAAGCTTGCCTCAAGACCACATCGACTTGCTGGATCAATAACATAAACTGCATGGAACAGATTCTTGCGGATGTAGCGCAGTTGTCCAGGAAAGACGGGCATCAAAATCTGCACGACGCAAATTGATCAGCAACAAAATTCTACAGAAACCATACATTTCCTACACAGGATAAAAGTCTTGCTGAAGATAAGAATGCAAGAATATGACCTCATTTAAGTTGCTCCGCCACCGCTTATACATCACGTCCTCCTCCAAGTTATTGAGAAAGTGAACATTAGCAGAGCGGAAGTCAACACGGAAGGTATTAGACTCTTGTGGAGACATTGTTGACAGAAGCCTCCGTACAGTCCTTTGAGGAACCTGGCATATTTTTTGAAACAATGCTTTGCTGTGTTCAGGATATTCGAGATGCCAATTGCATAAGAAACATGGCGATCGAGAAAGAAACATCCTTTAGCAACAGGCAATTGAGACTATCTTTCATAATTGACAGCAATATCCCAAAACTATAAGACCTTGTCAGATAAATCAATTTTCTATTATCCTCCCAATATCTTACTTGCTATTGTTAAAAACCTTCTTTTTTTTTCTTTTTTTGCCTATCAATAAGTCACTTCAGTTACGTTGACTCAATTTACTTCTTCTACTTGCATGGTTTTATTGGATGGTTCGAACTCCAAACTCAGTATTCCTGTGTGTATAAAGGAAGGAAATAGAATGGATAGATAGCGTAACGTAAAAGCATACTTTTTCTGACAATTCTAATTACCGTCACGAATGAATTGCAGATCTATCATTATCCATCTTTCTTCATTTTGGACACCACATTAATGACTACGTGGTTACCATACAACAATCAAAATAATTAATGCCGTATTTTTGCTCAATTTACCTTCAACTTGGATAACTGATCAGCCAATAGCAACTCCTGCTGAACCAAGTCAACCAACCTATATAGAGATCAATGGGAAATCGGTCAAAGTTCAATTAAATGCAAGGGAGAATACTCAATAAAATTATAATCATAAAGTGAAAGAACAGAAGCATATAAAAAGCAGTGGTCAGACTAAACATAGTATATAAAAAACTTCAATTATTTCCAACTGTGGCAAGAACAAATGAAATTTACTTCATGGGAAAGGTTGGCATAGATAAATTGTTCAAGATGAGGAGAGAACATGAATAGAGAGACATAATGTTCATGGATATCATCTTTGATTTATTGAACTAAGCAGCTATTAATAGTCACTAATGCTCACCAAATGCTTCACACAATTTCAAGTTATAAAGATTTTAAACAAAATATACTGATAAGAGATCAAAACAATGCTGCCTTGGAATAGTGCATACGAAGCTCAAAAGCGAATTTTGAGGGAAAATAAATACAGAAGCCTTACATGTAAAGGTCAATATCCTCAACATTAAGTATAGCACCATTGAGAGCCATTAACGACTTCCCAGGAGGGATCATTCTCTGGTTCGTGGTTATTTCTTCTTTCACTGAATCATTCAGCTGCAACACAAAGTATCGCAATCTAAGAAGCATTAAAATGGCTAACACTGCTTATCTTGCTAGAGCAAACTTGATATTTTGCTAGTCATTTCACTTTCATCAAATATATGTCGACACAACAATTACCTTCATTCGTGACAGAGAAGAAACAACACTAGGAAAGTTTTGGTTGATTTCCAGCATAGCCTGTAGGGGATTAGAAGCTTGCACTATCCTTTGTGCTGTCTGATGTCCTAAATCTGTTCCAAATGGAAAGCTAAAGTGAGAGAGGGTACAGTTTTTCCATATTGAAGAATACAAGAAAACTTGTACGCACCCTTCAGTTCCCACACATCGAGTGTGTCAGATATTGTTGAAGACAATAGGTAGTCCCTGAAAGCCATTATCTCGGATGTAAGCTCAGGTTTTCGCTCCTATGGAATGAAAAGAAAACAGATATTGAGATCTTCAGGAGAGCAAGGTGAATAGGTTTGACATCATAAAATTAACTAAAAGCAGCAATTGAAGAAATATGACAATACCAAAACCAAGTCATGACACGATTAATCAATCACACAACTATAGAACCCAACAGTATGTAGCAAAAACTATGCACACGATTAATACCACTAGCTTTGAACCTGGAGGTCTCAGGTTCGAATCCCTTAAGTAGGTACTAAACAACTAAAAGTAAACCTATATCATCCTTATAAAAAAATTATGCATATTCACCATCATTGGAGGCGAAATCTTGTCAAGAAGTCATTTGATTGACTCTCCTTTCAACCTCCAAATAGGAAACCCAATAAGACAAACTCCTTCAAATAGAAACCACAACAAGAGAAGCTTATATTCATATTATGTGATCCCATTATGTGATCCAAATAGAAACCCTAATAAGACAAACTCCTTCATACTAGTAGCAACCTACTAAATCAAAAACTGCAATGACTGTTGCAGAGTGCATAATGATCAATACGCAGCGAATGTAGCAAAAACGTGTAAAGCATTGAAGGAGAGGTTCATTACATACAGGTCCCCTCTCAGATCTTCAGTAGCATCTCACATATGTACCCATTCTACTGAATTGTAATATAGAGAAACGCATAGGAAAAGCATTCAAAGATGACGTACTAATAGCTTTGAGAAAATGAACCCTCTGACTTCCTGGCTAAGATCTTCGGTCCTAGGATCTTCCAAAGTAACACCTGCAAAAGTGCAAATCAAGCGTTAACAAAGAAGAATAAAAAAGAACTGCAATTTAATATTATACTCTCAACCAAATTTAATTTCCAATTACGAAGAACACTTAGAACAGGCTTCGCAGAACTACAAAATTCACGAAGTAAAGTAAATCAAGCCAAAGTTTTCGAACCCTTTTTAATTGTGCTATCATCCATAGCCTTATATTCCATGTTCTTCAGGGCAAGTTCTACTCCATAGCCTCCTAAGTTTAAGGAATCTCTAGCTCCAACAGCAACACAATGATGAACTTTTGACTCACAGCCAGAGGGTAGAACAGGTCTAACGACATACTTTACCTGCCCCTGTAAATTTCAAACCAGCTGATCAGAAACAAATATAAAAATTCGCCAACAACAATATCAGATGTAAGACTCCCGACATCTATACATAACACTGAGAGCCTACATTTATACGGCCAGAAGGGCTTTCTTATCTTCACGAGCATTCTTGACCACCACATCCAGTAAAAATAACTAAAACACCTTTCACAGCATTATAGATTCCAGGATGTTCAAAGTTCAAAACATCGATGGCTTTGCAACGATAAACTTAGCCGACAATTCATAATGTTGTAAACAGCAGTTGCATTCCAGCTAGCCAAGAGGGGAAACCCGACACAATGTAGGTAAGAAACCATTCATGGCATTGCTGAAAAACCATTATTCCTATGCTTCTTAGGATTGTAACTACAATATGGAACTATCATTTTAAAAAAGACGGCTAGTATGACATATACTGGCTATCAGGTTGGTAATCCTTTTCAGAATATATAGTAATAAGGGCCTTGGCAGCTATAGAGTAGTATCGAACTCCATACAATCTCGTCAACCTTTTGCTGTGTTTTCCGAAACAAGAGAAAACAATGTAATATAAGAAGATGAAATGACAGGCGAAAACTAGAACAAGTAAAATAATCCAGACAAAGACAAATCAAGGTGAGAACCAGAATCAGTATGAGCTAAACCTCTTTGGCAGCTATAACCAGGACAGCATGGAACTCCTTAAAACAGTCTGTCCCGATGGCTCCATATAATATAGCAACAGGACTCCCAGCACGTGAGTTGAAATGAATATGATCGAAGTCAAATAGCTCTGGTTGCTGAAAAGAGTCTCCTGCACTGTCAACAAAGAAAATAAAGGTATATATATTAACTATGAGAAATTAGTTCAGTGCGATTTGAAGTAAGGACAACGAAAGCCTTCAACACATGACAACATAAAACATACAAAGCAGGGTTGCTGCGGATCCACAATTGCAACTCCGAAACGTCAAAGAACACTCTTCCACCAGTATCGACCCAACAACACTTCCCACTAGGGCTGCTAGGGTTCCTTCCAACAAGCAAAGGACCAGACTTCTTAAGTGCACTTGTCTCTACAACCGCCCCACCATCAGCTGACGTCCCATCATCAGACGGAGGGAAAGAAGCAAGAGACTCCTCTGCTAGTTGTCGATAGAGCTGTAATCTCGGCGATGCTGATCTCAGAGTCAGAGAGAACTCAAACAGTGAGGCCAATGGATCACTCAGAAGACCACCGCCTAGCTTCACAATCCTTTTGAGGCAGTCTTTAGCTGAGTAACTATCAGGTTCGTCTTTCTCAATCTTGTCCCAAACATCAATGAATTCCCAGTATAGGTCCTTCCATTCCTTGGACAGTAACTCTCTGCAATAACAACATGTTGGCAAATTTCACGAGAAAAGAGATGCATGAATTCAAGCGTAACATTTTCAACTGAAAGCTGCCAATGCCGCCACATAATTAAGAAATTCCAGAGCTCTACCACGGCCATGGAAGCATTGAAGACAATGGAATTTGACGAGACTAAGACGGATAGAAATGGAGAAACGAAGCATCAATTACGTAAAATTGCAATGCCTATGACGAGAAATCAGAAATCATACCCGGCTTCCAGTAAGACTGGAGTGCCTTCCCACTTCGCTCGAACAGCAACCTGCACGTTCTTCGGCCGGCGATTCTGTCCCCGTACCGGACTCAGGCCGGAAAAGCACAAACAAGCTACGATGACTATAACGCAGAAACGGGATCTAAATCCGGCCGTCGCGGCCATTGCTCAATTCCGAAACGGGTCCCTAAGCTATCCTTCTAGTGCTATCGCCGACGGGAAAGGTGATCCAACATTGATCGACGGAAGGAGCAGAAGCAAGGTTTTCAGTCCGTGCAGTCGGTGAGCGGCCGCCGGGGAAGCAGAGGGGTTTGTTTGTACGACTTTCGAAGGAAGTCGGTCGTCCCTCGAAACGGAGTAAATTGTCTTTTTACACTTGAAATTCAGGGTGTTTAAAAAGCCTTGTCAATTTAAGTGACGTGGTAGTTTCTGATTGGCTGCAGCAGATAAGTGCCATTGACTTCTCGCCTGGTTGGAGTTGATTTCATGAACTCCGAAGTCTCTATGGATTCCAAAGTCCAAACAAGTAGAATTGAAGTCTCTTGAATCAAGACTTGATATGGCATCAAAGATGGTTTAAGTTTGGGTGTAATCCTACTAGATTTGTGATGATTGATGCATACATAAACAATCAAACATTTTATTTGTTTATGTTTCAATCTGTAGAATGATAAGAAATTCTAATTTATCTGTGTGGTAGTGATCATAATGTCATAGAGGGTCAAATTTCATATGCAACTAATGCCTCCTCCACTGTTTGGGTTGTTCTAACAACGAGTTGCCTCAAAATATGCTTCAAGACCGAGGGTTTACTATGATCATGGTTAAGCCTTTTTATGGAGAAATTGTATTGACAACGAAAATTTTAGAGGAATCGCTTGTTGCAACTTGCAAGTTATATAACCAGGTGGAATCCGCTACAGGGAAAGGTGAGAAAACAATTCTACTTGTTTGCATGTTAAGTGGATGTTGAAGGTAAAGGTGACAACAACGCACTATTCATACGCTAAAGTAATGGATGTCTATATTGGAGACATCTTATGAGGAAAGTCATATGTTTGCCCCCTCAAGTTATTAGATATGTTTTTTTGTTACCTCGGCATAATAAGACAGTGCAAAGCTGAGTGATATCTGAGAAAGTTATCATAATGCACTCCAAAAGTAAAATCGTGCGACGGTATGTCCAAAACGGACAACTACTTCAATGTATGAGATACCATTCCTTGTTCTTTGTCTCCTACTTTGACATCCAAATAGTGAACATCGTAATCACAAAAAAAACAAACTAGGAAACTCATAATACTTGGGCCTTGGAATCCATTGTAGCACAAGATGAGGCGCCCAGTCGAGGATCAACAATTGAACCTTCTTCCAAAATGTACTTTGCAACCAATCTATAGGTGGCTTCAGTGAAATGAATCCCATCCCAGTTAACATACGTTGAAGGGTCGTCACAAGGCTTCACCACAGGATTCCCACAGTTCGCCGTCGTGTTGACGTTGTAAGGCCCTCCACCTCCACAACATGCTTTCAGAACTCCACCTGTGAATCCTGGAAAATCGAACCAACACGAAAGATATCTCGTTGTCAATTCAAAGACACGAGATCCGAACCAGTTTAGCAAATGGTATGGTACGCGCGTACCGAATTGTTGTGGCGAACGATAGATGCGCATCATGGCGTTGTAATAATCGGCATAGATGATGTTGACGTGGGGGTAAAGCTTCCTCAGACGACTCAGCTCGGTTTGGAGAAGATCGTTATGTAGCTCGGCAAACTGGTTGAGCCACGTAAGGCATCCTGTGGAAGGATCGTAGTCTCGAGGATTCGAACTCGAGTAATAGGCTAGCATAACGGGTATGCATCCAACTGGGAAATTTCCGGGGACCATGATGTGTACAGCTCCCAGCTCAATTACATCCTGAATGAAAGCATAATAAGATAATTAATGTTCCATTATTAGTCCATCTAACTAGGATTTCAAGACACAAAATTGGCATTAGGGTTTGCTTCAACTAGGCATGCAGAAGATATATACTCACCCTGAGAGCCAACCCTATAGAGTTCACCACAATGGGCACAAGTTGTTGGATTTTTTCGAAGCTCATTGGAAGCATCAATGGATAATTGTAGTCGTTGCCACCGATTTCGCCCATCAGAAAAAGATAGTTGTCGAATGCGCCATTGCATCCTGCTTGTTCAAATGTATACAACTTGAGATTGCCTAGAGCTATATCACAAGAAAAACTTTAGGTCTGACGATCATGTGACACCATAAAATAATTAGGATTTATAGGTGTCGATCGAACGTGCCATGTAAGTCATCAAGAACATACTTAGTGTGCAAAGACCGACCCCAATAATAGCGGATTTAACAAAAGCTATCTCGTTGAGATATGCAAAGATGGAGTGGTGTACAAGATGAATAGGTCATATTATAGAGAATAAGCTTTGTGGATTAGTGCATTTCTAGTCTCTAGATGTTAACAATGCCAGTTTGTAAGAAATGTATTATGATTAATCGAAATGGCGTAAATAGCATTTCTCAACTTTTTGATTACGGAGCTGATTATAATTTTATAATTGTATTCGAAATGACTCCACTCAGAAGTGATTAGTGATCATTAAAAGACAAAAATGCGATAACAAATTGGGTGGGAAATGAAAAAAAAAAAATATTTTCATCGAGATGTCCAATCAAATCTAAAAAAAAAAACATTTATCTTTCTTAGTGGTAGGTGAGAGATGGGGGAATTATCTAAATGGTCATTGAACTATGCCAAATAACACAAAGTCGTCACTGAACTTTAAAACTTTACAAAATGATCACTTGTAAGTTGTAAGTTGTAACAAATAACCATTGTAACAAATATTACTTATTATTATTAGCAGTACTGGTGTCTATCTAAAAATAGTATATGTTAAGAATAAGTGACTATCAAATACATGTGTAATTTTTTTTTTTAACAACCGTACCACCATTTTCCTTCCTGAAATAAATATTGCAAGATATTAATAAAGCAGACTTGCCTGAACTGTCGCCGGAGTTGCAAAGCGACGGCATTAGCTCCCGGAACAAATCCAACTGAACTCTCAAAGAAACATTGGTCGTGATCACAGGCACCCCCCAGTTTTTCAGGAACTCAACGCCCAGCGCCGTAGCCCCGGCCACCGCGAAATTGACGCCGGTCGCGATATCCCCCCGGCGGCCATCGAAAGAAGCCGGCACCAGAGGAAGACCCAGATGCTCAGCTGCAAAAAACAGAGCAATTAATTAGTACTGAACTATCACTGCCTTTTATTTATTGGGAGTTCACTGATACGGGTACCAATTTGATGAAAATAGACTGAGATCGAGCTGGGTCAAATCGGGTTTGACCGATTTGCTTACCGATGAAATCGATGATTAAACGGCCGTCGCAGCTCCGGCCGGTGGGGCGGTGGAAGAAGGTGTTGCCGTAGGGGGGAAAGCACATGTGGGGGAGGTGTTGCGGCGGGGAGAGGTCGCAGAGATTGCCGGTGTCGGCGATGGAGTCGCCGAAGCTTATGATTGATGTGAAGCATCCAGATCCGGCGGCGGCGGAGGCGGAGATGGTGGCCGGGAAGAGTAACACGACGGCGGAGAGAAGTATTGGAAGGAATGCCGGCGGCGGAGAAGGAAAGGTTTGAGCCATTTTTTGCATCCCTCAAAATCCAAATAGAGTGGTTGGATGTTGGATTAATGGATTCCTGCCCCAAATGGTCACATCTCAAAACAGACAGAGCCAAAACAGAGTCTCTTTTTTTTTTTAATCAGCTGTAAAAAATTAAATCGATAATAAACAATTAACAAAACAAAATAGTAATTATCCCGCCCCGCGACAATTTTCTGGAACGAGAAAAACGAGGTTACAAGAACTCAGCTGCAATCAATTAGGCTGGACTATACAAACATTTTCATATCACTCATAACAATACAAAATTTTGGTTATAGTGCTCGGAGCGCTATTTATAAAGACGTTCTTATTGCGGCGATAATTGTCCGGTCGGGTAATAGATGTTTCGTAATCGTTAGATGAACAGGTGGTATCTTTGTATATAGATTTCTAGCATGGAGATAGACTTTCTTACATTATCTTTCCACTAATGCCAGCATAACTTCTAAACAAAGTGTGGGATACTTGTTTTTTTTTTTTTCCTCGGTAAATTTGATCTTAAACTAGTTTCGCAAATAAATGAGGAAGGCATTTGTTAGATTGAAAGGTTCGGTTTAACATAATTGACGCAGTACGAACGTCTTTACAAACAGTGTTTCGACGAATACAACATATTAACCCGCGTACATCCAACAATTGAGATCACGACATTACGATGATCCGACGGTTGTAGGCTTGTAGCATGGGGCATTAATCTACTACTAATAATAATAATAATAATTGCATAATGTGGCAAGATAGTGATAGTGAGTTTACATGCTTGGTTGTTTCCACGTGGCATCAAAAGGAATTGGGAAAGTAGTCCCCTGAATCCCTAGCAATACGTGAAGATGACGAGAGAATGAAAGAAGGGTGGGTGAACAAGCCTTCTTCCAGTATGGACCGGGCCACCGATCCATAAGTTGCTTCAGTGAAATGAAGCCCATCCCAGTTCACGTATTTGGAAGAATCGTCACAGGGCTTCACTGATGGGCTCCCACATTGGACCGACCCTTCTCCTTCACAACATGCTTTCGAAGTTTTGCCAGTAAACCCTACAATCCAAAATTCACAGCTTTTTTTTTAAGAAGGATGATATAGGTTTACTTTTTTTTCCCCCGGTTAGATACTACTTAAAGGATTTGAACATGAGATATCCATGTTCAAGACCAGTGATATTACCACCATATCAAACTCGTGTTCATAATTAATAACACATCAAATTCTTCCCCAACTTCACCATTTAATGTCGTTAGAAATCAATTGGCACGTACCGAATTGCTCGGGTGCTTGATATATACGTAAAACGGCGTTGTAATAATCGACGTAGATGATGTTGATGTCGGGATAAAGTCGTCTCGTGCGACTCAATTCGGCTTGTAGGAGCTCGTTGTGATACTCCGAAAGTTTGTTGAGCTGGGCGAGACAACCGGTGAAAGGATCATATTCCATTGAACTTGAACCGCGAAACTTTGCTAAGTAGAAGGGTAGACACCCAATCGGGAAGTTTCCGGGGACCAGAATGTTGACTGCCCCTAACTCGATGATCTCCTGCATATATATAAAATTTTCATTTTTTAACAAACGTTCTCCTCCAATTACAGTAAAAAAAAAATTAACATAGAAACTAAATTACTGCATCGAAGTTAGTTAGAGAACATCCACCGTACCCTGAGGACGAATCCAATGTAACCGACGACAATGGGCACAAGTTGTTGAATGTCGTTGAAGCGATTTCCATCGGTCAAGGGTAAATTGTAGTCATTCCCTCCAATCTCTCCCAATATAAACAGTGAGTTGTTGAACAAGTGGCGGCAACCTGCAATCATACAATTCATACCTTTCCTTTAATAAAAACAACTATTATATATATACATTTAGATCAATGACTCTTATTGTGCAGTCACCAAAAAACATGTACATATTACACACCGCCGAATTCTGAAACTAGTATTAAAACATCAAATTTTAATTTAAATAACTCTCCCTATATATTATAACATAAAAGTTAAAACCACGTGCATTATCCATTACCACAAATAAAAAGCCATATCGATGTTTTTTTTTCCAGACTAAAATGACCATAAAACCATTATCGAGGCATACACAAAATTGGTAATATGTAGCACGTCCTTTCAAGTAGGGCTGGCAATTTGGTCCGGACTGTTTGGTTTTACCCGAAACCGGACCGTATAACCCGGACCGGGATCGGACTGAGACCGGATAGCAAACAATCCAATCTCATATTCGGGCTTAGATTTAAGGTAAAAAACTGGATAAGAGACCCCCAACACCTAAAATCAAGATCAAATTGGGATCGAACCGGGTCAAAATCGGACTGTATCCAATCCAATCTTTGGTCCTTATATTCCCGAAAAACTCGAACTGGAACCGGATCAATTTGGTCCAATTTAGCCGGACCGGACCGTATAGCCACCCCCACTTTTAAGCAATCACATCACATCCACCTCTCTCTCACCGAATTAAATCGAGAAAAAGTGGTGAATGGATCGGACTACTAATGAGGCAATTGATGATTGATAGATTTGGGAGTTGGGACTTGGGACCTTGATTATGCACCACAAAAATAGACGGTTACTTATCATTTAAGGCAATGATGCACTAGATTTTTTTTCTTTTTTTAGTAATAATAATTAGGGCTGTTAACGGTGCGGTTTCGGTTTTAACCGAACCGCAAACACGGTTAACCGCAGCCAACAATCACCCAAAAACCTCAACCGACACCGACACCGATTGACTTGTCGGTTAGCCGAAAACCGCCGTCGACGGTTTCGGTTCGGTGTCACGGTTAGTTAAAGACCGACGCAGGGGTGGGTTGACGGGACGGCGGCCGATTCCGCTTCAAGGAAGGCAGAGTTTTAGCCTTTGAAGGAGACCCGACGAGCTGCCAAATGCCCAAATCCTTCCGCTGCCAAATCTTGACAGAGAAAGGCCGTCGGAGGAAGAGGCATCAGGCAGATCCAGATCTGAATTTGCCGGCGCCGCGTAGAACATGCAAGGCAAAGCGACGCCGATCGAGGTAGACGAGGAAGTCCATCGATCGGAACTTTCTCTATTCCGATGGCGGGATTCGCGACCTTGGACTCGGATCGAGCGATTGGACCTACGCGCAGCGGATTGAAGCTGTGGACAGCGACGGTTCCTTTGTGGTGGTGGCAAAGATGCAGAACTATGGGTGAAGAGTTTTAGGATGGGGTGGTTTGGACTTTGGTGGTGGCAGGCGAAGAACAGAACTGGGTAAGGAAGCTAGTGGTGAGGCGGCCAGTTCGGAGAGGGAGAGGTATGATGGTCGCGCGAATCGAGGCCGGCGGCAAAGAAAGGAAGGGGTGGCGGCGTCAATTTTGGGCAGTGGGGAGAATTTTGATTTAGGGTTTCGTTTGATTGCATGTCTGGTTTTGGTCTAGGTGATGATGGGTTGAGAAAGAGGGAGGATTGAGGCTCACGATTGGGGATAGGGAGGGCTGGATGTGAGGGGTTGTTGAGGTCTCGAGGAGAGTGGAGGGATAAGGATGGCGGGGCAACGAGGGAGGAGTTGGGACTTGGGAACGGGGAGAGGTTCAGGGATTATATCAGGCAAAAAAGAAAAGAGGGTGTTGTCGGGTATACGGTGCACCGACACCGTCGTCGGTTATAAACCGCCAACCGACGGTTGCCCAAAATTCCCCAAAGCCCCAACCGACACCGCCAACCGATGATAATAAACGGTTATCGGTTAGCCGATTAACCGATGTTTTCGGTTCGGTTATGCGGTTAACCGAATAACCGACAACCGTTTATCACCCCTAATAATAATAATGCACAAGGCTTGAGTGAGAGTGGACTTGCCTGCGCGTAGGGCACTGTCCCCACAGAGAGAGGGCAGCAGTTGCTTGAACAAATCCAACTGCACTCCAAGAGAAACGTTTGTGGTGGTTATCTCAACACCAAGCCTCGCCGTCAAAAAGTCGGTGTGCAGCGCCGTCGCCGTCCCCACCGCGAAATTCACCCCGCCGCGGAAGTTACCGGCGCTGCCCCCGAAATAAGGCGGCACCAGCGGCAGCCCCAAATGCTCAGCTGCATGTAATTAAACACCAACTACAGATTATACATACATTTGCCTTTGTTTTTTTTTTTTTTTTACAACCTTTTCTTTTTTCGAATTGGATTAGAGCAGTAAGCCGTGTGTGAAACATATCGTATATAAACATTCTTAATATAGCGAAAATTTTCTCTTTCTACTTGTGAATTAACTGACACCATGGTTGTCATGCCGGTGGCATGCCACCCGGTTGAACCTGGTTCAACCTGTGTTGGTCATGAAACCGGCATGACACCACAGGTATGACCGGTATGATCGACGTACGTATTCTAAGCAAAATTTATATCATTTTAATAAATTTAATTTATATAAAAATTAATTTATTATTCATTTTATGAATTTAATAGTTAAAAGTTGATGATATTTGTTGGATTGTAACTTAAATGTCCAAAAATATGTTTTATATATGATTAAATACATTGAATATTAATTGTTTTTACACTTTTTTAAACCGGCATGAACCGACACAAACTGGTTATACCACCGGTTGTACCATTCCATTTGCCAAACCGGCACAACGGTATAAACCGGTTTGACAACCTTGACTGACACACATTTTTGGGCGGATAAGATGGGGAAAGAATTACCGTATGGAGAAGGTATTGTACATTTTTTTTTATATCCTAAAAAACAGTGAAATTGTTCTCTCATGCATGTCCGTGACTACGTGGGCGGATGGGATGGGAAAGGAAGATTACCGATGAAGTCAATAATGAGGCGGCCGTCGCAGCTGCGGCCAGTTGGCCGGCGGAAGAAGGTCTCGCCGTAGGGGAGAAAGCAGTTGTTGGCACGCTTTCCGGCCCGGAAGAGGAGGTAGCAGTGGTTCCCGGTGTCGGCGATGGAGTCACCGAAGCTGAAAATCGACGTGATGGGTCCTCCGGCCGGCCTCCCGGCGGCGGACGAAGAACTCGATGCCAATGATAACAACAGCAGGACCAAGACCGTGGAAATCACCGCCGGCGGGATTGCATTCCGGCCGGCCATAATGTTCAAGAGAGGAGAAGTAACAAACAGTGAATGAACGAAATGGGATCACTCTCTTTTATGCATGATTGCTTGCCCGGGGAAGTGGGAGTGGAGGTGGATTATAGAGATAAGAGATGGGGCCAACCACAAGCCGTGGAGCCGGCAACTATTTGGTCCGGGCCTTTTGGTTTTATTCGAAATCAGACCGTATAATCCAGACCGCGATCGGATCGGGACCTTATAGCAAACAATCCAATATTTAGGCCTAGATTTGAGGTAAAAACCGTTTGGGACCGGATAAAGACGGTATAAGAGAGCCCAATACCCAGAATTTAACCTCCTCGCCCTTTCATGCCTTAGGCCACTCAAATCCCCCTCAAACCACTCAAATCCCAACAAACTCAATCTAAAATCAATATCGAATTGGGACCGGGTCGGTTCAAAACCGAACTGTATCCAATCCAATCTTTGGTCCTTATATTCTCGAAAAGACCGGACCGACATCGGATCCATTCAGGCCAATTTAACCGGACCGGACCGTATAGCCACCCCTACCAGAAACGTGAATGGGAGAGTCTGATTCCAATCGTATTATCAATTATTCTATTTTCTAAATGTGTTACAAATAAATTTACATGTAACATCACCTAGATTTCAAAATTGATGGTGCATTGTAAGGCCTCCTGACTTCAACCTTGCTCCTCTACTAACTGCCACGGGTTTGCGAGTGCGACGATGCGAGATGTTTCCTGCCTTTCCCTTTTTTTTTTTTTTCCTGACGGAAGAATGTGTGGTGCGAACTTGTTCTGTTGAGCTGTTCAGTCATTATTCGCTGTCGTTTTTAAAGTGTTGGTCCAGACTCTAGAGCTTGCCTCTGGTTTGTAGGACACCACTCCATAAAGATGGGTACTGTACCGGCCGGACCCTCCACGAGCCTCGGGTCTCAATTCTCAAATAGTCAAATGTCATTACTCAAATACTCATCAATTATCAATCAAATGTCAATTACTCAATTTACACATTTTCGGTACGGTATCGGTATCCCAGTACCGAATACCGAAATCCCGAATACCGAATTACACTCTAAAATCAATCTCAATCTCAATCCTTAAATAATTTCGGTATCCCAATCCCTAAATAATTTCGGTATCCCAATCGGTACCTCGGTATCCCAATCGGTATTATCGAATACATAATTAATTACCTTTGCAATTAATCATTAAATATATAATTTAGATTTTATTGTTTAATTTAGGGCAAAGAGACTAAGCAAGTAGTCTTAAGTTGCCTAGAGCTAACATCTCAAGTTCTTGTAATTGGTAATCTTTAATTTGACGAAATTGAGGTTGAGAGACGACTAATACTAGTGTGAAATAGTGAAGTAATGATCTATGTATAATTAAATGACACTTTTGGTACTTGAGGGTCGCGTAGTAGTGAATGAGAGAGTCTAGTTGAGAGGATAAAATACACACTAGCATATATTTCGGTATTTCGGTATATACCGATCACAATCCCGTAATCACTAATACCGAATAGCAATTGAAATTCAATCCCAACCCCAATTCCACGAAATAATACGCGTATTCGGTAATACCAAATATAGTCGCCTTTAGAGTTGGTCACCGTCAATATTGACGGCTCCGTTCTCACTACTATACAAGGTCATGCGACGGCCAGAGGCCTGTTTCGTGATCAATTTGGGACGCTACCTTATGACGTTCACCTTTCACCAGGGGATATGCTCTACCACCCGGGTGGAGTTGAATGGCGTTGTAGTGTAGAAGAGTTTGGGAAACTAGAGTTGGACACCGCACGTGTTTGTCGGCTGCTAGAGAATTTTGATTTTTCTAGCGAGCATCACCACGCAACCAACTTAGATAGATCATATGCGTTACTTCAGAGAAACGGTGGGACGTCTCCACAACCCACATTTAAAGGGAGGGCAACAAGTGTGTGGATTTCCTTGCCAATGTTGTTCCCTTGGGTGGTCACTCTTTTTCTTTCGATGATCCTATGTTGAGTATTTTCAGAGGCCCTCTGAATTTCGTATGACTTTATACGACCAAACCTGAATCGAAGGAACTCATTATCCTCTCGTCAAGGGCGCCCTTCGCCAAAAATTTGGGGGGATTTGGGGCACAATTTTTCCGGTGAAGTCGCGGCCAGTGAGGCTCCGACGAGACACCGACGAGCTTTCGGTGAAGCTCCGGCGACCCTCCTCCAGTCTTTTTCCGCCAATTTTTTTCCTCCCTCGCCCTCTCCTCACCTCCCTACCATTCCTACTTGAGTCTCCAGGTTTGTTTTCAACTCTACTTTGGTTAATTTTGGAGAATCGGATTAGATAGTGAAGTGATGTGGGATAAGGTGGAGTAGAACTCCACGCAGAGCTAATGGTAGATGAGCTCATCCACTGACAGTAGCTGGCGCCACTAGGGGTGACAAGCAACCCCTGACATCCCATCTCGGCACCTGAACATGTTAAACATCCAGGTCCAGCCTCCAATGTGACCCAATCGGGAAGTCCCGCTGATAGGCAAACTTGGTCCCGAACCGTGCGTGGTTCACCAAGTAGCTGATGTACTCTATCGATTCGGTTCGATGTGGACCGATAATTGCACCCCCCTTATTAGTTAGTCCGCCAACTGCCAAGACTAATTTTCCTCCCCATGCTTCTCACCCGGAAGAGTGGGCTCTTATTTAATGCGTCGCCTCTCTGGGCTTCTAATGGCCTGTCTTCATGGGCCATTTAGGTCCATTTCTTCTGTTCCCTAGCAAGGCCCGCAATCCCGCATAGATTATCTGTTACCCGCCTTTTCGCCTTCTTCTCCGCCTGCTCATTTCCCGATCTTTCCACTTCCCGTCTCAGTTTCTCTCCCAGACCGAGAAAATGGAGACTAAAATCGCGGGATCGGGGCCGGTGATCGGCGGTGACGACAGGATCAGCCTCTTGCCGGACGAAATCATCTGTCGCGTCCTTTCTCTCCTGGAAACTAAGTACGCCGTCGGCACCGCAGTTCTCAGCCAACGGTGGAAAGATCTTTGGACTAGGGTTTCCAGTCTCGATCTCGACAGCGGCTTGGTTTACAAGCCTCTCGCCGAACCCCGTAAGCTAGAACCCGCTTCAGATGCTTTGAAGAGGAGAGAATTGGAGTTCCGCCGCTTCGCCAACAAGGTACTGGCCCAGCACCAGAATCTCAATTCTCTTACTCGTTTCCGCTTCCATTTCTTAAGAAAGGTGCATTCTCAAACTGGGTTTGAGGGGGAATTCGTGTTTGGTCCTCCAATGGAGGAGATTGATGTCATGATCAGCGGTCACAAATGGATGCGCTGCATTCCCGAGAGCTTCTACACTTTGAGGAATCTGAAATTTGTCACGCTTTCGGGGGTTATGCTGGGTTCAATAAACAAGCCTGCTTTTCTTCCAAGTGTGAAGAATTTACAGCTTTGTAGTGTGAAAATGGGGGACGTTGAGTCATTAGGCAGGCTCCTTTGTGGTTGCCCTGTCCTAGAGACTCTTCTTCTGAACTGTTGCTACTTCTCTGACAAGAATGATGGAGACAGATTCGAGGTTTCCTTACCATGGTTGAAGAACTTGAAGATTATCGATTATGAGGCCATCTGGGCCGATCAGATGTTTCCTATTGTTATTGAAGCGCCAAATCTCGAGGATCTTTATGTTGAGGCATTTGCAGAGTTGCAGTTTAAGGGCACAAGTCCGTTGTCATGCCTTCATTCAGCACATGTTAATGTGGGGGTCGAGAGTTATAGTTACTTAATTCGGCTCCTCACTCAAATCTCTAATGCAAAGAAAATGCATTTATTCGGGAAGACTCTGGTAATAAGGTCCACTGTTTTCTTTACATTGATCTAATTCTGTTCATAAGAGGGTTGATCTTGTTAACCTTTGTTTCAAACAGAGTCCTCTGTCAGCTGTCGATGATGTTCTACTGCCAGTCTTTCCCAATTTGACACATTTGATAATTAGAACCATTCGATTCGAGGACAGTATCTGGGTTTTACACTCTTTGCTGAGCTCAGCCTCCAAACTACAGCTGCTTGTCCTTGATACGGTGAGCCCCGTGTTCATTTGTTTGGTATCTTCCTTCGATAACTTTTCTTATGAATCTCTACATGAAGCAGGCGAATCCCAGTGGGGAAGACAGAATGGCGTGGGAGGATCTAGAGACTGCTCGCACGCCAGAGTGTTTGTTATCAAGTCTGGAAGAAATCGAGATCAAGGAACTTACAATATATCCAGATGTGAAGAACATGATAGCATATTTGCTCAGGGCTGGAGCTGTTCTGAAGAAGGTCAGTATGCACGTAAATGGTAACTATCTCAAACGAATGGGTCGCAAAGATCTTATGCCACTACTGGAACTTTCAAAAAGATCGAGTGCTTGCAAAGTCGAGCTTATCTTTCCCGATGACAAAGATATCGTCAGCGATAGCGATGATGAGAGCAACACCGACAACAGCAATGATGATGGCTCTAACGACATCGACGACGAGAACAACACCAGCGACGACGACCGTGATGATGATTTTCTTTGAAGCATGTTAGGTGGGGAAGGAAGGAGGCTGTGAATAACATGATGAAGCTGCATTTTGATTTCCATTTACATCCTAATTCAGTAGGCTAAAGTTTCTTATGTGCTCGATCCTGAATTCTGATCAAATCAGGCGTGACCATGTCGAACCAAATCAGTTGTTCTTCGTACGCAGTTCGTGAAAAAACTCGTGGTAAGATCTGTGTAGCCTTGAATATCAACCAATCAAACAATGTATTGTCAACATACGTCTATTTTACATATGTTTATCATTGTGATTTATTAGATTACATATATTTATCATTGTGATTTATTAGAATAAACAATTTAATATAATAACAGATATTAACATTTTATTTTAATAATAACAGATATTATTATATGTTTTTTTTTTCAAACTTACACGACCCCACGAGTGGACTTGTGCCAAATACTTCGTTCTTCAATTCTTCATCTTCTTCCTTGCCCACCTCCTACCTTCAGAAGTCCCCAATACCTCTGATCTCTCCTCTCTCTCTCTCTGTCAAGTAATAAGGATCAAATTGAATTGAAAACAAACCCATTACACAGTCACTGACTCCTCTGGTCCTCTTTAGTCCTTACTCCCTTCGTACTCTTTTGTGTTTTTTGTCTTTCATGTCATCCCCTGTCCTAGCTTTTCAACTTTTTCCCTTCTCCTTCCTCCTTTCCTCGTCTAACAAACCAATGAATGGCGACGAGATTGGCTCCCCACCAAGTAGAATCACCAGAACAGCAATGGGTTTTTGAATTCTCATTCACAGACAACCAGACCAACCAGAAAGTTGAAACCTTTTTCGTCCCTCTGTCTCCCTTTCTCTGTCTCTGTCTTCCGTTTCTTTGTAGTTTTGTTACAGAGAAAGCGAGCGAGAGTGAGAGAGAGAGAGAGAGGGAGTGTGCTTTGTTTAATCTCTCAAAAGCTCGCCCCACAAGGAGGCTGGCCGGCCACCCTTCCCTCCCAAACAAACAAAAAAGAATGGAGCTCACAGATTCACAAACCAATCCCAATAAGGAGCAGCAGCAACCAAACAACAGCAACAGTTCCTCCCAAGAACCCCACCCTCACCACCTCCTCCAGTACCAACAACACTTCCGCTTCCATGGCGGCGGTGGAGCTGGACAGCCTCATCCATCTTTCATCGGCACCATCTCTCGTTCTTCAGCTCCGCTTCCTCCCTCCTACCACCACCATGTCCTTCACCATACTTCCACCTCCACTCCCCCTGCCACTTCAATTAGTTCCAACTCTTCTTCTTCCTCTTCCCCCGACGCCTCACTCGCCATCAGATCTGGGCCTCTGCCGGAGAAAAACGAAGGAAACGAGAACAATAGGCTGGCAGTCGTGCCGGCGGGGACGGGGGCAGTGACCGTAGCGGCGGCGCCGAAGCGGTCGACGAAAGACAGGCACACGAAGGTGGACGGGCGGGGGCGGAGGATCCGGATGCCGGCCGTCTGCGCGGCGAGGGTTTTCCAATTGACGAGGGAATTGGGTCACAAATCGGACGGGGAGACGATCGAGTGGCTGCTCCAGCAGGCGGAGCCGGCGATTATTACGGCGACGGGAACGGGCACCATCCCGGCCAATTTCTCCACCCTGAATGTCTCGCTGCGGAGCAGCGGATCCACTCTCTCCGCTCCGCCGTCGAAATCGGCGCCGCTGCATTCGTTTCACGGGGCGCTTGCTCTGGCGGCGGCGCAGCAGCAGCAGCATTACGAGGAACGGTTTTCCGCCGCGCATCTGGGATTCCACCACCAGCAGCAGCAGCATATGTTGTCGTCGGCGGATCAAATCGCGGAGGCTCTGCCGAGCGCCAGCGGCGGAGATAGCGGCGGCGGTGGAGCGACGGATTCAGGGGAGAATTACCGGAAAAGATTCAGGGAGGATTTGTTCAAGGATGAAAATCAACAGGGCGGAGAGAGTAGCGACGGCGGCAGGGGATCTCCGAATAGAATCCCTAAACAACAAGAAGCAGTGTCAGTGTCGCCATCGCCATCGCCATCAGCTTCCTCTACTTCCTTACTGCGTCCATCCAACATTGGCACGGCGATGTGGGCGGTGGCGGCAGGCCCCAATGCCGGTGCTGGGAACACGTTCTGGATGCTGCCGGTGACGGCAGGCGGCGGCGGTCACTCAATGGTCGCGCCGACATCAACGGAAGCCCAGATGTGGCCCTTCTCACAAGCAGCGACTGCGGGAGGGAATCCGTCAGTTCAAGCCCCGCTGCATTTCATGCCAAGATTCAATCTTTCCTCACCGAATCTGGATTTCCAAGGGGGGAGACCGAGTCATTTACAGTTGGGATCAATGGTGATGCCGCCGCCGCCGGCGACAACATCAACTAATCAGCATCAGCAGGCACCGTCGCAGCATCTCGGGCTGGGGATTTCCGAATCGAATTTGGGGATGGTGGCTGCGCTGAATGCTTACTCCAGAGGCGGATTGAATATGAATTCCGAGCAGCATCAGCAGCGGCAACAACACCATCATCGCCAACAACAGCAGCAGCAGCAGGAAGAGGAAACGAATAGTGACGGTGAAGAAGATCCCAACAACGACAATTCTGAGTGATGCAAAAGAATTTGAAGTTCATGAATGGCTTGTTTTCGGGGACCTTCCATTAGCAATTTAGCATAGGGGATTCGAGAGCTTGAGTTCGATTCATTATCGGTTTGTTAATGAAGCATTGATTCGGTTTGATTTGTGGGGTGATTTGATTTCATTGATGATGGTGGGAAGAAGACGAAGAGAGTTTATTTTCTGTATTTTCTATTTTTTCTGGAAAATGTTTGTATTGTTTTTCTTTTTTTGGTGGGGAAATGAGTGAGGGATGGATGTTTGAGATGGGAGAAATTTGTAAATTTTGGTTTGTTTGGTCCAAAGGGACAAAACAAAAGGGATTGGTATTTGTATAAAGAGGGGGTAGTTAGTGTAAGTGTGATTGATTGTTGTGTTAATTAGTTGTATATTACTATTGTGAGTTTCTTGGTGGCCATCGACAGAATTGGATTCGACTGAAATGTAATAGATTTGTCGAGTATTTATAAGAGTAGATGATTTCCATCTTTGACATGTTTTTCTCTTAGAGAGCAGGGACACAATAGTAGAGAATCTGGTTAGTTTTATGAGGCGCCTTTTGCATTTATTGTGAAATTTGGATGAATGAATCAAACAAACATGGGATGTTGCCAACGGTGATACAATTGGCTGAACGTGGTGACAATTTACTTACGAAATTATCATCGCATTCATCCAACGGCCAATGATCATCGCTTTACAGTCCGACCTGACTGCGCAGGTTGTGCTGTTAACGCCATAGCCAGATTCGAAATGGGGAAGAAAGGAAAAGGGAAAGCAAAGGCAGATTGTCAAAGGAAGCAATACAAATACAATACAGCAATAATGGGAGGAGGAGGGGGTGGGTGGAACTGTGCAAGTGGAAGGAACAGAACAGACAATGGAAAGAATCACAGCAGACTCTACCAATTTGCCACTCTTCTTTCTTTCTTTCTAGGGGGTGGACCACGAGGGCATTACTCAAAAGTGACAAACATGGTGATAAATCATTCATGTTTATCCAACATTCCATGTCTAGTAAAACTTAGAGCAAAGACCAAGCTTCTGAAACAGCCCAAGACCACAAGAGTATAGAGCAAGTTTCATCATGTGATTTCAGAGCCTCCTTTGTTGCCCACCAACATGCTTCAAAGAAAAACATCTTCTCTGTCGTCGTCGCTGGTGTTGCTCTCAGCATCGCTATCCCTGCTGAAATCTTCGTCGTCAAAAAAGAAAAGCTCGACTTCACAAGCACTCGATCTTTTTGGAAGTTCCAGTAGTGGCATGAAATCTTTGTGACCCTTCAGTTTAAGATAGGTACAATTGGGGTGCATATTGACCTTCTTCAGAACAGCTCCAGCCCCGAGCAAATATGCTATAATTTTCTTCACTCCTGGATATATTGCAAGATCCTTGATCTTGATTTCTTCCACACTTGATAACAAACACTCTGGCGTGCTAGCAGTTTCTAAATCCTCCCACCTCATTCTCTCTACTCCACTGGTTTTCTCCTGCTTCACGTAGAGATTCATTAGAACAGTTTTCGAAGGAGGATACCAAACAAATGAACACAGAGATCACCTTATCAAAGACAAGCGATTGTAGTTTGGAGGCTGACTTGAGCAAAGAGTGCCAGATACTGCCCTGGAATTCCCCGATTTCAACTGTCAAATGTGTCAAATTGGGGAAGACAGGCAGTTGAACATAATCGACAGCTGACAAAGGACTCTGTTGAAAGTTTGGAACAAAGGATTAACAAACTTAACGCTCTTATGAACAGAATTATATCAATGTAAAGAAAAACAGTGGACCTTATTACCAGAGTCACCCGGGATAAATTCAGTTTCTTTGCATTGGAGATTTGAGAGAGGAGCTGAATCACGGCACTATAACTCTTGACCTGTACATCTACATGTGCTGAATGAAGGCATGGCAACGGATTTGTGCCATTCAACTGCAACTCTGCAAAATTGTCGACATAAAGATCTTCGAGATTTGGCGCTTCAATAACAATGGGACACATTGGACCATCCCATATGGCACCATCCCATATGGCATAATGGCTAATTTTCAAGTTCTTCAACAATGGTAAGGAAACCTCGACTCTATCTCCCTCGTTCATGTCAGAGAGGCGGCAATTCTTCAGATGAAGAGTCTCCAAGACAGGGCAACCACAAAGGAGCCTGTCTAATGATTCACTGTCCTTCATTTCGACACGATAAAGCCGTAAAATCTTCACACTTGGAAGAAAAGCAGTCTGGTTTACAGCACCCAGCATAACCCCCGAAAGCTTGGCAACTTTCAGATTCCTCAAAGTGTAGAAGCTCTCTGGAATGCAGCGGATACATAGGTGAATTCCGAATTTACTTTTACCGCGGATCATGACATCAATCTCCTCCATTGGAGGACCAAACACGAATTCCCTCTTAAACCTAGTTTCGGAAATCACCTTTCGGTGCCCATTTGAGAAATGGAAGCGGAAACGAGTAAGAGAATCGAGATTCTTGTGCTGGCCCAGTACCTTGTCAACGAAGCGGCAGAACTCCGATTCTCTCCTCTCTAAAACTGCTTCTGAATCAGGTTCTAGCTCCTCCTCTTCGTAAACCAAGCGGCTGTCGAGGTCGAGAATGGAAACCCTAGTCCAGAGTTCTTCCCACCGTCGGCTGAGAACTGCGGTAGCGACGGCGTACTTGGTTTCCAACAAAGAGAGGATGTGGGAGAGGACTTGGTCCGGTAACGAGCTGAGCCTGTCTTCATCATCGCCGATTCCCGGCTCTGCCCTCCTCGCGATTTTACTACTGTTCTCCTCCGTCGCCATTTCGGTATGGAGACTGGAGAGAAGCTGAGACTGGAAGTGGAAATAATCAAATATACGAGGCGGCGAAATGGAGGGAAATTAACAATCGTGGGCCTTGCTGGGCTCATATCGTGGGCCAGGCCACACCTGGCACGCCATGAGTAGGAAGAGTAGAAATGGACTATTTGGATCAACGGGCCCAATACAGAGCACATTATTAACGAGTGTTTGAAATGCGCGCGCAACGACATATATGATTATCAAACTTTGGAGCATTTTGCACAATCGAGATACTGTATGAACTAAGCAACTAAGTACAAACTAATAGTGAAGCTACATCATTCTCGGATCCAGATTCTTATCTGTACATGACTTTGTACATTGATCAACCAGATGCTCCAGCCGTCGTCCGTCTAGTGATGGTTTCGGGGATCGGTTCCTTCCTCCAGGTCATGAACAAGTGTATGGAGGCAATGTAGATACATACGGCTTAGCCCATTTCTAAGCGTTGCGCGCTTTGCTTGTCAGAGTGTTAATCAGAAAAGCTGAAATTGACGTAGCCAGACTTAGAGCCCGGTTCATCATGTCGAGAATCCAAGGGACGGAGGAAAAGCTCCGACGCCTAAAGAAAAAAGAGGACAGAAACAAGTGAGGATATCAGTATGTCGAAACCAAACCAAGAGATCATCACTGGGTTCACAGTTCTAATGACTTCAAAATGTTTGATTTCTAGGGTGCCAAAAGGCTTTGAGCAGCAACTTACGATAATTTATCGGCGATACAAAATATGGGTAGCCTTCCAAGTCCTATCCCCTTCCATTTTTTCCTCTCAGAGAAAATGAGCTGTTGGGCACTCGAGCTCGTTGCAGTCAAAACAAACTGAAAAGAGTCATGATATAATGTTTACTGCCATCTCAAGGAAATGTGAAGAAACAGGTTGCTATGTACGTGAATTGGATGTCTGATATATACCAGGGGGAAAAGAGTGGCCATCACGCCGTAGCTCACATAAGTAGAGAAGAAGAAACTAGCCAGAACACAGGGGCTGCCTGGAAAAATGCAAACAAAGACATTCCATCCTTTTAGGTAACAACACGAGTTAGAACGGTGTGGGAGTACAATGTTCTGTCCAAAAGGTCGATTATAACTAACTTAAGGGATGAGGACAGATAACTAACTTATATGTGCCATGGAAATTCAAAGGTGCAAGAGAGACGAGAGCATAGTTACCGAAACCAACAAAAAAGGGCCAGTTAGTTTCGAAGAAGTCCAGTTTCCTGTCCAGCGGCACTTCAGACAAATTCCATTTGTACCTAAACAAGAGCAGAGAACCAAAATCAGAAGAATGATCCATAGAAAGGAATTCACAACATCAAACATGTCACATTGGAAGATGCATACACATCCACCTACTCGAAACAATAGTAGGCATACATCCAGGACTGCAGTACGAAACTCAATGCCTTCCCAACAAATGGCACGATTCCTACAGCATTAACCTACACATAACAGAGCGCAGATGTTAAAAATAGATAGTGATTCTGCTGCTGCAAGTCAAGCAGGGAAACTTGAGTTAACCCACTTGAAAAACGCATCGTACCAAGTCCACTTGCCAGCTTGATCATTGCGATACAGTTAATAAAAAGCAGTTTCGATAGACTCATAAGTGTGTTTGTAGATAGGATTATGAACAAATTTTATGTAAAAACAGATACAAGTATGACTGATAAGAAGTCCACTCTGCTCAAAAGATTATAGCTCAGACAAACCAAAATAACAGACCCTGGGCAATTTATGATATACATCAGACAGCATACTGCAATCACGCATTCACAGTTTAAATGAGAATTCACCAACCTGCGCAGAGAAGAATATTACAAGCAGTACTGAGTACACCTGCTCCCCTATTCCCACAAAAACTCTGCCAGAAGAAGTGCAGAACAAAAAGTCAAAAACCACTCAGTTTAAAAGTTTCTTGAGGCACGAAAAAAGAATCAATAAGCAATAGGTGCAAATTCAAGTAATTACCCCTCGAGGCCCGGAGGCTGCTCCATTGGAGCTTTTTTATGCTCTGCCGCTACCTCATCCGACCCTGAGGGTTTCAATAGGTTGCGCCCATTGTTTTCCATTGCAGCGAAAGCATGTTTAGCAATGTCGTCATACCTTCGATTAAGACAAAGGAAAGAGGAGGTAGGCATTACTAAAAATTACTATAAAGATCTAGAAGCACCTAAAAGTACAAACCACATGCGAGGTTGAAGCTGAGATTAACAATATTACCAAGCAAATAAACCATATTTGCTCACATAACAGAAGCGCATTGGCACTGAAAACTGAAAGATAGTGCATCTTATAATTTCTTAAGTGGGATACTACCCTAGCAAAGCATTTGAAAAAACAATATCTTGTGGATCCATTTTTCACCTCATATTTACCACCACATAGTAAAACCACTTCAAACGGAAGAGTAGTCAAAGCTCCAATTGGAAAACTGAAACTAAAAAAGAAAGAATGATACCAGAGAATGCCCAGGATACAACTGAACCGGTACAATGGGTAGAACCAAAAGATCTGCAAGTAAACACAACATAATGGGTTGAACTGTTGAAATCCTAAGACGGAGAGGAAATTGTGAATGCTTGATGACCATATATAACCAACAGTTCCTCGACACGAAACCTTTGAACAACAAATGAATGGTCAGTGCTTGTTGCAGTTACATTGGAGAGCTTTCCTCACTGCTTACTCTAACCTTAAGTTACTGACCCAATAATTGGACACAAGACAACGGCCAACAATCATTCGTTTGATAGGAAAATGCCAGAATGTAAGGCAAGGACCAAAAGGGATAAACAGTTGTAGAATGCAGCAACCTAGCTCGGAAAATCTTGGACTAGTAGCACTGACATTTGTCTAACTAAGAAACGAAATCGATTAATGAGTTACCAATCATGAGATGTGTTATAAACGCGCTGCTACGGATCGGGAAATTGCCGGAATCGATAAAGCAAGAATACGAGAGCGAGAATCGAAAGAACACAGACACACGATTTACGTGGTTCACTAACACGATGTGTGTTAGCTAGTCCACGGGCGAGAGAGAGCCAGTTTCACTATATCGAGGAGATTACAGATTACAGAGGAGTATGAGAAGTATTTATAGTACTTCTCCATGTGGGTCTAAACCTAATCCAATCTAGCAAAGGAAACGGTTACAGACCAGGCCCAGAACCCGAACCCAAATAACATTGAGCTCATACACCGTGGGCCGGGGGCGTTGCCCCCGCACCCCCACTGGGGCGTTGCCCCTGGACCCCACTCGCTGACCGGGCAGCGAGACCCCCGGTTACCAGTCGTAGCGGCTGATAATCCGATTCAAGTCATATCAACAAGATGGAAGTTATTAGTTATATAATACGCTATGAACATCATACTTACATAAAGGAGTTGCAAGAGGGCACCGCGTAAGAACGAGTAATATTTCAGGACGCTATCATGCAAGCAGGGCTCATGGGAGCTCATCCCCGAGCACTTATCAGGCAATATCCATTGTAATGTTGGGATGAGTACTGAATTCAGCAGAAATAGACTGCACAATAGAGAACATTGGACAATTACTTCACCAAGATCTTCAAGGTAACCATAATCTTCGTTTCCCTACCTCTACTACCTAGAGTCTCTTCCTAAATGAAGCACATTCTGATTTGCCACTCGAGGTTCGAAGTACAGAGAAACGAAAAGGTACCTTCCCAAAAATATGAACCCATTCAACAGAAAACACTGCCCAGTTCGAATCAGTAGCTTCTTCGACCTGCCAAGGCGCCAAACCCAAAAGATTACTACCAGAAAGGAACAAAGAACTTCAAATTGGTATGAAATTTTTTCTTAGCAACCAATTGTGAAGAGTAACAGAAACTGAAACCTGCGACAGAGGAGGAACGCGCGATGAAGGCAGCAAGCTTCTAAAAATCCTTCAAGCCATAGAAACGATGCTAGCTTTAGCTTTGCCGCGAAACTTAGAATCCTCTCCATTGCACGAAGGCGGAGAGAGCACGAGCAGAAAATTATAAATGGAACTTTGGCGTCTTTTTTTTTATTTCTGAGTGATATCAATTGAGGACAAGAGTTATTCATACAAATCTACCCAGGACCCCTTACAATATATACTAATGAAGCCACCCAAAAAATCGAAAAATTCTAGCTCTAGACGAGACAAAAGCAGTGCTTTACACGCCACTCTATGGGCAGCACTGTTGGCAGTTCTAGGCACCGCCCTAAACTCTATACAAATGGACAAAGAGCTAAGGATCTGACGACACTCTCGTAGCACCGGACCACCAATCGAGTCTTCAATGAAGGCTTGCCGGCTCTACTTGACGATCACTTCGGAATAGCGTCTCTAATGGCTAGGAGCTCTGTCAGGGAAGGGTTGACTATTCCTTGAAGCTGTAACCTGAACGCCAACACCACATGTCCGTCTGACCCAAGGACAACAAGTCCAGACGAACACCCGGTGGCACAAACAGCAGCGTCGAAATTGATCTTCAAGTAATTGTCTGGCGGCGGGACCCATGTGGCGGTTGGATGGTTTGGGAAGAGAGTTGTGGGGTTGGGGAGGGAGGAGAGTCTTTGAGATATCAAGGACCTGGTTGTAGAAATGTCTGGCTAGGGAGCGGACATGAGGTTGGTAAAATTCAAAAATCACTTTATTTCTAGACTTCCAGATTCTCCAAAGTAAGCAGACGCATTGGAGAATGTGGAATGGGGAGGTCTCAGAGACCATGACATGTCGCCACCATAGACTAAAGTTAACAGTCGGGCGGTCTCAATAAAGTTGCTCAATCCCACTAAAGTCCACAATCTGGTGGCTAGGGGGCATCTGAAGAATACTTGTTTAATGCTTTCTCTAGGGATGGCAAATCAGACCGCACGGGCGGGTACCCGCCCGAAAACCGGCTGGGCGGACCAGTTTTTACCCGGGGTTGACGGGGATTTAACGGATTCGGGGAAACCCGTTATCCGTGAATAACGGACATCGGGCGGTGACGGAGTCCAGGCTATCCGCCCCGAGCCCGCCCCGAGCCATAAAAACGACGTCGTTTTGAGCATATATATATATATCCATCAGTCGAGCAGAGAAACCCTAATCCCTAATTGTCGCCGCTCTCTCAATCTCTCTTCTCCTCTCTGCTCTCAATCGCCGCTCAAATCCATCGATTCGATTCCCCCCCGCGAAATTCTCTCAACCCAGGCTGTCAATCATTCATTATCCACCAATCAAAGCCTAATATACTCATCGATTTAGGCAAAGAACAACATGCAAAAGGAGAAGAATCAGAAGATGACTGTTCCAATCTTCGATTCGAGGTTATTGGGAGGATTTCTCGTCGATTATTGTTCCGATAATCCAGAACTCGAGATAAGTACCTTCCAATTCAATTCTTCTTTCTTCTTTCAGTTTCTTGCTTTAGTTTTAGGTTCGTTTAAATTAACTCGAGTCGATTGGTTCTTTCTTTTCTAGGGCTCTTTTGTTTCATTTTCATCTGCACCTGGGACTGCATGCATGCTCTGATACTCGAGGTAATCCCTATTCCCTAATCGAGGCTCTTCTGTTTGTTGTATTGACTTTAACTCATTGGATTGTAATGTTTGTACTTTTGTTTGAGGTTTTGCAGTTTTGTATCAGGCATCAGTTCACCATCCACAACTCTGGACAATAGACCCCCTCTGTCCAGATTCGAGGTTAGTTTAAAAATTAAGGACATTTTACTTAATTTGGTTTGCATGTATTAGGAATTAGGGACTCGAGTTTCTGTTGATTGCTTGGGTGTTGGGTCTGCTCATGAATCATGTCTTGTTTAGTATAAGTATCTCTGTCTCATCTGCATGTTACAATTGAATCTAAAAGACTATAAATTTGAACCTAGAAATCTTATAGCTAAAGCCTAAAAAGTAACCAAGCAATCCTTTGATGTTATACTCGTTTATCTCAATGTCAGATGGAAGGTGCACCTGAAAATGTTGTCAATGCCCCTGTTCCTCCACAACCTGCCCCTGTTGATCAAAACAACCAACCTGAACAAGTTGGTAATGGTAACGGTAACTTGGCTAATGATAATTCTGAAGTGCTTGTTGAAGAATGCAAATTGACTTCTGATGTATGGCCTCATTACATTAGGGTTAAGGTTAATGGTGTTATTAAAGCTAAGTGCAAGTACTGTCGAAAAAACCTTGGTGGTGATACTCGTAATGGAACCTCGCACCTTAGGACTCATGTGAAAACCTGTATCCAAAAAAGGATACATGATGGTGCTCAAAAAATTCTTTGCCCTAATTACAAAGCAACTGGAAAACCCCAATTATCTGCTACACAGTTCAACTCTGATGTGTCTAGGAAGGAGCTGAGCTCAATGATTTTGGTCCATGAGTACCCTCTTAGCATTGTTGAACACTTGGGTTTCAAGCGTTTCTGTTGTTCTTTGCAACCACAGTTTACTGTGCCTTGTAGAAATACTGTGAAGAAAGATATATTGTCTTTGTATGGGGTTGAAAGGAGTAACTACCAAAAGGTTATTGATGGTAATTTGGGTAGAATTGCTGTGACCACTGATTTATGGACTGCCCCAAACCAGAAGAGGGGTTATATGGCAGTCACAGCTCACTTTATTGATAATACTTGGAAGCTAAGAAACTCAATGCTAAAGTTTTTGTATGTCCCTGCCCCTCATACGAGTGAGAGGCTTGCAAGAAAACTGTTTCAATGTCTTCTGAATTGGAACATTGATGGAAAGTTGTCTGCAATCACCTTGGACAACTGCTCCACTAATGATTCCATGATTGCTCACCTTAAGAATAAGCTTGTTTTGAATAACTTGTTGATGGATGGTAGACTGCTTCATATGAGGTGTTCTGCTCATATACTGAACCTTATTGTGAAAGATGGTTTGGATGTGATAAAGGATGGAATCCATTTGATTAGGGAGAGTGTGGTGTATTGGACATCCACACCTAAGAGGGTCCAGACTTTCAATGAAGCTGTTAAACAGCTTAAGTTGGCTGTTGGGAAAAAACTTGTGCTTGATTGTCCAACAAGGTGGAATTCTACCTATGATATGCTCTCTATTGCTCTTCTGTACAGAGATGTCTTTTTTCGTTTAAGACAGATGGATAGTCAATACCTATCAGCTCCTACTAATGAGCACTGGGATTTTGCTGCTATTGTGATTGATAAACTGCTCATTTTCAGTGAGATGACTGCATTATTTTCTGGTACCAAGTACCCCACTGCCAATCTGTTTTTCTCTAAGGTCTGTGATCTGCGATTGAAATTGAGTGACTGGTGTGCTGATCTTAATCCTGTTATTTCTGCCATGGCTGGAAATATGTGGTTGAAATTCACAAAGTATTGGGATGATATACATCTTGTTCTGGCAGTTTCAGTGGTTCTGGATCCTAGGTACAAAATGCATGTCATTGAGTATTATGCTGCTAAGTTTGGCAGCTCTGATACTTACTTGGTGGCTAAGGATCTAAAACAGCTGATTTGTGGTTTGATTAATGATTATCAAACCAAGGCTGAAAAGAAATCTGGTTCTTCTGCCAATGAACCGATTGGAAATGCAAATGTCTCTGTTTCAGCAACTGATCTTGATTTCGAGTTGTTTGTTAGTCAGAGGAAAAAGAGCAAAACAACTCTGATTACTACTGAGTTGGACCATTATCTTGCTGAGGAACTTATTCCTCGTGATCCATCTGCTGAATTTGATCTCTTGATGTGGTGGAAGTTGAATGGCCTTAAGTATCCTACTTTGCAAGCAATTGCAACGGACTTTTTGGCTATACCAATAACATCAGTTGCTTCCGAGAGTGCTTTCAGCTCTGGTGGGAGGTTGTTAGACCCCCACAGGAGCAGGCTCGATTATTCTACTGTGGAGGCCATGTTGTGCAGTCGTAGCTGGGTTAGGGAAGCCTGGCTAAGAGGTAACCTGCAATACCTTCGACTTGAGTGAGTTTTGGTTCATTTAAACAAGTGACTGAGTTAGTTTGTTCTATTTCTGCAGAATCAGAGGCTGCTGCTGCTGTGGAGGCAATGGATGGACTGTTTACTGGGCTGTCAGTTCACGATTCAAGTGTAGAAGATCAGGAAAATGGGGGTAAGTTAGTTGGTTTTTAGTTTTTAGTTGGTAAGTTTTGGTTTATGAACTGCATAAGTGAACAAATTTTTTTTTATATTGATTGCAGTCCAGGAACTTCTGAATCTGGATTCACCATTCTCCTTTGATGACTGATTATTGGAACCTCAGAAGAGAAGGTATATAATACATTCAAATTGACTTTTCTCCTTTATTGTAAGCTTGTATATGTTCCTTCATATTTTTGTTTTCTTGCAGGGGATGAATGTCAATTTGTCATGACTCATGTGCTGCTTGACTGCTTCTGTTCTTCAAATCTGGTTGCTGCCTTGCTGGTGCCTTTGAGAGTTTGGCTTACTGCCTTTGAGACTTGAGAGTTTGAGTGTGCTTTATTTGCTACTTTTAGAGTTGAGAGTTTGAGTTTGAGTTTGAGACTTGAGAGTTTGAGTTTGAGAGTTTGGTTGCTGCCTTGCTGTTCCTTCATATTACTTGTTTTCTTTTTTGCTACTTTTAGACAGTTGATGAACTCATGAACAATTGAGGAACTCTTGAAAATTCAGAGTTCTGGGTGGTGGGTGGGTTGCAGCCTTATAGGCTTTATGTTAAGTTACTTTTGAGTTTTGAGCACTGCTCAACTTTGAATTTGAATTGAATTATGTTTTTCCAGTTATTTTATTGTTTCAATATGTCAATTTTTTTAGGGTTTGTAGCGGGTAACGGGGACCCGTGGATTCCCCGTATCCGTTGATTAACGGTGACGGTATCAAATTTGGCCCCGTTGAATGGCCGGGGACGGGGACGGGGAAACCCGATACTGTTCACGGACGGGGAACGGATGGTATGAATCCGTCCCCGATCCGCCCCGTTGCCAACTCTAGCTTTCTCGACTATCCGTTTTTTATTTGAGGCCCAAGCTGATTCATGAGCCAGGTGATAGCCCTATTTGACTATTTCTAAAGAAATAAGAAACCATAGTTGATACACTAAAGAAGACTTCATCGTTTGAAATCGTAGAACAAGTGATTAATACCATTAATGACATGAATTAATGGCAATAAAAATGGGACTAAAACCACAAAGCTTTCAGTAAAGGCTCGAATTGATTTGCCTCTAATTAGCCCATTAAATTTGGATTCATAATGTATTAATGGCCAATAGCTGGCCTTAATGACACCTGCCGTTATTGAGCAAAGCTATGTCCATGTTTGAACACTAACGAGTAGTTATGGCTAATAAAAAAAAATTAAATAGGATAGAGGGGAAGCGTAACGGTTCAATGGCGGTTGACACTGACCAGTGATTTCCTGCCACAGCGGGAAAGCCTACCGATTCCAAGAAGCTTTACTTCCCACAAACAATTCCCAGCCGGGCAGCCACTATCTGCACCATTCGAGGACCAAAACTTCGGTGAGAAGAGAAGTTAGAGCTCCAAAACAAGAAGACAACCTTGAGAAAATGTGTCAAGAAATACCATTCTCTAAGATTAGCTCCTAACGATTGTAGACAATCCTTGCCTGAGATGTATAATTATCAATAATAGTCCCACCCACTGACCGCAAACATGTCATCTAGATGACAAAGAAGAGCAGCCATGCCGTGACGGCAAAGAGGCAATCCAGCGACAAGCGCCGTAACCAGAGGGAAATCACCTCGACCACAGCGACTAACGCTGGTATAATATGATTAGGTGCCAAGAAATTGTCTTATTTATTCTCGGTGGAGGAAGATTCTAGGTCTAGCCGCTAGTACAAACCCAATGGAACTTTGGCGTCTCTGTTCAAACAATCAAACAGAAAACTCCTTCGAAGAAAAAAAAGGAAAAAAAAGACAAAACCCCGCGAACTTTTGGTTAGATATCTATTTAGTGCCTAAACTTTCATACTTTATTCTACCAAGTCCAAAAGGTTCAGGCTTGATCAATCAAGTTCCCCCCTACAGTCACGTTAACGATAACGAAGAAACGTTTGTTTTATCAAACGGTGACCAATTGGCAATTGCCCTCTTAGCATACACAGCTGAAGCCTGAAAGTCCATTTTTCAATCGCCGAAAGAAAAGCTTGAATTTGCATTTGAAGGAGACGATGGGCTGGCTGTAAATCCCAACTTCGGGGGGCGAGTTTCGGAATCCACAGAAGTTTGATTCCTTCCTGGGAATATAATACAACGGAGGAGGAGAAGGAAGGAACCAGCGATTGTTCTGCAATCTGTAGATTGAACTCGCTCAACGCAGAATATAGTGAACAGAGGAAAGCCGTCCCAGAGAGAGAGAGAGATAAAGCGGGGAAGAAGATGGCACAGCCCATCAAAGAGCCGTGCAAGAAAGAAGCCTGCGATATTCAAGCTTGTCTCTCCAAGAACAACTTCCTCCCTCAAAGGTAATGGGTAAAAAACCGTGAATTCACCTGCCCTTCCTTGCCAGTTTATATGAATCTTCCATTTTTGAAGATGGATCGTCGGTGATTAGGTTTTTGCGCCGGGGGGTCAATTCTGGATTCTGGTTTTGCTTATTTCCAATGACAAATTTAGTAGCTGTTTAAGGTGCCCGTGGTATTGCTGATTTGTTGTATTTAGGGAATTACTGGAGTGATTTATGCCGGTATTGATCTTACTATACTCCAGTTGAGTCCTCGCTCTCGAGGGCAACGAGAAAGCTATCGTCTTTGCTCGTTGTTTGGAGTTCTGATTTCGTTTTTAGTGTTCTGTTTCTCCTCTATGAAAGATGGCTGTCGATCTAGTTCCTCTTGGCTCTTAAAATGGGGAAATCGTATACCTGTTATTGAGAATCGGTTGGACAGAAGGAATGCAGAGAGTAATTTGGAGAAGTTGCAGAATGTTCTTTGAAAAATTTTAACTGCTGCAGTGATCAATTTTATTAGTTGTTTTGGAGAAGTTGCAGAATTACTGATCAGTAATCAGTTAGCATGATTTGGAATGCTTTCAATGCAGGTGTCAGAAAGTGATTGAAAACCTGCAATCATGCTGCGAGAAGTGTGAGAGCAAGTCGACGCATTGTGCTTCTGTGTCAGCCCTTCTGAAGCAAATAACAAAGAAATGATAGCACACTAGATCAAGCTGGTGTCGAGAAAGCTGGAGTATTTGGATGAACCATACAGTTTCCAGATGGTCGGCCAATTTTGCTCAGGAGCAAGGCACTGCCAGTTACTAGAGAATATTCTGTCAAAGCTCAAAATTAGGCGCGAGGATTAGCTGTAGCATTCTTCTGTTGTGAACCCAAAACATAATACGACGACCATACATGTTTGCACAACGGCAGAGGCAAAGTTGTGATTGAGCGTTCATGCAGTGTTTTGCATTGAAAGAATATGAAATATAGAGGAATGTCATAGCTGATTAGAAGAAGAAGAAAAGGTGTGGATCAAGTACTCTACTCTATGACTGGTGTGGAAAAATTACATTATATAACAAGCAAGCATCGCTCAAAAATTACAATCGACCAATTCCACTTCTCTTTCTTTCTCCTACGTGGGGGCGGGTGCCTGGACCCTGGAAGGTGTATAGTGTATGCACTCTTAGAAAGCCAAACGTTGAGACCCAACCAACAAGAAGAAAGAGTATTGCTTTCTATTCACCAACCATGTCACATCTGTGAAATACGGGATTGATCTCGCTGAGACAGTGTGTCGCGCCCCAGATAAGCAGGTCAGCAGTAGCAGCGATTGTTGTGCAAAATGAAGGAGTAATCAACATATGTCCTCTAATGGGAAGCTGATCGCATTGCATCCTGGCGCTTGAGAGGGATTCCTTCGTTCTCAAACCCATCATCATCTGAATGCTTCGGTATTCTGATTGGGAGCGCTGCTGAACCTGTTATCAAACATCAGAAAGATGGACACAAACAAGCATTGAGCAGGGAACATATAGAAAGAATCATTCCCTTCAATAACAAACAGGGGAGTAGAAAGGAAATGTCCTTGTAATAAACATACCATCAGCCATATCCTTGGTTTTGTGGAGAAGAAATGTCCCCGATAAGATGGTCACAAACCCACACATCTCTGTAACTATCTGCGTTGGACTTTGCCTGTCCCAATCCTGATGAAAGGAAGAACACCCAAATCTAAAAATATGGATTTCATGAACAACCACATGATCCAAACCTGAACACTATTAATGAATCCTATTTGGTACTTACTGAACACCAAAGACTAAAAACTATTGACTTGTGGAGTTCTACTCCCAGATTTTGCTAAATCTGATCCTTCATGAATTATCCTTTTGCTTTTCTCACAAGTCTCCTAGCTTCTTATTTAATTTAAGTTGTTTATACTTGTTTAGATCCTTTGATAGCAAGCCCTAACAGAGAGTCGACCTTAAATCTAACTGCAATGTCAAAAAGACACAAGCTTGGCAATGAAGAAAAAGAGAATTCCCACTACCTGGGAACAGCAGCATTCAAATGACTAGAAAGAGTATTGCATAACATGAGATTAAATTATATGAAAACGTCGTCCAGAGTATCAATAGACCAACTTCACCAAGCTGTTCCCATGATGGCTATGCAGGTCATAACAGTTAATTGACCGAAGTAACAAGAGTGTCAAGAATACCCCAAGTATAAAACCATGCTTGAATGTAATAGTCAGAGAACAGAATAAATACCTTGAACATTATCACACTAGCCAAAATGGTTAGCGATGTGAACATTACATAGTAGATGGGTGACACAACTGCGGTATTGAAGGTATCAAGTGCCTGCAGCAAATGAAACAGACAGAAAAGCAAATTAACCACATTAAACAACACAAGGATCGATGGACAATAACCCACTCCGGGGAAGTACTAACAAGACAAGAAGAAAAAAATCACCTTGTTCAAATAATTCATTTGTGTAAGAACACAAGTAATCACCACCATTGTGAAGGCCCACGTTTGGGGATAGATTAGTTGATTCATTCCTGATAGTGTCAGCTTTAATGCAATCCCAATTGCTTTAACACTCATGACCTGTTCAGTCAGAACTATCAGCATTTTACCCAAGAAAATGGTACAGGGGGGAAAATAAGACAGAATTGGGCAACACCAAAATTTCAAGAATTACATACCGACAGGGAACCCACAAGAGAGCATATTCCTATGTACACCATAATATGTGTCTGCCCGTAGTCAGGGACAAAGTTGAATATAAGTACAAAAACGGCAGCTATGACCAAGGCAGCATAGAATAGAAAAGCTGGGGGGAAAAAGAGACAAGAAACAATCATTCACTTCTCAAACACATTATTACATGATGAAATTTGATTCACATAATGCAAATTCACCATAGATTGCAGATTACAAACCGAGTTTTAGTACTTACCAGGCTCCGTAGCAAGATCCCAGACCTCTATTACAGATTCGATTTCACGTTCTTGGGGAGCATGCAGGACGATCGTTATGGAACCCACAACACAAAGAGCACAACCAAGAACGCCGAAAATATGAAGCCTCTCTCTTAAAATAATGTGTGCAAGAACCGCACTGCAGAACCAGGATCTCATCAGAATTCAATGCTTAAAATGAAAAACTTAAAGTACAGGAAGATGGCGCCGCATGCCTGATGATGATGCTCAGAGCCCCGAGTGGAGTAACCAGTATAGCAGGTGCAAACGCATAAGCTGCAAAATTAGCTATTTCCCCAACAATCACTGTTGAAAAGCAACCAGACATCAGTTTTTCTTGCAGGAACTATAAATCCAAGGCATATTATATAGACCGAGTTTCAGTGCGATCACTGAATTGTTACAAGCACTGCCCTATAGGTTAATCTAACGGCCAACCAAGTCTTAAGGCTTGTACATAAGTTCTGAACAGCAAGATCCATAAATAGAGGGCTCTAATTGTGCTTGCTCAGCAGAAGAGAGATCCTAAATGTATGTTTAAGGGAATACTCATGCTGATACAGTCCAAGGATAACATCAGTAAAGCAGACTTGTAAACTATCCTTCGGTTAACTTACTTGTTATCATGCCTATCCACCATAAAGGTTCGTACAGGTAAGAATAGCCCCCACTTCCTGCACAACCAAAAGTAGCAGAATGTGTCAGGAAAGCTTGTAATTCATGGTCGTTGTTAGCAGAGTATTGCAGGAAATTCATATGTCCAAATCCAAGAGCTGTCACAATATGAACAGCTGAGTTGGATTTAAATAGCAGACTACAATCAAATCTGAACACAAGCTTATCGGATAACATTTCTAGAACCCTTCAATACCAAACCTGCATCTGTTGACATCACTGAAAAATCAAAATTGATATGAGGGACGTAAATCCCAACATGTACAGATTGAGGTATGGGTGGCAGGGAGAATGCAAGTGAAGTCAATGCACTACATCAGAGAATAAGATCTTGACTAAGCGTGAAATGGACATCTCCTGAAGTCCATCAACTTCACCAAGTCAAATCTCCATGAGAAGCTTTAAATTTCTGCATTCACTGGGATCAACACAGTGAATGCACAGAGCTCATCTGTAATTCGTGGTAACCCATGGATCTGATGGGGCACAACCATTAAGGGATCCACAAGCAGTAGCTCCAAATGGGATGCCTTTAGTCTCTCCATTCACTACAATGAGGAACAAAGTCCTTCCAGAAACTAATCTAATCCTCCAATGCGATTTATTAATAAAAACTAGGTGCCTTGCTTCAAACTTCAAACAAGTGGCAGCACACAATACCAAATGGAGAATTGAAACCCAAACCAAAACTCAGCCATCACTGCATCCCACAATTAGTAACCCACCTGCCCGGACGCCCGAGGCACCGGCTTTCTTCAAGCCCTTCTTCTTGACAATGAAGCTAGCACCAATAAAGACGCTGGAAGACAGCGCCAAAACCAAACCCTTGATATTATCCGACGACATTCCCTTGTAGGAGTCCCTCCAGCTCGCCACGGTCGTCGCCATGGCAGTATTCCAACACCACCCCCACCAGTGTCCGTACTAGTAATGTCGAAGAATCCAAACCCTAATTCCCCAGACGGATACAACTCCGTCATAAAACCAACATTTCCGCGGACCCGGATGCCCGACTCAGTTATGACACTGAGTAGCGGACAGAAACAAAACCCTTCGCACAATTCGGCCACAGCCCAGTGTTCGTCCGATCGCCGGGAAAGGAAGGTGAAGTGGGTGTGGAAAGATGAGCTGATTGGTACTTGACTCGAGTCGTGTGGTAGAATGAACTCAGTAAGGGGGAAGACTGAGGCGAGTGGATCTAGGAGGAGAAGGAATGGAGAAGAGAGGGAGGGAGGGGAGGATCGTGCGCGTGTCGGCGCGGATAGATAGAGGGAGCGAGTGGGTGAGAACAGCTCAGCTGCTGGTTTGTTGGCGGATGGTTGCGAGAAGAAGAAAGAGATTTTGGTTCTTTGGATTGGATCGAGAGGAGATAGATAGACGACAGGCCAGCAGAATCAGATCAATTCCTTCCTGCGTCACTGAAATTTTAGGTTTATTTCCATCATAGTAGTGAACTTAATTTTTTGTTTCAATTTGGTCACGCTATTATATTAGTTTCATTTCATTTCATTTTAGTTGATGATCTTTTGCTATGTTATTGGATTGTGTATGGTTTACAAGGTCTCTCGGAACCACGCTTGATTATGAATGAAGGGTATGGTGCTATTTGCATCCATTTTATAGTTTTATACATATGAAAAGTATTAATGACTAGGTCTCTAATCGGTACGTGTCAATTTTCATTGTAGAAGATTTACATGCTACGATGGAAACAAGCAAACAGCTAGAGACTCGGGTTCGGAACTCTGCCAATATCCTAATATGCCGTCGCAAAAGGCAATCAACTCTCGAGTGCTCCGATGGCCACACTTTGGTATGCCACCTGACACTAGGATTCCCTCTCTGCATGCTCTCGTCATGATCTTCTATCTCGAGGCGCATCTTTGTGTAGGTTATCTTTTTGAACCCAATATTGATTCACTGACCTTTAGCCACCTCCATCAAAAGCGAGTGGTTTCCCAATGATCTTCATGTACCAGCCTCCTCCACAACACATTTTATTTAAAATATAATACTTGCTAGTTGGATATCCTAACTCGTAATGGTTTGGGATATTAGGTATCACCACGTGCATCCTCGACATCATTTGAAATATAGTTCTCCGATGACACTATAAGCTTTTATGAGCAAATTTTGATGTTAAAAATCGTGAGTGTGAACAAGTTGATGAACAAACAACAACATGACAAAACCCAGAAGGAGCACGACTTCTTAATGTAGTATCATGATTGTCTGAATCACATGCATTGCCAATGATCGTCAAGGCCATCGTGCAGTATACTACAAACAATGTTCTTCACGCCGTCCTCGTTTAATGACCTTTCGCGCAACATTGAGAAGTATAGAATAAGTCATTGACTTAAACTCATCCGTCTCACCAACTCTTAGAAGGGCGTTCTCAAAGTTATCCATAATAAGGAGTTGTCCATGTCCTCCACGACGAAGCTTCAAATGCCCAAACAAGAAAAGAATGATCGATACTACCATTCCAACCAAAGTCATGACCATGACATCTATCAGCGCGGAAATTTGAGGAGTCCATTGAGGACACAGTCCATAAATACCATTTGTGTGGTGACCCATGTGCACATCTATCTTAAGACGAAATAAGTCTAACTTCATAACAAACGGCGAGTGCTTTTCAATGCAACACAATGGTTATGACTCTCATAATAGCAACATTTGACAAACCTATCATGCCTCGAGCAAAACAAAATCCAATTTCTTCTATAATATATATACCTTACTAGTAAATTTGTTACAATTGGCTATCAACACTTAGTTGTCATCTCTCATTTTATAAAAAATGTACCTTAAAAGATATAGGGGTCAAATTTCACCTTTGATAGAATGGAAGTTACCATGTAGTCTTCTTCATATTTTCATTAATCAAATGTTATTCAATGATGACATTGACACCCAACTAGTAAAACATCATTTGTGCTATTCACAAATGAAGAAGCAAAATATAAAATTTTCACATAAAAAACTCGTCGACTAAGCATGATGAACACAACAAGTAATGAGTTTGAATAGAAATTTAATGTATGAACCAAGAATGAATAACCTACATAATACATGAACATATTTGTTGGAAACCGAATCGGAGAGACTGGCAGTCCGATTGTAATGTAAAGAGTTCTTCAAGCAAAAGAAAAGAATACTTTCTGTAGGGGGGTAAAAGAAGAAAAGAAGCTAAAGAAGAGAAGACCTGTGACAAAAGATGAGAACATACTGCAATGCATTGAGAGAGATTGCTGCAAGTCCTCGTCAGTCCTCTTGCGAGAGGAGGAAATGGAGAACAGCCAGAAGGCTTATCCTTTTGGATCAACAACAGCCAATAGAAATACCTTTATTTTCTTTCCAAAAGCAACGATAGACCATTCTGCAGTAATGTACTACAGGATTTACATTCACAAACTACGCAAGTACAAAGGCAAAAGCATTAGTGGAGATACACCTATAAGTGTTAAAACAATTCTCTTCACATTCCCCCCTTTTGTCTGCATCACGGGATAGCTGCAAGAAAACGATCGAAACCAGGTCCCCTGGACTGTACATCACTAAGCTGCATCATCTGAGATTCTGAGTGCCAGCCATGCGGCCAATATGCAAGGCATAAAGGGTAGATCTTGCAAGGGGACCAATCACAGAAGTTGAACAGCAGCGATCGATGGTATTTTCTCGCGCAGCTTCTGTGTAACAGCAACTCGAACGGTCATCACCCCAGCTGCTGGCCCCGTGATTCGAACTTTCACTATTGGCTCTTCGATTGTCACTAGTTCAAGGGACCCTCCAGCGGCACCCACAAGATATGGCCTGATCTCTTCTAGTACCTGAAGCAAATAACAAATTGCAATCTACTGTAAGGACCATTAAGTCAAGAAAAAGGCTTTTAGGGGATGCCCTCCAAATGTTTGCCTAGGTGATGCCACAACAGCCTGATCACTAACTGGATCAACAAGGAAAAATGTGATTGGTGGGGAAACCCTCTAAATGTTTGCCTAAGTGATGTCGAACCAGCCTGACCACTACTTTGCCAAAACAAATCGGGTAAGCTTTGAGCCTTTAGGACACAAGTTTCAGAAAATTGCATGTTTTATGGTAAAAGGTTATCAAGATCCAAGTAACACCCTTTAAAGACATGAATGTGAGAGTGTCATCAGAGAAAAAAGACAATCACCTGTGCAGTGGCGTTTTTCTAGGAGGGTAGAGAAGTACAATGGTAATTCTGTAGTCCAACGGATAAGAAATTTCGAAACATGGGAGATGCTCGTGGCACTATGCCTCTATCTACTTAGACCCAAAGTGCCTCAATTAAATTAAGGCAAAGCAGCCAACTGAAATTTCACTACAGGCCATCAGCTCTTTCTCTACATTATATTGCGTCTCAGGACACTCAGACCTAGCTCCTGAATAGAATCAACTAGGGGATTAGAAACACACTATTGACTCGTCATTCAACTTACAAGGAACAGTGATTCATTCATGAACGTAACTAGAACTGTCATATACGGTATTAGGTTCAATTGACTACCTATGAAGTATCGGAACTTCCAAACAATACCGCAATGGACACTGAACCAGGTCCTTCATCACTGGGTTATTGACCTTCATTTCATTTATATGTTCTTAACTACACAGTAATGACTTGGTCAGTTATTAACTTGTGTATATGCAGTCTGGAGCATCAACCACATGTTTGCAAATTGGAGGAACAAAAATTGAAACTAAGTGCACCAAATGACGTGCTCAATGATACACCAGCATATAAAAAGCAAACCAGTATCTTAGAATGGAGTAATAGTAATACCATTACCTTCTCTATATTTTCTTCATTCATCTCAAGCCCAGTTTCTTCATCTGGTATAGGTTCCACAGCAACGATTTCAGGAATTTTCTCCATTAACCTACGCTCAATGCCCAACTTCATGGTGGTAACAGAGCTAGGACACGATCCACATGCTCCTTGTAACTTCAACTTCACAACATTCCCATCAATCTCGTGTAAAGCTACATTACCACCATCGGAAATGAGATACGGTCGAATCTCATCCAATACACTCTCAACATTCTCTGCAGTTAACGGCAATTCGATGGCCGAATTCGGAGTTGCCACCGCCTTCACAGCTGCACAAGGTGAATAAAAAACAAAGAAGCAAACTTTACATATAGCTGAACTCGTTGAGACTCAAGCTCCAATCAAATCATCCAATCACTAACCTAGTTTCCGAGATAAGCCAGGCGAACGAATCTTCACAGACCAGCACGGAATGCCATGCGGACGGTTGCAACTCCTGTTTACAGAGACTCTGCTGCCAAAGAAACCGCCACTCTGTGAAATTCGAATGAATTGTAAGTTCACAACATTTCCAATAAAACGGGTTTCCAACAATTCTGAGAAATGAAGATTAGCAAGTAAGAAAAGCACCTTCCCGGGACGACGATGAAGAAAGGAAGAAGGAGGGTCTAGGGTTTTCTGCGCGGAGCAGCAAACTGGGTTCACCACCACAGCCTGCATCTCTTCCTATCTCGCTTGGGAAAAGATAGAAATCCCCAAGATGATCGCCGCGAGAAAAACCACTTGATTATTGAAAGTTTATCTTCCGCTGAGACGGGGAGCTAACTCTGCGACCGTTGTTTCGTCACTAATCGGAGGCGTTCGCCTTGGCCGGCTGGAATTCCTGGTTCTGTTTGTTTCCAAGGAAAAATTATTGGGTGGAAGAGAATCAACAGCGCTTTGAGAAGAGAAGACGAAGCATCAAACGAAGCCAAGCCCGTCAAAAAAATCGGTAAAAGAGACGGCTTTGCGGGTCAAATTTTACAACCGCCCAACTAGGGCCGATAAGTTTTTCCTTTTCCGGTTCGGTTTGGTTCACCACCCGGCCTGACCAAGGGACGGGCGGACGACTCTGACACAAACCATACAATCATACATAACTGGGCCTGGCCCATTTCTTATTTGGGCCGGAATTACCTATCAAGCAGCCCAATTCCCGGGCAATTCCAGTTCCAGCTCTGTTTCGGAAACCCACTCCATAAATAGCCTTGCTCTCACCTCTCAGGAACCCTAGTTAATTGATTCTCACAGTTGCAGCGCCGTTCATCCTCTCGAGCCCTACTCTCGTTCTCTGCTCGCATCAAAAGGTAAGAATCTCGTCGTTCCCATTCCAATCCCCCTCGCTGCTTTCATATCTATGGTTTACCGCTCTGTTTAGTCTCTGGTTGGCGCTGTTCATGTTACCTTCTGTTGCATTCTTCTGTTGATTTTGTGTTCCTCGTTCTCCGATGTTATGTAGAAACAATGTCGTTCGGAGAGGTTGCTTGCAGCTACGCCGTCATGATTCTCCACGACGATGGCATCCCCATCACTGTATGCTTCTCCTTGAAACCCTAATCGATTGTTTGTTAGACTCTTTTCGATTTCTTTTGGTGAACGATTGGCTTAGGGTTTTTGGTGTGTGAATATTTGTTGATAGGCTGAGAAAATCAGCGCATTGGTTAAGGCTGCCAACGTGAACGTCGAGTCTTACTGGCCAAGCTTGTTCGCCAAGCTGGCTGAGAAGCGCAACGTTGATGACCTGATCATGAACGTTGGCGCTGCTGGCGCCGGTGCTGCTGCCGTTGCCGCCCCTGCTGCCGCTGTTCCAGCTGCTGCAGCCGCCCCTGCCGCCAAGGAGGAGAAGAAGGTATACATTACTCTTGAGACCTGACTGTGTTTTCATCCTATTGCTTTGGTTTTGTATGTCAGCCAAGTAGTTCTGTTTCATCTTGGATCTTGTTTTTGGCGTGGGATCTAATCGGTGTTTAAATCGATATTGCAGGAAGAGCCTCAGGAAGAGAGTGACGAGGACCTGGGTTTCGGCCTCTTTGATTAGAGACAGCACTTTGTTCCCAGTATGGCGTAGTCTTGTTCTTGCATCCGGAGTTTTTGGTTTAATTTGTAGTTAGTAGTTTTGTTGGAGGATTGGGACCTTGTTTCAGTTACGATTTCCGACTGAAAGTTTATGATGTTGGATCCTGCCTGAGTTTTGTTTGAGCTTGTTTATGGTTTAGTTTTTTGGATCTGTTTGTTTCCTCAATAGTGTGGTGGATAGCTTGATACTGTAATAGTATCAATTGCTGGAATGTGCTCTCTGTTCCTTAGAACTTAAGACCATGATCATCCTTGTTTGAGCTTAAGAAGTTAAGATCAGAATTCAGTTTTCTGGAGAGAGTTGGTACAAAATATAATTTACATATTAGTACCCAAATTCATGTCGTTTACCATCCCGTACGCTCCAATTATAAATTTCGTTCAGCTACCCATTCCTTCCAACTTTTTACTAAAATTCCCTTAATTTGTTCTGATACTACTATATATATATCGTACCATCTTCAAACTATCATTGGCCAACTACCGATGTGTGCTTCAAATCTTTGATGGTCTTGTATACATATGCAGAAAACTTGAATATGATCTCATTTAAAATATATGTAAAATTCATAACAAAAAGAAATATTGTAGTCGAACACATTAACCTCCCTTACAATTACCATGGTTCAAATCAGCCTCTCACAATACACTTTTAAGAGAACTTAATTACATTGAACAACCCAAACCAAAATGAATAAACACAGAAATAAACAATCATCTGCATGCATGTATATATGTATATCGTACATAATATATAACTGTTTTTATCATCACTTGATTCACTTCCCAGTGGAGGTCATCAGAAAACATTAGGAGAACCATAGAGCGGGTTATCACTGACAGCAGAGCGAGAATCCTTCTTCCTCTTCCAGTAGAGAAAATCCCCAACCAGAGGCACGATGGGCTTCTTCTTCTTCCCATCTGCCTTCATCTTCTTGTTCGAATAGTACCCATTGCTGCTCATCTCCGACCCTAGGTTCAGAATCTGTGCCAGAGTCGGGGACCCGACCATCCTCATCATCAACTTATCATCTCTCGCGGCGGCGGCCTCGTCCTTCCCATCCGCGGCCTTCTTCGCGGCCGCAGCCTCGGCCTGAGCCATCCTGGCCATGTTCATGTGGAGCTCGGCGTTGAGGGAAGCCAGGGCGATCTCGGTCTCGGACCCTTGCTCCTTCAGCTGCTTCAGCGCCGCCTTCGTCTCCTCCAGCTCGGCTTCCAGCCTCCTCACGCTCTCCACCAAAACGCTCTCATCAATGGCCGAGCCGGAGGGATTTGACGGCTCTGTCACAAGACACAGGTAAGTTTTGCTAAAAGGTCTTCAATCCATTGACAAAATGAAGGAAAATATTCAGATTAATAAAACAATTTTTTTTTTAAAAAAAAGGTGAAAATAAAATATGACATAAAACTCGAAACTCTTTTGTTTGATTCTATGATACTCGAATCATTTTAGCACTCAAATCTTTCATTTTTGTTATGGAATGTATTGAACTCGTCAATTTTAATTAAGGTGCACTATAGTACTAAAACTCACTATTATTTGATTGTTGTAAATTTAATATACTACATTGTAATTCGAAATCCAATCAAAATAATTTATATTATGAAAAAATGACACACCTAATTTCAACTTCGGACTGTCGTTCGGAGTAACGACGTCAGGGACCACCGAGGGGGAAGCAGAAGGAGAAGGAGACGCAGACGCCGACTTCCATGAGGGAGAATCAGCAGTGGGAGGCTGCTGGTGCGGAGTGGAGTGGTAGATGTCGCGGAGGAGGAAGCGCTCGCCGAAGATGGCGACGGCTTCCTTGACGGAGGAGAAAGGGCGGGAAGTGTCGACGGAGGAGCGGTAGCTGCAGCTCTTATTTGCAATGTCGTCCGCCATTGCTGGTTTTCTCGTTGGGGGAATGGAAATGGCGGATGGGAGAATTGGGGAAAAGCTGTTGCTGATATGGGTAATGATGATGGAGGGTGCGGTCTGTCCGGTAGTTGGCGTTGAACTTTTTTTCTTAGCTTGGAAGCCAAAAGATGAAATGGGTATACGGTAAGAGAGACAGAGGGTGTGAGTGAAATGTGAAAGGGAAGTATATACTACCAATTCGATCGATCGGCTGGTGGTGTGGAACTGTAGTTGGGAGTGGAGGAAGAAAAGGACCACGAAGCGACCAAATGAGTAATACGTTACATTATGGGATTGTCATGTGGTGGATTAACATAGTACAGGCGTGCAAATGACTATTAAAAGAATATGGAGTTGATGTGTCATCGTCGTAGATAATGTTTTGAGGGAGAAAGTGGATGTTGTGGGGGCTCTAAGGAAGAGATTTTGAACTCGCTTGCATGAATGACACCAGCTGAATGGATTTCCACGAGTGGTAAGTTAATGAAGGTAGGTTAATGTGGCGGTGCATGTATCGCGATAATTTCTGTCAAATTGGAATTTGTCAAGAGACGGTGAGTCATGGTGGAATAAGTGTGGATGTGGTGATGCACAAGCCCATATTTGTACCATAACGATATCAATCTATGCGTTTTAGACGCTCCGACCAGTAAATATGCATATACCGGTCGAGTAACTTATTGACCGCATAAGTTATGTCCGACTTTGTATAAACAAAGACGATGTAGCGAACCGATTAGGATTTACCAACAAAAGGTTTGATAAGTTGCGGTCGCGAGACATCTTCTAGCTAAGGAATCATGGTGGTGAAGTGAAGATAACTAACCGTGGCCATGACCTTTTAGCTTGCTATGTCAAGTCGTTGTAGCCGGTCGATATTCTACTTTGTATTGATTATTGAGAAAGGACCAATGTAATCTAAATATCTAATGTAGTCATAATGACTTTATGTCCAAGAAGTAGTGAACATGAGAAGGGATCATTTTTTTTTTTTGCTGTCACTACACTAGTCGAATGATCAAATTAAAGTTGGTTCATCAAGCCAAAGCATATGGTATCTCAATTCACAAACAGCATACGACAGCGTTTGGATTTGCTCTGTTTGTCAATAACGGCGTCGTTTCGATTGTCTTGATGTTTGAACTTTGACCGTGTCTGTCCGTTCTTTCTTTATTTTAATCCATCGCCTCGGCTGCTTTTTTTTTTTTTTTTTTCCAAGTAATGTCAAGAGAGAACCTATACACACTACCCAAACCCTGCCCCACCCAAACAAAAGCGAAGCCAATCCACAAAGTCAAAGGAAGACAACTCTAAAGGGGAGAGAAACAGGGCTTTCTGCGCCACTCTATGGGCAGCCCTGTTCGCAGCCCGGGGGATTGCCCTAAACTCTAAGGAAACAGACACTGAAGATAAGAGAAGAAAGCAATCCCGAAGCACCGGTCCTCCAATGGAATCAGATAAAACGCCATGACGCAGCTGATTAATCACCACCTCTGAATCGCCTTCAATGATGACCCGGGATAGCGACTTGGAGACCACAATGTAAATGGCGGCTCTAGCAGCAAGAAGTTCTGCAAGATAGGGATCAGCAATACCAGGGTGAAGAGCACCTACAGCCAGCTCCACACGCCCGTCTGAACCTCGTACCACAAGACCAGACGAGCAACCAGAGGAGCGAACAACAGCATCAAAGTTAATCTTCAGAACGCCAACAGGAGGAGGGAACCAGGAAGAGCGGCGAGAGAGGGACGGCTGGAGCAGGGGAGCAGGGACCAAAGGGAGGGAGGAAGACAGTTCTTGAACTTGGAAAAAACACTGACGGGCGAGAGACTGGGCAAGAGGCTGGACATGTTCAAAGACCACCTTATTTCTAGACTTCCAGATCCTCCATAAAACACACACGAACAGGAGGATATGGGTTTGGGGGGTGCTCGGAAAGCATAACATGTCGCCACCAGAGACTGAAATTCACAGTCGGGGCCGAGGAGATGAAATCATTTAATCCCATAAGCGACCACAAACTTGTGGCCAGGGGGCATTTGAAGAATAGATGTTCAATACTTTCCGGACTTCTCCAACACACAGGGCAACGGACAAGACAATTAACCCCTCTAGATTTGAGTGCTACCACTGTTGGAAGTATCACTCTAAGGCACTGCCAGATAAAGAATTTCAGCTTTGGAGGAGTTGGAATATCCCAGGTTTTCTTCCAGATTGGAGGATCAATGATTTGGACCAGAGGTTTTCGACTAGCGGATAATGAGATGTCAAGAGCTAGGTGATATCCCGATTTGACTGTATAAAGACCATTTTTCGTAAAATGCCAAACTCTCATATCTCTTTGATGACATCTAGGGAGTGGGATTTTACGAATAAGGTTGACCATTGAAGACTCAAAGCAATAGTGTAATCTTGGGACATGCCACTCACCTCTATTTTCCTTGATGAAAAAGGAAACTCTCGGGGAATTAGTTATGTTCGAGAGGCGGACCAAAGGAGAGATGAGTTTATCTGAAACAACCCACTTATCTTTGAAGGCATCAATATCTTGCCCATCTCCAATTTGCCACCTTAATCCCTGTAAAAGGAGATCTCTTCCAAATAGTATACCTCGCCATCCCCAAGAAGGGTTGGATCCTAGATTCGCATCCAACACTGACCCGTTTTGGAAGTATCGACCCTTATAGATCGCCTCGGCTGCTTGCTCTGCTCTTTCTACTCGCCGAGAAACCGGAAGAATGCCGCCGAAGAAGAAGCCGCCGCCGCAGAAGCGGAGCACCAAGACAAAATCCCAGTCCCAGCCTTCGTCATCTTCCGGTCCAAAGCTTCAGATTTCGGCCGAGAACGAGAACCGTCTGCGTCGGCTATTGCTTAACTCCGGCCAGTCCACACAGCCTGCTTCGGCGGCGCCACCGGTTCAAGACAATCTCTCCAAGGCCCAAAAGGCCAAGAAATTAACCACCATCTACGAGAAGCTCTCCTGCGAGGGGTTCTTGGACGATCAAATCGAACTCGCTCTGTCGTCTCTCAAGGTGAATTGGGAGTAACCAGCACTGATACGCAGTTAGAAATTCCAAGTGTTAGAAACGATTTTGATGTCTGCTAACTGTTTGGATTGGCGAGGAAGTAACTTAAGCAAACTAGTAAGAGGATAGAAATGAGAAATTGCAGAAATCAAATTGTATCACGATCGAGTTGCTGTCTCGCTTTCCTTCGAGTTTGTGATAACACTGTTGTCTCAGTAGGATTTTCTGATTTTAAGAGAAGTCAAGGTTGAATAAGTGATTAGAGAAAAAATTTAGGTGTTGATGTACTGTTGTTTGGTTTCCTTGGAAGAACACGGATAAGACTCTAGCTTAGGGAAATGCTGAAGTCTTTGTTGGTGAGTTTAGCTGCTGCTGACAAAACTCTCAGTAGGATGCCATCTACCTGATGTTTCGTCTTGAGGTTATTTGCAATGGATTGCTATTTGGCTGTGTTCATGCCTTAATCTATGGATTATCTACTTTTGTTTGGAGTAGGACAGTGCTACATTTGAGGCAGCTCTTGATTGGTTGTGCTTGAATCTACCCGGAAACGAGCTCCCACTGAAGTTTTCTAGTGTAAATTCGCTTCATGAAGGAGGTAACACTAATATTAACTCATGAGTTCCCTTTTGGTTATGTTAGCATATCATGGAATGTTGGCTTCAAGAATGAGAGGGAGTATATTGATCTTTCATTCTGCATTGTGAAGGTTCTGTAACCGTTATATCAACTGCGCGTGAGGGCTATATTCATTCAGAGGATCCCCCTAGAAAAAGTCAGGAGGATCTGCAAAAGGCCGCTTTTAGAATCAAGGAACGGAAGAATGAGGAATCCCTTGATTCACGCCAACCATCACAGGCTGATTGGATCAGGCAATACATGGAGCAACAGGAAGAGGTATATAGCAACCTTGGTGCTGGTAGAAACGTCATTGGTGTTGTTTTGTGCAACGAACAGTATGAGGGCGATCATCATTTATGCAACTCTTGCCCATTGGTTTCATATCTAAGACTTCTTAGTGTTTAAGAATCTAAGTTCTGAGAACTAATGGTGGTTTTCTAACGATTGTTCAGGATGAAGACAAAACTTGGGAAGATGATCTTGATCCAAGTTTTAGCCTTAAGGTATGTTTTATGTTTACATACCTCTCCCCCCTTCTTCCCACACCCTATCCATTGATTTTCTTGTATTCCTTGTCATCCAACAAGACGTCAAGATGCTTCTTTTCTATTGTGAAAAAACAGATGTCCTCTGCTCTTCTGTCTGTGTGTCTCTCTATGATATGCATGAATTCATGAGCAAACTAGGGATTGTGTGATAGGATACCCACTTCAGAGGAGAATTGATAATTGAAGCATTTGTAGTTAGTGTGGGATTACTGATGGAGGCAGGAATGACATTATGACCCTCAGCACTGTATGGAGATTGTCAATTGAACCATTAAGTATTAGAAGCCTAGAAACTTATATACAATTGGAGAAAGCTTATTACTTCAGGCTTTTGTGTTCTTGTTGAGATTCACCATCACAATGTTTCTCAATCAATCATATGGTTTTGTGTGCATGTTAATAGGATCCCGAACCAAGGTCCTATGATGTTATTACCAAGGATTACTACGCAGCAAGGCTTGAAGCTGCAAAAGCCAAGGATAAGGGGGACAAGAAAAGCCAGGAACAAGCAGGCCATGTCATCCGCAAACTCAAGCAAGAATTATCTGCTCTAGGTTACTGTCAGTTCCTCTTTGGATCCAAATTTCATTCTAGTAACAAAATGATGCTGCTCAGTTTTCCCACAGTTCTATTTTTTCTATTGAGCAGGACTTTCAGCTGACTTCCTGTCACAAGAATTTGCTCATCAGTCTAACTCTCAGGGCATGCCTGAGAGCTCATTTTCTTCTACTTTGCAATACCTTGAAGCAGCACCATCTGTTGATTCTGAGGATGCTTCTCTCCCAACACGTCAAGTTGAGGAATCACCAATACGTGGAAGTGATATTGTATGTTCAGGCTCTGCTGAGGACCTGTCCAAACCTGTTTCGTTTAGTGAACTTGATCCTGAAAAGGATATGCTGGGTACTGATTCAGAAGAAGTTGAGCTTGGTGGCTTCTTTCTAGAAGATTCTGCACCTAATGAATTGATAGCTGCTGAAGTATTGGAATTTCAGAAGAAGGAGAGAATAAAAGAGTTATGGAGCTGCAAGAATCTGGAAAAGTTAGAAGGCATTTGGAAAAAGGTACTGATACTTGAGTGGGTTGGATTTATTTTCTTATAAGAAGGCTGCATGGTGATGCGAACTACTGTATCAGTTAACCATTCATCTATTTGTATTAACTTTTAAATGATTGTACAAAATTATAGCATTATGTATTTCTGGTCTGAGAACATTTGGATAATAAAATATGCAGTGGATCACAGTCTATCCTTTGCTGGTATCTTATCCTGGGAAACGTGCTTACAGGGTGACCCTCAAAAGATTCCTAAAGCGGTTCTTCACCAACTCTGTCAAAAATCAGGTTGGGAAGCACCTAAATTTGAGAAAGTGCATGAGGAAAAGCAAGGCTTCTCAT